TGGCTAAGGTAGGCATTTTGGTATTGTCTAAAGCTGCACTTCTTTAGATGGATATTCAGTTGATGCTACAGTAGGGCTTCAAACACTTGGGTCAGGTGGCGCTCATACTCCTCTTTTCCTTGACTATAAATTAGAATGTCATCAAAGAAAATCAAAATGAATTTTTGAAAGAATAGATACAAAATTATGTTAATCGATGTTTAGAATGTGACAAAAGTACTGGTGAGATTGAAGGGTATTATGAGGAACTTTTAATGTACTTCGTGAGTTCTTAAAGTCATATTTGAAACATCTTCTACCTTAACTCGAATATGATGATAACTCACTCAAAGATCTAATTTGGAGAAGGTTTTCACATCATAGAGCTCATCTAGGAGCCCCTCCACCACGGGAATGGGAAAATAATCCCTGGCAATCGCTTGGTTGAGTGTGAGGTAGTTCATTTAGAACCTCCACGTGCGGTATTTCTTCTAGATGAGGAGTGATGGGCTTGAATACAAGCTCTATGAATGCTGTATAATTCATGTCTTGAGCATGTATTCTACTATCTTCTCTAGCTCCGTCTTCTCCATGAAGTTTCACCTTAGTTGGTCCTGCACTGGCGTGGAGTCTAATCTTAACTTCGCTGCTGACAGTTGGAATAGCTTGAACAAAAGTCACCTTAAATTAAGCTTGATAACAATTTCAAGGAGATCTCTAACTATTCCCAGGCCCGATCCACTTTTAGGATTACATGTTCCATACTGATTCGGAAGGAGAACGTGCCCTCTTCAAGATCCACCTTGAGTTACCGGAGGATCTTTAGTGACTTCATGCCGAGGACGACTTCCACCGTGGCCAATGAGAAGGAGAGGAAGTTTTCGTAGATGTGGATGTGTTGCAAGTCTACAGATACTTGAGGGTAGAGCTTCGTGCCGTCCACCTTCTCGTTTAATCCGGTGACGACCTTGTATCGAGGAATTTGAATGAGTGGGTGGTGCAGGTCTTGAGCTAACCTGTCATTGATAAAGTTGAGAGTCACGCATGTATCTACCAAGATCATGATAGGTTGACTTCCAAGAGCCTCATGCCTGTGCGTAAGGGACTGTAAGATGACCTTCATATTAGAGATGGACTCATGTATCTGAGGGATCTCATCGATTGGAACCTGAAGCTCCAGGAAGTCAGTCTCCTGTATCTGAGGGATTTCCTTGCGACACTTGTGTCATGGGGACTCATGGGGTATCTGAGGAACCCATCTCTCTGGTATTTGTGCGGCCGTGAGACTCGGTTTCTTCCTCTGATCTGGAACACTACGTCATGTGGCATTTGGGTCTGTCGGTATGGCCTCGGTCATTTGTCCTTCCTCCCACCGTTTTGCGACGTTTAGGTCCAGTAGTTTCAGCCGTCGGGGTTCCAATGCGACCAGTAGTTCCTCCGTGGGCTTGAGGAGATAAGGCCAATTGACAGTCGTCAAATTGGACATAGTGTTGAGCTTCAATTCCACGTGTTGAGCCATCTTCATCATTTCTTTGAGCCCCCTTGGGTTAAGTACGCAGACCTTAACGTGAATTTCCTCCTTGAGATCGTTCAGGAATATACTTTCCAGCATAAGGTCTAGAATGTCCCGAATGATGCTGGTGAGGAGCTCGAAATGCTCTTGGTACTCGGCCATGGTACCATGCTAGTAGAGGCTCAGAAGCTTATTGTATAAAGAATTTGATTAGTTCAGGCTATATCTCTCTAAAAGTTGATTGCAGAAGTCCTAGTTCCAGAATAATGACGGTCCATGACCGATTGGAAACAATGCAGCGCTAATCTGCCCATGCTCAGCCCAGCTTTGGTGAGTTTCTTGTGTTCCGAGATCCAATAAGTGGAGAAAAAACAACTCCGCTCAGAATATCCAGCTTTTTGGTCCGAGGCCGTGGAAGATAGGCAGCTCAAATCTCATTCCTTTCTATAGTTTGACCATAGAGAGGACATGGTACTTGTGGACTGAAAATTCTGTATCCTGTGGGCCCTTCGCCGCTTCCCTTGTGGGGTGAATGGCTCTCCTGAGGCTGTACTCACAGAAAATTCAGTCGTCATAAAATATTTTCTCCTTCCCTGCCCAGGAGTTGGATGCCTAGAGGTCTATTGTAGGGCGAGATGAAGAGACTCTAGGGCCCTGGCAACGACACTGAGTTGTTGGTTTTTCGATATCTATTCTTACGCCATGCCTTCGAGTTGCCACTTGACTTCTGCATGTTCGATCATGAATGCTTGTCCAAGTTCTATCACTTCTAGAGTCTACGCTCCGACAAGTTCTATCAGTCTCCAAGAATCCAACCGTCATTAATCTTGGGTGGTATGGTGGAAGTGCATTCTATGATACCAGTGTGATGGGTGCCCAATCTTGGGTGGTCGGGATTTGGAAGGAGAGGCGCGAGAAGTAGGAAGAACACGGTACTTCTGTTGTCTTTGACTCAGAGAGATCCCCGATTACAGCAATAGTTCTGTCGATCTCCGAAGAGCTCAAAGAAATTGAAAGAAATAGGGAAAAGATAATACAAGAGGGGGGTAAGGAGGACAGAAGGCTCTCGCAAGAGCTCTTCCGGGGGTCGTCTCTTCGAGATAGTGGATCTCCGTGGGTCAGCTTCCTCTGTGTAATCTTCAGTGACCCTTCGTCGACCCAAACCTTCCTTCATATAATTGGGGACTGCCAATTCGCCATGAGGCGGTCTGCCACCGTCGCCTCTTTGGTCGCGCAATGGCCTGACCAATCCTACCGACCGTTAGGGGGTCCTAATGATTGGCCGACCTCTGCTGTGAGCGGCCGGCCTCTTTCTGTGGGTGGATCTGCAATCTTGACCCACATGGGTATTTAGTTGAGGCTAAGACTTCAACAGTATATACCAACCAAAACCATGTAGGTCAAAGAGATGAAAATCACTTCAATGGGCAAGAACGGTATCTAAAAGCGCTAAGGAACGACAATTATTAAACAAGATTAATTAGATTTTCGCTCTGGAAGAATATATTGTTACTAATTATAAAAATTTATTTCATACAAAAAAGAACAATAAGAATAAAAATTAATATAAATAAATGTGAAACCTATCAACGGAACAAAGGAAATCACGACGTAAATGCAACTTAGGAAAACCTTACTCCAGAATGACAATGAAGCCCTTTGCAACTCGACAGCGACAAGGTTAGTCTTAGACCAAGGAACGAAGGAAAGTCAATGGAGCCAATTTAAAGTGGACTTGGACGCGGCTCCTCCTATATGCCAGAAAGTCAAACGCCCGAAGTAGGTCCTCGTAGTCGATAGGTAGTCTATGCCATCAGTCAAATTCTTCACAGGAATCCAGCCCACAGCCCATTTTCTGGGCCTGATCCGCACACCCGTACTATGCTCGGGTTTGACCGGGCCACGCTAGCCAAGCCCATTGACTCTGTATCTCCGGGATTCGTGAACTGATCAGCTACAGGCCGAAGCACTAAATACGACGGTGATTTTTGCAATATCTTTTGGAAATATTTATATGAAATTGACGAATCTGCCGTCGTCGGAGATTCTGCCAGCCGTTGGATTATTCCTGTGGATCTCCGATCCCAGATTTCTCGGTGGAGGCAGGGGACTGCGACGTGCTGTAATCGTGCAACTATCTTACTACAACGGAGTCCTTGGGGCCCGCCGGAGCACGGACCGTCGACGGGATCAGGATAAGAGGTAGCCCCCATGGAGACAGTCATCGGCCCACCCAGCAAGTTGGACTTTTTCTGTTCCTACGCTCATTCCCTCTCGCTCGTCCCCAAGTCAGACCTCGTAATCAGACTCTCTCCCTCACTCCCCCCTCCCCTCTTTCTGTGTATGTTGATATATGAATGAATATTACTGTTAGCAAGCTCTGCGGGACCTCTCTAGAACGAAAGCCAAGTGGTAAGACGGGTTGGGTCAAACCTAGTCTTTAGGGACGCAGCAGGCTTGGAGAATTGCTATTGCGGCACTACTTCATGTTAGCTTTCTCTACTTTCAGTGGCACAGCGTTGAACGGTGTTGGAACTTTGGTCTCCGCACCATCAGTCAACTGCGTTGAGACGCTGAACAGAGTGAAACCCTACTGTTGCTGCGTCAAAAACAACGGAGGGAGGGAAGAGAGAGAGAGAGAGAGAGAGAGAGAGAGAGAGAGAGAGAGAGGGGGGGAAGGAGGGAGACCCCGGTGGTCGCTTGTTGTTTTTTGAGTGCGGCAAGTCGCAAGGATAATTCGGCGCTGGGGGGTAGGCCCGGGGGGGGTTGTCGTCTACCTAAAATTCTGACTTTTCGGCGAGTCAGAGTCGTCGTCTTTGCAGTCCTTTGACTATAAGGCTCCCGAGGCAGTGTGTCCACTGAGCCTGCCAGGGAACCATCGAGGAAGTTAGGCGACGACCGAGTCAAAATGTTCCCGAGGTTCAATCGCCATTAAATCCCGTCATCATAAATCAGAAACAGTAGATTCAGTCAACCCGATCTATCGACCGGCCAAAGAACTACGGGTTCAACGCCCCTGATTTCCCGGGGCCATCCGGCTTGGGTGGCGGCTGTCTCCCGGCCGCCGTTCTCGTTAAGAGGCTGGTAGCATGAACGAGGAGGGTTTTCTGGTCCCCATTCTCGTAAATGGACGGTAATGATCGGACCTTTGTGGGTGACGTGTCTGCACCTGTCGTACCTGGCTTCCCGTTGACTGTGGGGCCCCTATGACTAGGTTGCAGTGCTGTTCCGTTTTTGTTACGGGGCTCCGCTCTCATCAAGGACAAGATGGCCAACACGTACCCCCTTCTACCCTTTCCCCCCCCATCATTTTGATTGGAGCCGCTTTGTTCCACCGAAAGTAGAAATAAAACGCAATATAATCTTATTATAAAACAGGGATCTTGAAGGTCGCGTTTCTAGCCAACCATCTTCTTCCTCCAGGGCCTTCTTCCTCAGTCCAGATCTCCATTCCCCGCCGCCTTTCTGTGCAGTGAGACCAGATCTCATTTCCAGGCCTCCTTCAAAAATGTCCAGAGCCTCTCTCCTTCTCTTGCTCTTCCTCTCCCTCCTCCCCGTCCTTGCCCTTGGGCAGGAGGTCAAGTTCGTCTACAACGGTTTCTCCGGCGGTGGCGCCGCCGCAGTCAACAACAACCACAACATAAGCTTGAATGGGATTGCGGAGGTAGAAGGCGGGGGGTTCGTTCGGCTTACGAATGAGACCAGCCGGCTTATCGGTCGCGCCTTCTACCCCCTCCCCGTCCGGTTCCGGAACGCCACCGACGGGTCCGTCTTCTCCTTCTCCACGGCCTTCGCGTTCGCCATCGTTCCCGAGTACCCGAAGCTCGGGGGCCACGGCCTCGCCTTCACCGTTGCCCCGACCAAGGAGCTCCACGGCGGTCTCCCGAGCCAGTACCTGGGGCTCCTCAACGCCAGCGACGTCGGCAACTCCAGTAATCACGTCTTCGCTGTCGAATTTGACACCGTGCAGGACTTCGAGTTCGGGGACATCAACGATAACCACGTCGGCGTCGACATCAACGATATGAGATCCAATGCCTCCGCCACCGCCGCGTACTATGACAAGGACGGCAAGCAGGACCTGAACCTCAAAGGCGGGCATGCGGTCCAGGCCTGGATCGACTACGACGGCGTGGCCAAGCTGCTCAATGTCACCGTCTCCCCCTTCTCCTGGAAGCCCACAACTCCGATCATCTCTTTCCCCGTCGATCTCTCCTCTGTCCTCTTGGAAGAGATGTTCGTGGGCATCTCGAGCTCCACGGGGCTCCTCTCTAGCTCTCATTACCTCTTCGGCTGGAGCTTTAGTATGAATGGGCTCGCCCCATCCCTCGATCTCTCCACCTTGCCTTCCCTTCCTAAGCCAAAGAAGAAAACCCACTCCTTGGCTATTTCGACCTCCGTCGCCGCTTTCGTCCTGCTCGTCGTCGCCGTCATCGGTGGCGCCTACCTCTTCTACCGGATCAAGAACGCCGACGTGATCGAGCCGTGGGAGCTGCAATACGGGCCGCACCGATTCTGCTACGAGGAGCTGAAGAGGGCGACCAAAGGATTCCGAGACAAGGAGCTACTAGGTTTCGGAGGATTCGGAAAGGTTTACAAGGGTGTCCTCCCCAGCACCAAGGCCGAGGTCGCCGTCAAGCGTGTTTCCCATGAATCGAAGCAGGGAATCCGGGAGTTCGTGGCGGAGATCGCTAGCATCGGGCGGCTCCGCCATCGGAACCTCGTCCAGCTGCAGGGCTGGTGCCGGCGGCGAGGGGATCTCCTGCTCGTCTACGATTACATGCCCAACGGCAGTCTCGACAAGTATCTCTTCGACAACCCTCCGAAAGTGGTTCTATCTTGGAACCAGAGGTTGAGGATAATCCGCGGCGTGGCGGCGGCGCTGGTCTACCTGCACGAGGAGTGGGAAAGCGTGGTGATCCACAGAGACGTCAAGGCCAGCAACGTCCTGCTCGACGCCGACATGAACGGGCGGCTGGGGGACTTCGGCATGGCAAAGCTCCACGAGCACGGGGGCAACCCCAGCACCACGAGGGTCGTCGGCACCCTCGGCTATCTCGCCCCCGAGCTTACCCGCACCGGGAAGGCCACCACCAGCGCCGACGTATTCGCCTTCGGCGCGATGATGCTGGAGGTGGTCTGCGGCCGGCGGCCCATAGAGCCCAAGGCGTTGCCGGAGGAGCTCATACTGGTCGACTGGGTCTGGGAGCTCTGGTTGGCCGGGAGGGTGTCTGAGGCGGTGGACCACCGGTTCTGCGGCGACTACGCGGAGGAGGAGGTGAACACTGTCGTGAGGGTGGCGCTGATGTGCTCTCACCCCACCGCCTCCGAACGGCCGACGATGAGGGACGTCGTGCGGTATCTCGACGGAGACGCCGATATGCCAGAGTTGCGGAGCCCTCTGCCGAACGAAGACCGCTTGAGCCCGGTGGCGTTCGACGACTTCGTCCACTCTTATCCATCGTCCTCCTTTGAGAAGGTGTCGTCGTAGTGAACTGCGGAGGGATGCGGGTAGAAAATGGGCTCACCAACGCCTGCGGCTTCCACCGGTGAGAGCTCCCAGGTCTCCCTTTCTCTCTCTTCACTCTCCGGTGAGCTTGTGGGACCTTGTCGACCTCGTAAATGCCAACTTCCGCTGCTAATTCCATCGCATAATCTCCGGCAGACGGGACGGGGTAGTTGAAGTGTGGGCGCCGCGGATTTGGACATGTTCCTGGTGGGGCAGAGCTGACGCACCCGACTGCAATGGGTCAGGGGGAAGGCAGTATTACCCACTCAGTCCGAATCTGACGATCTCCACCTGCCCCCCTGGCGATTCCCGGCAGTTGTCTGATTGGATACTGACAGAAAGTATTGATATTTTCTGGCGCCGCCTCTTTCGACCAAGAGGCAAAGTCCACCATACCCTAAAATTAAAGAAATAAAAGCTTGTTCTCAACGGCATGCCGATTTCTGGACACCGACAAGGAGAGGTTCTCTACTCGGGCGCACAGGAACAGACTTGGACCGGGAGTTCAACAACCCGCCGCCCCCTGGGCTATAACAGGGGCTTCCCAGGGATTGCTAGTCCAACGACCCCCAGACTTATCACATATTCATAACTTTATTTTTCATAAAAATAGGTCCAATTATATAAACTTCTGGACATAAACGAAGATTTGTGAGGAAAAGGGGGTTAAACTGCTGTGCACCCCTGTGGCTGAGGTGCCCCTCGTAGAAAAAGTCAGCCCATCACCATCTTGATAGACTGATGTCACATGGTTGACTTTAATTATCGTGCTTTAATTCACCTGCTCTAACAGGATTGTTGTGTCGATGTCGAACTAGCTTTCTCTTGCGGAAGCAGACAAAGGGCACCAAAGAAGAGATAATACACTATGGCGAGTCTCTCTACTCGGCTTCACTCTGCTCTTTAATTCCTCTACTTTGGGACAATTTCCGCTCCATCATGTAGTCTCCTGAGGGTTATGGCAGTGTCGCTGACCTCAGCCTAAAAAAAGCCGGCCATCGATCGCCGATCAGGTCAAGGTCAGATGTGTTGGTAGCTATACTGTAGATAATCCAAATTAGGCTTACTTATATTGTGGGTATGTTACATATGTTGAACTCTACAGTACACTATTTAGGTTATAGTCAAATACCAATCATCGATATCCCATAAAATCTACATACTTTGTTAACGATTATCAATCCTCATTGGTAATGCATTATTAGGGGTTTTATTTATATTTACACCTCATAAAAAAACTAAATGGAGAAATTTGGTAGCAGCAGGAGAGTTTAAGTTTGAGAATCAGAACCATTAGGGCTGGCCCATGTGAGCGTGTTTGGCCAATGGAAAAGCCCGTCGCCCAATGGCGATGCTGGGGATTTCAAGGGATGCCAATTTAACAATAGGGTGTTTTCTAATATTATAATAACCATGACTTACAAAAATCTAGGCATAAAGTACTAAAAACGTGCATCCTGACTTCTCGTAGGTTCGGTACAAGAGTTAATGAATTATTGGGGGGCTTTACGATAGAGGGATAGTGGACTCTGAATTCATACCTTTACGATAATGTGACCAATCTATCGATATAATGTTATAGGTTTTGCTAGAACTCTAGACTTTGATTACTCAACGTTAACTTCGATTAAGACATGACCACTTGTGCAAACCTGGTAGTAGATAATTGTGTATTGTGACAAGGGGTATAAAAAGGGATGGCCTTAGCCTAAGCCCATATATGATTTCCATAAAATGAGCTCCAAACTAAGTTGTTATGAAGCTCAACACACCTTGGCCCCGATTGAATGCGATCTATTGCAGAACACCATTGTCTTATTTTGCTCGATCGTTTGCATTACTCTTCTTAACTTAGAAACTACCTAGCAACCCAAATTGCCAATATTGTACCTAAACGTTAATATATCCTTAATAAACTATGATCTTATTCGTATTAACTGATCTCATTTATACATACCGACCCGTACTGGGCAGTAGGAGACCAAAACTTTTAAAATCCTTAACCACGCTTTTGTCTTATTCGGGACGAATATCCATTTAGTTCTATTCAGATTAGTTTATTCATATCGACCAGTATGGGCCTGATGAAGACCGTATTATCATTCATTGTGTTCACATTGCAGGCGTCATCAGTCATCACCAGACTCTTCGTATTCTCTAGGGTTTTCTCACCGGCTGCCATCATCGGCCGAACGGATTTGGGCTAGCCGGGCTCCGAGAGTCCCAACTCTTCGCGAAGCATGAAGTGCTGGAGCGGCGGAGGCTGTTCCCCGCCCTCCGGCTATCATCCAAGATCCGCCGCCTCCACTCCTTTATCCCTTAAAAGAGGGCTGGTCACGTGCAGCACTGTGTGTACCCGGCGGCATTCCCCTTCCTCCACGGTGACCTCCGTGAGCAGACTCCTCATCTGAACCATTCCCCAGCGGGTCGTGTGGGGGGGACGACCGCGGAGCTTCCTCCGGCAGACGACGAGGAGGTTGACTGTGACAGCGGTGGTGGGGCGCTGTGGGCAGCCGACGGCTGCAGAATCTTAAAGAACTCATTAATGCGGGGGAACTCTCCCGACTGGAGCTTTTTGGGTCCCGTCTGTCTCGCTCTTCGTCATGTGGACTCAATCAATGTACGTGGCCCTTCGTGTTTCTCCTCATTAATGTCTACAGATGCGTCCAGAGTAGAAGATAAGAAGAGGGGATGGGGAGGAAGGAGGCGAGTTCCCTTTTGCGCGGGTTCCTCCCTCTCCGGAATTCTCCGTCCGTCATGTTCTCTCGAGTCCTGGTTCAGACCGTCCTGTTCCTCGGCCTGGTCTCTTCCTGCGCCGCCGCGCAAGCCGATGACAGCTTCGTCTTCTATGGATTTACCGGTGCCAATTTGACACTAAGCGGGCAGGCCGTACTCACCTCCGGCGGCCTCGTGCAGCTGACCAACGATACGGCGGAAGAGCAAGGCCACGCCTTCTTCCCCCTTCCTTTCCGCCTCAGAGACCATTCCAACCGCAACAGACCGCTGTCCTTCTCCACCAGCTTCATCTTCGCCATCGTGCCGAAGTACCCCGACGTTGGCGGCCACGGGATCACCTTCGCCCTCTCTCCCACCGTGAATCTCCCCGGATCCATGCCCAGCCAACACCTGGGCCTCTTGAACACCACCGACAACGGTAACCTGTCGAACCACATCGTCGCAGTCGAGTTCGACACCGTGAAGACGGTAGAGTTCGGGGACATCAATGCTAACCATGTCGGGATCGACGTCAACAGCCTGAACTCTGTGAACAGCACCGCGGCGTCGTATCTTGACGGCGGCACGTACAGGAACATAAGCCTCATGGGGGGAGGACCGCTGCGCGTCTGGGTAGAATACGATGGCTCGAGGATGAAGATGGAAGTCACGATTTCTCCAATGGAGGTGGCCCGGCCGAAAATACCCCTCCTCTCAGCTATCGTCAACCTCTCATCGATCGTTAAAGAAGAAACTTACCTGGGATTTACAGCTTCCACCGGGGCGGCAACAGAAACTAATTATGTTCTAGCTTGGAGCTTCAGATTGGATGGGAAGGCCGAAGAACTCGATCTCTCCAAGGTCCCAAAGCTTCCAGCGAAGGACAAACCAGGGCGGGAACGATGGCGGGTAGTGTTGCCTATTGCGCTGCCTTCAGCCGGAGTTTTCGTTCTCCTCATAGTCATCGCCATGGTGATCTTTGTCGCAAGGAGGAGGAAATTCGCAGAGGTGCTCGAAGACTGGGAGCAGGAATACGGGCCTCAAAGGTTCTCGTATAGGGATCTTTACAGAGCGACGAGAGGCTTCAGCGAAGAACAGGTGGTGGGAGTTGGAGGGTTCGGCCGGGTCTACAAGGGCGTACTCCCCTCGTCCAAGGTGGAGGTCGCCGTGAAGAAGATCGCCCACGAGTCGCAGCAAGGGATGCGGGAGTTCGTGTCCGAGATCGCGAGCATGGGGCGGCTCCGCCACAGAAACCTGGTACAGCTGCTCGGTTACTGCCGGCGGCAGAGGGAGCTCCTCCTGGTCTACGAATTTATGCCAAACGGCAGCCTCGACAGGTACCTCTTCGGCTCGGGCAGGCCGAAGCTCAGCTGGGAGCAAAGGATGAGTATCGTGAAGGGCGTGGCTTCCGGGCTCCTCTATCTTCACTGCGGGTGGGATCAGGTGGTCGTCCACCGGGACATCAAGGCCAGCAACGTCCTCCTCGACGGCGACCTCAACGGGAGGTTGAGCGACTTCGGCCTGGCGAGGCTCTACGACCACGGCACCAACCCTCACACCACCCACGTCGTCGGCACCTTCGGCTACCTCGCTCCGGAGGTGACCAAGACCGGCAAGGCCACCACGATGACCGACGTCTACGCCTTCGGTGCCTTTCTCCTCGAGGTCGCCTGCGGCAGGCGGCCCATAAACATGCGCTCCTCCGGCGACGATTCCTTGCTCATTGACTGGGTCCTAGAGTGCTGGAAGAAAGGGGCCATCGCCGAGGCCGCGGACCCGGAACTGAGGAGAGGCGGCGGCGAGGAGGCAGCGGAGATCGAGCGGGTGCTGATGCTCGGGCTGTTCTGCTCCCACACCGATCCTATGGCTAGGCCGAGCATGAGGCAGGCGGTGCAGTATTTGGAAGGCGACGCACCGCTGCCGGAGATGTCCCCGGCCTGCCTCGACGCCAGCTCCTCCGCCTTCCGCCGGAGCGAAGGCTTCGACGAATTCGGCGTGGCGTTCCCATACACCTTGACAACGTCGTTCGGCCGCGACTCGTCCGTCGGTGAGTGGTTCTTCACCCAAAGCCGTTGACCGTTTAGTAGCGTAACTCCGGCAATACCCTCCCCCTCCCCCCTCCCTCTCTTCGACTTGTTCGAGCAAGGAGAGAACTGGCACGCATGATGACGTGATTAGATGCCAGTGCTTCGCGTTATATGACGTAATTTGTAAATATTTATTAATTCGATCTTGCATAGCTTTATCTCAATCATCTTCTATCCATAATTTTTGAAATTAATTGACGGCAGGGCAGCACACATTTCCTCATTCTCATTGAACTCAGAACAAATTGACGTGTATGTGATAATTAGACGCTTTAGCTTTCAGTCCTACGCCTCTTAGAGCATTAACCATCTGTATTATCTGTCTCTGTGGCCTGCCTGTATACCACACCACAGCCCATGGCGGTGATGTGGCGCTCACGAGTCTGCCTCTCGCTTTCGACTTTTGTCCGAAGTCACCTCAATCTCAGATTTCGAGACAAAATTAACACCGTACGTTTTTTCTTATGGCTTTCTCTCTCTTTTTCTCTCCCTCTCTCTAGTTGTCTCCCCCTCGAACCTTTTGCTGATGATAGATAGCGACGAAAGGAGAGAGAGAGAGAGAGAGAGAGAGAGAGAGAGAGAGAGAGAGATCAGCTGGTACAATCCATCCCCAAGAAACCGACCTAATCCTCGCTTTTATATCCAGATTGTGATAAGTTCTCCGTTTTCAGTTGAAGGATAAGGAATGTTTGAAAGGGTGAGAATCATAAGAACCCCTAGGCTAGCGTGTGATGGGACGTATTTTATTGCCCTTTTTCTGCATGTACGTCATCATTAATGCGTCATCATCCGTTTGCTCGGCTCGGAGTTAAAAGCCTGTGGGGATATCTGCAGAAGATCCCGACTCGTTGACTGGGGTAACGTCTCTTTTATGAGATGGTCAACGCGGCCAGCTACAGCGAGGCACCAGCCACGCGGCGGAGGACGTTCTGCCAGCTCGGGAGACGTCGGATGCGGCGCCTTGTTTCTCATCCTCCGAAGAAGAAGACGCCCACCCCCCCCGGCGGAGGTCTTAGTTTGCGTACGCCTGGAGTACTCTTTCGTTCGATCGTTCCTCTTCTCCCAGACCTGAAGAAGAGGGAAGGAAAAAGAAGACGATAAGAAGGGTGGAGGAAGACGACGAACAAGTGCAGATACGTCGACCGTAGTTGGAAAAATACCTTGATAAGGGCTGCCTAGGAGTGGGTCGGGCTGAGCAGAAGAAGAGGGCGGCGTCGGACGAGGGTTGGACGACAGTAGCGGCTGAGGACTGGCGGAGACCGAAAGGGGACGAGACCCTGAGGACGCGAGGCCTGGCCGCGGGTCTTTAGAGTCTGATCCCTCCCAGGGGATTTCAGAACTTGCGGGCTGCGGCTTGGTCGACCTCTCCGTAAAGAAAAGAGATGTAACGACGTCTTTCAGCTTCTCCATCCCCAGCTCTCCACCGTTGACACCCTTCCTCGGGCTCATGGCCTCCGTGATGACCTCGGAGAGAGCCTTGTCCTCCTCCTGCGGCTCGAGCTTAAGCAACAGGTACTCCTTCACCGAGATCCCTTTATCCCGTGCCTGATCTCCTGTCGCTGCCCTCGGACTCTGGATCGTGGAAGTCATCTCACGGTGGGTCTCCGTCACCATGGCGTAAGCCGGAGAAAGCACCCCCGTGGCAGCCTTGGTGGGCGAATTACTGCCGCGGTCCTCGCCGACGGGGTATCCGGGGATCTTCGTGGACTGCATCATATGCTTGTCTGCGACAAACGGCGGTGCCGAATCCGAATCCTCTCTAAGGTTTCTGTCCTTTACATGACGACTATCATCAGGGCCTTCAGTGCCCTTCTCGGTGCGGTCTGCTGTAATTTCCGGCGGCGCAGGGGTCTCCCTATAGGAGACAGACGCTGAGGTCGACTCACACACTATGAGAAAACACGCAGATTCTCATCAAAAGATAAATCATAACAAAATTAAGCTAAAAGAAGCGGAGTTCGATCAGGGAGACTACTCGCGGCTCCGTGGTATTCAGGGTCTGGTCCTTCACCGTCGTGCTCGCCCAGTCCGGTGTCATACAAACGGTCGTCGTTGCCGACATTATGCCCCTGCTTTCTCTTAGAGAGTGTGCGCCTCCACCTCTTCGCCTTGTCCTTCACCTTCGCCAGTACTGACTTCTTCTCGTGTTGGCGGCCGTGCTCGTCCTCCTCACGCTCGGAGATCCTCGGGAACGCCCGGCTCCCCTGCGCGTCGCCCCCATCTTCGCATCCACGAGAAATCAATTCATGGACTCGCGCCATCTTATCTCTGAAATCTAACTCCAAATCTCAACAGGTTCTGGTCTCTTGATATTCTCCAGCAGAGGCCGTAATCCGGGGATTTAATGGCGGGGCTCGCCCATCGTCACCGCTCGCGAGGCGGGCTCTCCCCGCCTTGAGCGGTGCAACCCGAACACGGCGGCCGCGCCGCGCCGCTCAGCCAGCTCCTATCCCGCCGAGGCGCCGCGATCGGCCACGTTCCTCGCTCGTTTTCCCGTAAAATTGCGGAGCCAGAAGCCCCCGAGTTTTTCTCTCGTCTTTTCCGCCTCCTTCCTCCGATCATCCCTGTCTCTTTTCAGCTGAAACCGGACCCAGATCGAATGAAACAACCCGATCGAGAGAAAGAACAGGGCCTTCCAAAGGGGTTGTCCATGATTAAACCAAAGTCAAATGTTTGACTTTTAATGCTCAAGGATTAACGATTACATCTACTTCTTGAGGGCACTGATGTCATCAAACCTACATAATTCACATCATGACTATTCGATCGCCTGGTCATTCCTCGACCCAACTCCACCCGGGGTCCTTGAGACCTCTGACTGCCATCTGCTTCCGGAGCACTGCAGAAACGACCCCACGGACGCATTTCTGCAAACACGTTCGAAAGCATCACGTAGCTAGACGAATCATGAGGACAGAGCTCAAGAAGACGCCTCGCCGCGCGCGCTGCCATCTGCATATCCCCATGGACCTTGCACGCACTGAGCAGCGACCGGTAGATTGAAGGCTCGGGCTCCACGGGGAAAGCGTTGACCACTGATTCCGCTTGCTTTAGATAGCCCGCCCGACCGAGAAGGTCAACCAATGAGGAGTAATGTTACATTGTAGGACTCCTCCCCCGGTCTGCTCCCTCGATCATCAGGTTGAAACACCGGACGTCCTCGTCAACAAGCCCGACATGGGCGCAAGCAGAGAGTATGACAGATAGGTGGTCTCGTCCGGCTCAACTCCGTGGCTCCGCATTCTCTGAAAGAGCTCCAACGCATGGCGCGCATGCCCGTGCCAGGCGAAGCCGGAGATGATAGAATTCCAGGAGACCAGATCGGGGCTGCAAATGGCGGAGAAGGCGCGCTTCGAGTCATCGATCGCACCGCACCTGGCGTACATGGCTACAAGTCCGTTTTGAACGTAGTTGCTCGAAGAGCACCCAGTTCTGATAACCAGCGCATGGGCCTGCTTCCCTTCTTCCAGTGCTGAACTGCAGCCGGCAGCCCACAGGAGGCTGGCGAAGGTATAGAAGTCGGCGTCCATGGATCCACGCCTCATTCTGATGAACTGCCCTATGGCTTCCGCCAAATTTCCCAGGTGGGGGAAGCCTGAAATGATCGAATTCTGCAGTACCTGATCCCCGGACAGATCAGCATCAAGAAGCTTGAAGTAATCCTCTGAGCTGTCACATCTGGAGTACATATTTATCAGCGCCGCGGAGACATAGGTATCAGCTTCCGTGCCCTGCCTGATCGCCAGGGAGTGAATCTGCCTGCCCGAGTCCAGGCCGTCGCGTCCCGTAAAGGAACTCAGGAGGCCGCTGAAGGTCACCTCATTGGGTGCAACGCCCGCAAGCCTCATCTTGTTCAGCGACACCATGGCCTCTTCGAGTCTCTGGTGCGCGCTGTAACCAGTGATCAGGGAGGTCCAGCTGACCAAATTCCTCTCACACGTTTCATCGAACAGCTTCCGTGAATCAGCCATGGTGACGGAGCATTTAGAGTACATGTCCACCAGAGAAGTCGCCACGACAACGTTGGAGCAAAACCCGTGCTTGACGGCTACGTAGTGTACCATGGCTCCCGTCGCCTCGTACCCCAGGGAGGAGCCGGCGAGAAGAACGCTGGAGACGGTGAATGGGCTCGGAGAGACACCCGCCGCGATCATCTCCACGAAGAGTCTCATGGAGATGGCAGGAGATCCCGCGGATCAGGGAGTTTCAGGCGACGACATTCCGCGAAGTCATTTCGCCAAAGAACTGGTGGGCGTCAGCCATTCTCTTCGACTTGCAGTAAGAATCGACGAGGGCGCTGGTGATGAATATATTGGAGAGAAGGCCCAGCTTCACGACGGTGGAGTGGACCGCGACGGCCGCCGATGGCGAGGAGGATTTAGCGGATGCAGAGATGAGTCTGACGAAATCATAGGCCACAGCTGCGAGAGGAGAAGGGGAAGACTGTTCACTCCCAGAGAAGTGGCCGCAATTTCTCTCCGAGAAGCAAACTAGGCGGCGTTTCACAGCACAAGCTGCAGGTGGCGGCGGCGGCGCCGCCAGAAGGCGGCCTCCCTGAAGAGGAAACGGCTCGCGTGGCATCCTTTAAAGACGGACATTTTCTCTGGCTCACAGCCCATCGCCATCCGATGATCCCATCATCCACCGTGACGCCCTGTCCAGTGGCGGACTTCCTCGGTGCCCATAAGCTTCCTGCCTCAAGGCGGACGAAGCGGGCGCCGCGGCTTCAGATCTCATCATCTATGAGTCAACACGGCGGGTAGGCCCAGCCCGGAAGTGTTTGAAATGTAAAAGGCTCACTTGTGAGTAACGTAGAAGAGACTTGAAGCCACCTCCTTTCCTTATTCTCTGAGTATTTTCCAAAATACTGTTGAATCATTTATGCTCGTTCGGTACTATGTTTGAAAGCCCATTCGTTGTCTTATTTCCCAATTTAATCACATGTTTCTGAGTTGGTTTCTATGTATATTTCAATGAATGGAAATGATTAAATTATGAGATTGAATAGTTTATTATTTCTAGAGAATTATGAGTTCAAATGCTTGTTCTAACTCATGCTATAGTGATGTAGAATTTGGGGTTGAGTAATCTTACGATGAGATGATGGGTTAGGTATGAAAAAAAAGAATTAAAGAAGCTTATCCCCTTCTCTTCTATCCTACCCTGAGTGAACCGATTTGGTCCGGCAGAAGGGGTAGTTGGATCGTGTTAAACCAGACGGGTTCAGATCTGCAGGTCTCAGTGTCACGATGAGGAGGTCGTTCGGGTAAACGGGCGAAGGGAGCAGCGTTGGTTGGGAAGAAGACGGCGGTGGTGGTGGCAACGGCGGCGATAGAAGGCAGAGATGGCAGCGATAGAAAGCGGAGACAACGGCGTCGATGATGGTGGAAGGTTTCAAGGATTGTGACAACGGCGGAACGGTGGAGGCAGAGGTAGGGACGGTGGTAGTGGTGGAATGGGCGTAGGAGGGGTAGGGATGGTGGCAACGGCGACAGATGGTGTTGGCGGAAGACGGAGATGGTGGCAGTGATGGTTAGAGATGGTGGCAATGGACGGTGCAGCGGGAATGGTGGCAACGGACAGGTATGGTGGTGCCGGCGATGGTAGAAGAAAGTGTGGGCAGCGAAGGCGGGATGTGGTGGTGAACAGATGGTGGCTTTCATGGCCTCTCCTTCACGGAGCAAAACGGGTAGCTTCTCTTGAACTCTTCTCTGCTCTCGTACCAGGTTTACGAGAGGGAGGTTATCAACGCGAGTGCTCATTAATCCTTGAGAGCTAACCCGTCCACATAATGTCCTTCAAACTTCCTTTTTTAATCGACTTTGCGACGTCGAGAAACCTGGCCGTTTTATACCTTCTCGGCCGATGGGGCTCGTCCACCGTCTGCTACAGCGGCCCAACCCGGTGCTGTACGCTCTTGTACAAACCGCTGCTTCACACTTGAAAGATCATGAGCTTCATTTCACCATGAATTTGAAGGAAAATAATGGGACAGAGACCCAGAGAGAATATGCTGATTTTTGGGAAGAATGGCCGAAGGAGGAAGAGAGGAGAAATAGAGTTAGTGCACAAGAAAACCCTAGAAAAATATGAAACGTCTTAAAAACTTTTCTTCACGAGGGGGGAGAGAGAGTATCTATAATAATTAACTACCTCATGTGAGCTAACCCTTTTTGGCCCATTAAAGACAGTAAAGCCCAATAAAAATAAAACACCTAATAAGGACGAAATAATATCTTTTATTTTTGAATTAAATACCAACACTCCCCTCAATGCAGAAATGTCTCAAACCAAGAATTTCTCTAAACTTGATAAACTTTGAGTAACTTAATGTCTTTGTAAAGACATCTATCACTTGATCTATTATTGAGTAAAATTTTATCTCTATATAATTTTTAGTAACTAAATTTTGAATAAAATGATGTTGTATTTAAATATATTTTGTTTTTCTATGATAGACTATATTATTTGTCATAGAAATAGTTGAATGTTGTCCCAATAAATCACCTAGGGATTGATTGTGAAAATTTGACATCATGTAAGATTCTCCACATCTATATTATTTGTTGAGCAACTATTGATGTAGTAATATATTCAACTTCTTTAAATGATAATATAGTAGATTACTACTTTTTAAAAACCCATGAGATTGCACTTGAGCCAAAATTAAAATTAAATTCACTCATACTTTTCTGTCATCAACTGAACCTACTTAATCACTATTTGAATAATTGGAAAAATTAAATTCAGAAACATAGTGATATAAAATTTTATAATTAATAGTCCTACGAATATACCAAATTATTCTCTTTATTGCTCCAAGATGATCAAGTATGAGTAAATACATAAATCTTAAAATCATATTGACTAAAAATAATATATATAGTCAAGTATAAGTCAAATACATTAACCTAACAATCAAACTTTTATAAAAATATTCATTCATTTTTGCAGTCACATTATCAAGATTTGAATGATTTGAATGATTTGAAATCACATACATATTTTTCTAATGAAATAAATATACTATAATCATTTTGAATGATTTGAAGTCTAAAAAAATAATAAAGTAATCCTAAATCTGTTGTATTAAATTCAACCATCATACAATTCTTGAAATTTAAAATTAGTGACAAAGAAGCTTCAATATATATAATATCATTAATATAAACACATACAATCAAAATATCTTTCTCTTGAGTTTTAATATAAAGTGTTGCCTCATTATCACTTCTATGAAAATGATGCTTAAGAAAATATGAATCAAGTCTATTGTACCATGCTCTAGGTGTCATGGAGGAAGCAGCGGTGTAGCAGACTCACAAGGGGCAACATGCACCTGCAACAGGGTAGGCTCATGTGGCAAGACGAGCACATAGGATGTGGTGGATGCATGTGGCACGGTGGGTGCGCTTGGCACGGTGGGGGTGCACGGCACAATAGGTGTGCACAACAAGGCGGGCGCACGCGTCACGATGGACGTGTGCAGCATGGTGACAAGATGTGACATCACAAGACCCAAGACAAAATGGGTCCCCAGACACATGGAACCCTTGTAGGAGGAGAAAGACTAATACACTCGCGTGATATGCAGGAACGTAGTCCTAATGGACATAGTGGATGCCGACAGGTTGGATGATGTCTGGGTAGGCAGAATAGTTAGTGGGTAATCTCAGCTAACTACAACTCAGGTATAATGGCTACTCCAAACCCCTTGTAACTGAGGTAGGTGGGGAGTGTGACGAAAGGAAGTACCCTTTGTGAGTTTTATTGAATATTCAAAGGGCTAACTAGAGAGCATACCTTAGCTATCCAATGCTACATCTCACCTAAGGTGTAATAATGGTATCAAAGCCATGTGAGAAAGGGAGCAAGGGTCACATACTGTGTGAGTAGAGTAGGAACTATAGTCCGCACGAGAGTCCTTCTAGGTGGTCGAAAGGGCGTTCGAAGGAAACATGTCTAAACTCTACAAAATGATGGCCCGGTGAGAAGAATACTCAAATGAGAGACAAAAGCAATTGAAAGAACACATCTTGTTGACAAATAGGAAGGTGGATGAGCTTCAAAAAAAATCTATGAGCAATACACTAGGAAAGGAACCTCCCACGACAAAGGAACACTTCAGAGCCTTCAACGAGTGATTTCGCCAACATGAGATTAACCCCTAAATGGGGGGTCAAAAGAGAATTAGACTTCCCTCACCTAAGCTGTTCTCCGGCCAAAGAGATATGACCAAGGTGGATGCCTTCTTGTGAGAGGTAGAGAACTACCTCATAGATTATGACTACATCGACGCAGAACGTCTTGAGATCGCTACACAATTCCTTGAAGACTTAGTAGCCCTATGGTGGAGGGTGAAGGGAGGGAACATGCTAGAGACATGGGAGGACTTCAAAACCTCACTCGCGTGATATTTCAGACTCTTGACTTAGCTATTTGAAGTGGTGTCCAAGTTAACAATACTGAAGTAAAGTGGCTCCACATGAGAATGTGCAGAAATTTCTGACATTGATGCTTGACATCCTAATAATGCCTGAAGAACTTAGAATATAATTTTTCCTAGTTGGACTACAATTGTGGGCAAGGAGAGAATGCCTCAGATATCATGCCACCACCTTGGAAGAAATGTGTAGGATTGTTGAGAGCCTTGAGGACTACCAACACAGCCAACCCTCCTCAAAAGCTGCACCAAGAGGCTGCAGGGGGCGACACAACTAGAGAAATGGGCAGCAAAGATAAGGAGGAGGATGTACAAGCCTGATGACTCAGACACTACCTGACCCAACTCTGTCCAAAGACACTAAGAGATCATATGAAATGGGCTACTTCAATTGTAGGGGACCACATAAGAAACATGACTACCTAAGTTTCAACAAGAAGCCACAATTGAACATTATCCAACTAAACAATGATGAGGAGGAAGTTGAAGAAGGCATCAATCTTTTGAAATCATCATCTCTTGCAACCAACAAAAGGGCAATAATGAAAGATATTGGTGTATGTCAAGGCCCAAATTGATAAAGAAATAATTGCAGCAACAGTAGATAGTGGCATAACATGCAACTTCATTTCTTTGGAAGAAGCTCAGAGAATCAGTCTCAAGGTGAAACCCACCAAGACGAGATTCAAGATTGCAAACTCCTCTATGCGACCACTTGTGGGAGTAGCAAAGGAGATGCCAAAGCCCAAAAAAGGAACACACACAAGAGTCTAAAATGGGCCCTCCTTCCAATTGGACCCAAAAGAGAATGACCCAAAAGAGAAGAGAGGCGAGGAAAAGAAGGATGCCCTCTTCTCCAATTGGGCCTAAACATGTATGACCCGAAAGGAGAAGAGAGGAAATAAAAGAAAACAAAAGAGAAATGGGCCTTCCCATCCCCACCATGGGACCAACACGAACCTTAGGGATGGGAGGCCCCACATGGAGCAAAACTAGAATCCACACAGTTCACGAACAAGGGAAACGAGCGAAGGAAAAACATAAGACGTGAAAAATACAAAGGCACCTCAAGCTGTATAGTGGAATCCGGGGTCCTTCATCTTCACTCGTGCTCCTTGATTTGGCTGGATACGTGAGGGTGAGGTCTCCTCTATCACCTCGAGCTTGTGTAGTGGTGGAGATGGGTCCCATTTGCCACCAAATATAGCGTGGACTGCATTACTCAATTTGCACCTTCTTTCTCTAAATTCATTTTTTATGGACTAGGGACAACGTATAATTAAGTTGGACGGTGAGAAGATAAGTATCTTGTAGTATGCACTCACAATATTATGAATGCACATATTTTTGAATTTATCTTGTAGATGTATTATAAAAAGACTCAATCAAAACATCACAATTTGGATTGTCATATTGTTTAATCTCCATACTCACAAACTTGTCTTCATTAATTGAGTCTTAAAAAGAGAGATCATGTTGAGTAGTGTTTTACATATTCATGAACACGAGTTGGTAGTAAGTAAATTTAATTATATTTTTTAATTTAAAGTACTTTTATTATTGTCATAGAACTAGTTCAAGCTACTTGAATTTTTAGTTAAGAATATCTTATGATTTAGATCACGAGTTGAAGGAAGATCACTCAACACTTTTATGCTCATATAGAAATTAGTAGATTATGAGCCTCCAAAGAATGAATATCTACATTCAAACTTTCAGCAAACATTTGGAGAAAAGTCACCTGCTATTACAAAACAAAGAAGAAAGAATAAAGAAAAAAAACGGGGGGAGGGTTGTCGTGTAAAGTGAAGCTCAAATGCAAATAAAAGAAGAATTTTCCTTCTTGTCCTGTGGAGCTTTCACATGTAAGACTTGGATAAGTATTACTTTATTTTAAAAAAGCTACATGCACAACACATGAGTCATACTCAATAAGTTGTAGTGATTTGAGTTAACTCAAAATCGAAAATCCATTGGTGATATTTGGCTAGTAGATGAATTGATGACTAAACAATTCAATTGTTAAGATTGAAAAAAATGAGCAAACTTGAACTCTACTTGAACATTAGTTCATGAATGTCTTAACATGAACATGTGAAACTCTCTGATGAAGATTTGTGAAATGATAGACAAGTTAGTTGATGTGCGAGTGAATGTCAATATGAATTTTTGTTGAATTACCATGTAGCACTTGAATTATTTTCTTATTAAGAGTCTAGTAATAACTCAAGTTGGGGGGTGTGATAACATGCTGACTATCACACAAAAAGCATAAGAATTATTTTATTCAAGAGCTTAGATTTTATAATATAGTATATTATCATATTAAAAAAGTAAATATTTATTATTTCATGAAGTTTAATATTTTAGAGATTATTTAAAAAAATTCTCTAAGTTTTACAGTCATAATTATTTTTTTTTATAAATATGAGGTAATTTCAAGATTTTTTTTATATCTTTTTATGATTTTTAGAAGTCAATATATGCTTCTACAGATGAGATTCGATATGTAGAGATGAGACAACAAAATCAAGGGACGAGGCACTAACACATGACATCACCAAATGAGGAGATCAAAAGTGAGAGTGTCTACATAATCAACGATAGATGGAGTGTATGTACCAAGGGTGCAATGGATCTCAACATTAAAGAAGATCCTACAACTATGACAAGATCTCTAAATCTACACTTCAGATAAACTCGAGAGGAAATTGACTCTAGTCTCATCTTATCACAACCAAAAAGATGGAAATACCCTCACCTAATCACAACCCTAGATCAGATGATCTCGGATGAACCAACACATAAGAAGTCAAATATCAGCTCTACACGTGTACTCTCATACACTCACGTAAACCCTTACACATTTAAGCTGCCGTTTAGGGAAGGAAAACTTAACTTCGAATGTCCCGACATTTAATTGACTTGAATGAAATCACATTTAAGTTCCACATCAATCTTGATGTGTTCTGAATTGATTCAAGTTTTGGTTTGCAACTAAGATCGTCAAAGAAGCATATTCGAAGAAGAAATTATCTAGCCTTGATGAAATATAGAGGCATGAGGTAAGTTTCTCCAAGTCTAATGCATTCTAAGTGTGAACAACCATCTAGCATTTGTAGGTTTGAATAGATAGAGGTACGTTATTAACTTTGTATTATGATTCTTTTGTAAGTGTTTTCTCCTCTTAATCATCTTTGGCATCATTAAATTGTTATTTTTCTTTTTTTTATGGTAATGTTCCTTCTTATTTGTTGGCACATCTTCTTCTTCTTCCAGTTCATCTCATCTAAATCTATAAATTAAATAGAATGGTAACTACTTAGCCCCTAATTCTCATTCCATGTGGATCTACCATAGAATTATCATAATACTTACCTTTTTAGTATTTTAATTTGGTAAATTCACGATTCTAAATATTCTTGATCAATTGATTTTAGGGTGCTTCAAAAACCCTTGATTTCGTTCAATCATGGGGTGGAGCCAACATCTAATTTTTAGATGTGATTAATAAAACATAGCTATATTATTTGATGTATTTAATAAAAAAAGGACTATTCATTTATAACTCTCAATTAATTTTCAATTGAGTGATAATTTCTTTTCTTATATAAATGTTTCTCTCTTTTACATGGCAACTATCATTAGGGCCTTCAATGCCCTTCATGGTGCAGCCAACTGTAATATATGGTAGCTCAACTATTTCCTTATTAGAGACATGCTTCAAGGTGGATTTTGAGAAAAGATAAATCATATAAAAATTAAGCTAAAAGGAGCAAAGTTAGATCAGGAGACTACTTGGGCTCCATGATATTCAGGGTCCAATCCTTCACCATCATGCTTGGCCCATGTGATGTCATGGAATCAACTATTGTTACTGACTTCTTTTAGAAAGTGTGCACCTTCACCTCTTTGCATTGTCTTTGGCCTTTGCAAGCAACAACTTCTTCTTGTGGTTGGGGTTGTGCTTTATGTGGGATGGGTGGACTAAACTACTTTACTAGTAGCGTAGACTTGACATGCATTAGATCTATAGAATCTAATAGGGTTGACTAGGGTAGGGTCGTGTTCCAAGATTTGAAATGATCGACTCAATCAAGGAATCATTAGAGATTATGGAGCTCCACTTTTAATAATTTGTTAGGTGTGCTAAATCAAGTGGGTACTTTCTATACTATCACCACTGAATATAGATAAAAGTAATCTATCTAGGTTCACTCAATGATAATGTTGCAAGATAATATGCTAAAAAAGTAAATAACCCAAATACAAAAAGAAATAGAGTTTAGAGATAAACTTATCATAAGAATAGGTGATTGAAAACTGATGGAGGATCACAAGGTGAACTTAGGTCCCACTTAGTGGATAGTTGACTTAACATTGACTTTGACTATATTTGACCTGGCTGTGGGTGGACAAGCTCGAACCAGATGAGGCAGATTGGCATGGACGGATTAGGTGGTCCGGAATGGTTTAGACCGGTATGATGGACTGGTACGAACTGATGATTAGAGATGATTCGGACCGTAATGCCGGGTTGCCTCAGGCTAGGTAGTCGAGCCGATTAGGGGTGGGCAAGAGTATTTGCCATCTGCTTCCGGAGCACTGTCGAATGGCCCCACAGACGCATTTCTGCGAACAAGTTCGAAAGCAGTACGTAAGTAGATGAATCATGTGGGCAGAGCTCAAGAAAACGTCTCACTGCGCACGCTGCCATCTGCATAGCCCCGTGGGCACTGAGCAGCGACCGGTAGATCGAAGGCCGCGGCTCCATGAGGACGGCGTTGACTAATGATTCTACTTGCTTTTGGTAGCCCGCTCGATCGAGAAGGTCAACCAATGAGGAGTAATGTTCCATTGTTGGACTCCTCCCCCGGTCTACTCCCTCGATCATAATGTTGAAACACTAGACGCCCTCATCAACAGGCCCGACATGGGCGCAAGAAGATAGCATGGACAGGTAGGTGGTCTCATCTGGCTCAACTTCGTGGCTCTGCATTATCTGAAAGAACTCCAATGCATGGCGCGCATGCCTGTGCCGGGCTCAGCCGGAGAGGATACAATTCCAAGAGACTAGATCGGGGCTGCAAATGGCAGAGAAAGTGTGCTTTGAATTGTCAATCGCGCTGCACCTGGCGTACATGGCCACAAGTCCGTTTTGAACATAGTTGCTCAAAGAGCACCCAGTTCTGAGAACTAGGGCATGGGCCTGCTTCCCTTCTTCTAGTGCTGAATATCTCCAGGAAGTAAACTAGGTGGTGTTTCAGGTTACGAGCTGCGGGCAGTGACCCCCCAACCAGGAGGCAGCCTCCCTAAAGAGCAAATGGCTCGCATTGCATCCTACAAAGAGGACATTTTCTCTCGCTCACAGCCCATCAACATCTGACTATCCCGTCATCCACAGTGACTCCGTGTCCAGTGGCAAACTTCCTCGCTGCACATAAGCTCCCTACCTCAAGGTGGATGAAGCGACGCTGTCCATCGGCAGTGCTGCTTCATATCTCATCTTCCATGAGCCAACACTGCGAATTGGGTCATCCCGGAAGGGTTTGGAATATGAAAGGCCTAGTTGTTGATAATGCAAAGGAGACATCAAGCTACATTCTTCCCTTATTCTCTAAACATTTTCCTAAATATTGGATCATTTATGCTCGAAAAGCCGTTCGGTGTCTTATTATAACGCTGCTGATTTGTTGACCTGTTCAAAGACGACTGCAAGATGCACGGGCCGACTACCCTGTAGTGAATAGGTTCTCCCTTGGGGCTAACTAGTTTATGATCCAATATTTAGTAAAATATAGTGAGAGACTTGGCATTTTAGATGTCGACTATAGTTTTTTCTCTAAAGTCAACTAAAATACCATCACAAAAATAGATGCACCATTTTTCACATCACCTTAGTATCTTCCTCGCTCCCTCTCCCATTCAAATCCACATAGGGAAAGCTTGGACTATCTAGCTGACCATAGGACTATTGCCATAGCAAGGATTGTTTCTAATTTGCCCTAATGACTATAAGATTTCAGTATGTTTACCTTCCATCTCTCTCATTCTTTGTTTTTTTTTCATTACCCTATCAATCCTCATCATCTCTAATCTTGTGGCAATAATTCTACATACAACTGAAAGCATGCAGTTGACTCTAGGTTTCAGCGGCCCCCGCCAACTCATGTGGCTTGAAATTGCCAACACTATAGGAAGAACAGGAGCGGAATAAACTATCAATCAATCGCCATCTTCGTCAAGAATTATGCAGGATAAAATAAAGTGGGAGATCCGGAGTATGGAATACCTCACCCTATTAAATTTGGCATGTTAAATGCTGACGATAAAATATTGGCTATAGTCAGCCATAAACGGCCACCACAGAAATAGACGCACGTTTTTATGTCGGCAATGTAGTTGTTGACTTTTCCTCAAAAGAGAAAGGGGACGGCGACTCTCTCTCCCTCTCTCTCTCTTTCTTTCTCTCTCTCTCAATGTTTCAAGTTACACTAAATTCTGTCAATGTTTCATTAGATTGTGCCCCACTGCGGAATATTTGTTTGCATTCGAGAGAATGTTCAGAGTATATCGCCTCAAGATATTTCTTTCGATATAATTTTAACGTGTTGTTTAATTTCGTTGCAGATCGTAAAGTATGGGATCAACGAGGAGGTCATACGGCAGACGAGGGCGGCCATGTCTGCCTTCTTTGACCTCCTGATTGAAGAAAAGAGGAGGTACGCCATTGGGGAGAACGATTTCCAAGGGTACGGGAAGGGGTCGTCATGTCTGAAGAGCAAAAGTTAGACTAGACCGACATGCTGATCCTGATCACACAACTAAGCAAGAAGAAGAGTCTCAAATTCTGGCCGACCGTAGTGCCACGTTTCAAGTAAGAACGAGAGAAAATCAAACTAACTATTGTGGCTTAGTCAAAAATCTAAATTACACTACTGCCAATGCTCTGCAAATCGATCATACTGGCCTCAGAGGACACGGGTTTCTAACTTCTTCTCCCCTCTTGATTCCAGGGACGCCCTTGAGGCATACTTAGCAGAGCTAGATAGGGTCACCAAGGAGCTGCTCGGAAACCTTTCTCGGTTTATGAACATGGAGGAGGACGGCCTGCTACAGTTGCATGGGGACTTGACGCAAATCACAAAAATAGGTCACTACCCACCTTGCTGCCAGGCAGACGAAGTCCTGGGGCTGAGCCTGCACACCGACAAAGGTACCATCACGTTTCTCTCCCAAGACGATGACGTCACGGGGCTACAAGTCAGGCACGACGGCATGTGGATCCCCGTCAAGCCGATCCCAAATGCATTTGTCATCAACCTCAGCGACACCATTGAGGTATCCATCTCCGAGCTTCCCTAGTGGCTAGTTCTATGTTCTTACAAGCCTAAAATATCACCCTTTTTATGTGCCCATCTCTCCACACGTATTTGCGTATAAGCCTACATGTCGAGAAGATGACGGAAAAATTCATGGTGAAATGAAGCTCATTCCACTGAATCTTGCAGGTGTGGAGCAACGGTCTGTACAAGAGTGTACAGCATCAAGTCGTCACAAACAGGGAGAGGGCGACAATGTCCATCGGAACTTTCATTTTTCCGCACAACGACGCGAAGGTTGGCCGCTGGAGCAGATGGTGGACGAGCCTCATCGGCCGAGAAAGTATAGAATGGTCAGGTTCCTCGACGTCATAAAGCCGCTTTATTAAAGGGAGTTTGAAGAACATTATGTGGACGCGTTGGTTCTTAAAGATTAATGAGCACTCGCGTTGATAACCTCCCCCTTGTTTCCAAAATAGGTTAATAAGGGTTCTCAGTATCTTTATGCACTCTCGTGTAATATGATTATGTATGAATATCGATTATATTGTGGGAATATAAAAACCTTGTACTATCCTCGTAAGATGCGGGTGAACTTCCCCATCTTATCATCAATTTATCACTATCTTAAGTCCTCAGATTGCCCTCCAGTACACGCTAGAAGCGTCGTTAAATGTGTATTTCCATTAACCAAGGTGCTCGAGGCAATGGTGACGGATTCTCCTAGTACATGCAAAGGAAAGTCCTGGTTGAGAACAATAGTACAAAAATATAAAGCATGGTCAGTGGATGGAGGTGGATGGTGATTGTCGAACCAGTAGACACCATGATCGTCGGAGAGAGAGAGGGTAGCCCTTGGTAGAAGGGAGTCATTGCTCTTGTTCAAAGAGAGAAAAAAAGAAGAAAACATTAGCTTAAATCACGACCTACTTAGTAGCTGGTCCTTACACAGTCGTAACTCAAGTGAGTTGGATTCAACGGTCAGGTATAACTTATACCAACATGTGTATCTGACTCACTTAGAGAGAGATGGAGATAGATGAACATAAACAGAAAATTAAATAAGGTACAACTATTATTTTCCCTTCTTTGACATTCTCCATCAAGTTTGTGAATGAATATTAGACAATCCTAGATTGAAAGTCAATCTCTAAAAAAGAGGTCTACTTAATTGTTTGATAAGGATATCAACTAGCTGGTTATGTATTGGCATATATGGCATACATATATCTCTACTATCTAGATTTTTCTTGATGAAGTGTCGATTGATCTCTATGTACCTGATTCAATCATATTGTTTTAGATTGTGGCCAGTACTTGTAGTTGATTTGTTGTCACAATACAACTTAATTGTCTCGTGTAGTTTGACTCTAAGTTCTTCTAAATACCTGTCACTTACAAAATTTCACAAATTCCTTGTGACATGGTACTAAATTCTGATTTTGCACTAGAATGAGTCACCACTTGCTGTTTTTTGGTCCACCATGTGATAAGGTTCCCTCTGAGGAATGTACAATATCTTGAGGTTAATCATTGATAAATAAAGGAACCTACAAAATCAACATAACTATAAACTTCTAAATCCACATTATCATTCTTCTTAAATAAAAAGTCATTTATGATAGGTTTCCTTCAAATATTGAAGAACTCTATCAAAAATTGATAGATGAACTTCTCTAAGGTTATGCATGAATTGACTAAAGACTTCTAGTGAGTATGAAATTTCAGGTTGAGTATGTGAGAAATATGTTAACTTTCTCACAAGATGTTGATATCTTAATATGTCAATGGGATAACTTTCTTTTGCCTCTCCAAATTTATGGTTCAGATATATAAGAGTAATCATAGGTTCACATCCTAGCTTTCTTCTTTCTTTAAGAATATTAGTGATATATATTTTTTGGGATATAAAAATTCTTTCTTTGGAATGAGTGACCTCTATGCCAAGAAAATATTTCAGCTTTCCTAATGCCTTAAGATCAAACTCCTTTAGTAAAAACTTACTCAAATAATCTTTATCCTCTATTCATTTCATGTCACATTTATATCATCTACATATACTACGTGAGTAGTAATTCCCCCTAAAGGTGAATATTTAATAAATAAACTATGATCTCTATTACTCAGTTTATTTCTAATATCTCTCATCACCTTTGAAACAAACCATGCCTTTAGTGATTGTTTACATCAATGTAATGTCTTTTCAACTTACATATCACATCACTCTTCAAACTAAATTTTTATCCCTATAAAATATCTATATAAATTTCCTCATTAAGTTCTCCACATAGAAAAACATTCTTAACATCAAATTATTATATATATCAACTACAGTTGGCAGCTAATGAGAGTAAGATCCTCACAGTGTCTATTTTTTTCATTGGGGAAAATGTCTCTAGATAATCTATATCATGAGTTTGAGTATAACCCTTAGCAACTAATCTTATCATGTACTTTCTATGGTTCCATTCAGTTCATACTTAACTGTATAAACCCATTTGCACCCTACATGTTTTTTCCTTTTTGGCAACTTAATTAGTTCTCATGTCTACTTTTTCTCTAGCACTTTCATCTCTTAATCCATATCTTTCTTCCACTCTCAATGAGCTAATGCATAAGAGACATTTGATGGAATATGTGTAGTATTAAGTCAGGTAAAAAAGTTTTATAAGATGGTAAATAAATATATTATTTTTCCTTTATGAAGAAATAGGCAAGTTTTCTTGGTTATTTTCTAACACCGAAGGTTCACTAGTATCCACTTGACCACCTCCATTATCATGGGGTGTGGTAGGTGTAACCTCCTTCATGGTCATATGAAGGAGTTAAAGCTTTCTCTAAGGATAGTGTTGGCAACAAGAAGCTTCCAACTTCTTGTGTCTCATCATTCTCTTTTTGTAAGTTTCCCCCTCAATCAGATTATCTTGAATGTGAAAAAAGGATTCACATTCATTAAATGTTACATCTATGACACATAATTTCTTCCATGAAGGATGATAGTATTTATACCCCTTTTTAATATTTAAGTATTCAAAAAATATACATTTAATACTTTATTGTCAATCTTTCCTCTAGATGGATCTTGGTTGTAGACATGCTACACTTCCAAATATTTTAGGAGTTGAATTTTTCTGCTTGATAATAAGATGAGAGTACATTTAGTGGACTCTTGATCCCTAAAACCATTGTAGGTATATAATTTATGAGATGAGCAACCATTAAGATGGCTTGTCTCCAAAACATCATTAGCATCTTATTTTGAAACAAAAGTATTCTAGCAACTTCCTATGCCCATTTTCCTTTCAACTACCCCATTTTGTTGTAGGGTATTGACACATGAGGATTAATAGGGTATTTAGATTAGATAATAATACATATTATTTCAGTCATTTACATATAATTAAAATAATCTCTAGTATTATCTGATCTAAATACTTTGATTGTAGTCTAGAATTAATTCTTAATTAGTGCACAAAATTATTGGATAATTTTATTAACTTTAGACTAATGGTTCAATAGATAAATCTATTTAATTCAAGAAAAGTCATCTTAAAATGTAACAAGCCTTCTTACTCCTAAGATATTAAGAGTAGATGAGGTTCCTCACACATCACTATGAATGAGTGAAAATGGGATTGAGCTATGTGAGTCACTCATAGTAAGAGGTGCTCTCTTGTGTTTCACAAGTTCACACAAATCTCATTTAAAAAATATCAACCTTAACATTCAAAAATAACTTTGGAAAAATGAGCCTCAATATTTTTAATGATGAATCTCCAAGATGATGGTGATATGATAATAGTTCCTTAGGCACTTCTATTGCTACACCTCCACATCCCCATGATGATCATGAGTCTATTATATACATACATCTTAGGGTCCCAAGGTGATAGAGGCCGCCACATTTCTTAACACATCTAATCCTTTTGTTCATCACCTTGTTATATATGTCACATATATCACTATCAATAGTTACCTTACAATCTATATCATCTATTAACCCTTTGATTGAAATTAGGTTAGTAGAGAGTTTTATAATATGTAACACATTATTAAAAATACCCAATGAATAAATTCTAACATTGCATGTACCTATTATGAAGATCAAAGATCCATCTACAGTAGCAATGTTCTTACTTCCTAGGCAATAGTTATATGTTAATTTATTTTTTTAAGGTCTTAGTCATATGGTCATTAACTCCTATATCTAAAATTCATGATGTAGATAATGAATTACATATAGTATGTAATATAAAAGATCGAGGAGTCCCATTGAAGGAGCTAATGGAGTTGAATGTCATAGTTGATGTTAGCTTTTTGATCTTAGTGTTCAACTCTACTAGTATTCTACTAGTGTTTGCTAGATTTAGAAGACGTGATTGCTTTGATGAAGAATGAAGAAAGTAGAAGAACTCTTATGATAGAATCACTAATAGTGAATAACTCCGTGTTTGTGGTCAAATATTAGAAGTATAAAGGACAACTCAATCAAGGCACAAAGAAAGGTGACCATATACATAATCGATGGTGTACTTATTGCAAGAAGACAAGACGCACATGTGACAAGTGTTACAAGTTACATGGGAGACCTCAATTATGAGGTCAAGCGCTCAGTAAGATCTATGTTATTGTCTAATCATACTCAAAATTCAAATCCTTTAGAAATCTGTAGATTCTTTCAACCTATATATTCTTCCTTATGCAGTTAATTACTTTTAAAGTTTTGATAGTTATCAATATATCTATCAAATTCCAGGCACATAGATTCTAGTTCGTTTGTATACTCTCTAACTAATTTTCATCCCTATTTTAGCATCATAACTTGTGTAGTAATTTGATAAACTTGAGCTCCATTTAGTTTATTTGAAAAAGCCTTGTTCACTTTCTCCAAAGTATCTCTTTCAGTTGGGAGGAAGATATAATTAGCATTGACTTTTGAATTCATCAATAATTTACCATTTCCATTCATTGAAATATACATAGAAACCAACTTAGAAATATGTGATTAAATTGGAAAATAAGACAATGGACAGGCTTTTGAACATAGTACAGAATGAGCATAAATGATTCAATATTTATGAAAATACTTAGAGAATCAGGAAAGAACGTCAATAGTCAACTTTTGAAGAACTATTGATAGTTGACTATTGGCCATATGGTTGACTTTTAGAGTGATTGTAATAGTTGACTATTGGCAATTGACTCTTATAGTGAAGAAGGTGGAGCTGGTGGTGGTGATGACAAATAAATTGGTGGTGGTAGGTAAGGCAATTGATGGTGGTGATAGAATGGCGGAGTTCCAACCAAGAGGAACAAGGTCCTCTCGATCAACCTTATCAGGGCGCAAGCTATCATGACCAACCCTACTCTAATCACTCCTACAAGTGGAGCAAAAGGGGTGTCTTCTTTTTTTTTTCAAGATTGAGTTCTCCCTCTAGGACACCAGATCGGGCCATATAAAGGCTTACATGAAAGAAAACATATAATGGGCTCAATGGGCCCACAATGGAAAATGGGTCCATTAGTAGTATATGAACTCTTTGGAGTTAGGACAAGTTCGTCGGTGCCTAGATTTGTGGTGGGGGCTTCATGGCCTACATCAGACTGGGCCTGGCTTAGTTTGCCTATTGGGTCTCACCCTGCATCACTATGTGTGTAGAGAGAGAGAGAGAGAGAGAGAGAGAGAGAGTGAGAGAGAGAGGAGTTGCCACCCCCTTCCCTCTTATGTGGATTAGCTTATCTTGACTGTGTGATCGGCAAGGTATGCTAGGGACACTAAAAAATGCATCCATTTCCATGGGGGTCGATGATGAAAAAATTTAGTGGTCAGCTCTTAGCATGACATATATCATTTATTTCTAGAAAAGGGGGAGGTATTATATTCTCCAGATCCCTTAGTTTATTTTATTTGCTTGATGCTTAATCAATACCTTTTTTTGAGAAGCAGAGGGAAAAAATGTTTTGAGTTAATCAACCTGAGGGCAGATGAAGATAGCAATTGAGTTATTGGTAGTTTATTTCCTTCATTTTTCCTCTAATGTTCATAATTTTACTGCATGCTTTTAGTTGCAAGTCGAATGATTGCTGAAAGATTGAAGGTGATGAGGACAGGTAGGGTAATAGAAATAAATTGAAGAATGATAGCAATGGAAGGTAAACGAATTGAGATTTTGTTGTCACTAGGTGCAAATTAAAAATAATCCTTGCTATGGAAATAGTCCCATGGTCAGCAAGAAAAATTGGCCTTAACTTTCAAGTTGGATCATTTTCAAAACTAGATCCAACTAAATGACCTTTTTGTCTGAAACCCTTGAGCAATTGCTTCTATGTGATTTGTGCTCAATCCCTTGTATATGAAACATAATGATAAGGGCACAAAGTAAATCCAACTTTGGAACTATTATTATGACCTTCATAACGTGCACATTTAGTTTTAAACATTGTAATGTGACCAATAAAAAATAAGTAGGTCCAACCCAAGACGACCCTTGGATCAAAAACCAATTTAGAGTTATGTGATTAACTAACAAAAACTAATTGAATTATCAATAAAATAACATTAATTATATGGTTAAATATGTTAATTTATAGTAAGTAATACATGAAAATTTTGAACATAATCTACAAGGCCGACATTTGTTCCTTTGAGAGGCACAATTATCCTACTTAAACCTATTGATTTGAATTTATGAAAGGTGGATCCTTTGACCAAATATAAGTGTCTGTATGAACACATTTAGGATTCATGTCTCTCTCTCATCTCTCACTCCATCTATCTCTCTCCCTTTTTATTTATATCAGTTTTTCTCGTGTATGTGATCTCATATGTTTTCTTTAGATCATCAATTCAGGTTGTTGATCCGTGATTCCTCAGTGAATCAAGAAGGGGAGTGAATTGATTCTTAATATTTTTAATTATTATGATATTTTATCTCTTTAGTTTTTTTTTTCTTGGATTAAATATGACTCACTTATAATCTATATAAAAGGATAAAAGTTTGTTGAGCAGCACAATCTTGTGAGAAGGATTTAAGCTTACTAAAAAAGTTGAACGAACCAACCAACCACAGGTATAGGTCTTCCACTCAAGCAAACAACAAGTGCAAAATTGATGCCCTAACGCACAACAATTACTTAGGAATTGACTGAACTCACCACAAGAGCTGATTCTTTAATCAAGCACACCGCACTTGCCGAATAGTCACGCACATCACATGTTCTAAACTCGAGGGTAAGAGCCCCAGGGGTACTTAAACATACGGAACACAAATAATATATTAGAGTACCACGTGATAGTACAATGCCAACTAATGTAAACTTGATTTCGTTCCTTCTTTGTTGATACTTGGATGATGGGATCGTCGGATGGCGATGTCCGTCTCTGTAGGATGCCACACGAGCTGTTTGGTCTTCAAGGAGGCCGCCTTCTGGCGGCGGCGGTGGTGGCGCCACCTGCAGCTCGTACCATAAAACGCCACCTAGGTTGATTCCTGGAGATATACTTCAGCCACTTCTCTGGAAATGAAGAATCTTCTCCTCCCGCAGCTGTGGCCTATGACTTCATCAGACTCATCTCTGCATTCGCTAGATCATCCTCGCCATCGGATGTAGGCCTTTCCTTTTCCGTCGAAAGTCGACGACTACGTTCGCTTATCTTGACGGGGTGATCGGCGAGGTACGCTGGTGACATAAAAACGTGTGTGGTGGTCGATGGTGGTCTATTTCTGTGGTGGTCGACTGTAGTTGACTTTCGACAAAAAGTTAATGGTCATCGCCTAACATGCTAAATATCGTTTGCTTCTGGAATAGGTAGAGGTCTTTCATAATCCAGATCTCTCACCTTTCTTTTATTCTGCATATTGGTTGATCGATATCGTATTTTGAGAAGAAGGGAGGAAGAATGCTTTAAGTCAATCAACCGGACGGCAAATGAAGATGACGAGTGAGTTATTGATAGTTTATTCAAAGGGATCTTACAAGTGATTAGTGGAAACCCATCATTATTCTCTTCCCATCAGCCACCAGATTCGGTGTCAACTTATCAGTAGCACCAGGAAGCATCGAAATTGCGCTGTGTTTTTCCAACTGCACACCCTGGGTTCCCCCCTCAATGTCTGCCTCTTCGCCCTCATCTTCCTCTTCTCTCGCCATGGCTACAAGCCGTAAGAGAACCGTGAAAGTCAGATGGTCGGACTCTGCACCGTCCTTATCTGATTGTAGAGATTTACAGCCTCAGTGGAAGTCCCATTGTTGCCGAACCGGCGAAGCCCAGGCGAGCGTAGCCGGTGCCTAGGGAGTTCCACACTACCGTGCCTCTCTCGGTCGCCGCATCTGTCAGAAACTCGCCGGAGAGACGACGGCAGTTAAGACGTCGCCGGCGAGATCACCTCACGAGTCACAGGAAAAACAGAGCAGAAGAAAGTTTTCCTTGTTCCTCCTGCTGTGTTTTTTCCCTGTGACTCGTGAGGTGATCTCGCCGGCGACGTCTTAACTGCCGTCGTCTCTCCGGCGAGTTTTTGACAAGTGGTATTAGAGCTCCCAGGTTGCGGGGGCCGGGACTCGATCACGGCAAGGTACAGCCGTTGGAATCGAGAACGCGCAATCGAGACGCGCTATGGCAGGAGGAAAGGACGGCGTGGTCCAGAGGGTGATTCGTGAGGTGAGCGCCGGGACCGGGTTCCCAATGCTCACCAAGACCAACTACTCCGACTGGGCATTGCTCATGAAGGTCAAGCTCAGAGCCCGGTTGCTCTGGACCGCCATTGAGAAAGGGGGCGTCGAACCCCATGAAGACATGCAGGCGCTCGACGCGCTCTGCAGTGCCGTGCCGCCGGAAATGTGGCCGGTGATCGCAAATAAGGAGACGGCCAAGGAGGCCTGGGAGGCTATCGCCACCATGCGGATCGGCTATGACCGCGTAAAGAAGACGTCGGCTCAGAACTTGCGGCGGCAGTTCGACTCGGCGACGTTCAAGGAGGGAGAGTCTGTTGACGACTACGCCCTGCGTCTCAACAGCATGGCGTCGACTCTCACCACCCTCGGTGACAAGGTCGAAGAGACGCAGGTAGTGGAGAAGATAATCCGCAGTGTTCCCCAGCGTTTCAGGCAGATCGTGGTCGCGATCACGATGCTGCTCGACGTGTCGACGCTCACCGTCGCGGATTTGACGGGTCGGCTCAAGGTGGCGGAGGATGCCTTCGAGGAACCACCGCCGGCTATGCACCACGACGGCAAGCTGTACCTGACCGAGGAAGAGTGGGAGGCACGGCGGAGGAAGCGTGATGCTGAGAAAACTGGTGGTGGAGGTAGCAGCAGCGTGACGCACCGTAGCAGACATGGGCGCGGGCGCGGGCGCGGCCGTGGCAGCAACAAGGGCTTGTCATCAGGCGGCCTGACGGGCAACTCAGGCCGGCCCAGCGGTGATGAGTGCAGGAGATGCGGGAAGCTGGGCCACTAGGCCCGCAAGTGCCGCTCCAAGCCCAAGAAAGAGCAGGCCCACGTCGTCTAGGATGAGGAGGAGGCCTCGCTCCTTCTCGTGAAGTCAACGACGGCCATATCGACGGCGCCGCCACCAACCTCCACTCCACCACGTTTTGCTGCGACTCTGCAGGCAGAGGATCGGCTTCGGCGTGCAAGCCCACCGCCGCCCGGGAGCAAAAGGGGTCCCCGTCAATGGAGGGGCCGCCAAAGAAGAGCGGAAGCCAGGCGCCCAGACCCAGATCCATCTGCGGGAAGAGAAGGTGTTCGCCCACCTTGAAGAGGAGGAGCTGCGTGATGAGGAGGTGTGGGTCGTGGACACGGGTGCCACGAACCACATGTCGAGTTCCCGTACAGCTTTCACCGAGCTGGACACGAAGGTACTTGGGACGGTGCGGTTCGGCGACGACTCGGTGGCGCGGATCGAAGGCCGGGGGGCAATCGTGTTCCTGTGCAAGAACGGCGAGCACCGGTCCTTCGCGGGGGTGTATTACATTCCTCGACTGACGACGAACATCGTCAGCGTCGGCCAACTCGATGAGGCCGGGTACCATATCGACATCGAGAAGGGGGCGATGAAGATCTATGAACCAGGCGAACGGCTCTTGGCGAAGGTGATGTGCGGAGAGAACCGGCTGTACATTCTCCACGCCAAGCTGGTTCTGCAGGTGTGCCTAGAAGCGCGGGCAGTCGAAGAAGCTTGGAAATGGCACGCGCGCCTCGGCCAGGTCAACATGACCACACTGCGGAAGATGGCTCGGGAGGAGCTGGTGCGCGGGTTGCTGGTAGTTGGTCAGGTGGACCAGCTGTGGGAGGCGTGTCTCGCTGGCAAGCAGAAGCGGTCGGCGTTCCCCGAGCAGGGAGAGTACCGGGCGCGGCGTGTTCTGGAGCTGGTGCACAGCGACCTCTGTGATCCGATTGCGCCGGGAACACCAAACGGCAGCAAGTATTTCCTACTGCTCGTGGATGATCGAAGCCAGTACATGTGGGTGGCCATGCTGCCTTCAAAGGACCGTGCTGCGGTGGCCATCAAGGAGATCAAGGCTCGGGTAGAAGGCGAGTCAGGACTGAAGCTGGGAGCGCTCCGTACTAATTGGGGCGGCGAATTCACCTCACATGAGTTTGCGGAGTATTGCACGGGAGAAGGTATTCATCGTCAACACACAACGCTATACAACCTGCAGCAGAATGGCATCGTCGAGTGCAGGAATGGTACGGTGGTAGCAACCGCGAGGAGCATGCTCAAGGCAAAGGGGCTGCCGGGCTGGTTTTGGGGTGAGATAGTGGCAACTGCTGTATACATCTTGAACCGGTGTCCCACGAAGAGTGTGGATGGCATGACGCCTTCTGAGGTATGGCACGGGAAGAAGCTGGCAGTGCACCATCTGAAGGTGTTCGGATGCATTGCCTAAGTCCTGAACACGACACCGCATCTCAAGAAGCTGCTGGAGGACCACGGCCGCAAGATGATCTTCATCGGCTACGAGTACGGATCAAAGGCCTACTGAGCCTACGATCCCACCACGAGGCGTGTACATGTGACACGGGATGTGGTGTTCGACGAAAATGCCCAGTGGGACTAGGGCAGTAGTGCAAAGCAAGGGGATGCGGGCAGCCACGACGATATGTTCACATTGGAGTATGCCGTTGTGAACCAGGTACCTTTAGAGCTCGATGGTGCAATCGAGGTACTTGATGATGATGCGCCGGGACCGGAGCCGATGTCGCCACCGTCCGTGCACTACAGTGGGGGAGCAGCGTTGATTGAAGATGGAGGAGAGGAGGTGGAGTTCGCCACTCCACCTAGTGTCCACATCGACCACTTGGATGCTAATCACGATGATGCGTCACTCCGATTCCGCAAGATCGACAACATCGTTGGGCTGACCTCGTCACGTGGTCTTGCGTCGCGGGCGTTAATTGCAAAGGAGCTGCACACTGTAAGTTCTGATGAGCCAGTCTCTTTTGTTGAAGCAGAGGGCCACCCGAGCTGGAGGAAGGCTATGGAGGAGGAGATGGCGTCGATCGAGGAAAACCGCACTTGGTCCCTAGTAGACCTCCCACATGGTTGCCGGGCGATCTGGTTGAAGTGGGTGTACAAGGTGAAGCGGGATGAAAATAGAGCCGTGGCGAAGTACAAGGCGCGCCTAGTGGTGAAGGGCTATATACAACGCCAGTGGATCGACTACGACGAGGTGTTCGCACTTGTGGTGCGGCTGGACACGGTGCAACTTCTCATTGCTCTCGCAGCGCACGAGGGGTGGGAGGTGCATCACATGGATGTCAAGTCGGCATTCTTGAATGGCGATCTCAAGGAAGAGGTGTATGTGGAGCAGCTGGCCGGTTTCATCAGCACGGGTCACGAGCACAAGGTATTCAAGCTGAAGAAGGCACTCTACGGCTTACATCAGGCGCCTAAGGCCTAGAACGCGAAGTTAGATGAAATGTTGCTGTTGTTCAGATTCAAGAGGAGTCCCTCGGAACATGCCATCTACACCAAGTAGAACGGGGAGGTGCAGCTAGTGGTCGGGGTGTACGTCGATGACCTGGTGATCATCGGTGCCAGTTGCAATGACATCAAGCAGTTCAAAAAAGAAATGACTGACGCATTCAAGATGAGCGACTTCAGCTTGCTTCACTACTATCTTGACACTGAAGTCAAGCATAGTGTGAGGGGCACCTTGATCAGCCAAGGAGCCTATGCCACCAAGATTCTAGAGAGGAGCGGGATGGCAGGGTGCAATCCCTGTCAAGTACCAATGGCAACATGTCTGAAACTGAGTAAGATGAGCACAGAGCCGCTGGTGGATGCAACAGCGTACACAAGCATCGTGGGGAGTCTCAAGTACCTAGTCAATACTCATCCAAATTTGGCATTTGTGGTTGGCTATGTGAGTCGTTTTCTAGAAGAGCCACGAAAGGATCACTTGGCTGCTGTGAAGCAAATTCTCCGCTATGTGGCGGGAACCAAGAGCTGGGGTCTCAGGTATGAAAGGAAAAAGGAGAAGCAAGTCTAGTTGACAGGGTTCAGCGATAGTGACTTCGCTGGTGATGTTGATGCTCGGAAGAGCACGATTGGAGTTATTTTCTTCTTGGCCAGCAACCCAATTATTTGGCAGTCAATGAAACAGAAGGTGGTGGCTCAGTCTAGTTGTGAGGCAGAGTACATTGCGGCTGCCAATGTTATCTGCCAGAGTGTGTGGCTTGCTCGGATGTTAGCAGAGGTGCATGGCTCAGCACCAAGTGTGCCGATGCTGAAGGTGGACAACAAGTCTGCCATAGCATTGATCAAGAACTCAGTTCTCCATGGACATAGCAAACACATTGAAGTGAAGTATCATCTTGTCCGAGCATCCGCAGAAAAGGGTCAGATCAACATGGAGTTTATGGTAAGTATAGCAAGGCTCAGGAGGAGATTGTCGTGAATGGGGAGCCTTGCACGTCTTGCACGTCTTTTCGTATAACAGCATAGGCCTTGTACATCTCGAGGCACACCTGCCTAGAGCTGTAACAGGTTACTTATTGCTTACGGTTATTCCTTTTCCCCCTTTTTGCTCCCTTATTTAAAGAGGGCTGTAAGAGGTTTTCTTAATGAGCGAGATAGTCTTCCTTGTTCCTCCTGCTGGGTTTTTCCTGTGACTCAGAAGGTGATCTCGTCGGCGACGTCTTAACTGACGTCATCTCTCCGGCGAGTTTCTAACAACCTGCCGAATCAGCTTGGCGTGGAGAATGTACAGCCGGTTCTCTCCGCGCATCACCTTCGTCAGGAGCCGTTCGCCTGGTTCATAGATCTTCATCGCCCCCTTCTCGATGTCGATATGGTACCCGGCCTCATCGAGTTGGCCGACGCTGACAATGTTCGTCGTCAGTCGAGGAATGTAATACACCCTTGCGAAGGACCGGTGCTCGCCATTCTTGCACAGGAACACGATTGCCCCCCGGCCTTCGATCAGCGCCACCGAGTCGTCGCTGAACCGCACCGTCCCAAGTACCTCTGTGTCCAGCTCGGTGAAAGCCGTACGGGAACCCGACATGTGGTTCGTGGCGCCCGTGTCCATGACCCACGCCTCCTCATCACGCAGCTCCTCCTCTTCAAGGTGGGCGAACACCTTCTCTTCCCGCAGATGGATCTGGGTCTGGGCGCCTGGCTTCCGCTCTTCTTTGGCGGCCCCTCCATTGACGGGGACCCCTTTTGCTCCCGGCGGCGGTGGGCTTGCACGCCGGAGCCGATCCTCTGCCTGCGGAGTCGCAGCAAAACGTGGTGGAGTGGAGGTTGGTGGCGGTGCCGTCGATATGGCCGTCGTTGACTTCACGAGAAGGAGCGAGGCCTCCTCCTCATCCTGGACGACGTGGGCCTGCTCTTTCTTGGGCTTGGAGCGGCATTCGCGGGCCCAGTGGCCCAGCTTCCCACATCTCCTGCACTCATCACCGCTGGGCCGGCCTGAGTTGCCCGTCAGGCCGCCTGATGACGAGCCCTTGTCGCTGCCACGGCCGCACCCATGCCCATGTCTGCTACGGTGCGTCACGCTGCTGCTACCTCCACCACCAGTTTTCTCAGCATCACGCTTCCTCCGCCGTGCGTCCCACTCTTCCTCGGTCAGGTACAGCTTGCCGTCGTGGTGCATAGCCGGCGGTGGTTCCTCGAAGGCATCCTCCGCCGCCTTGAGCCGACCCGTCAAATCCGCGACGGTGAGCGTCGACACGTCGAGCAGCATCGTGATCGCGACCACGATCTGCCTGAAACGCTGGGGAACACTGCGGATTATCTTCTTCACTACCTGCGTCTCTTCGACCTTGTCGCCGAGGGTGTTGAGAGTCGACGCCATGCTGTTGAGACGCAGGGCGTAGTCGTCAACAGACTCTCCCTCCTTGAACGTCGCCGAGTCGAACTACCGCCGCAAGTTCTGAGCCGACGTCTTCTTTACGCGGTCATCGCCGATCCGCATGGTGGCGATAGCCTCCCAGGCCTCCTTGGCCGTCTCCTTGTTCGCGATCACCGGCCACATTTCTGGCGGCACGGCGCTGCAGAGCGCGTCGAGCGCCTGCATGTCTTCATGGGGTTCGACGGCCCCTTTCTCAATGGCGGTCCAGAGCAACCGGGCTCTGAGCTTGACCTTCATGAGCAGCGCCCAGTCGTCGTAGTTGGTCTTGGTGGGCATTGGGAACCCGGTCCCGGCGCTCACCTCAAGAATTCTGGACCACGCCGTCCTTTCTTCCTGCCATAGCGCGTCTCGATTGCGCGTTCTCAATTCCAACGGCTGTACCTTGCCGCGATCGAGTCCCGGCCCCCGCGAAAAACACAGCAGGAGGAACAAGGAAAACTTTCTTTTTTTATTATGAAAAAAACAAAGGTGGAAAGAAATAACCGTAAGAAATAACTAACTGGCCAAGAGCACTTCTCGCATAACTAACCGTAAGAGCACAACGTGCTCTGACGTGTACACGCCAGAGCACTTCTCGCATAACCGCACCATGCCGTTCTGCGAACATGGGGGGCCCACGTGCAAGGCTCCCGTTCACAGCATCGAAGATCTTACGGGTTCCGTCAATGGGCCGCACCTGGAGTACATGTCGATCAGATCGCAGCTCACGAAGACGTCGGCGTCGAAGGACGACCGGATGGCGGACCCGTGGAGCTTCTCCACGGCTCCGAGGTCTGAGAGGCCTCTGGAGGCCCGAAGGAGACTGGAGAACATGAAACGCCCCGGCCGCTGGCCGTTCCGCTGCAGGTCGCGGAGGAGGTCGAGGGCCTCTCCGCAACCTCTCCCCCGGGAGCGACGGGATATCATGACGATCAAACGGCTGGCCTTCCCTCCCCAGCACCGCATGCGCCGCTCGACGGCGGAGCCGGTATGTAGGCCATTGAGGCGGCGTCCGCGAGGAACAGGGGTGGCAAGAACCACCCCGAATATCGATGGAGGGGTTTGAGTTCAATGACGGCCTTGAGTGGCATGGAGGTTTATCACCTGCCTTTAGATCTACGGGTCGGCACCTTTGACACATCACCAAAAAAGAGAACAGATAAGAGAGAAAACGTAGGGTACGATCCTTTTCTCTCTACCACACACACTCACACACACTCTATCCACCTCCATTCATCGACCGTGCTTTAAACTTTTGTACTGTTGTCTTTGACCAGTGTTTCCCCTTGCATTTACTGGGAGGTTCAGTCACCGTTGCCTCGAGCACATCAGTTGATCGAGAGGCATGTTTAACGATATATCTAGCATGTACTGGGAGGCAATATCAGGACCTGAGATAGTGGTAGCTTGAGGATAAGATAGGGGAGTTCGCCCGCATCTTACGAAGATAGATAAAGGTTTTAGATATTCCCCCAATATCATTCATATTCATATTCATACATAATCATATTCATTCATATTCATATTCATACATAATCTTTATTCCGTCCTAATCTGCCGTATGACCTCATCGCTGATCCCATGGTTTACGGTCTGCAGGAGGAGAACAAGCTGGGATTTAGCCTGTATTTATGAATGGGAGAGAAGGCCAGAAGTGGATTGCGGGTTGCCCTCTGTTACCTGGAAGAAACCCCAGTCCTTGCAGGCGCTGTCCAGACATAGTCTCTCCCCTTCGTCGCCGCTGGAAAGCAGGGAAAGATCGATCACGGGGAGGTCGAGGGAAGCGGCGACGACGTCCGCCGTGGACTTCTCCTGGCGGCCTCTCCTGTACCTGTCGGGGACGCATAGGGGGTTGTTCCTCAAAATCTCCTGGACGCTGGGGGCCGGCTGCGCGCTTCCCCAGCCGATTCCCTGCTCCTCATGGCTAGCCTCCAGAGCCATCTCTTGAATCCGATCGAATGGAACTGTGAGGATCCGTCTGGGGAGGGATTACTGGGCCTTCATAATGACAGAAGGACCTGATTTAACCTGATGTTGATTTCACGTTGCTACAGCTCGATTACTGTGGTAATGTAATCATACTTCCACCGACAACGAAATTGAAACACGCGTTAAAATTGTATAGAAAGAAATATCTTGAGACGATCTCCTCTGATCGTTCTCTGAAATGCAAAAAAAACTCCCAAGCGTAGCAGAATCTAATGAAACATATACGGAATTTTAAGGAACTTGAGACATAGAGAGAGAAGACAGATAGAGATAGATTGATAGATAGCGAGAGAGAGAGAGAGAGAGAGAGAGAGAGAGAGAGAGAACTCACCGTCCCCTTTCATCTTCCTCGAGCTTATCTTGAAGGGTGGTCGGCGAGGTACTGCGGGTGTAATAAAAATGTTCGTCTATTTTGGTGATGGCCGATTGTAGTTTGCCTTAGAACAGAAATTATTTGTCGGTGACTGACATGCCAAATCTGTCACTATATTTTATCCTGCATAAGGCTCGATAATTTAGTCTGAGAAGAGAAGGAGAAGAACGCTTCGAGTTAATCAACCACATGACAGATGAAGATGATGATCGAGTTATCGATACTCTATTCCGCTACAGTTCTTCCTCCTTCGTGGACGCTAAAAACCGACGAGAGGTCGATCACGGGGACGTCGAGGGAAGCAGTAAGGGCCTCCGCCGTGGGCTTCTCCAGGCGGCCTCTCGTGTACCTGTCGGGGACGCAGAGGGGTGTTCTTCCTCACAATCTCCTGGACGCTGGTTACCGGCAGCGATCTTCCCCAGCCGGGTCCCTGATCCTCGTGGCGAGCCTCCATAGCCATATCTCTAATTCGATCGAATGCAACTCTGAGGACCCCTCTGGGGCGGGATTGTTGGGATTGCTTAATGATGGGAAGGACCTGATTTCGCCTGATGTTGTCGTTTGGTTACATACCTCAGATAATTCAGGTTAGAGTGGCACGGTAATCATACCTCAACCGACAATGAAATTGAACAGCGATCAAAACTTTGATAGAATGAAATATATGGATGGGATGTCCTGATCGATCTCTGTCATGCAAAGGATACTCCCGAGGTAGTGAAATATTTACGCACTTCAACGTAATTTAAGACACAGTGAGTGAGGGAGGGAGAGGGAGAGACAGAGACAGAGGCAGAGAAGAGTCGCCGTCCCTCTTCCTCTTCCTCGGAAAAGTCAACGACTACGTTAGCTAATCTTGATTGGGTGATCGGCAACGTACGCTGCTGACATAAAAACATGTCTATTTCTGTGGTGGTCGATTACAGCTGACTTTATCCAAAATTTTATCGTCAGCGTCTAACATGAAAAATTTAACAGGGTGAGGTACTCCTACTCCATATTTCTCACTTTATTTCATTCTGCATAATTCTTGATGAAGATGGAAATTGAGTTATTGATAGTTTATTCCGCACATGTTCTTCTTCCAGTGTTGGCAATTTCACGCTACATGAGTTAACCGGGGCCGCTGAAACCCGGAGTCAACTGCATGCTTTCAACTGCGTGTAGAACTAATGCCACAAGATTGGAGATAATGAAGATAGGTAGGGTAAATGTACTGAGATTTTTTGTCACTCGAGGCAAATTAAAAGGAAAAACATGAACTGAAGGTGAATAAAACACTAGCGAAGACACAGCAAGGGTTAGATACCGGAGCCTTATTTCTTGCCATTAGAGAGAAAAGGTTTCCATCTCTGATTTTTCTCTCTTTTTTTTTCTGCCCGAGCCCCCTTTTGAATATTGTTTATATCAAAGGGCAAGGGAGGATCAACTATAAGGATCCATCTGACGCGTGATTGCTGACCCTTTATGGTGACAAGAAGAAGGTGATGTCACCTGATGTTGTCATTTGATTACAGCAGCGAGGTAATCAAACTTGCAATTACAATAAAATTTAACGGGCCCTTAAAATTTTATAGAAACAAACATCTTGATATGATCTACTGATCGTTATCTGCCATGCAAAGGATTCTCCCAACCATAATATAATGAAATATTTACGAAATTAACCGTAACTTGAGAGATACATGGAGGGGAGAAAGTGACAGAAAAGTTGCCAACCCCTTTCCTCTTCCATGGAAATGTCTCGATCGAGTGGTTGGCAAGGTACGAAGTTGACATGCAAAATGTGCATATATTTCTGTGGTGGTTGATTAGTTGACTTTAGAGAAAAAATTATGGTCGCCATCTAACATGCCAAGTCTCTCACTATATTTTATCCTGCATCAAGCTTGATTGATATTTTCTTGTAAGAAGAGAAGGAAATTAACGCTCTGCGCAATTAACCGAATGACAGATGAAGACAGAAATTGAGTTATCGATAATTTATTCCTCTCCAGTTCTTACCCAGGTCTCGGGGATTTCATGCCATACGAGCTGGCTGGGGCCGGTGAAACCCAGATCCAACCGTGTGCTTTCACACGCATTATGAGCCAGCTTAGACCGGGCCAACAATGGGCATATGCTTTGAGCAGAGATGGTTCGCAGTAACACTAACGGGTGAGAGGAAAGAGGGCAGCATGAACGGGTCGTGTGAGCGGAGAAAAGAAGGCAGCGGCGGTGACAGAATAGGTGTAACTGTTGGTGGCGGCAGCAACAGGACAGACGGTGGCAGCAGACGGCAGGGGTGAAGGTAGGGCTGGTGGCAGCAGCGGCGGATGGTGATGGCGGACAGTGGCGGCAGCGATGGGGCAGAAGGTGGAAGTAGACGGTGATGGAGACAACAACGGCGATAATGGGTAGCGGATGAACGGCGGATACTACCGACAGATGGTGGCGGAAGACGGTCATTGTGTGACGGGCGGTTGCCGATGGAGGCAGCAATAATGGAGGATGAAGGTGGTGGACGGCTGGTGAACGGAGGAAGGCGGCAGCGGGCGACGGTGGCGATGTATGGCAGCAGTGTCGATGGATGGCAACTGACCTTCACGAAGTTATTTATAACGTCTAAAGAAGGAACTTTTTCATTAATGGGCTTGGGCCGACGTATTGGCGACTTGAAGGTGCTAGGCCGCAGGATTGCAGAATCTTCCCCTTCTCCTCCTGCAGTTGTGGCCTATGATTTCGTCAGACTTATCTCTGCATCCGGTAGATCCTCCTCACCATTGGCGGGCGTCGCGGTCCACTCCACCGTCTTCAGGTTTGGCCTCCTTTCCAATATATTCATCGATTCTTATTGCAAGTCGAAGAGAATGGCTGACGCCCAACAGATGTTTGATGAAATGACTTTACGGAAGGCCGTCTCCTGGAACTCCCTGATCCAGGGGAACTCCCAAGCAGGATCTCTTGCCATCTCTATGAGACTCTTCTTGGAGATGATCGCGGCCGGCGTCCCTCCAAGTCCATTCATGTCTCCAGCGTTCTACTCGCCGGCTCCTCGCTGGCGGTTGAGGCGACAGGAGCCATAGTGCACTACATAGCTGTCAAGAACGGGTTTTGCTCCAGTGTTGTGGTGGCGACTTCTCTGATGAACTGTGCGATAGGAATGTGATTACCTGGATCTCCCTGGTCACTGGTTACAGCGCGCACTAGAAACTCAAGAGACCATGGTGTTGCTCAACAGGATGAGGCTCATGGGCATTGTGCCAATTTTTTGGGGTGACCTTCAGTGGCCCCCTGAGTTCCTTCATGGGACGCAACGACCTGGTCTCAGACAAGCAGACCTACAGCCAGGGACAACTTAGAGGATTTGCTTAGGGTGCTGATCCCTATGTCTCCGCAGCGCTGATAGATATGTACTCCAAATGGGACAACTTAGAGGATTTACTTAAGGTTCTTAATGCTAGGAAACTTGATTGAAGGAGAATGAAATATAGTATACCAACAGTTCAAGGATGCTTAATGTCACCACAAGCTTAAACAGTCACCTGAAATATATATAGAACACCAAGAGATCTTAAAAACTCTTCAACCGAAGAGGAAAAAAAGTCAATAGACTAATCTGGAATAAGATTCCAGCATCCGACAGCAGATGAGTCATCAAACGCGTGATCTCTAAGCTGACTTAAGTGATAAAAATAAGAGACAAATGGGGGATACAAGGGCTACAACATTGTGTTCATGGTAATAGGACTCTCCCACTTGATCCAGCAAAGAATATGTAATTAATCTGATCTTCTAGTGGAGAGAATAATGCCTCATATAGATCCTTGTCTTCTTCCCACATTCCTTCTCATAATTTACTCTACTTTTATAGTGAAGGTTGAATTCATTTTTTTCATAGTAGTTAATTTTTTTAAATTTTTTAATTGAATATTTCCAACAATAATTTTCTGAGACAATGACCTTCAATTTAATAAAAAATGATTTTTTTTTAATTTCATAAATATGCTTTCAAAACAGAAATCAAATTTTGTGAGTTTAATATTTTTCAAAACCCTTAAAATATGTTATTCCATATGAACTCTGAATCTAATGTCTCAAATTATGACCTTGCATTGATTTTTTGATTCTTTAATTATTGAAAACTAAAGTCTAGATAGAATTTTAAATCTTTAAATTGATTTTAAAAACTTAAATGATAAATATTCTGAATTGTTCTTATGGCTTCTGTTGTTGCTGAAAACGTGGAGATTATTGGTTTCATGTGATTTAATTATCCTAAAAAATTGATGATGACAAACAAGCACAAAAATAGATTAATTATACTTAATATTCCATATACATATCACACATAAGTAATCTTCTAGACATATGCTTGAATTGATGAATAACACATAATAATGGTGTCATGTCCAAGTGATAATTCAACGAATGTATTGAATGTTTCTATTTTGAATTCAAGACTTTAAATGAATTTTCTGTTCTAAATCATTATTTTGTTTACTACTGTAGAAAGTTCTGATTATTATGAAAAATTCCAATAACAAAAAGTAATGATGTAGAAATCAGATTTTGCATGAATATCTAAAGTAAAATATTAATATAAAATTTACTTAATATGCTAGATGTCTATAATTTGAATATTGCTTCTAATTATTTCAAATGGTGAATTAATTGATTGAATATGAACTACACAAATAGGTATTTAGATTTTTTTCTAAATATTATTAAATATTAATTGGAAAAACACTAAGTTATATATCACTGAAGTAATGATGTCAAATATTGATATGAAGATTTAGTATGTCTAGTTAATAGTTATATTTTATTTAAGATTTTTATTTGATTTAAAAATAGTAATTTATTTAGAGAAGTTTCTTTGATCATGTTTTTAACAATAATGAATTCTTATCAAACACATTATAAGCAATAACATCATATTAATATATTCAATATTAATAGTTAAATTTATTGGATTAACTTTGTTGATTTTCACAACATTGACTGATGCATCACATTTGTTTTCAATCACTCAAATTTATAATGATTTTTAATATTTAAACATTTAATAATGATGAAAAACAAGGAAGAGTGTGAGTCAAACATCTCTATAAATAAAAAATAGATCTAAATATTGATTGCACTAAGCATAATTGACCCAAGGTCAAGATTAAGATATGATCAATTCAACCCTACCCTCCTCCCCCTTCTTCATCTAAGTACAGTTAGAAACTCAGCTAAATTGGGCATGAAAAAAAAAGTGGACTGTAGTCCTCTCTTCTCCCTCATAAGCCTTGATCCCTCATCCTTCCTCTTTGTTTTCTTGCACTTTCTTCTAAAGTACATTATACATTCATCCTTTCTTGCACTTTCTTGTTTAACATGAAGTGGTCCCTATCTAGTATAGGATGATGATATTTGAGATGTGCAACTACAATTCACAATGGCCACAAAAAACTAGAATATGATTGTAAGCGTCACAATGGCCATGAATGATATTTAGGTCTAAAAGTTATTTTATTTGTGAAACATAGGACAATTTCTTAATTCAATTCTCAAAGGTTGATTTACTATGATTGATGATTAAGTTTGTCATAGAAGTATCTTAGTAGTTCACTGTGATAAATTAAATACTCTATTTGCATGAAAATTGTGTGAACCTTGAGAAGTATTTTAAATACCATGTACATGGAATGAAACTTTATAATATTCACTGATTAAACATTTAACTAAGTTCAAAATTAGTTTCTATGATTCAAAAAGTTAACTCTTTGATTGATAAAGGCATTTTAAACTTGATACTAGAATCAACATTACAATTACTATGTTGCACATGGTGAATTAAATTGTCTAAATTTCAGAAAGTATATACTATAATTTAATTCAACTAACTTTTAAAATTTGATATAAGAACACACATTATCATTGATTTAGTATACAATGAATTTAGATATTTTACCAACTAAAAATTATAACTAAATTCATCAAACTAATTTGATGATTAAAACATTTGATCTATAATTAGTAAAAGTATTCATAACTTGATTTTATAATTGATATGTGAAGTGATCTAGTATGGACAACTGAACTAGTCATTTTGAAGTGTGGCAAGTAATACTTCTATTATTGACATGAGAGAAATTGTGTAATGGGTAGTGATTGAATATAAGTAAAGCATTCAAATAACATCTAATTCATTCACATAAATAAGTAAACTACGTATGGCACCTTTCCAGCTCTCTAAACTCTTTGACAGAGTGTGAAAGTATATTGGCATAAATTTTGAGTTGCTCCCCTTATCACTAATTTTGGCGATTCAACTATTATTTATGGTATACCTAGTCTTCTATCGTGAGATACAATAAGCCTAGTGTTTATTTCCATATTTCCTCATCATGTCCCTTGCCTAGTCAAGCCTTTGGTTTAGTAGGAATAAAATTTGACCCTAATCTATAATTCTTCCTCCATACTTGTTCACTGTTATAAACCCATTTACTTCTCACAAAAGTGTCAAAGGTGCCGAGAGAGCCGACATGGTCGATACGTGGTGATATATCCGCTTGGCCTAGGGTGTCCATCTCCTTCCAACTCATTGCCCACCGGTGGGCATCGGAGCCGGATTCAGCGAACTCCTATGTAGAGGTAGGCGACTGATGGAATCAATATGAGGGTTCATTCCCTTAGGTGGACCCACGAGGAAGAAGAAGAGGGAGGAAAGAGGCCACGTCACCCATGCACATCTTCTCCCCTAAGGAAGTCGTTTCTCCCTCCAAGAGACACCGCTTGGCATCCTTTGGGAGGGGACTCCTCTAACTACCGTCCTCTATGACTCCTGGGAAGAAGTTGAAATTGAATTCTGAATCAAGAAGATCCGTGTATCCCTCTCACCTCTTGGATTAGGGGTTCCTTCTACCTCATTCGCCTCTTGGACTGGGTGTTCCTCTCTCCTTTCATCGCCTCTTGGACCAAGGGCTTCCTCTCTTCTTCTCATCCTCTTGGATTACGGGGACCTCCATTTCTCCCTCGTCACGTCGTTCTCGCCATCTGTCCCGCCACCACCATTCTGTCTCCTCGTCGTTCTCGCATCCTTGTCATCCGCCCATCACCGCCACTCCCCTTCTCGCTAGCCACCCTGTCGCCGTCGTCCCACCTTTTCGCCAGCCACCCTGTCGTCGTCGTCCCGCCTCCTCGCCTTCCGCTCGTCGCCACCACTCCGGCTCCTTGCCATCCGCCCTGTCGCCGCCACTTCGTCTTCCACCGTCGCCACGTACCCCCTCATTCTCTCTCTCTCTCTCTCTCTCCCGCCGAAGCCCTCTTTCCTCTCTCTCACCGTCGCCACGTACTTCATCATTCTCTCTCTCTCTCTCTCTCTCTCCCCCTCTCTCGCACCGATGCCCTCTCATTCCGCCACTCTTTTCTCTCTCCACCTTTTCTTTTCTTTTCATTATTATTTTATTATTTCACCTCACTTCTGTACCTCATTTTTGACCTCCAGCCTAAACAGTCCATTGACTTCGAACCACACCAGTCCACTCAATCTGAACCTTGGAAAATCGCTGACAAAGCTCAAGCCACTTGAACTAATAAGAATCTTCAAGATATCAAAATCTCGATTGCAAAGGTGTGTTGATTTTTTAATTACTTGTGAAGTTGGTCATTGTTTTTAAATCTTTAATCTTAGAAATTGTGAGATTCATAGGATAGCCACCTGTGTGTGAAAGATTGATGGTCCTAACCCTCGTTGAGAAGTCTTGTTTGATTTTTTGAATTAAATAACCTGATAATTAATTAATGATCCTAATTCTCCTAAAATTATGAGATCATCCAAATATTAAATTATCAAAATTCTAATTTTAATCAACTTTAAAGATTAATGTGTAACTCTTTTTAAGGAGATCCATTTGACCGTTTGTCCCGCGTCAATGTAGAGGCAGGTGACAGAAACTCCATGCCAGTTAAGGCAGTCATTGAACTCTAACCCCTCCACTTATACGCATGAGATTCGGGGTTATTGTCACCCTTGTTCCTCGGGGCCGCCGCCTCAGAAGCCTACATACCGGGGTTCCTCCGCTGTAGATCGGCGCATGCGCTGCCGGGTAGGGAAGGGCCGTTGGACTGTCATGATATGCCGTAGCTCCCGCGAGGGTCGCTACGGAGAGGCCCTCGACCTCCTCCGCGACCTGCAGCGGCGCGGCCAGCGGCCGGGGCATTTCATCTTACCCAGCCTCCTCCGGGCCTGCGGAGGCCTCTCAGACCTCGGAACCGGGGAGAAGCTCCACGGGTCCGCCATCCGGTCGTCCTTCGACGCGGACGTCTTCGTGAGCTGCGCTCTGATCGACATGTACTCCAGGTGCGGCCACATTGACGGAGCCCGTAAGGTGTTCGACACAGCGGCCCAACGAGACACGGTCGTGTGGAACTCCATGCTCGCGAGCTACGTCCGCCTGGGCTTCGCCGGTGATGCGATGCGCTTATTCGTGAGCATGGTGACCGGGGGTCTCCACCCGGATCTCACCACCTGGAACTCCCTGATCTCCGGGTGCTCCTCCAGCGGAGCTCTCAAGATTGCCAAGTACCTATTCAGATCGATGAAATTCCATGGAGTCGACCCTGACGTCTTTTCCTGGACTTCCCTCATTGGCGGGCTTGTGAGAGATTTCCGTGGGCAAGACGCCTTCGAGGCGTTCAGACGAATGATGGTGGTGCCAGGCGTCCAGCCGAGCTCAGCGACGGTCAGCAGCCTGCTCCCCGCATGCGCCAATCTCGCCGACGATAGACGCGGGGCGGCACTGCACGCCTACGCGGTTGTGACGGGCGTCGAAGAAGATTTGTTCGTCAGCAGTGCCCTGGTGGACATGTACTCCAAATGCGGTTTTCTACACGAAGCGGCCAAGATGTTCAATAGAATGCGCCATAGAAGCACGGTATCGTGGAATTCCATGATTTTCGGTTACGCCAACAACGGAAGTTCCACCGAGGCTGTAAATATCTACAACCAGATGAGGAAGGACGGCGTGGATCCCGACCATCTGACCTTCACGGCTCTCTTGACGGCTTGCAGCCATGGCGGGCTGGTCGAGCTGGGCATGGCGTTCTTCCGTTCCATGCAGGAAGAACGCGGGATCGAGCCAAGAGCAGAGCACTACGCCTGCATGGTTGATCTCCTAGGCCGCGCCGGGCGCCTCCTCGAGGCTCTTGATTTGATCGAGGGGATGCCTGTGGCGCCGGATATCTTCGTGTGGGGGGCTCTGCTGGGGGCCTGTCGGAACCACGGCAACGTGGAGGTGGCGGTGGTGGCGGCTTCTCACCTGCTCAAGGTTGAAACCGAGCGACGAGGTAGCTACTTGATGATGTCTGGCATCCTTGCTGGCTCCGGGAGGTGGGAAGACGCTGTGAGGATGAAGATGATGGCGAAGAGGCAGACATTGAGGGGGAACCCAGGGTGCAGTTGGATAACCACTCCGTGATTCCGATGCTTCCTCGTCCTACTGGTAAGGTGGCACCGAATCTGGTAGCTGATCAGAAGAGATTAATCGTGAGGTTTCTACTGATCATCTTCTAGGATCATTCTGAATCGACAGGAACAATTTCGGATCACCTCTGAAGTCGCCTAGACTGGTGATCTAAAGAAAACACATGAGATCACATACACGAGACAGAATAATATAAATCCAGAAAGAGAGACATAGAGAGAGAGAGAGATGAATCCTATATGCGGAAATACAAACACCCATCTTTGTTCAAAGGATGCGCCTTTCACATTCAAATGAACGGGTGTGATTGGGAGATTTGTGCCTCTGATCAGAACTTATGTCAGCTCCGTACCGTATGTCAAAAATAATCATGCGCTAGCTACTATAAATAAACGTATTTAACTATAACATTGATACTATTATACTGATAATTTGATTATTTTGTGTTACTAAATCAAATAACTCTAAATTGATTTTTGATCGAATAGTTGTCTTGGGGTTAGACCTATATTATTTACTATTGGTTTCATGATAAAGTTTAGAACTTAATGTGTATGCATTATGAAGGTCATGATAACAGTTACAAAGTTGAATTTACACTAGGTATACTGATTGCAGACCATATGGCTAGTAGATATCCAGATATCACTACTTTTAAATTACTTATCATTCAAATGACATGAGTGTTGGATGTGTTTGAGCCCTAATCATTTAGCAGCCAGTATATTTCATGCACTAAGGATTGAGCACCAGCTCATCACAAGTAGTTGTCCAAGGCTTCTAAACATCTAGATTGATCTAGGTTTAAGAATGGTCCAACTTGAAAGTTAGGACCAATTTTTCTTGTCACATAGATATCTCCCTCCCTTTGTCTCCCATTCAAACACACATAGGGAAGGCTTGGACTATCTTATTGACCATGGGATTATTGCCATATCAACTAATGTTTTCAATTTACCCTAAATGACTATAAATCTTACTCCATTTATTTTCCATCTCTATCATTCTTCTATTTGAATCCATTACCTCACCCATCTTTATCAGCTCCAATCGTGTGACAACAATTCTACCCATAAAGCATATTAAATGCATCATAAAGGTCCATATTCCATAACCTACGTCCCTCCTTCGAGGTCATCGGCCATTGGAGTGTTTCAGAGAAGAAAACTTGGCCGTGAAAGCATCTTCCAACGTCACCTTCTGGACACTGCATGTTCATCGTCATCAAGTGAAGCGAAAACACCAACATCTCATTCATCTCTCTCTAATGTGGGACAAGATGATGAAACACTAAATTACCTTAGACCAACAACTTAGACTTGACTCTCACAACATATCTAAGAAATCTATGAGGGTTGACTAAGATAGAATTGATTAGATCAACTAGTAACGTGACTAAAGATTTGCTAGAGATTAAGGTGCTCCACCACCAAGAAATTGATAAGTACAAATTAAATATGTCCTCTCTCTACTCTCACCACCAGTTATGTGTGGAAGTGGCCTCTCTAGTATCACTCAACATCAATATTATAAGAAAATATATTTAAAACATAAATAATTTAAACATGGAAAGATAAAGAATTTAGAATAATCCTATCACCAAAGCAGGCGACTGCTTGACGAAGGATCACGAGAAGTTCAACTTATCGTTGACCGTTGGCCATGAAGTTCAACCGTTGACATGGCTGTGGCTGGATGGTTTCGAACCTGACCTGGCGGACTGGCACGGACCAGGCACTGTGAAGGGTTCGGACCAGCGTGACGGGCCGATGCGAACCGTCGGCCTGAGATGGTTCGGACCGTAAGGACGATTAGGTGGATCACTCGGTCGAAGCGGTTTAGTCCGTAAAAGGGCAGTCGGATCGAGTTAAACCGAACCGCTTCGGACCTGCGGTTCACAGCGTCACGGATCAAACGGATTTAAATTCCGAATCTCACCCGATGAGGAGGCCGTCAGGAAAACGTGGGAAGGGAGTGTTAGTATTTAATGCAAAAAGGAAGACATCATTCCGTCCTTGTTAGGCGGTTTTTGTTTTTATTGGACTTTAGTTCATGTCTTTAGTGGGCCAAAACGAGGGCTGGCCCACATGAGGTAGTTAAGTATTATAAATACTCTTTATCTCTCCTCAGAATGGCGTGTTTTCTAGGGTTTCGGTGTGCGCGAAATCTATTTACGGTGGGAATAGATGGTCAAAGCGGCAGCGGAGATGGTACCAATGGACGGTGAAAGCGACGGTGAAAGTGATGAGGCAGAGATGGTGGCAGCGGAAGATGATGACGGCGGCAGCGTGGGTGGGATGTGGTGGTGCGTCGATACTGGCTCTCGTAGCCTCTTCTATACGGAGCGCGTTACTATAATCAAATGACAAACATCAGGTGACATCACTTTCTTCCCGTCATCTCAAAGGCTCAGAAATCCTGCCCCAGACGGATCCTAACAGTTGATCCTCCGTTTATCTTTGGTATAAAAAACAACATTCAAAAGCGGACTCGGGGAGACAAACAAAAGAGAGAATAATCAGAGGCGGAAAACCTTTTCTCTCCGTGCGGCAAGAAATAGGGCACCGGCGTCTCCCCCTTTTGGTAACTTAGAGTTTCATTCTCCTTCATTTCATGTTTGTTTTTTTCTTATTAATGTGGATATCCTCCTTCCTATTTTTGTGGCTTGAAGATGTATTATTCTCACCGTACCGCATTACTGCTGATATTCTCCTTCCTACAAGATCTCAGTCCGTTGACCTTCCATCTCCATCATTCTTCGATTTGTTTCCATTACCCTACCTATCCTCGTCATCTCCAATCTTGTGGCATTAATTCTACATGCAGTCGGAAGCATGCAGTTGACTCCGGGTTTCAACAAACCCGACTGACTCGTGAGGCGTAAAATTGCCAACACTCTGAGGAAGAACTCGAGCGGAATAAACTATGGATAACTCAATCGCCATCCTCATCTACCATCCAGTTGATTGACTTGAAGCTTTCTTACCCTCTTCTTCTCAGAATAATATATCGATCAAGCATTATGCAGAATAAAAAAAAGTGAGAGATCTGGAGTATAAAAGACATCCCCCTATTTCAGAAGTAAACCAGATTTGGCTTGTTATGTGCTGAAAACTTAAAATTTGTCCGAAGTCAACTACGATCGATCACCACAGTAATAGACGCACGTGCGTTGTTAGGTCACCAGCGTACCTCTCCGACCACCTGTTCAAGATAAGCTAACGTAGTCCTCGACCTCATTCCACGAAGAGGAATGGGGACGGCGACTCTCTCTCTCTCAAGTTACGCTGAATTCCGTTAATATTTCATTAGTTTCTGCTACCCTCGGGAGCATTCTTTGCATAACAGAGAACGATCAGGAGATGGCATCCAGATGTTTCATTGTTTCAAATTTTAACCCGCTGTCAAATTTCGTTGTCGGTGGAAGTATGATCACCTTGACACTGTGACCTGAATTATCTGAGATCTAAAATCAAACCAAAACATCCGATGAACTCACGTGTTTCCCGTGATTATAAAGGCCCAGCAATCCCGCCTCGGACGGATCCTCGCAGTTGCATTGGATCGGATTAGAGAGATGGCTCTGGAGGCTGGGCACGAGAAGCAGGGACTCTCGGCTGGGGAAGCTCCCTGCCGGTGCCCAGCGTCCAGGAGATTGTGAGGAAGGACCCCCTCTGTGTCCCCAACTGGTACAGGAGAGGCCGCCTGCAGAATCCCACGGCAGAGGCCCTCCCCGCTTCCCTTGACGTCCCCGTAATCGACCTCTCGCTTCTTTCCAGCGGCCACGAAGGAGAGAGACGATATCTGGACAGCGCCTGCAAGGACTGGGGTTTCTTCCAGGTACAGAAGCCAACACGCAATCCATTTCTGGCCTTCTTTCCCATTCACAAACATAGACTAAATCCCGCCTTGTTGTCGTCCTTCCGCAGATCGTAAACCATGGGATCAGCGAGGAGGTCATACGCCAGATGAGGGCGCCCGCGTCTGGATTCTTCGACCTCCCGATAGAAGAAAAGAGGAGATACGCCATGGCGGCGAACGATATCCACGGGTACGGGCAGCTCTTCGTCGTGTCTGAGGAACAGAAGTTGGACTGGGCAGACGTCCTGCACCTGATCACACGCCCAAGCAAGCTGAAGAATCTCAAGTACTGGCCGACCGTGGTGTCAAGTTTCAAGTAAGAACGAGAGAAAATCATACACATTATCGTAACTTGGTAGAAATTCCAATTACACAACACCCGACGCTCTGCAAATCCATCGCACTGACCGCGGAGGACACGGTTTTCTAACATCTGCGCTCTCGATTCCAGGGACGCCCTCGAGGCATACTCAAAAGAGCTAGAGAGGGTCACCAAGATGCTGCTCGAAAACCTTTCCCGGTTGATGAACATGGAGGACGGCCTGCTAAGATTGCATGGGGACTTGACGCAATCCACGAGAGTAGCTTACTACCCACCCTGCTCCCGGGCAGACGAGGTCCTGGGCCTGGGCTCGCACTCCGACAAAGGTAGTATCACGTTTCTCCTCCAGGACGACGACGTCACGGGGCTTCAAATCAGGCACGGCGGCATGTGGATCCCCGTCAAGCCGATGCCAAACGCATTTGTCGTCAACATCGGCGACTCCGTTGAGGTATCCATCTCCCTTTTTCCCCCTTGAGGATAAAGGGGTTCTCTTGGGAGGGACTATTGATGTGATCCTCGCTGCGGTCAACTCCACAAGGAAGGCTTCACAAGGTAAGGAAGGAGGAAAAACACAGCGCTTATTACAGGAGAAAGTACAGAATGAGAAATTACAGAAAAACCAGTAGGACGCAATTCGGGGAATTGTAGCCAGCAGCTGCTTAAAATAACAGAGGAGGAGGAGAGGAAGTTTCCCAGCCGAAGGCCGATCCCCTCGAAACGATCACCGTCCCTTCGTGCTCTGCGGAGCATTCGTCTTTTCCCTGTTGGAGCTCTCTCTCTCTCTCTCTCTCTCTCTCTCTCTCTCTCTCTCATCTCTTTTATTTTCTGTTTAATAAGGGGAACTCTCGAGAGTTGACAGTCAGCCTGGAATAAAACAGTCTTCCTTTTTTTCCATCTGCCAAGCGGGGCCATCCTCCGGGTTCCACGGAATCTCTCACACACTCCTTCTCCACCTTTGACTTTTCGCTCCTACGAGTGCAAGGCCCCATCAGATTTCCGTGGGCAAGAGGCCTTCGCGGCGCTCAGACAAATGACGGCGGTGGCAGGCGTCCGACCGAGCTTAGCGATGGTCAACAGCCCGCTCCCCGCCTGGGCCAATCTCACCGACGAGAGACGCGGGGCGGCACTTCAGGGCTACGCGGTGGTCGCCAGCGTCGAAGAAGATTTGTTCGTCATCAACGCCCCGGTAAATATGTACTCCAAATGCGGGTTTCTACCCAAAGCGACCAAGCTGTTCCATAGAATGTGCCACAGAAGCACGGTCTCGCGGAATCCCTTGATTTTCGGGTACGCCAACAACAGACTTCCACCGAGGCTGTAAATCTCTTCAACCAGATGAGAAAGGACGGCGTGGAGCCTAACCATCTGACCTTCACGGCCCTCTTGATGGCTTGCAGCTATGGCGGACTGGTTGAGCTGTGCATGGCATCTTTCCGCCCCATCCAGGACGAACGAGGGATCGAGCCGAGCCCAGAGCAGTACACCTATATGATTGAACCCTTAGGCCGTGCCCAACGTCTCTTTGAGGCTCTTGATTTGATCGAGGGGATGCCTGTGGAGCCGGATATCTTTGTGTGGATGGCTCTGGTGGGACTGTCGGAACCATGGCAACGTGGAGGTGACGGTGGTGGCGGCTTCCCACCCGCTCAAGCTCGAAGCAAGCGGCGGGGAGCTAGCTGATGATGCCCAACATCCTTGCTTGCTCCGAAAGGTGAGCAGACACTGAGGATGAAGAAGATGGCGAAGAGGCAGACATTGAGGGGGAACCCAGGGTGCAGTTGGATAACCACTGCGTGATTTCGATGCTTCGTCGCCCTACTGATAAGGCGGTACCGAAATTGGTGGCTGATGGGAAGAGATTAATGGTGGAGTTTCTACTGATCATCTTCTAAGATCACTCTGAATCGACAGGGACAGTTTCAGATCACCTATGAAGTTGCCTAGACTGGTGATATACAGAAAACAAAGGAGGTCACATAAACGAGACAAAGTAATATAAATGGAGAGGGAGGAAGGGAGGGCGAGAGAGAGAGAGAGACGAATCCCAGATGCGGATACATCTTTCATACATCTTTCATACATTCAAATGAACGGTTATGATTAGGAGATTTGCACATCTAACTGGAACTTATACCGCCCCTGTAGATTATCTTTAAAATTTTCATCTATTAATTACTATAAATCAACGCATTTAACCATAAAATTACTACTGGTATATTGATACTTTCATTATTTTTTGTTAGTTAAGCTAATAATTTTACATTTCTATTTAATCAAATGGTTGCCTTGGGGTTACCCCAACCTTATTTATTATTGGTTACATGTAAAGTCTAAAACATATTGTGTACGAATTATGAAGGTCAGGACAATAGTTTCAATGCGCGATTTATTATAGCTATACTAATTGCAGACCAAATGACTACTAGATATTCACGAACCACTAATTTTAAATGAATTATCGTTCAAGTGACATATTTGTTGGGCGCGTTTGAGCCCTCCTCATCGTACAAGGGACTCCGCACAAGTTCATCACGAATAAGTAGTTGGCCAGAGCTTCTAGGCAACAAGGCCATTTTTTTGGACCAAGGTTTGAGAATGATCCAATCTAAAAGTTAGGACCACTTTTTCCTGTCACACATATCTTCCTCCCCACCTCTCTCTCCCCCCCCCCCCCCAACCCCCCTGCTCTCTCTCTCTCTCTCTCTCTCTCTCTCTCTCTCTCTCTCTCTCTCTCTCTCTCTCTCTCTCTCTCTCTCTCTCTCTCCAATAACAAACGTACAGAGGGAATGGTCGGACTGTCCGGGTGACGATGGGACTATTGCCATAGCAAGGATTCTTTTTAATTTCCCCCTAGTGGCTACAAATCTCAATCCACTTACCTGCCATCTTTAACATTCTAATTTTTTTTTCCACTGCCCCTAATGACTACAAATCTCAGTCCACTTACCTCACAATAATTCGACTATTAGCCATACTAAATGCATCCTACAAGCCTGTATTCCATATCCTATGTTAAGAAAACCCAGGCCCCACGTTCCTCCTTCGAGGTCGTCGGCCGCCGGGGAGGTTCGGGGAAGAAAACCTGGCTGTGGAAGCATCTTCAGACGTCACCTCCCGGACCCTTCATGCCCTCGCCCTTCAGATCACCATAGAGTCTCCTCTGCTGTCGCTCTCCCCTCACCGTCGCCGTCAAGCGAAGCGAAAAGCCGTCGCTCATTCAGCTCTGCCCCTCTACCTCTGACTTCTAAGCCGCTCAGAGTAGTTGGTCAAACTGTGCCTTATCGTCGTATTCCTGTGTTGGTCTATCTTGACGTCTGTACTTATAACGCCGCCCTGGAAAGCACGTGGTTGACTCCGGGTATAATTGGCTGACCCGTTCAAACACGGCTTCAAGCAACACGACCGGACTACCTCCAGTAAACAGGTCCTCCCTTGAGGACCTAAGAATGAAGTATCGATCAGACTTTATGCAGGATAAATCTAGTTAGAGATTAGTAATGTTAGGCGCCAGCCATTAATTTTTTGTCTAAAGCTAACTACCGTCGACCACCACAGAAATAGACGCACGTTTTTTCGTCATTCTTTGCCTGAGAGAAGGATCAGGAAATTGCATCCAGGTATTTCATTGTATCAAATTTTAACGTTCGGTTCAATTCTGTTACCCACCCTTGAAACTATGATTACGTTGCTACAGTAATCAAATGACAACATCGGGTGACATCACGTCCTTCCCATTATCATAAAGCCTCAGCAATCCCGCCCAAGACGGATCCTCACTGTTGAATTGGATCGGATTAGAGAGATGTCTCTAGAGACTCGCTACGAGGAGCAGGGACTCGGCTGGGGAAGCTCCCTGCCGGTGCCCAGCGTCCAGGAGATTGTGAGGAAGGACCCCCTCTGCGTCCCCGACAGGTACAGGAGAGGCTGCCTGGAGAAGCCCACGGCGGAGGCCCTCGCCACTTCCCTCGACGTCCCCGTAATCGACCTCTCGCTTCTTTCCAGCGGCCACGAAGGAGAGAGACGATATCTGGACAGCGCCTGCAAGGACTGGGGTTTCTTCCAGGTACAGAAGCCAACACGCAATCCATTTCTGGCCTTCTTTCCCATTCACAAACATAGACTAAATCCCGCCTTGTTGTCGTCCTTCCGCAGATCGTAAACCATGGGATCAGCGAGGAGGTCATACGCCAGATGAGGGCGGCCGCGTCTGGATTCTTCGACCTCCCGATAGAAGAAAAGAGGAGATACGCCATGGCGGCGAACGATATCCACGGGTACGGGCAGCTCTTCGTCGTGTCTGAGGAACAGAAGTTGGACTGGGCAGACGTCCTGCACCTGATCACACGCCCAAGCAAGCTGAAGAATCTCAAGTACTGGCCGACCGTGGTGTCAAGTTTCAAGTAAGAACGAGAGAAAATCATACACGTTATCGTAACTTGGTAGAAATTCCAATTACACAACACCCGACGCTCTGCAAATCCATCGCACTGACCGCGGAGGACACGGTTTTCTAACATCTGCGCTCTCGATTCCAGGGACGCCCTCGAGGCATACTCAAAAGAGCTAGAGAGGGTCACCAAGATGCTGCTCGAAAACCTTTCCCGGTTGATGAACATGGAGGAGGACGGCCTGCTAAGATTGCATGGGGACTTGACGCAATCCACGAGAATAGCTTACTACCCACCCTGCTCCCGGGCAGACGAGGTCCTGGGCCTGGGCTCGCACTCCGACAAAGGTAGTATCACGTTTCTCCTCCAGGACGACGACGTCACGGGGCTTCAAATCAGGCACGGCGGCATGTGGATCCCCGTCAAGCCGATGCCAAACGCATTTGTCGTCAACATCGGCGACTCCGTTGAGGTATCCACTCCGAGCATATCACACGGCTTGTTGTACGCTCTTTTCATTTGCCTATCTGTCGAAAATATATCTATGTATAAGCCCACATGTTGACAAGGTCGTGGAATATGTCATGGCGCAATGAATCTCATTCCACTGGATCTTGCAGGTGTGGAGCAATGGTCTGTACAAGAGCGTACAGCACCGGGTCATCACAAACAGGGAGAAGGCGAGAAAGTCCATCGCGATGTTCATTCTTCCGCACAACGACGCAGAGGTTGGGCCATTGGAGCAGATGGTGGACGAACCCCATCGGCCGAGAAGGTATAGAACGGTGAGGTTCCTCGACGTTCTAAAGAACCTCAATCAAAGGGAGCTTGAAGGAAATTATGTGGACGCGTTGACCCTCCAAGATTAGCGAGCACTCGTATTGATAATCTCCCCATCTTTTCCAGACCAGGTTAACAAGCGGTTTTTTTTTATCCTTATGTGCTCTCGTGTTATAAAGATTATGTATGAATATCGATTAGACTGTGGGAATATGAAAAGCTGGTACTATCTTCGTAAGATGCGGGTGATCTCCCCCGTCTCTTCGTCAAGATATCATTATTTCAGATCCCGAGATTGCCTCCCAGTATATGCTCGAGGCAGCGGTGACTGAACAACAGTACGAATGCTTAAAAGCACGGTCGATGGATGGAGGTGGATAGTCAGAATAAGAGAGAGAGAGAGAGAGAGAGAGAGAGTTAAAGGAATCTACTATTCATTCAAAGTGTATGATATATTTTTATATAAGCCCAGTAATGATATTTTTGGTACTGAGGATGAAAGAGGAACTTAAGAAAAGGGCGAAATGATGTATTTTATTTTATTTTTGCTGCTAGATTGGTAGATTTTCCATAAAAATGTTCAAACCAGATACTATGTAATCAAGTATTTTCGAGAGTCGTAAAGATGTCCAAATATTATGTCAGATAAAATAATCATTTTACCCATAAATAGATTTTTATTAAATTCAATTTATTCAATTTGCCAAAGAACACATGAGCACATGAAGTGAATCAAGAGATAAGCAAAGGGAGAGACAATTAAACCGCAGAGAGAGAGGGAGAGAGAGACCCAGAAGAATTATGGAAAAAATTCTAAATATAGAAGGAAACAGCAAATCCCAAGGATAAGATAACAAGAGGAAAAATTTATGGGCTAACCTAGACCACAGCGGGCTCTCCACACGGCGATCTTTGTACATCACGCTAAGATGTGGGTACACGCGCTTCTCCTTTCAGGCATTTTTACATGCATTTACCATGCCATCGGGAGTCACCGTGGGAGCTCGGCCCTCGCCACCTGAAGGACTCAGCCTCTGCATAATTTACTAAACCTCAACTACACAATGTACAGTTTTCTTTTCTCTCCCTAAGTACACGCCACAGTTTTCTTCAAGGCCAACCAATCGGCCTCTGCCGCCCTAAGAACAGAAACATGTAATGTAGGTAGCTCACACTGGCCTCAGTTAGCTGTACAAACCTTCTCCTCCTGCTCCTCCGGGGATCCACCGCCCTACGACGACGACGACGACGACTGGACTCCGATCCTTCTCTCTGCATTCAGCACAGAGGGAGGATTCATCTCAGACCAACACCATAGAAAGAAAAGCTCGTGCGGCGATGATCTCATCGCTCGAGGAGCATAAGATTATATATAACGCCTGGAATTATGTTATGAAGTTTAGTGACGTACCCCCAGCCGCGACGAGCTTCTCCACACGGGCAACTATGTGCTTTCCGTAGGTGTACTTTTTCAGAGCATTCAGGTGCACTTTTATGCGGGACAAGATCAGCTCCCGCTGGTGGTCGTCGCAGGTCTCCAAGACCTTCTGCACGACGTAGTTCCCAAACTGATCCTTCATCATCGCCTGAGCCACGAGTGGAAGACCATAGAAGAGCTTAGCTTTCTCGAACTGGGCAGGCAGGAGAGAGAGAGAGAGAGAGAGAGAGAGAGAGAGAGAGAGAGGCTCAAACGAAGCAAAGGAGGGGCAGAGGAGAAAGAAACCTGGAGGGGCTCGTTCTCATCAGTGGACCCAAGCATCTCGTGCACCAAAATTTGACGTTCTGCTGGGCTACCGAAGGTCAAACACTTCTCAACAACATTAGAAGCGAACTTCTGCTGGCTCATTTGGATTATCTGCCCAGCCAATTTCTTTATTATTGCGGAGCGCTCGTGGGGCTTCCCATGCTCCAGCACATGCTGCAAAAGGGGGAAACGAGAGGCCAACGGTATGAAAGAAGCATTGGCAGCAGAGAGGAAGGAACAACGGAACCAGACGCCAATGGGCAACAGAGTATGCTCTATGAAGAGAGGAAGGAGCATACCCTGTTGCCCACAGATTATGTTCTATGAAGAGAAGAAGGAACGACATCAGGGCATGTTCTACGAAGCAACAATGACCATTTCAAATGACAACTCCTACAAATCACTTGAACGGCATAAATATGATGCTACGCCGGAGACAGCCGATTAACCTCACCAAGTCGAAAATGAACCCACAGGGAGAAAACCTCAGATTCAGCCAATTTCTTATCTCCATGCATCACCGTCATGGGAAATACTGCATTTCTTATATAGACGCACACAGCAACAGGAATACAGTTCGGGGGAAACAATTTGAGAAATTATGAATCAAAAAGAATATAACGTAGATACGACCTGAAGATGAAAAGGCGGGTGGAAATATCATTCTTTGAAAACGTGGTGATATTTACAAACCTGCACAACATAGTTCCCATACTGGTCTTCTGCCAACATGCAAACAGAGAGCAGAATCTCATCCATCATGATGCGCTGGGTTTTGGGATCGTCGCAGTACTCCAACACTCTCTATTAAAAGGGTGAAGAACACAACACTCCCATAGTCACACTTTACTAGAGAGTAGAGTAAAATGAGGGGAAATGGGAAATAATAGCATTTTTCAAAATGAATTCGCGAACCTGTATCACACGACAGCCATAGGGGTGGGTCGATAGTGTAACAACTTGATCGTAGAATGATGACACGATGAACTGAATGGCATCTTGAGGAATGCATTCTATGCATTTCTGAATCACATGGTTTCCATTTTGATCCCGCACGCAGCGCATGATGTTACCTTCAAGTTCTGCAACCATCTTAGTCTGCTGATCTAAATCAACCACTTCTATTGCCTGGATAGACATAACGCACGGACAGAGAGTAGCTGTCAACACCAGTTTATTCCACAGGCATTCAAGGAAACAGGAAGGTTGCCACTAAAAATTTCTAAACAACTGGACCATGCTAGCGAGGATACCATACACAAGGATTCTCCTAGTAAGTAGAAAAATCCGAAAAGTAATTGTCATGCAGTAAAACAAAGAAAATATCAAAAAAATAGTCCTAAGAAAAATAATCCCGACATATCTGCCAAAATCTCGGATTGAATCCTCGCCATACACTGGAAAAACTTCACCGCAGCAAGACTATCAGATCACATCCATACAGTTCAATTTTAGACCAAAATAGTAATATCGTCACACCCATCGTCTGCTCATTACAGTTCTACCGTTTGTCTCCATTCCATCTCGCCTGAATTTACGGTCAGCCTACCCTCAAGAATAGGAGGATTTCCGAGCAGGTTTTCCACCTTTGTTCATAAAAAGATGGATGATATCATCTGTCAGAATGCATATTTAAAATTGAACCGTAGAAACATATTTAAAACCTTCAGAATGCATCTCAATTTCTGTTTTTATTGAAAACTCGAAATCGGGAATTCAATAAAAGAAAACATGGGTGATGGATCGCAGTGCAATCTTCTCAGGTAACAACACCGTAACAGTGCGTCAGATTTTCGTAGTTTTCCTCCCAACGACAGATCATAAGGACAGGAATTGGCCAATATAAATTTACACCAGGTTTTCTTTGGACCCAGGCCATTTAGATCAGAATCAGAAAATGATAAATTCATCACGCATGGCAAGGAAGTAAAACGGCTGGAGAACTGAGCCTGCACCCAAAATATTGATGTAAGGTATATAAGATATATATATTGCTATAATGGACCAATTCCTCTCAGTCAGGCGCTGTGCCTTCGGAGCCTTAACTAGAGTCCCAGAAACTGAGGATGCACAGTCGCATGAAACCAAAGAAAGGAAATGAGCACTGATCACCCTAATCCGCAGCAGCGTCTCAAGTATCTATTTTACACTAATATTTCTGTCCAGAGAAAAAAAACCTCGTTCAATGTCTACGGTCAGTACTCCAAGCTTCTCCCAATATCCATAAACGACAAAACTGTGATCAAGACCCTAACGGCACTGATCAAAATATTTTCTAATTCAATCTTTGAAAACAATTGACCGGGCATCAAAAAAAAATTCACAAAATCAGGTCAAAAACAAGATCGTGAATGAATAATAAGAGTGTAACACTGAACCAAAATGGTCCAATCAATCCTCATACTATCAGAACATGAAAAAAGGCTGTCGTAACATCCTATTTACGAAAATACAGCCACAAATTTGTCACGAATAAATAAGCAGCTTATTCTGAATACACGCACGAATCCATGTCCTGACAAAAATAAAAAGATAAACCATTACGTCGCTGTTATATAACAACTCGAGAAATACAGGAATTGCACTCATAGGCAGATACCAGGTAGTCAAATAAACCATAAACGCAGTTGTACATAAGAAAAAAACTGATATAGTCTAAACTATAAGGTGAAAACTGAGAAATTATCTATCATTATTACTTTTGACTCACTCTTCGTTTGTCTTAAGATTAAAGCGATAAACACACTACCATACCTTCTGCATATGACATTCAAATGTACATTCATATGACTATTACACTACCGTGCAATGCACTGAGGCATCTAAAATCATTAGAAGACAAGGCTAGCATTCAATTACTGCAACGCCAAAAGTGTCCATGATGGGACTACCTGTCGTATATTCACTCGAATCAATATCAATGTCGTTTTCAATTTCAAAATCTCATCATCAACGTGTAAAAATAAAAGTTACACTGTTTAAGTGGTAGACGTAGATTCATTGAAACCTGAATTTCAGAAAGGGAAACAACAGACTTTGCCAAGATATAAAAAATATTCATTTACCTTCTGGATCACTCGACACCCATACATTTGAAGACTAAGAGTTAGCACGTGCCCAGTAAGTTGATCGGCTAATTCTCTTCTCTGGGCTGCAGTTCCATGCTCAAAAAACTGACACAGTACATGTTAAAAGAAGGCATAAAAGCGAAAATGGAAAGATATAAATACATTTTCGTAAGGTACCTTCTGAATCACATAATTCCCAAACACGTCAGTCATTAATGAAAGTGCTTGCGGCATTATCTCTTCAAACACTATATTCTTTTCCTCAGTTGTAGCTGTTTCAAGTTTTTGTTGAATGAAACGACTCCCATACTGGTCGGCACTGCATACAAAGATATTGGGATTAATTAGCATACTATTAACGTTTATTTAAGGCATATTTTCCAAGGACGTGCCATACCTAAACTCAACAACATGGCCAATAATCTCAGAAAGTTCAAAGCATTTAGTCTTGTTGCTCTTAAATTCCTCCAGCAGTGAAGATGCAAAACCCTCATCAAACGTCCCACCAACATCAGATCGCCAAGATCCCAGAACGCCGCCTCCCATATTTCTTATGCCAGTTGGAAAACGGACGTTGCGATCACCATGCCTGAGAGGACTACCGGATCCAACCGGAGAACCAGGTAGAATGGGGCTCGCCATCGGACTTCCTCCATATGATACACCAAGACCAAAACCAGAATTTCCATAATAACCATGATTCAGACCTCCCAGTTTACCCTGAAAGGGCATGCTATATTGTTTTTGAGATGACAGCAGTGAGCCGAGATAAGCTTTTTGTATGTTCTGGGGATCCAAGTACGAGTTATTCATGTAGTTTTTATCAAGTGAAGAGCCATTGTAAGTAGCCGCAACTTGTGCAGCATATTCTGACATCCGTAAATACTGTAAATACATTGGATCCATTGCAGGCATCTGGAGTGCAGGAGAAGCATCAGCATAGTTCCCAATCCTACCAAGACTTTGAAGGTGATCTCCAGGAAAGTTAGAGCCTGTAGAAATCCGTGTACCAATATTAGTTCCAACTCCACAAACAGGAGAAAAATTCACAAATTAATGGGTGACTTACCCGCAGCAATCTGATTTGCCATCATGGGCGAGAATGCAGGATTTACCGAAAGACCATTTGGCCCATAGTTAGTAAAAGCGTCATTAGAACTGTCCACATTCTGATAATGAATAGGAGGAATCCCTGAACTGTTAAAAGATGTTGCTTTTGAGAATGAGCTTGCAGCGGATTTAGTGGACTTGTGAATATCACCGAGACCCTCAGGTGTCAAACCAGAATTGCCTAAATCTGACATGCCTCCGGGTTTTCTTGCCAAATCATTATAAGGTGACATAACTGGCTGAGCAGAAGAATTACCAAGATGCCCAGATGCAGATTTTTTTAAATAAGGATGCTGCTTAACATGATGTCGATCCTGAAGATCAAAAAGATAATTCTGATGATCTTCAATTTCCTTCTGAAGCTTTACCTGGGCAAGTTTCTCTTCATCTAGCACACCACCTCTAGACAAGTTCATATTTGACAAGGCATTGACAATATCTACAGGCTCAACTATGTTTGAGGATGAATTCAAGGGGTTGGAGCCATTGTTATTCTTCTTTTCAGAGGAGCCAATCTTCACACCCACAGGTGGAAGGCAAGGACTAGGAGCCCTAGCTACCAACTGAGGATCTGGAGTATTGCTCCTTGACAGTGATGCTCCAACGACAGAAGCAAACGAGTGAGACATAGATGAAACAACAGGTTGCCCACCAACGCCTTGAATAGTGCCACTTGTACGAAGACTATCGACAGAAGACAATTCATGATGCAAATTCGCAGCATGTGCCTCAAGAGGACGCAAAGATTCTACACTGTCATCAAAAGCATTGCGGCTTGCTGGGCGAGAAGGATGCCTTGACACAGAAGTATTACATCCCAAATCATCCTGCAACGAAAATAAATATTACTCCACTGGCCAAACAAAGATACCATAGAAAAAACAGTTAACAACGTTGACGGAGCAAAAGATTGAAAGAGCACATGACAATTGCAAATAACCTAGATCTGAAAGTTGAAAGTAATATAAAGCGCTATAATTAGAGACATCCAGGTTATTTTATGCATTATCAATCATCTGAGTTGCCAAGAAACAAACAGAATTCATTTGACTTGCCAAGAAACAAATGTCAATTACTCGACAAAAGATAATGGTAACAAGGCATCAAAGTGAATGTCACACAGGACGAATGTGCTGAGGACTTACTGCTAGAAAGAACAGCATTCGACCAAAATTATGAAAAAATATCAACTGAAGAGATGGGAGGAATTAGGGAGATGAGTTTAGGAACCAAGTATCTCAAACTAAAAATGGAACAGTTTCGAGGATAAAGGATTTCAGGTCATTAACTTTGGCATAGAATATAATGAAATGTATTATAGAGAGTCCCCTGTAATGTCAGACGAAATTTGTTAACAAACTAAAGAGGAGGAGATTATAATAAATCATAGTTTGAAACTAAGGTGTGGCAACCATGTAAACAAAACCACCATAATCATCTCGAAATAACATTAATAACCTTCATTACTTGATCGTGATTATATGCCTGATTAAATTGCAGACACAACATCCCCTTGAAAATAATGTTTCAGTCAGTAAAACACATTAGGTGACAAATAGCAGACAAGACATTACTCCCACTGTAAAAAAGGTGAGGGAGACCTCATAACAGGACACGTCCTATGTATCATCAAACGGCACATCTAGCGCATCAGCAACATCTACGACCTCGTATGATAAATCATGCAACATAATGAGTAAATTAAATAACTGGAAGTATATAGATAAAGGCTGGGTCCTTGAAAAGGAGAAATATCAATCGTACGGTAAAAAGTACATTCATTCAATAACAGGGAGCCATAAATTACCATGAATAGAAACGGAAGAAAAGATCAACTCCCCAATGATTCTTTTACCAATGGTAATTTATGGCTTCGTGATGCAAACAAAATGTGAGAAAAATGGCATCACACAAATCATCATCATCCCACCATTTCCAGCAAGATATTCTAGACCTTGGATTGCAAGACTCCACATATTTATTATATATCTATGGGACCTTCCATTCGATGTTGATATTAATCATTTAGTTTTTTTCGTGACCATAAGCGGATAATGGAATCAATGCAAATAAATATTGTCACGTTGACTCCCAGTCACATAGGTTGATAACATTCACCTCTCCTTCACTACAGCGTATCCTGTCCACGTCGATAATTTGAAAAAGTAGAGGTGACACTTGTAGAAATTATCTATTAGTTCCCAACAAAAAGGAAATGTCATAATTAATTAACAAACTACACATAACTAACAAGCTTTAACAAAAAAAGTGATTTGCACGTATTTCTATTCAATCATCGTCGGATGTCAATAGTGATCCTGTCCCTTGAAGTTCTCTTAAATTTTGGTGGCTCAGAAACAGAAGGATCAACATTACATCATAAAAGATTCACCTTTTTCCTTTTAAGTTCAGAAGACGAGATAGTTGTAGATACATCGATACAAATGGATGCAAAAACGGAGGTTAGATAAAAATGGGTAGAAAATGGCAAAGTAGATCACCTGAAAAATATCAGCTATGCTCTTCTGCCGGCCATCAAGGCCTAGACCTGACAACCCAATCAAACCGTCGTTACCCCGATCCAACCACTCACCAGGACCTAGTGCTTTCCTCGGATCGGATTCACGATCATCCTGCGGATTAAACCTCGGTTGCATAGAGAACATCGATCGGTTCCCACCTTCATCCCCCCGACCCGCCTTGCGCTGATCACCGATCCCTCCCAAAGCCGAGCTTCCCGCCTGCAACCTTTGTGTGAACCTCCAGTCCTCTTTCGAGAGCACGGGCGGTGGAAGCCGAGGATTGAGATTCACGTGGGAGTAATAGTAAGAAAGGTATGAAGGATCGGACCGGATTTCCTCTTCAGAGAGGAATCTGTTCCCATTCCTCCCAATCTCTGGAAACCCGGAGCCGTCCCCGCCGAGTAATCGACCGACGGCGGTGATGGAACCTTCAACTGTGGGAGGAGCAGAACCGCTCCTATACAGATTGAGTTCACTCTCATGATCGCACGCTTCTTGCCGACGCTGCTCGCGGAGGAGCATCCCCAGGTCTTTCCCTGCGTCGTCGCCACTGAACCCATCGCCCCCTCCGCCGCTGCCAATAACCGTTCTCATCCCCATATCCGAAAGCATCCTCAGGCTCTCCGTGACCATCCCAAACAGAAACAACGACGGCGAGAAACAAGATGAGAAAAAACCCAAAGTTAACAGGAATCGGTGAGGTCAAGTCTACGGGAAGAAATTGAGTCTATCCATACACAACGAACACATGACACCGAAACAAGAAAGCTCCAGTTTCTCCCCGTCAAAAACCTAATTCACTTCGTTTTCAAAACGAAAACCTCCAATCCGGTGACAGATGCAAGGCAGCAAATAATCCATCTCCCCGAGAAAAATCCCCTCCCCCCCCCGCCCCCAAAGAACGATATGATTCCGAGAGATCAAAGCCCAAACGTCCGATCCCCGCAGCGGAAAGCCAGGCGATCAACGACGAATTCAGCCATTCGCACCGGAGATGAATGTCGTCGCAGCTCGGCAGTTCTGGGAGAAACTCAGGACCAGAGTGGAGGGAGAGAAGGAGAACAGTGCGCGAAGTGCAGGACTGATAAGCACAACCCCCCGTCTCACGTCCACCGTCCGATGCCGAAACGGACGCTGCAGATCGCCGCAGGCCCTTCCCCCGCACCCTCCCCCGCCCCCACCTTTCTTTCTAGGGTTTTATCAAACGAGTTTCTAAAATCTGGCCGATTATATTAGCTCGTTAATAATTATTACCCCCCAATAAGACTTTCCTTTATTTCTAAATTTATAAATAAAAACTTATTTTTTTACTTCCCATAAATTGGTATTAAAAATAAATCCCTCTATTTGTCTTGCCCGTGGTCGGCCCTTCTTCTTTTTTACCGGTAATACTTATTTTGCCTATTTTTTATTTATTTATTACATATTTAAACCAATAAAGTAGTTATCCTCGCCCCTGGAAACCCTAAGGTTGGCCTCACCCCAACGTCAGCATCGCTCCCCACGTTCTGATTAGCACGTGCGGATGGCCTAGGGTTCATCCCCCTTCGACGGAGCCCGAAGTGGCCCGCGGCCAATCCGCTCGATTAAAATCAGACGGATATGATATCACCGTCTCGATTACGCGTGCATATCTCTTACGATGTGCCCGGGGGCAGAGTATCGCGCACGAGACTATCGCCCGGCACTGGAGAAATGCCTACGGCATGTAGGGTCTCGTGGTCCACCGGACCATGATAAGCATTCAAGTCCCCATCCGAGGGCGACGTTGGGGGGACCGAGGCTCCAGAGCCACCGCTCACGTGGAAAATAAATTCAAAACTACGACGAAAAGACGGATGGCACGTGAGAGCCCAGACCGGAACTACATAGATTGTTGACTTCGAGTCAAAACCAGAGTGGGTCCAATCTGACGTGTGTTCAAATTTTTGAGCCCTCACCCCCCCCCCCAAGGGACGGATTGCTGAGCACCGACGCACGTGCACGAATTTCAATAAAAATACGTGCAACCTTTTTTTAACTGTTTGGGCCCATCGTCGTTCAGCCCAATAGTAAAGACAGAAGAAAAAGCCCAGGCCCAACGTGTTTAAGACACCCGGGTCGGGCCCAAGAGAGAGGATTTCCTGCGATCGTGATGCACGTGGTGTTTAAAGTCAACTACGAACAAAAATTAACTGTAGGGGGAGGGGGGCGTGCCCCACCGATATCACATTTATTTGTGAAACAGGATAAGGATCATCCTCTTCCTGACCTTTGACTTGATTTTATCAGTTTTAGTTCGATCGACATTCCTTTATTCGAAGCAGGAAAACGGGGAGAAGATCTCGACGTAGTCAACGGACGGGATACAATGAAAGCGATCTAGATCCCGAGCTTACTGACCCAGTTGACCGATCTTTCTCGAATCCAGTTTCGAACGGTTGACCAAATATCCAAGAAGAGCCATGTTTAGCCCGAGAGAGAGAGAGGAACTGTAGGAGGAGTTATCGGAAATAATGAGATTTACAAGGGGTGGAACGCGAAAGAAGCGGTTCTCGACTTTGCTGGAAATTTTAAAGGCAACAATCGGTGGGCCTTCTGGGCCTACGCCTTAAAGCGAGACTGGCCGGATCGGTCCACGTGAGCTGGGTGGACCCACTCCAGCCGGCAACCGCTGTTCGCCACGCTTCCTTCGTAATTAACCGTCCAAGACACTATAATAGATCCGATGTGATTGGTGCGGTCCACTGGGACCCATTTCACCGATTACCACCCACAGTCTAAGAGAGAGAGAAGAGAGAGATATGAGAGAGAGAGAGAGAAGGGGACAGAAGAGAGAGAGAGAGAGAGAGAGGTTGGTGGGGAGCCGTCGAAGGTGAACATTCTTCGCAAGTTGTGCAGGTGCATGTAAATGATCTGGGGTCGGGGCGCGTCAGAGTTAGGCGGCGGCTGATCCTTAGTTAGAGAAGGGGAGAGAAGGGGAAGGAGGGAAGGAGAAGGTGAGGAACTTTGCGGCTCCAAGGATGGCGGAAGGCAGGATCTCCGGCAAGTTAGGGGGGGAATTCGTCGTGGCGGGGCTGGAGGGGACGCTGCTCAAGGACCCCGATCCATTCCCCTATTTCATGCTCGTCGCCTTCGAGGCCTCCGGCCTCATTCGCTTCGTTCTCCTCCTCCTCCTCTGGCCCGTCATCTCGCTCCTCCGCGCCGCCGGCCACGGCGACCTGGCGCTCCGAGTGATGGTCTTCGCGGCGGTCGCGGGTGTGCGGGAGACCGAGATCGCGACGGTCGCGAGGGCCGTACTGCCCAAGTTCTTCGCCGAGGATGTTGATCCCGGAGCGTGGCGGCTGTTCAGCTCCCGCCGGAGAAGGGCTGTTGTGACGGCGCTGCCGCGGACGATGGTATCGTGGTTTGCCAAGGAGCACCTCGGCGCGGACGAGGTCGTCAGTGCCGAACTTTCGGTCAACCGGTTCGGGATCGCCACCGGGTTCCTCGAGAAGCAAGCAGACTCGGTGGTGAGTTGCAGCGGCAGTCCTCCACTCGATCTCCGCAGGACCACGACTCACTCCCTCTACAGCGTGAGCTCCGCCACTGGAAACCCTTCCTCCACTGCCTCTCTTCTGTTTATTTTTACTGCGCGCGGGGGGGGGGGAGGGAATGAAACCCTGCCCAGACCTCTACCGCGACACCACGCGGTGGACAGCAGACATTTAAATGCATATAATGCTCGCGGAGGGTATTCTGTTTGATCTAAGGTCGCGCGGTACTTACCAATGTTTCAGGAGAAGCTCCGTCCTCAGTTCGCCGCCGGGCTCGAGGAGGATAAGGTGGCGCCAATGAAACCCGTCGTCTTCCACGACGGCCGCCTCGTGCGCCGCCCCACGCCCGCCACGGCCCTTCTGGTCGTCCTTTGGATACCGCTCGGCGTAATCCTCGCACTGGTGCGCACGGTTGCTGGATTGGCCGCTCCCTTCCACTGGATTCGCCCTCTGCTCAGATACTTCGGCGGCGAGCTGATCGTGCGCGGCCGGCCGCCGCCGCCGGCGACGAACACGAGGAGCGGCGTTCTCTTCGTGTCCAACCACCGCACCCTCATGGACGGCATCACCATCTCTGTCACTCTCGGACGCAAGATCCCCTCGGTTACCTATTCCATCTCCCGCCTAACGGAGGTCATCTCGCCAGTGAGGTTACTGCGGCTGTCGAGGGAGCGTGAGGCGGACGCCAAGCGCATCAAAGAGGAGCTCGCCAAGGGAGACCTCATCGTGTGCCCCGAGGGCACCACCTGCCGGGAACCCTTCCTCCTCAGGTTCTCCATGCTCTTCGCCGAGCTGACGGATCGAATAGTACCCGTGGCATTAGACTGCCGAGTCGGCATGTTCTACCCGACAACGGCTAGGGGATGGAAGGGTATGGATCCGATCTTCTTCCTCATGAACCCTAGGCCAGTCTACGAGGTGACCTTCCTCGACCAGCTACCGCCGGAGGAGACCTGCGCCGCTGGGAAGCGGCCCCAGGAGGTGGCCAACGGTGTCCAGAGGATGCTCGCAGACGTGCTGGGATTCGAGTGCTCAGACTACACCAGGAAGGACAAGTACATGTTGCTCGCCGGCAATGAAGGAAGGACGGATCGTTCGAGCTAGGACACAGCCCCAGGCTGCTCGACTCTACTGTGGATTCTTGATAATACGCATGCGGGTTATATATTTTTACTCTACTCTGGACAGCAGTAGCAGATCTACTTTCCATATCGGTTGCTGATATTCGAATCGATTGAGGCGATGATCTTCCTGATCTCTGTTGTTGTTCTTGCCTTGACCAGGCATATCTTCAATTATCGTACTGAATCATATGTACGTACACTTAGTCAGAGAATAATAACAGATATTAGGAGCATCATCGCCCCAATCGATTGCAAAGTCGGCAAGCGAAATGCCTTGCGAAGGTTGACAACGAGCTTACTGCCATTTGTCTAGCGAATTAAACGAAGTTTAATGCTTATTCTCAGAGCGCAAACGTAACATATTTGTCTACATGGTCAGCACGATGATACCCGACAGTCAACGTGTTCTCGATCAGCCTGTTACAGTTATTCATTAATAGCCACAAATAAAATAAGCAATAAAAAATACTCCCACTACATTCAATGCCCAATAATTTTATTTTCTTTTTATATACATATACATATAAATAGAGAGTGAGTTGGAGAATGAGAGGGGGAGGGAGAGAGAGGTCCCAAGTCCATAACATGGCGTCATGCTTGATGATTCCCACCATAGATTTCCACACGTCGTCTTCCAAAGGGAACGAATCCTGTCAATTAATGAGCTTCATTTTCGTCCACTTAACTCCCACTAATGGCGCCATCCAAATCAGTTGATGTTCATGAACCAGTGGCAGCTGTTGAGGACGATCGTTCCCTCTCATCTGTCGGGGATGGTGTAGATCTTCAAATGGTAGATCGCCGTTCGCCAACGGATATCCCGCGCCGGTCTCACCCATACGTCTGCTAGATTCGATAGCAGCCATCGTGGTAAGTCTACGTTGGTAGCCTGCATCATTGCACTACTGAACTGACCCACCCATGTTTAAGACGCAGACTCGTGAACTAGCTATCGTCGACGCCCGTGATCCGATCATGGGGACTAAACAAGGATGGATGTTCCGGCGGTGAGATTTTCGCCTTTAATTTGACCGTCTCCAGAAGAGTCGGTACGCAATCTTGAACATAAATCCGTTCTTGTGAGATGCAGCTAATTGTTGCCCACTCGATCCGTAGCATGGATAATAAACGACGGATCTTGTTGGGACGAGTCAACGCCTTTATCTCGAACGCAAACCCTTCTTCTCCCATGAAGGTAGCACTGCCCACTTGGTACCTTAACGTGGAGTACAAGGCAATCGTTTCTTTCCTGTTCAGTTTTTGGGAGGAGTCAAAGTTTGGCATAAGCATCTGCCCTTTTGACTCGTCCAAGTGGGTTTTAAACAACTTGACTCTGGTTTGACCTGATGAAAATTCTGGTCGACATGTCATCCCTTCTTAGAAGTCAACTCTCCATCCTGAACGAAAACTGACTTCTTGACTCTAATATTCTAAGCAAACTCGTCCTTCTCGGAAATTAACTATCTAGGCGTAACACGACGGATGTCATTCTTGTGGCGAAGGAATTGATGAGTGATATTAAACACCTGCTTATTGGAAAATGAAACTTTATTCATGTCATCAATATATATCTGCTCGTGCTAATCTGTGAATACTAGCAAACTAATGGCCCGTAGTTTCACAGTCTGGGTGTCATTATATTATCCTTCTAATATTATCAGCCAACATAAAGAAACGATAATTCGTTCCAAAACCAAGGAAGACTCTGTGATACGATTGAAACCAATCTAACATCAAATACAAGATGGGCAATTTAGGATGGATGGGCCATAATCCATTTTCCTTGTTCTCCTGGGCATTTCATACTTTTTATGGTGTGATGACTGAAATAAAAACCCTCCCATACCTTCTTATCTCAAGGAGAGATTGAACGATGTTCTTTGCAGATAATCTGTCAATAAGTCACTTTTCCTTGAGAAAAGAAAATTCATAAGAGGAAGAATGCTTTAAGACAGAGGTACAAATAGCCTCAATACTAGGTTACAAGGCTCTGATAGCTCCTCTCTCTCTCTCTCTCTCTCTCTCTCTCTCTCCCTCCCTCCCTCCCTCTCTCTCTCTCTCCTTCCCTCTCTCCCTCCCTCTCTCTCTCTCTCCTTCCCTCTCTCCCTCCCTCTCTCTCTCTCTCCTTCCCTCTCTCCCTCCCTCTCTATCTCCCCTCTCCCTCCCTCTCTACTCTCCCCTCTCCTCTCTCTCTCTCTCCCTCCCTCCCTCTCTCTCTCCTCCCTCCTCTCCTCTCTCTCTCCCTCCTCTCCTCTCTCTCTCTCTCCCTCCCTTTCTCTCTCTCTCTCTCCTCCTTCCTCTCTCCCTCCCTCTCTCCCTCCCTCTCTCTCTCTTCCTCTCCCTCCCTCTCTCCCCTCCCTCTCTCTCTCTCTCTCCTTCCCTCTCTCCCTCCCTCTCTCCTCCCTCTCTCTCTCTCTCCTCCTTCCTCTCTCCTTTCCCTCTCTATCTCCCTCTCCCTCCTCTCTATCTCCCTCTCCCTCCTCCTTCTCTCTCCCTCCCTCTCCCTCTCTCTCTCTCTCTCTCCCTCCCTCCCTCTCTCTCTCTCCTTCCTCTCTCCTCCCTCTCTCCCTCCCTCTCTCTCTCTCTCCTTCCTCTACTCCCTCCTCTCTATCTCCCCTCTCCTCTCTATCTCTCCCCTCCCTCTCCCTCTCTCTCTCTCCCTCCTCTCTCTCTCTCTCTCTCTCTCTCTCTCTCTCTCTCTCTCTCTCTCCTTCCCTCTCTCCCTCTCTCTCTCTCCCTCTCTCCTCTCTCCCTCCTCTCTCTCCCTCTCTCCTCTCTCTCTCTCTCCTTCCCTCTCTCCCTCTCTCCCTCCCTCTCTCTCTCTCTCTCTCCTTCCCTCTCTCCCTCCCTCTCTCTCCCTCCCTGCCTCTCTCTCTCTCTCTCTCCCACTCTCTCGTTTGATATTAGTAGGCCATATAAAGTAATAATAAAGGTCGAAATCAGCCCTTTGGTCGTGGCAAGCAAGTAACACTTTTGAAGAATATATCGGGAATTACTAAGGTGGCCAACTATTTTTGGAAGAAAAGGGGCTACTCCCAGATTTACATAAGGTAGTATATATTACCAACTAGACTCTTACAAGGAATTGTACTTAACTTTCATTGATTTTATAGTGAAATAGAAAAACTTAACAAAAATGGTGACATCTTGTGTTACATTACTAAGCATTTGGCACAAAGTTGCTGCCCTAAATTCTTGACTTTAGTTGTCCTTATCATTGAACTTGAAGGTATCTTGAGTCCTAAAATTCATAGCTTTGAATATGTATGCCAGACACTTGACACTAGCCCATGCCCATAAATTAATGCCTTTAGATACGATAAATATTTAATATTTATTCTATAAACTCATGGATCTTGGTAAGGGCAATGTGTGATCAACACTTACTTTTAATGATAGTAAAATAATATTCAGAACTCATATAATAGTAATAAATAAAATAGTAGATATTTGGCAAGAAGAGTTGACTTAAACATTATTCATATGCTATGATGAACGTAGCATGTTGAAAATGTGGTGAATTAGCTGCCATATTTTGTTTTTCAATGAAATTTTCAATAAGATGTGGAAAGTTTTGATATTAAAGACCACTCTATATTACATGTTTTAGTCTTTTACTTTAATAACGGGCCTAAAAAAATAACAATTATGGATTTTTTACTAATAATTTATTAAAAAAATATTCATCTATAAACATCATGTTATTTCTTACTCAATATGAGGCAAGTTGGCATTATTAGTGTGAAGTTGGCAATAATTCATCTATGAACTATATTTTCCTTCAAGGTGTGAAGACACAATACATCCATCCAACCTCAAAAATTTGTATGAAATTTATAATGGTTAATGAAAATAGTTATCATAAACTCCACGTCATTCAATAAATAATAATATGATAATATGATGATGATGTTCATATGAAATGTCTATTTTCTCAGCATCAGAAAAAGCACTCATTTAGGCAGCATCTCTCACCCTCTCTTTCAATAAGTGCTTATTATGGGGTGTGCTATAACTTACGAGCATAGATATCTATGGACATCACAAAGTATAAAATTTATAATGAAGGCATCATAAGACCAATACAATAATATCAATAATTGATATCTTCATATTTTAAACTTGGAATAACGCTACCCACATTGAGTCCATATATTCTCTCATGGATAAATGGCCAATTCTACCTTTTTATCGTGAGTCATGTCCCCAAAGCTATGGTCCATACAAAGAGCCATGAACTCACACTAGCATCAATAATTTGGGCTGATATTATCAGTTTTCTTAAGAACAAACCCCTTCAGGACAAGCTTGACCCATTCTATAATTTCATATTTAATTCTCCAAGGGTCTTAATAATTTCATATAAAATAATTCACAAGTTATATATGTGATTTCCTCTTTTGGTAGTGGATTGGACCATATGAGAGCGGTTGACCCTGCGTAGATCCTTGGAATCTAGAAACCACGAAGGACATCCTTAGTAGCTTCCATGCATACATGTATAGTATGAGAAATATTTAATTAAAATAATCTTCAAAACGTTGAAATTTTGAGGAGGAAAAGGAATATTGGCGGAGGGATTGATAATACTTGCGGACGCTTGCTCGGCCCACGCCCGGGATCAGAGTAGTAGGGATCAGTTGGCTCAGATATCCCAGCCAGAGCCCACTCGCTCGGCCTCCGCCTGTTTCTTATTCCGGACGACATCGTTCAATAAACGGGCATGTGCGACAAAAGACGGTGTCGAGAGCACGGTAGCTCCCTCTCTCTCTCTCTCTCTCTCTCTCTCTCTCTCTATCACAGACGAGCACGCAGAGAAAAGGAGAGAGAGAGAGAGAGGAGGCGTATCACAGAGAAGCCAGCGTGAGAAGAGGGCGCAGCGAAGGACAAAGGGGAAGCTTCCTCGTCACGGCAATGGAGGAGGGAAGACGATAAAACAGCCGTCGCCTCCATTTATTATCTTGACCCTCGACTCGCCGCCCTCGCGGTCCCCTTCTCGGTCCCTCCTCCCTCCCTGTTTGTTATCCAGCGGCGAGTGGCTCTGGTTCACACACATCTACCCACCACACAGACGCCGCCTGAGTCTCACCGCTTCCTCCGTCATCGGTCGTCTCTCGCCACCCTGGGTTGCTCCCTCGGCGGCCGGCCAGGAGAGGAACGCCGATTTTCGTCTCCCCTGAGTTGATTTGTTTGAGTTCTTTGGGGAACGGAGGAGGAGGATTATCGTCGCCGGATTTTTCTTGGTTTGTGAAGAGAAATCTGGGACGGCTGTGAGATCCTTCCCCCCGGGCGGGCACCGAGGTTTCTCCGGATGCCTTATCGCGCTGGGGTGACGGCGACGGCGGGTGCCGTGCCCTCCACGGACCTCGCCGCCGCCGGCGCCGCCGCGTCGCCGTCATCCTACTGGTGCCATCGCTGCACCCGATTCGTCAGGGTCTCCGCGCAGGATCCTTTCTCGTGCGCTGACTGCGCGACGGGATTCCTGGAGGAGGTCGACGCGTCGTCGGGTCCAGGCGGCGAGTTCAGGCGGCGCCGGTCGCCGCCGCGGCCGCGGCCGCCCGTCACGATGTCGATCCTCAGCGCCGCCGCTTCCCGCCGCCTGACCCGCCATTCCGACATGGACCTCCGCCGCTTCAGACACGCTGCCGCTTGGGACAGATCCCCCTTCAACCCGATCATCGTCCTCCGCGGCCAATCCGGCGGCGCTGGAATCTTCGAGTACTACTACGACGACGGCGCGGGGTCGGGCTTGAGGCCCTTGCCGGCGAGCATGTCCGATTTTCTGATGGGCTCCGGCGTTGACCGCCTGCTGGAGCAGCTGGCCCAGTTGGACTTGACCGGCGGCGGCAGAGCTCGAGGATGTGAGAACCCTCCGGCGTCCACCGCGGCCATTGACTCCATGCCGACGATCGAGATCGCTGAATCCCATCTCTGTATGGAAGCTCACTGCGCCGTCTGCAAGGAGCCCTTCGAACTAGGGCTTGAAGCTCGGGAGATGCCCTGCAGGCACATCTACCACCATGACTGCATCTTGCCGTGGCTGTCGCTGAGGAATTCCTGCCCTGTTTGCCGCCACGAGATGCCCGCCGGCGAGGAGAGAACTCTGCAGGAATCCGACGCCGACGAGAGCAGTGCGGTGGGGCTCACGATTTGGAGGCTTCCCGGCGGCGGCTTCGCCGTGGGCAGATTCTCCGGCGGGAGGAGCGCCGGCGAGACGGGCCTTCCCGGGGTTTTTACGGAGATGGACGGCGGGTTCAACGCAGGCGGCGGCGCCGCGCAGAGCAGGATGCCATCGAACTGGAGAAGCGGCCGGTCGAGAGCAAGCAGAGGGATTGGGAATGCGTTCCGCAATCTCTTGTTCCTGCTTGGGCTTCGCCGGCGATCATCCTCTTCGTCTTCTTCGTTCGGTTGGATCGACAGGAGGCCCGGCAACCACAGTTCGATCCCGGAGCCTGCAAATCCCGCTGGGATCTCCGGACGGTAACTGGGCGTGAAGGAATCGGAACCATCCTCCTGTCACAGGGGCCCCAGACGTCGCCTCTTCTTCCCAGCAATCGATCGCCCCTCTCCCGTCATCATTTCCACTGTAAATTCAGGAGCAGCAGGAAAAAGAAAAAATTCAGATCCTCTTTCTCTCTCCCCGTATCGAGATATTTGCGGATAATACGGAAGACGATGCGAGAATTGCAGAACGTGGAGCCGTCTGCCCTGCCATGGCGGAATCTCAGCCTCTGGGGCACCATCACCCACAGTTTTTTCAAATTTCTCTGTCGTGGCGTCTCTCACCCAGTTGGATGTCTTAGGGTTCTTGCTGGTTTGTCCCGACGTCGCCGCCTCTGATCACGGACGAGCACCGCTTCTTATTAAATCCCACGCTGTCTGGTTCTCTGCCTCCGGCCTCTCTCTCTCTCTCTCTCTCCCCTCGTCGCAGTCCACTCCGAAGGTCCTCTACCGGGGTTGACTGTCATCAGCTTGGGATGTTCTCCTCGTCGACAGAAAGTACTCACCGCTGAGATTTCCTTGTTTCACGGCGGCCGTCCACCCTCTACGCCGGCATGAAGAAGAGAACCGGAGGAAAACGACGAACCAGACAGAGGAAGAGGAGGAAATTCCTGTTTTGACACGATGGCCCGCAATCCTCCTTAATGGGCCTATGAGTGGCCCGAATACAGGTTGGCCTCAATTCAGCTGTGCCTCGAATGGGTGTTTCCCTGTCTAACTTGTGGGCCAGCCCACTGTACAATTTTAATTGGGCCTTTGGATGCTCCAAACCCAGTCAATACTGGGCTTCCGTCTTCTCGCCCCAGTCAGGTCGTCGTCGAGTCCAGAAGCGACCTCCCCCAGTGTTATGCTAACCATCGCCATCAGATTCGTTGCACCACTGGATGGCGGTCAGATCGGTGGGCCCACTCACGCGTGTTCCCCCCTCGCGCACGTGCGCTGGTCGTCGTGATGGCGACGCTCGTGGCGGCCGGATCGGGTGAATCGGACCGGGATGGGCGTGGGCCCAAGCCACCCAACACACCGGTGGATCTATGGCTCCCCAATTTATGGCACTAATTTTATTATTCCTCGTCATCATCACCATTTGTCCGAAAATATTTCGGAGACCGCAATCATTTGACTGCCAGCTGGACCGCCACGTAGATCTCCCCCTCCGTGGAGGAGGAGACTTACTCCCTCTCTCTCTCTCTGTCTCTCTGGCTCGCTAGATTAGCTTCACGTGTGGTTGTCTAGAGCTCGTCTCGATGTCTCTGCGGGGGAAAAATACGCCGGAATGCCGAACCAGGCTGTTCCGGCGGTAGTCTTCACTGCCGCGGGAACCATGGAGGAGCGGAGTTATGTCGCTTAAAGTTTATATTAATTGAGGTCTCGTCGTCGCGAGGAGGAGGAGGGAGGAGCCGGGGAGGAGACGCAGGTGGGGGCTCTTCCGCCGGCCATCATGTCCTCACCGCTTCACACGTGAAGCCCGTTTCCGGGGAGGAGGTAGTAGCCCTGCCGGCGGGGAAAGCCGATGCTTCGAGGGGTGGGCTTCGAAGAGTTCTTCTCTCGCTCTCTCTCTCTCTCTTTCGTTCTCTAACATGCGGGCCATCCCAGCGGCCAGTCTTCATTTTCGCAGACTGCCGCAGGCTCCCTCTTCCTTCTTTAAATGAAATCGAGCGCCCACACGTGGACCCATCTCGTCTCCGGTGCCCTTCCTGCGAGTTTCTTTGAACATTTGGCTGATCGATATCAGCAGCCAGGAGCATCTATCTCCCTTCATCTGGTTGATCGCTGATGGCCGCCGCGACGGGCCGAGGGTTGCTCCCATCCGAGGAGCTGGAGATGGAGAGAGGCTCGTTCCAGTGGGTCCTCCCGGCATGGCTGGCGCTCGGGTGGGTCTCCGCCGAGCCGACGGCATCTCGCTGATAGCGACTCGGAGACCGTCGGTCGAGCCGACCAGTCTGGGGGCAGCCCGCTGCATGCGCGCGATCCGATGTATAGATGTTCATTGGACGCGTCTTCCTCCTCATAATCTTAAATGTATCATCTGACTTCTTCTACCGTTAGTCCTCATCCTGTCTTCTTTTTTGCGGCCACGCGTGAGTTGACCAGGAGGTCAAGGGGTCAGAGAGAAGGATTAACCTAATATTCTGGGCAGAATCCGAAGGGAATCCGCGTCTCTTCGTTAGTAAAATACATAATGACAGAAATATCATACATCTGGTGAGACGGGATAGGTGCAACGGAGCCAGCTCTCTCTCTCTCTCTCTGTCTTCACGATGTTGAACAATGCGCTGCAGCTGTCGACGTAGCCCTGGAAAATCTACAGGTGGAGCACCGATGGTTCGCCACCTCGGGTTGAGGACGGCGAGATCACGCTATCAGTAGCGGAGACTTTTCCACGGCTGTTTTGTTCTTGACGGCGACGGCTCCGCTGGCGTGAGCGAGTGGTTTTCTTACTCCGCTGCCCACAACAAGAAAAAAAGGCGAGCCAAACCCTCCATCTGGTGGGCGGACTCACAATTATTTTGGGGGATCGAACCATTTCTTCGCAGGAGATGCCTCAAGCGGGCCTTCCTCCCCCTCTCCTTCGTCTAAATCAGGGACGACGTCCCCCACACTGTGGAGCGGCGGAGAAAGCCGACGTTGGGCACGCCTCATTTCATGTCTTCCACATGGAAATCGATTGTTAGGAAGCTCTCCATAATTGACGTGCCCACCGCTCCCGAGCTTTCTAGGGCAGCATACCGAATGGGCCTTCAGTCGTCTTGATGACGGAGAAGAGAGGAAGCCCTTTCAGTGACGGAGAAACGCGTGATCGCAACCTCCACGCGGCAGTCCTGGTTGTCCTCTTTTGTTGGCTTGCCCTATCACTCTCTCTCTCTCTCTCTCATCTAATCCACATCTCGGGTGGCGCCAAACGTAGCAAAGTCCACCCCGTTGGCTCCAGTTCGCAGGACAGGGAAAGCTCACTGAACCCCCTCGCTATCCACGACTATTGAGGTTTCACGTTCCCCCAGAGGGACCCGGCTGGTAGATCGCTCGGACTCGAGGAGCCCTGATTTTCTCCGCCCCTATGAGATTTTTAAATACTCCACACTTTTCAAACATAACCTTCGTGATTGTATTATATCGAATCTGCGATATCTCCGATGATCATCTACAGCTGGGTTTATAATTTTCCATAGCCTTGGGATTCTCCACGTTTGACGCCGGTCGGCGGTCCACGGAGGAGGGATGTCACTAGCTTGTCTTCTTTGTCACGTTCCAGCGATTATCAGACTCGGCCCTCCACTATCGCCATGCACAGAGCTGTACAGATTGTCTCTTCTCGAACGAGCCCAACTCGCCCCTGGTCGCGCGTGGAGACACACCTGCGTCTCCCCCCCGGCAGCTGGGCGTTCTCGCCGTGGTTGGCGGGGCGCCGCCGGCTGAGATATTCCGACGTTTAAGCTTATCCGAAGGCTGGTGGACCAGCCGCCGCTCATGGCTTCGCCGTAGTAGTAATCCGCCGGTCTCCTCCCTCCCTTGTAACTCTCTCTCTCTCTCTCTCTCTCTCTAGGGAAATCCTTGGTGGAGTGGGTTCGGCGCTGTGCAAATGATTGGAAAGGAGGCTCTTTTAATCGCGGGGGGGAATGAAGGGACGTGGCCGTCGGGCTTCTGCTTGGACCGCTGCCTCCCCGACAACGGGTTCGGGACGTTGGACGCGCTCTCAGGAAGACATGCGAAGAAATCACCAAAATTAGCAAAAAATGACGCTTTAAGTTAATTAAGATGGGTGTGAAGCAGGTCAGGGGAGGCCCGCGGGGCAGTTGACCGCGGTCTGAGTGGAGGTAGCAGGGGACGGCACTAGCGGGGGGTCACGCCATTTAATGGTTAACTTAATTGAGGGGAAGCAGTGCGAGGTGAGCGGCGTCGGCCATCAATTCGGCTTCAGCGGCGGCGACTGGCGGCGGTGACGGTAAGAAAATCTTACTGCCGACGCGGTGAACCGGGGCGACGACGCTGGAGCATGTTAAGAGAGAGTTAAGTGCCCCCCCCCCGGCAGTTTCCCACTCTCGTTTTAAACCCACGTTGGGTTTTAGAGCTCTTATTAAAGGCTTCCAGTCTCGCAGTCACGGACAGACTCGCACGCACTCGACTCTCTCTCTCTCTCTCTCTCGGAAACCCTCCTTCACCTTCCCCTTCGTCTCCTTGCCGGACGGAGCCCACCAGTCTCCGGCTGTTCTCAGTCTCTCTACCGGGCAGCGGGGCTATTTCTACCAGTCCCTCTTCTACAGCCGCCGGTGCGCGCCTGCTCCTCCCTCACCACTACTCTACTCTTCTGCGAAGCTCCGAAATCCCCATCTCCATGGGTTCTTCGTTGGACCCTCTCCTCCTCCTGTGGCTGCAAGCTCTGGTGCTCCTCGTGCCGCAGCTCGCCGCCGCTCTCTCGCCGAGATTCGCTTCCATGGTGCTGCCCCTGAGAACCCAGCAGATCCCTCCGGGTTCCCTCCCGCGGCCGCCAAGCAAGCTCTATTTCCACCACAACGTCAGTCTCACCGTGCCTCTCACGATCGGCAACCCGCCGCAGAACGTGTCCATGGTGCTCGACACCGGCAGCGAGCTCTCCTGGCTCCGGTGCTCCGCCGCCCGCTCGGGTACCCCTTCCGCGCCGTCGTTCCGGCCGCTAATCTCCTCCTCGTACAGGGGTATCCCCTGCTCCGCCGCCGCCTGCCGGGACCACACTCGCGACCTCCACTCGCCGCCCTTCTGCAACCCGGCCAACAAGCTCTGCCGCGTGTCCGTCTCCTACGCCGACGGCTCCTCCGCGGACGGCGACCTCTCCTCCGACGTGCTCCGCGTGGGACAGTCACCGCCGCTCCGCGCGCTCTTCAGCTGTGTCGACTCCCCGTTCAGCTCCTCCGGCGAGGACGCCGTCACCGCCGGGCTTCTGGGCATGAACAGGGGCTCCCTCTCCTTCATCTCCCAGATGGGCACCCGTAGGTTCTCCTACTGCATCTCCGACCGGGACTCCACCGGCTTGCTCCTCCTCGGCGGCGACTCCGCCGCCCTCCCCTTCCCGGTCCCCCTCAACTACACCCCTCTGATCCAGATCTCCCTCCCTCTCCCCTACTTCGACCGGGTGGCCTACTCCGTCCAGCTCGAGGGCATCCGCGTCGGCGCCGCCGTCCTCCCCATCCCCAAGTCCGTGCTCGAGCCGGATCACACCGGCGCCGGGCAGACCATGGTCGACTCCGGCAGCCAGTTCACCTTCCTCCTCGGCCCCGCCTACTCCGCGCTCAAGGCCGAGTTCCTCAGGCAGACCAGGGGCCTCCTCGCGCAGCTCAAGGAGCCCTCCTTCGTCTTCCAGGGGGCCTTCGACACCTGCTTCCGGGTTCCCGTGGGGAGGGCGGCGCCGCCCTGGTCGGGCCTCCCCGCGGTGGCGCTGATGTTCCGTGGCGGAGCTGAGGTCGCCGTGGCCGGCGAGCGCCTCCTCTACCGCGCGCCGGGGGAGTCCCGCCGCGGAGGCGCAGAGGCCGTCTGGTGCCTCACCTTCGGCAACTCTGACCTGGTCCCCGTCGAGGCCTTCATCATCGGCCACCACCACCAGCAGAACGTCTGGGTGGAGTACGACCTCGATCTGGCCCGACTCGGCTTCGCCCCGGTCCGCTGCGACGTCGCGAGCCAGCGACTCGGCCGATTCCTCTGACTCGGAGGTACAGGCGGTGGTGGGGTTTTTTTCTTCTGCCAGCCGGCTGGCGGGACAAGATCGTTGTGAGTGACGTGTAAAAAAAAAGGCCTCGGAGGGCACACCCTCACCCATCATGGCCCTCCGTTTTTTGAGATGCGCCCTTCGGTGCATCGAACGGAGGGTCTCGATGGGCGGGGCCCCGCTGTGCTCCTCCCTCAGAACCTCTTTGTACAGCGCCTCGCGCTTCTCTCTCTCTTCCTCTTACTCTTACTCTTACTCTCTTCCTCTCTCAAGAACCCAGAAACTTACTGCTCTCGTACGGTAAAAAGGACCCGTTTTGAGGGGAACCCTCGTCCTATTTGACGGCCCATTTGATAACATTTGGGCGGCTTCCGCCCGGATATTCGATCACATAGAACGACCCCGTTTTGTGGCCCTTTATGGCACGCTTTAACTGGCCCGTTAGAGCGTGTGTTCGTCGCTGGAGTGGGCTTTATTACCTGTTATGGAGATATCATAGGCCCAATGGGCTTATCAGTATAAAATTCTTTCACTGGCCCAAAAGGTACTGGTCCATTAGTCTGTCCATGCTCATTGGGCCCATTCTCTAGAGTCCCAGTTAGTGCGGTGCTTACTCTTCTCTGTTATTGTTGGCCCGTGGTGGGCCAGGGTCGACCGGGCCCAACCAGAAAAACGCGGTCCTCACACGAAATTAATTAAAATAAAACGGTAGAAAAACCTTCAGCCAGAGGAACGTAGAAGGAAGGGGAGGAGGGCCTTTATTGAGCACAAAGGCTAAAACTCTCTCTCTCTCTCTCTCCGGCGTTTCACGAAAGCCCACGCAGGACTTCCGTTAGGGTTCTAGTTTGAAGATCCCGTTCGGGTTTCTGAAGCCACCGGCAAGTTTTCCTGTTAATATTTAGGTTTGCTATCTTCTCTCCCTTATGCAATATAGCGCGGGGTTGGTGGATTGAACAATTAGGGTTGCGCAGCCACGCGATTTTTTCTACGACTGCGTGGATGAATCCTGCCGATTGTTCACGTATTGGCTGATTGCAAGGATTTGGGGGTTTCTCCTCTCGATGCGGTAGCTCCTATTGTTGATTGTAAGGGACCTGGAAGTGCTTTCGGGCCTCAGAATCCATGAGCTTCGTCTTCCGGGGAGCGAGGGGTGACGTAGAGAATGGGTTCGCGGAATTTGTCCCGGAGAGGCGCGTCTTGGTATGCCTTCTCTCTCTCTCTCTCTCTCTCGGCTCTTTGTTCATCTCTGCCTTCTCGTACAACCCCGTGATCAGAGTTAATTTGGCCTTCTCTCAGCGTGCACATACTGGAGGACGCCCAGCCAACGCCAACTCGATGGTTTTCCTCTTTACAGGTGCATTTTTTTCGTGCACTCCAGGTTATTTTCTTCCGTGTTGGATGATAATATTTAACGGGCATTTCCATCCATTAATTTGCGCAGTTCTTCTGCTGTTCATGATACTGAACTCGCATCAGATGTCGCCAAATTTCCTGGTGAGTCATGGCCGGCGGTTGTTCGATTTTGAGCTGATTAGAGTGGTTCATCCTCAAGCCTCTGAATCCTCCGTTTTGAGACTCTGTTCTTCAGATTTGGCTGGTGCTGGGTGTTTTCTTTATGGCGACGACTATTCGGATGTATGCAACCTGCCAGCAGCTCCATGCCCAGGCCCAAGCTCGTGCTGTTGCTGCTGCAACTGGTTTACTTGGTCATTCTGAGCTGCGGCTTCAGATGCCGGCCTCTATAGCCTTCGCTGCCAGGGGGAGACTGCAAGGTTTCAGGCTCCAGCTAGCACTTCTTGACCGGGAACTCGATGACTTAGGTAGTACTTATTCCTCACCTGTGGAGTATTCGGCTCACATGCTCAAGCTTCTGCCCTGTGACGAGTTCTCTGGATGGTGCTATTTATCATCTCTACTCGTTTATAAACCATTTACTTGAATTTTCATGTTCTTGCGTGCAGATTATGATGCTCTAAGATCATTGGACGTTGATGATAATACGGGTATTCCTTCCATGACAGAGGAAGAGATCAATGCTCTTCCCGTTCACCAATACAAAGTTCAGCCTAAACATGCATATTCTGGCCTAAATAAGTAAGTGGGAGTGCCTTTTACCTTCGAATATGGCATTCGTTATGGTCCATCTTTAGGTTGTAATTTACGGTAGTCATTCAGTTCCAATGTATGTGGAGTAATGGTGATTTGATTTTATCTGCAGTGGCTTGCCGCTGCCGCCACCACAACAGTCAACGCCATCATCTTCTGATTCATCAACGGAGGTAATTTTTTTTTATTTTAAAGCTAAATTTTCTTATAGCTTCTCTCCCCTCCACGAACAGGCCCTTGCTCTAAAGAAATATCGCTTCTTTCTTTCTTTCTTTCTTTCTTTCTCCTTTTGGTTGATTCTATGAGCCTTTCTGTCCGTTTTAGATGCTTCAATGCACCCAGTGATGTGCTTTTTCCCCAGAATGCTGGAACTTCGCCACTTCATATTTGGCACATTATTGCGCATTATCTCTCCACATGGGCCACTTGAGCTGCCATTGATTAATGCTTCGTCTTGGGTAATTTATGTATTTATATTTTCTTGATTAATGCTCCTGTGATGCATGAGCAACCCATTTTTTATCATTAGTATCAGAGTTAGTGCGGAAAGAAAAAGAATATTTTTTGAGAGCAAATAAATGATTTATTAGGAAGTCAACTTTCTAACCTGAAGCGTAGTCAGAGAAGAAGCACACACCGATTTGCTATTATATTTTTTATTAATATGGGTTTTCCGGTTTAAATATCTTCCTCGATGTCAAAGATAATGACTTTTGACGCCTTGGAACAGAAGAAGCAGGTCAACGGAGCTCCTGATGCGAATATTAAAAGCCCAGATGATGAGCTGCTGTGCAGCGTCTGCCTGGAGCAAGTCAACGTAGGAGAGCTGATTCGCAGCTTGCCGTGCTTGCATCAGGTACCTCATTTCCATCTTACCTTTTTTTTAGATTATTTATTGCCGAGTCCCAGAAAATTTCCCATATTTGTCTTTTATTCTACCCTTCGGGGATCTATTTCTAAATATAAAAAATATTTGTTCCTTCTGCACAGTTCCACGCCAGCTGCATTGATCCATGGCTACGTCAGCAGGGGACGTGCCCAATCTGTAAGCACCGGGCAGGCTCCGGGTGGGAGGCCAGGCCCGAGGGCGCGCTGGACAGATCGTCCTACGTGGCTTGAGATGACGCGCACTGGGCCTTATTCATGGGCCCACCGAAGTTTGAGATGGCCTACGTGGCTTGAGATGCGGGCGCCTGATGTGCTTACTTGGGATCTTCTGTAATTATAGGGAAAATGTATTTTTTTCGGGTTAAAAAATAATATAGGCCGGGTGAGGGATCTGTTATTGGGCCGGGCTCAAACATCTAACTAGAATCTTTAGTGGGCCGGAGGGATGAGTGGTAGAGATCGGGGCACATTAAGAGATTCCGTCTCTTAAAAAGGTGCAATTCTGATGTCAGACTATGTGATAATCTTCAGGGGTGGGGGATGTAAATCAAAATATATTAAATATGTGGTCGATAACGAGATTTTCGGGAACCAGGATGGTTTTTACATAAATTATTAAACTTTATTCACTCTAAATGGTAGGGGCTTCTATTTTGGAAAGGAAAAGGACGTTTTTATCCTCCACTCCTTCGCCTCATCCTCCGTTCTCTCTCCGCCGGAGTAGCTTTCACGCCGGTGGGTTCCCAGCTCCGGCCGAGCTTTCCCTCTCTATCCTTCTCTCTCTCTCTCCCTCCAAATTCAAACATAGGTCCGTCCTTCTGCGGATCTCTCGCCGCGGGTTCTGTCGCTTGTTGGGTAGGAGAGTGGAGAGCGGGAGGAGCGCCGCCGGGGCCGTCTGGGGGAAGATGAGGCAGCCGGGGTACATCACGCTCCCGATCATTGTGGTTCTCCTTTCGATTGGGTATCTGTACTATGCTACGGTCTTTGTCGTGATCGATGGCTGGCTGGGGCTGGGGACTGCACCGGGGCTCGCAAACGCCGCGGTTTTCTCTGGCCTTGGGGTAATCTGCGTCGGCACCTACGTGACGGCCGTCCGCCGCGACCCTGGCCACGTGCCCTCGTCCTACACCCCTGACATCGAGGACCCCGGAGTGTCCATCCATGAGATCAAGAGAAAGGTGTGATTTCTTCCTGCTTTGTCTACTTCTATCCCCGACATTTCCGATTAGTTTTCTCTACTATTAGCCTTCTGCTAACTAGATCGGGGTGTTCTTTAGGTTAGTGATAGTTGGAGCTGTTCCCGAGCATGGGGTGCCAGATCATGGCCGGGATGTTTTTGTGTCTGGCTCATTCAGGGAAAAATCGTTTTCTGAACTATCATCTACTGTGTACTCTGCATACTTCCTAAGGGATGCTCAGCCGCGGTTTCGCCATCTGCCGGGTATCTCATATTGTGTGTTCTTTTGTTGTGTGCGTTGGTAGGTCCGTACGGGGTGAAAATATTTTTCATTTTTCATTACCATTGGGAGTGATAATCAGCTTTATACACACATTGAAGACATTAACCGCGAGGGTTTTGTTTCCTCAGTTAAAACGGCATTGCCCAGAAGTGAGGTCCTCCAAACTACTTGTTACGGTAGTAATCAGAGTGAAATGCGAGTAGGCAATCTGCAAAAAATTACTGGGCACTGCCTTAGTGGAAGATTTTTAGTTCTTGATAGGTGATTAGTACCTACCAATCATTTTTGCAATGAGAGGGAAAATGTTGACCAACTTTTTTAGCAAAAAAATTGCATAGGTGATCAGCACCAATCATATATTGTTATTTCTGCTCTCCTAACTATCTATCAGTATATGGGATTTTATTTCCAACTTTTTTTCTGCAGCAGGTTAAAATTTTCTCATGGTTATCAATCGATTCCTTTCTTTGCATTACTTCAAACTCTTGTCTGTGGCATATATAATGGATGTTTATATTTTTTAGTTCTTAAGTTTGTTCTTGGTGTAAATTGCTAGCCTTTTTATGTTGTTTTTCCCTGTCAGAGTGGTGATCTGAGGTATTGTCAGAAGTGCTCTCACTATAAACCTCCCAGGGCACATCATTGTCGGGTTTGCAAAAGGTGTATCTTGAAAATGGTATGCACTGTCGCTTCACTTATCCATATTTATTCCTGGCAAAATCTGAGGAGATTACACAGGGAGGGGGAACATTTTTCTTGCAGGATCATCATTGTATCTGGATTAATAACTGCGTTGGACATGGCAATTACAAGGTCTTCTTTGTCTTTCTGCTGCATGCAGTGATTGCCTGTACACACTCCATGGTATTGGATGCATTTAATTTTTTTAATTGAATATTAGAATGTCGTATTTAAGGAAACTTGTAATTCCCTAAGTGAGGATGCACACTATCAGGTCTTGCTTGTGGGCAGTACCGCACATGATTTTCATGGAGACCAGCGACAAACCGAAGGTTCTTCCAGAATTTCATATGTAAGCCGTAAAGATTGATATATTTTTCGTGTTGATGTGTTGCTGATCGATACCTTAATCAGATAATATGTGGGGTGCTGCTATTTCCCTTAACTTTGGCCCTGATCATACTGCTGGGATGGCACATTTATCTGATCTTACAGAACAAGACGACTATTGAGGTTTGTGAGTCTACTGGTAATTCATCAGGAGCGCCTTGATTGAGATTCCTTAACGTTAATTGCATTATTCAGTATCATGAAGGTGTCAGAGCGATGGGCCTGGCGCAGGAGAATGGAAATGACTACCAGCACCCATACGATCTTGGTGCCTATGAGAACCTCGTCTCGGTGAGCATTGCCGTTTTGTTCTTGTTCTTATGGATACGGCAGACATGTCGGGAAGTCAATGTTTTCAGTGTCCCATTTGCTTTTAAGCAATGCCTTTAAGATGCCTAGAAGGTGGAAGACATCTCCATTGTCCAAAGGCTGATAATCTCCATATGTTCTTAGATTAGTCAACGGAGGATGGAGGCTGGCCTTTAGATCAGCAGCCTAAGTGACATGAGATAATAGCCTGAAGGGTACCATGGGTCCTACATAATGCGCTTCTGGGAAGTATTTTCCATCGACGTGCATATGATTGAGAAGGAAAATTGACTAAAGTTTTGGTCGGAGGGTGGAAAATCTTGAATGATAATCTGATCAACACTTTTTTATACTAACCCGCGCAATGGCTTCCACCTGTTTTCGTTCAGATACTGGGACCGAGCGTATGGTGTTGGATATGTCCCACCTCTGGGCACATCGGATCGGGTCTCCATTTCCGGACATTCTACGACCTTAGACTCTCCAGGGCATCAAGCTGAGAGGCCGAGGATCGCGCGTCGGATCATTTTCCTCCGGAGCGATGGGGAAACGAGGCAGGTTTTGTTCTTGGCCAGAAGCTGCAAAAGGCTCCGGACAACATGTTCTTGTGGTCGAAGGAGCTTCTGCGGCCATGGGTTGAGCTGTTGTAAATGTCTCATCCCATCCTTCCCTGTAAAAGCTGGGAACAAGAGAGTGTATGATTCTGTGAGATGGGCCACCGCCGATTTCGGATGGGGATCCCTCCATAGCTTAACATCATCTTGCTGGTAATTTTTTTTCTGGTAAATGCCAGATATTTCCATGAATGGAGTTTTCTCTAAAAAAAGCAAACGATCGCCACGATATTTTTTAATTATTTTTCTTTGTTCTCTCTCTTTCCATAATACCCAAATATTGGCACGAAAGTTGCCTTGATCTGTGTTGGAAAGAACACTTATTTCGGGTATCCAGCTTCCATGGATAGCCCCGGCTCTCACTCTCAACAGAGAGAAGCCCCGGCTACTTACCCTTTGCTTTGCCCTTTCCTTGGTTCTTCTTGGCGTCCAGCTTCGCCTGCACTCTGGCAGCAGCTGCAGCCTTCGCCTCTTCTCTCTTTTTCTTCTCCTCCTCTTTCCTCGCCGCAGCCATCTCTCTCTCCTTCTTCAGTTCTCTGGTTCAGACAGAGTTCAACGCCGGACCGGATAAGGTCCAAGAAACACCGAAGAACACCATCAGAACGCCATGAGATCAAAAATGATGAGTCGCTTACTCCAGTCTCGCCTTCTCATCCGATGCATTGCCGAGGCTGGAACCCTTCCTCGGTCTACACGCCACCAACTCCACCTCAAATATAAGAGTTGCACTGCCGGCAGAGATGGGTCAAGCTTTCCCCAAGAAGGCACCCCGGCAACTTTACAGGGAGATGGGAAAGAGGAGCCCATGAGAAGAAAAAAGCTTACTTTGGCGGGATATCAGGCGGCGAGCCGGCGCTTCCATAGGCGTACTCTGGCTTGCAAGTGATTCTTGCAACTTCTCCAACCTTGCGCATGGAAAAAGCCCAAGTCAGTGTTCATAGCTCGAATGGAGCAGTGGGGCTAAGGTTTAGGTCAGCCGCCTTTTACCATCATGGTTTTCAGGGCGATGTCCCAAGCTTTGATCACGGAGCCCTGCCCAACCTCGAAGGAGAAGATGGTGTTGTCCTCGTGGGTAGTATCAAACACTTCACCGGTTTCAGCCAGAATCCCTTCATAATGAACTGCTCGAAATCACAACAGTAGTTTAGGATCAGGGCGACCCAGGAGAACTTACCAGCACAGAGCACACGATGACATTAAACCTAAACGAGGGCACGCTTTGAAATGACCTAATCTGGTAAAAAAAAAAAACTGTAGTTCCAAAAAGTGGATGCATCTGTGAATAGAAAAGGAGAAGGGGGGGACAGTTCTTGGCGGATTTCTGAGTGCACACTGAAAAAAAAAGGGATTTTTCTACTAAAACTCGTTGGTGTTCTAATGGGTTTCTAACTTCCCACCTATAATTCCGATCAAACGGGTGATTTTCTGTGGGCCCAAGAAAATCCGTTCCCACAAGTCTTGAAAAAATCCCCACGCGAAGAAACATTCTACGGGCCTAAATGAATGCCACCCACATCGATTTAGAAGGAAAAGCTGCCTCATTTATGGGTATTAATACACAAACTGGCGCCAAATTTTCCTCTCTGAAAACCGTGAAAACCCATGCTCCTGGTCATCGTTTTAAACTATATAATGAGATTAAAAAAAAAAAAAAACTAGTGAAAATGATGGGGAATTGAGGAAGAACTGTTTACATCCATGGAAAGATGGAAGAATCACAAATGGTGCTCCCAACATTGTCGCCCATATATTTCCAAGCTACTAATTACTAGATGGAAACCAACACTGGTCTGTATGGGCAGCAAAATCTAATGAGGGAATTACGAATACCTAATAGTAACTAAACATTACCAACCACCTCCTGAGAAAAAAACTTTGAATGACTAATTTTATTTATTGTTTATTTCCCTTGTAAATCAAACATATCCCCTTAAATCCAACATTAAAAGGACTGAGTCTGTACATTATTTTCGATCAAGGTTGCCCACGTACATGCTTAATGCCTAAACATATGACCAGAACATGTGGATAATGTTTTTTTCTTTCCCCTTTTATCCATAATCGCCATTGATAACACACATGAACGTTGGTAATCATATAAAATGTAAGTAGATAAACATAAAAGATAGGGAAGGCTGGGTAGCTAACAATTGCCCGGATTGTAGGCCAAGGATATCACGGCTGGAATCAAACTTCTGCTAGAGAAAGCAAAGGATGAATCATGAAAACTATGCATACCATCAACAAGTGGAAGACTTTCTGAAGGGCATATGGCGTCAGGTTTTGCTTTTCGTAAAATCGTTTTCAGTACACCTCCATCTCCTGTTAAATCTGTGCGATCTCCCATTCTTTTCCTGCTTCAAAATTATGCGCCAGGAAAAAGGTGAAAAATGAAAAAAAATCGTAAATAATTTAGAAGAGATGATAATATCAAGGGATTTTTTTTATTGAAAGGGAGCATTCCTGGGCATCACGGTTCCGTAGAAGTGAAAAGCACAAGCGACCATTATCGAATTAAAAAAAAGAGCTATGAACAAGAAAGTCGAAGTATCTTTAAAAAAAGAGAAATAAAATGAATTCGCAAGCAATTCATCGTAGTTCGCAAACCGGAGGAGCCGCGCAAGGAGTAAGGGCAAAGATTTGGGTAACTAGCGTTATCTTGCTTCGTCAAAGAAACAACTGTTGGGTCATTCATGAAACCAGACAGATACTGAGACGGGATAGGAGAAGAAATATCACTTAAGAAAAGGAAATAAGAACCAGAAGCCCTCGGATTTTTAACCATATCAAGAGGTAAGCTAACCAAATATGAACCAAATTAAGAGGGCCAATACGCGTCTCGTCAAGAACACTTGAAAAATCAGAAAACGAAGCGCACCCCCCAGAAGCCCTATAAGTTGCTACGCGTCCAGGGGCGGCTTACCCTGTCTCCGAGGCGGCAGCGGAGAATCTGAACACAGGAAAAGCGCGCCGGCGCCAGTGTCCAGTAAGCTGAGGGTGCGGCGGCGACTGGGCGACGAAAGGGCCGGTGACGAATGATGAGGGATGCCCCGTTGCGACCCATAACATATGAAAGAAAGGCTCTTTTGTTCCAGACAGGCCTCAGCTCTACCCACCAACGCCGGCCGCTCCCACATACGTCGATAAGCTGCGGGGGGTCTCTTTAATGGGCAAATCGATGTGGCCCATAAAGCCCACCTATACGTTTTGGCCCCCATTAACTGTACCGTCCAGATAGCCAGGCCTATTAATTCCTATTAATTACTAGGGAGAAATCGTGGCTTCTTCTCGGAATATCGTCTGTTTATTTGGGTCCAATTACCTCTGAAATGTTCATTAATTGGGCACCAATGGACTGCCTGCCTCGTCATAGGGCAACGCCAATGAATTCCTTAAAATTTGTGGCTGGATCATGTTGATTACATCGCTAGGTTTAAATATTCAAATGAATTAATTAATTTCTATAAATTTAAAAATAAAAAAATTGGGCAAGGGTAATCTGGCATGATAACCCCTAATTTATGTAAAACTGTTTCGGTCCATTCATAAATCACCTCAATTATCTTATCTTAATCATCCATATTAAATTTATACGTTGAATAGAAATAGGCGCCCATTAAATAAATAAAGCTCCTCACTCAATAATTTGGGTAAACATGAGTCATAGTTTCAAATATAAAAAAAATTAATTTGAGAATAATGTCACTTACCCATCAAAATGCTGGACTTGAAAATTAGAGAAACAACTATTTGTTGTTTGGGATTATGCCAATGAATCATAAAATGAATGAACAAAAATATGAGGAATATAATTTAATTAAGCTCCCTATGTTTCAGTTCAAGAATGAACATTGTTTATGTACATAAATATAGATATTATTTTCGTATGCTTATTTTTTTCTCAAAATTTCAAGAACTTAGGTAAAAATACAATTGTGTAAGGAGATACATTTTTCCTCAATATTTTCCACGACATAATCATCGGTTTATGAATACCTTATCGAATGCATATGTGGAATTAGGAACTATCAACCATCTTTGCAAATCTGACAAATTTGTTTTGTCCTAAAAGATAAAAATCAGATAACCAGAAACATATTTTTGCAAAGTTGTTTGCATGATTATGAGTTTTAAAATGTTAGTATATCCACGTGAAATTTCAATAACATAAGGGTAATATAGTGATCATCATCCATTTCACAATAGATATAGGACGATGTATTCTTGAAACCAACACCCATCTGCAATATGAGTTGGACTACCACCAGCCCTACCCCCACCGCACTCGCAAACGTACAAAAATGTTGTTCTCGTCGCTAGTAAGGCTTCGAATATTCACCCATATAAAAAAAATATTGGTGAATATAACTGTTGCAAACTCCTTGATAATATAGTAAGAAAATCATGACTTAGATATGGATAAATATCATTGAAGCCCACAAAAAATTAGCCAAAAATGCTGTATGGTTACAGTATAAAGGTTATGGGCAAACCCAATGGAGCCCAACTCTAAGATCAATCTAATATGAGATAGCTCTAGTTGTTGGTGCAAGGAACGATGTGGTTTGTATCTTTTCATTCGAGTAGAGAAAATGAAATTAGACTAAAGCGAACAAATAACTAAGTATATAATCTAGATCAAGGATCTTTAAATTTTATATGAACATTCACTGATTACATGCGTAGTGAGGAGGGGGCGGTCTCTCTCTCTCTCTCTCCCCATGTTATTATTGTTATTATTATTATATATCATCTATCAATCTTTGTGATATGAGAATTGTGTTCACGTTTCAGATCAAAAGAGATAGCATGAAGTGATTTGAAGGGGAAAGATAAATAAAAGCCCAAAAGTCTTCTCGTGGATTATGGAGTAATGACCACAAGAATGACCATGTTTTGTCGATATGAAGGTAGATATATTGATAGAGATGTAGGTCGATGGATAGATACATAGAGAGAGAGAGAGAGTGAGAGAGAGAGAAGAGAGGGGGGGAGGGAGATAGGGTATAGTAATAAGCCTCTGGAAAGAATGAAGCTTTCAAACAGTTGTGTGTGAGGTAGGACCGACGGTTGACGAGCAGATGTTAGATATTCGTATGAATAAACCCCAGTGGTAAGTAAAAACAAAGTTCGAACAAAGATAAAGATTCTGAAAAACGAATAATAGTGGGTTATGTTGGTTTTTCGCTGGTATTATTTTGTGGGTCTTACCTCAGTTTTCCCACTCTATCCGACAAAGATCGTCGAGAGCTCTGAGATCGGGCAGCTGTTCATAGGCCACTCGTTCTCGATGCAGCATCATCAGGATTCTCATTACTTTGACGGCTCTCCCGGTTCCCTCCTTGATGGCCATTTTTCTGAAATATTGCGAATCATGATGATGCTCCGTCAGAAAATAGTGAACGAATCCAACTTCCAAGGTTCTCAAACCTTCTGAGACGATCTCATGATCATGGAGAACCACTTCATAGACTTCAACCCTCGAAGAGAGATGGGAAACCGAGCCCTACACTGGGGAGCCTCGAAAGGCTAGGGACGGGGAGGGGGGGGGGGGGGGGGGAATAGAGAGGGGAGAGAATAAAGCAGAAAAAACAGATGAATCAGGAGAGACATAGTGAAGAATGGGGGAGAAGCATGTGCATAATTAAAGGGTTTTTGGAGGAGGTGGTAGTGGTGGGCAGCAGAGTTGTTTGGTGTTCAAACATAGATGATGGAGAGTGAGATGGAACAGTGAGAAATTGCTTTTTCTTTGTCCCATGTACAGAGCTGAAGGACGGAGAGAATGGGTGCCTCCACTTCCTGTAAGACCTTGGCGGGAGTGGGATTGGAGGACATGGCAAGTCGTCGCCCGTCCTGAATGCTTAGCGTTGGGAGCTCTGGTTCAGTACACATCCACTGGCCGTAAGGCCCCCCGGCTACCCATACTGGACAAGGAGTCCCACCCAGCCCCACCAACTAAGTACCTACGTCGTCGTGCTCGGATTCCCACCGGAGTAGGCCTCGTTACACAACCGTCCACGAGCCCCACAGCTCAGCTTTAGCCCTCTTCCCCAAAATGTAACGCACAAATAGGCCCGGATAGGAGATCCAGCCAACGGACTGGCAAACACAGTAAAAAGAAACATACCATCCCTCGGTCTCCTTGCCCCCCCCCCCCTTCCAATCTCATACTGTGGCCGTTTCATGTGTCCTCTGCCCAAAACTAATACTATCTTGATGTGAGGATTACAGGCCGGGGGTGTCACTGCTTTTGGATACTGTGATTCATCCCCTCTATTATCGTCACTAAGAGAGAGAGAAAGAGAGAGGGAGAAAGAGGGAGAAAGAGAGAGAGAGAGAGAGAACATGGATCTCGGTGTTCCTACTTTTGGGTTCTGACCTGAAGCTTGCCTACCTTTAGAAAACTAGTTTCTCTACATGATGTAACAGCTTGAATAATGGAATTCACACGTGGGAAAAAGACCACATAGGCAAACGCAAGTAAAAGAAGCACCATGAGACTTAAAAATAGCACCGAGCGCATCGGATTCCCTATCACTCACCAGATTGAAGTACTTATAGTTTGGGCTCTGCTACATTATTCACGTGAATTGCCCCAGTTCATCCCCATCGGTTGTTTCGACGGATAGGATCGGAGTCCACTAGCTGCCTTGTGAGTGAGCATGTGTGTGTGTGTCTCTTTCTAAATATTCATATGTTGCAATCACATTGAAAGTGCAGATTAAGATTTTGGGGTTATGTTTCAGGCCTTTTGACAATCTTAAGTTGGATCAGGGCTTCATAAAAGATAACAAAGTTTGGGCTGAGTTGACAAGACTTATAAGAGTTCATCATTCAAAATAAGTCCATTTAATCATTCTTTTAAAAATTATGTTTGAAACAATAATTCATGGCGTAGAGATGCAAGTAGAACACGAGTGTAGCCAACACTAAATGCAGTGAATATTCAAGCCATATAATTGCGGTTTGGATCAGCCCATCCCATCCTCATGACCTAATAAATAAATGTACCAAAAATGAGCATATTATCGAGTAAAATGATGATAACGATCACCATACAAAGATTATTGAAAAAAGAATTCACGAGATAGTTTTACTCATTTCCTATGGCATGATCAAGCCGAGAAATAGTGAGATAACTCATGTTTTCTTAGTTAATATTTTTTTAAAGGTACTTCATTCTATAGTACTTACAACATTTAAAAATAATATATATATACTTATAATCATATATTTATTGTTATATTTTTTTAGATGGGACTATCTTCACACTAGCCCTATGCACAAGCATAATTTTGGGCTTTTTCAAAAATAATATCATCAAAATTCGTTCAGTTTTTGGTTTATGATTGAAATGGAAGTATTCAAGTAAAACCCCCTTCTAAGATCACAGCAACTCTTCTTCGGTTCTTCTGGGTACCCTCAAAAGAATTTGGATTTACTTCTATTTTTCGAGAAACCCTTCAAGAAAAATATTTATGGTCACGCCCTTCATCCAAATTATTTATTCATAACCCATCTAACTAATGCTACAAAAGCCACATATTTCTAAATCACTCACGCAAAAGATGCTATTTATTGGTTTAAATTTAACACTACTAATAAATTACGAAGGAAATAATTGTTTTCTTATATAATATTCACTTTAAACAGGAATTTTTGATAGCCTAGGACTTTGAATATTGAATACCCTACGACCGAGCGAATAAAAGACCTGCCAGAGTAGTCCAATGATAGCTGACGTCATAATGGCTGCATGCCGGTCCCATCCAGGGAAGGAATCCGAGGTTAGGCGGACCCCAATCTCCATTGGATTCGGGATATCCGAGGATCGCGGTTCCGGTGCGGGCTCTACGTGAGTTTCCCCCACGTGACATGGTGCTGTACCGCGCCGTCTTCCGAGCAGGAAAGTGAGGGAGGAAATAATTGGAGAAAATCCTGCCGTCGGTTCCCCGACTTCAGATCGTAATCGGTTTCCCGCTCTCGCCCGACCTTGTTCCCGCCAGTTTCTGGGGAGGTGGCGGCGCGGAAATCGCGATCACGTAGGGACACGTGGATAATACCAGTTGGAGAAATAAAGAAGACATAAGTGGCGAGGCCCCTCGGACTGCCTCACTATTCTTCTTCAAAAAGATTTTGCGGCTGATCGGAGAGTGAGAGAGAGAGAGAGAGAGAAGGGTTGGATATGGAGACGTGGTACGGGGTAGCAGAGGAGGAAGGATGGGAGACGCCGAAGCGGGTGGAGTGCAGGATACCGGTTGTCTTCGCCTGCCCCCCGCCGCCGAGGAAGAAGCCGGTTGTCTTCACCAAGAGGAGGGAACCGCCGAAGAACGGTTACTTCCAGCCGCCGGACTTGGAAGCGCTCTTCAAGCTGGTGCCGAGGCGGGAGGCCTCCTGCGCCTCTTGATGCTCATCGCTGTTACTTGGGGCGCTTCCCTGGGAGGGTCTGTAGATATGCTTGTGCTCTTAGGATTTTGACATAGTATATTTAGGTTTTCTTCCCCATCTGTGTAACATGCTTCCGAAACGCCAATGGTAGCAGCAGCATAGGATGCAATGCTCCTAAGATCGCTCTTTTTCATCTGATGGCATATATCTTTCAAAATTCTTTTTTCTCTGCTTCGCTCCTGAGAGTTCACCGCCTCTCTTCCCCCTTCGTCCTCAATTTTTCTGTCTCGGATTCCACGCTTTATTCTCACAAGTTTGCCGGGATCGCGGGCATCGCCGCTTTAGATACCTCGGATACCTGAGAAGAGCGGTGAAGACCTCGGACTCTGAGGAGCATGCTTTAACGGCGGGGCTTTTTCCGAAAGGACCAAGGCCCTCCTTACGGTATTAATCAATACCTTTGACGGCAGTCGGCGAAACTCGCGGCCATCTCCCCAGGTGGCTTCATCTACTCTTCGGGTGGTCTTCTTCTCCGACTTTAGAACTATTGGAAATAATCTCGAGCTGGAAGAATCATGAGATAACGTGAACGTAGAAGGACGCATTATATCATAAAGGTGTCTGATGATGGATGGGAATATCATTTTCGTCAAAACCTCGGGTAAAGTCATGATTTCTAACTAGGTTGCTCTCCAACTCAAAGACAGGCATATTGTTTGAGATTCAGATCGGCTCATTGTTCCTCATGTCATGTACTCTACGATCGATAAATGGTCATTCCTAATAGTTAAATTTACTATGTTCTGACCTAATTAGTTATTCCTTGATATGGGTATTATGTATACCTACTTGAGATATATATCTTTATATAGATATATAGTTATCCATATGTAAATCATTTTCACCGTTATCATCTAGTCAGCACTCAAAACTCGTTTCCAATGTCCAGTTTAGAAATTATTGACTGTTGAATTATATTCTATTACTGCACATATAACGTGGGTCACAACGGATTGATTGGAAAAAGAGAATGCCATATATTCGGATATTTAATATTTAACCTCTAAACTAATTAATGATAGATGTAAGTAATTTTTTTACATAATCATCTATTTATATCTGTCTTTCCATATGCAAGTTGGGTTTCAGATTCAATACGAATGAGCCATGTAATATTTATGAGGATTTATTGGCCTCAGTAAATGATGACCTCTCAAAGTGAAAACCAGTTACTATTCAGCATAAATGTATGTACTTTTATACGTTTAATTCTTTACAAATTTTAATGCAGATTTTCTATTTACGAATGAAAGCAACTATTTTTCACTGATCTATTTTAGGTTGCCTTTGCAATTGTGACTAAAAACATTTTCCTCAAAAGACAAAATGAAATGTTGACCATGGAAGCATTACAGTAAAATATGTGGATGAAATTCTTCCGAGGCTTCATAGACTTGCATGAATATAAGTTTGTATCGTTTATTCTTTAGATTACATTGAATACATATGAGGAACTATGATAAGTAGTTCGCCTTCATGTATCAATTTTCTTCTGCCTATATTATTTCTCATAGTATTCATATGTCTACGTCATGGAGGGACCATGATGATTTTAAATTTTACTACTTTGAACTGGATCAATTTAGGAGATATATGATTGTGTCCAATGAGTTACATATCAGTAGTGATGGTCATTGTAATACATTGGCCATCTGATAAAAGCTATATTTGAAATGTGCTGTTAATTTAATAATTACATCATAATAATTTTTCATAAAAATAATTGGATATTTTAATAATTTTCTCCTTAGCTTACACAAGCCATGTACAAATAAAGGCACTACAAAAAATAGAGGACGGTTCCTCCTATTCCACCAATATTTCCAATTGGATATATATATATATATATTATAATATATATGTGTGTGTGTGTGTAGCCGGCAATAAATACCAGAATCCCAATATTTTTTTTAAAAAAAGAGGTGAATAAAGTTGGGCCGCCTTTGGGTCCAATAAGATAGCAACTCGCTCCACGACCCAATGGGTCATGTGCCAAATGCTTCTACGACGCTCTTCCATTCCCATGCCAATTTGGACTCCCTTAGCCAGCCAAATAATTGCACGCGTATCAAAATTCTTCCCCCCGTAGTGGTTCATGGGCAACCAATGACCTGTCTAATGTGCCCAAATGGTGGATGACATACGAAGCCTACGGTGGGCCACTCCTATAAGTTGAGGCCCGATAGCCCAGCCTTGTCTCTCTTTGAAAGCCGCCCAATTTCATCCGAGGGCTTTAACGAGTCTAAATGCTCTAATTTTGCTTTCTCAACCGCGTTGTGCTGACTCATCGTGTTAACCGACTGTGTTATCGTTGAATTTTAGCTTTAGAAAGGCCGCTCTGAAGAGTAAAATCACTCCATTTAAGGCAGTTCCCATCCCCACGCACACATATGAAGAGAGAGAGAGAGAGAGAGAGAGGCTAGAGGAATTGCCAGCTTGGAGATAAAGTCGGGTTGCGTTGTACTTGTCGTACTCAGTTTAGAGGACGACGGGAGATCATTAAATGGGGGAGTCCGCATTAAGAGAAAACGGATGGGAGGGTGAGGGAGCAATTGGCTAAGGAAGAAGCCCGGCTTGTCCTATCTCTCTCTCTCTCTCTCTCTCTCTCTCTCTCTCTCTCTCTCTCTCTCTCTCTCTCTACACAGACGAGCTCACGGACATATATTTATGTATCTATATATCTCCGGGAAACCTTCGAAGAAAGAAACTCCACAAGCCTTTTCGATTGTGTGCTGCGTCGAATCAGTCGTCTTCAACTGGAAGAGCAGTAATGAGACCAACTAGGGAAATGGCCAGAGAGAGAGAGAGAGAGAGAGAGCGAAAGGGGGGGGTGTCCATCCTCCATTCATTTCTCACGTTAAAGCAGGAGGGAGACCCAATAGCAGGCGAAGAATAAGTCAAGCACACAATTCTGTCGGAAGAATGCAACGTGGTGAAGGGATAGACCAAGCTAAAGGGGCGCTGGATCCGAGAAATCATGCGTAAGGGAATCCCTGGGTCAACCAACTCTGATAATCCACGTCATGCGTTATCTTGCTCGGCTCGACCGACTCCAAACGGGTGTATCTATTTGGTTCTGATTTCAATTCCTCCCCAATTTGCCATGAGAGATCCTCCTCACTCAACTGACTACGGTGGAATGTGGGGGTTTCTGCAATCAGACAATGAGGGAGTTTGATCCGGTCAACCCACCGCTTGGTCCGGTCGTCGAGATCTAGTTTGCTAACGTTATTGTGGCATCATTAATAACCCATCATGATCACCGATTTTTTTTTATACCAACTGCAAGGAAATTGTTCTAATAAACCCCTAATTAGTTGAGCACTGAGTTTTGACTTCGTGCTTATAACCATATATTTACGACATCTATATTTGCTAATACCAGGTCAACCATGGTTATTACAGTTGGATTTAACCTGATATCAGTATAACCCAGATAATTACCAGCCGAAATGAGGCAGCCAAGGAGGTTAATCCTTCCAATCCTCTAGTTTGACTTCTGAGAAAGTTTGAATCGCTCTCTGGACGATAGTGGCTTCGGTGGTGCTCTTTGATTACGACGGGGCTGATAAAGACAAGGACCGGTTCTGAGTGGAGGTGTGAGCGAAGATGTAACGCTGACTTTTTTGAAAAAATGGGAGTGCTGCGGTCAACTTCGGTGTCGTATAGTTGGTGCAACTGGGACCGGGACACCATCCCTGCCGTTGATATGATGACAGTTGACACGACGCCATTTTCTTCTTATTCAATTGAACTGCCCCGATGGCAGGCTCCTGCATGGCACATGCATGGATGGAGACCCCCGTCCCGCGCTCTCTCTCTCTATCTCTCGCTCTCTGTGTGGACGGAAGGAAATGCCCAGATAAATTAAGATGACGTCCCCACCGCCGGAGAGTGTTATTGGCGCCGACCTCGCTTCATTGTGGTCCAGATCAGTTGCCACAGATGTCTGAGTTGAATTCAACTCTCTTCAGCTTAGTGGTCGGAGGAAACCTTAGTCTTAATGACGCGAGAGATCTACCTACATCTTCAGAATTCACCATAGAACAGTGAGTAGGGAAGAAGTTAACGTTGACCAAAATATCCTATTTCTACAGAACCAGGAGACTCGATCAGCGACCGAGAGAAGGGGTCGGGTAGGGCTGTCGTTTATTCAGTAGAACCCACATCTTACATATCTCGCCACGAGGTGCGGTAGATCCTCGCTGTAACTCTAGGGACCTGATAGGAAGAAGACTCCTCTCCGTTTGATCCTCAACCGGTTTAATCGCTGGACAGTTGACATTCTCATCACTTCTCCCTTGAGAATGTTCTCTCTCTCTCTCTCTCTCCGGGTGTCTGTCACGGCAGCAGCTGAATTTGGGGCTGAGGAGATAGATGTCAGTTGAATGCGCGCACACGTGACGCCAGGAGACAAACACCAAGGTAAGACCTCACGGGATCGTTGCTCCCCCTCTTTGTTTCTTTCTCGGAGGAGAGGAAGGGGCGAGGAAACCGCTGGATCTTGTTGCAGAGGGTTGACTTATGGGAGGGAAGGAGGACAAGCCCCGCTCGCCGACCGTTCTAGCTGTGGGTCTGACTCCCCGGCCTCTGCCAGTCAACCCTCCCCCCGTCTTCTTTCCCCAGAAGACGACAAACGCCCAGGCCCAACCTCCCCAACTTCCCCCTCTTCCTCCCTTCTTATCTCACTGCATGGTTGGGAGGGAGGAGGGAGCCCAAATGTCAAACCTCACGAGTAGACAAGAAGGTCTGCCGCCCTGCGGCGAGATCTCGTAGGGCACGTGAAATCTTCCGGGGGATGCCTATGGACTCCCCTCGACGGACGAGATGGAGACACGTAGAGGGAGGGAAGAGACGTGGACTTTGCAGACAGGATGCACGTATCCAGCCTCGCCATTGACTTGACCCGCTGTGGGGAAGAAGTTAGGTGAAGTGTCTTAATTATTCCATAGCCATTACATTATCCTCCCCTTTAGTGTGGTGGTTGCTCGGTGGGAGAGAAACACACGTCATCCTTGTTCTGTAGCGAAGAAGGAGCTCCGAAATCACATTAGACGGCGCCCCGCCGGCCACGCCATCAAAGGTCGGATTAACTATCCATTGACAAACGGATCGGATTTGACCTAGGGAAGGCGTCGTCATATCGCGTACTTTAGCAGTTGACCACCTCCTCCGGAGCTGCAGAGTAGTTCACAGATCAGATGGTTCTGGTGCGTTCTCAGATATTAACCCTACCGAGTCCGAGGTCGCCGTTAATAAAAGAAGCCAATATGTTTACTTCATGCCGGTCGGAGCTAGAGAGAGAAACAGGCTAAGAGTGACGTCGGTTATATAAGCCAAGTGATAGCGCAGGAGAGAAGACACCATCGAGTGGTAACCTTCTCTGCCTCTCTTTCTCTCTGCGCGTTTTCTTTCCGTCTCTTTGTTCCCTCTTTCTATCTCCTCCATCTCCAACCTCCTGCCGAGGCTCTCCTTCTCCGCCCGCGGCCATCGGTGGCGACGTCCGTTTCTCTTGCGGCCATGTCGGAGGTGGAGTTCCTGGGAGAGATCCTAGACGGCGAGAGGCACTTCTTCCCTTGGCAGCAGGCCGCCGACGGGAGCCCCCAGGTAGACCGAGAAGCCATAATTAGAAAGCTTCTGCCGACAGTCTACTCCGGGCCAACGATTGGAGACATTGAGAATGCTCTGGCCTTCACCTGCAGAGGGGCGGTGGAGTCGGGCGGTCTTGCCATCCCTCGGCCTGCGTACGTCTCTCTCTCTCTCTCTCTCTCTCTCTCTCTCTCTCTATCTATCTATCTATCTATCTATCTATCTATCTATCTATCTATCTATCTTTCTGTATTTCTGTCTTTCTTTCTATCTATCTATCTATCTATCTCTCTCTCTCTCTCTGTCGTTTGATAATTGAGTGTCGGTGCTCGAGAGGGTTGTTCACATGCTTTATGATTCTTGTATTGTAGAATAGCGTTCCCGGATAAGGGTTTCAACAAGATGGAGAACAAGTACACGCTGAAGATCAAATGCTGTGCGAACGGGGTAGCCGATGACGGGTACAAATGGAGAAAGTACGGGCAGAAGTCTATCAAGAACAGCCCAAATCCAAGGTCTTCGTCTTTCCCCGATCTCACGCTCTCTCTCCCTTCCTCCCCCATGCATCTATGGATTAAATAATCAACTACGCAAGTTGCCTAGTTCATTTAAATATCTATTTCTTCGTTTATTTTCTAATAAATAAGATAAGCCTGGCTAGGAGGCATCGACTTCAGCAATTCCCTTGTCCCGCGCTTCTCCGATGCATCGTTTCTATCTCCTCTTCTTTTGCAAGAAAGTTCATCTCGAAAAATTCGATGGCGAGTGATTCAATCTCCTATTCTACCATCCGTCCGAGGTTCTCCAGCGCCACGGCGGCGGAGGAGGCCGTCGCAGTGAATACAGAAGGTTTGGGTGGGGCGTAGGAGTTCCATAAGAGGCCACGGGCGGCCATTCCGTCACACGAAGGAGGACGAAGGGTGGCCAGCTTGCCCCTTCGTAGCTCTCTTCCTTCGTTTCCAAGGTCTTGAAATAGCCCATCTTTCACCCTTGGGATTCTTCTGAAATTGTGTAAGCTCCATTAATTCTAAAAATATTAAAGAGGGAACGAGTAGGTCTGGTTTTCCTTCGCTGAGATTATCAGTGCTTTCTTCTCTGGAGATTTTAAGACCGATATCCTTACATGTGTGTGCATGCCCCTGCAACCCCCACCACCACTCAAATTTAGTAAAACCCAAGGCCGCAACAAGGCAAATAAGAAGAAACGGATTGAGGGCCAGGATTCCCTCTCTCTCTCTCTCTCTCTCTCCATATATGTGCAGTCGCCTGACAAGATTTACTATTATTGGAACAGGAGTTATTACAGGTGCACAAACCCGAGATGCAACGCGAAGAAGCAAGTGGAGAGGTCGGTGGAGGACCCGGAAACGCTCATCGTCACCTACGAGGGGTTGCATCTGCACTACGCCTACTCGCACTTCCTCCTCTCCCGGCCTCTCTCCTCTTCCGCCGCCGCCGCCGTTCCCGCAGCGAAGAGGGCCAAGGCGGACTTGCCGGCTGGACAGACTGTTGCGACGGCGCAGACTCAAGAGGCCCAAGCTGCAGAAGAAAACCCTCAGCAGGAGCCCGTGGAAAACCTCGTCCAAACCCCGCCGCAGGGCCTTCTGGAGGACATCGTTCCCCTTCTCGTCCGGAACCCCTACAACTCCGGCGCCGCCGCCACATCCGGCGACCCCTCTCTCTCCTCCGTGCCGTCGTCCCCACCCTCCTCGGCTTCGTCGTCCTTCACCTGGCCGCACAGCCCATCTTACCTCGATCTCGGCGTCCTCTCTGGCATCGTATGAGCTCGCAAAGACGGAGGAGGAAGAGGAAAACGAAAACCGCGCACAGTTTGTGTTCTAGCTGCCTCGTCAGATCACCTCGGCCTTCTTTCCAGCAATCGGGTGAAGACGGCAAGCGTGGGCATTTGTTTTCGATTAGAGAGAGAACGCACACGAGTTGGGATAACGATAGAACTGTACAAATCCCCAAAAATATGGCAATAACGTTTCCCCATGTGAATGAAAGAAAAGATGATGTGTGCATATCCCACGCCACCGCTTTCACCACCTGAATCGTGAAACGGGTTCTGATTTTCCCTCATATTTCTTTCTCTCTCTAGATCTTTCTGTCCCCATCCAGATATCAGGGCGTCAACCGCCAGGGCTTTGCCGATCCTCCCACCTCTTTGAGCCCGGACATCTTTTACGAGGGCTAATGTGACATGAATGGAAAAAGCCCAGCCTCCCCTTGACGCCCGGCCCCGGACCTCAATTGTTACCTATCCTAGAGAGAGAGAAAGGGAGAGAGAGAGAGAGAGAGAGAGAGAGAGAGAGTGAGTGAGTGACAGAAGGGCCCCGTCCAGGGCCCATCCTGAAAACCAAATAAACAAAACCAGGTGAGGATGGGGGACTACAGTTGGCTCCCCCAAATCTGGTGCGTGCGTGTCAGAATCAACAGCCTAATTATGAGATAATGACCCCGGAAGATAACGCCATGGGCTAAACCCCTTAGGGAATAGAGAAGACAGAAGATGGCTGGTGGGAGGGCAAGAACAGGATCCCTCGGCAGCAACACATGAAAACCTTCGGGGCGGTTTCCTATTCTTCCTGTGGGCTTCTCCTGGGCCCCTTTCCCTTCTCAGTCAGCCACTCGCAGCATTCGCCCATGGCCTCCTTCCGGCAATACCCTTCTTTCAGCAATTAATCCGGCGCAGAGAGAGAGAGAGAGAGAGAGAGAGAGAGAGAGAGAGAGATTGGGATCCCTGGGGATCGGATGGATGCCAAATCCTCGCTATTCCTTCGGAACTATAGTTAGATTTTTCGTACTTTGACCATATCTTCATTTAATGTATAGTTTGATTAAATGTACATTCACTAGCTAATCAATTTTTTGGTCGGCAGATAATATTTTATGACGTACTATCAGTGTGTATGACTGCCATGGACAAACCACAGGTGGTCTTGCAGGTTAAGCAAACGAAGCCCCATGTGCCTTGCTGAGCTTATTCTATACAAATTGGTAGAGAATAATGACTCCGGACCCTCCAGACCCTTGCGAGGAGGGAGAGAGAGAGAGAGAGAGAGAGAGAGGTGAATGGGATCTGGGCCATCGGGCCAGACCGCATTGAAGCCCAAGGGAGGGCCCGGGCCGGCTCGGTGCATAGCTGACCTTTTGGGACCCAACTAGATAATCCTATTACTTGCGTTAAAAAGTATCAGGTTTTATGATACGTGGGATTTGATCGACGGACAGGTCCTGCCAGCGGTGCATATTCAGGGTGGGGGAGCACTTGAAAATAAAATAATAAATAATAATATTTAAATGCCATTTTTGCCCTTGTCTGCCGGGCCGGGTCCCCGAATCAGCTGCTATTTGAGGCCGGGCCGGGTCCCCGAATCAGCTTCCCGTGTCTGCCGAGACATAGAGAGAGCGATGCACAAAGCGTGCTGACTCCGGCTCACGGAAGCCTTTCCGAATCCATGCCAAACATGTAGCTTCTAGAAAAAATGAGATTCCTGAAATATTTAACTAATTGAGTTATTGCGATTGTCTGTTTACAATATGAAGACCATCCAAAACAAGGGAATCCGGCTTTGGGCAGGCCGCGTTTGGCAAGGGGCCTCGAAGGGCTGCCGGCGACGAGACGGGAAATCCGATTATCATCTGCCTTCGAGTGCCTGGATTCTCGAAAACCTCTCGCCGAGGGTTTGACTCCGCTTCGCCTTGCCTCCCATGAACGCGATGGGGACCCACAACTACTTTCCCTGACGTGGATCCTCAAACCCCCTCCCCCTCTCTCTCTCTCGCTAAGGTACTGAGGGGGCGATGGTCCTTGAACGAATGACAGCTTGAGCGCTCCACGGGCAGTCGCGATCTGTACTCGCATAGTTTCTACGCGAGAGCTGACGAGGCGGTGCCATTAATGAGGAGCGCCCCACCGGGGGAGCGATCCAATTTCACCTTCCTTCATTTGACACTGTTGATGGAGATGGCAAGCTTGAGCGAGAAGCGAGAGAGAGAGAGAGAGAGAGAGAGAGAGAGAGAGGGGGGGGAGGGAAGCGAATAAGTCGAGCTAAACGGAGGTTCTTCTGCCAGGCGGTGAAACGTGGCGACGGCTAGAGAGACGATAAAGAGAGCCGGACGTAGACAAGGGGGTGGCAAAAGTCTACGACACGGGTTTCTCAACCGTCAGACTTAAAGCGCCTTTAATTTAACTAGCTCGTTCGTCAACGGCTGTCTGCCGTCAGCCGTCAGCCGTCAGCCGTCAGCCATCAGCAGTCAGCACTAAGAACAGTATTGTTAACGCACACTAACTTTGACTGCGAGTGCCGACGGTCTGCCCGATCCCACCCCGAACACTCGGAGAGAGATACACAGAGAGAGAGAGAGAGAGAGAGAGAGCTAATTGGAACGAATTAGGCCCGTTCGTCTGCGTTGGGCCTCATTGATGCCCAGATACGGCCCATTTAGGAGAGGCGTGGACACTTTTTTCTGCGGACTGCATTTTAGGCGGAAGCCCAACTGATACACACAGACAGACAGGTATAAGGTATGCCCAAAGAGGCAAGAATGACGAGCTCCGAATTTGCATGCCCAAAAAGGCCCATTAAGGGGTGCGAGGGACTGCTTCCATAGGAATGGTTCAGAGGCCCAATAGAATCTGCCTCATTGACACCCACAAGACACAACAAGATGTAATCTTTTAAAACTAAACTATATTTTTAAAAATAAAAATATTTACCCATCATCACATTTTTTAGATTATAGAATATAAATATATATTTAAAGCTGAATGTCCATCGCCAATGTGGAAGCTATTCGGGCTACCATTGACCGTTGGAGGAAATCTATGGTTCTCCATTGATTCCATCCCCTGAGTACAACCTTCTATATCTGGTATTCTATGGCTTGTGATAAGAGAAAGAAAGGCTTGTGGGTTCTGCATAACCATGGATAAACCATGAATCGCCTATGGTGATCTAAGAAGCAAGATCCTTGGTATTAGCCAGCTTGAAGAACCCTAATCCCAACTGTACAGGGATGATAAGGAGTTAAGCTGTATCAGTTTGAGAACAGGAACCTCTCGCAGTATGTGCAATCAACAGTAGGCGTGCTTGTATATCTGGAAATATGGCGGAGGAAAACAGGGGATGGGGGAGGATTCAGATTGAGGAGGCTTCCCTTTAACGAAGCAGGCTACAAGATCCGACGCAGTCTCCACTCCGGAATCCAAGACAGGAGGATCGAATGGGGTGGGTGGAGGGGGAGCGACAAAGGCTCAGTACAGGAGAGGAATGAGCTTGTACCTGACCCTGCTCGCGTACTCTGTATATTTCTGCCCAAATGTCTCCGCCATGAGCTTCTCCTCCAATTCTGCCTTCTGCCCGTAGTAGGCCGAGCAGATGCCGATCAAGAACAGGCAGCTGAGGGGGGCGCGGAGAGCGACGCAGTACGCGCAGAAGAGGAGCATCGTGGAGGCGTAGATGGGGTGGCGCACCCACCGGTAGGGTCCGAACTGGGCGACGGCGGTGGGCACCGAGACCTTCTCCGAGTACTTGGCGAGGTACAGGATGGAGTGGTACCTTGTGAAGATGGCGGAGATTATCAGCAACCAGATTCCCACATTGGCCCACCCGCCGGGAACCAGGTGAAGCTCGGGCCCCTCCCACGCAGCAAGCCAGTGCCCGGCCATGACGAGTGACGAGAAGGCGAGGCGCAGCGCCGGCGGCAGAGTAAGGTCCCACTTGGGGTCGTGCCGGCGAGGGAAGAGGTCGCCGTAGAGACGCCGGCGGACGGTGGACTCGAAGAAGAAGAAGTAGTGGTACACGAAGAAGAAGGCGACGGGCCATCCCTCGAGGTACCCGTTGAAGTGGCCGGGGGCTACGAGGGTGAGCCACATAATCGAAGAGGTGACCACGCAGAGCTGCTCGAAGAAGCTTGCGTTCCCGGCGGCGTGCTTGCGGAGGCAGCACAGCCCGTAAACTCCTAGGGATACGGCGACGACCCACGGCCAGAAGAGCCAGGTCCAGCTGAAATACATCCAGAAGAACGGGTTCAGAACGGCCTCCACCACCTTCCTCCCGACGGCGACGCCCACGCAGATGACGGAGGCCCATTTGAAGACGCTCAAAGGGGTCACCACGGAGAGGTCGATGGAGGGCAGCGAGGGAAAAGCGGAGGACGAGAAGGGCACAGAAAAGGCTTTAGCGACGAGAGAAGGCCACTGAGGCTGGGAAAGCGAGCAGATTGGGGCTCGATGGAGCCGCTGGGAGCCATAGCCGCCGGCGAAGGGAAGATGTCTGTTGTTCGGTCTGAGAGAGAATACTCCCCGATCGGCGATAAACGACGGAGGGCAGATTGGCCTGGTTTTCGGGGCGGCGGCGGAGGAGCGGAAGCAGGGAGGGGGCGGCGAATGGGCGATGAAGTTGGCAGTCCCCATCTTCTCCACGACGGCCGGAGGAAGGGGACTCAACGAGCTCCCTCTCCCTCCCTCTTCTATCCCTACCCCCTGCCGCCGCAGTCGCCGTAAAGCAGATCTTAATCCGACCCGGAATCCGAGTTGTGAGTATACTCGTTGATGTGCACGTAAACCGTGCGCATAACAGCCTCCCCGAGCCACGCATAACCATATCCGCAAAACGACAAGTACGGACCTCGTATTATTCGAAACGGGCCGGTATGTGTTTCGGAATTAGCCCACAAAGGATCATCAAGACGGCCCAATAGTGCGTTTTTGAATCGGGCCCGACTTGTCCGGCAATGCAGTCCACGGGCCCGTGATTAATCATGGCAAATTAGATTGTACCCCCCAGTGACAAATTTTCTTATGTTTCTAGACTACTCACGAAACGATAAATTCTGACGGGATGGGCCCAAGTGGGGAACTTTCCACGTGGCACTCTCCTAAGTCTTATGCGTGGCTACATTACGCCTTAACATCTGGAAAGATTCCAACTTCCAACTAAACCCAATAAACCGAAGTTCCTTGGCGACGGCGGGGTAAAGTCAACGAATGCCACAGAGATGGACGCCCGATTCCTCAGTCTCTCAAGGAGTACCTCCTCCCGGTGAAAGGTTTGAACTCGGGCTCTTCCTCCTTCGGCGGCTGGGGCGGCGGATCCTTCGCCACGGCCTGCAAATCGAAAGGAAGGGCTGGTCCTGTGAGAAAAATCGGAGCGAAATCTTTCACCAACTGGGCAGAGCTTCTACTCTGATCGGAGCCGCACCTTCCCCCTCTCCTCCACGCTCTCCGACTTCCTGTCGGCCGATCCGAACATGAGCTTCCCCCTTGATGGCTGCTGAGACGCCGAAGCTGAAGAAGATGTTGAAGAAGAAGAAGAAGAAGAAGGAAAAGAAGAAGGGGGAGGAGGAGAAGAGCCCGCGCCATTGGCAGCCCTCGCCGCCCGCGCCTTCGGTGCAGTGGAAAGAGGAGCAGGAGCAGGAGACGGCGACGCCTCCGCCGGCCGTCCGTTGAGGCGTCTCGCGGTGCCCGTAAACGGGCTGAACTTGGACTCCTCTTCGACGGGCTCTTCAGCTGGACGGCGCACCAAATTAGGAGACAATGAGAGCAGGTCAAGGAGGTCGCTGTGGAGAGATGAAGGGCGGAGAAAGACCTTGAGGCGGCGCCGCCAGAGGAGCTGGTTTGCCCGGTTTCTCGGGCTCTTTGTAGTCGAGAGGAGGAGCGAAGTCCACCTCGCAGTCGGTCTCGATGATGCTCACCGCCGCCGAGGGCTTCGTCTCCACGATGTCGATGTAGTATTTCTTGTTGTTGTAGGCCACCATGATCGTGTCCCCGGTCGTCAGGCACGAGAAGCTCCTCAACGATGTCTCCAGTCTGCACCACAGACGGCCGCCAATAAGAAAGAAAGTCACAGAGAGACGCACAGAGAGAGAGAGAGAGAGAGAGAGAGAGAGAGAGCCACATGGCCTTTGGATTGGAGATGTCCAAGAAATCCGTCGTGTGAGGCTGGAGCTTAACGTAGGTGCCCTTCGGGAGAGTGGCGCTCTTGATACGCACGACGTCTCCTTCTTCGAGTAGCAGGTTCTGCATCATCTGGAGAATTCGAAGCGGCGCCGAGCTCAGCACCCGAGTAATCCCAAGGATACGAAGCTTAACGAGCCGCTAGTCAACGGGGGAGCTCACCCAGTATGGCAGATACACCATGCCTTCCTCCGCTATGAACTCGAGGACGCCGCAATGGGAGACCCTCTGCGTCGACGAGTTCTCGAGCTCAAACAACATCGGGTAGTCGATATTGAGGGATGCTGCGGAGAAAGACCACATCTCACACCCTCTTCCCGCGCTGACTCCGGGAAAAGTCAACGTCAGAATCTAAACCTGGGGTCAACGGGGCTTACCGAGGCGATCCAGGGCTGACGGCGGCATGATAACTGGAAGAGGAGCAGGCAAGCAGCACAAAAGAGACCTTTAGAAGACATGCGGGAAAGAATACCAGAGAGATCGAAGGCCAAGTCAAAAAAAACGCATACTTTTGTCGCCGTTTTCAAGTTGGGGCTGCAGAAGAAGCAGGTGGGGGAGGCGTCAATGCAATGAAGCAAAAATATATTAAAAATTAAAGAGCTTTTCTATCTCAGCTGTCTTCTCTCTCTCTCTCTCTTCTCTGAATGTGCTTCGATTTTTACTACCCATGTTGAAGATGAGCACAGAATGAAGACACAAGGATGATTCATGGACAGCATTGACCGAGAAACCAGAGCATTTCGACAAGGGAGATCAAACCTTGTCGATGAATGTGGTGGGATAGCAGCGATAGACCTGCTCGAACGTCCTCTGGCGGTCATTGTAGTCCTCAAAATACTGCAAATACCAGCACCCACAAACTTACACCGAGGAATTTCGATAAAATGGTGGGTAAGTTTGCGTCCATATCAAGAACACAAGATATCAAACAGATAAAAGTTTTGCAGGGTGCAGAAACAATCATCGGATATGATAATCTTCGGCGCCATCATTCCGCACAATTCACTGCAATCATTCTTCTTGTGCTGCATCAACCAGTTCATCTCCAAACGGCTGATTTCAACAGATATTCGTTCTTCAGAAGGAAATGATTCCGAATTATATGATCTAAATTAAATAGAACAAAAGTTAACGAGAAACCCAGAACGGATTCTAGCTCAAAAGTGGAATTTTTCCGCGACAGGCGACGAAATTGAAGCTGAAATCAAGTTTAAAAGGGGTAAAATATCTCATGGGCAATGAAAACCCAGATAACATCGCGCCGATTCTTTTGTCCTGAGTAATTAGGTCCCGTCCCAGAGCCTGCCACCTCTGCCGGCCTCAAGCATTATCAACTGATATGAACGCATGAAAGAAATCCACCATCTGGCGTACCATGTCGCCGAAGATCGGATTCCCCGCGCGGAAAGAGCGTCCCTCGGAGCTTCCTGAAAGGATAAAGAACCCAAGTCCTGAAGAAACAAGAAGAATGAACCACCTACCCCACCCAAAAAAAATAAATCAACGAATTAATGGGACTCTTTCCCGCACGGAAAGAGTTCGAGTTCGCCAAGCAAGAAAGGAAAACTCAATTTCAGATGCAGACGTCAGGACCTACGACAATGGGATCGAGTCCTCTGCAAGAAACCCACCAGACGCAGGCAAAATTAGGACCCGCGACCGAGAAAGGGCTGCGATGGAGGGCAGATCGGAGGAGAGGAAAGGTTCGGGAATCCGGGCAGAGAGAGAGAGAGAGAGAGAGAGAGAGGGAGAGAGAGAGAGAGAGAGAGAGGTATATATAGGGCTGAGGATTCGCACCCAGTTCGGCGCGGTGCTGAGAGTCTTTGACTGTTGGGTCGGTGGCGGCCGGTGGCGGCCGATGGCGGCGGCCGCATACCCGCTCTCGCCCGAGTCCGTATCCGACGGAAGATCTGGGAGTTCGGACCCTCACCTACTTGGCCCATTATGCGGACACCCTCTCCATATTGGCCCAATAGAGCAATCGGGTTCGGCCACCCTTCCGGCCCAGACTACACCAGACCGGCCCAGCAACACCTGGTTGAATCGCATTTTTTTTCATTTTATATAAATAGATGATCATAATAAATATTTTAAGTATTTTTTAATATGATATATTTTGTGCCAAATATTCTCGAAAAGGCTTTTATTCATCTACTAAATTTAATAATTATAATTATAATTATATACTTTAAGCAGTCAAGAGATTCGCCCAAAACCATTGAAAAATGATGTCTGGCACCCGTGTTGGAGCATCGACGCAAATGTATACTGTGTAGGGGTATTAGGGGTAGTTTGTTACCTTTTAAGAGTATATAAATAAACCCTGAAGAAGACGGAGATAAGGTGAGGAAACTTTGAACAAAAGGAGCCTTCTCAGTGACGGCAATGGCGGCACGTGTTGTCCTCTCTCCCTCAACCTGCTTCCCCTTGACCCCCGCTGCCCTTCGGGAGAATACATCCATTGCCGCCCGCGGCCTCTCCTGCTTCCCTCGCCGCCTCAGCCCGGCTTCCCGAAGAACGGCGCAGAGTGGCCGTGGCGCTCTTGCCGCCGCGACCATGTCGAGCACGGTGTTGGTGACGGGATCCGGCGGCCGGACAGGTCGTCTTTATATTGCGGCTGTTTTTCTTTGATTTCGGGTGCTATCTCTGCGGAAATCCGTTTTCCTGATCGGTCGCCGCATTGAGCGCGGTCGTCTTTCATCGTCTTCCTTTCATTTACCTGATCAGTGCTCAATTTCGACAGACCATTTTTTCCTCTTTTAGAATAATGCCGGCGATCTCCCATGGTTTTTGGAGCTATTTTGCTTCAGTTTTCCCTGAAACTATCGATCGTGACTGCTTCCGGCTGTCGGAATCGCCAACCCCCCCGGGCAAGCGAACGATCTTCCAGTCATGGATTTCATCTATAGTATCCCACTTCACTCCCTCCCCCGCTATCGCCGTTCCTTTCTGAGTAATCCTCCCAAATCCATACAAATCTGCGAGTATCGTCCACGACGGTTCGCCGCTTTACTGAGATTTCCCACCCCCTTTTTGTCAGGTCAAATCGTTTACAGGAAGCTCAAGGAGCGAGCTGAGCAATTTGTCGGCAGAGGCCTAGTGAGAACTGAGGAGAGCAAGGAGAAGATTGGAGGAGCTGATGACGTGTTTGTGGGTGACATAAGGGATGCAGCTGCTCTTGCTCCCGCATGCCAAGGCATCGATGCGCTCATAATTCTTACGAGCGCCGTGCCAAAGATGAAGCCAGGCTTTGACCCGAGCAAAGGCGGCCGACCCGAGTTCTTCTTTGAAGACGGCCAATTCCCCGAACAGGTAAGTCTGATTCCTCTTCTTAGCAAGTTTCAAAACCTTTCGGGGCGGAAATAAATTTGTTCTTCCGAATTTCTGTCATTTCAGGTTGACTGGATCGGCCAGAAGAATCAAATCGATGCGGGTAAGAACTCTCTCATCCTCGATATGCCCACTGTTCCATTTTAAGCATGGTTTGGCTTTTAGTTTGAGATGGAGCACATCCGATATGCCTGCTGCTCCATTTCAAGCATGGTTTGACTTTTGAATGAGGGTCAAAAACTCCCCTGATAAGCCGTGTAGATCGTTAGAGGGGTTTTCTGGGATTTTTTATTTATTTTAAAAGCCAAGTTCTTGGAGAAATCCGGACAGAGTTTCAACCTTCTTCCGTCCGTTGCAGCTGCGGCGGCTGGAGTCAAGCACATCGTCCTGGTCGGCTCCATGGGCGGAACAGACCCAAATCACCCCTTGAACAGCATTGGGAACGGAAACATCTTGGTGAGTTTGATCTTCCATTACAGCACGATATATATACTGATAATTATGAGAAACAAGCCGTGCGTTACATCCCGCTCTCACTTGTTCTTGACGAGTTCCTGCCGATGATCTTGCGGGGTGCTGCTATCGAAGTCGAATAGATCTTGGCGTGGATTAAACGACCAACTGTGTGAGTTTTTTCCTCGTTTCAGGTGTGGAAAAGAAAGGCGGAACAGTACTTGGCGGATTCTGGAATTCCGTACACAATCATAAGGTATGGCTAGAAAGAGAGGGAGAGAGAAGGGGATTGTGCCCATCAATTTATTTATTTAATTACCATGTTTAGAATCTTAGTGGTGGGCATGTACACAATCATAAGTATGGCTAGAGAGAGAGAGAGAGGGATAGGGAGATGTGCCCATCGATTTATTTATAGAATTACCATGTTCAGAATCTTAGTGATGGGCATGTATATATGCCGACGGAAGGTAGAAGGTATGATGCCCAGTGGGTTCTGTAAGTGGCAAACGCTGAATCATCTATGAATACGGACGACCAGGGCGGGAGGACTGCAGGATACGGCGGGCGGCGTGCGGGAGCTTCTGGTCAGCAGAGACGATGAGCTCCTCAAGACCGAGACGAGGACCATTGCCAGAGCCGACGTTGCCGAAGTCTGTGTCCAGGTGATCTCCATATCCAGAGAGAAGATAGAGAGAGAGAGAGTATGTGTCTGGGGCGAGCCCTATTGATGAGTTTGTTCGGATGTGCAGGCACTTCAGATTGAAGAAGCCAAGTTCAAGGCGCTCGATCTCGCGTCGAAACCAGAGGGAGCGGGCGCCCCCACTTCTGACTTCAAGTCACTCTTTTCCCAGGTCACTGCTAGCTTCTGACCTCACCCACTGATCCCACTCTCTCTCTCTCTAGATTGGAGGCGTTAGGAGGCTAGAGAGAGAAGATGTTGCTATTTTTATTTGCCATACACCCATCTCTTGGGACTAGTTGTGACGCTGTGAACAATCTGAGCTTACCCAGTTCACTCCATCGTTTGGGTTGGTTCACTTCACCCCATGCTAGAAGAAGCCCATCACTGGGCCACGCAGCTCTGCTCATTAAGCACAGAGATAGAGAGAGAGAGAATGCTCTATGGGTGCATCAAGAAATATGATCACCACTAGGGGGGACTATAGGGGAAATTCGAGAGCAATAGGCCAAGCAAACGGGTAGCCAGCCGGTATTCGTCGTCGTGCATGTACATGGCATGGTGGCTCACCTCCGGCGGGCGGAGAGGCAAAATGGAGCAGGAAGAGGGAGGAGGTGGCGGCGGCGTCGAGCCCAGCCGAGCGGAGTGGATTGGGGTCAGAGTCTGAGGGCGTCCGGCTTCCAGGTGGAGATGGCGTAGATGATTCGTCCCTTCCATCCCTGCAGGAGCCACCGGCTGTCCTCGTCGATGACGAAGTCCTTGTCGTAGACGGACCTCACCTTGTCCCTGCACTTGTTCATGATCTCCGGGTCGAGCGGCAGCTGGGTGAAGCCCGCCCTGAGATTCCTGACCTGCCACTGCTTGTAGGTCTCCGGGCGCTCCACCCTCTCCGAGCCCTCGCAGGCGATCACGTTCATGGCCTCCCTCCCGAAGATCTCCTGCTCGATCAGGAGCCTCTCCGGGTGTTCCCTCGGCACGGTCGCCTCCAGCATGTCGAACAGCGCCGAGAAGTGGAACAGCGCCTCCCTGAACCGCGTCACGAAGAAAGGCGCGCTGAAGGCCCCGTTGACCACGCCATGGATGAACACGGCCGGGTTCATCTTCCTGATGTTGTTCAGCACAGTGTTCCTGGGGCTGTCCACCACCACCGTCTCGTCGATCAGGTTCCTAAACCTGTACAGGCAGTTGACCACCAGCACCTCCTCCGGGTCGATCCTCAGGTCCTCCACTCGGATGGCCTCCCACTTGGACGCGATCGGGAAGTACTCAAGCTCCACGTTGAACTTCCTCGCGTACTCCTCCAGCCGCCGCCCCGTCTCCTCGATCCGCTCGTTGGGGCGGAACCCTGGTTGCGGCACGTCGATCCCGGTGATCCTCAGTTTCGGGGGGCCGCCGGGCCTCGTGGAGAGACGCTGGATCAGGCACGGCCACTGGAAGCCGAAGTAGATCCCGAAGTCGATGATGTGGAGCTTCTTCGCTTTCTCGGCGACGTTGTAGATCGTCTGGTTCCCGAAGAAGTGGGAGACCCGCTTGAAGGGGCAGGCGGCGAGGTAGAGATGGTAGGCCTTCAAGATGGCGGTGGCGGATTGCCTCTTCGCCACGAGAGCTTTGTAGATCTGGCTACCTGTCCCGGCCAGGCGAGCCTCGAGCCCATCCGCGAAGCATTGGGCTAGTCTCTGTGTTCCGTCTCCGTGGGGGGACGAATGCTGCCGGATCTGCTTGAGGAGCTCGCTGGCGCTCCGGCGGTCGTCGGCGGCGACGGCCTGAGCGCAGTGGACGAGGAGAGTTCGCAGATCGACGACCTCCTTCTTGACTTGCCGCTTCCCTCGGGATTTCCCTCCGTTGGATCCCCCCTTGGATTGGCCGCTGTTCTTGGGGGGGTTGTTCTTGCTCACCTCGTTCTGGAGAGCTTCCCGGAGGCTAGTGACCGCATCGTTCGGCTTCCCACCGTGGCAAAGGAGCACCATGTCGAACATCTCCGATCGGACGACGTCGTCCTCGGAGTATATGGCCGACTGCTTGACGCTCCTTCCCTCTTCTAAATACAGATCCTCCTGGTGCGGATTCTTCCGATTCTTCGAACTCACGGGGATCATTCCCCTTTCCTCTTTCTCCAACTTGACGTCGCCAGGATCAATCTGTACGACCTTCGCCTGATCCTTCGGCAACGATAATCCGTTGGATGCCAAATCAATAACCAGTTTATTACGATCTGGGAGGAATTTGCTCGCCTCCTCGACTCCTCTTTTGAAATTCCGGATTGGCTGGCTCTCGACGAGCAGATCATCGACTCTCCGCCCGGCCTCACTCGACTGAGGGTCTCTGATTCCGTCCAAAACACCGGCGGTGCCGTTCGAGGAGCTGAACGAAGAAGAAGACATGCAGTGGTTGACAGATAAGCTGCCGATCTGAGGAGAAGGTTCCTCACCGAAATCATGAAAACAGCCATTATCGACCCCTGAGCCGATGGAATTCCCGTGCTGACTGCTGCTGCCGCTGTCTTCGGGGCTATCGGAGCTATGCTGACCAGGAGGAGGGGGATACTTCTCACCGAGGATATCATAGAAGGGCTTCTCGGCCGCCTGGAGAGCCGCCCCCTCCTGGTAGACGATGACCTTGTCGTCCATGTCCTCTTCCATGAGCATCTTGCTGATGTAAGTCAGCGCTATGTCGGAGAAGATCTCCGAGTCCTCCGGAGAATCCCCTCGCGGATACGTGCTCGCCGGAGGCATGGGATGACAATTGGGAGTCGATACAAGGATAAAGGATTGATCTCCGACGAAGTTACTGTGATCGACGGAGCTGTCGGGATCATTTGGCTTGAAGCTATCGACGCCCCCCTGATCGAGCATCGAATTCCAAAAATTGAACCCGCTCATCATGCCGGAAATCTCTCGAATGCCCGGATCCATAAACATTGAAACTACGCTGACTGATAAGATCCCGCTCTGAATCAACGCTTGTTTCACAAGAATCAAAGTCCCCCGGTCAACCCTGAATTAAAACACCAAAACCGATACCTTCCGATTGGAATCAAGAAACCGTCGAAACTTCCGATGAACCAGGCTACGAAGACCCCGTAATAGCTAGAAACTGATTCTCAACATATCGACAACCGAGGCCCGGGACCGAGCACGGACGATATCATCAAACTCCTGTTCTTCATAAACCAGAAGAATTCCCTGCGGGATGCAGGGATGAGGGTTCCAGGATTCGAGAAGCAAGAGATCAATTCCTGCACACAGGTGGAAATTTAGGGCACAACCTACAAGAAAACCATCGATCGGACAACCCGACGAGGAAACCGATACAGCAAAAAGGGAAGAAGTTGACCGGAGAACGAACCTTATCGGAACCTCAATTCCGGAAGAAAGAAGGAGCGTAACCACGGCCGGTTTACTCGAGAGGGTGGGGAATAAGAGGATAAGGCCTCCACTCTTGGAAGAGCTCGGGAATCACCCCTTGTCTCTCTTTTTAAAGGACCTTTCCTTCTATCTCTTGAACCTTCTGGTAAGTGCTTTTTCTCGTTATTACCGGCCATTCCCGGTCGAAAGGTATTTTTAGAAAAAAAAGTTAATTAAATAGGCCTACGTCGGCAAGTGGGTTTCCGCTGCCCGTGACCTAGAGACTAGCCCCTCCATCCTTATTCTTTTACATCAATGGGAAGATCTACGGCCACGTCATCATCTCGAAGAGAGCTCACCAATCGGACGGCCAAAACTTCGGAGAGGCCCGCAGAGGCGGCACCATCCTGCTGGACACGTGTTGAACTGAGGTCTCGCATGTGCCATCCACGCTCGGCTATATTTCCGCCACGTGTTTAAACTCGTCAGGCAGCACTTGGACGTCCCCACTGGAGCAATCCGCGCTGGCGTGGTGGAGGTGTACAATATCCATTTCAGGAAACATGGCAGTGGAGACAGAGCACATGTTTCCTGAAAGGAATCTCGCTAGCTTAAAATAGTCCGCCGGCACACCTGGGACCCAAGAGGCGCTTTGACAGCCGCCGGTCGCCAAGCCCCTGTCCCTTTCCAAACCTCCACGCATTTCTTGAAGGCCAAGCTTTCCCAGGTCTACCGATAGTCAGCTGACGACCCGAGCGCCACGATGCCGTCGTTTTTCAGTCTTCTTCTTCGCGGGTTCCAACGAATAAGCGAGCGAGCGAGAGAGAGAGTGGAGTCTTCCTCTGGTTTGGTAGGGGCAGTGTTCGTTCTGCAAGTATAGAGGGTAGGAGATGGCGAGCGAGTCAAAACGCCAAGTTGAACGCATCCGGCTATCCCTCTCCTCCAAGTTTCTCTTCCACAATCACCGTGGTTTTCTCTGGTGACAGGTGGAACGTCGCGTCGGGCGAACGGTTCCCGGTCGCAGCTGGGAGCGGTCGTCGAGCCAAATCACGCCACCCCGCTACAGACCGGGAGTCTCCTTGGTTGACTTTGCCTCAGCCGGTTGACCAACAATGAAGTGGCGGAGCTTTTCAACCCGGGAGAGAGAGAGAGAGAGAGAGAGAGAGAGAGAGAGAGAGAGAGAGAGAGAGAGAGAGACCACCACCTGGCCAAGTTTCGGATGCTTCTATCAGATCGGCCGTCCTACAACGAATAATCCTCCGCCCGTCTGGATGAGTCTTTAGCTGTCAGCCTCGTTGAGATACCGTCGGAAAAAAATTAGGGTTTCTGGTCGTCGAAGTGCCGGAGGGACACTTCTGACCTTCCGCGCTCTGTATCTTTCCGCAAAACAAGGGTTCCTCTTCTTCCGCAGAACAAGGAAGAAGGGCATGTGTCGTTTTCTCACTCTCCGTCCCACATCAATCCAGTCTGAACGTGCGTGGGGTGATAATCAACGGGCCCTGCATCGCAATATCCTTCAAACCCTAAGCAAGCACACATTGACCGCACTTCTGAGTTCATGATTCTAACAGATCTCCGATAAGTCCTCTTCCCCAGCTCGTTGTGGGATCCATGGCGTAGCCACGTGGAGAGTTGACTCAGCCTACAGACCCCCCCCCCACTTGGGGCATCTGGTCCACCACGCAGGAACCTTCCGTGAACTTCTCTACTATGGTGAGCCCACATGCAGCCGCCATAACTTGGGATAAGATAAAGCCAATATCTTATTATTTACCTCAAGTAATATCACTAATTAATTAGTCAAGATTCGGGATATCATATATATATATATATATATATATAGATATATGTGTGTGTGTGTGTAGGGATCTCGAGAGGAACGTGGGCATATTGGCGACCAGCTGATGTTAGAATAATACAGACATATTTATCATAGTTAATATGTTTGTTAGAATAATATTATTTATATAATATTACTTGACATTTCGGGGAAAAAAACGTCCGCCTCCTTGTGCATGGATAATTCCATAGATTCGGTAAGAGGTCGCATGACGGTTTAAAGCAGTCAAGCTTTCGAGTTGACGCTTTCATGGCGGATCGAAAGTAGCCCCGAGAACGTCCACAGGGTTGCCATCTTCTCTAAAGGAATAGAAACAGTGGTACCCTTCTTCCCGTTCCATCTTTCTTTGTTCATTCACTGATAAATGGCGCAACCCCTCGACATTGACTGTGACAGGGAGACCTATCGCCGGGAAGGCGTTGACTTCTCTCCTTAATTGCCCTCCCCACCGCGCGAGGATAGACATAGGGGAGGGGATCAGTGTCTTCCAGAGATGAACCCATGTCCGAATAGCCCTCCCAACTGTTCTTCCCCCCCGCCGACGGTGTCTCTCTCTTCGCTATTAGTCAACCAGTAGCTGGAAGCCTGATCTATTGCGGCCATTCTAAAAACTCTGAAAAACTTGGCCTTTTTTTGTTGTTAACATAAGCTTGTGAACAATGATTATTCGTGATTAATTGCTTGATCAATGGGTCGTCTCGCCCACGATTATAAAGAAAAGATAAATGCCATTTAATCCCAATTTTTTGTGCGTTGACTTTGATAGCTTGTTTAAATGGTAAGTTGTCTAAATTATAGCTGAGTAAATGGGGGGCCCTTTCCATGAATGCTCAGAAAGTTGCATGAAATTGTCGCTTTTTGCTGCATATTTTTACAATAATAAAAAAATAATAATGAATATTATCTTAGGGTAAACTGATGATATGACATCCGAAATAACTACCGTTTTTTATGCGGTGACGTCATTTTCATGAAAATGACGCAATAATTAAGAAGAAAATCCCTGCTTTTCAACATTCGTCCTCATCCACGAATGAAAAGCCGGCGGGAATGGAGATGGGAAGAGGACGATCCATCGGTCTCTCTCGAAGATGAAAGGGAGGAATTTACGGCGCAGAGAGACGGATATCCTGTGCAAATAGGTCGGATTCACCAGCCCGGCACCGGGTTTGGACTCGATGGTCGCAGCCCATGAAAACCTAGCCCAACACCAAACCCGGCCCATTTTATCCGGCCCAAATATCGATTATTTATTTATTTATTGTCGTCGTTATTTATTTGAATATATAACGTGGACATCCCGCGGAGTGTTCCTGTTTTGACTCCGTTGAGCCGATAAACCTGTAAAGACCTAATCATTCCAAACAAAGGTTCGGCCCAATAACGCTGTTCTCGATGTAGCTACGGCCCATTAACGAATATATTATAACAGAAGGCAATGGATAACCGAGAAAACCAGGCAAAAATGTAGCTACATATATATATATATATATATATATATATTATCAAGTAGATGGGAATGGGCTACGGGCTCGGAGCCAGGCCCAAGCCTGGAAAGCAAAGGCCCAATAACACCGTCGTCTAATGATTCTCGATCCAGTGGTCCAGTGGGGACCCAGACGGTGGAATCTTTCGGGAAAATTGACCGCCAGATCGACCCACAACACCTCGAGCCTATCGAGATCCCCACCGTTCAAAAGGAATCAGTGGAGCCCACCGGACCTACTCAACGTCCCATCGAGATAAGACATTGGACGGCGAGGATCCCGCCGCAAAAAAAAGATTTGGGGGCGCAGGTTCCGTCTCCGCCGACGTGACGTGATCGTTTCGCGTCGCATTCGTGTGGGCCAGATGAGGAATCCGGGGCCATAAACCGCGCGGGCCCATTAACGGGCTTCGGACAGCGAAATGATGAGTTTTGCCCTGTGCGAAAGCAACATGCTCGGTCAACGAGTGGGGGACAGGTCCCATCGGCGTGGGGGGCAGCGGCGGTTGCTTGCTGATTCTTAACCCTTCTTCTTTATAAACCCGGATCATCAACATCATGTACAAAGCCGCCGCCAAAGGCCCTTCCTTCCTCCTAACGCCGGCGCCTCTCAGAGAAAAATATTCAGCGAGAGGGAGCTGGGTGGGGGGAGATAGGGGGCCATGGCGGCGGAAGAATCATGGGTGAGACAGAATGTTACAGGAAACCCGTCAAGCGTTCTTTCTCTCTCTAAACAGTGAACAGGGGACGCCGCCGGGTCCAGTCAGGCGAGCAGCGACGGCGGCGGCGGCGGCGGCGGCGGTGCCTCCGGCGGTGGGGGGTGCTTGGGGTGGTGGAGCTTGGCCTGGTGCTGCGACCAGAAGGCGTTGATGGCGAGCACACGGTCAAGGAGCTCCTGCGGGACCGGTTCTCCTCGCCGCTGCTGCGGGGAGATCTTCGCCGTGTGAACCAGCGTCTTCCACTTGTCCTGCGCGGTGCACAACCCGTCATATTCAACGCACCGCCGGCCGCAAGTCTACCTACGATGGAGATCGCCGGCGGAGGAAGGTCGAGGAGAGCCCAACACGCCAGGAAATGTACCAGTCACATCACCACCCTCTCTTTCAGTAGGGAGTGCAGCGACAGAAGCTATCGAAAAAGGTTACGCGTAGTTGAATGATGAAAGGTCGAGAAGGTGAGAGAGAAGGGGTTTCTCACCTTGAGGTCGACGTAGGTGCGGTGCTTTGCGTTCTCGAAGGCGCAGAGCTTGACGTCGCGCCACCTGCAGGGTGGTCCAGTGAATGAATGAATGGGTTATCAGTGATTGATGTTACAGGCGCAGAAATCTTGGCGGAAGAAGGATCATGGACGTGACAGAAAGTTACAGGAAACTCACGAAACAGTGAACAGGCGGCGGTGCGGGAGAAAGACCATATGGAGGGGAAGGGCTCACCTTCCGGTTCCGAGATCTTCGACGGCCTGGACGAGGGCTTCCACCTCTGAGACCGAGAAGGGCCTCCGTATGCGCCGGGGGGCAGTCTCGCTGCGCCGGTGATACGGAACGACGGCCAGGGCTTCGATCTCCATGGCCGGGACGATGGCCAGAGCTCTGGAGCCGGGGGTGTCTTCTGCCGACATGGCGTGGGCAGGTGAGGGAGCAGAGTCATGGTCGCTCTCCAAACAGTACAAGGAAGACTTTCCGAGGTGAAGAGGGACTGTACAACTGTCAGCAAACGCAGCGTCGTCTAAAGAACGAGCTGCGGGGAACCTGAGGCAGAGAAGGCCAATTTCTCAGAGTGGAAGTACTCTGAGCTACGCCGACAAAAAAAATCTGGTTTTTAAGAGAATTCGATGTAAATCAAGTAATCTTCTCACCTTGTCGGAGGGTCAGATCCGTCACAGGCAGGGAGGAAGCAGGTGGTCACTTTGTTAGCAGTCAGCTGCTTGAGAGTCTGCGGAGCTTTGGGCTCCAGAGTGAAACTGAGATTATCCAGACCACCTCCGTGAGAAATGCCAGCTTGGGTCAGGGATTTGCTGTCATCACGGAGCTTCTTCCCTTGGAGCTGAACCCCTACTCGGAAGCCGCCGCAAAGTATGGCGGTGACCGCTTCGACCACCGTCCTCTGCAGAGTAAAAAAATGGAGAAGAGGGAGAAGGGCGACAGTTTAGAAGTCATGCATACTCTGAAGCGCGGGTTCGAAGAAAGATGAGGGGGGCAACGATCGAGGTTGAGAGCAAACGAACCGTAGAACAAGAAGAAAATTTTCGTCAAGCATCATAAAGTACGATAAATATTGTCGGAACAGAGATGGGCTCCGCTAGAAAGCAATTTTTCCCCGGAAAAGGTCAAATCTGGCCGCATGTATCGTCATCACAAAGCTGTGTTCACAGAGAAGGGTTTTTCGAGAGGTGCACTTTCATAAAGTTGGTAAGCTGTCAACTTTGATAGCATCTCTAGGTAACATGATCTGATTATTTGCCTCCCTATTCCACAGCATACCAGAGATTCAAACAGTATTAAGGTATTTTTCTTCGTCCGAAAACGATAAATTTCATGAAACAGCATAACTGGAAGCTGGCAAGGGGTGGAGATCATGCCTTTAAAGAGCCAACAGTCGCCGTTTCAGGCATCTTAATTAATAGCTCTGGAACCTTGAATGACTTGATGCCAAGTTTTACTGTGACAGGAAATTCATCGCTTTTCAAATCCTCTGGAAATAAAGTTGTGATAAATTCCAGGACACAGAGTCACACTAATCTCGGTGGACTATCATACCCTGGAAAACCTCTGATTCATATGCCGTCTTCAGGCCCGTCAAAGAGGAGGATGCCCCATTTTCTGAAGAATAGGAAGATCAAGACGCGAGTTTAGGCATGATAAGAAAACAAAAAAGGGCATTGAAGGAGAGGAGGGAAGGGGACGTGTACAAGAACAGCCTCAATGGGCATCTGCAGGCGAGCAGTTTAATTCTCCCTCGATGCCCGTTTCAATTGAAGAATAGATACCTTCAGTGGTGAGAGTTCCATCGGACATTGATACCGGGACTCGTTCAAAGAGCTTCCTACGCTTGAAAGTACATCTTTGAGTCCTTTGCCGAGTGTATACCATTTTTCTGCTGCGGAAGACGGGCTTCAATTCTTCATCTGTCAAAGCAGTCAAGTGAATTAGTCAAAAAGTTTGCTTCACTGGTACAGGAATTGAAAAGCTTCATTGCCAAAAGCGAAATGATGACGGAAAAAATGAAATAAACAACAACCTGTGTTGCAAAAGTCTTCATCTTTCGGTTCTGTTCGACCAAATTTCCAGAATTTGGACGAAAAAGACTGCAATTTATGCCGGTCTCCAGTTCGTGGTGGCCTCGCGGGCTTTGATGGAGTGTTACAAGGCTGAGTACAGCCAGACGATTTTTCGTCATCATCTCTATCTACAGACAAACCCAAGTCATTAAGACATTTGAGAAAGGAAGTGCTATGAGGAATGCCATCTCCATGTAAAGGCTCGTCTGCAGAGCTCTCTGAGCTAAGTAGAGGAGCTTTAGTATCCACGTTCATCAGGTCCTCCAAACACGCGTCACTGACATTTCCATGCGCTCCCATCTTATTTTGTCGACACTCAAATCGAAGAGGGGATGGGATCCCATCCTCCACTTTGCTATGACGCGATCCAGCTGTAACAGTAGATTGTCTTTCAAATTCGTCCTTGCTTCCATTAACCAAGGACTCCTCAACAGAAGCTACGTCCACAGATGGATCACGCTTTATGATAATCGAAGAATGACCCAAACTGGCACTACTGGAGGCTTGCGAGCATTCTTTCATAGTAACGATCCGTGTCTGGCCTCGGAAGCCAACCTCAGACGCCAAGGTACCGTCATTGTAGCTCCCTTGATCATAAACGCCAACATTCGAAGCCTTCACTTCATCCAGTTCTTCCTCCTTGACATTATATTTGGTAAATGCATGTTTAGAATCTCCTTTTCTTTCGTTGCTTGGTTCAGGAGAATTTTCCTCCACTAATAGTTTACCCGCCACAGATGCCAGCAATTCGAATGGACACATCTGATCCTCGGCGGCTTTCTCGCAGGTATGGCGCTTGCCCTAAAAATGAAGAGGAAAAAAACTTAAAATCAATTCGCATAACCTCAAGAAAACGGTACCTGGGATGGGTGTGAAGATACCCTGGCCGATCTTGGACCACGAGGCAGGAAGGGGACTTGATAACCGTTGAACCCATAGTCTAGCCTCCTCTGCAACACCATATCTCAAAAACTCATAGCAAAGCGAATGACCCCGCAAGCATAAATCGAAAGCAGAATCGTATCAATATCCCCTCAGATCCGAATCGTGAGCCACATTATTTGTCTAAACTGCGCCGTTCGGCCAACCACCTGTGGAATTTATACAAACGAATCCCTGCGAAAGACAGACAAGAACTATAAAATTCTGACCTTTCAACGAAACTCCATTGGGGCCAATTGAATTCAATCGTCTATAAAGCACATGAAATGCTCGAAAATTACGAAGGATGAATCCGAAAGCGATCTAAGAGTTATCGGTGCCAGAAAAGAGAGATTGATATCAGTTAAAGAGATCCCTTCGGAAACATATTCCGAGTGCGGGAAATTTGCAAAACCGGTCGCATGCATTTCTCCTATATCAGATGCAAAGACGAGACTATACATGTAAATATGCAAACAAAATACTGAAGAAAAAAAGAGAAAGGTAGTCCTCCCCGTAAACTATGGGAATCCCGATGCCGAAAACCCTGACACCTGAACAACTGTTCAACAACGAAACGAGGAACCGGACGGACAGTGTGGAACGAGTTTTAGAGAAGCATTTCGGAAGAAGAAAAAGGAAAGATCTGCGATCCGTCAAAGGAAAACTTCTTGGATGGAAGATCAATTAAAAAACCGTCCAAGGGGGAACAATGGATCCAACCCCAGATTCAGATTTAGAGATCGAATCGATCGAAGTAGTAGCATTAACATATCAACCCTGACTGTAGATCGTCTCCCGATAGGGGATAAAAACACAGAGATCCTCTCAAAAACACCGGCCTAAGAGGAGCCAAAAGGATTTCTTTCGTTTCTAAGAAATCATTGGACGAGAAGAACAAGTACCGTGGATCCGGGACGTGTCTCGATCCATTATGGAAACGGTCGACAGATCCCAAACCTCGCAACAGACGAGATCTATGCAAAACGTACCTTTTGAATTCCGAACGTACTCTGCGCAGAAATATCCAATCGGGATCAGAAATTCGGAAATTCGAAATACTCGACGAGAACGGACGCGTGGAAAAAAATTAAACTGGACGAGAAGCGGATCTCAATTCCTTTCACAACGGAAGAAATCTTGGGAAATCCCGCCAAAAGGGAGCAATGTCCGTTTCCGCAAATCCGGAGAACAACTCGGAAATGCGAAACTGTCACTTAAGGACAAAAAAATGAGGCAGATCCCAGAAACCCTGGATAACCAAGTGCCGGGAATCGAGAGCCGGGATGAGACGGAATTCGATCCGCTCACCTCCGAGAGTGCAAAACCTTCTCAGATCCCCGATCGGAGAAAAGAAGGCCGTCGTTCACACGACGCCGGAATTCGGGGAAATCGAGGGAGGACCATGCACGCTAGAGATCAGGTGACCGGTACCAAGCCGATCTCCAGAATTCCGAATTCTCTCCAAGCGCATCTTCAGATCGCCTCGAGCAGCGCCCCTCGGGGACGTAAACCCTCCCCTTCCCCACCCATATTCTTTTACTTTCTTCCTCCCTGTATCTTCACTCCACCTCTCTCCCTCTCTCTCCCCCACCTCTCTTTCGCATCTTATTTCTCTCTCCTCTTCCAGAGGGTCCCCAAAACCCCGAGGGCCACCCCCCTCACGCTAAAACCCCGCATCTCTCTCTTTGACCTCCCGTGACCGGACCGGCCGGTAAATAATAATAATAATAATAAAAAACCATCTTCGCCTCGCCGGCCTCCGGTAACCGGATCACTCCATCCCCCGTCGATCCATTTCTCCTTCCGTCTACCCCCGATGAAGCCACGTGACCTCCCTTGGCCACACTGTTGACCGTTTTAAACGGGCCGCCTCCTTTTTTTTGAATTTAAATCTCAGTCATTGGATCAGTAGTCTTCAGATTGGGCGCTCCGGATTGACGGCTAAGATGAGACATCCGCCGAAACGTGGATAAGATACCGGAAATATTCTTTTTTTTTTTCTCGTGGACAATAAATCGAGATGGGGAGGGAATATTCGGCAGCAGCAGGTGCGACACCCGTAAGAAGCGGATAATAGGAGGCCATGACACGTGTTGGAAGCAGACCCCCCGACCCGTCGGACGGTCCAGATGAGCCCACCTCGCCCCGTGAAATCTCGCGCGGATTGGCTCTCCGTAAATCCCTCCCGCTCACCTGCTGACGTGGCGGCGGCAGAGGCCAGGAGGCCGCTAAGCCACCCGGATAAGGCCGACCGCCGGTCTGTGGACGGAGCGGCCAAGGGAAATGTAGGTGGGGCCCATCCCTCTTTAATGGGCCTTCACTCGTCCGGCCCACATCTTCCTCCTCCGGCTCCGCTGTCCAATCAGGCCCATTAAAGATGCGTCTCTTTCCAGGCAGTTCGCCGACGTTCTTGGACGACGACCACGACGACGACTGAATAATAATTCAGAGAGAGAGGACCCGGAGGTGGCGGCGCCGTCGTGCGGCGACGACGGCGTGGGCGGCGTTGTCGGCGCGTGATCCGTCGCGATCAACAGGAGCAATTAGACGGGAAATCAGGTGCTTGAGCCAGGTGCCCTCGACAGATGGCCAGCCATATTCCCTCGAGATCGCACTTCCTCGAGGATTTTTCTCCTTGGAAGGCGCATAGAAAGAGACGGACCGGATACACAATTATTTTTTTTCTCATCAGTTTATTGTTAAATACCGGACAATCTAATTATCGATAAATCCCCAAAACTCGAGTTTTTCTTATTATTTAGAATCTTAAACTAATTATCACATTCCTTCCTAGATTTATATAAAAAAATCCCATATTTAAATCTTTATTTTTTCTCTCTCCTGGGCTCAATTCAGATCCGGACATGGGTAATTAAAAAAATAAAAAAAGCCCATCTTAGTCTCACATAAAAAGCACAGGAGATAAGTAAATCCGAAAATAGTAAAAAAAAGAAATCCCAGAATATCAACTGAGGCCAAGAATAAAGGGAAACTCCCGGGGGGTCAATCACAAGCCTTATGACCGTTAAATAAATACTACTATACAGGGCAAGATCATCTGGATTAAATTGGTTTGGCGCTGATAACGGCTAAGTAAAAGACTGTGATAGCAGCAGCTATCACAGAGATACCACACCTCATTTGGCCTGAAGGTCGGCGTACTGCCATGGATTGAACTCGATGGAGGTTATGTCGGGCTGCTCGATGGAGTCGGAGCCGTCGATGGCGGCCCTGTGGGCGCTGTACTTGCCGTTAAACTGGTATATCTCCAGTTCTCCCCAAGGCGTCGCTGTGACCTCCTCGGTCATGTCGAACCACCTGGGACTGAACTGATGCCCCTGGCTTTCACGGTTCTTCTTCTCCGCCCTCTGCCTCTCCTCCAGACTGCAATAAATAAATAAATAAATAAATAAATACATACATACATACATACATAAATAAATACATAAATAAATAAATAAATAAATTTTACTTTGGTGATCTTCTCAGCATAGATTGAGATTATCGGGAGAAGAGGGGATTAGTTGGGGAAGAGGGAGAAATAGTACCTGGATTTTTCGGCGCCGGCTTTGCTCATATCGCCCTTTTCAAGGGCGTACCGATCGGGCCGAAGACGGGAATCTGATGCCAGTAGCTTCTTAGGAGCTGTGTTGAAGCTGTTGACTTTATGAGCAAAATGGGTGTACTGAAACTTGTCGTTCTCTGGAACAGGGGCGACCCTCCAGACCTGGAATCGAAGAGGGGGATTAGGGGAAGAGGATTTATTTTTTTTCCTTTTATTGGCTGTTGTTCGCCACAGAACAGGCACTAAAGATATGATTTCGGGCTCATGTTCCCATAAATAGAATAAAACCGAGGGAGATCGAAGGTCAGCTCCCAGCTGTGCCTGTTTCTCCCTGCCCTTTTGTGTTGGGTCAAGTCAACGGAAAGACTTGACCGAGGAAGAAGGTGGATGATCAGACTGGCAAAGGGTTGGCAAGTATCCATGATTGAGAAATGAACCTCTTTCATCTCAGTGCCTGGAATTGGCTCCCCTTCCATATCACACGGTTGGTAGCTCAAGGATTCGTTCCATTTTCCGGTCATTAGAATCTTGGGTTCCTCTTCTGCATTGTACACAAATCCATCGACTTCATATCGACCAGCTCTGAAAGGAGGATAAATGGGAAACTCTAAGTCAATTTATAACGTTTTAAAATAGAAACATCAAAGCGAAGCAGATGATTCAATCCATGTCCCCAAAGGAGGCTTCTAAGATGTAGAATCCAGGAAGCAATGCAGAGTTATATGAAAGAAAATATTGATCATAGCTTGCAGAATATAAATGTTTGATGAGTTCCAGTAAATTGAAGACTGCTTGGCTTTAGAAGCAATCTTTACCCAAACCATCCGCAGGGTTGGAAGTATAAGACGACTTTGTCCCCAGTTGTCAGGTTCGTCATGATCATCTCCCCAGGGGAGTCAACCCACGTCCTTCCGAATATAAGGTTGTTGACTTTGGTCGGAGGAGGAACCAAATCTAAAACGACGCCATCTCTTTTGAGAGTAACTCTAGTCCTGAATAGCAACAAAAAAAATTCAGAGGTACTTGTTCAGTTTAAAGAATAAGAGTAAGCAACCAACATCATGGATCAAAGCAACAAATGAGCATCAAAGAAACTAAGGATTTCATTTACTCGTGACGAATACAGATCGATGATGATGATGATGATGATGATGCTGATAGTTTATCAAGAGGCAAGTGACGAAAAGCTGTATGTATCATAGATTTTAAAACATAAATTTTCTGTTTCTTATCTCAAATAAAAATAATGTAATTCACCATCATCTTTGGCTCTAGATATTGCATCTCAATAACAAGTAAAAGGTTCTCTCACGGCCAATAAAATATCAATTAAAGTGCTTCTGTGTACAATGATGATGGTATCACGAAAAAGAATAATCTAAAAAGGCACGATTAATAAGAATGTCGCCCTGGACAAAAACCCTACTACTCCGATGGCGTATCCAACGATACCTGGTCAGGCGCACCTCAGATGGAGGACAATCCTTGATTGTCAGATGTTACAGAAATGTGGGTATGTGCACAGTACACAAATCATGGAAGGCTTGTCTTCAGATATATTAATATCACTTAATTAGGTTTTTATCAGGTCCGCATAGCCTTTATTAAGCCAGACTTGCTTGTGTTTATATGGCAATGTCTGCATTACATAACTTTGGCATAGAGAAGAAGAAAAATAGATCATCATTAACGTTCACTAAATAAATATCAACATTTTCAGGCATTATTATTTTCACTAAGTACTATCCAAGTTTGTAAGAAAACGTATAGCATTAAATGGCGTCAGAGTAAGATAAGAGAGGTTCCGATACTTTCGGCAAAGACAAGAATGTACAGAATATAACTCACCGACCAACAGGATACACATCCACAGAATTTCCTAAAAACTTTGTTTTTAACTTCGAAGTGACGTCATAAGTGAAATGTTCATTCTCGGCATGCCCCGCACTCATTGGAGGGTGATGGCTAACCTGAAAGTAGAAACATGAGATGAAATTTGAGCTCTAGCAGAAGTAATATTTGAAGAGAAAAAAAATAAATTAGTTACATGCCAAGGTGACTGAAAATCAAGCATTTATGCGGAAGACTAAAAATCGGGGATAAAGTGAGAAATCTGAACAAAAGAGGAGAGCTGGCTTAAAGTGATGAAACCTGTTCTGAAATGAACGTGATCCCTCTATGATTAACCATCTCGTATGTCTCACCCAGAATGGGATTAAAAGGCTTCCACGTCCGCTGATAGGCAAAGTAGACAGATACTGCCCAGGAAGCTGAGAAGAATACAATCGGTGATCATTTAAACCATCTGTGCTCATGACACGGTATATGAATCAAAGGTAAATGCTCACTTACAGGCATAAACCAACCGCAGGTAAGGATCCTCACATTCATCTGCCAGATCGAGCAAATGACAATATTCCATTAACTGCAACAAGCACAAAACATTCAGCAAGGTCTGATGGCGGTCATAAAGTGGCTAGCGTTTAGTCCTGTAACATTATCACAAACATTTTTTTTTTTAAATAATCACAAACGAAGATGGTTTACAAAACGAACTAGTATTTCAAAAATTAATGTTCACTTTGGAAAACTTTGTTTAACCATATTCAATGATTAACCAAAGGCATTCTCACAAGCGATGTTATAAAAATAAAAGACCATGATGGTCCCTTTAAATATAGCCATTATATTTATATGCAGAAATTATAGTGCAATAACGATTTTTAAATTTCTGGATCATAAAGGAACCAAGCGATTCTGCTGATAATTCAACTTAAGAAGTCATGTGATCAAATTAACGTCAATATCAAACCCTTCACTGAAGATGGAAAAAGGACTATAAAATGATCCCTCGTTTTAATCTCTTTAACTCTGTCTCCTAGGGAAAAGCAGACCTCCGCCATTTTCTGAAGCATAGTCATCGGCTCAAAAATTATAACCGGAAGGGTCACCATTGATGTGACATCAGATCCTACGTATTTATGCATCATCTTCCAGTAACCATCACGGTCCTGCAAAATAACGAATTATGTATGAATAGAGAGCTAATCGTGAAAATAAAAAAAATAGTGAAAACTCCAATTACTAAAGAAACAAAGTTGGACGTGAAAATAACGATGAACACGGGAAGAGTAAACATGGGAAAAAAATATAAAAAGAGGGCTACTTTTCGTTTAAACGTCAGAGATAGCCAACACTACACGAGACTGTCATGGATAGAGGAGAAACTATTTATTATATTTGCTGAGTAAGTGGAGAGAATGGGATAGTCAAGAAAAAACAGAAAAGAATGGATAGATGGGACAAGTCTCCCAAATCATGCATCTCCTCCTTTGCTTAATATATCAGGTTAACATATCTGTACCACTGATACTTCAAAAAACTCGGAAAAGAATCGAAACACATAATAAAATGGCCATGCATATCTATACATTCATCTCACAATACTGCATGAAGAATTTTTGCACTTGTAAAGTTCTACAAGAAAAGGTTAATAAAGAGGTATAGTTGTCATAGTTAAAGAGTACCATTCGCACTTATGTACATGAAAGCGGACTTACATGACGACATAGTGGAGAGTAATTTTTGAATAAACGTTTCAAAAGCTATACTTTCTTGTTCTATGATGGAGGACATTATTTGAGGAATCCTCTCGAAAAATATGTCATTTTAAATGATAGAGGCTGAACAAGGGAAAAGGTAGCGAGGACAAACGATGAAGTTCTATTCTTCTCCCGTCCTTCTCTCCTGTCCTGATATTTCACTCTTTTCATTGCTCTCTTCCCTCTCTTGTTCCCGAGTTGTCATGTCATGTCTTATCCGGTTATATGGATTTCCTATTATGAAGGTCCAGAGTGTACTGTCCATTTCTCTCCTGTTAAAACGAAATCCTCGCTCTTAGTTGATTGTTCAGTTCTGAGCAACCAAAGAAAAAAAATAAAATGAAGATATGAACCTCTCAGAAGTGCGAAATAATTTCACAGATTATTGAGTACAGTAAATAAAGTATATTACCTTGCAATGATGACTAATATTATTAAATTGGTGATAACTCAAAAACTTTTGCATGTGCTCATTATAAACTAATTCCACTGTGTGGACCACTTTATGCATGACATTCCGTGGTGAATACGAAACCTGACCACACGATAGTTGTTATTGATCACAAGGATTAAGTTAGAAAAAAAACCTCTTCCTTCCATCTGCCCCTATGAGCTTCCTCTTCCGCATCTTCTGTGCCTCCCTCTGGATTTATAACCTCCAATCCCTCGTATCCCAAAAGTCTGGACGTATGTTAAAGACAACAAAACTGATTAAAACATGCAATGGGAAACGTCCAGGAAGTTTTCCTTAAAATACAGCTAATTTAGCATAAGGAAACAGAATTAGCTAGTGGTTTGGGGCCAAAAACACACACGTATGAAGCTAGGACAGTTGGTTGCTCACCGACACAAGGCAAGGCTCCAACAAAGGAAACCAGGACTTGTATCACATACGATATGTCGAGTTTCCGGTTTTTTAGTTAGTGGAGTGAGGCTTCACCAACTGAGAAATCTTTGACATCGCGTGAGAAGTCATACGAAGAAAAACAATGCACTGCTCTCAGTTCGGGGAATAATCCTCGCTGTTCAAACAACAGGCCCAGAACACGTAAAGAGAAATTGAGATTTATGTCAGCGCAAGAACAGAGATGGATGCCGGCCAAAAATATTAAGGAGGAAGGGTAATGACGCCAAGATACCGAGGAAAGAGTGTGATCCACTTGTTCCAAACAAACTGAAAATGTATGTTGCTAGGAGCTCGAGCTTTAACTGAAGCATATGTGAAACTACAGTGGTCCTTTTGTGCATGCTAAATTATATTATCTTAGACTCTGTAGAAACAAGGCTAAAAAATCGATCACAGGACACATTTTTAAATGATCAAAGCAATAATCACGTTACGGTGGAACATGTGTAGAGGGTTATATAGACCACGTCACATGTTTAGCTCCAATAGCAATTGTCTGGAATGAGGGTTTGCGCGGGAGAGACTATGGATGAAATCGTCAAAGCAAGAAGTAGAGAGGCTGCGTGATTCTTGTGAAATGATTCCAACAATTTTAGAAGAATAATCAGGTAAAAATCCCGGTTTTAACACTCACAGATGAAACACCTTTCATCGACTACAATCCCTCACTGAAATTCTGATACTGAACTCGACCATCTAGGATCACACGTTGGTCGCCAATGTTCGCCAACCTCTGAAGCGTATCATCCACGTGACCTTAATACCACGTTATTAGCGTCCACTACACAATTTCGACCCAATGCCTTGAACTCGACGTTGTCAGGGGCAAATATGGAAGTCAGTCAATTCCGGGCCATTAACCGAACAAATACCTCTGTTCTCCTAGAAGAACGAAAGGAAACTCGAGGCAAAACAGCTAAACATATACGATGGTAAAAAAATTCCTCGCATTGCCGAAACTTTACAGAAGATGGAGACCACAAATAACATAGGCAGGGTAAGTTTGGAAACGCGGTCAGTCTTCTTTACCCGTTTACCGATTTGTGCACCGCGTTTCCCCAATTACGTACACTCGACGTGATCGCCGAGAAGAATCCGCCGCTCGCCGGCTGCTGATCCTCAGATGCCATCTCGAAAAACCCTAGTTAGAGCAAGATCTTGGAATGGATCCTCCAATCGGGCTTCTCCGACGCTGACCGGATCCCCGATCCCTGGAAAGCTCCGACACTCCAAACAAGGACCGCAGGAGCGGGGGATCCCCAGGGGAATGGAGGAAAGACTGGCGCCGAAGAAGGGAGTGAGGACCGCAGCCCGAGGGCGATGCTCTCGCTTCCGCCGTCCGGAGCGACGGTCGGCGATTTAATCACCCGCGGAAGAAGGAAAGTGGCAGAGAACCCGTCTCAGGACATCACATGCCCCGATGTGGTATCCCGCGGACACATCCAAGGAGACGCTATCGTGTGACGCCATCTGCCTGCACGGTAATTATATCCTTTAAAATATTCCGCCTTTTTGAAAATTTGACTCATTCATGGCCCCATTAATCAGAATTTACAGCCATAATTTATTACTAAATTAGTACATTAGAATGAGCCTTTTTTTTTCATTGACCATTCTCGATGTAATCGAGGGTTTATTTGCTTAACACGTGCTCTGAGCCATGTGATAGCCAAATAAGAGACGCGGAAAAAGGGTAAAACAGAGATTCTCCCCTCGGCGCGACGACAGCACTATCCACGTCGTCCGGAGTCGCCTCGGTCAGGCGCTGGACTGGCGGCGGTCGTGTCGGACAGCGCAAACGCGGTGGACCACGCGGGTGGATTTCCAGCGAAGGATACGACGTAAATTCTTCAAGGAGATGATCTCATCTGCTCGTTCCGATCTCCGTCCGTCGATTTTTTATTTATTTTTGCGCAGAGGAAAGGTATGATTCGTCCTACGTATTTTTCTTTAAAAATATCGATGCATTTATTTATTTTTTTCTGTTGTTTGTCGTCAACACTGATTTCTGATGCGAATGATCGTCTTCTTCCTCCCCTCCTCGCATTCAGATTTTCCGGGAGCTCCGATTCAGATGGTAAGGTCTCTGGATCGGCGGGGAAAGCAGCCGACGAAGAAGAAACCGTGCCGAGGACTCAACCACGATCTCCCGTCTACGAGATTGGTCAGATCGCCTCGGTTGCTGGATCCAGAGACCTCCATAACCTACAGATCACCACAGATTTTGAGGCGCTTTAGAACACAGAAGCCGATTCCAGCAATGCCGTTTGGATCTGGTGAGCAGTGTTTTTTTTATCTGTGTAGCCACAATTTAGCTACCGATCACTAGCTTGTATACTGATCAATAAAATACTGATTAAAATGATATACCGGACACTTTTTTTGGCTCATTTTTTATGTAAAATAATAGTAATTACCTGGTTTTGAAGATGCATTATTTGATTTATTTTTGTAATATTTTTTGGTCCCTGATCAGTCTGTCGTTGCTCGTTTTCTAGCGCTGAATATTTCCTCCCTTGTTTTGCTGATCTGCGTTCTTGACCACAGCCTCTTTCCAGTTTTGACTGGTTTACTCGTCGTCCCTCGCTCGCTCGTCATGTCTTTTGTTCGCCCGAGCAAAAGGGAATGACGATTTGGTCAACGTAATCCACCTCTCTGGTGCCCATTTTCATGATTTCGATTGAAAGAATTCATTTGCTATCCTTCGCTGGCTGGTACATTAATGAAGGCGTCGTCTACCCCGTCGTAATCCCGTCGCAGTCTCGCGGATATCTCATCGACCATCTCGTAGATCTCCCGCCGCCGGGGATGCTTCTCGTCGCCGGCGGCGAACTCGTGGACCTCGCCGTTGATCTCCACAGAGCTGCGTCCGGCGGCCTTGACGACCCCCTTCTTCCTCATCAGCTCCCTCACTCGGGCGGCGTCGGCCCACCTGCCGGCGTCGGCGTAGATATTGCACATGATTGCCATGTACCCCCCGCCGCCGTTGTCGTCGAGGTCCAGCTCCAGGAGGCGCTCGAGGGACCGCTCGGCGAGCTCCACCTCGGCGTGGATCCGGCACGCGCCAAGCAGCGCGCCCCACACGCCGGCGTGCGGCGGCACGGGCATGCTCCGCGCCAGCTCGTAGGCCTCCCGTAGCCGTCCCGCGCGGCCCAGCAGGTCCACCATGCAGCCGTAGTGCTCAACCCCCGGCGCGACGGCCAGCTCGCGGCGCATGGCCTCGAAGCACCGGCGCCCCTCGTCGACCATGCCGGCGTGGGCGCAGGCGGACAGGACGCCCACCATCGTCACCCCGTTCGGCCGGACGTTCTCCCGCTGCATCCGGCGGAAGAGGTCCAGGGCTCGCCTGCTGCGGCCGTTGGTGCAGAGCCCCGTGATCATGGCGTTCCATGCTGCCGTATCTCTCTTTCCGATGGAGGAGAAGACGCGCAAGGCGCTGTCGAGCTCGCCGCACTTGGAGTACATGTCGACCAGGGCCGTCCCCACCGTGGAATCTAGAGAGAAGAAGCTCTCCCTGTCTATGTAGGAGTGGATCGCTCGGCCCATGTCCAGGGCGCCCGCTTGCGCGCAGCCGGAGAGAAGGCTGGCCAGCGTCACCTCGTTCGGCCTCTGGTTCTCGAGCTGCTGCATCTTCTGGAAGAGCGCACACGCCTCACGGATCCTCCCACGCTGGACGAGGCTAGAGATGGCCGTGTTCCAGGAGACCACGTCTCTCTCGGGCATTTCTTCGAACAGGCGGAGCAAACCGTCCGCTTCTCCAGACCTGGCGTACCCGCCGAGCATGGTGTTGTACATCAGCAGGTCCTTTCTAGGGGCCCTGTCGAAGAGGTCTCGAGCGGCGCCCACGTCCCCCGCCTTCACGTAGCCTGCGATCACAACACTCCAGACCACGAGATCCTTCACAGGCATTTCCTCGAACAGCTTCCTCGCGCCCTCCATGTCGCACTTCACGTTGACGTACCCGGATACAGTCACCGTCCAGGAGACGGCGTCCCTCAGAGGCATTTCGTCGAAGACCTGCCTGGCAGCGGCCATGTCCTCGCAAGCAGAGTAGAATTCGATCAGGCAGCTGCCCACGCGGGCGTCGAGCCCCAAGCTGACCTTCACCAGCTGCCCCTGCACCCATCGCCCCCTGCGAAGGTCCTGCATATCGGCGCAGGCCCTGAAGGCGTTGAGGAAGGTGAAGCGATCGCCGACGACGCCGCGAGCGCGCATCGCACCGAAGAAGAGCAGCGAGACCTCCGGGCGGCGGTTCTGCTGGAATCCTCTGATCAGGGTGTTCCAGACGAAGGAGTTCGGCTCCGGCATCTGCTCAAACATGCGGAGGGCGTAGGGCATGAGGCCAAGGGCGGCGCAGCGGGCCGCGAGGTTCCCCACGGCGAAGTTGCAGGTCCTGTGGAGCCGCGCCCGGACGACGCAGGCGTAGAGCCTTTTCAGGGAGTCCACGCTGCGGTGCTTCTCGGGGATGCTCAGCAGGGAGAGAACACGGCGCCTCTGCGCGAGCTCGGCGGGGGGCAGGTCCAGGATCTCCAGATCCGCCATCCATGGGAGCAGCCCTGGCTTCTTCCAACGACGAAGGGAAACGAAGCAGATAGCAACAAAGCAGCGTCTTTTATGAATTTATCTGGGTATTTACCTGGTTTTAGTATCTCTCTGTAAAACAGTTTAACTTGTTGGAAAGCCCCCCATTTCTCAGATTGGCTTTAGGCCCTCAAAAACCGTTGTAGAGCCAATGGGCTGACATAGGGTCTCTCTCTCTCTCTCTACTCTTCTTGATTGTCTATGAGGGTTAAAGGGGAGATTAATGGTCCAATACACAATTAGACAGGGCAATTACAAACCAGGAGAACTATAGTTTTTATGGGCTTATCAATATTTAGAGAGATAAAGCTAACATTCCATGAGAGAATGCCGAGCAGGGTGAGCGGGGCCCATATCAGTATTCCATGCACACACCATTATTTTCATGCTGTACCTCATCTTCTTCAGAGAATATCTGGGTCGAGATCGGGAGCAGCCACCCTGATTTCAGGGGTCCCCCTTCTTGGTAGATCCAACTCAACCTCCAGAGTGTTAGGAAAGCAAGCATCGATCCGAATCGGGCTTCAGTGATTCAGATGGCCTGACCTCACTGACTTCGGTCCACCGAAGGGGCTGCAAGCTGTGCCATTTGTTTCTACAGTTAGAGAATCTAATCGCTCATTCAGACAAAAACCAGTCAATCGTGGTAGCTATGAATAAATATTCATGGTAATCATGGTTTTGGACTTAGTTCAATTTACAGTCATCCTACGAGAATTCTTCCTTCTTTGCAGCTAATACACCCCCTTTTGCCGCCATCAGTACAGCGGATTCAAGAGGAGTGCGGACCGGATTCATCGATCCTCATTGGCCTTGGGAGGCATAATCAGCTATCGATTATACTTGCCAAAAAATGGACATTACACCTTACCATTGACATCTTGGCGTTGACTGCGTTGAGCAATTGCCACAATGAGCTACCCCCACCTTCGTCGCCCGGAGTTGCCCCTGGGAACCAGGTATATGCGGCCATAGACCCAACGCTTGCTAGGGTTGGAGACAGATTTCTGCATATAGATTTGAAAGGGGGGAGAACGTTAGAAAGACGGGTCATATCAGCAGGATGGGGAAAGTGTGCTGAAAAAGAGCATCTTTGTTCCACCTGTCTTTAAGGGAAGGAGTTTTCATGTCAGGTTGGAAATTTCATGGGCTGCTGTTGTGTAGACAATAAGGGTAGGGATGATGAGGTTTTTGAAACAGGGCAGCAAAACGATCTGAGATTTCTGATCTACTTCTTTGCAGCTATCAAACAGCGAATTAATCATTATCATTATAAATGGCAAGAATATGTCTACGGACATAACCTGATCCATAGACACCCCTTGGAAGAATCTTTTTTCCAATCATTATTCAATTTATTTATATCGAATATATCTACTCCCTCCACAGCAAAAAAAAAATGGCAAAACCCTTGAGAGAGGTGAGAGAATGGTGCCAGAATCTGAATGCTGTTCATGATCTAGTGAGAATACTTGTTGCAACGTTGCTGAATACTTTTTAAAACTATAGTTAATGAAAACAGCATACCTCTACTTTTGTACGGAATTCTAGATAACATCCGCACACGTGGCATTCTGTGCTGTGGGGCTGCTGATGGGACTTCCCTGGCTTCACAAAGGCAAAGACCTGCAAAGGAAGAGGACTTAGATTACTGCGAGAGAAGGCAGAAAAATCACCAAGTTTAAAGAACGACTGATCAAGACACGAGTAAAACCGTAGAGTTCACCTCCTCTCCACAGTTTGGGCAGCAACCTTTAAGTGCCACCAAGTCATTACTCAACAGCCTATTTAGTGCTTTTGCTGCAACAGAATAGGCTCAGGTTGTGAGCAGAGTCTATATCTTACCATACAGAAACGGTAAGGCAGAAATAGAGTACGTACATGGATTCTTAGATGAAAAGCACACAAACGAATGAAAATAAATAAATTCAAACAGCCAACGGCAATCAAGTGAAGATGCGATCAGGGGACTTTGAGTTTCATTTGGGTGTTCAAAAAGCTCTTGGCTGCAGATCCCCACTTCCTTGATGACGTTTAAAAAACACATAGAAAGAATCACCGCCCTTAAACAGGCATTCTCATCGTTCAAAGCCTATCATACTGGCTATCCGCTGCTCATCATGTCTTTCATTTATAAAAATCCTCTCCCTTGCTCGCCATAGAACAATGACAATTAAGTCTGAGTGGGAGTATAAGTAGTCACAATTTTTCAATCTTCATTATTCCAAATTATATTTCCAAATTCTCAGCTCCATAATTCTTGAATCGATAGTCTATTTAACATGCAGCGGATACTTAAACATCAGAGTCTGATCGGACAGCTCAGGCACAACTAGGTAACGTTGGAAACATCCTACGAATTTCAAATCAGATTTTTCCTCAACATCGGTCAATCACACCATGGAATCAGGAAGCTAATAATTATTCCTTCAGGCTGATTGAAAATTTTCCTGAAAAGAATGCATCCCTTCATTCACTGACCAAAGAAACCTGGAGTAGTATTGCATTCACACTTTTAATTTTATAGTCTACTACTTTAAAATGATGCATTAGCAGAATTCACCCTAAAAGCTCTGATCAGACAGACTGAATAAGTGTTGAAATAATCGGCTAATGATGAAACGTATGCAGTACAAAGAAAAGGGTAAGTTTTTTAAGTCCGCCTTAAATTAACAAAGAAAAGCTACATATTACACAAAGCCGTAGAAATCCTATCCTTATACAGTAGTAAAGTCATTTTTTTAAAAGTAAAATTGCAACACAAAACAAGTAGAAATAACATCGCCAGATACTCAGTAACAACAGTATGACATAAAGCGGGGTTCCTAAATGCTAAAATAAAAAAGCAAAAATTTAGGACCTGTCATGCTATATAAAATAAGCTCTTAATGTGAGAAACTGAACAATTTAAGTTATGTACTAGGCCTGAAATTAGATGTCTAACCTGAGGCAGATGAAACAGGGAGACCAATCAGAAATCCGAGTCCCATTAAGAGAAATGCATTCGTCACACTAAGCCACTGGAGAGGGGATCTTACATTATCCAACAATAAGCTTGATTTGAATGCATCTTTGTAAGTCATACTGATCATGTAGAATGTAGGAAGAAGAAAGACAATACTGCCGAAAGTAAGCAGCAGAATCCATATGCTGGCTAATGCCAAAACCTGCGAAGGATCTTCCTGCCCTACAAACAAAATCATATCTTAGCTTGAATCAAGTGAAAGGCCACAAAACTGATGAAGATTCTCACATATTTCACATGAAAGAGTTCATTTCGAAAGAAAGTTACCTCAGCATCTGCATATGCAGACTGTTTTCTCAAGCTGCAACGAGGATACTTCACAACGGACTTGGAACCACACAACCGGAGCTTCAACTGTTAGAGGACTCACATGTGAATAATTTACGAGACAAAATTTGTCCATAAAAGATTTTTTTTTTCCACATACAAAACAGAATCACACGGTCTTACTTCTACTTTATCAAACATGTCATCAACAATCAACGGTTTTCCACTGTAGTAGGAATCACGGGCCTGTAACACGAGAAAAAAATAGGATCGCTTATACACCATCACGGGAAAGCAACATTTAACATAATTAACTCCACAGAGAAATGCACAAACCATGAACTCAAACTCGAAAAACAGCTATTGTGCAAAACAGGCACAACATTAGTGTAAGTCACTTTAGAGAACGTTTTAAACCTCGCGACCCCATTGATCAATATGAATTTTGGGTTATCTGTAAAAAAATAAAACAAGATTTGATTAAAACATTATATCCACATGGCTTGATACCCTAGTTCCAGTTCTCTACGGACTTTGCCCAGAATAACATGATGTATGAACTACGCAGTCTAATCTTGCGGATATGAATTTATGATTACAAGCAAAAAAATCGAATCAAATTTATCAAGGTTAGGGAACACCTGACACGGTGTCGTAAACGCAGGTTCAAATCAATGGCAATGAGTAAAAATGACATTCTCAATCCGCTGAATCCACAATTAATGCTCAAGCCATTCGAAACAGGAGGGTACTCCCAAAAACACAATCCGAACATGGCTGATCACTAGGACGCAGCAGTTCCGCCACAACACACAGGGTTCACTATCAGACTGAAAGGATAAATTGGAGCAGAGGTCCGATTGACTCGCCTGGTGATAGAGCGCTTCTAGCGTTTCCTTGCTGGCGTTGTCGAGGGGACCGACGAAGATGCACGAGGGCCCCTCCGCCGCGAAGCAGAGCCACGACGACGGGGAGAGCTTCCCACCGCTCCAGACCCGAGAATCGAACCTACCGCCCGTCGAGGAGAGGCGGCGCCCGCCCCGACCATTGAGCGCCGCCACGGCGGCGCCACCACCCCCAGCGGCAGCGGCCGCGGAGGACCGCATGAGGCGTGTGGAGCTAGCTTCCAACCAGAATCAATGGCTGCCACACGAGCTCGCATGGATTTATAGAGACCGCCGAGATATTACCAGACGGCCACGGCTGTCTCTGGTCCTTATATTCCTCCTCTTTCTTCCACGGAACGATCACTGGACACATCCTACTGTCGGCCTCCACCTTGGGCCCAATGGCTGGTGGGCTCCAAATCCTGCGGGCCACATTGGTGACTTATTGTGCCTTCTTTTCAAGCCCAATAAGGCAGTGAATGGTGTCATAAATTATTTACACCTTGAAAATCATATATTGTCAATTCATAAAAGTTATAGGATATATCTATATATATACTTTTCTTGTATGCATATTGGGATATATATAATTACATATTAGCTTATTTGCCCTCATGAGAGTATAAAAGAAAATAATAGTATTGGCGGGAGGGAATTGAAATAAAATGGTTGTACAAGGTGGGAGAAAACCGAGGAATTTACAGCATCACTTTTCCCTCTTCGCATTCGTGTTCGAGAGGGAGCTCTACTGCATCCCTCTCCCTCTTCGCCTTCATCTTCGCAGCTCGACGGCGTTCAGGGAATCACCTCATCCGGCCAGTCGCTCGTTCTCTTCCGGAGGAGTTCCATCGATTTTCAGCATTACTGGGGATATGGGTTACGAGAACGATCCGTGAGTGCTTTGATCCGAACCCTAGGTGTAGCTTTTTCCTATTCGATTGCCATCTTTGGAGATTTGTTCTTGATGTTCAGGTACGTTGATGAAGATGGGGAACCCTTGATGGATCCCGACGCACACTTCTATCGGGAAGCCTCGCCGGTGCCCGTGTATCGTCTCGAGGACGACGATGCGGAAGATGACTGGCGGAGAGAGAGGTCGCCGACGCCGGTGCACGGGTCCGCCGTGGAAAAGGGCGGGAAGCAGAGAAAAAGGCTCGTGAAGAAGAGCGGTAGGGAAAGCAGCCCGGTACCCGGTGGGAGCCTGTCGCGAGCTTTCGGAGTGGAGGATTTGGATGACTGGGAGGAAGAGCCGTCCTCGTCTAAGAAAAGGAAGCCTTCCTCGTTTTCGTCGAAGGAAGAGAGTGGAGGGAGCGGAAAGAAGGGGAAGGGGAAGTCAAAACCTCAACAGCCATTGGGCAAGCCATCGAAATCGGGTTCTAAGGGTTACGAAGGATTTAGGGATCATGGGCGTGATTCAGAGCTCAATGAGATGTGGAATACTGTCGCCGGAGGTGATTCAGAGGTTAGGAGATCCTCTTCTTGCCCGAAGAAAATGCCTGCTGTCCCCATATTAAAATTTGAAGCTGAATCGATGCTAGTCTCATCAAGTTCCTTCATTTTATGTGCTGATGATGGGAATATTTCTTTCTTATTGTTCTAGTGACTAGAGCAGTTGTCCTGTTCATCGCTAATGAATTTTTTTAAAGAAATATTTCAATTGCTAGATAATTTATGGGCAGGATGTTAAATTCACTGTGTTGGATAAATTTTCGCCTTATAACCATCAAGCTTAACTGTAATGACTTATAAGCCAGATTAGAATGGATCATTATTTATTTTTTGACTGACAGATTTGTTGCTCTGTCTTGTTTCGGTTTCTGTGTTTGGAAAAACTGTACGCATCTTTCAAAGCTGTATAAGTTTGTAATCTTTCTGGTCAGTCATATTATTCAATTTCTAATTTTAACCAAAGAGAAGATGACCTTATGTCTGGATTCCTTGTTATTGTTGATGTCGATTATTTGTTTTACCTTTCGATTTTCGTGAATGCAATCTAAGAATGTTTTTTAACCATCTTTCTTTTTAGGATGACCAAGAAGGAATCAGAACAATGGATGATGATGCCTTCATTGATGATAGTGGGGTTGACCCTGCTGATCGCTTTGGCAGTGATAATGAGGGAGATTTTCTGAGGAATGCTCCTCAGGTTGGTGCATGCTATTTCGTCTCGTATTTCTCTTCCCTATGTCTGTTCTAATGCCTTTTATGCAATTTCCTGCATGATTTTGGTACTAGTATTTTTTGATGTACTCATAAATTTAAATGTTTTAGGTTGAAATACAAGAATATCTCGAATAAATTTAATAAAAAACCTGGTGACTGCATCTACCTTTAATCTATTTACTTCCAAAAGACTGTAGATGGGTATCTTTAGTGTAAAGTGCTCTTTATTCTAAGGTTGACATTTCCAGTCTATTTGAACAGTTATGTTTAAGACTTTTTTCTTTCCTGAATGTTTTCTATTGTTCTTATAAATGTTAAGTCTACTTTTGTCCTAATTCATACAGGCAGAGGAGGGTGAGGAAGATGAAGAAATCAATCGACTCTTCAAGGGAGGAAAGAAAAAGAAGAAAACTGAGAAATCTCCTGCTGAGCTTGCTCTAGTAGTAGAGCATCTGATGGCGGAGCTTGAAGTTACAGCTGAAGAAGATGCTGAGCTAAACAGGCAATCAAAACCTGCCATTAATAAACTGAAGAAGTTGCCACTACTAATTGAGGTCCTTTCAAAGTAAGATGGTTACTATGACTTCTTACACTAGATATTTTCAATTTTTAGATCGAGCTAAACAGCATTTATGTTGAGAATTATCAAGATTTGGTCCTCTGATATTCCATGCAAAGTTTAATTGACAAGGCAGGTCTTATATGACATTTTTTTAGTGTTTAAACTAGGTTTAAATGAATAAATATAAAATGCTCGAAAACAAGATAAAATTTTCTAATACATGAACATATATTAAAATCACTCCGTAAAATTACAAGAATTGATTAGCATCTACTTAGTAGTTAGTTATTAGTATGTATTCGCATTAGTAGTTAGTTACTATTTGTATTTGGAGATGCATGCTGCAGATTGTATTCGCATTAGTAGTTAGTTACTATTTGTATTTGCAGATGCATGCTGCAGGTTGTATTTGCAAATGGCTCCGTTTCTCGTTCACAGATAACTGCTTGCCTAAGGAGGGTGGGCATCTTGGGTGTCTAGCCTGCCTTGTCGCGTTGGCAATGCTTTGAAAGATTGGTTTTATGCAATTTTTTTGCTTTCTTTTCTTCTAGATTGAACCATATCTTTCTTTGTCCTGGTAACTTAAGTGTTGTATGCCACATTCGATTCTCCTTGTAGTTCGCCAACTGGATTAGCTGGTCATTAATTTCCTCAAGCTCTTGTCAGATGGGTGAAGCTGTTGTAGCGTCTGATAGTTATCCTTTAATCCTGCAGGAAAAATCTTCAACAGGAGTTTTTGGATCATGGTGTCCTCACTGTCTTGAAAAACTGGCTTGAACCTCTCCCTGATGGTAGCTTGCCCAATATGAACATCCGGAGTGCCATACTGAAGATTTTGACAGACGTACGTGTAATTTTTTTCTGCTTGAGGAAATGCTTTAATTTTCAGCTATGATACTTTGGTCATGCAAAATTAGATAGATCATTAAGGAATACAGATAGTTTAGGGTTTCCTTATTCCTTGATTTTGCCTGTCGATAGTGTATACAACGTGGAAAGAATTTATTCTACCCTTATGGCATCACTATTAGTTTTTGGGTATTGCCCCGGTTGTACATGATCATAGGTTATTGTGGCTGGTTTCATTTCATGGAAAACTGCTGGTAATGGAATAAACTAAGTTGTTGAGTGATCCATGAGACTCAAGACTGCTAGGAATAAGCAGACATGCAATAGAAGGGCGGAGGGGGCATGAATAAATGCAACCTCGTGGATACTTTTAATTTTTTTTAATAGTTCTCATAAAATTTCACAGCACGGTTTTCAAACTTTGTCTGCAATTCATATAATTCTCCTGCACTATGAAGCATCATTTTAGTTAAGTACGGGGACTTTTTCATTTCTTGAAAGAGAATGAGCTTTGAGCAGGGTGGTGACTGGCTTTACTATCTTGCAATCGTAGATTTTGCTCAATTATTTTTAAAAAAACGTCTCATTATGTTTCCCTTCTAATCTGTTTGTGTTCCCAAAGAAGTGGATTTTTTTGGTTCATCCTTCACCTTTGGGATAGTCGTCTTCTTGCTATGCAGTTCCCTATTTTGTCTTCATTTTTCCTCTGATTTCAAATTTTCCTTCTGCTATGCAGTTCCCTATTGATTTGGAGCAGTATGATAGGAGAGAACAGCTAAAAAAGAGCGGCCTGGGGAAGGTATTGCTTTACATCAATCTTCTGTCGATTTTGTATCCAGTGTTAGAGGAGTTTTCATAAAGGAGGCCTCTATGGAACAGGTGATCATGTTTCTATCAAAATCTGATGAAGAAACGACTGCCAACAGAAGGCTTGCCAAAGATTTAGTTGACAAATGGGTAACTTATTAACTGATTCTTTATACTGTTTGCAGATTACCTACAAGAGTTTTTGCTACATTTCCATGAAAATGCGCTAATATTTTTTCTCAAATTCAATCAGAGTCGACCAATCTTCAATAAAAGCACCAGATTTGAGGATATGAGAGGCTTCGATGATGAGAGAATACCCTACCGACGACCACCAATGAAGAAGTATCTTATAACTACCTCTTTTCTCTCTCCCGTTATTACTAAAATCAGTTTAAATTATTGATTTTTTATTGATTATTTTCTTCTTTTTCCATTGAAGGCAAGTGAGCAAGGCTGCAGGACTAGAATCCAGGGATGACGATCTTGATGAATTTTCACAGTAAGGGGATATCTTTTATTTCTTGATTTATTAAGCATCTTTTATTCGCTGTTTTATATGCTGAAGTAGCTTCCATCCTGATAGGGGGCCAAAAGCAGGCCAAGGAGCATCAAGGCAGCACGCTTCCAGACCAGAACCGCTGCCTCTAGATTTTGTTGTGCGTCCCCAGTCAAAGATCGATCCAGATGAAATCAGGGCACGAGCTAAACAAGTCTCACAAGATCAGCGTCGACTGAAGGTCGGTCTGCTCATTGGCTACCTCCAAACCCCCTTCCTTTCTTTGTGCTGGGAAGCTCAGAGTCTGGTGCATTTGTCAGAACCCTGAAAAAAATAAAAATAAAAATCCCATAATTCTTGCTGTTAGCCATCAAAGTCAAACAGCTTGAAAAGTCAATATGACATTGACCCTATGTTCAATGCCTGTTGTACAACGTACCATATTTAATAAGTTCATCCATATATTGTTTATTATTTGTGTCCTGCTTAATGATTTAGTAAGAATTCCCCTCCTTATTACTGCTTTTATCCGTATCGTGATTCATTCTGGCTCGTAATCTATGCAATCTCTCTGTGTTTAAGGTAGTTCTCTGCCGTCGGGCTCCATGAGAACTTCTGATGGGCAATTCACCTGACTCTTAGCTTGTGTGCCTTGGGCTGGCTGTTCTTGCGCAGATGAACAGGAAGCTGCAGCAGTTGAAGGCCCCAAAGAAGAAGCAGCTCCAGGCAACGAAGCTCAGCGTGGAGGGCCGCGGCATGGTCAAGTATCTGTGAACTCCTGCCACCCATCGAGGCCGCACAGAAGGTAAATCTCTTGATCTTATGTTGAATAAATCTGCCAACCATATTAGAATATATCTCAATTATATGATGAAACCATATTCCAGAGGCATCATCTGATGCCCGACCATGGCTGTGAACCAGGGCTTGCGGTTGGACCCAGACGGCCTCCTCGGGCTGCAGAAAGGCGCCGTCTTCCTTCAATAATTGCCTGTGTTAAAGCTGTATAATGCCCGAATTGGGTGCTTCTTTCTTCCTTTCGGACTCCTCTCAATCTCTGTGACGCTGGTTTTATTTACCATAAGCGGAGGAGTTGACTACCGGTTTTATTAGCCTCGGAGTTGGCCCGGTGTTCTGGGCTGTGGGTGGGACCCACTGGTGGGGTCCTGGAGACGCGTCCGTGGGCCCAAAGCCGAGCCTTTTTCCTGTTCTAGACGTTAGATCCATATGCCGACAAGATCCGATTACGACCGTTTTGAGCGTTGGGTGACGCGCGTTTTTGCGGCGGGTTCACTCGTTCGTTTCGGGGCGAGTAGGTGAGCGGGGAGACCGAGTCAGTTCACCTGTCGCTTGGGCGGGAAGGGCCCAGTCATGGTGGGGCCCCAGTGGGTGATGGGTCGGCATCAAAGAGATTTATTGGTGTTCTGGTGGGCCCCCATGATACGGAAAATAATGAAAAAACCCGTATTTGATAGACAAATTGGCCGGTCATTGGATATATCTTCTCGGGCAAGAGGAACGAGTCTTGGAATCGGGGGGGACGTTGACCCGATCCCCGGGTCGCCCCACACGGGATCGGGGTTGGTCCGCGGTCGGTTAAGCTCACCGTTACGCGCGTGCTCTCCGCGGCCTTGTGCTACTTCGTCTTCTCTCCGGCGGGCCTGTACAAGTCGCCGGCCGATTCAACTGAAAATACGACGGCGACACGCATTCTTCCTATTTTGGGGGGTAACGTCGGAGGGGAGAGGCGGCTTCCCGTGTGCCTGCTTGGTCACACCTGCCGACGTCTCGGCCCTCCCGCGCACGTTACGCCCCCCCAACCTACGATGGTCCCTCCTGTTCCTCTTCTGCGGTGATGCGTTGCCGTGAATTAATGGCGATTTCGTAATCGCTCATTGGGTGGATATCTGAACATTAGAGGAATTCTCCGCCCCCCTCTAGCAGCTCGTGTTTCCTATTACCCAAGTTGGTCCGTATTCCTGTCAGCCTCCGTCCTCAATTCCCCAATCCATCTTCTGAGGCTTATCTGTGTATAAAGGCTCACTTTGGATCAGGTTTTTCTTTCCGATCGGAAGTCTTCCTCTCATACGTGCTGTCGCCGTTTCCTGTAGTTGAGCCCTTCTCTTCCCTTCTCTTTCATCTCTTGGCCGGATGGGTGATGGGAAGGAGGCCGAGGTCGAGGTGAGGGTGCAGCCGAGGAGGGCGGACAACACGGTTCACCCTTTGCAGACGGAATCCTCGAGCAGGGCCGTGCCGTCGGAGAATTACCCCTCCGACGAATTCCGGCCCTTCCGCAAGTGGATCCCATGGATGATACCGACGTTCGTCGTTGCCAACATCGCCGTTTTTCTGATCTCCATGTACGTGAATAATTGCCCCAATCGATCCGACTCCTGCGTCGCGCGCTTCTTGGGCAGGTTCTCCTTCCAGCCATTCAAGGAGAACCCCCTGCTCGGGCCCGCGTCCTCAACGTGAGTTCTTACCTCGTTCTCATTGCTTCTATAAGTCATTGCAACAGTTTTGGGCCGTCTATCTGTCTCGCGTTCATAATTTTTCCTTCTGGATACATAAGCTATATCACTTTGCCTTTCTCCCTCTACATATGATTTCATAAAAGATTTCTGTAGCCTGCAAGAAGTTTTCAATTACATATGAACTTTGATCATGGTGAGATATGATCTGGACAGATGCTGGGATTAGGCGTCTGTACTTGTTATTGGAGATGATAAATGAGGATAAAACTTGCCACTGCTCGGGAGATTGTGAGCAAATAATAGCTCATGACCCTCGGTTAAACTGATCGCTTCCTACGGGTTTTTGTAGTAAGATTTCCATGTTCATTTGACCTTGTCTCCTGGAATCCATGTCTGCTAGCATGAGGATGGATAGCTAGGGGATACCTTGCAGACTATTGATGAAGATATGATTGATTCTGTTCATAGTTACTTCTACCCTTGCAATAATCTCCACTTCTATCAGATACCTTAAGCATCAGCTTTTTATTTTTTCCTTCGTTTTGGCACCATTGGTTGAGGTTCGTGATTCCTGTTCTGTACATACTGCTTCATCTCAGACATTTTATATTTTTTTAAGCTAAAGGCCAAGTCTTTCTGATAAAATAAAGAAATCAGTGAAATTATAATCAAATGGCCGTTCAATTCCGTCTCAATATCCTAAATAAGAGCTTTAATTTCTCAATTTTTTCTGCACGATGATATATAGCATATTTATGAGCGATATTACACGTCTCATGTCTTCAGGCTACAACGAATGGGCGCTCTAGATGTGAAAAAAGTGGTCGACAGACATCAGTGGTGGCGCCTCATCAGCTGCATCTGGCTGCATGCTGGTGTCTTCCATATTCTTGCGAACATGTTGAGCCTCCTTTTCATTGGAATTCGTTTGGAACAGGAATTTGGATTCAGTACGTATTGAATCTGTTTCTATATGTGCTTATCTTGCAACTTCTTTTTCGGTTGATAAATGGGTTCTGCTATTTCTATTCATGCTTTTTTTTTTTTTTGTGCGCGAGTAGTATGTTTTCCCAGTTTGATTTTCACATAGAATACCTGAGATGCTGAGGTGATGGAGCAGAGCCTCAAACCAATCATATTACTAGGCGATTTATCTTTTGCTTTAATCCGAAAAAGATGTTCTTGGCCTCGTTATTACTAAGATCGCTTGGCATCCTGTACTCGGCATCATTTTGAAACATTGGAGAATGATGAATGATCAAGAGGATTCCACGAGAGATATATACATCCAACCCACAATCTTTGCATCAGAGTCGTTGTTCTAAGTTCAGGAATAATCATCATCCTAATGTTTTTACGGAGTACTTTCTGGATAGTAGACGGTGAGTGTGATGACTCTATGTGGATATAACCATGTATCCATCAAAGTCTATGATGTCTGAATTCCTGGTACTTCGTTGACATTTAGTTCTTGGGGATCTCAAGAGTCAACTGGATCATGCCTTTGGAATTATCACAAGGGAATTCCTGATATTTCTTAGTTCTAAGAAACATCACTGATTATGACCTTTTCATCTTCGACGGGCTGCTTGGTTTTTCTTTTTCTTTTTCTAATCATTTCTGCATAATCATGCCCGCTTGCTTTCTTCCACAGTTAGAATTGGCCTGTTATACCTCCTTTCGGGCTTTGGGGGGAGCCTACTGTCTGCTCTCTTTATACGGTCGAGTATCTCAGTTGGAGCATCTGGTGCGCTCTTCGGGTTGCTCGGTGGCATGCTTTCCGAGCTCATAACGAACTGGACGATCTATGCAAACAAGGTATCGTTGATATTCCGCCATCTTGTGGAAGAAATGAGGCATTATGTGGCTACTCCATCTAGCAAACTGAAGCTTCCTTTTTTTCTTTTTTTTCTAGTTTGCAGCGCTGTTGACTCTCGTGTTCATCATTGCGATAAATCTAGCCGTCGGAATCCTCCCACACGTCGACAACTTTGCTCACATCGGTGGGTTCCTCTCTGGGTTTCTTCTCGGATTCGTCTTTCTGATCAGACCGCAATTCGGATGGGTCAGTCGGAAGAACATTCCTCTTGGGCACCGCGCATCGTCGAAGAAGAAGAAGCACAAGACGTACCAATATGTGCTGTGGGTCCTCTCCATCATCCTACTGATCGTTGGGTGAGCAGCAGATTCTCATCTTGATTTCATTTTTCAATAAACCCGAGAAGGAATTTTTGTTTGACTGAATGCCCGATGTGCAGCTTCACTGTTGGGATTGTCATGGTTGCTCGAGGGGTTAATGGAAACGAGCGGTGTTCTTGGTGCCGCTATTTGAGCTGCATCCCCACTTCAAGATGGAGCTGCAGGTCGTCGCCTGGTACCTGCGCGGTAAGAAGCCTACTCTCTCTCTCGCGTGTCCTCAGGCTTAGCGCGTTGACATTTTGGTTGACTCTCACAGATCATGTGACTGAAGAATGTCAATTATTGCTTTTTTTTTCTCCCGTCATATATTTACGAGCACTACTCCATGTGTTGCAGATAACTCAACGCGACACTCTGGTGAGTTTGACTTGTCAGGAGACTGGGAAGAGCCGAAATTACACGTTGCCCGGTGCAACTGAAACTCAGATTTATGACCTATGCGTTGACCTTTGCCGCTGAGGATGCCGGGTGTGGAGCCCGGGGAGGCCGGCTAGAGCTGGCCCTGATTCTTCTATACATCCAGATAGTTATATGAATACATGGCTTGGCTGGTTTCAGCTTCCGAGTCTTTCTTCCTGTGGACGGATCAGTGTGGTAGGACGAACTCCTGTAAATTGCCGTTGACCTGCTCCTGTTCTTTACCTTATCATACGCGCATTATACAAGATCCGTCCTCTTTTGTGCAGTGGAAAGATTTTATTTTGGGGTCATAACTCGGGCTTCAAAGTCAGGCCCAGCAAGATTGCTGCTTTCGGGTTGACTTCTTACTGACGCCAGTTTCGGGCTTTGATAGGTTTTGGTCTAATAGTCTAGCTTTTGTTGGATCACGGGAGTTGAATCAGGGCTTTGATAGGGTCCTATTTCACCCAGGAATGTTACTGTCCCTCTCTCTCTCTCTCTCTCACTCTCTCTCTCTCTCTACCATGTGGTGGGAAGAAAGATGACAGGAGAACACAGGGCCGGGGATGGCAGAAGGTGACGCCAGTCAGGCAAAGGCGGCCTCCAGTTGGACGGCAGGCTCCGATCTGTCCACGCCATTATCTCTCAGGACCTCCTCACGAGGAGGCAGAAACTGACGCGCGGGTCGATGCGGTCTTCATCGTCGGACTCCATAAAAACAACGGCGTTGAGCTGTTGAAGGGTTCATCAGTACCTTCCCTCTCTCCTTCTCTCTCTGTCCCTCTGTCTGAACCAGGGGACTCTCCCCCTCAGTCTGCTTCCCTAGGCGCAGAGTACGGCGAGGATCACGGCGGTGCTGCCGCTCCCCGCTGCTCCGCCCTGGCGTTCCTTGGCGGGGAGGGGGAGAAGAGAGAAACCCATGTCGACCCAGATCATGGGAAGTAGATTTGAGGTGAAATATTCCTAATTTTTAGAACCAAGATGAGGACCACCCGGATTTAAAGCTCGTAAAAAATGGAGAACGAATGGGGAGGGACAAGACGTCGAGAAATTAATTGAAATTCTGTCCCATAAACCCCGGCGGCGGCGGTCATCTGCTCATGGCACGCACTACTAGGGAGGGTTCCTTGTCCCCCCATCTTCCTCCCCAGCGCGTTCACGTGCGCCACTGGCGCGGCAGGTGGCGCCGCCGGCTGCCGCCGCCGAGCCGTGAGCGAGCGGCCGTTCTCCCCTCCCACCCACTTTGGGGCAATCACGAATGGGGGAGGTCCCCACTGATGAATCTTCCGGTGTCTTTCCTCTGCCGCCGACAACGTGAGGTTACCGTTCCGTCCCGCCGACGGCCGCACGGCAGAGTACCCTCTGCGCTCCACCCCTTTCCTCCGGTTCCATCTCCCCATCCGCCGGTCAAGACCCTCCACGCAGAGCTTGCTGGAGTTTCTTCCCTCGAGGGCATTAGCAGAGGATTTAGATTATCGATTAAGCAAATGTATGGGTTCTGAGACCTCCTCGATCGTAAAAAATGGGTATCTGTCAATGGATCACGGGGACAGAGCCCTCCGTCGGAGCTCATCCACCGTCCCTCCGACGTCGACTTCTCCGTGGACGGTGCGTCAAGACGTTAGCTTTACCGCCCCTGGAAACGGCGACGGGGGATTAGGGTTTACAGCTCGAGGACGGATCGGATCTTAAGACCCCCCCCCCCCGCCTCCTGCCCTACGATAGAAGGAAGTTTCTCGGATCGAGGTTAGGAAGAACTCGTGAAGGGGAAGGGAGGAGCTTTGGACAGGGACCAGGACGAGCGCTGAGAAGGATTAACCAGAGAACACGCAATATCTTTATCTGGGTTTCATTCCCTGCCGGAAGGAACGCGGAGGAATAATTCTCGTAAGGAGACGAACATTTCGTTTTCACACTCGAACAGAGGACTACGATACTCTGGGTCATCGTCAGCCCGCCTTCCGGCCGGAGGAGTTTCTCCGATGGACTGGGCCGGCGGTGGCCGGAGCAGGCAGATGAGAAAAATGAGGAAAAACCGGGAGGGGGAATGGAAAAGATGACGCGGAATCTGAAGCCTGGAGGCGGCCGAGCTACACCATTTTCTTTCCGCCGACTCACCGCCGTCGGCGGCGGCGCAACTTGCGGGAAGAAGTCGGTGGTCTTCGCTTCTGTCCGTCCGTCCGTCAGTCCATCCGCTGCTTCGGACGTCACATGGGTCCCGAGGAATTGGAAAATTGTGGAAACCCCCTCCGAATCGGTTCACATTACAAAAGTCACCCTCAACTACCGTACAACGGGGGAACGTGGGCTCCCAGTCACGTTTCAGATCGTGGGCCCGTTATTTATTTTCAAAGCAAAAGCTTTATCAAAATTACTCGACCTTAAAAGAAAATAAAATCACATGAAAATCTCCTTTACAGGGTGTGGTTTTATGAAAATGAAATATTAAATTTTATTATTTGAAATAATGTTAAATCGGAAAACCTGTTCCGGCGGGGGTGCAATATTCTTTAAAATTCTAAATTATTTTCTTCAATTATTCCTTCGCGAATTTTCCCCGCACATTTCAATGTATTTTTAATGTTTTTCATTTTTCCCACATTAGTTTTTTAATGTTTTTTCTACAGTAACCCTAAAAGATAACCTTTTCTGATCATTCACTACTCTCTCTCTCTCTACCACCGCCTCCACCTCCCTCACCAGCCCTCCATAAGTACATCGTCACACCTCGCATTTCCCATCAGCGCCACCTTCGAAGAACCCTATCGGCGGCGCCTCTGTACTCTCTCTCTCTCTCTCTCGAGGCTACATGCCGCCGCTCGTCGGGAAAATGGGCCACCGGAGGCATTTTGCCGTCGCAGCTCTGCTCGCTACCTTAATGGCCTCCGCCCACGCCCGCATTCCCGGTGTGTACTCCGGCGGGCCCTGGGAGAGCGCCCACGCCACCTTCTACGGCGGCAGCGACGCCTCCGGCACCATGGGTACCTCTCCTCACCTTCCCTTCTTCGCTCCGCCTCCTCCTTCCCCCCGCATTGTGAGGGAATATTCACTGGGAATCGTTCCTTACTGATGGTTTGCTCTCTCTTGGCTCTGGTTCTCCAGGGGGGGCATGCGGGTATGGCAACCTGTACAGTCAGGGCTACGGCGTGGAGACTGCAGCGCTGAGCACGGCCCTCTTCAACGACGGGCTGAGCTGCGGGTCTTGCTTCGAGATCAAGTGCGCCGACGATCCCCGGTGGTGCCACAGCGGAAGCCCCTCCATCTTCATCACCGCCACCAACTTCTGCCCCCCGAACCTTGCCCTCCCCTCCGACAATGGCGGCTGGTGCAACCCTCCTCGTCCCCACTTCGACCTCGCCATGCCCATGTTCCTCAAGATCGCCGAGTACCGTGCCGGCATCGTCCCCGTCGCTTACCGCAGGTCTGTACCATGTTCATCATCGTCTTCCGGGGGAAGTAGCTTTTGGGTTGGCTTGATAAACCTTCTCGGATGTGGCGGCGGTGCAGGGTGCCGTGCCGGAGGGCCGGGGGGATCAGGTTCACCATCAATGGGTTCAAGTACTTCAACCTGGTGCTCATCACGAACGTTGCCGGCGCCGGCGACGTGCTCCGGGTGAGCGTGAAGGGCTCCAAAACCGGGTGGATACCGATGAGCCGCAACTGGGGGCAGAACTGGCAGTCCAACGCCGTCCTCGTGGGGCAGTCCATCTCCTTCCGCATCACCGGCAGCGACCACCGTACCTCCACCTCCTGGAACGTCGCCCCCGCTGACTGGAAGTTCGGCCAGACCTTCTCCGGCAAGAACTTCGCCGTCTGAGAGCGGCGCCACCGCCGGCGGCCTAGGCTGGATCCTTTTTACGATTCCACCCTTGTTGGGTCGTCGGCAAGCTTCCCCCTTTACCCTTCCCCTGAGAGACCCTCGTATTTCCTTCTCATAAGCCTGTAATGTTTTAGAAAGCTGTAGCGGCGGCTGAAGCGGCTGCAAGACCAAGCTGTAGCCCGCAGCCCCCCGGTATTTCTTCTATCCGGTGTGTCCGTCTGATTTGACCACAGCTGAAAGAAAGCCATTGTCGCTCTACAGTCACTTCTCCGCTTTCTGCATCCCAACTATCCGACCTACTGCCATGTATGGCGATCTCTACGCTGCGCAGGCCGCTGTTTCTGCAGAGCGCGGGCGCACCCCCGCCGCTGCTTTTCCACCTCCCTCCCTCCCTACCCTTCTTTTATGGCTATGGCTAACCTTCAGTCGAGGGACAACGCGTCGAGGCCGATCCTTCTCTACCCAGGCCGGTCAACGGCCACGAATATATCGTACCAGCCGACAGTGGCTAAGAAACTTTCTTCTGACAGATTAATAGGCCGTAGCTGACCAGGCCACCTCGGTCCACTAGCTGGGTATAGTGATCTTTGGCAAATGCTCGCCGGGCAGAGACTGGGCGGCGCGCCCAATGCTCGCCGGAGTAGCTTTGGCAAAGCAGTCCAGTGGCCTTACAATGCTGCAGCTTTTCAAATCTCTGACGGTCGTCTCCGGTGGGGATAGATTTCAAGTGGTTCGCAAGGAATGGTTGCCACCGCCAGGACGGAAGCCTTCTGGATCACTTTGGCAGCCTTTATTTTGCAGCCGCAGCGAGGTGGTGATGAACAGGAACACATTGCTAGGTGAACAAGATAGAAAAGATTGAAATTTGCGAGTTTTGGGATGATCACTTCATCGATTTGCTTCTGTTTCTAAGATTATTAGAAGCTCTCAGTAATTAAAAAAATAAATTGTGTTAAAATTCATGATTACCCTGCAAAAGAGAGAAATCTGGTGCTTTTAATGGAAACCCATGGAGGAAAATTCTGATGACTACGGTAGAAGTTCGGCGCGCAGGCCTTCTAATACACAGCGGATGAAGACGACGGCTGATGGAATTTCTGAAGAGCTGGGAACGAGAAGAAACGAAGAACTATCCCGTCCGGAATGGCCGATCCAGCGATAGAACGCCCCGCCGGAGGCGATGGACCAGAAAAAATGCTGGAATCTTCGGCTTTCGGGAAATGAGAATGAGTCAGCAAATGGGTTCGCAAGAGAAACCGCCTTCTGCGAATCAAAGAGCATGAGATGCGGTGGAAAAAGCGGCCGTTCATATGAAAAGATGGGAACAACGGTGAGCTAGGCACTGCGGAGAAGTGGAAGGTGGGGGGGCTCATATCAAGTGTAATGGGGGGTTGCTGTCACCGCGAGGCGGCTTCTGGAAACCCTAATCTGCCGGCGAGGAGGAAAGCGAGGCGCGCCGAACCCTAGACTCAGGGGGCACCTCCATCGCTTCCCCCACTGCGCATAGACAGAGGTTTCCTGAAGACGACCCTCACTCCAGCCTCTCTCTTTGTAATCACAGCCCGGTACACCAAATCGTCCCTCTCTTTCAGATGAGAATGAAATGCAAAACGAATCGATGACGGCGAAGGAATCTGTAATCCAAAATATACGGGACTATGAATCGCGATCTAATCCCACTCACCCCTCTCTCTCTCTCTCTTTCTCTCTCCCCCCTCCTTTTCTCCCTTCCTCTCTCGGCTGGCCGAGGCCGCTGCGGAAAATGCGCAGGGTTAGCAAGCCCTCCACTATGTTTTATACGGGCAGAAAGAGAGACCTTTCCAAAACCAGGAAAAAACAGGAAGAGCTCTAGACAATCAGAGTGAGTTGATGCGCAGACTGAGCTCGAATGTCAGAATATCGAGCCCGGCTCGTAGCCCTCCGAGGCATCATCCTCAACCCTCTTCTTCTGTTCCACCAGGCCTTGCCCATCTGTGGCAACCTACCAGGATCCACATACCGCCTTCCCTCTTTCACTAGAAAAGCGTTTTTCTGCAGCCTAAGACCCATAGATAACCCTAGAAATGGAATCTGTACAGGAGTACAGGAAGAGGGATGCTGCAGCCAAAAAGGGGTTGTAAAAGGTACCAAGACGACCCCAAAAGGCTGCTAAGGAGAAGTTGGTGAGTGGGGGAAAACGCCGAAAGAAGGAACAAGGACTAGCCCATAGAGGTTGGCGGCATGGAGAGTGCGGCTGAGGGGTTGAGGGGTGCGAAATGGTCTTTGGTTTTTCCTGCCACACTATCATTTCATCATGGCATTGCTGCACTACGTAATGGGTGCGAAATGGTTTTTCTTCGATTGGGGGGTCTTATGCTCTTAAGTCTAAGTTTATTTACAAAGTATTCACGAAATATTTATTGAATCATCAATGAACATCATCAGAGTTTATGTCAACCCATGTAATGAAGTCTCATGTAAAATTCAAGAATGTGAAGTCACTTTTAAGATTTGAATGTAATAGTTGAGCAACGTGTAATCGGAAGCTTCAATGAGAAAAACGTATGAAAAAATAAAATTATATTAAGTTCGGGATAAGATTCGAACTCAAAACCACGGAACAATAGAACTCATGAAAGTCAGATAAATCCAAAGATATGGTGACAACTTCTAAACCCTTAGAATTATTATACATAGATCTCTTTGGACTGACTAAAGTATCTTGTATAGACAGAGAAAGATATGAATTTTTGTTGTTGATGATTACTCAAGATTTACATGGGTATTCTTCTTTGAAAGTAAAGATTAAATTCTAGAGTATTTCAGAAAGTTTAGCAACAAAATATAAAATGAGAAAGATCTCAAAATTTAAGAGAATCAAGAGTGGTCATGGTGGAGAATTTAAAAATCTATACTTCTCTTGATTATGTAATGCTAAAGGAACCTCTCATGATTTTTCTAGGACCATATTAACATAAATAATTTACCAAATATTTTTTGGACCAAAGCAATAAATAGAGCTTGTTATATTAGGAACATGATTATGATCAGATCCATTGTTTCAGAAAACACCATATGAGTTATTAAAGGAAAAGAAATCAAATTTTAGTAACTTCTGACCATTTGGGTGCAAATTTTTCATTTTTATAAATGGTATGTAAGAAATAGGAAATTTTGATCTAAGAACCAATGAATGAATTTTTCTAAGATATTAGTGAAAACTCTAGAGCTTTTATAATATATAATAAACTAACATAAGTCTTAGAAGAGACAATAAATTGTAAATTCATTGAGTAAGGTGAGAAAGTGATCGCTAAGGAAGATATAGAGGTACTATTAGAAACTCAATTTCAGAAAATATCAATTGACGATAATGCTAAACTTCTAGAATTTAAAAAAATGTTTAGAAAAAGACTCTTCTCATTGAATGAAAGTACATAAGAAGTCACCCAACGTATCAAATCTTGGAAGATACTTAAAGAGGGGAACAAACAAGCTGAAAACATGGCTGATGAAAACAAGATCCAAGCTGAAAAATTCTGAAAACATGAGTGTACTAATTTCTAAGATCCAACTAAAGAATGTAGATGAGGCATTAGATGATGAAAAATTGATCATTTTCATGGCTGATGAATTAAATCAAATTGGGAAAAATAATGTTTGGACTCTAATACCTAGAACAAATGAAATGTATATCATAGAAACTAAATGGGTTTTCAAAGATAAATTAAATGAATAAGGTAAAGTATTAAAAAATAAGCCTAGGCTAGTAGCACAAAGGTATTCTCAAGTAGAAGAATTAGACAATGATGAAACATATGCACGTGTGGCACAATTAGATGTAATCAGAATATTACTAGCCTATGCATGTTAGAAAAATATTATTTTATATTAAATAGATGCCAATAGTATATTTTTGAAAAAAAGAAATTAAAAGAGATGTGTACGTGTGTCAACCCCCAAGATTTCTAAATACATCCTAAAACTATCAAAAGCTTTGTATGAGGTTAAACAAGGTCTGAAGGCATGGTGTGAGAAACTGACATCATTCTTGCTAGGACATAGATTTATTTGATGTAGTATTGATAATACTATATTTATTAAGGAAAGAGATGATCATATACTCATAGTTCAAGTGTATGTAGATGGTATAGTTTTTAGTTCAACCAATGAAAGTCTATGTCTAGAATTTTCTGAAGTAATGAAAAATGAGTTCGAGATGAGTATAATATGTGAACTTAGCTACTTTTTAGGCTTACAAATAAAATAGTTGAAGGAATGAATAATCATCTTGTAATTAAAATATGTTAGAGAAATATGATATAGTATGATCTTTGAAAAATAAAATAAAATACAACTCCTATGGACGGAAAAATCAAGACCAATTGATCAAAAAACCTATAAAGGGATGATAGGAACACTATTATATTTAACAAGTACACCAGATATCATTTTTAGCATGTGTCTATGTGCTAGATTCCAAAGTGATCCAAAAAAATCACACCTAACTACTATAAAAGGAACATTTAGATGTATTGAAGGCACATCTGATTTGGGACTCTAGTTTCTTGAACAATGTGACATGAATTTAGTGGTACAATGATTCTGACTCTGTTGAAAATAAAATTGACAAAAAGCACTAGTGGGTCCTCATTAATTTGGGAGGATGTTTAATTTCATGTGCATCAAAGAAACATGTCACTGTTGTGCTATCAACAGCTGAAGTTGAATATATAGTTGCTGGATTTTGTTGACACATGTATTATGGGTTAAGGCTCAGCTTAAACAAAAGACATCACTAGACAAGCAAAAGAGATGTTGAAACTGCAGATGTTCTAAAACAAAAGCATTAGCCAAGAAACCCTCTAAAAAACACAATTGACAATTTGATCTAAGAGAACCTAGAGAAAAATGAGAGAGCTAGAGAGAAAGAGTCGAAAAGAAGAGATGAAATTGCCATGCGAGAATTGTATAGATGACATCAGACAAAGAGAATAAGAAGAGCATGGATGGTCACTTCTCCCTAATCTTTCTTGAGTTGGCATGCATCCAAATCGATCAATGGTCTATACCTTGTTAGAAATGTCACTTTGCACATTTTTAGGCATATCAATGTCATAGTAATTTCATAGGTTAGATCATAGACTTTGAATAAATAATAACTATTTTTTAAAAGAATATTCTTACTTCATGCACACTACCTTTAAGGTGGACTCTATGTAAAGGATGACAACACTGTACACCTCATGCAGAATATTCTATATTGGACAAGAGGTAAGATGAGGGTCTTCTTAAATATCAAAAGGATGCGATTAGTAGTCTATTGTGATAAGCTCATTGTACTTGAATGTACGTGTGTTGTTTATGGTTTTGATTTTTGTTGACACTTTATCATGCAAAATAGATTGACAACATTTTAGTTTACCAAAAACTTAGCTGTCAACAATTTTATATTATGTTTTAACAAAGTTGACTTAACATATAAACTTTATACCATGTTATCATAGTGCTAATGCGAACCTCTTTTTGTCATTAAATTATTTGCTTATTTTCATTTGGTTGTCACTTATCTCCCATCACTTTTTTATGAAACTTAAAATTCGTGATTTACATAATATTAGTGATCCAATGGTGGTATAAGCTAGTTTGTATTCACTATTTAAATTAAGTGAAATAACTCACAATGATCCAATGTTTCAATAATAACATGCAATGTAAAATTGTGTTTGAGCATTACCATCAAACACTTATATATTTCATTACCAACGTTGATTTTTAGATAACTATGTCACTCAAATTCCAACACACATCACCATGAAACTTGTTCTTCAATGCCAATTTTTTGTGACTGTTAAAATCTATTAACGAAATTATTAATGAACATCGTTCTCCAAACACATGGATTGTTTTCCAAAGATCGTACATAAATGAATTTCATTCCATGTTTAAAAAAAGTCTCTCCAATGTCCTTCTAGTTTTCATGTTACATGAAATACAGAATTTTCATCCATTGTTTGCATAAACATTACGAGAGGGGGGGAACCAAAACCAAAACTTGAAATGCATGAGGCTGAGTGAAGAAAAACCTTATCCATGATCATATCAAGTACATTGTAGGTGCATGTTTATGAACATGTGTACGTACATTGGAAGCTGTTATCTCACCTAGTTCTTAGACGAAGACCAGAAGTTCGAACAAAGGGTTCTTGGAGTTTGGAACTCTTTATTTGGAACTAATGTAAACCGGATCCGCACAGAGGGATCCAGACACGTCCGGTGGGAACCTCGTTCTAGAAGATCGAGGTTGACCGGGTAGGTACAAGAACATTCTATTAGCCAGGTTGACCCGGTCGGTCCGAGAACAAGAACAGACCTGGGGAGAAACGCGCCATCAGGACATTCCGTAGGCAACCAGTCCGCTCATCGTCAAACATGGAGATCGCCGTGGTCAGGGGTCGCTGTTGGCGTTGGCTTTTACTCCACGTAGTCCATCTGATGACGTCCCCGACGGGAATGAAGGACGAATACGTCCCCGACGGGAATTATCCTTTACAATTTTGGGGCTGTTTCTACGTCATCTTTCCCGGATAGTCAACTCCCGTTATGGGTCCAGCAGGAGCTCTCACTCAGTACGCTTTCCGATCACAGCTTCCCCGAAAGAACGGTCATGAAATGTTCTCCAAGCCTGGCCACAAACTCCCCTGAACGGGTCAAACCCCAGCTTCATAAATCCATCGCCGGACAACAACACCTTCGACGACGGAAGAGAGGGACGCAGCAGAAGCGCAGAGTAAAAGCGAGAGAGAGAGAGAGAGAGGAGGAGGAGAAGATGGTAGTGAGGGGACTGTTGCAGATACATCTGGTCGATGCGAGGGATCTGAAGGCGATGGATACCACCAGTGAGTCTCCCTCATGCCCTGACCATCAAGTACCCAACCCATATCCTGCCTTCTGGTCGCCCTTCCTTATACTTCTGCTCTCGTCGTGTCCACAGGCAGGATGGATCCCTACGTCATCCTCCGGTACATGGGGCAAGAGCGCAAGAGCCGTGTCCTCAGAGGTAAATCCACCGCCGCCCTCCTCTTCTCCTCCTCTTTCTCTTCCTCGAGCTCTTCCTCCGCCTCCGAGAAGCTTGAGAGCAGGAATTTAATGGCGTCCTCGCTCTGCAGAGGGAGGCTCCAACCCTACGTGGAACGAGATGTTCACATTCCAGGCGGAGTATCCGTCGCCGGACAACCAGCACAATCTCGTCCTGAAGATCATGGACGAGGACACCTTTTCCGCCGACGACTTCGCCGGCGCCGCTACGTAAGGATTCCGATTCCTCCTCTGGCTCGCTCTTATTCCACCAGGTCAACCACGACCCATCTGACCGGGGCCTCCGTGACGGAACAGGATCAACGTGGGGGACTTGCTACAGCTGGGAGCGGAGAAGGGGTCTGCGGAGCTTCCTCCTCACCGTTACAGAGTCGTCCTCGCCGACCGCAGTTACCAAGGGGATATCCGGGTCGGCGTCTCCTTCAAGCGGAAGGTACTACACACAATCAAGACTCTCCCCCACACTTCCCCATCTGGATTTGCCTCTTCTCGAGTTCTTCCTGGTCTGATCTCCCCCATCTGGGGTTTTTTCTCCTTCTCGGGCTCTTACTGTCAGTAAGGGGTGAACCATGGAGGGGACATCGGAGGGTGGAAGGTCAGCGGCGGCGTCAGAGATGGCGGCGGAGGGCGCGGCGTGGCAGGACGTTGGTGGAGATTAATATTCTAGCGTGTGATAAACAAGGAGGTTGATGAGTTCTCTGTGATTGAATGCTCCCACCAAGTTAGAAAAGCCTCCTCATATGAATATTTATCAAGTCAATTCCATGAATCAGCCGCCGGCGAGTGAGAGAGAGGCTAAATCGATGTATCGATTCGGAGCAAACCAGTTAATCGTGGAACAATATAAATGGTTATAAAAGTAAAGAATGATGTGCATATAATTATATATATAATTTAAACATTCTAAGATTCGCAGGATTTATTATTTTGTCAATTACTACTCCCCACCTTACTTACAGGAGGCAGGAGGCCCATTGTAAATGGAGAGTTTGGGGAAGGGTTAGGGTTACAGAGAACCTTGGGAGATTCGCATCAGGTAGGAGAGTGTGGAGGGTCCTTTCATATTGATCTTCTGTGGAGTTTATGGGGAGCCTCTGTGGAGGGAACCCTGATTATCATTTGTTCCATTGGGTTTTACCTCAGCTTATCTTAAGTTCTTTCCCTAGTATATGCTCTACTCATGCTCTGCTATCCAAGTTATTATCAACTAGTCATGTCTTCCAAATGCCTAGGTTGAAAACATTAGATTTGTAATAGATCCTTAATCCCTTAGAGATATCTTCATTAAAGGCCTGGGAAATAAATTTTCAAAGAAAATCTCCACACATACTAACAAGGGGAAAATTTTGAGATTTTGAAAGTAAAAGAAAAATATCCTACTCTCAAATCATTCCGATTCGTAGGCTCAAGTATATTGAGCTTAGGTTTCACACTTACTTCGTTCTCATTAATAGAATTTCTAGCTGATGACTTTTTTTCTTGATGGGACTGTTGATGAGTTCACACTTGGTAGCCAAGGTTGTTCGTTCAGCTGACTCTCTAGAGCAGACTTGGATATTAAGTTTCTGTTGAGGATGTATTATTTTCCCTTGTGTTTTGTCTTGCTATCCCCTAATGATTATTGGTATCAGTAAGATGAATAAGGTGACGAATTATTTTAACATGATGTCATACTAAATTGAGTTAAGAAATAGTTCATGGTTTCTTAACTTGGACAAGAATTCTTGGAAGTTTTCGTTATATATTAAGACGTCAACTAAGTATGTAATTATGAATCCATCAATATTACTATTAAAAGAGGACATTAACAAGAGTAAAGAAAGCTGATGGTGTTGGTGAGACAAAACTACATCATTGTGAGCATATTGTATTTAGCTTGTCTCCCTCACTATTTCACAATTAATTAAAGTAGTACATCACAAAGTAGTGTTGAATATCACTTAATCAATCAAAAAACTCATTTTTTTTGGCACTAAGTAATTTTTTATCTTGAAATTGTTAGTAATTAACACAGATGGATTGATTAAGCTTGTTTCTTTTAGAAGAATATTGGATGTCATAAGGTACTTTGGAAGGGTGGATGTGTTTCACCTTCAAAGGTTCCTCCGATTGTTGGTCTCCTCAAAGTGAATGCAATCACTCATTGGTAGTCAGTATACCTCTTATTGACACATCTTCATACTGAATGTAAGAGCTATGACTCAGCTTGTGTGGGTCAGAACCAACCAAAGTCAGGTGGCATTTGGCACACCTCAAAGCGGGAACAAGAAAAGTGGGTGTTCTCACTCCATGAGAGCTGGAAGGAGAGGCATCTCATGGAGAATTGATGTCTAGATTCTTGGGGAGTGAGGGAGAGAAAGAGATTTGTTGATGTCATTACTAAGCCCATCACAACACATACCAACATATTTTGAGGAATTTTGAATATTAGCATTCTAGTTGAATATATATATATATATATAGTTATTATATTTGAAAACTTCGGTTACAAGAAAATGTCAAAGGTCCAATTTGTCCAATGACTCATAAATGTGGATGTTTTAGAGCAAGACCCCATCATCTTGGTGTTGAGATGTTCTTTATTTTATTTAATATTATTTGCACATTATTTAAGTATAGAATAAAGTATGGGTGGCATTAATAATTCATAAATAATTATAAAAATAAGTTTTAAATTAAAAATCATCTTAAGAGTTCTTGATTAAGATGTTTTAGTTTATTTAAATATTTTCAAGGTGTTCTAGTTTTTCCAAAAATTGAGCATTATTCAACTATAAAAAAAGAAAGAATGCATTCAACTCTAGAGTCGAGTCAAAGTTTTCATGTATTTAAACTATGCAAAAATCCCTTAAAGCTTTTTTTTAAAAGGAAGAATAAACTAGATCAAATATTTTGTTTAATAAATACTATTTAAATTCATTAATTTTTCTAAATTTAATAATAGGGATACAAATTATATATAGATACTAGATTGTCAAGCTATTCCAGTTTAAATTCATATAATTACTGTAAAACTGCATATAAAGATATAAATATATATTCATTATATTTATGTTAATCCGACGAGGAATCATGGGCGTACAGCACAGAATTCTCGGCGGTGTCCAAATAATGTTTGATTTTTTGGGCCAGCCTCTATAATGGGCCATACTTCAAGGCCCAAGTGCAAAATGACTGGGCATACCTAGGCCATTGATAGACCTATACAGCGCAAGCCGATTCGTCGGATTTCGGATCATGAACCCGTCGGGTCCGAACTCGCTTCAAGAAAGAGATAGGCCACCGGTTTTCTTCGAGAACGAGACCCGGCTGCGGAGAGAACACGTTGGCCTCTTTCGAACTGGCGACCCGTGGGGTCACCAGCCCGGTCGACTGGTCAAAGCTGGAGATGCAACCACCTGTTGCAGTCAGATTTGGTGTCTTCTGCACGTGGACGGCTGCCCAGAAAACGAAATAAGGGATGGTCAACGACCCTTACCAATGATTGAGTACTCAACGGCCATTGACGATAATTTAGTCGTCGACGACGATTACTCGACAGCTCCTCATGCGGCTATTTGTTTACAGTTACCCCAAAGAAGTGGTCATGTAAGGGCAACCAGGAAGCTTCTGCTGAAGCGTTTTGAACCCCTCGAGTTTTATAAATATCGCGCCAGACAAACCCTTCAAAATACCGGAACAGAAAGGCATACGGACGAGCTCAGAGAGAGAGAGAGAGAGAGAAGGAGCGAGCGAGCGAGAGAGACAGAGACAGAGACAGAGACAGAGAGACAGAGAGACAGAGAGAGAGAGGAGGAGAAGATGGTGGTAAGTGGGCTGTTGCAGATACATCTGGTCGATGCGAGGGGTTTGAAAGCTATAGATACCACGAGTGAGTCCCCCTCTCATCAGGTATCCGACCCATCTCCTGGCTTCTGGTCACCCTTCCTTATACTGTTGTCTCTCCTTGTGTCTGCAGGCAGGATGGATCCCTACGTCATCCTCCGGTACATGGGGCAAGAGCGCAAGAGCCGTGTCCTCAGAGGTAAATCCACCGCCGCCCTCCTCTTCTCCTCCTCTTTCTCTTCCTCGAGCTCTTCCTCCGCCTCCGAGAAGCTTGAGAGCAGGAATTTAATGGCGTGGTCTCTCTGCAGAGGGAGGCTCCAACCCTACGTGGAACGAGACGTTCACATTCCAAGCGGAGTACCCGGCGCCGGACCACCAGCACAATCTCGTCCTGAAGATCATGGACGAGGACACCTTCTCCGCCGACGACTTCGCCGGCGCCGCCACGTAAGGATTCCGATTCCTCCTCTGGCTCGCTCTTATTCCACCAGGTCAACCACGACCTATCTGACCGGGGCCTCCGTGACGGAACAGGATCAACGTGGGGGACTTGCTACAGCTGGGAGCGGAGAAGGGGTCTGCGGAGCTTCCTCCTCACCGTTACAGAGTCGTCCTCGCCGACCGCAGTTACCAAGGGGATATCCGGGTCGGCGTCTCCTTCAAGCGGAAGGTACTACACACAATCAAGACTCTCCCCCACTCTTCCCATCTGAATTTGGTTGTTCTTTAGTTCTTCCTGGTCTGATCTCCCCCATATGGACTTGTTTCTTCTCGGGTTGTTCCTGACAGGACGTGGTGGACTAAGGAGACGACATTGGAGCGTAGAAGGTCGGCGGCGGCGGCGGCGGCGGCTTCTGAGATGAGGGCGGGATACTGGTCGATACATGATCTCTACCAAACAAGGTGGAACATCGAGAGCGGTTTCCCGTCTCTGGGTTTGTAAACTTTGTGATTTCTGGGATCTCAGTTCTCACACATGAACTGCGATTGAATGTTTCCATGACTTCAGAGTTATCTCCTCGTGAGGAAATTATTCAAGCGGACTCGATGAAGTTCCTCCTGCTAGAAATAGTTCGGGCCTCCAAAACCAAACCCGCTTCGCTTAGACCAGATAAGCGTACGGAAACTAAGGAAACCAGCTAACTTATACTTTAACCGTTATAAGAAACCATGCGCTCAACGGATATTAAAAAACCAACTGACAGAATGCGTAGATTACGATTTTCTAATAAATTCACCCAAAAAAAATGTGTTAAATAATTAGAGACCTTCCTAGATGACGTATATGGTGTGCATACTTTGGTACTAAATGACGTATACAACCAAACTGGGGTTTGATATTTGATATATTAAATAATTAAAGACCGTGATAATTATTCTTTCAAGCCTGGTGAGTTTATCTTTATAAACCAGGTAAAAGAAACACGTAGAGTAAAAGAAAGATCCTTATAAACCAGTAAGTTTATCTTTGACTTGGCGTTCTAGAAACAAGAGAAGGGCTGCAGCACTGAGTCGAAGTCGTTGACCTATCGACCTTTCTCTTCGAAGAGACACTTGAGGAAGGAACTCTTCTATTCCCCTAGCAAAGCGAAACCAAGATTACTACTACCTGGTCCTCAAGCCTTATTAAAAGTTCGTACTCCGCTGACAGAGCTCTCCATAGGTCTCTATTGTTTCCTATTTTTCTTTTAGATAAAGAGGAGATCACTGGACAAGAAAGACAGATGCCGAAACTGCAGATGTTCTTAAATAGAAGCATTAGCCAAGAAACCGCTAAAGGACACCGTTGACAATCGGGTCCGACAGAGCTCAGAGAAAATCAAGAGAGCTGGAGAGAAAGAACCGAAAAATCATTCTCCACACGCACGTAAAACAAGAGATGGAATTGCCATGCAAGAATTCTATTGATGACGTCAGTAGCAAGAGAACAACAAGACCATGCATGGTCACTTCTCCCTATCCATTCTTGAGTTGGCGTGTGTCCAGCTCAATCAATGGTCTAAACCTTGTTAGAATGGTTAGTTTGCATATTTTTAGACATATAAAGAACCCCTCTTAATATGCGTGTGTGTGTGTGTGTTAATGTTATAATGATTTCAAAGGTTAGAACATAGACTTTGACGAAATAATTGCTGATTTTGTTCGTATGCATATTTTTACTTGATCAATACTACTTTTAAGGTGGCCCCTACGGTAAGGGATGACAACACTGTACACCTAATCCAATCTATTCAATATTCAACAAGCGATAAGATGAGGGTCTTTTTGAATATCAGAAGGATGTGATTAGCAGTCAATTATGCTCAAATCATCATACTCATAAGTCCTTGTGTTGTCTAAGCTTTTGTTTTTCGTTGACACTTTATCAAGCCGGATTCGCACAGATTAGGGATCCAGACACGTCCGGTGGGAACCTCGTTCTAGAAGATCGAGGTTGACGGGTAGGTACAAGAACATTCTATAGCGAGGTTGACCCGATCGGTCCGAGAACAAGAACAGACCTGGGGAGAAACGCGCCATCAGGACATTCCGTAGGCAACCAGTCCGCTCATCGTCAAACATGGAGATCGCCGTGGTCAAGGGTCGCTGTTGGAGTTGGCTTTTACTCCACGTAGTCCATCTGATAACGTCCCCGACGGGAATTATCCTTTACAATTTTGGGGCTGTTTCTACGTCATCTTTCCCGGATAGTCAACTCCCGTTATGGGTCCAGCAGGAGCTCTCACTCAGTACGCTTTCCGATCACAGCTTCCCCGAAAGAACGGTCATGAAATGTTCTCCAAGCCTGGCCACAAACTCCCCTGAACGGGTCAAACCCCAGCTTCATAAATCCATCGCCGGACAACAACACCTTCGACGACGGAAGAGAGGGACGCAGCAGAAGCGCAGAGTAAAAGCGAGAGAGAGAGAGAGAGAGGAGGAGGAGAAGATGGTAGTGAGGGGACTGTTGCAGATACATCTGGTCGATGCGAGGGATCTGAAGGCGATGGATACCACCAGTGAGTCTCCCTCATGCCCTGACCATCAAGTACCCAACCCATATCCTGCCTTCTGGTCGCCCTTCCTTATACTTCTGCTCTCGTCGTGTCCACAGGCAGGATGGATCCCTACGTCATCCTCCGGTACATGGGGCAAGAGCGCAAGAGCCGTGTCCTCAGAGGTAAATCCACCGCCGCCCTCCTCTTCTCCTCCTCTTTCTCTTCCTCGAGCTCTTCCTCCGCCTCCGAGAAGCTTGAGAGCAGGAATTTAATGGCGTCCTCGCTCTGCAGAGGGAGGCTCCAACCCTACGTGGAACGAGACGTTCACATTCCAGGCGGAGTATCCGTCGCCGGACAACCAGCACAATCTCGTCCTGAAGATCATGGACGAGGACACCTTTTCCGCCGACGACTTCGCCGGCGCCGCCACGTAAGGATTCCGATTCCTCCTCTGGCTCGCTCTTATTCCACCAGGTCAACCACGACCCATCTGACCGGGGCCTCCGTGACGGAACAGGATCAACGTGGGGGACTTGGTACAGCTGGGAGCGGAGAAGGGGTCTGCGGAGCTTCCTCCTCACCGTTACAGAGTCGTCCTCGCCGACCGCAGTTACCAAGGGGATATCCGGGTCGGCGTCTCCTTCAAGCGGAAGGTACTGCTCGACTCGCTCCCACTCTTCCCCATCTGGATTTGCCTCTTCTCGAGTTCTTCCTGGTCTGATCTCCCCCATCTGGGGTTTTTTCTTCTTCTCGGGCTCTTACTGTCAGTAAGGGGTGAACCATGGAGGGGACATCGGAGGGTGGAAGGTCAGCGGCGGCGTCAGAGATGGCGGCGGAGGGCGCGGCGTGGCAGGACGTTGGTGGAGATTAATAGTCTAGCGTGTGCTAAACAAGGAGGTTGATGAGTTCTCTGTGATTGAATGCTCCCACCAAGTTAGAAAAGCCTCCTCATATGAATATTTATCAAGTCAATTCCATGAACCAGCCGCCGGCGAGTTAGAGAGAGGCTAAATCGATGTATTGACTCGGAGCAAACCAGTTAATCGTGGAACAATATAAATGGTTATAAAAGTAAAGAATGATGTGCATATAATTATATATATATTTAATTTAAATATTCTAAGATTCGCAGGATTTATTATTTTGTCAAAAATCAAGGAAGTGGAGGTGAACAAGAAAAAAAAAAACTTTATGAACTAAGAAATAAACAAAGAAACTTGACTAAAGTAGTCATTTATACATAAAGATCATAAATACTGAACACAAAAGGAGAGCATTCCGCTTGTTGCAGATAAAAATAGCCCCTTTAATCCATAGAAGGGATCGGCTTCAGTGAGAAGTAGAGATCGTCTGGGACTATTAAGAGACAGAATTAGAAGAAAGAAAGGCAACTATCCTGTTCAGCAGATTTAGACCAAATACCGTTTCTTCACAGTTGACCTTCACAGAGATGTCCAATGCTTCGGAGCATTTACCTTCAGCCGTTACAGTAATCAAGCAGGGCTTTGAATTGCTCAATATTTCGCTACTAAATCTCAAGCATAAATCTGAGACCTCGTCAAATTTAAGCAAAATGGGCATATCCACTGAAACAAGGTGAATACTGGCACTGCTCAGCATCTTTGCTGCGATTTTACGGCATATTAAAAGAATTTTGTCATCATTCAATGAAGACTGACCCTTCTCCTGGTCCACAATGTTGATATGATCGGCAAAGGTGCACCTGCAAGAAGATGCCCACATCATATCAGACTCAACTTCTTAATGGTAACCAGTGTACATGTTCAAGACAACTTGATTAAAAAAAACAGAACACACATAAAGAAATGCATACAATGAAGTCCATCTAAATTCTATGGGAATTGAATGCTCCGAGGAGATGTTGGTGCATTTCTTTTATTTTTCCAGACAAAAGGTTTTCCCATGAAAAACATTAGGCATCCTCAAATAGGATCGAGCTGAAGACTGATGTGGGCATGTACCATGCTTTGGTTCTTACGCTAGCAATATCAGAGCACCAACAACAATGGATAGGCTCACTCTGCAAATCCCTGGATGAAATTGAAAAATAATTCTTTTTCCCGAGATAATTCGAATGAAAAATTTAAATGGAAGTGTGAAGTAAAATCTTGTGAACTTCGAAATTCAGATTATACAGGAAAAGGCCCCTTAGTATATTAAGTTTATGATAGTTCCTAGTTTATCTCCTCCTTCATCAACAAAGTGTAGTACTTGATAATAAGACAAGGCGTAAAATAAACCTTCTACTGTATTCAAACATCCCTCGCAGATGATTTTCTAACTTTGTGAATGCGTTTAAATCCATGGCGATAGGTCTTGTGAAATATCCAATGTCAGGTTGCAATTTGACCGGATGCCTTTTCTCATTGTAGTAAATTGCCAGCTTGAGAGGTAGCAAGTGATGATGAAAATGCACTTGAAGAATACTCCTTGCCATATCTCCTGGATGGAGAGAGTCAATTTCTTCCATAGGCACTATCGTTGGGACTTTAGAGGGCTCTAGCGCACTGCAAACAAAGTTTGGACGAATAATTATCAGTGCTGGCCCAATAGACTTCTATGACACATCATAACAAAAATGAAGCCAATCTAATGATTGACAGAAGTTGACGCACCTGTCATGTATTCCAAATGCTTGGGTCGCAAACTCTGGATTTGCAGTAGATCCTTCATCCCTCAGAGATATCTTCTTTAAAGGCTCGGGAGATAAGTTTTCAAAGACAATCTCCACACATAATAACAAGGGGGAAATTTTTGAGATTTCGGAAGTAAAAGAATATCCTACTCTTAAACCATTCCCATTCGCAGGCTCAAGAAGTACGTTGAGCTTAGGTTTCACACTTACTTCGATCTCATTAATAGAAATTCTAGCAGAAGACCTTTCTCTTGATGGGTCAGCTGATGAGTTCACGCTTGGCAAACAAGGTTGTTCGTTCAGCCAACTCTCCAGAGCAGACTTGGACATTAAGTTTGTCAGATCAGTAGCTGAGGATGTATTATTTTCCGCTGTGCTTTGTTTTGCTGTCCCATCATGAATACTGGTATCAGTAAGATGAATAAGCTGACCAATGGCGGTTGCATCTGGAGAGCCATTTGCTCCTCGAAGCATGTAGTGATCATTGTCAGCAACATCGGACTCACTTCCAGAATCAGGATTTTCGCCATCAACTGGGCTGGGAATAGAACCTTCAGAATCATAATAACTGGATTGACTGCCTTCATATGATGAATCCGATGAATTGGCAGCCTCAATCCCATCTTGTGACATCCGGTTCTCAAGAGCCATCTCAGGTAGACTGCAAGGCTGTGGAAGGGGTGTATACCCCGGAGCTGCATGTAGAACTATTTGTGAAAGTGATCCAGGGAGATACAACCGAAAGTGATTAATTGCACCAGTCACTGACTGTATCTTTCCACAGAACATGTTTTTCAGAAGTTCGTCGAGCAGAATACTATCTGGTTCCACATGCAGGATTCCTTCCTGATGTGAAATTTTTGGCTGAGAAGTGACAAGCTTCTCTATCATGCGACCTCGATCACGAATATCATAGTTCAAATCGACTTTCGCTAGGTCAAGAATGTAGAAAAGGACCTTTCTGAAAAGTTCATGCTCCTCTCCCTGAGCACTTAATACAATCTAAGGAAAATAAAGGAAAAAATTTAGAGATAGCATGTGTCCGACAGAGTAATGTTAAATACCGTTAAGTCAACCTACCAAAAAATTGGGCCCAGAAAAAGTGCACGTGATATACAGTTGGGACCCACAAAAAATACCTCCAATGGGAAAGAAACCAAGGACAGAAGGAACACAAAATAATATGATTTAGATGAAATTGGATAGAAACAAATATTCACTAAATTTGAAAAAAGGAAAGAAAGAGAAGTACATTATATTTTTCGTATCCACTAAAAAAACTCCGTGACGATCGTTGTTCGCACTGGTACAGATTCCTAACCCCCACTCAAACAAGAAAAAAAAAAATCCGAAGTTATTCTCGCACCCATTCAGCAATAAAAGTGTGTACTCTGTCTGCTGAAGAAGAGAATTTTAGATACAGCATATGGTGGACCTACATATTTCAATTAAGAAGCCTTCCGTGGCCTCGAAGGGCAAGCCATTCGGAATAGGAAAAACCAGGATCATAAATCTCATTTCCCCTGATATTATTAACGTATCAATGAAACAAGACAAATAAAACTTCAAGGGAATTAAAGAAAAGGAGGGCATTGATCAGGAAAGCAGATTTTGAAGAATCAGAATGGCATTTAACGGTGCACAACACAGAATAATAATTTCTAAGTTAGACTTTGGAGTGATGTGTTTCATCCTTGATTTAAGACTACCTTAGCAACGGTATTCAGAATTTGATGCTTTGCTTCAAGCTCCTCAGAACTAAAGCACTGACCAAGATAACTAACTACAACAGGAATAATCTTCAGTATGATATGCCCAACGTCGCTATATTCCCCCACAATCCAAATGATCAGCGCACGTGCTGAAGGCTCTTTAATATTATCCAGGCTACGAATTAAATGGACAATCACCTAAAAAAAAAAGTAAGTGCAGATCAGAAGCGAAAACAGTTGAGTATCAAGAATGAATAAATTTAAAATGCTCACAAAGCAGCCATCACGAGATATTAAGGAGAGTCGATCAAATTGGGTAGGATTGAATGAATTTCATAATCTGGAGAAAAAGGTATCCCCAATTTTCTATTGTGTTATGGTGTTTTTCTATTTGTTCAATTTCATTTTTCAGTTTTGGGATTTATTGCTGTATTTCACTTTTCTTTCAATAAACACATAGGAATGACCACGCCCTACCAAAATAAAAAAATGCTACATGTAAAATAACAAAATCAGATATTTACTAGTTAATCTAACAACCTACACAACAGGATTGAACTAAATCAAAGATCAATCCATGCCTAAGACCATAAATTGGAAAAAAAAAATCAAATGTAAAGAAAATTTCAAAGTAATTGATACCTTCCATACTAAACTATGCCACACTCTTTCTTCCACTAGATTTATAACTAGAGTTGATGACGAAACAACCACATAATTAAATAGGTATGTTAGAATAATCTCATATTGGTGTTAGAAAAGTAAATTTGTGATTAATTTTCGGTTCCATGGCCTAAAAGACGACATACTCCATAAAGATGAGTCTAATATTGGTTGTATGAAAGTAAACTTGTGATTGTAGAGATGGACCTACTCCACACAGAGTCAACTGATTTTGGGTTAGGTGGCCTAAAATTTTCACTAGATATCAGGGTTGATAGCTGCTCTTGGATTGTGCATACCGGATTTAAGTTGTTCAAATTATAAAGCCCAAAAGTCAACTTACACGCATCCTAATAAATTAAAAATATAAAAAAATGCGCATATAAAGATACTCCAATTAGTAGGATAACCCAAAAGATATAATGTGAAAAAATTTCACAATGCGTAACAGAGATAGGATTTTAACCTTCTCATAATTGGCTGGATCCTGCTTAATTATGGTTTTAATGGACATTATTGCTTGAATCAAGACACCAGCTTCACCTTCTAGAGAGCCATAATGCTTAATGGAAGACTCTATAGCATATGGAAAAGTCAGCGCCTAAAAAATATTTCTCATGAATATCAAAAACATAAACAAAATGATTAATCGACACACCTTGCTTTACAATGGCTAGAAGCCCTTCCAAGCAAGTTTTGGCAACTGATGGAAGATTTTTAACACAGAGAGCAATAGCAGCAACCACATCAACAGCAAATCTCCTGTCTGGATCTTTGATGTAATCCTGACAGCACATTAACACTAGAAAGAAATTAGTCCATGCATCTGATAACAAATGGTTTAATCATGGCTATCTGAGGGAAAAATCAGCATTCACATAAGCAAACGCCTGCTATACATCATATCTCGAATGAGAAGATAAAAAAGTATTCCATGATTTATTGAAGAAAATAAAGTAAAACTTTTTTTGTTGGTCCTTATGCACAGAGCCTGTACATCTTTCCTAGTGAATTGCAGATATTTGCATAGGAAGTTAGGAACGTGGACTCTTGCCCTCTTCACTCCCATGGACTGGCTTTAGTTATATCTTTTAGAGAGAGAAACACCAAATACCCATAATTTTGTAACTAAAATGTCGTAGTACCAAGAAGTAATCATGGACAATGGAATATATCATCACAAAAATGAAATACATTCGAAAATTGACGTCCCCCCACCCTATGAAATTGAAAGTCTAAACTGCATCAGAAGTCCAACCATCTTACTTGGATTGATCAATCCCCAAGACTATTGAACATTTTAACAATTCTCTGAGGAAGAGGAGGAAAGATCCACATTTTTTATGGGAAAAAGCAAGGGCACAAATCTACTCCCACCACCACCTGTTAATGCCACAAGCAGCCTATTGACTCGCTCTGCATGGAGGGTTATAAAGGTGTATGCTACTTTTCAAAGAATCCATCTTCTGAATTCTCGTTTTTATGGCTTTTGTTCTAAATATCAGGTGCTTTAAAATTTTTGAAGTATCATTTTTCTTTTGTTTGCCTAGATTTGTCCTCAAATAAGTCAATTCAGCCATTCCATTGTCAACTTAGACTATGTCAGCCATGATCAATTCGAGGCCCAGATCCAATTAAAAAGGCCAAATTTTATGCACATCGGCATAAACATAATCCATGAAAAGGGTATGCAGGAACAAATCCAGGCATAAACATAACATTATCCCTAATGGTTTCTCAAACCCTGTTTGCCAGGTACAGTTTTCCAAAGTTTTTTTCTGGTTACTATGGCCACACTATGCATCCCCGCCTGCATATAAAATTGAAGTGCTTAAATATGAAGCTCCCAGGACAATCATGGATAAATGTGCTAAAACCATCGAATGGCTGTATTTTTTTTAATTTCCAGGTCGTATTAAACAAGATAAATACCTGGAACTCCTGCAAAATAAATGGAATTGACGATTCTGCAGCTATTGTAGACAATATATCCAATTTCAGGACTTTCATTTGGTATGAATCAGACGAAGACACAAAAAAGTCTTCATGGTATGCCGAGAAAAGTGAAGGCATAGCCTTAGCAAATATTTGGATATTTCGGAGCACCTGAAAAAAAGATGATCTCGCATGTCATATGTCACCTCACAAATGGTTGGATTTAAGCAAAAAGAAAAGAAATATCCATTGCAAAAAAAACTAAAAAAAAAACATTAGGAAGAGACAACGTTAGTTGGGAAGCCAGAAAGCATTGACGGATGAGAAAGGTAGAAGTTTGCGATATCAGACTGTGCACAAAAATGACGAAGTCAGGGCTACATTCTACAATTCACAGAATGTGCTTTCAAGTTTTGGTGAAAATCAAGCTACAATCTATTCTTTGGGAAGATGAATATGCACAAAAAAGTATCATGAACAATTTATAACAATTCCTAAACGTAAAAGCTAGAAAAGAGAAAACTTTTAGAAAGAGCAAAAGTAACATACCACATATCTCGAAGCGTAAGAGGACCTCAAAACGAAAAGTATTGGTTTCACAATATTTTCCATGTCCATCTGTGAGGCCAGAACCCAATGCACTCCAGCAGCTGCAAGTACTACTGCGCTATTTTGACTCCATAATAAAGGTGATGTGCACTGCAGAAGGAGCTTCACGTCATTGTTTTCAATGGAGGTAAAATATGAGTTATTATTTGATCCATTATCATCTTCCTTAGCGTCAATCTGTCTTGATGAATATTGTTCCGGTCCTTCTATATAATGTCGAAGCATAAGTTCCCTCATTATATGTTCGGAGGGTTCAACCTCAACAAGAATAGAACCACGGTCAGGTGCGGGAATAGAAAATAATTCCCTCCTAGAATCGGAATTCTCAGAGGGATGTGAGGAAGCCATTATAGACTCTTCCACCAGTCCATGTCTTGCTATGACATATCGCAAAAGTATATTAATTAAGGCAATCTGACCCCATTCGTCAACATCAGGAACAGTTTCACATAGCCTTCTAAAAATTCTTCCCACAAGTGAAAGATTATTGGGGCAAATAGAATTGAAGGCTGCAGCCGCAGCTCCAACTACTCCGGGAGAATGATCATTCAACAAGATGCTGACAAGCTGAAAAAGAATGCAAAGGAAAATTGCCTCGATTACAAACCATATGAAACACATCCACGAAACAATTACCAGAAAAAGAGCAACCTAACCTCTTCAAGAGATGAAGCATTCTCCTCCTGGTGCAGATCATTTAACTTTGATAGTGCATTGGCAGCACATTTTCTGACGTATGAAGAAGGATCTTTAGCACACTTGCTCAAAGCCACTAAAGCAATAGGGCCTATGGCATGTAACCGGATTCCACTCATAGCACGTAAAGCCCAAGCCCGCACCAATGGATTAGCATCAGACAAGTCCTTCTGAAAACAATTTATTGACAGCAATGCCTCATTTGGACGCCTATGAAAGTTAAATAAAATCTGTAAGCACCAGATCAGCCAATGGCTGCTGACATGACAAGCTTGAGAAGTTCTACATTCATTATCACCAACCTTGCTATCATTTTTGGCATCACTGTAAGTCTAATCCAATAAATGACTGACAGTTTAAGACTAGACTCAAGCAAGGTTATTCAAAAAAGAGAAGAATGTACCATTTTACACGGTCCATCATTTAAATGCCAACCTACAGAGTAATTCGACTTCACAGTATCATATACCTAGGAAAAAAATTAATGGGTAAAGTAGGCCTACCTAGGCTAGAATGCTGCAAAATAATATCATTCACCTAAACTTTTAGTGAAAATATTTTTCAAAATCATTATTTCCATTACATCATTTGTGAATATTTTCAAAGCCCAAAAAAGGAAGAGAAGATTCCGTTTTGTTCTAGTTTTCTCGCAATTAATGCATCAACATGAAGTGCACCTACAGCTATCTCTAATGTGATCATACATGCTGCACTCTGAAGTAAAATATAAGAGTAGAGGGGGAACCCAAGTGAGAAACAAGATGTAAGTGCCGACGGCTTAAAAGAGTTTTAACTGACTTTTTGACGAGAGCAAGTGCTGTGTGAAAGTAAGGACAGTAGATCCCAGATTTAGAGGCCTGTACCTGTTTTCAGACGTTATCATTAACCAAAGAGGTTTGGTTCCTTTCATATTATAGATGAAAATAAAGTGGATCGTCATAGAAGCGTGCAACTACCACTAAGATGAGCAGAACAAGACGCCAGCAAGAGCTTGATTCATTTCCAAAAAACCACTTACGCAAGCAAAGAATGCAAAGTTGAAGAAGAAGAAAACATACTTTTCAGCATAATGGAGTATATACAAGTACACGAGCTTCTTCACTTCCGACGATGGAGTTGCCACATTCTTGACAACCTGTTCATTAAAAAATTAAAAAAATCACTCCATGCCGAATGGTTTTGTGACCGCACACTTTTTACCTTTGTAGCGTGTCCTGTTCACCACGAGGGCAAATTCAGGACTTGGATTCTGATTTCTATAAAAGATCTTGCAATTCCTTAAATAACTGTAAGGACCCAACCCAAGGCAACTTAATATGGAATATTTAGGCATTTGATCGTTGGTGTTCTTGTCGGAATCAGGTCCCATTTCAACAATCTATCTGATAAATAAGTTGGCAGGTGTAGAAGCGTGTATTCCAGTTTAGCCAACACGAACAGATGTGTTGAAGGTTGTCCACGAGTTGAAAATTTATATAAAAAAATAACAGGTCATCGGTGTTTCTAGCCCCAAAACCTTTATCTTCTTCGATATCCGCCGAATTGTGTTCCTAATTTACCGTAGATAGAAGTGTACTTCTCAAGGGAAATCGCGACCTGGGGAAAGAAGTTGGATACATCTTCTCCCTGCGCGATAAGAGCCAGCAACCGTTTGAGGGCCTCCGCCTTCTCAGAGTCGAAGCTGCTGTCGAGGAGAGGGGCAATGCTGACGTCGTCCGGGTCATCATACAAGTGCGCGTCGGTGCCGATCCGGAACACCAAGCTCGACGCCTTGCTCAGGCTCTCCGCCGTGGCCCCGAACTGCGGGAACATCGCTTCTTCCTCGATCAGAGCCGGCGGTGACTGGAGATCTGGGCTTTCCCCCTGCCGATGAGGAGGTAGGATAGCAAGAGGGATGCATGACCCGCCTAAAGCGGGACAAGACGAATGGAATTTTATTCGATTTTCTCGGCACAAATAAAATTAAAGAAACAATTTATATTAATTATGTACATGTAACATAATTATATTTATACCCTCGCTAATTACCCCCCCACCATCTTCAGCATTGGTGTGTCTCTCTCCTTCCTCTCTGCATCTTTCGTCTGCGAGGGTTCCAAGCAGGGATGGAGATCGGATTTTGTTGAGGGGTTGGAGATCCCGAGTAAGGTTTTGGGGACGTAGGCTTCGGCTTTGATGCATTCAGTCAGAAAAAATGTGCTTCCTGCGTCCTGGTGAAGGTGGTGGCCAGGCTGAGGGCGCTGCGACGGACAGATTCGCGAAGAGGCGAGTCATTTACGCTGCTCCCCATCGTCTCGCAGACCTGGACACCTCTTCCGGAAAGATGTACTCCTTTTTCGTGCGAGGTTTCTTCACTCTTTCTATCTTGTAATTTTCATGCATGTTCATGTTGTTTTGAGGATTCCAAGGGGTTTCAGTTCCTACGGTTTTGATTTATGAAGCCTCCTCACTTGCGTCGACTTCCTTCCGGATACTGCTTCTGCGATCCGCTTCAGAGATGAAATGGTGAATGTGATCTTTTTCGCTCCAGATTTTTTCGAAACTTTCCCGATTGAACTTAGTTGACTCTCGATCTTTCAGAGTTTATATTCTTCATGACTCTCTTTTCGCACTCCTTTTCTCTGAAACTGATAGCAGTCTATTCCCTGTTTGAAATATCGTGCTGGTGATTCTACGAGCATGACAAGTTTGAACAGTTCTCTCATGTCGATTTGACTGTAGAAACCCTAATTTAGATAATCACTCTAAATTTAATGGTGGTGACGGATGCGTTTGGTGATGACTTGTTAAAGAAATATGGCGTCATCAAACAATGATAATTCACAGATTCACAGATTCACAGATTAAAATAATCCGAAATCCTGTGATTTTTTAGATGAGTGATTATGATTAATTTATATTTTTCCTGGTCGTGATTTAAGGGGAGCGGTTGCATCACGACCTCATGACTCCTGGATTAAATGTAGAATTGAAAAAGATCGATTTTCCATGATGATGTAATAGTCAACGTTCTTTTAGAAACTGATTATGAATATCTGAGGGTGATGCCCAGAATTGGGAGGGGGCCATGGAGACGTCAACCCTCCGGTCCGATCTCCCGGGCCTCCAGACACACGAAGGCCCAGTAACTTGCAAGCCGGGACCCGCCGCCGGCGCCGCCCGCGCCGAGAGGAGTGGCACCTGGGGAGGCCTAGTCTGGGGCGACTGAGTCTCTGATCCGTCGACCCCCTGCGGCAAGGGACAAAGTAGAGGCCAAGCAAGGAGAACCGCATGCTGTTTTTTCAATTCTCTCCTCCGATGAAGACCTTCGAAGGAGATCATTCGCCATATCCGCCCAACTTCTGCTGGTACGTCCCCTTCCACAGGCTGCCCCCACCTTTCCCTCTCTCTTTGACCCACTCCAAGTACCCAGTTCTGACCAAATATGCCTCTCGGAAAACCATCTGCATCAGCATCAGCATCCCTCCTCCTCCCTCTGCGGGTCTATTGCAGGTTTTCCTCTTTTCTTAGCAAGGAGTCGATCAGGCGCTCCTCCTCCTCTGCGGCGATTCCAGAGCCCCTCCCTCCGCCATGAAGTGTTTCCATCTGAGCGGCTGTGAGAGGGGAGGGTACGACGGCGACGGGGTCCTGACTGTCCCCCGGATCGGCCGATTCTCCCTGTCCAGATCCCAGAGCGTCGCCTCCAGCACCAGCGAGGCAAAGCTCTCTGCGCCCAACAGCGGCGGCAGCGGCGCCGGACCCTTCTCTGGCCGAGAGCTGGGGAGGAGGCTGGAGGAGCTCCGGGTTTTCGGGATCGACGAGCTGAGGGCGGCGACCAAGGGGTTCAGCCGCGCGCTCGTGATAGGGGAGGGTGGCTTCGGCTGCGTCTACCGAGGAGTCATCCGCGTTCCGGGCGACAAGGACGGGAAGACGATGGATGTGGCGGTGAAGCAGCTTAGCAAGGGCGGGACGCAGGCAAGATCTCTCTCCAAAGACTCGAACTTGTTCTGATATTCTGTCTTCCGCTCCATTTAACCTCTTACTGTATGTTTTCCTCCGATCTTCTAAACGATCGCATGTGATCAAACCCACCCAAGAATCGCCCTTCTAAGATCACCAAGCACTCGACAAAGCAACGTGTTCCCTTTCTAGGCCAAGATCACCACCCCAAGAATCGCCCTTCTAAGATCACTAAGCGCTCGACAAACCAACTTGTTTCCCTTTATAGGCCAAGATCATTCCAAACTCCGCCTATTCGAGCTGCTAGAAAGTTATCTACGCATTGACTTAGCTCTCATTATTTTCGAAGTTATTCAGAACCCGATGCATCTGGGTTGTGTTCCTTTACGCTATGAATTTCTCTGAACCCACCACCCCCTTTCCCGGTTCTTAATGGTATACGCAGGGGCACAAGGAGTGGATCACGGAAGTCAACTTCTTGGGTGTCCTCAGCCATCCCCATCTCGTTAAACTAATCGGCTACTGTGCCGAAGACGATGAGAGGGGCATTCAGCGGCTTCTCGTCTACGAACTAATGCGCAATAAAAGCTTGGACGATCACTTATTGTCTCGAGTCTCCACAATTCTGCCATGGCCGCTGAGGTTAAAAGTCGCCCTTGGCGCTGCCCGTGGCCTAGCATATCTTCACGAAGGGATGGAGTCTCAGGTACTAGAGAAGATCAGGGCCTGCTCTTCCTTGTTCTTGGAAGGTCTAACGCTATTGGGTCTTCTGATTGGCTGACCTTCTGTGGCTGTTCTGTAGCTTGAATCGCTGACTTTTTCCTCTGATGTGTTCTCCGATTGTGTCCTGTTCTTGCAGCTGATATTCCGGGATTTCAAGACATCGAATATTCTTCTGGACAAGGATTTCAACGCGAAGCTTTCGGACTTTGGGCTGGTTAGGGAGGGCCCCATTGAAGACGATGGGCATGTTTCGACGGCGGTAAGAGCTCGGACATTTGCTGCCAAAAATAGGATTCTGGCGTTATTTCCTTGATGAAAATCTTGGCTTGGTGGAGAAATAGATTCACTGGGGGAGGCATTCTCTGTCCTATTTCCTCGATGATGATGTCGCCTGTTCTCATTTGCTCCTGCTTTAGTTGCCGTTGACTTTCTGCATTCCCCTGTTTTCCTGTCCAGGTTGTGGGCACCATCGGCTATGCGGCCCCAGAGTACCTCGAGACCGGCAGGCTCACGTCCAAGAGCGACGTATGGAGCTTCGGCGTCGTCCTCTACGAGCTCATAACTGGAAGAAGATCTCTGGACAGGAATCTCCCCAAAAGCGAGCAGAAGCTCCTGCGGTGGGTCAGACCCTACGCCGCTGACCCCAAGAAGTTCCATCTCATCGTCGATCCCCGGCTCGCCGGAGAATACTGCACGAAATCTGCGCAGGCGCTGGCGGCGCTGGCCGACAGATGCTTGCAGAGACAGCCCAGGTCCCGCCCCAAGATGAGTGAAGTCGTGGAGATCCTGACGGGGATCATCGAGGCCTCGGACGTAGACTTTTCTGTAGCCCCCGGCAGGGGCGGCGCCGCCGCCGCCTCCGCCGCCGCTGAACCGTCGAGTCAACGGCAAGCGTACTCCGTCGGAGAGTCGACGCCCCACAGGGCGAGGTCGTCGACGCCATTTTTGTACCGAAGCTGGTGGACCATGGGATTATTTGATGCGTGCCGCCCGGCGCACTGAGTCAACTCCGGCGGCCGAGCTTAATTAGTCTTTTTTTAAGTGTGCGCCGATTTCAAAGGGAAGGGAACTTACATCTCCCCCGTAGAACATAGGGGGTTGCACACGTTCACGAAGTAAAGGTCAACGATACAGAGGTCAACGAGAGGCTTGCAAATGGATGAATGGATAGAAATACAGGCCATTATAGAAGTAACAATCAAGAGGCATGGAAAAGAACCTTTAGAAACCAGGGGAAAGAGAGAGAGACAGAGCCCGGCCCGCCTGAGGCCCGTTGTTAGCGGTGACGTCACCCCAGCTTAACGCGGGCCGCGTATTACGGTACGATGGGTGGATACATGAACGGAAGGATCGATCACACGGTGGTCGATCGTGGAGGGGGGGCGATCTCGATTCGATTGCAGGAGGCTCCTCTTCTCGGCTGCTCCGTCTCGGAGACCCAGCTAGGTTTTTGCTCCCCTGGTTGGTCCTCTTCTTGGCGTCGCGGGGTCTCCATTTCTTTCATTTCGGTCCCGTTCTCACTCCCCCCACCCCCTACCCCCCTACCCCCTCTGTCAGTTTGAAGTGCCGGTCTCTACGCGAAGCCCTGAGAACTCTGCTCCCTCTCTCACTGCCGGGGTCCGGCGCTAGGGTTCCCGATTTCGCCGTCTCTTAGCAGGTGAACGCTCGCACCTTGTGTTGTGTACGGCGTGGAGGCTGTAGTCGGCTCGACAGGCGGGGGATAGATGTGCGCTTCCGTGTAGGGTTATGCTGTGCCCTGTGGGCGATGTCGTTGTTTTTTGACGGGCGGTGTGCAGTATTTTCTTCGCTCTTTTGGCGTGTCGAATGAGTGTGTGCTTTATTTCCTTTATTCTTACGCCGACTGTTTCACTTGGCTTTGATGGTTGGAATGTTTTGCTAGCACATCAAGAACGACTGTTAGGGGCGCAAAAGCGTTTTTTTCATCGTACTGTTTCTTGCATCGTTGGCTGTCTGAATATTGTGGGCTTGTCCTCTCAGATTACCTCTTGAACCCCGGGGAGAAAATGTTCCCCCCCTGTCCAAGTGAAATTATCATCCACTTCTTTTGATCTGGATATGAGTCCCTTAACCTAAATGAAACTCAGTGGGATGGGCTTCCTCTGTCACTTATTTACAAATATTATGTACAATATGGTCAAGGTTTAAGAGATGTAAACCTGGTAGTTGCTTGAGTTTGGCTTGGAGAAATGACGGCGGCGACTAGGGTTTGGTTCATGTGAGTGTAGGGGATGTAAGAGGATTCCTGGTTTTCTTTTGAATGAAAAGGAAGGGGGAAACACTTATGAGCTTCGGGGAAGGTTATGTAGGTATCTTTTTCTTAATGTACTATTCATTGTTTCTATCAGTTTTCTCAAAGTCTCCTGAGACGAACACGAACGAATTGATTTTGTATTTGTGAGACATTTACTACAGTAGTTATTGGTCGTGCGTATTCATTCCTCTAGTCTATGCTACGCTTCTTCCCGCCTTCTCTTTTGCATGTCTCTCGCTGAAAGTTAAAGATCTCCTTCAACTTCAGCCTTATTTAATTTCTTGGAGAAACAAATGATATCGTCTTATCTTTCGGCTTTAGCTACTTTTTATAGGAAGAGAACTTAAAATCATTTTTCTTATTGCTCTAGAGGCTTTAGCAATAAATTTGGAATATTTTCAGTGTTAATTTACAAGCACAATACACTGTGATGGGTCTAAGTCAGTTGATCGAAAGTAGAGACTTGTCTGTTTGTTCTATTCGGTGGCAACCTTTTTTTCATTTTGAATCTATCAATCCGAAAAAAATGAATTCTTAAACGATATTTTTTTTTCTTGAAGGCTATATCATGAAGAGATACAATCCTTCGTACTACAGTCCCCCAAGGAGGGGATATAGTAGTAGAGGAAGAAGCCCTCCAAGAAGAGGTTATGGTAGGTACAGTGGACAGAGAGAACAGAGTCATAGGAGTCTTTTGATCCGTAATGTTCCTCTGAATTGCAGGTAATTTATATTTTCCGGTTGTAAATTTTTGAACTCTTCCCAATTTAGTACTCATGGACAATGTACCTTCTATATATTTTCCACTGTTTGCCTACGATGATCAAAAAATATGTTGATGGGGGCGAGGTCATGGCCTTTTAATGAAGCTTTTCAACTTTTTTTTTTTTTTTTTTGGGGGTCTGCAGACCAGATGACCTCCGAGTACCATTTGAAAGATTCGGACCAGTAAGAGATGTCTACTTGCCAAAGAACTACTACACAGGGTTAGCTTTCCTCGTTTCAATTTGTCTGCTCTAGTATGTTCTGATGGTAGTTCGTCGATCTTTTCGTTTTGACAACTGTATAATTTTTACTTTAGTTGTGCTTCTCAATCCTTTAATTCTATAAAATTGTATGAAAGTTTAGAATGGCTAGAATGGCTTACGTGTCTTTATATGGTCGATGACAACTGTACGATTTGAGCTTTGCCCTAATTTTATGCTACATATTTTATCTTCGTGTTCTCCAATGCCTTACGGTTGACTTTTATAGGTCTATACTTCATGATTGAAAGCCTTATTTATGCTTCCGCGCTGTTCCAATTCCATTCTTTATGATTTTATTTTCATTTGAGGTCGTTTTCTAAGCTTGTTTAATAACGCTGAAGGATCTTTTGTTTTTATACCTTATCCATTAATTTTATTTTATATTAAGTGTTTTTGAAATGGTTCTCAGGGGTGTTTTGGTTTCAAGTAAAAACAAGCCCTGGATTTGATCAAGGCTACTATTTAGTACTGCTTAACATGTTCATTTCATCGAGGGTGTAGAGTACTCTTCAAACGAAGAAGTTCCCGTGGGAAGAGAATCATTATAGTCAACTTCAATGTAAGATTGTTGAAGAGAAGATAGTGTGTCGACCACTCTAGGTGGATTCCATGATAAGTTTGGAGCAATATCAATGTCAAGTGCTTCATATAATTACAAGGAAGTGAAGGATTCCAAGTCTCATGGATTTTATGGAGTTGCTGTAAAGCTGGTGCCTAATCCATTTCAGAAAAATTAGGAAGATGTATCAAGTGAGGCAATGTGGTGAGGCAGTGTGGCAGTAACTTAATTTGCTGCTGCGGTTTGTGAACCTCTCTCAAGTTGCTCATCCTCACATGGTTACAATCATTTCCCCTTGATATATGATTTTCTCCATTTATTCACTCTTGTGCAGGGAGCCTCGAGGATTTGCATTCGTGGAGTTTATTAACCCTTCTGACGCTTCTGAGGCTCAGTATCAGATGAATGGACGAATCTTTGGCGGGAGAGAAATAACTGTAGTTGCTGCCTCAGAAACCAGAAAGAGGCCTGAGGAAATGAGCAGCAGGACAAGATCGAGGTACATATGAAATTAGTCCTCAACTCTGGTGCTGCTGATTGGTCCTGTGACTTTCCTTATCTTCATCCAATGCATGCATGGTCTGCTCACATGTGACTTCCTTCACAGAGGACCTTCCGGTGGGCGACGATCCTCTCACTATGGTAGGCATTTTCTGATCTTTTTTTATTGCTTAAGGATTGAGGATACTAAGCTCAAATCGATTGTTAAAATATTTGTCTAAAATAGCGCAGTAGTGATTCATTTTCCTTGAAACCTTTATTATCATGAGATCTTCATTCTTTATTTATCTCACTGACTGACAGAAGGTTGGAATTTTAGCTTTTTCCCGTACAATAATGATGTGAGATTATTGGTTCAAACACTCGAGGCTACTCCCGTAAACCTATTAGGTCATTGAATATGATATTGAATGGTGCAACAAATTAATATAAGCTTGTGAGCAGCTGGTTTGGGCAATTTCTCTATTTGGTTTGCTTCATCTCATGGTGGAGATTATTGCTATTTTTAATGGTTAATTTATCTGTCCGTCATTAATGAACTTCAGATCGTGACAACTCCCGTTCAGTATCCCGTTCAAGATCCCCTCGCCACCCTTCAGATTCTAGAGGTCGTCAGGATTCAAGGTACGGTGCAATCCATGTCATGGGCAGAAGTAATCTCTGTAAAAGATCGGATTACTAGATAGAATGGTCAACGTTGCAGATCATATTCTCCTGGACCAAGAAGACCCAGGTCCCACTCTGTTTCTCCCAAAAGGCATTCAAAGAGTGTTAGATCCCCAAGGGAATCCCATGGAGCTGATGGTGGTCGCCGGTCATACTCAAATGGGTATGACGATGGCAACCGTGATCCGGCTGAAAATGGAAACGAGTAAGTGAGGATACGCTTGTTATCTCTATTTTATTTGCCTTTCATCCTTTAATCAAGAAGAAAATGTTCCTCTTATAAATTGTTGAATCATTCGAGCATCTCTCTCTCGAGCTTGTTCTATGCAGAAGAGCGAAGTACGATGCAGAGGGGTCTCACCCCCGTCGTAGATCTAGATCTCCGAGACGTGTATCCCGCTTGGCCTCCCGGTCACGGTCCCGATCCGTGGACTCGGCGCGTGTCAGCCGATGAATGGAAGTCAACTAGGCTAGTGGGACCCACTTTTTTTGTTTCTCTTTTCTGAATAATTAGCACATTTCTGTTGACTTATGTTGATAATTCCCGTGCAGAGGCATGCGTTGACTTATGTCGACTTTTGTGATATAGATGCATGGAGCTGGCTTCAGCTGGAAGGGGTTCCTACGGACAGTATGAGCGATATGACCCATTTGTGGTAACCCTAAAGGACGAGCAGGGTTTCTTTTGCTTCCTGGTTTTTTCTTTTTTTGGGTCATCATTTCAATGGATTGTAAGGTGATTCTATGATCCCTAGATGCGGATTAGTATCTCTGAATCGGGTTTGCAGTGGAGCAGAGCTTCCGCTTTATCCTTAGCTTACAAATTTTCTTCTCGGATTATATACTTTCCTATATCCTATAATCATATATAATATGAATTGGCGTCTTTCTTGGATGACGTTTTCAACAACCTGCTTGAGTAGCACCTCCGATAACGAGAATATCGTTCATCTGTAATCATAGAGTGGCCGAAAATCTATATGACCTACTAACTTACATTGATGTTGACAATAACGATTTCTATATCACATTCAAGTAGATTATGTTTAGTACTGCATAGTAGCATTGATCAAATCCAGGGCTTGTGTTTTATTTGAAACCAAAGCACTCATCTGTGGAAGTGTTCTTAAAACTCTTGCTTGTAAATAAATTAATCTATGATGTAAGAGTTCAGATATGATTAAATAATTAAATTATTTTTTTATTTTTATTATTATATTTTTTATTTTAGAAATATTTATTCATGAACGTTAGATTTAGGGGAGACAAAAGATAAAAAAAATTTAAAAGTGATAAATGAAAGATGAAGTGATAAATGCGATTGAGGTTGATCACCTCAATTGAGATTGTTACGAAATCTTTATATCTATAGTGTGAGGATAACTTTGTGTTAATAGTGCTGCGTAGGCCAAGTTATGTGTTGGCCTAAATAAGTACAATAGGTTGTGTTATAATAATAAAATTATTTTAATGTAATTGAATAAATAATTATTGTGAATGATGAAGATTATGCAACATAATATCAAAAGGGGGGTTGAATTCATAGTTTTTTTGTTTCAATTAAACTTTAAATTGTAAATAATAATTATCAGCACATTAACATAATAATGTTTTTCCATGGACATAGACATTATTTCCACCAAATCCATAGTGTGATAATATATTGAATTCCAGACTTCACAACCTAACAGATTTCACTAGTCCATACTACTTGATATTTTCAAATTTACTTCTAGACTATAAGACTCTAAGTGACCAAAATCAGATAATCTCTCCACTTCTCTCTTATAGATTTCATTACTCTAGGGGGCCAAACCAAGGTAACTTCTTACTTCTCTCTTCTTGGATTTCAGGCCCTTAGTAAATCATCTCTCACAATTCAATGTAAATAAGATATAAATACATTATCTAATAATTAATATTTATTTTTATACTTGATCACGATGCGGCGATGTAGAGAATGGAATTCTATTCTTACTCACGTTCTTCCTCTTCTCGTTCTTATTCTTCATGTTCTTGTTCTTCTTCTCTTTGTCGAGAGTCTCAGTTGCAGCGGTGTGAATGGTCCCTTTCTTCTTCTCGTTCTCCTCTTATTCCTTCCTCGATATCAAGGGCGAGCGACGTGGATGATCTCTTATTTTTCCGACTTCCTGTTCTTTTCACATCAGTCAGACGTTCTCCTCTTCTTCCTTAGAGAGCTTTGTCCGAGAGTTCTTCTCTTCCCGTCATTCTCTTCCTTTCCGTCGTTATTGTCTTCCCGCCATTCTCCTATTGTTTCCTTCCCAAATCACAGAGCTTTTTCGTCGTCGTTCTCCGACTATTTCCGGCGAAGATCAGCAACCTTCTCTTCGTTCAAATTTCTCGTTTTCCGCTGAAAAGCAACAGGCTTCTCGTTGTCGAAATCCTCGTTCTTCCAACGCAGTAGATGAGTTGATCTTCTGAGGAAATCTTCTCAGCCTTGGGCTTCTGTTCGTCGATTTCGAAGAGAGTCGCTTAAATGGGGACATTGGATCGACGGCCCATCAGGGTGCTTCTAAGTGAAGTCGTCTTGGAGATACAATCTCGTATCGGTCTGTTCTGAGAGACAGAGATTACTACAATGGCGACGTGAACTCTCTCTATCTCCCCTTATCTCTCTGTGACTGTTGGATGTGCTTGACCTCAGGGTTTCGTTACTAGAATTCCAGCTCCTCTGAATATGTGGTCTTACTCAAGAGTCAACACTATCACTTTTCTCTCGGTCAAAAAAGGGGTTCTATCATCTTCCTCCGATTTTCAGATCTCTAGTGATGGGGGAGAGAGTCACCTGATGGGTCATCGAAAATCGTACGTTGGTTCCTCCTTTTCCATCGCGATTTTGCTCTCGTTTATTCCTCGTTCGTTTTCCGTCGCGGTCTTCCGTCTGTTCTTCCTCGATAGTCCGTTGTTTTCCGTAGCCATTTCTCTTCCGGTTATTCCTCACCTTTTTCTGTGCTTTCGTCGCGATTTTTCTCCCGATTATTCCTTGTTTTTCTGGAGTTTTCCGCTGCGAAAGTTCTTCCGTTTCTTCCTCTTCGAGATTTCCCCTCCGTTTCCTCCTCGTTCTTCCGAGGTTTTCTCCGTTCGTCCGTCACAGGACGATGGATGAGGCAGCTGTTTGGGTGTGTGGCGAGATCAAAAATGCCGGTCAGATCAAGAAAACAGGCAAGGACATGGCGGTTTCTTCGCTAGAGCCTCATCTTCCGAGAAGCCGAGGCAGTTTGAGGTGGTGGTCGGAGAGAGGGAGAGGTCGTCCATCGTCTTGTTCGTCCGGGAAGCTCGCAGAGGTGCATGGACGAGCGACCCGCTCGGAGAACGAGCGAAGGAGACGATACCTTCCTGCAGTCATGGCGAGCCCCTTGAAACAGGATAGACCACCCCGTAACCTCGTTGCCCATATTTGGAAAAAGGGGAAGGGAGTATAAAGACGACGTCTTGGGGGGGTGCCGAAAGCCCGTCCATCGGTCAATCGTCTCCTTCCCCGTTCCCCCACTCCTCTCATACGTAGACCTTCCATGGCCCCTCGCTAGATCGTCGTATCCCCACCATAGCATCGTCAGAAATCAGGTCTCTTCTCGCATCATCATCATCTTCTTCTTCTTCCTCTTCGTTTGTTTCCCGAAGCTTTGAATCCCGAGCCCTTGCCGGTGGTGCAGGTACCGGCAGAGCTGAAGCCTACGGCGGCGGAGGAAACTCGAGAGGGAGGAAGGATGGCGCGGGTGGCGCTGCTTGTGGTGGTATCATTTCTCTGCCTGGCGGCGGCGGCGGTGCGGGCGGAAGATCCCTATCTGTACTTCACGTGGAGGGTCACCTCAGGGACGATCGCCCCGCTTGGCGTCTCCCAGAAGGGCATCCTCATCAATGGGCAATTCCCCGGCCCCAACATCAACTCCACCACCAACAACAACATCGTCATCAACGTCTTCAACGACCTCGACGAGCCCTTCCTCCTCTCCTGGTTGGTCCTCCTCCCGGAAACACAGCGCCGGAGAATTGCAGCCCTGGTTGATTGCTTACTCGGTTGATTTTTCCATGGCGGCGAGCAGGAACGGGATTCAGCAGAGGAAGAACCCGTGGCAGGATGGGATGCCGGGGACCAACTGCCCCATCCCCCCGGGGAAGAACTACACCTACCATTTCCAGGTGAAGGACCAGATCGGGAGCTTCTTCTACTTCCCGTCGCTGGGGCTGCACAAGGCGGCGGGGGGCTTCGGCGGGCTCCGGGTGAACAGCCGCCTGCTCATCCCCGTCCCCTTCGATCCGCCGGCGGACGACTTCACGGTCCTCATCGGCGACTGGTACGTCAAGGGCCACCACGCCCTGAAGGAGATCCTCGACAGCGGCCGTACCCTCGGCCGCCCCAATGGCGTCCTCATGAACGGGAGGTCCGGGAAGAGCGAGGACGGGAAGAATGACGAGCCCCTCTTCACCATGAAATCCGGCAAGATCTACCGCTACCGCATCTGCAACGTCGGCATGAAGACCTCCCTCAACTTCCGCATCCAGGGCCACTCCATGAAGCTGGTGGAGATGGACGGCTCCCACACCATGCAGAACAGCTACGAGTCGCTGGACGTCCACGTCGGGCAGTGCTACTCCGTCCTCGTCACGGCCGACCAGAAGCCCCGAGATTACTACATGGTGGCCTCCACCAGGTTCACCAAGTACCACCTCGCCGCCACCGGCGTGATCCGCTACGCCGGCGCCAACAAGCCGCCGTCCCCAGACCTGCCGCCAGCTCCCGTCGGCTGGGCGTGGTCGCTGAACCAGTGGCGGTCCTTCCGGTGGAATCTCACGGCCAGCGCGGCGAGGCCCAACCCGCAGGGCTCGTACCACTACGGGAGCATCAACATCACTCGCACCGTCAAGCTCGCCAACTCCGTCGGCACCGTCGGCGGGAAGACCCGCTACGCCATTAACGGGGCGTCCTTCGAGAGCGGCCCCACGCCGCTCAAGCTAGCCGAGTACTTCGGCATCCAGAAGAAGGCCTTCCAGTACGACGTCATCGCCGACGATCCCCCCAAGGACCTCGAGAAGTCCATCAAAGTGGCTCCCATCGTCCTCACCGCCACCTTCCGTACCTTCATCGAGATCATCCTGGAGAACCCCACGCGGAGCCTCCAGTCCTACCACCTGGATGGATACTCCTTCTTCCCCGTCGGGTAAGGAGAAGAATCTCCCTGATCAGGAAGAAGAAGCTCAGAGCATCTAATTCTCCTACAGCTCACCTACTTCGTCTTCTTCTGCTTCTTTCTGTTTTCTGCAGGATGGGAAGCCGGCGATGGTCGCCGGAGAAGAGGAAGACGTACAATCTGCTGGACGCCGTCAGCCGGCACACGATCCAGGTCTACCCGAGGTCATGGACGGCGATAATGCTCACCTTTGATAACGCCGGCATGTGGAATCTGAGGTCGGAGATATGGGAGAGGCACTATCTTGGCCAGCAGCTCTACACCAGCGTCATCTCCCCCGCCCACTCCCTCAGGGACGAGTACAACCCCCCGGACAACCTCCTGCTCTGCGGTGCCGTCGAAGGCCTCCCTCTCCCGCCGCCGTACACCATTTAGTCAACCACATGTCAACGCCCTCCCCCCCCCTCTATCTCTCCTCCCCCCACCGCCGTCAACACCGCGCGGCTGCCGGCAATAACAAAGGGCTTCCACCCACCTCCAAGGTCCGACCCTCTGGTACGGCCGAGGAAGAGACGAGGATTGGCGGCTCTTCTTCATGGCCGCTTAGCCCGTTCCCAGCTCCTCACTGGGTTTTCTCCCCCCTTCACCTTCGGTTTGGTTTTGATACGTTTCTTATGATCTGAAGAAAAATAAGTCTCCGACATCTGAGAACGCACGTTGACCGCGTTTGGGCCTCATTTTGTACCCTCATACTTTGCTGAGAACTAGCACAATTCGTCCAATTTGAATATTAACTTAAATAAAATAACGCGAACAATACCGTAGTAAATACCCATTTTTTAAAATATCGTATTTATATTATTTTTTATAATTCCCTAATGGGCTGGGCTTCTTCTACTCGTTGACAATTGCCATTTATTCAATCATAGGATATAGCCTGATCCGAGCGTTGACCATTCAATGCACATCTCACTTATATTATGTTGAGTGATTGCAGGTAGAAGGGGGGATGCACTGAAGCAAGATCAGGTTGTAATCAATGAACAAAGTTTTCATATTTTTACAGATGGGTTTATGTTTTTTTTTAATTGGCGTTGACTTGGAATGACCAAGAATTCCACTAATATAAAATATTCCATGGGAGAGAGACCTCTGAGCCCAAACGACGCTATCCGACTTCCTCGCGCCAAGATCTGGGGTGATCCTCTCCATCTGGAAGAGCTCTTCACAGCCAAGAAGAAGGAAGCAGGGGGTCTGGCTAGAAACCCCTCCGAACCCATCATCTATAAACCTCACAATACGCGTACAAAACCCACAAGAGGGGAGAGAGAGAGAGAGAGAGAGAGAGAGAGAGAGAGTCTGATTGGATGTACAAACACATCGGGGCGATAGGCAGGAGAAACAAAGATGAGACAGGTGTGTGTGGACTGTACAGGACCAGGAGCGTCGCATCACAAGAGATAGAGAGACATTTACCCAGTGAATGACCGTTGCTGGTGCTCCCACAACGCCGCCGCCGCCTTTCGTCGTCCGATTCCAAGAACCGGCGGCGCTCAAGAAAACAAGAACTTACAGCTCATGCTGGGCTACGCATAGAGAGGGGAGCCGGAGGGCCTGGGATAGGCAACCCTCCCGTTGGCGGCGGCCCCCTGGAAGCTCGGCCGCCGGAATGCCCTCACGCCGCCGCCGCCGTGGTTGTGACCGTGGTTGTGGCTTCTCGCTCCTTCCTGTCCCCGGCTGCTCCTTGCGGTGTCCTTTGCGGCCTGGATGTCTTCCAGCGCCGCCACCACCTCGTCCATGGCCGGCCGGAATTTGGGCTCCGACCATAAGCACTGTATGGCCAGGGCAGCGGCCTTCTGAGCTCCGGCAAGGGAGTATTGCCCCTCAAGACGGGGGTCCAGGACCCTGAAGATCTTCCGCTTGTTCATCAGGAAGGGCTTCGCCCACTCCACCAGATTGTGCTCCCCAGACGGGCGGTTCTTGTCGACAGCTCGCCGGCCGGAGAGCAACTCCAGCAGGACGACCCCGAAGCTGTAGACGTCACTCTTCGTCGTCAAGTGACCTTCGCCATCGCCAGGAAGAAGGGTCAGACCCATCAAAATGATAAGAATTTGAGCGAGCTAGTTCATGACAGAATGGGTAATGAGATCGCATAGTTTGAATATGAGGAAGAAAGGAATCACCATATAAATCATAGAAAAATGCGGGGACCTGGAGGAGGTGTACCTGTTGCGAGATACTCGGGGGCGGCATATCCGTAGGTTCCCATGACTCGGGTGGAGACATGGCTCTTGTCGCCGGTCGGCCCGTCCTTGGCCAGGCCAAAGTCAGAGAGCTTGGCGTTGTAGTTCTTCACGTCGAGAAAAGAGAGGATGTCAGAGACGAACGCCCCCTTTTTCCCCCAAAAAGAAGAAGAAAACCAGAGCAAAGACAGCCAATGATCGCCGCCAATTTACCGAATCGAGGAGGACGTTGGAAGCCTTGAAGTCGCGGTAGATGACCTTCGTCTCGGCGCTGTGGAGGAATGCCAACCCCCTCGCCGCTCCCAGCGCGACTTTCACCCTGATGCTCCAAGACAGCGGCTGGAAGTACACTCCTCCTGCAAAATCGAAAACTTTGGAGCTCAGAGCCGCGCCCAGAATCAAGAATCTGAAATCCTCCATCTCTATGTTTGTGATCCACAAGGGGTCGTTGAATTGGGATCCATCGCAACAGGGAGGGAGAGGAGGAAGGGCCGTACTTCTGAAGAGGTGGTTCTCCAGGCTCCCACGGGACATGAACTCGTAGACGAGAAGCCGATGCTCGTCCTCCAGGCAGTACCCGAGCAGCTTGACGAGGTTGGGGTGGTACAGCTGACCCAGGTAGTTGACTTCAGCCTGCAGTTTTCGAGAGGTTTACCATTCCAGAAACCAGACAGGTTGGACTCTGAATAGCGCAGAGGACGGAGGATGCCAATGCCCAAGTTATTCAAACGAGAGCAAAGGTAATCCAACCATAACGAGAGAGAGAGAGAGAGAGAGAGAGAGAGAGAGAGAGAGATGGGGAGACTCACCAGCCATTCTTTATGACCTTGGAGGCCGTCATGATTGAGCCTCTTGACGGCAATGACTATTCCTGTTCCTGGCTTGACGGCGGCGAAGGTGTGCTCGTCGATCCATCCCTTGAAGACAGAGCCGAACCCGCCTTCTCCCAGGACGCTATCGGGGCGGAAGTTCCTCGTCGCACTTCTGAGCTCGTTGAAGGTGAAGCTCTTTACATTGGTCGACTGGAGGATCTCGCCCTCGCTTCTGGGTGTTGGGGGAACTGACGCCGCAGAGACCCGGCTGCTGGAGCCGCTGTACCCGTTTCTATCTCTGCTGACGTTCTTGGAATTCCCGCCTGCGCAATCCGAGCAAGAGGACGCCCCATCCTCAGATCGAGAGGTCGAAGCCAAAAAGGTAAAGCGATGAAGAGGGCTCGATATCCCCAGCAATGGAGAATCTGGAGGCCAAGCAGAGAACTTCGAGAGGGGAAAAACAAGATGGGATCACGGAAAGGCCGCGACGATCGATTGAAGGGCGTCTCCTGAGATCTATCCGCAAAACCAGCGAGTTCGAATCACGCGAAGACCAGCTAGTCATTCAGAAAAGAGGAGAGACCAGAGCTCCCGAACACAAACAGGGCGGGCGAGGATGCACGGAGAGAGAGAGAGAGAGAGCACAGGGAAAACACAGGAAAATCTCATGGCATCAGACGTCACGGTGTTCCGTGGATCTCCAAAACAGTAGACGCGAGAAAGAACATAAAAGGAACAGGCGGCACCGAAACTCGAGTTACGAAGGGGGAAGGCAGCTTTTAGAACGTCTCCTCTGGTTCTCTGGCCTCACCTGAAGGAGTACTGTGGAAGGGGCTCTCTGCCTTGATCCTCACACCGAAGCAGTTCCCCATGGAACCGATCCAAAGCAGAGCTCACGGCTCTCTATCTCTCTCTCTCTCTCTCTCTTTCTCCCTCGACGTGAACCTGCCACCTCGTGCAGCGAACGGGAGCGAGGAACACGCACAGGGAGGATATTTGATCCGCCGGGAAAACCAGAGAACCCGGCGGCGCGGCAAGGCGTCGCTCTCTACCGGAAGGGGATGGTGATAGTCGTCGTCGCCGCGAGGAAACCACCTTCCATCCACACTCAGCGGATCATTTAATGGAAGAGCCCCGACACGACACCGATCGGCCCCCGAATTCTCCTGGACCTCGCGGCAGTGCGGATTCGGAGCCGCAGCAGAACTATACAAGGGGAGAGAAGCAGCCGAGCTGGGAACCAACCGAGCCGCGGAGAGACCCAGTCTCGCCTATTATTCTCCCCTTCTGTGCCGGCCCCTCTTTTGGACCTTCGCGAAGGTCTCCCCTCTGCTCCTTCCTTCTCCTTGCTCGTCTGGGAAATAACCTATGCAGAGATTCTGTTAGAGAGAGAGAGAGAGAGAGAGAGAGAGAGAGAGAGACGAAGTTGGAAAGGACATTAATGGCGGCCAGACGGTCCCACCGGCACACAGCTTCAGAGCTTATCCGACTATCCAACCTGTTTTCTGCGAGCTCACAGCCGTCCGATGGAATGAGTGGTGGACCCTTCTGAGGACCAGCGACACTAATGAAGAAAAAATATTAAAAAGGGGTAATGGGGTGCCTTAGCGCTCGCCATGCGGATGATCCCGATCGCGACACGTCGAAGGGCGCATCCAACAACCGTACGGCACCATCGGGTCCACACAATCCGCGGCTCTGATAGGATCATCTTCGTCGATAAGCATCGCAATTACTAAGTACAATGATTATATTTTTCTACCAAAATAAAAAAGGGGAATATGATATTCGAGTAATATAATCCCAATTTTCGTAATATCTGAGGGCTAGTGAGTGGAGCCCCTGCTGAGCTGGCGCGCCCCCGAGCCGAGTCCTGCGCTGAAAATACAATATATTTTAAAGAATATTTAATTAATCGAAGCGCTAGTGCGCATCTCGTCTGCTGTTTGACCGACCCTGTCACGTGCGCCACCGTAGATGTAAGAACTATTTATTTATTTATTTTATTTCGGCCCATTAAATTCCTTGACGTCCAGAAGTTCTCAAAAGATGCACCGTGTGAACTGTGCGGTCGTCGGGATGGCGATATATATGGATGGAGAGAGAGAGAGAGAGAGTATTGTCTACTTCCGCCGACGTCTTTAGCGCTTCTTTTTCCGCGAAGACTCTTTCAGTTTACACTGAAATGGGTGAGAGATGGAGATGAGAGAGAGAGAGAGAGTTCACGTCGCGCATTGGAGTGATCTCTCTCTACCCACGGTGCACGGCAGGGGCCCCTGCACCCCCTACCGTTGTCGGAACACTGAACCTAATACTCCCATTGCGCTGCGCCCGAGGACAAACGGTCCAAGAACGAGAACAAAAATGATGAATGAAACCGAGCGGCTTCGGTCGAACCGGGTCAGAGTTTTCCGCTGTGGGCTTCGGAGACCTGGCCACGTATACGGTTTCGAACTCCTCGTTTCAAGGGGGCTGGAAGATCACATCGAGCGAGTCTGATCGCCACCAGACACAATCAATGCAGAATGGACGCGTGGCCGAGTCAGCCTTCGCACTGGGCAGGGGTTTAACTGGGATTATCCCACGTGCGGCCCCCGGACCCTTTCTCGGAGTGAACGCGGGCGCCCATTGTCCATCTAATCTGTCGGCTAGTTGACAATTCGACAAAAAACTAGGGGCATTGTCTTAACATAGGTTTTTTTAATCATTTTTTGGGTATTAATAGAAACCAGACCCTTCGACAAGTGCAGGTAAGCGTTGAATGCCTGACCCTTTTGGCAGCCCGTCGGTGGATTTTCCGACAGCAAAATCGACCTAGAGTGGATCGTGTTAGGTTGCACTAAAGTCAACCCAACCCTACCAGAGTTCAGGCAGCCCCTTTGACTCAAGCCCAAGTCAATTTGACATAGTTTTTAACAGCTTGGGTAGTTGGATCCCAAGACAAACCACCCTTTCCTCACACTCCCAACTCGCAAAATTAAGCCGACTGAATCACTTCACCTTCTCTCGATCATCCTGATCTCTCTGAATCTAGACCCAGTAAACTTTATTATCATCCATTTATTAAGAGTTAATGCCTGCTGGATATAAATGTATCTGTTGCGGCCTGCAGAGTTTAATGGATGCGCAATCCAATGTTCCATTCAGTAGCTAATAAAAGATAACATACTGTAAAAAGGCACTCGGCAGAGTGACAGATAATTTTATGGAGGCAGATGCTCTCACCTGGTTAGCCTTCAGTTGATGTGTGCGGGGCAATGGGTTCCAGATCCGAGTTTCATGTGTCTCTCGACCACTGGTTATCCACCTTCAAAATATTGGGAGAGATTATGGAACTTTATTGCCTGTAATATATGTCAATAGATAATACGATATATACATATATATATATATATATATATATATATATATATAGAGAGAGAGAGAGAGAGAGAGAGAGTAACCAAAATCTAGGCGTACTGTGTAAAAAACTATGTAGGAGTTGTCCCATATGTGTCGTCATGTTGCATCTCACCTAGTCTCTCTCCATCCTTGTTCATATCCCTTTGACCATATCCTAAAAGAATATCGGCCTGAATACAAGAGTGAACGTGCGCAGATCCTACGGGTCGTTCGTTTTCATAGAAATTTTGGTGGGTACCCGGGGAACTTGATTGAGGAGAGAGAAATATATGGAGAGGTCGAGTCAAGGGAACTCCGTGGACGACAGCTATGGAAAATTGCCAACTCAACGAGGGTATACAACAAAATACGTTATGTATATGGGTGAGAAATATAGTATCACAGAAAAATAAGATAGCTGAAGAAAAGAAATCGAAAGGGAACATCGGGAAAACAAGCTCTTTGAAAATGTCCCGCGAATAACAGAGAAAGTGCAGCTAAAGTTGTTATACCATACCCGTCTTTTCTAGCTTCAGCAGATCCATACCTGGGTCTGTCTTGTAGACCACAGTGGGTAATGAACAATCAAACAAAAATCAAGATAAGAGAGCCGATATAGAATTGGAGAGTATTTCTCCAAATTGCCATGATACACAGTTGTCCAGTACCCACTTACGGAAGAACAGCAAGTATTTAGAAATATGAAGTTTCCCCCACGCCCTTACCCACGCAATCCCACTATGCGGGCTCTTCCACTACTACATTGAAGGCGGGGACAATGCTCTTCACCTCAGTGTCTCAATTATGTACGGAAACGGAAATCAAATCGAAATTAGCTTCGAAACGTGCACCGACATTGGAGATGCTATTCGCTTGAATGATGTTGACAGGATAAAGGAAGACAGGAGCTCTTCAATCGCCAACACAGCTAATCAATTCGTTTTAATTATTAGAGAAACTTGGAATCCTTCGCATGAGCGCCACTATGCCGACGCTCGGATCTGATCAAGAATTTCTTCCGATATCGACTCAATGCTCAAAAAATAAGGGAACCGCGCATCGATCCAGAGTCTTCACGATCAGGTGATGATATCAAACGAACAACATCCATCTAACCTCAAATACCTCAGCGAAGTCACCGTTTTGGTTCCTCGGACAGTGACGGGAAAGATTATTTGGATAAAGGCGCGTGGAAGGTTGACCGAACAACGAAGCAAACACCAGAGATTAGCAGAGGATTGAAGAAGTGCATACCTACTTCCACCGACTACCGACGAAAGAATCTCCCCCGTCAATAGATCTCTCCTCCTACCAATAAACCATTGGGGGGGGGGGGGGGTTGCAGAGAGGGGGGGGCGACGACTGCGCAGGCAAAAGAACCTTCGCGAGTATTCTCATCTGAAATACCGCTTCAAAACTGCCCGGCTCATCAGGCCCATTAACGAAAACTGTTCCGCTTTATGGATTCCACCGGGTGGCCCATTAACAGTATCGGATGTAGGAACGGAATCATTTAGAATCCGGTACCGATTTCCCGTCCCGTTCGTTTCGGGGTGGGAGAGTTCGTCTGTGACGGGGTGACTGTGGCTTTTCTGATCGTTCCCTCTCCGATCACTCCCGCCCTGAGCTGGCCCTGGTCATCGTGAAACCCTAGAGAGATCTGTTCCGTTGCGGGGAAATGGCGGGGCAATCTGATCCTCACCTGCCGATGTTCACGGCACCGGAGGTCGCTCGCTGGCTGCCTCGTTTTTTCGGCCGTTCGGGGAGAATTCCTTTGGATTCTCTCTCATTCTCTCTCTCTGTCTCAGGGAAATCCAATGCCCAAACGGTGCCTTTTGTTTCTTGATTCAGGTGGAGTTTCTTGCCGAGGACGAGATCGTGGAGATCATCCCCAACGTTCGGATGGGAGCCCTTCACATGATTTGCGTAGTGCTTCGGAAGCGTTTTGACTACTTGGGCAACTTTTTTTTCTGACTTCAATCTCTTTGATGTAATGCCTGTCATTGCCGACCAGTGCAATTGTTTCTGTGGGTGATGCGTTACAGGGAGACTTCGGACCTTTCCTCCCACAGATCGCGGTGAAGGTTCCTCTCTGGCTTGCAGTGGCTATGAAGAAACGTGGGAAGTGCGCCATTAGACCACCAGGATGGTTATCAGTCGGTGAGAAAGAAGGCCATCTTTTCCTTCCTTTGTGTTCTTGTGCTGTAGCCGACTTGTAAAGCTGTTTCAGCCCTGTGAATGCATCTAGATATGTTTTGGGGATATTGTTAGCCTTCCCTATGATGCTTTAATTCAAAAGAAATATTCCGATACTGTCCATAATGACACATTGGATAATGTAGATACAATCCACATTGTTTTATCTATTTTCTCCCTCATCCATTCCGTAGATCGGTGAACAATTTTCGTTAGAAATATACTTGCCACTAATTACGTGCTATACCTGTTCTCAGACAACTTGACGCAGGTCTTGGAGGCAGAACGTGAGTCTCCTAGAGAGTTTCAGGCGTTGCCTTTCCACTATGTTGAAATTTCGAGGCTTTTGTTTGACCAGTATGTACTGCACGCGATTGCATTCTTGATTTCCCTTTGTGCCCTATTACAATGGTTCGAACTAAGAAAATCACCTTGTTGCTGCAGTGCACGTGATGACATCCCAGACATATATATGGTGAGCAGGCGAAAATGCTGCATGGAATGCTTCTCGGTTTTAATTGTCTTGTTCTGATTTGCTTGCTTGTAGGTGAGGTCTTTGATTGAGGATATCAAAGGTGTACGTTTTCACAAGGTTGAAACCGGCTTAGAGACAATATCTGGTCGAACACATGCTGTTAAGGTATGATTGCTTCATGTTGGACATGAGAATCAGGCCTTAGTATTTCTGAGGTCTTCAGGAATATATTTCTTCGTGCATATATCCTGTGAAGTTAAGTCATATATATATATATATATATATATATATATATATATGATGCTGAATTTAGCTTTTGATCACGTGAATTGATCATTCTGCGAGACGATCCTATTGATTTGTTATAGGAGGATGACAATGACGAGCCTTTTTACTGATTTCATGTGCGTCAGGAATCCACTGATGGTAGAAATGTGCACAATTAGAATTGATTGGTGAATATTTCAAGCTTTTTTCTCTTCCCACCCTACCTCATTTTATTTCTTCATATTTCATAGGTTAATATCACAAGGGATATTTTCTAATTTGACCAGTCAGCTCATTCCTTTCTAAAAGCGGGTTGTTCAACATGTCATTGCTTTTCTCAGTTCAAAAGAGAATTTCTCGATTTTTCATGGTGTTTGGATAGAAACTTTGCGAAGCTGTACATAGATAACCCTTTAATTCATTGCTAGTCTTAGATGTCATGACTTTTGCGATGGATGTTTGACTTTAATGGCAGTTTCTAAATTGCAGCTGAAAAACCTATCTGCGATGGAAGTTAATATTGTACGCCCATTTTTAGTGAGAACGTTGCAGGCCTTTTATAAGCACGATAGTCCCCAAATTGTTCAACCTCAAGGATCACTAAATAGCAAAAGGCCACAGGCGGCAGACCGTGGTCCACGAGTAAGTAGATTGACCTTCTATTTTTATAATTCTAGTTTGACCATGGGATGTTGAAAAAAAGGCTCCGCGTATTCTTTAACAATATGGAGGATTTAAGTTCTATACTTAGTTTTATGCGTTCAAGGTTGAATTCTAGTGCGTTGACTGCGTGCTTCTATGGTTTTGTTTCTTCCCATTCTTTTCGAGAGTGATTTTTTGTTAACCTTCTCTGTCGAGCTCATCCGACTTGTCTGCTGCGTTATTAGCCCATTTCATCTGTGTCGCACTTAGGAGGCATATGGTTTGAAAGTGGAGCCATGTTATCCATTTCTATTAACTCTTTTGACTTCAAGCGGAGACGTGGATCTAACTTGGTTGAGCTTTTCCTTGCATTGGTCTCCGTCCAAACGTCACCGTCTTATTACTGAAAGCTATCCTCTATCTTGACAACATTTTTTCTTTGTTTTCAGAGAGATCTAAGGCCGCGGTAGACCGCAGAAGAATTTGTCATCCCTCTGCATGCTTCCTCACGATTGCTGATCGATTCTTATGTTTGAAGCTCTGAACTGATGGTAGCAGTTTCTTACTGTTCAAATTGAAGGTATTCATCTTATAACATGCTATGAAAAGATACGAGTTCTAGTTATTAAATTAATTACTGCTTCTCATTGTCCTGATGACATTCTTTGAGAAGCATTTGTTTTTCCATAATTGTTTTCATTCTGTGTCCATTAAATTCCTTAAGTGATATTTTTTTCGAAAACACCATGCTTATATTCCCTATAAAAGATTTCTTCTGACGAACTTAGTCTAAGTTTTTAAAAAATATAATCTCAAAAAGCTTTTTTTTTAATACCAAGTTCCTCAAATATGATAGTCCTTCCAAAAATAAAATAAAAATAAAAATCAGATCGTCGTCTTTCTCTTATGGGTGTTAAGATATTCGTTAATTTTAGGAAAATATCTACCCTTTGAATCGACCCATTGCAGGTCTCTTAGTTTGACTTATGGCACTATCCCCTAGAAGTCGGTGTTTATCATATTTTTTCTATTAATATTTTGTAAAGATATTAGGCCATGGTATATAGTAACGTGTGGATGAACTCCTCGTAGAATTCATTTAAAACCACCGTTCGAGCCCATCATCAGAAATACCTTTTTTTTTTCTTTTTCATAGTTGTTGTCTTCATCACCCAGCTGGAATGTGTCTTCTTATTACTGTGGATTTGTTTGAGATAACTGTCTGACTGTGATTATTACACACCCGGACTTGGATTTGAATCGTCAAATGAGAGAGATTGTCATGTGGCTGTCAGATGTTCTGGGCACTCGAGTCAACCAAACGCCAGTTGGAGAAGAGAATGGGGAGCGAGATTCTGCGCGTAGAGAGAGAGAGAGAGACCAAGTGCCACAAAAGCCTGATCATGATAGCTTGCTTTCTCTGTCTGGGTTTAATTTTTTTGTTTATCTGGTAAAACCAGGCTATGGTTGACTTTCTGCCTTAACGCTGTTCGTCGGCCGACTCTCTTCTGCTTCACGAGGGGATCCGATGGTAGCAAGATCCAAGATCGGAAGAACCAGGACAGAGAGAGAGAGAGAGAGAGAGAGATATGGACAAGGCGTGATGGTAAAGATTCAGTCCCCACCACCCGCATTTAATGTCCCAGTTGCACCGGCAACTGGGCCCTCGGCGGAGGGGTGGCACCCTTCTCCGCCGGTTTCACCGAGGCGACACCGGTTACCGCTGACCAGAGGCCGATGACAGCTACCCGGTTCGCCCACGGCCGAGGCCCTGGCCTCTGCAGAGAGAGAGAGAAAAGAGCGAAAAGAATGAATAGAGAGATGTATAGATCGAGAGAGAGAGAGAGAGATGACGGTGACGTTGCCTATCGCTGACATCTGCAGGCGGCCGTTGTTTGCAGGGGGGGTGTGGAGCTCCGTCGTGTCTAGTCCTATCGACGCGAAATGCGGACTACTCGCCCCCCTCAATTTTGTCCAGTTGTAGGCACTGTGCGATCCGCATCTGCCCGCAGGAGGGGGGACCGCTCGTGCCGTCGGAGGCGACTGCGTGCTCTTCCGTCTCCGCCACCGCTGCCGGTGGCCCGCCGTCGGTGTGGCTCGTCCATCTTGTTCGTCTCCGGGGACGGCGAGACCCACCACCACTCACCGGCGGCGGAGCCGCCGAGAAGGCTGACGGCAGCACATTCCACAGTGACGGCAGCGCCGACGGGTCGCCCTCATGAGCCCCACCGCGACTGCCACTCCCTCTCCCACATCCCTCGTCTCTTCTGTCTTGGCGTGCCCCGCTTTTCCGCCGCTGTCAGAATGCGCTTTAACCTTCCCCTCCTCATCCTCCCCTCTTTTTACCCTTTAATGGCAGCCAAACGCCCTCTCGCCTCCATCCCTCCCTCCCTCCCTTCCCTCGCAGATTCTCCGGCTGGAGGAGCGGCGGCGGCGACGATGGGCGGCGGCGTGGCGGCGCGGAGGAGATGAAGGAGCGGCAGCGGTGGAGATCGGAAGAAGACGCCGTCCTGCGGGCCTACGTGAAGCAGTACGGGCCGCATGAGTGGAGCCTGGTCTCGCAGCGCATGGGGGTGGCCTTCGACAGGGATGCCAAGTCCTGCCTTGAGCGGTGGAAGAACTATCTCAAGCCCGGGCTCAAGAAGGGCTCCCTGACGGAGGAGGAGCAGTGCCTGGTCATCCGCCTGCAGGCCAAGCACGGCAACAAGTGGAAGAAGATCGCCGCCGAGGTGCCCGGCCGCACCGCCAAGCGGCTCGGCAAGTGGTGGGAGGTCTTCAAGGAGAAGCAGCGCCGGGAGCTGGAGGAGGCCAGCAGCAAGACCCTGGCGGAGCCCATCGACCAAGCCCGCTACGACCACATCCTCGAGAATTTCGCCGAGAAGCTCGTCAAGGACCGGCGGACCCCCTCTCTCTACATGGCGGCGCCGCTGCTCCAGCAGCAGCCCCCCTGGCTCTCCTCTTCGCTGCCGCCACCGCCGCCGCCGCCGCCGCCCTCTTCTTCTTCTTCGTCTCCCCCCTCCGTCACCCTCTCCCTCTCGCCCACCTCTCTGCCGGCGGACGGCGGCGGCCCACCCTTGGCCCCCGCCGTTGCCGCCGCCGCCGCCGCCTCCCGGCCGTGGGTCGTCTCGGAGCTCGTCGAGCGTTGCCGGGAGGTCGAAGAAGGCCGCCGGGCGTGGGCGTCCCACCGGAAGGAAGCGGCCTGGCGGCTCAAGCGGGTAGAGCTGCAGCTAGAGCTGGAGAAGGCCTGCAAGAGGAAGGAGAAGATACTGGAGATCGAGTCCAGGGTCAGGGCCCTCCGGGAGGAGCAGGCCGCCGCCGTGGAGAAGATCGAAGCGGAGTTCAGAGACCAGCTCTCCGCCCTCCGGAGGGACGCCGAGCTCAAGGAGCAGAAGCTGGCTGAGCAGTGGGCGGCGAAGCACCTGCAACTGGCCAGACTCCTCGACCAGATGATGGGTCCCCTGCGGCGGCCTTCTCCCGACACCGCCGGGCCATGACAGCCACCTTCTTCCTCCCTTCCTTCTCTGGATCTCTTGCCATTTCCGGAAAACTGTAACAGCGGAGTAGAAAGACATCGGCCATTGAAGGGATTGTCGTAGGATGAGCGAAAATGTCTGAAAAATTACTCCTTTTAGCCGACAGAGGAAAAGGCGGCGTTGAATGTGACGACGACTTGGGCGAAATTCGAGCGATAGTAATTTTTGGGCTTTCGTAACTAAATCGTCTATGGAGGTATTTTCGTTACTTGTTGAATTATAGCAGGATGCTTCTGTAATAGCGTCAGTTCCGACGAGAACCAACCGCTAATAGGGGCGGCGAACGGGAAGGAGTCGTCGGACGGCGAGAATGGAGCAGAGAGTGAGGGATTTCTTGACGCCGGCGGCGGAGGAAGAGCGCGTTGCCGGACTCGCCGTCGCCCCCCAGCGCCCAAGGATATCCCCGAGCTTCTTCGAAGCTTTCTCTATACGAGGAATACGAGTCGTCTGGGCCGAGCACGGCCTCGTCCGCTACTCCTTCCGAGTGACGCCCGGCCACACAGTGAGTTCTCCTCCGCCCCCAACTTCTCTGCGCGTCTGATTCTTCTCGTTCCCATCGGCTGCAGTGGATCTTGCTCTGTATCTATGCGATCCTCGACGTAGGAAAGGCATTGGTTGTCGAAGAGATCGACGAACTGGCCGATCTGTTCATGGTGCTTCGTAGCCGACTGTGTTTTGGTGGAATTTATGCCCTCCATTACCTGAGCTCTGTTTCTCCTCTGGAATTGGCGCTCTTGAGTTGTATTGAGTTGTGGGGATTTACCTTTGATCACTGTTCTTGAGCGGTCATCTTGAAAAAGGGGTTCTAGGGCTACAGATGGGAATGACCGCCGGAAACCTTCCTTCCTCGATCTGAAAGGTCTTCTTCATTCGAAGACGTACAGATTCTGCGAAGCATGGATTCCCACTTTGAACGATTGATCCCGGCGTTTTCCTCAAACGAATCACAGGACCGCCTTCTTCATGGGGGCTAGATTCGACTCCAGGGTCTTGGGATGGGGGTTTCTGAATCCTGCTCTGGTTTGACTCTCGTACGCTTTTTCTCCCTCTTCTCTCCAGGGTGCAGACGGGAACTTATCAACAGGAGCCATTGCCAGCCTGGTTGACGAGCTCGGAGGACATGCTCTCCTTACCTATGGTCATCACACCCAAGTCTCTGTCAACATCTCCGTTGCGTACTTGTCGACTGCAAGGATTGATGTAAGAAAGCATCCCCAAATTAGAAGCATCTTTCACACCCTATCAAGATTGACAAACAAATAGAGGAAGCTTTTTCATGTAATCATCCACAGGATCATCTCAGAGCCCATCAACATTTCCATAAAAAACTCCTAAAAATCTTTTGCGGCTTTGCTTCTGCACCCATTTTTATTTTTTTTACAGGGAAATCCTAAAAATAAACAACAGGATTATCGCAGATCTCATCAACATTTCCATAAAATCCTAAAAATCTTTTGCGGCTTTGCTTCTGCACCCAATTATTTTTTTACAGGAAAATCATAAAAATCAACCACAGGATTATCGCAGAGCCCGTCAACATTTCCATAAAAGAAATCCTAACATCATCTGCGACTTTGCTTCTGCACCCAATTATTTTTTTACGTTTTGTCAGAGGATGATCTGCTGAGTTTTCCAGCTTTGCTCCTATTGATTAAGTCACTGCATTTTTCACATGGACGATTGATGCAGTTGACTTCCAGCCGGACTTCCCTTGATCTATCCTCTGCGCTCACCACTGAACCATTTTTCTCTCTGCTTGAGCCTGGTGATGTTTTCAATTGGTGGGCAGGATGAGCTAGAGATCACCTCCCGGGTGCTGGGGCGAAAAGGGGGTTATTCCGGTACGATTGTTCTTCTCAAAAACAAAAGGACCGGAGAGATAATCGCCGAGGGCAGACACTCCATGTTCGGTAAGCTTCACAGCAACATCTGATTTATTTCCCATTCAGGAAGCGTATAAGAAGGAGAAGACTACAGATTCAGAATATTCTAGTTAAGATGTGGGAAGCTCCAGGCTCTTGTGATGTGCAGCTTCCTCGTTTTCATAGAATTATGATCACAGTTTGGGCTCTCCATGGCAGCAGAGTTAGTGGGTTGTGATCTCGTCTCATGACTGATCAGCTGTTCATGTCTTTGAGCCGCCATTCTTACCTTGCCAAGCGGCTTGGAGAGGGGAAGTGGTTAACTCTCTTTCCTTTTTTTCCCTAGAAATGACATCGATTTTTGGGAAACACAGTCATACCCTTTAACAATGTCTTTTTATATTTTTACTATTTTAAAGACGGTGATAGTTTAATTATCTACCACGGTCAAATTTTGACCTCTTTTCTGTCTGGTCCTATGTTCAACAAACGCCGACTCGAGGATGTATATAGGCATTATCTGCGCACCAGGCCCTCTCTTTGACCCATGCCGACTGGTCAACGTGGGGTATTTTTCAACGGTCTTGCCTGAAACGTCGACCTGCCCCGTCCACGCCTGTGGGGATTATTAGTCAACCGTAAATAAATGAAGGCATTTTCTTCGGTAAGTATGACGACATGTCACCTCAGACCGAGGACTGAAATACGCCGCCTTTTTCAACTCCGAGGGAAGGGCCCACAGTCAGATCGACGGACCGGATCAGTCGACCATCTGTGATCGGGATCCGCCTGACGGGATCGAACGGTCTGCCTCGTGCAGTTCTGTCACGATTCCGATCGGGACCACCGGGGAAACGTTCTGATCCAATGGTCTTCGCCCACGTCGCAGACCCAAATGAGCGCGGTGGGGCCCGCCACGAATGATGGGGACACGCAGACAGTGGCCGGGCAGCATCTGAGAGAGTTACGTGGCGTCACGGCACACACCGAATAATCCGTTTTGAATATTTTCTATTGTGTGGGTTCGGATCGAGTAAACGGTTCGGGTCCGGGATACCGTGAAGGCAACTGTAGTAGGAAAATGTATTTAGAAAAAAAGTAAAACGCTTAAATATTCATAAACAGAAGTTCTGCGTTCGTCGGATCAGGAAGTAGGGAGGGGCTACGGGAAGAACAGGGCGGTGGCGGTGGCGGTGGCGGTGCCAGGAGGGGCGAGGAGCGGGATATGATGGGGAGTACTCAGTCGTCGAGCCCTATGGGACGAGAGGTCTGGTCTTGCGGGGAGTTGAATTTGCTCTGTATTCCCGCCGGGGTTCTCTTCGGTGATCGGAATCGCCGGGGGAGTCTCTGGCTGTAGCCTCTCCCTCTCTCTCGACCTCCGCAACGCTGGGGCGCAGGGGTTGTGGATCAAGCATCTGGAGCTGCACGGATTGGCTGCGTCTAGTGGCCGGCATGGAGCCCAATACAACGGCGGAGCCGGACGCCGTGCTCGCTCCCAGAGAGAGAATTCTCCAGGTGCAGTGAGCCAACTGAATTTACTGCGATGCGTGTACATTCTTGGATACGTTGTGCATCACTTGTCGAGGATAGATGTCTATTGATGCGCTTTTTATACCCCCATCTGGACATGGGGTACAAGATGGCCGAAGGATCATCATGCTTTCGAGAAACGAATCGAAGGAAAAACGGAATTCATGAAAAGTGGAATTCAAAATGCATCCATTTCAAGATGTCAACGCTATACTTTGTTTGTATCTTTTTTCATTAGGCAGCCTCTCCATTCGGCGAAACTACTAGAATAACCGACTGTTTTCTTCGAATCTAAATACTAGCTCTGTTCGTTTCATGATTTATTTCTTTGTTTTTTTGGGAGAGGTGTTTTGCATGCGTCGATGAGAAAAAAAATGAATAGTCTCGGTAACACCCAAAATCACGGTGATCGTGAACCATTTTTATGGTGACAGTTTACAGAAAGTGGCCATTACTTTCTTCTCTTTAAAATGGATAGACAAATTTGAGTTGGTTGGAAGGAATTTTTATTTCACCAGTATTGTGTTTTCTTTTAAATTCTCAAATGTTCTAACATAAAAAAAAATCTCCCCCCCCCTCCAATTTCATCTCATTTTCCCATTTATTGGATTCAAGCTAGAATTTACTATCATCAGGCTTAATGCATACATTACTCGACCTACCATCAATTAGCTATGCATAACAAAAGTGACACTCTTTTGTATTTTATTCTTACGCCTTCTTTCTTTTCTTCATGAGTATTCTAATCAGTTTCGGTTTTTTGTCAAATGCAGAGGCTATCTCGGGTTGGTATCCCACAGGAGCATGTCAGTGAGTTGCAGCAGGGTCTAGTATCTTTAGTGAGGAAGCATAAACCGTTGCTCCGTGTTGTGGTATCTGCCATCCTCCCAACTGATTCAGATGTATCTGAAGCTCTAATCTCGTCAAAACATGAGTCTCAAGGGGTGTCAAGCAGTGCCATTTTTGGTAATCTATTTGGTGAGAGTTCAGTGTGGTTGCAGTGGCTGATGTTTGAGGGAGAGCCAAAGTCATTTTTGATAGATTTGGCACAAAAGGATGCAGGTCAACGCAGAGTCTGTGGTGCTGTGTGGGGTCGCGGGGACTTGGCATACCATTGCCGAACTTGTGAACATGACCCTACTTGTGCAATCTGTGTTTCTTGCTTTCAGAATGGCAATCACGAGGGTCATGACTACTCAATTATGTACACAGGTGGTGGCTGTTGCGACTGTGGAGATCCTACTGCTTGGAAACGTGAGGGGTTCTGTTCAAAGCATAAAGGCTCAGAACAGATCCAGCCACTCTCAGAGGAGATTACTAGTTCTGCAGGCCCTGTTCTAGATGCTCTATTTATTTTTTGGAAAGACAAGCTATTTCTGGCGAGTAGCAGTACCACTGGGAATCTAAGAGTAGAAAATAGCAACAGTGTAAGGGAAAAGTATGCCGATGAATTATCTTCTATGATAGTTCAGATGTTGCTTGAGTTTTGCAATTGTTGTGAAAGTCTGCTTAGTTTTATCGCTAAGGAAATTCTCAATTTGGTTGGTTTCCTAGAGTTGCTTGTTAGGGCAGAGCTATTTTTGAGCAAACCAGTTGTGAAGTTACTTCACGAATTGATGCTGAAATTACTTGGAGAGCCCCTATTCAAGCACGAGTTTGCAAAAGTCTTCATCCATTACTATCCTGTTCCTCTAGAGAAGGCCATAAAAGAGAATAGCGATTCTACCTTTGAGAAATGCCCCTTGCTATCTACTTTTTCGGTACAAATCTTCACAGTGCCAACTTTGACTCCAAGGCTTGTACGAGAGGAAAATCTGTTAGGTGTTCTCGTGGAATGCCTGTGGAACATTTTACAATCTTCTGTTGATGGAGATGGTTGTCTACAGGTAGTGTACTATTGATTGTAGCTTTTTGCATTCATGTTTTGATTTTGATTGCAAACGGTTCAATATCAATCGTTGGCTTCATGCTTATTCTTTGCATTTCTTCAATTTGTTGTTAATTTTTCTCATCCTATATGAATTTCATATTTTCTATTCGGTGACATGGTTCAGATACAAAAGGTGGAGGTCCATCTGACCGCAACTTTGTGGCTGCAGGCAAATACATGGGTCAACATATATAAATCAACTCTCCATTTAATTGAAGAGACACGATATGTTATGACTCATGATGAAGTTCCAAAATATATTGTTTGTGAACGTCCCGATATTATCAGATATTGGTTCAGAATCTTAGGACTAGTTCAAGGCATTGATCCACAGAAACGAGTGACTGGGCTTCACACAGAGGAGGAAAACGAGAGCTTGCATCTGCCATTTATAATGGTCCATTATCTCTGGAACGTCCAAAAACTCTTGGTAGACGGGTTACTCTCTCTGGGTAAAGATGATGGAATCAAGAGTTGTCCTTCCTTTCCTGCAGATTTACAAGATGCAGATGATGGTGATTATTTGCGACATGCAAAAGTTGGTAGGTTGTCTCAGGAGCGCTCTGTTGTCTACATGAGCAGAAGAAACAATATTCCGTCTGAGCTGGTGGCGGCCGGATTACCTAGTATTCCCTCTCATGTAATATCATTAACTTTTAGGTGCATGAAGTATTTAGATGCTTTTTTAGCATCTGACATTACATTGAGAAATGCTTGGCTTGATTCTGGTCGTGGTTCTTATTGTAATATGTCAAACTTGCGGATGAAACTATTCCGCACAAGGAAAGAAGCGAGCAGTACTAGAGGTCGCAAAGGTTCATACTTCTTGGGTTCATCTCCAAACGCGTATGCAACAAGCAGTGAACATTTGATAGGGTCTGGATCATCTTCTCGGACAGATGGAGTAAACACTGATCTTGATTACGGGACGGAGGCCAACAAGATTCACGTCTGCCCTTTAGATGCAGATGTTGGGACAGATTCTGAGACATTGACTGTACTCAGCATGGCAGATTGGCCTGAAATAGTATATGATGTGAGTTTACAGGAAATATCTTCTCACATTCCTTTGCATCGATTGCTTGGATTGCTTTTACAGGAGACAATGAAAAGATGCTACGGCGAAGGAGGAACCATGCAGAAAATAAACGACACCAGCAAAGTTCATCCCCTTGGAGATTGTGATGGCTTCTTTAAGCAGGTTTTGGGCAACTTCCATCCGTCTGGTTTTTCTGCCTTTGTAATGGAGCATCCCTTGCGATTAAGGGTATTCTGTGCACAAGTGCGTGCTGGCATGTGGCGTAAGAATGGTGATGCGGGCATACTAATATCAGAATGGTATCGTGATGCTCGTTGGTACGTGAACGCATGCTAATCATCAAAGGGATTTTTCATGAAATAGGATGTGCACTTTAATGAATTTATTTTTCCCTCTTTTCAGGTTTGAGATAGGTGTGGAACCTGACCTATTTTTGTTACAATGCTGTGCTGCATTGGCTCCTGCTGAATTTTTTGTGAAGAGGATTCTAGAAAGATTTGATTTATTGAACTATCTTTCTCTAGATCTTTCAGAGAGCAGCGAGTATGCGTCCTATCCTCTTCATCCTGAAATTTCCCTTTGAATAAATATTTAGCTTTTCGTTATCTATCCAAATGAGTGAGCTTAGTCTATAACTGTGTTTGTCCCTGTTATGGTTTACTTTCATACTAGTTTGTGTGACTAATTTTTATATTATTGCTTATTATTAAATTATTATCCTTCTGGATGAAAATTGTATGTTTTGGGAATGATTTTTCATTCAATTAACTTGAATAGTTGCCATTCGTTTGACTTGGATAATTGAGGTTATAAGTATCTTCATCCTCCATCCCCCATATGCCCATCTTCCTAAAAAAGAAACTATTTGAAGTTGACTGTCCTAGATTGTATCATCCAATTTTAGCTTGCATGCCAAATCAAATCCTTCCTTGACCAATGCACATGGTTCTTAAAGTCATATTTCAGATCTGATTTTTCTTCAAATTATCTTTTGGAGCATGGCTTTAAAAAATCTCGTCGTTGATGTGTTGCGAGGAAAAAATTTCTGCCCTTGTGACGTAGTCTTCTGCACACCGACGTGGAGATTGAAACAGGTCTTCTAATGTTTCACATTGTTATCTTCTTTGCACGGTTATTTGCATTCAGTAAACATACCTCTCCACAATAGATGTTTCACTGTATTTTTATTTTATGGAGTAATTGCGACCTATATTCATTTATGTCAATGTTCTCGCTGTCTTAACCCTCCTGATTTACAGTGAATTGAGAAAGTCACTGTGTAAGAGATTGTCTTTCTGATGCTCTAAGCTTCTTCTGTCTCTTATTCCAAAGTTGTTTTCCATACTGATCCAAAATGTACTTGGGGATATTTATTCCATGACGAGATGCATTTGAGTTTTTCAGGTACGAGCCAATTCTCGTTCAGGAAATGCTCACAGTTATCATTCAGATAGTAACACAACGCCGATTTTGTGGGCTGTCAGCAGCTGAGAATTTGCGTCGTGAAATAGTTTTTAAGTTAGCAGTAGGAGATGCAACTCGTAGCCAACTTGTGAAAGCTCTACCACAAGACCTTTCTAATGGTCATCTAGTTCAAGATGTCATCGACACAGTTGCGACATATTCAAATCCGTCAGGGTTAAAGCAGGTTAGGTCTACTGTATGATTTAATTTACACCTATACAAGCCCACAATTTTCTGTCTTGTTTGTTTTCAGTCCAGGCTGCTTAGATTTTATGGTACTGCAGGGTAGATATTCACTGCAGACAACATATTGGAAGGAACTAGACTTATACCACCCTCGGTGGCGCTCCAGGGATTTACAAGTGGCTGAGGAAAGATATCTGCGGTTCTGCAAGTCATCTGCATTAAACATCCAGTTACCCCAATGGACCCATGTTTTTTATCCTTTGAGCTCTCTGTGTAGAATAGCTACATCAAAGTCAGTCCTTCAAATTATACGTGCAGTGCTATTTTATGCCGTTTCTACGAAGCCATCATCTGTGTCTCGCGCACCTGATGGAGTTCTTGTAACATCATTGCACCTTCTGTCACTGGCTTTGGATATTTGTGAAAAATGCCCCTGTATAATGAATCCAGATGTTGATTCGTTGCATTCTAGTGCTAATGATGGAGAAATATATCCTATTTTGAAATATGCCAATGAAAAAATTATCAGGAGAACAGGAATCGGCGCTGGTTCTTTGGAAAATCAAAGCATGCTTTCACTACTTGTTTCGTTGATGTTGAAGCATAAGGATGAAAATGATCACAACCATGGAGATTCGAGATTATGCGATATTTCTTCCTTGATTGAAAGTTTAATACAGAAGTTTGCTCAACTTGATGCCACTTGCATGGATGAACTAAAGATATTGGCACCTCACGTAGTCTGTCATGTGCAACAAAAAAATTCTGAAAATAGCTTCCAGAGTTCAGTGTCAGTGTCTGATATTCAGCGGAAGGCAAAAGCTCGAGAACGTCAAAGAGCCATCTTGGTCAGTTAGTATTATTCATTTAATCTCTATTTGTGCTCATCTTGTTCTTAACTTCTGAACATCGTTTACTTCAATAGGCCACAGAACCGTAGAGCCCAGTATTCGTTGTGCTTTCCGTCCTTACTTTGTTTTCATTTTTACAAGATTTACCTGTATAATCTATCTATCATCCAAGTTTCATATAATGTGTTGTTTTCAAAATTCTTCCCCTAAGACATCAAGATAATGAACCATTTTTGGTACCCTTATAAAATGCCAGAGATGAAGTTCTAAAGCTTGAGTTTTAGGACCCTTTATCCATTCACTTCTCCTTGTATAAAATAATGTCTTTCTGCAGTTTCACCCAGTCACGTTCTGTTCGGTGATATATATATATATATATATATATATATTATAATGAAGTATTATCTATATTTAAATGGAGATCTATCTTCTATGAGTTTGCTCTCTATAAGAAGAATCAACAATATGTATTGATGACACTATCCTTTTGGATGTCTCTGATACTAAGGTTCGCCCTCCATGACTATTTCACTGACCTTTGGCAGGACTGCTTCATAATTTTCTCGATTATTTATTCCTACATGCCTATATTTTGTATACTCACTGAATATTTTATGTTTCATACCTTTGCATTTATACAACGTTTTACACATAGGTATGGATGTGACCAATAGGACTTTATTAGTTCTGATTTATTTTTTTATTGATCTGAGAATGAAAAATTGTCCCTTGGGTTCTCCATTCTGCAAAGCTTCTTGCGTTTACCTTATATCCTGAACTTTCATTTTTAAAGTTTTGTGCAGTTTATTAATTATCCTTCATTTTTTCTAAAATTTTCAACATACAAATGAACTATACATATTTTATGCATTTATTGTGGTATTTACAATTCTGACTAAATTTCCCTACAGGAAAAAATGAGAGCTGAACAGTCCAAATTCATTGCAAGCCTGAAGTCGACGGAAAATGACGAGCTGGATCTCTTGAAGTCTGAACAGGCATCATCTAAACAGGCCTATGTCCAAGAACAGTCAACACCTATTTGCTCCCTTTGTAGGGACACAGATTCGAAAAGTCCAGTATCTTTTCTTATTCTTCTCCAGGTAAGCATCATGTTTTGTTTACCCTTGGTGCGTATTTTCTCTGAGGATAGTAATGTGTCAGCAAGTATGAAATGTGTCCAATGTGGTAGCATTTTTGACAATATCTCGCTTTGTTTAAACCAGAAATCTCGACTGTCAAGTTTTGTGGACAGAAGGCCCCCATCATGGGATGAAAGTAACAGAAATAATGATAGGAATGATTATACAACGAAGGGAAAGCTGACAACAGATTCAACGGTTGACTTCAGCAACCCAGAGCAGGATCTTTTTTCTCAGTTGTTACAGTTGCTTCAGAATGCAGGACATGACTTAACGTATGATTTGCAACTAACAGATAATTTGGCTTTTCTAGACTCAGCCAGAGAAGGCATTAAAGCGTTCAGTTACCTGATATGTCTTATGATAGTGAGTCAAATGGTGTATCATCACTTCTAACTATGGAGCATGAAATTTATCTGTCAGTTCAAACAGATATGCATGGTATTGGAAGGGACTTAGATTTTCTCAAAGATGTGGATAAATTCCTAGATTCTGTGGCTGCAAAAGGTCTTAAGGACATCAGCGAGAGGGAACCTACTGTGGTTGGAGAGGCCATTGCATCATTACAGGCTCCAGAACAATCCATTGTCCCTAGGCCTGCCGCTTCGTCCTTGATGGATGCATCCTCAAAGTTGCCTTCTAAAAACGTGAAGTTTGAAAGATTTGGCCCAATCAATTGTGATGGCATTCATATCTCTTCCTGTGGTCATGCTGTACATCGGGAGTGCCATGACCGCTATTTATTCTCTTTGAAACAAAGGTAATGTGTTCGATAATGTTTGATGTTTGGAGCATAAGCATAGGCACATACTGCAGGTTTATCTTGTGCGTTTTGGATTATCTCTTTTGATATATATACACACAATCCGGATTTCATGTCATAATCTTGTCATTTAATCTACGTTATCAATTATGAGCCTTAACTTTTTAAAAAAAATCTTATAATAAGACTAGTTTTTCTTCTTTAATTTTCATAGGTTCTCTTTCTCGTTGCCTTGATACTATGACATTCTCGATGTAAGCAATAATGGACATAAGAGTATACGAAGTAGAAATATGAGAGTTTGATATCCGCCAGTTTAATGAAAAGATTAAAGCACAGACATTAATAAAAGCAATCCCTTTACAGAAACATCTTTAATCATGCTGCCTATGAGATAGTTATCCATACCTTTTACTCCCTGCAGCACCTTTGCCCGCTTCTTTTTACATCTAAGATTGTAACAGAACATTGTACACTGAGAGTACAATCTGCCTATGTCATGATTGGAATACGATACAATCTGATTTTTATAATATCAGAACTCAACTTTACTTGATTCAATAGGAGGAAATATTCAATCCTAGAGCAGTCCAACATAGAGTCTATCATTTAGAAGATGGGTACCTCCTGGGCAATGCTTTTAGTGGGATATACTGCCGAGCTTCCTCACTGGAACCCACTTGTGCATGTATTGAAAACATCTGTTATTATTGTAGGCATATCAGGAGGCTCGGTTTTGAAGGAGTGCACATTGTAGACCCTGAAATGGTGAGATTTCTTGGAGCTTCCATTTTATGAAGTTATGAAAGTGCCCTGCTTTGCTAATAGATGTATATTCATTTATCAGGGTGAGCTGCTTTGCCCAGTATGCCGAAGATTTGCCAATTCCATCCTACCTGCATTTCCAAACAACGTGAGAACGATTAGGGATAGTAATTCTGCATCAAATTCAGGGGTATCGAGTTCATCTGGAATAGACAGTGGTGCCTTTCATCTTCCACATGCCATTTCTCTTCTAAGATGCACAGCCAAAAAGGTTGGCCAGGCTAGATTCTTTGAAATTTTATCAGGAAAACTAGGTGAAACTGTTGAGCCAGCACTGGAGCCCATCCTTCGTAAATTATGTGGAATGTATTTACCAAACAACTACGACCGCAAATTAGCATCTGGTCATCTAAGCTACTCTATAATTCTGTGGGACACCCTTAGATACTCACTTATAACCACAGAAATTGCTTATCGTGGGAGAACCGCTGCAAGTTCTGATGGTTCACGATCCGAACTGGAAGCTCTATATGGTGAACTCCAATCTTCGAATGGGTTTATATTGTCATTACTGCTGCAAGTTGCGCAAGCTTCCAGGAGTCAGAATCGTCTTCAGGTGCTAATGAGGTTCAGTGGTATTAAGCTTCTAGCAGCATCTATTTGTCCTGGTCTCGAAGGGAATCGCTCACACATGGAGAGGCAAAAAGGTGAAGTACTCATGTTGCTGCTTTTTGTCTTGAAAACCGTTCAGAAAGTATATGCAAACTGAAAATGATTACCTCGACCATTTAAGAACAGCAGGTTTAAGGGTCTAGGGCCCTCTGAAACAGAACTAAAAGGTACTCCATTGAGTGCAATGCTAATTATATTTCTTTGGATCAATGGAATGACGTAAATAACCTCAATAATAGAATAAAAATTCTCACGTAATTTATAATTTTGTTTCACGTTCGATTTCGGAGTTTTAGTTTTCATGAAATTTGACTGTAACAGTAAGGAGTGGCAGAGGCACGTCCCCATATCATAATTGTATTCTTGGGGCAATGAACATTAGAGCCTTATTTTGTTTGCATCTCTGCCTTCATGAGCTGTAGGCAGTACATATATAGTATAATATTATATATATGTATACATACATATATATTCTAGATTCCTGAAATTCTGACTTATTTGATGTCTTCTATATAAATCTTTTGTTTTGTGTTATTCACGTTGCTTTCAAAAGATCCGGTTTCTTCTTCAATGATTTTGTCACATTTACTTCCTGAATTGCGGTATGTAGTATTTATCTGGTAAACATATGATAATGTTGATCTACAATGTAGAAAAGTTAACCTATCAATAAGGAGGTGAGCTTGGGCAATTTGGATGAATCAAAGGTTGGCCTACTTGGACTCCGTCCAGACCAGGAACATAGGAAATCGAATCGGATTGTACCATGTTGCCCCAACTCAGGAGTCGGACTAATACAGAAGCGATACTTGCTTGTTTTGTGATTTTAACCTAAAAATGCTCTTAATGCATCCTGTCATTAGGTCTTCTCTCATCAATTATGGAACGCCTTCATACGGAAGAAGTCTTCCCCGACGCCAAGTTCTTGAAGCAAGCTGCTAATCCTATCCTGGCTCGTGATCCTTTTTCTTCATTGATATGGGTTCTGTTTTGTCTTCCGCTTCCGTTCGCGACATCGTCAGAATCTTTTACAGCACTTGTCCATCTCTTCTATGTTGTTTGTGTGATTCAGGTATGCCAACATTGTGGTGTAAATGTTACTTTTCCTTTTAGAATTGCCGACGAAGAAATTGCCCTCCAAATGTTTCTTACAACTGGTTTTCCTTAACTTTCTCATTCCACTGTACTGCAGGCGCTCATAACATGTCACAGTAAACACGATTTCAACATCTCAAATATTGGAGATTGCCCAGTTGATGATCTTTGCTGTAGCATGGGGGGATCTGAACTTGCCCGGAGGTTTTTTGCTTCCAGCTATTTCGATGCTTCTTGTGATCCTAAACAGATGGTTCGCAGGTTAACTCTTCCCTATCTCCGAAGGTGCTCATTGCTCTGGAAGATGTTAAATTCATCAACATCGACCGCCCCCTGCTATGATAATTCTCAGACGTGGGATAAATTTACTCCTTGCTTGAGCAATGAGTCAGAAAGTACAAACACCCTTTCCATGGAGCTTAATGAAATTAGTGAGTTGGAGACTGACTTCAAGATCCGTTCACTGGAAGCAGTTCTCAAGGACAAAGTTGTCCATTCTTTGGCCTTGAAGTGGTGTGCACATTTCTTGGAGTTTGGCGCTAGCAATTATAATTACGTGTTATACTCCACCCCAGCAGTTCCCTTTAGGCTGATGCGGCTTCCTCTACTTTATCAAGATCTGTTACAGAGGTTTGTGAACAACACATTTACTAAAAAGCATGAATGGCTTTCCATGGCTCTTGTGCCAATCGAGTATTTTCCTGAAATGTTCGGAAATTATATATATATATATATATATATATATATATATTCTAAAATTTTCATCTCTCATGTCTTTATCAGATATGTTAACCAGCGGTGCCCTGAGTGCAAGGCTATCCCCGAAATACCTGCTCTATGTTTGTTATGTGGCAGACTATGCTCTCCAAGCTCGAAGCAGTGCTGCAGGTTCTGATTACTCCCCGCTATACAATTTCCTTTTATCTGAAAGATGTTACACTCCCGGCGACTTGTAAAATTATTAATTTTTTTGTGTAGGGCAAGTAGATGCCAGAATCATGCAGCAGCGTGTGGCGCAGGCATCGGTGTTTTCCTGTTGATCAGGGTACGAATGCTGATTTTTTAAAATAAATCATATGCTATTGTACTACTGCGGCTCACTCTTTTCTTTGGGTCTTAATGAAGACCTTACTCTCTCTCTCTCTCTCTCTCTCTCTCTCTCTCTCTCTCTCTCTCTCTTTCTCTCTCTCTCTCTCTGTCTCTCTCTCTCTCTCTCTCTCTCTCTCTATCTATCTTCAATCTAAGACTTTATTCTGTTTGTTTCAGAAAACGACTGTCCTGCTGCAGAGATCTGCTCGGCAAGCATCATGGCCTTCTCCCTACCTGGATGCCTATGGTGAAGAGGTAACCAAGTTTTGACTAAGTAAATCAGAGATCCTATCCTCGACAACTATTTTCTCTCTTATAAATTTGCAAAAAAATCCCTTAATTTCGCATGCCCAGAAATAGTTATCAACGATTTGGCATTATTTACATTCTCGAAAATATGAAAAAAATTGCGTAATATGCTTGATTCTCACCCAAAAATAAATGCTCAATATGGAGCAGTGGCTTCAAAGGAGCAGCCACTGTTCACGATTTCAAACTGGCCAACCTATTCCTCTCCCCCTCAAATGCTTATTCTCTTTCTTCTTTGGCAGGATCGTGAGTTGATCAGAGGAAAGCCCCTGTACCTAAGCGACGAGCGCTACTCAGCTCTGTCATACTTGGTATGTAAAATTATATCCTCTCGCTATTGTTCGCTCTCCCCTTTGTTGGAAGGATCGCAACAGATGAGCCCCATTCATGTTTTTATTTTATTTTATTTTATTGTTGTGAATGTGATGTGTATTAATGTGAAAAAATAAATGCTCATATCTAAGATCGTCGGTCCTCGTGAATAATAAATAGGTGGCATCGCATGGGTTAGATCGGAGCTCGGAAGTCCTCCGCCAAACAACTATTCATCACTACATCTTCGATTAGGACCCTTTCAGAGTTCTTACGATGGTGAGTTCATCTTTCTCCATCCCAATGCGACATCTTCATCTGTAGTTTTTACGCATATAATCAGCAGGAAATGCTTCTGGGTACCAGGTCAGAATGGTGCGACAAGACCCTGGAATAGATCAATCGAAGGCAACTCTCTCTCTCTCTCTCTCTCTCTCTCTCTCTCTCTCTCTCTCTCTCTCTCTATGCCTGTCTGTGTCTATTCCTCCGTCTCCAGGTATATTTCTTGGGGTCTCTTGTTTGCTGGCATGGCGACTGAGTTTCCCTCTTCTTTTTTTCTCTCGTGACTCAAATCTGTACAGGCCCTGCGCTTCATCTGGTTTGGCTCCCGTCGGATCTGAATCTCTGTTTAAATCAATATCTCTCCTTGCCATAGTTGACGGATATCTTTAAATCGATAATGTAAATACCCCCAATCACCCTTCTCCTCTCTCTCTCTCTCATCCTGCGAGAAGCACGGGTATAAAAGTTAATATTTATTTACATAAGGTATTTTTAATATTTAACGTATAGCAATGTTTTTATGGGAAAATGTTACCGCTTATCGTGTGATTGTACTGAAAATTAAATCAATTTCATATAACTTAAATTTACACCTAGAAAAGAAAACAAAGGGGGAATATTCCCCGTCCTCCTCCTCGGTCTTCAGGCGGGGTACTTGCAGCTCCCGTAGCCTGTGAGAAGAAGAAGACGGCGAGTTGGGTCAGCGGAGGAGGAAGACGGCAAGTTGGGTCAGAGGAAGAGAGTAGCGGCTATGGAGAAGGATTGCTTACTTGGGTCGGAGAGGGTGACGACGCCGGTCTTGCCGAAGTCGCAGTTGAAGTCGTGTCGGCCGGCGGATTGGTAATAGGCGTTCATGGCGAAGGCCGCGTGGGAGCGCAGAGTGTTGGGCAGGAAGCACGCCCCCCCCTGCTGAATCGATCGGCAGTCCACCCCGCTGCTGCAGACGTAGTCTATGTTCGCCTGCAGCGCCGCCTCGCTGGCCCCCCCGCTGGGCAGGCACCATCTCCTCCCCCCCGCCACCGCGGCAGCCTGCATCACAACCCCGCCGGAGACGAATGCAGACGAAGAGATCAGGCAGGATAAAGAAAGAGGAGGAGGGAGACCGAAAGGTGGTCGGTCCCAAGAAGCATCCGCCGACGAGGAGAGGCGGCAGCACTACAAGTCGGCCGACGTGATTCCACAGTCAGCCGCTCCCCGCCTTTATCAGGCGAGTGGGGACGACAGTGGCGGCACAATCGGCACGCACCCACCGCCACTACCGCTCTTCCCGGGCCGCAACGGTCCCCTCGCCAGTGCAATTTCTTTAATTAATGACGGTGAAGAAAACAGGCATTAAAGAGGAGAAGCGGCGTACCCTCGTCCGCGTGAGCCCCACGTCATAGACCGGCGTCAGGTCCGCCCTGAAGAGGCCGAAGTTGCGCTCCGCCGTGGGCCCGGGCTTCTGGTTCTCGTTGAACAGGGAGAAGATGTACGTCTCGAATCTCCTCCCCGGCATCAGCGGCGTCCCCCTCCCGGAGTTCACCTCCCGGATCAGGTTCCCGTTGTAGGAGGCGGCGTTCTCCACAGACACCGCCGGCTGATCGGCATCCCCGACGGAAGGCCACCCGGTCTCCCCCACCGCGATCTCCACGTCCCCGTAACCGAGCCGCTTCATCCCCGAGTACACCGCGTCCATCTGCGCCACGAACATGTTCGTGTAGTTGATACCGGTGGCGGAGTCGAAGACCCCCCCGTTGGGCTTGAAGATGGCGTAGTTCAGCGTCCTCCCCGTGTAGCCGAAGTAGGGGTAAGGGTTCACCATGAATGGGGTCTTCGTCTGGCGGTGGAACTGCAGCATTGGTGCGAGTATCGCGCGGTCATAGCCCCTGCGGAAGCGGCCGGTTGAAGGGGGCTCGGAGGCGGCGAGGATGCCCAGCGAGTGCGGGGTCGTCACCCTGATCTTCCCCATGCCAGCCTGAGCTAGCGCGGCAGTGAGGGACCGCATCGCCGGCAGGAGATGGGCGATGAGGTTCTTGTCGGAGGTGGCCAGCACCTCGTTCCCGACGGCGAGCAGGGAGATGTTGGTGGCGGGGTAGAAGGGCGCGATGTGGGCGGCGATCCAGTCGCGCGCCGCCGGCAGCTTGGCGAGGCCTGGGATGTCGCCGTTGGCGACGGTGACCACCATGGAGACGCCGGTGCCAGCGAAGGCTCGGATGAACACGGGATTGGCGTCGAAGAGCTTCACGCGGTCGATGAAGGTGTTCTCCTTGAGGAACGCCGCCACCTGCGCCGGCGGTGGGAGATTGTCGGCGAGGGCACCATAGTTGACTCCGATGGAGAGAGAGAAAGCGACCTGGAATGAGCAGAGGAGGAGGAGGACGGCGCTGGCGCCGGCGAGAAGCGCCGCCGGCACAGGAGCTCGCACCATGTTTTAGATGGGATAATGAAGAAGAAGAAGAAACCGTGTGAGGCAGATATCTTGCGGAGGGTCTCTATTTATATATAAAGCCGAGGAGACGTGAACTCCTTTACTTTGCCCGCCGACAGCCACACGTGCAAATCTGGCGAAACGCGTCCCCAGCTATGGCCGCAACGGATACCTGATATGTTGACACGTGCGACTCTCTCCTCCTGTTTAAACAATTACGGGCTGGGTTTCGGGCCTTACCTTTATTAAGTTCTCGGGCCGGGGGTCCTCTACGATTCCTTGAGAATGGGCTTTTAACTTTATTTCGGGCCTGAGCTTGTCCCGGCCCGTTGAGGCGCTAGCTAACCGGATCCTTGTCGGGCACTGACATGAACCCGTCCGTTGATCCGAACGCGTGAAGTCGGCGGTCTCCTCCTCCGGCGCTGGCAGCCTTCTCCGGGGAAGCGTGAACTCGAGGCGGCGCGGCCGGTGGCGACCGTTTCATGTTGAAGACGGGCTGTGGGGGGATCCTGGAACTTAAATCTCCTCTTCGATCTCGCGTCCACCGATCAGCTGATCAGGTCCTGTGCGAGCTGAGCCTCACGAGCTCTGGGGACGATTGCGCAGACGTATGTAGTACGCTCCGTTCGTGGCCGGGGACCGATGGAATGGAGGCGGCGTGTGAGTGTTGTAGAGCCAGGTTGGAGCCATCGGATGCCGTCGTTTCTTGCCCGGAAGGCGAGTTGTTGCCAGCGAGATGAAACAGTGTGAGATTCCCGGGAACTCGCCCCGATCTTCCGAGCATAGCTCCCCCGGACTGTAGGTGGAGTTGATTGAAGTTGAAGTTGAAGTTGAAGAGAGTGGGAATGTGGGACGTGGAGGAGTCAAACTGATCGGGTCAGGAAGCCGGATGGACTGAATCATCATCATCACCACCCCCACCGCCTTGCGGGTAGAGGAGAAGGCAGAGGAAGAGGGGAAAATGGCGATGACGGAGAGGTGGGAGAGAGAACCCAAGCCCGGGAAGAACTGTTATGCAACAAAATGTCCTCTGCTTGTTCCAGCCGTTCGATGGAGTGGATCCAATGGTTACGGCGAGGCAGCGTGATAGTTAAGTCTTGTAGCAGAAGGAAGCCAGTCAGTAGTATTTTCTAATTTTCCCGTCTGTGTTCCTCTGACGGCGCAGCTGCGAGCCTCGAACAACGTCTCTTGTCCTGCATCTCCAATCTCGCTTCTTAGAGCATACCCCTGCTGAGCATCTCGAACCTCTGATTTCGGCCATTCCTAGGGTTTAGGAGGATGGGGTTTTGTGTCTCTGTTTCCATCCGCCATTCCCCCTCTCCCGCCGTGTGCGAGTGCTGGTAACTTCGACTCAGTTGTTCCTCGTGTTCTTACGCTTCGGCCAATCGAGGCTAACCGAGCTTTGGAGGTGGCATGAGTTCCGAGGACGTAATACGACGTGTTTCCCTCGTCCTCAACGGATTGACAGAGTAAATACGACGTAAACCTCATGGTCGAGTGATGTCTGTCAAATTAATGGTTTAGGTCGTTGATCTATCCTTCCTTCCCCCCTCATCTTGCCCGTCCTATCGATCCTGATATTGGGTTGGTTTCCATTTTATTTTTTGAACATCAGGAGATCATAGTATGACTCAACCTTCAGCGACTCTGGTGACAGCGGCGTACGACCACATCATAAGGTTTTGGGAGACAAAGAGCGGACGGTGTTACCGCACTATTCAATATCCAGATTCAGTGAGTTTGACAACTCTCACTGTTCGTCTGTGTGGCCAATTTTTTGTTTGTCCTAACAGTAACCGATGCTGTCTTGTGTTTTGGGTTTGTGACTTGATGAGAACCGCATCCATGGTGGTTAGTATTGAGATGGCCATCTACTAATATGTTAGAACTTTCTGACGTCCGCAAGATATGATAAGGATTATAATCAAAGCTATACCCAGGTTGCATGGAATTCTCCCATAAGCTCAGTTGCAGTGAAATTGCCTCTTTAGTTTCCTTTCTTAATCTGCAGTTTCGGTCAGCTTCAGCAGTCGTTTCAATGCGTTTGTTCTCTAGAGCGCATGCCATTCTTGTTTCTCTGTCAATCGGTTTCGCTGTTTATGGAGAGTCACTGGGACATCTGGTTTCTTGGTCCTCTGTGGAACATATCAAATGAATTGAATTACCAGTGAGGAAAATGTGTTTTTCGTCTCTAATTTTCTTTTTGAACTAATAAATGGGGAAGGGGGGTAGCTCTACATCTTCCCTTTGTCCCTAGGTTAGTCTTCCCGACAATAATTGTAAGAGGAGACCTGTCGTTGGAGATGTGCATATCTTCGAGAAGAGGGTGATGAAATATGGTAGCGAGCTTTTTGTGTAGATGGGATGATGGAAGGACATAGGTGGAATCAAAGCGTGAATCTTTTATCAGGCTTTTATTTGGATATTTGGATATGCTACAACGCATTGGCTTTTCTGAGGTGAAATGACTCCTATGATTGATTGTGTCTATCTGGTGCTTTCGATCATCATATTTCTTCATTGTCAGGCCAGGTGACCAATTATTCTAGCAAATTAAAGTTTTCCAAAACCGTTATTTCCTTAGTGTTGCAGCCTTTTGCCAACAGTGGGTTCTCTGATATGTTTCTTTACTTCTAGCAGTACCTTATTTGATGAACTATCACATTGATTATAGCAGCTTGATTTATCACCTCTTAGTTGAAACAATATGGGCACCCTTTTCGACCCCAGTTAGTTCTGAGATTTTTACTTCTCCGTTTTGTGGTTTGTGAATGGAGGGAAGCTTCTTCGTTAAAAGGTTGTTTTCAGGAAACTTCAATCTAATGAAAGTGATGTGTTTCTACACTCTGCCATTTAAAGACCTTCAGAGAAATCTCTTTTGCATCACCTGTAAAGGTTTTTTAGACAAACAGGAAAGCTATTCTTCTTCTTTTGTATGTCTTTATCTATTTTCAATTTATTTCTCATTCCATCTCCAATGTCCTTATGCGCATAGAATGCACCTTCAGGGACCAGGACTACCTGGAATTTCGTAGAACTCCTAACGGAAGTGTGAAGATTTTTATGCGATTGAACATGTCGCAGTTAATGCTACGATTCGACCACAAGATTTTGAAATTTTGTTTTGCGTTTTTTCGTCCATAGAATAGTAAACGTCTTAAATCTTGACTGGTTCTGCATTATGGATACTCCCAAGTAGTGTTAAAATGCTACAGATGCTTACGAATCTTCAAATGACCCTGTTGATGATACAAACATTGTTTGGGAAGCAATGTATTGAATAAAGCTTTGTAATCAATGTCGTGTGTGACCAAGACTTTAACGAAGGTTTTTATTTGTCCTGACCGAATTCATAATCTGTCTAGAAGCTTGACCATTATTTTTTTGTCTTTTTCTGGTTATTCGTTTATACCTTGTTAATCGATTGGTCAAAAGCTTATTTGTGTTGGACACCCTGGACACCGAAAGCAATCCAGATATAGTAGAATTATGTTCATTGATCTCTTGGCCCTGATTCACATATCTCAACTAGATACTGTCCTTTAGTGTGGCAAGTGTTTTGACTATTTATCTTCTTTGCTTTGGCCTACTTAAGGTTTCATTATGTGTCCTGAAATCTGTCACCATTCCTGTGATACTGACCATATTCATCTGTGCAGCACATTAATAGACTTGAAATAACCCCTGATAGAAAATACCTGGCTGCGGCTGGAAATCCCCACATTCGCCTTTTTGATGTAAACTCTAGCAGAGCGGAGCCAGTATGTTTTCTCATTTAGAGCTTTCATTCCTTTAAGACAGACAAGTGTCAAATCTATGCTCTAAACTCTTATGCTTCAGCTCCCGTTCTGTGCCAGGTTTTCAGCTTTGAGTCCCACGCAGGCAATGTCATGGCAGTAGGGTTTGAATCCAATGGCAATTGGATGTATTCGGGTTCTGAAGACGGTACAATCAAAATCTGGGATTTAAGGTGGCGAAATTACCTTGTTTTAAGCATGTTCGCAAATTATTGTGTTTAATGTCTCTTTGCAAGTTAGTGTATCAATCACTATATGTGCATTGTGGAATATCCCCTCAGGTATATAAAAAAGGTGGCAAGTGCCTTTAATTTTTGAACTTGAGAGTAGAGGGTGTAAATGGTCTAGAATTGGACGAATACTGAAGATTAGTTATGATGTTCTTTGTAGACTCTTGAGATGGCGTTTTGCTTTGATTGAACTTGTCTGTTATCCTGCGGCTTATAAAACCCACTGACTTAGTTGCATAAATGCACATCCGTGTATATATCCACTTGCAAAAACACACGAAAATGAATTTCTTTCGTACCCTTATCTTACCTTGCATACTTTGTGCCTTGGTGACCTTTTCACCGATTGGTTTTATTAGTCATACGCCTAATACATCTGGGTTGCTGTACCTCTTTGTGCATTCCAGGGCTCCTGGTTGCCAAAGGGAATATGAAAGCCGTGCAGCTGTAAACACTGTTGTTCTGCACCCAAATGAGGTCAGCTTAAACTCCCCTTTACAGTTTCAAGCGGTTGTCTACGAAGCCTTAAGCCAGCTGCTTCTTAATTGGACAATAGTATTGAGTTAGCTATAAATTATGATGTTCATATGCTGGACGATTCTCGGAATTGTTATGGAATATTGTTTGGTCTTGTTCAGTTACTATTATTGTTTGGTATTGCCTGCTTTTTCCATTACTATAAAATCTCTTTTTCCTGCTCTTTTACTCAGTATGGTTATTCATGTGTTCTTATATAATTTTACAGAAGGAAATTATATCTGGCGATCAAAATGGAAATATACGTGTGTGGGATCTGACTGCCAATTCTTGCAGCTGTGAGCTGGTAAGTATCTGTACATTACCCCCTGTTAGAAACTCAACTGACTTTGGACCGAGAGGGAACTCCGTAAATATTGGATCCTTCCATGCCCCCCGGTGCAGGTGCCAGAGGTAGACACTGCCATACGATCTTTATCCATGATGTGGGATGGCAGCTTGGTTGTTGCTGCAAACAATAACGGAACATGCTACGTCTGGAGGTTACTGAGGGGAACACAGGTCCCTGTCAGCCGCTTTCTTATACTCTTGTCTCTGAGAATATCATCGACAGTCTTGCTTGGCCCTGCATGGATGACGACGTGATAATATTCTGCAGATCATGAGCTATTTTGAACCACTGCACAAGTTGCAGGCACATGGTGGCTACATTCTAAAATGCCTTCTTTCTCCTGAACTATGTGATCCCCAGAGGTGAAAATTTCATATCCGAAAGTCAAATGCTTCTGTTTTCGGGTTTCGTCCAGGGAAAAAAAAAACTAAATTTGAATGATATGCAGAAATATTTGTTTATCTTGTACTTTTAATGAATGCTTCTCTATTTTCCTGTACCTGTATTGTTTGAATGACTGTAATCCTTGTAGGTATCTGGCGACTGCATCTGCTGATTGCACTGTCAAAATATGGAATGTTGATGGTTTTGCCTTGGAGCGAACTTTAGTCGGTAAGCAATCATTTATACGTGTATATATAGATATGTTGATAGACTTGTGCCTTGTGATGAAGAGCTTCCTTGGCCTCTCTCTCTCTCTCTCTCTCTCAGGGCACCAGCGGTGGGTGTGGGACTGTGCTTTCACCGCCGATGGCTCTGGTTTAATAACGGGTATGTCCAAAATGCCTCCTTGGAGAATCACTTGCTTCACCCGTCGCATCAATTCTCCTGGGTAACCTTTGTTCTTGGCGAATGCTTATATTTCCTCCCCCTGATTGGCATCCAGCGTCCTCCGATGCAACTGCGAGAATGTGGAGTATAGCAACGGGGGAACCCACCAAGGTGTTCCAAGGGCAGAAACCCACCATCTGTTGCGCCTTAGGTGACGGGCCCTGATCGCCCCAAGCTCTACTTTACCTTCCAATCTCTTGTACATTATTCAAATTTATTGGCCTTTCACATCATTTCATCTCCGATTTTCATGGGGTCCCTTCCTAGTTTTATCTTCATAGTGTCAGTGGTTCTCCGCCACCAGTGGCATCCTTTCACCCGGCGGCGCCGCCCCACCGCCACCGCAGGTTAGCCGCCTTCCCCCCACCACCAATCGCACTAGTTCATGGGGCGCCGCAATCTTGTCGAGCAGCAGTAGACGATGGATTCGGGCTGCGCGGAGGCTCGCCGTGGCGGCGCGCCGGCATTTAATGGGAAAAGGAGGTGGCGCGTGGGAGGAGCTGATGGCGTCAGGGAGGGGATTATAAAGTAGTGCGAGACCGGGCAGCAGGAGCTGGCGGGCCTGCTCCATCTAAAGAAGGTGCGGTTTATTAATGGCCGGCGGCGGGCTCGCCGTCGCCGATCCCGAGTAGGGGGAGGAATACCGAGTAGAAAAATAGCAACTGCTGTGTAAAGTGCCAAGCCGGACGTCTGCGGGATTATAGGGAAAGAAGAAGACGCGGGGAATGGCGACGGCCTGGCTGAGCAGGCGCCCATAAAAGGAAAGGGCCCCTCGAGGACCATTCAGCTCCTTCCATGGAAGAGAAGGAGAAGAAGAAGAAGCAGAAGCAGAAGCAGAAGCAGACGCAGACGCAGACGCAGACGCAGACGCAGAGGCAATCCAGTAGGCCGGCGCCGGAGGGGACGACAGCGCCTGCTGCGGACCCACATTTTAAGGCGAGCGCGGACGTGAAGGGCGTGCGCTTCGGGGGGCAGTTTGTGGTGAAGCACTTCACCGTGCGCCGCGCCGGCGCCCTCGAGTTGCTCCGCCTGATCTCGGTGGCGCCGCCGCAGCGGAGCCCGCTGCCATTCCCGTCGACCACGGCCTACGTGCCGACCAGCTTCACCGTGCTGGCTCACGAGGCGTGGCACACGCTCACGCTGGGGCTGGGCACCCGCAAGTCGAAGGTGCTGCTCTTCGTCTTCGACTCGGAGGGCATGAAGGCGGCCGTTGACCGGCTCTGGCCGGCGGTGATCCCCCTCGGGGAGGTCAACCGGAAGCTCATCCGGGGGATCGCCGGCTGCGAGATGGCCCGCTTCAAGTTCCGCAAGGGCGCCCTCACCTTCTACGTCTACGCCGTCCGCCGCGCCGGTGCCGCCGGGTTCCAGAGGGCCGACGACCTGCGCACCCTCCTGGAATCGGTCGTCGCCCTGAAGGACTTCCTCGACCACACAGCAATGCTCGCCCAGCCCAGCCAGAGGAGCATCACCTTCAACCCCCCCGTCGCCGTCGCCCACTGAACTGAGGACCACCATCCTCTCCGTTCCCTTCCTCCGCTATTATCTCTTCCCAATGCCGAGCTTCTTTTCTCCCTGGATCTGCGCGTCATCTTCCTACCCCTTCTGTAAATTAGTTACTAAATACTGATTGTTCGCACCCGAGTGGCCGTCATATTCGGAAGAGCTTCCCTGGGTCGATACAGAAAGCTTCGAGCATTCCGACTCGTCGACATCCCCGCCGTCGATGTTCCTCGACAGCGCTCTCTTTCGATCCGGAAACTGGCCAGGAGTAGAGGGAGAAAGATAGAGTGGGGGTGGGTAGACGGACGACGATGGTGTACGAAAATAGTGGGCGATCGGCCAATTCTGCTCGTCTTCCTCCTACTGACTTTCCTGTTTGACAAAGGGGGAAAGAAAAGGGGGCACAGGAGACCCCATCCCCAGCCTTTCCTCGATTGACCTTTAATCACGCCGTCGCCCTGTACAGGACCCATCTCCCCTCTCCGCCCATACCTTTACCCTCTCCCGGTGCCACCCTCATCATTCTTCTTCTGCCTCTCTCTCTCTCTCTCTCTCTAGATCAGGCCATGCACATGGATTAGAAACTGCGGAGAATCGTGGGCACTGACGTATCGTACAGCAGCTTTTCTGAGATATTGGCGCGGATATAGTGGTAGATTTTGTGGCCCGGTCCAGGCCCGTCGTCTTCTGGGCTCGGCCCAAGAGCGAGTGAAACTTCTCGCGAAACTTTATGAAAAATATTATTTGTATAGAAAAAAACTTCGATTTTTTTTTGGCTTCTCTGTCATCAGCATAAAAGTCAACGCATGTGCTTATTAGCTATGTTTTATCTGTAGGATTATTTCTAAACGTCAAACTTGTTCATCGTGGTTATTACTGCCCGTCCAGCTGAAACACCTCATTTTAGTCACTTCACAATGTGGCAAGGAATCCTTTCTTTTCTTGGATTTTATATATATATATATATATATATATATCTAAGATAGACTCCTGATGTCTTATATTTTCATAAATAAATTATTTTTTCCGTCCAAAATCATAGATTATGGGCAGCCGTCTAATTGACTCTGCTCCCAGGCTTCGTGAAAAAGTCCGGGGAATTTTCCTGAGAAATTCACGCTGATGACGACTTTTCTAATAACTTTCACGGTAGGAATCCTTCGTTGTCTGGATTTATTGAAAAAGATGGTCGAAAAAGTCAACCATGCTGTCCGTTCATGCGGATTGCCTCTTCATCGCCTGATGACACAACTCGCCGTCATCGCGGTCGGAAAGGATACGCGAAGAAGGCGTTGACCGCTATGCTCTTCTGCTTGCTTGTTCTTCAGATTCGGCCAGCATCGTCCAGCTCCCCTCCGAATCTCAAACGGGTAAGTGTCGACTTGATTCTTCGGGGGAGTGATACTGAGATCGCTTCCTGTTCTATCTGATCCGGCAGAAAATGAGCCCGGGAAATAATCAAAACTGGCAGATGGGATACGAATTTATTGATCTGTCGATGATGTGGGATGAGTTGCGAGCTTTTTTCTGAAGCTGTTGTCGATTTATATGGCCACTGAGAGACTGATTATACGAAGCAGAATCTTATGAAGTCAACGAACGGGTTACATAGGTCAAAGAGTAGCAGTTTACTTCAAAACAGCATACGAGCATATTAAGAACAAACTCCACAACGTACACGCGCTACATGGCAAAGCAGCAGGTGAGCAGGGAGATCCATGGATCATGCTACGGCAGCGGCTAGCCATTGCCGAGACGGAGGAGCCCGCCGTTGCAGCAGCGGCGGGTCGTCCCTCATGGCTAGTATGTTATTCTACAAGCCTTCAAATCACAACACAGGCCACAACGCACAGCTACACGACGAACGGGGAGGAGAGTTTTTATTCACGGAGACATCAGAATCAGCAGTTGCAGGGGTTGCATCTGCAGCTTGACCCGCAGCGGCAACCCTCCCTCGCGCTAGCGACGGCCGTAGACCTGATCGTTTCAGCGGGATAAGCCAGGGGAAGAAGACGACACTCTAAGGGGATGATCAGAGCAGCGAGGGGACCTACCGCTTCTCCGGGGCGACTCCGAGGACCTCGGTCGGGGCTGCGGCCGTCTTCTGTGTCCTGCCATCACAAGAGAAGACGACCATGGCGATGATGAGGATGACGATGATCGGAGAAGAAAGCGGCGATGTTAGGAAGGGGAAGAGGAGAGGGGACTTACTCGCAGCGACAGCCGGAGCCGCAGCTACAGTTGGAACCACACCCGCAAGGCATCTTCACAGAGAGGAGACTTCCTTCCGATACCTGAGGATGGAATCGAGTGGGATGAGGAAGGAAGACGAAGGTGGGAGGGAGCTATAAATAACCAATCGGCGGCGGGCCCCCTGCTGCCGTCCGGCATCCTCCAGCCCCCGGCGTGCTCTCCACGCCGCGCTCCCGTCGTCGTCACTGACGTCGGGGCTGTGATGAGCCGGTAAGCGAAGAAGCGATTTTTAGTTGCTCTCCATGCGCGAGCCCTGAAATCCCTCGCGAGATGTGATCTGGTAGAAGCCAACGAGGACGTGATCGATAGGAGAAGATGTGGGGGGAACAGAGTCGACCGGTCGCCATCGGGCGGGGATCCAGTTGAGGTGATACTACTTATTGTAGTAATTGGACGGGCATCGTGTCGTTGACTTCCTCTTCTTCTGTGCGGTCGAAGAGAGGAGGGAAGGGAGAAGAGAAGGAGAGGAGTGCACGTAACCCTTGGCTTTCTTGATGGACTAAACAAAAAGAGAGAAAATTCGGCCTTCGGGGTTGAAAACCGAACTAGATACAAATTTTCAGCAATCCTCTGACAAGCCCGTCTAGCTCAGTCGGTAGAGCGCAAGGCTCTTAACCTTGTGGTCGTGGGTTCGAGCCCCACGGTGGGCGAAGGTTCTTTTTGGAGGAGAGATAAGGTGGTCGGTGAGTTATAGTAGTAATAAAGATTGCTTGTCGGCGAGGACTTATTTATTTTTAAAGTTATCGATAAAATTATATAATCGTAAGATGTTTGTCGACATCATCACGTTCTTTGATCAAGAAGCAAACTTTGATTTTTCATTTCCCGATCTCGGAAAAGAAAACGATGGAGATCAGCAGGTGGAAGGAAGCAAAGTCTCCTCTGCAACCGTCTCCTATCAGTCGACGACGATCTTCTCCAGCCTGATCCCGCCGGCGGCGGCGGAATCGCCGCCGTCGATGAGCCTCCTGAGGCCGGCCTTCAGCTCGGGCACTCCCTCCTCCAACACGGCGGAGACGGCGAAGATGGGAACACCCAGTACTCTCCTCCTCAGCTCCTCAAACACCGCCTCGGCGCCGTCCTCGTCCACCTTGTTCGCCACCACGAGCGACGGCCGCGCCGACAGGCCCTCCTGGTGGCGCTCGAGCTCCACCACCAGGTCCCTCAGCTGCTCCCACGGCGGTGCCCCCCGCCGGACGCCCAGCGCCGCCGCCAAGTCTACCACGTAGGCCAGGACCTTAGTGCGCTCGATGTGGCGGAGGAAGGCGTGCCCCAGCCCGCGGTTCTCGTGAGCTCCCTTGATGATCCCGGGGATGTCCGCCACCGTCACGGAGAAGAAGTCCTCGTAGCTCAGGTTCCCGATGTTCGGCCGGAGAGTGGTGAACGCGTAGTCGCCGACGATGGGCTTCGCCGGGGAGATGGCTCCCAAGAGGGTGCTCTTACCGGCATTGGGCATCCCCACCAGACCCACGTCGGCGATGCTCTTCAGCTCCAAGATCAGCGTTGCTTCCGAGCCGGCGGCGCCGACGGTCAGGGCTTCTGGTTCAGAGGAGCCGTCGTCCCTCCTATCCATGGCCCCCGTCCTCTGGGGTCTTGAAGCTCTTCCGACGGAGGAATTGCCGAGACCGCCTTCGCCGCCGCAGGCTATGACTATCCGCAGCCCCGGCTGGGTCAGCTCCGCCACAGAGTGCAGTATTTCCTCTCTCTGCTCCTCCTCGCCGGAGTCTTCGATTTCATACCCATCATCTTCCGAAGACGAGGACGAGGACGACGATGACGGTTCTGAGCTTTCGCTCAAGGATCGCCATTTACGATCGCTGGAGGAAGAAGAGGCTCCATCGCGACATCCAATTTCGCAGTCGTTCTGCTGGTCGGGTGGCGAGGCTTCGGACTCTGCGGCGTCGGGGATTTCCCACGGCTGTAGGGAGTGAGAGCAGCGATTCTCCACGAAGAAGGGGGCTTCGCCGTCGACCAGATGAATGACTGTTCCAACTGGAACTTGCACCAGCTACGGCAAGAAGAACCAATCAAAACATACGAATTCATGGATATGCACATCTAAAAGAAGCAAGGACGGGTGGCTTCTTGCACCTTGTCGGCTCCTCGGGTTCCTATCCTGTTCTTCGAAGTTCCATTGCCGCCTCTCTTTGCATTCTGAACGTTGCAACCAGAGATGAGTTAGAGCGAAGGAAGACGGTGAACCGATCAGCCACTCTGCTCGAAAAATGTATCTGGGCAGGCGACGATTCCTGATATTCTGACGGCCGGAGAGCGTACCAGGTGATGTTGCAGGTTGCTGAAATCCCAGACAGAGGCGGAGCTTTCAAGAACGACATCGCCACCCCTTCCGCCGTTCCCGCCTGCAGTGAAATTTGTGGCGCGGAGAAATCAAAGTGGAAGCCCCGGAAATCTGGAGCCTGTGTATGTGTGCGGATGAATTGATCGGAGACCCTACCATCAGCTTTCCCGTGGCGATCAGTTCGGCTACGCCGCGTGCTCCAGCACCCGTTCCCACCTTCACCCCCTTTCGCCCATATCCTCAACCTGTCCACCATCCTCCTCTCCTGAGAGGAGACGATAACAAAATGTCAAAAACCCGACGTGAATGATCGGGCGACTCGTTCTTCCCTCGCAATCCTACTCCCACCGCCTCGGAGTGGGGAGACTCGCAGAAAAACCCTAGAAGAAAGTAAGACAATCCGACTGAGACCGGCAGACGAAAGGGGTACCTGCAGAGGTGCGAGCTTCCCCTTTTTCCCGGACGAACCCGAATAGAACCGGGACGAGGAAGAAGAAGAAGAAGGAGAATGTCCATGGTTCTGAGACTTCCACGACAAACCGAGCAGGGTCTGAACCGCACGGCGGCGCCACATCTCCTTCGCCGCCGCCCCGGGCTTCCTTCGCTGATCCCCAAACAGAACCAGCTTGGTCACCAAACAGAACCCCCTTGGAAGGGGGGGGGGTACTAGATCCAGATTTGTCCATACCAATGGGCCTGCTTGGTCCGCTAGACGGATCCGATGTTTGGTGGTGCTCGCGTATATTCTTCTTAAAATAGAAATAATACCATTTTTTTTCTTAAAATGCTTTAATATGTGATTTAATGATAATAATTATTATATTATATTTTTTGGGTATTATTATTGGGTATGCGAGTAAATTGATCGGCCTTTCAATTTATCTTTATTTTCATAATTATAGATAAATAACTGAAATGTTATTTTTCTTAAAAAAAATTAATATCTACTGGGTAGTGATTTTATGTTAATAAATATATTTATATTTACTTTATCGTATTTACTTTCTAAAATTATTTAAATTTCATAAATATGGATAAATAACTGAAATAATTGTTAACATTGATTCATTATTTTCACTTCTTTTTATATGGAATGATTACAACACATTTTTTCCCATGAAACGTGTTGACATTTTTTTTACCCGTAAAAAAAGCCACTTTTTTATTTTAATAATGTATTTGCGTGGATTTGATATAAATAGCTATAAATGACGGGTTGTCAACACGGTTTTTAGCCCACGACATCGATTTCATAGTAATGACTTTAGGAAAAGATTGAAATATTAAATAATGTAGGTCAACCTGGAGAAAGAATGTGGACTGGTCTCCTAACATCCTGGGTCGAAAAAATCTGGCCGCCGTGGTCGCCGTAGATCCCTCGGATTCGAGAAGGACCATCGAATCAGCGGCCCTGGGGTCGCGGTCGAGTGGGCGAATGTGATTGATCGTCTGCCGAGGCGAGAGAGTAGGTTGCGGGTCCCATCCGAGATCCGCGGGTTTCTTGTCCTATAACGGATAGGAACAGCAGACCTCGTGGGGCGCACAGCACGTGCCCTAACAGCTCAGCACGTGCCGAGCTGTGAAAGGCCGTTGGCGGGGGGGGGTGACTGCACTCCGCGGCTCCTCCCACCTGCTGCGCACGCAGGATCGCAAAGGTGCGATTTTCCGGACGACGCCCACAAAAACCCACCAGATACGCCTCTCTCTCTCTCTCTCTCTCTCTCTCTCTCTCTCTCTCTCTCTTGCCAAGGAAGGAATCAGCGGGGAGAGGGAAGAGAGGGGGGAGGGGGGAGAAGAAGAATGAACGCGGTGTACAATCGGCTGCTGTCGAATGGAGGAAGCGGCAGCACGTCGCCGTCGCCGCCGGCGTCGCCGATGCGGTCGCCGAGGTTGCGGCACGGGAGGCCGCCCAAGGGGGGGCGGTTCGCTCAGCAGCAGCCGTGGGGGCAGATGAGGGCGCTGCCGCAGCGGATCGCTTGGGCGCTTCTTTCCCTCCTCCTCCGGCGGCAGGCAATCTTCCTCTTCGCCCCGCTCATCTATATCTCCGGGATGCTCCTCTACATGGGGACCGTATCGTTGGACGTCGTACCGCGGATCATAATGCGGCCGCCACCTGGGTCCGTCTACCGCAGTCCCCATCTCTACCAGAGGCTCCGCCATGAGATGGACTCAGATAATTCATCCGACCACTCGGTGAGGAGACTGGGTCAGTCGGCCCCCCATTGCCCTTTATAATTCATCAGGCTACAACCGGTTGCCGAGCTCTGGGATCTGTCAGGATCTGAGCTCTTGTATGACGTTCTCATCTGAGCCCTTGTACCCTTGTTTACCGATGCCATGGTTCTCGTCGTTCTCATTTTCCGTCTTCTCCCATAAGAATCGGTGGCATCGGGTTCTATATGGTGGTTCTCATCTGTCTTCAGTGCGTTTTTTTTTTTTTTTTTCCCCAGTAGCAATATTCATTAACTAAATTAGTTATTGCTGAAGATATATTTTTTTTAAAAAATAATATAATCCTGGGGGGAAGTGAAACTTTTCATTTTTTTTGGTCTACAAGATATTTTAATTTTATTCATGGAATGTGGCAAAGTTTGCTAGTTGTCGATTGAGCACGACTGAAGCTTCTACCTTTGCTGTAGCTAGCAGCAATATGGAGACACCCTCTTAAAGGTGGTGAATGGAGACCTTGCATAAACAGGAGTTCAAATGGTATGATCTATCACAAAATAGGGAAATAGTTGTCGCTTCCATTCCTGAAATGCACACAATTTCTTCTGTTGCTTGTGTATGGAAGAATGTTTTCATTACTATTATTGACTTTTTATTCTTCTTTTTTCTCTGTGCTTGCCTGGTTTTATACGACTGATATGTCCACTAAATTATCTTGTTTCGTTTTGGTAACTTATGCATTGGGGTTTATATGATTCCCTTTCCAGTTTTTATCATATATTTACAGCTTACAACTTAGAAGAAATACGGTGATGTGGTCTTCCTAAAGCATATATTTACGAGACAAACTGAGTGCATTGATGAAAAACAAAATGAGCAAAGTATCATAACAAAAATAGGAATGGATAAAGAAAGGGTGAGTCTTATGTGAAAGGTCGTGATCTTCATGAAATGCTTCCATTCATAAGCTATTCCAGTTTATATCATTTCACCTTATCTGAAGAGAATGTAGATGGAACAGCCCCATAATCTGCCGATGAATGACTACTTCTTGTCAATGTAGAACAGAGTAGAGATCTGAATGGCAGATTCCCTGCGGTAAACACCGACCCTTTATGCAGTAAGGCTTATTTTGTAATCTATTTAGTAGACGGATGGGTGAGATGATTGTGTGATTCTTAGTGGATGATGCCGCGTTGTCCACTACTATTCATGGAATAGAGAAGTAGTAATCTCCAAGATTTTGGCGACAACTCAGTGACATTTTTGGCGGGGATGGAGCATATCAGTGGAGAACAATTGGGTTGACATACTGCTATGTTTTGTGGGATCAAAGCACATCAGTGGCATCTTTCTTTTTGGCAGATACTTTGACCATTTGCATAAAGGCTAAGTGCTGCATCTCTCTTGACTCAGGTTTGGGCTATTCAAACGGCTATATATATGTCGAGGCAAATGGTGGCTTAAATCAGCAGAGAATTTCGGTGATCCCTCTTTTTTTCTTGGTCAACATGAACCAGATATAATTACACGAGATCTGCTGCTTAGACCGAATCTAATTCTCATCGAAGTAGTTTTTCACAGTTCCTTTTCGAACTCATGGCTGGTATTTTTGTTTGGGTGTCGTGTTTCACAGATATGCAATGCAGTTGCCGTCGCGGGTTATTTGAATGCGACTCTTGTAATCCCAAACTTTCATTTCCATAGTGTGTGGAAGGACCCAAGGTTTGTGTTCTCAACATGGTTGCCCAAGGCTCGATTTCTTCAAAGCTATTTTGCCAAATGTTCATTCTATATGGATTCCTATCTGTGCCATTAGTAGATATACAACCTCAAAGGATTCTTAGATAATTAAAAAAAATAAAATCTCATAGTTTATGAACCGTCATAAATTGGCCCAGATTGTAGCTGACAAACTGTGTAAGCTCTGCCTGTTTAATTGGTATGAAGATCTCGGTTTTTTTTTTTTTGTGTGTTTTATTACATGCCCCAGCAATGTGCTCATTGTTCATGCTGTTCTAATGAGTAAAGACTAAATCTAGTGGTAACTCGAGTCTATGTGATTTATGTGATTGAAGTGAAGTGACTACTGGCATTTTTTTTTCCCCCCTCAAAATCATGAAAAGGGCATGTGGGTTGGAAATATATTAACCCAAGTTTCTTCTTCCTGGCGCAGCAAGTTTAGAGATATCTACGACGAGGAACACTTTGTCAGCACCTTAAAAAGCGACGTGCGGGTGGTCGCCAAGGTGCCTGATTTTATCATGGAAAGATTTGGCCACAACATGAGTAACGTTCCCAACTTCAAGATCAAGGCCTGGTCTCCCATCCATCTCTACAGAGACGTAGTTCTGCCCAAGCTGATGGAGGAGAAGTGAGTAGACAATCTTGCTATATTTGCTGCTTTTCGTGGCTTTTATTGCTTCTGTAGTAGAAGGGAATCGCTACCGATCGCTTTACTCTACAAGCCCCCTTCCATCAGAAAGCTAACTACGAGAAATGCTCTGTTCTCCCTGCAATGGGCATTATGTCTTCTTAAAAATTGTCATATTGTGAACATTCCCCCTCGGCGTGCATACATCAGACTGATGATCTCCAAGGCCTTTTAATTCCGTAAAATTTTCAATTCGTTTTTGAGAACACCGCCGTTTTTCCTCCTGTTAGAAATTTGTGCCATTTTACTCATTCCTTGTATACATGACATCATAGCAGAGAAAATCATTTTTGGCCTAGATTATAAGCTTCTTTGTTCCCTTCAAATAATTCCTAGAAAATGGATACACATTTGAAAAAAAAAGGGTAATGATCGTCAAATGCCCCATCAACTGCTTATTGTGACCAAACAAACATTTGCAACATTCCAGGGCTTCTTCCCCTGATATGAGGTCTTTGGGAGTGTTACAGTTGTTTGGAACACTCTATGGAAACTTTGTAGATATATTTTCTCTGGGAATCTGATCTTCCTGGAATCACCTGCTCAAGAAATTCCCTTCTTTCTCCCCATTTCAATCCAGGCTCATTAGGATCTCTCCATTTGCAAATCGGTTGTCGGAGGATGCTCCTGGTGATGTCCAGCGTTTAAGGTGCCTTGCAAACTACGAGGCTTTGAGGTTCTCAAATCCCATATCCTCCATGGCCGAAAGCCTTGTTGCCCGAATGAGAAGGCACAGCCTAAATGATAACGGGAGGTACATCGCAGTTCATCTCCGCTTCGAAGAGGTCAACCACTCAAAACCCATTTCCTCTGTGCTTCGCAGTTCATCGACTCTATGCTTTGCTCTTGCACTGCAGTCCTCTGATAATCTTGCTTCAAATCCATTACTCAAAGGATATGGTTGCCTTCTCGTGCTGTGTATTCGATGGTGGAGAGAAGGAGAAGAAAGACATGGATGCAGCTAGAGAGAGAGGCTGGAGAGGGAAATTCACCAAACGTGGTCGTGTTATACGACCAGGCGCCATCAGGATGAATGGAAAATGCCCACTTACCCCTTTGGAGGTATATATCTTTATTCCCCCATCTAATTTCACCTATACTGATTCCTATGCACCATACTCCTTGTTCATGTGGTGTTCCTGATCTGCTACCTCGAAACACTGTGATCAAATGCCTTCTGGTCTACCCTTCCTTCCGTATCCTGCAAAGGACTCTGCATTTTTACCCGACTGAGCAGCTCATCTTGTTCAAACTTTGTCGACCGTTGTAAGAAAAGGAGATCTGATGATTGAATTTCTACACAGAAAAAACCCATTTGACTTCTCTGCTTTTTCAAAGCCCTTCTGAGTGACTACCATGTCTATCTTTGTTCCCTCTTCGTAATTTGGCTGCAGATCATGAGACGGGACTATTGACTTTGCTTTCTTGTGTACATGTTTTCCGAGGGACTTGTTGGTGTTCGTGTTTATATTTCTCCCAGCATAGAGATGTCACGATTCAAAGATGTGAGATGAGATGTTTCCATGAGTTTCATGCGGGAAAATCATTGCCCTCGAACACGTGTGTCAGCAAAGTTTGACTTTTACAGATTGCTTGGAATTTTTGTAGTGATTTTAAAGTAATTCTTTAAATAGTTATGAATGAATAAACGCTATGTTCTCACACTGGGCACAACCTGTTGTTACTCTAATTCTTGTCTTCAGGTCGGGCTAATGCTTCGGGGCATGGGGTTCAATAATAATACATCGATTTACTTGGCATCCGGGAAGATCTACGAGGCAGAGAGGACCATGGCTCCACTCCTCGAAATGTTTCCTCTTCTGCAAACCAAAGAGATGTTGGCATCCGCCGAGGAGCTCGCCCCATTCAAGGTGCCCCTAGTTGCTTCACTACGCCATTCATCCCCCAGACCTTAGACATTGGACCCGGCAATTTCTATCTGTCTTTCTAATCTTGTGCAAGTCCTTCTAGAACTACTCCTCCAGGATGGCTGCCATAGACTACACCGTTTGCCTCCAGAGCGAGGTGTTTGTCACAACTCAAGGTGGAAACTTCCCACACTTCCTCATCGGCCACAGGCGGTACTTGAACGGTGGGCACTCGAAGACCATCAAACCTGACAAGAGGAAGCTGGCTCTCTTGTTCGACAATCAAAATATCGGGTATGCATCTCATGATCCTCTGGAATATCCCTCCACTTGCTCCTCCACACTGTTCTGATAATGCATTCTCATGATCCTCTGGATTTATGCAGTGTTCCTAGTTTGTTTTCTAGTGCTAAGCTAAATGGTACTTGCCCCAACGAAGAGCACCTCTGGAATGCACGGTTCATCTTTACGTCCCATAAACTGAGATGGCATGGCTCTGACCCTAGTTTTTTGCAGGTGGAGGTCTCTCAGACGCCATCTGGTAAATATGCGAGGCCACAGCGATGCCAAGGGCATCGAGATTAAACGGCCTAGCGATTCCATCTACACATATCCCTGTCCTGACTGCATGTGCCGCCTGAGTAAATCAGAAACATCAAAGGTTTGGTCGGCACAGAGGACCACCCCAGAGGGAAATCCCCGCTCAGCCTAATCCCTGATCCATCTATGTGTGGTTCGGGCACTGGTGATTCTTGCAGTGGCATGGCATTCTTTCATTTTGAGCTAGGATGTATAAGCCTTAGGTTTTTTTTCCCCAAGTTTCCTAATGCAGCAGAGCACATTGCTCTCAATCAAAAAAAAAAAGAAAAAAAGGGAGCCTTGATTAGCTGAGGTTTCCATGTATATCACACAGTGTAATCAAAAGGAGGGGGTTTTGTCGGAGGAGCATCCCGGGCATTGAGATGAAGCTTCTATTCTAGCCACAGCCTGTGCATGCATATCTAAGGAAGCTCCAAGCCCATCTTGTTCTCTTTATGCTACTTGTGGTCACAGTCTTGGAAGAGTTGGAAGAGCATGTACATGAATCGTTACGCTCCATACACAGTCATTTCTTGTTGTACAGAAAAGATGAAAAGAAATGTCGGAACAATCGAGGTTTTTTTGTCGGCGGGAAGCTTCATTCATTAATGTAATTTTCTCTTCTCCTTCCAGTTTTGGTTTTCGTGATCAATAATGGTGATGTTTATCTAGACTGGAATGCCAATGAACTGGGTGAATATTTCTGGCCCAGCCTAGTCAGGCCCATGTGTAGCAGAAAGGAAAATACAACGATCAAAGGAAACATTATCAACAAACACTCTCCCAGAAGAGAATATGAACTGTCACAGAATCGTAGGAAGCATCTCAAGTATATTAAATGTATCAACGAACAAGTTTGTGGCCATTTGACAGTCAAGAAAGAATTAACCCACTCGAAAATGGTGAATTTCCAACTTTTACCTGTGAAGGAAACATCCGAGATTGAGAATAAATCCATCAAGCAAAAGGCTTTTCCTTCCTTCTGGGAATATATATGATGAAATGTGGTAATGCGAGCGTTTATACTGGACGATCAGATGCACATTTCAGCCGGGACCCCAAGACAAGAAGAAGTAAAGATGGCCTCAAATGGAACCCTGAACACGAGTTTACATTATAGACTCCTGTTCCTTTAGTTTACAATAATGCTCACCACATGCAAGACATGTGCAAGGAATTGTCTCCTAGACGCACCAAAGGAGTATGGATTAGCTCGGATTCAACTAGAAATAGGACATTGCTGGTTGTCCTCTCGGGCCAGGAACTCTACGAGAGCTTCATCCACCAGATCATCTAACAAGAGTGCCTCCAATTCTATCCCCACATGCTCTACCTCAGGACTCAGTTTCATCCATCCATCGTTCTTTCTGAAGTCTCTGTCTACTATGTGTTCCAATGTATCGTCTGCTTCTTGCCGGTACTTGAGATGCCAGCTGACGTTTGCCCATGCCTGATCTAAGACATGGCTTGCCACAAGGGTGCTGGGTTTCACGGGAGAACGGACATGCGATAGCCAGGAGAAGAGGCCGTACGAACTCTCAAAATTTTCCAGGACTTCATGAGTTAGATCGGTTAGGAGCTCACGGTCGAGATTGATCTCAGAGAACATGGTGTCAGACTCGAGCTCACGAACTGAACCCTCAACTTCCGAAAAGACCGTGGGAGTTAGTTGCTGCTCAAGGGAGTGAATTGTTTCAGAAGGCCCAATACCATTAGACCAATATTTTTTCAGCATATCCACCACAAAAAGAAACTCAGCTTCATGCTTGCCATCCACCTGAACATGGAGTTCATCAAAATTGAGATGCGTACCTGGAATCTTCCCCTTATTATAATCTGACCCATCTGCTTCCAACACATTAGACTCATCGCCAGCAGACTCTTTTTCGCAGCTGTCTGAAGGAGCCATCTCCCTAAATTGGGTCTGATCAGGTTTCATCTCCAGTCCTGCTCCATTCAGGCAGAATCATTAGTACAAGCACTGGAATTTAACAATGTCGAAGAAAAAAATCTAGTAAAGGAGAACTTAATCAGAACATTCAATATATGGACATCGAGGGAAAACTATATATGATTTTGAAGCATACTGGGGAAAGGTTTTGAGATTTAAGTTACAGAAGGGGCGGCCCATTTCGTGAGAGTTTCAGATCAGGTAGGCATTCACCTTGTAGGGAAGAAAGCTCCTCAGGACTGTGACGACGCTCAAGCAAGGAAGAGTCGATGGCAGAAACTGATCTTGGTTTCGCTTCAGTATCACTCCCTTCCACCTGAGACACAATCACCTCATCATAGGGAGAATTTAAAATTTTCTCCGTCTTTGATTCATTTGATTCATCATAAATGTCACCTACTGACATACTTCTAACAGGACCTGCACAGTAAGATCCATCGATATCCATAGTTGCATTCCCCTGAGCAAGATCCAGTGACATTGACCTCGAGTGAAGAAAATCGCGGGGAACTTCCTTTTGGTTACCTTCACTTAAATAATATGATTCGAATTCGGGCAGCGAGGAAATTCTTTCGAAGTTTTTTTGTGGTTTTTTAATTTGAAAACCACTCTCTTCATGCACCAACTTTAATTTCTCGGACATTTGCCGCTTTGGTTCTCTGCTCAAGTTTGACTCCAGCAAATATGCGTATCTCTCCAAGGATTCAGTGAGAGATTGGGACCTTCTCATGTGGCCGATAGAATTCCTACGAGTAAAGCTGTCTCCATTACGTCCAACACTTCTCAAACTGTCACCGTAAAGTCTGTCTGCATCCGGCCCGTCCAAGAGGGAGGGTTTCTCACCTTTCATCTCCTGAGATGCAGCAGAACCATAGGGAATCTTATGGAGAACCCCATCCAAGGAAATTCGATGTTTCTCCTTTCGGTTCTCTTTTACAACATCTTTTATCCTCTGTTTGAGGTCCTTGAATCGATGTAGAGCCCTAACATTGTCTTTCTCACTTTTTGCATGATTGACGCTTGATAAAAGTCTTGAAGTAGAAGTTTCCTCAGAAATATCATGCATGCAGGCACACGTGATCGGTGATCCATCATCTTCGACGGAATCGATATTTCCTTCGTATTGAATATTTTCAGCCTGAGACTTTCGTTTGTGACTTTTCAAGGGAATTATTTCATCTCTGAGCTTCAAACGACTGCCAAATTCAGCTGAAAATCCTGGTCCGGGGAAGGAACTCGACTTCGTCAATGGTAACCCAGACCTGAGATCATTTTGAACCGCAGAATAAGTGGCCATTCCTGGTTCCTGAAGAATTCGTAGATACAATTCCTTGTTGGTCTTTAGTAACTCTAGAGCTTCGAAGATATTTCCTTGAAGCTCCCTGTCACTGATTTGCCTTTCTAGAAGTCTATCCTTTGCTTCTCGCAGTTTTTCTCGAAGAAGTGCTTGGTTCTCCTGTAACTGATGCCCAAGAACATCAAGCTTCCTATGTCCCTCATTATTTCTTGGACCACTCATTGTTCCACACGCCTCGCATCGCTTAGCCTCATTAGTCTTGTCAGAGGATTTTTCGAAGGGTGTCATATAAACTGTGCTTGAAGAAGAATCAGAGTTATGCAAAACCAGTGATGTCTCTTGACTCTGAATCTCATGAGGCTTTTCATCTGAACGGACATAGTCGTCGCATTCCAAGTGATGAATAGAAATGGTACGCGTAAACCTTCTGGCAGAGGGATCAAGTCCCTGTTTCTGACTCTTTTGCTTGAACATGCTATATTTCTTATATATTTCCTGAGGAATCAATCTTCTCATCCGACTTTTATCAGATGCTTTGCCCCCTAAGTCAGTTCCGACCTCCACCTGAGACTTCTAAAACACGCAGGATGCAACATCAATACGTAATATACATATTCAGATTACGCCAAAAAAATCACTCGATCACATCCATTCCTGTGATGATAATTTTACTTTAATTAGTAAAATATTTTCCAATTCAATTTTTTTGTTAAAATCGGAAGAAAAAATATTTTGATATTGTTGAAAGAAAATAATGGATAGTAGATGAGTTTTAAGGCGAATGAACTCACCATGTTTGCTTCTGTTTTTAAAATGTCATTCTCATCACCTTCTGTAAGGACATTCACCCTCATTTTTGGGGCTTTGATGCCTGTGATGGAAATTTAACCAGACTTCTTGTCAAAACAAAATACGAATACGAGAGTGTTCTCATGTTCATGACATAGAATAATATGAATAATGCTTCTAACTGCTTAATTGACAACCGTGGAGATAGTGAAATATGGAATGTTCATCGGAGTTCCTGCGGGATAGAAAGTGCCCCCACAAGGTGTACGAAACTTGAGCCTCATATTAAATTGAAGGGAAATATCCTTAAAAAACACCCCGTGAATAAGACGTCATGAGCACGTCGTGTGATCAGTTGAGGGCCCTGCTACAGAAAACAGTCAAAACAGAGAAGCTTAAACAAAAAATTAAAGGATGAATTGGCATCGATTTTTTTCTCAGTTACTTTTTTTCATAATTCATAAATCTGCGTGTTTTAATTCCAAGGATGAGACAGAGCAATCTCTCAAGCACTCTCGAGCTTGGGCAAGAGTTCTACGCTATGGGTCGCAAATTAACTAGTAAAAATTTATTCCAATTGATGGATGCAAGCTCAAAGAATTTAGAGAAGAGAAGGATCAGCTATTACCTCCAGCGTGCCTCCCGTTAGCGCTTCTCTTCTCTCCCAGTATCCTCCGGAGGCGAAGGCTATGCTGGATGTCAAAGGACAGGAACGTGCCCCACAGGCATCCTGGAATGATTCCCTGTTCTGGAAGTTTAGATTGTTCGAGTTTCATTTGATCATCCGTCTCCATCGGATTTCGTGTAAATACTGATTAGAAGCACTTCGAGACTCCACGCAATGGACAAAGCTCAAAGATTCCCCTTCACCTACTCCGGTTTAACTTAAAACCACGGAAAACTAGATAAAATTTTGATAACGATAACAAAATTCACAAATAAAGTGCTACAGATCGAGACATAGAAGGAACGAGTCCCCCAACCGCAATTCCCCGATTTCAAGCTCCGTAACAACAGCTCATATATTACTCCAATAAAGCGGCCAATCTGTACGCTACTACCGCGACGAAGGTGTGCGTGTAGTAATAGATTCTATAAGAGCAGAAGTTCGATCGACGCGAGAAAATCTCGGAAGCAGGTGACGAATCGGATGCGAACAACTTGCAGAGAGACGAGGGGAGCTCCCCTCCATCACATCGGAGGGCACCAGGAGACGCCACAGACTAGGGATTTGCGAGTTGAACGAGGGAGGAGGAGATGGGAGATCGACGGAGAACATCCAGAGAGGTTTGCGGAGGCTTTCCAACCGTCTTCGTTCTCCCTCCCTTCACTGCGCGAGAGAATTCATATTAAACACTGTTCCTTTCCAGTCTTTTCGAATCCCGTCCTCCGCGCAGTGCCAGACCCCTTGCCCCGGCGCACCCTGTCCCATCGCAGACTTACGCCTCCAAGGTAGCGGTCAAAGGTTTCCAATAATAATCTCGGTCCCGGCACGCGATTTTTCTAACGTCCACGTCTGTTGCGTTCGCTTGCGGGGCCTGCAAAACCACCGGACTTTTGAAAGAGTCGCGCGTTATCTCGTCCCTCAGGAGCACTTTTGCCACCCGCTCCCCGCGTTGCACCGGCCGCCGGCGATTTGTCAACCCCCGCTGACCGTGGACTAGCTCTCAGTCAACCTTTAGGTTCACGGGGACGAAGGAAGAGAAGACTTTTCCACCGCCGCCGTGGCTCGTTTCTCGTCACGCCCGGTCCTGGTGTGGCCCGCCCGAACTGAACCAGCCGGCCTGGTTCACTATCGTTTAGAACATTGTTATACTAATAAGTATCTAAATTATTAGTCAACAAAAAAAAGATAATTTTCTGCATTTTTCGTGTCTAATATTTATTGAAATGGTTTTCGAAAGTTGGAAAAAAAATGGCACGTTGTAAAAATGGTGTTGCGTGCGCACATGCACGGCATTATATAAATAAAAGGTTATATAACTCTTCAACGAATGTAATGAATAAATAAATAAATTTATATTTTTGAGCTAGAAAAAGGTATTTAATTGTGCTTTATTAAGGTAATTAAAGCATTTGACCGCGATACGCAAATCCGGGTATATTTTTTAATATCCGGAGCGGACGACAAAAAGGTTCAGAGAAAAAGAAGGAAATCCACGTGCGGCTGCAATCTCTCGAATTCTGTAGGAACCAAAAAGATATACCGGGGAGACGATCTGAACCGTCGGTTATCTGCCAGCCTGGAGGACAACCGAAAACGGAAACCCGTGTAATTGCCGTCCCCTTCTGCTCTCGTGTGGTCCCCAGGAAAGTCCACCTGGCTCTGACACGTCCGCTTGTCAGAGATCCGTTGGCCTCTCACTCCGACGCCCGTGGATCCAGCGCGGCCGGGTCAGGCCGAGGGCAAAGATTACACAAACACCCTTGCATTTTCCTATGCTATTTTTACGGGAACATATTTTGATAAATTACTTTAAGAGAGGATTCCGAGGACAAAGGTCGGGTTGAGAAACTCTTCGGATTTTCTGGAGCGGTGTTGGAAGCATGCGGTGACGTTACCCCACGAGGCGGGACGGGAATATTCACAGCTGTATACATAAATACGGCTTGGGCAGAGAAACACACAATCGTCTAAACACCGCCCCACCCATCTCTCTCTCTCTCTCTTGGAGGGAACGTACTCCACTCTCTCCTCACTCCAGACTCACTGGTCTCCTCTCTCTATCTTCTCTCTCTCTGCGCCTCCCCCTTTCTCTCTTTCTCTCTCCACTGCCAGCGGTGGAGGAGAGAAAGATGACCCCTGCGAGAGTAGCATCGCCGGTTTCCCGATTTGTCCCTCCGCCACTCCCCATATTACTCCTCTTGCTCAGCTTCCCCGCGATAACGCTCTCCGTTAACATCACTGCCCTTCTCGCCGACCACCCGGACCTCTCTGCCTTCGCCGGCCTCCTCGTCACGAGCTCCGTCGCCACCGAGCTCGCGCGCCGCTCTTCGATCACTCTCCTCGCCGTGCCGAACTCCGTGCTCCTCCACGCCTCGTTTCCGTCTCCCTCCGGCGGCGATCTGGACATCCGCGCCGCCGCCTCCGGCAGCTACCTCGCCGACGTGCTCCGGTACCACGTCCTCCTCCAGTACCTCTCTCCGGCCGATCTCCGCCAGATTCCGCCGGAGGGGACGCTCGTGGCGACGCTCTACCAGACGACCGGCCGCGCCGCCGGCGACCTTGGCGACGTTAACATCACGCGCTCGGAGGACGGCGGCGTCAGCGTCCGCACCCCGGTCCCCTTCTTCCCGTCCAATGCCACCGTCCTGGACCTCGTCGCTGCCGTCCCCTACAACCTCAGCATCTTCACCGTGGATTCCCTCGTCGTTCCCTATGGATTGGATCTCACCGCCTCGGAGAACCGGCCGTCGGCGGAGATCAACGTCAGCGAGATTCTCATCAATGCGCGGGACTTCAACGTGGCGGCCTCGATGCTGGAGGCTTCCGGCGTGACAGAGGAACTGACGCAGTACCAGAGAGGGGCGGGGATCACGGTGTTCGTCCCCACGGATGAGGCCTTCGCGGAGCTGCCGAAGACGGAGAGGCTCCAGTCGCTGCCGGCGGAGAAGAAGGCGGCGGTTCTTCGCTTCCACGTTCTCCATTCCTACTACCCCCTGGGGTCTCTGGAAAGTATCGTGAACCCCGTGCAGCCGACGCTGGCGACAGAGGACACCGGCGCCGGCAGATTCACGCTCAACATCTCCCGCGTGAACGGCTCGGTGGCGATCGACACGGGCGTCGTCCAGGCGTCGATCACGAGGACGGTCTACGACCAGAACCCCGTCTCTGTGTTCGCCGTCTCCAGGGTGCTCCTGCCGAGGGAGATATTCAGGGGCGGCGGCAATGGCGGCACCGCCACCGACCTGGTGACCACCCCGCCGCCGGAGGCGGCCGCATTTGCCCCGGGCGGCTCGCCGGAGGTCGCCACTCCAGCGGCGCGGACGACCTCGACGCAGGGACAGTCGAACGACGCCAAATCCAGCGCCAGGAAGAGTGCGGCGAGCTTCCTCCTACACGGCGGCGGCATCCTCCTGTACTGCTCTGTGGAAATCTTGCATCTACTGCTGGTTTGAAACCCTAATCCTCCCCGTTCTTCCTTTAGGGCTGGCTATTCCGGATGTGTCTACATGTGAGGGAACTTGGATCTCCTCCTCATTGATTAATTTTTCGAGGGCGGTTATCCCGTCGGAGGATTCCAGCAGTCCAGCAGAATTGGGGCACCAAGAATCAACTCCAGTGCCCTCCTCTCCTCCCTCTTCCTTCCCCCATACCTCCCTATCGCATCACTCCGCACGAATCTGACAAATCAAGCTTCCGAAATCGAACCCCACCCCCTTCCTCCCTTCCTTCCCCCGTTTCCGACAAATTTTCTTGACTCAACCCTAGGAGAATCTCACTCAGATCAATGCCCGATTTTATAATCCGGGATGGCTCATCGAGATCGATCGTCTCGTCCCGTGCGCCGCCCCGCGGAAGGTAAGCAACCTGCAGCTCCGATCTGATCGGCGGGGCGGCGCAGGGACGCCGTCAAAAGTTAGGACGGGAAATGGCAAGAAATCACGGGATTGCCCGCTCACGGGGGATGCGGCGGCGCCCGTTCCGATGCCGTTCAACATGACAGCGATCGTCGCAGGTTACCGTTGCCCGGCTTGCCACCTTGGGCTTGGGCTGGGCCCTTCAATAATGGGTCTACGGGAGAACGCCAATTGGGTTGCAGCCTCCCGACTTGACAATGGGCCGGTTAACCCCACTAATGGGCTCAGAGCACTGTTGAAGAATCGAGTACCGGAGATCCAGTTTTTTAAAATCGGATTCAATTAATTTAAATACGTATCCCCTTACCCCTCTCATTTTATTTATTTGTTTTAATTAATAGTATCTCGTAATTGGATCTGCGCAGGCCTTCCCCACGCCAGCCCATCCCAGCCCAAATTCCCCAAACCCATTCAGAATGCTAATCTGAGAGGAGAGGGGGGAGAGAGAGAGAGAGAGGTATCAAAGCGTTGACCGAGTTATTCCCGGAAAAAGGGTGGGTTTCTTTTAGGAAGCCGGGGAGGTAGAGGGACGGAGGGAAAAAGCTGCCACGTATAGCATGATGCAGCCGCCATATCCGTCAACGCGCTTCTCCCCGGTGAACTTTCTCAGCAGCCGAGATTCCATTATTGGGGGAGGGAGAAGAAAACAACCCCCCTTCTCCTCCGTCAGATGGCGCCACTCGTCCACAAGATCTCCCCTCCCCGAGTGAGGTAGAATGATTCTCTCTCTCCTCTCTCTGCTTGGAGGGTATCAATGAGCCCTTCTCGAGGTCCCTTTCGGACGATGCGAGAGAGAACTTGGGAGGAATGATGTCTCCCGGCGACCATTAAACCGGTCAAAGTTCGGACACTTTCTTAAATGCTGATGGTCAAGAGACATAACTACATTGTCACTCCGGCGTCCAACAATCATACACGTCCCGCTTTCTCTCTCTCTCTCTCTCTCTCTCTCTCTCTCTCTCTCTCTCTCTCATGGTAGTCAGAGGAGGAGCAGTATCAGAGGCGCCATTGATGGGCACTGAAGAGGCAAGGAGTCCATTCTCTGGACTCCCCTCTCGATCTCCTGATAAACCTTCATGCTCATACTGGGCCCGGCTCGATCCGTTGACGTCCCCATAATCTAGAGAGAGATAGAGAGAGAGAGAGAGAGAGAGGTTTCATTGCCATCAATCTCGCTCTCTCTATCCTCTGGGTATACGAGCATTGAGGAGCTGGGCTCTCCCGGGATTCTCAGGAGTCTGCTCCGGGCCCTAGCTGAATCTGGGCCTTGGAAAATCTGTTAACGAGTCAAAGTAATTATGTATGGAACTAATAGCTTGAGAGAGAAAGAGAAAGAGAGAGAGTGAGGATGGAGAGTCAGAAGGGATGCCGCTGTCCGCATTTCAGTGGGGACCCAAGCCAAAGAAAACCTGATCGGATTTGGAATTGGGCTTCCGACAACGATGCTGGTCGTCCGATTGAAATGGGGCGATCTACCGTGCCGAGGCCGGAAACCCACCAGGGATAGAGAGAGGGAGAGATATAGAGAGAGAGAGAGAGAGAGAGAGAGAGAGAGAGAGAGAGAGTTTTAGGTGAGGAGTCACTCATCATGAACCGTCCACCCACTAGCGAGAGCGTGGGGTGGAGGCTTGTCCCTACCGCCGTGGCGGAAGAGGCGGTGGCCGCTCAAGTTGGGCCCGCCTATTATTCTCCGGCTGAGCATCCGCCGTTGACCACCACCGCCGCCGCACCATCACCCTTCGGCAGATTCGCCCAATTACTACGCAAGATCACTCGGATCGACGTGCAGCTGAGATAACCCCGTGAAGTAGCTCGCGACGTACAATTAAATGCGGCCGTCGAGGTAAAATTTTGAATGCATGTAATTTACTCCGCGTTGACTTTGGATTTCTTCGGGAAACCTGATTATCAGATTCCCATAATCCACACCAAATCCCAACCTCTTGAGTACCCCGTACGCCCCTAATTTATGGAGCAATTAAGGCTACACTTGACTTTCTTCCCCGTCTAATGTCAACCATTCAGATTTTCTGCATCCACCTCCTCTTCCAGTTAGTCAAGAGAATGGCCTCATCAACTCTCTCTCTCTCTCTCTCTCTATTTTCTGGGGTTCTTCGGCAGAGATTAGAAAAATTGAACCTATAATGGGTTCAGATCAAGGGTTTTGTTATAAACTGGTTGGTCGTCCGAATGATTCACGGACGGAAGAATATCTCATTAAAAATTGAATTTTTAATGGTTGACGGTGGGAGCCCCTTGCTTCCGAAAGTCAGACCCTACCCAGGAGGGTGCATTGAAAATTGGAGCTAGCGACGGACTAATCAAGCCCTAGCATTGACTTTTATGGATGTGTTTCGGAGGTCGTATAATAACCGGGAGAAAATCATTGGAATTTTTTATTGGTTTTTATCTGACTTTATTATTCAATCAAAGTCAACTTGGATCAGATTTTTATGATCGATCTAGAAATTTCCAAAGCATAGTGCGCACTTTTTTACAAGTAGGAATTGAATTAATATGGCATTTTTTATGGACATGTTGATCCTCAACTTGTCTGACTTGGCAGCTTGATACGTTGTTTATTTACAAAACCGGGCGCGTTCCCTGATTTTCGATATTGTCTGTGTACGTACCGCCATCGGGCCTTCCCGGGCCGGATCAGCGTCGTCAAGGGTCTGACTTTTAAGAGGAGTTTGGTTGACTCCACCCGACACGAACAATTTTGAGGTAGTAATTGTTGACCAGCTGTGCTCGGTCGACCCACCCCGCGGGGATCTGATCGCCAAAGTTATTTTATGCGGGGGCGAAATTGAGATAGTTCGATATCTAGAGGGTTTAAATGAATACAAAAATGGCGGGACCAAACGGTCGCTAGGCGTCAAAAATCCGCTATCGGCTGTTGGCCGTCAATCAATCAGAGTTGACTCCGCGTGGGTAACCGCATGGGGGGGTGGGGTTGCGGTTCAGACCGGGCAACTCGTGTGGCGCGAGACGTTGACACGGTGCTCATTGAAATCGTCTCATTTTCAACGGGGCAGATCGCGATCCCGCGTGCCACCGCGTCGACGAAGCTACAGAAAGTAGACCCCGCACTGAGTTTTTAAATTTATTTCCTGATAAAATATGACCTGGTTTAGTAATAAAAAGGGATTTTTTTCTATTTTTATGTTAATAAGCTCCGGGTCAAACAAGTGCACGTCTCAACGGCTGGGTTCTCCCACGAGGTTTGACTTTTTCTGAGCTCGGACACGGGCCTTGCTAACTCACGCTAGATGTCCACTTGCCGATGTCAGTTAAGACACTGGGTACTACGCTGCTCTTTGTTTCCCGAAGAAATTTAAGCGAGAGAGAGAGAGAGATAGAGAGAGAGAGAGAGATAGAGAGAGAGAGATGGTGGTCTACGCATCCGTCCATGGTCCAGCTGGGTAGAACTCAGGAGTTCATTTATCCGATTGAGGCCTTCCCTGTGGGGTTCTCCACTTGACGATGGGCGGGAGAGAGAGAGAGAGAGAGAGAGAGAGAGAGAGAGGAGTGATGACGACCACGTCCCTAATCTAGGATTCTGTGTCCAGAGACGTCTCAGCGAATATAAAAATAAATAACTTTTGTGTGTGCCAATATTAAAATACGACTTTGGCAAAAAGTCAAACAAGGGTAGAGAGAGAGAGAGAGAGGAAGGGGAAACGACTGGAGCACGATTTAACAGTGTACTCGAGGAAAAGCTGGTTTTTTTAGGCGGAAAAAGGAGGTCGCTTTAATGAGGGTTTTAGAAAAGTCAACTTTAGACGCACTCTTGCGCGTTTTCTGACATAACCAAGGCTTATTTTTGTCGGAAAGTATTTTCAGACAAATACTTGCTATATGTGGAAACAGATCCGGGAGAGGGGAAAGTCGTAGTTGTTGGCGCGTGTAGAACACCTATCTTTCTTGGTTTCCCCGTGTTTGACCCGGGATCGGGAGATCTAATCCAGAAAAAAGTCTTAACCGGACGTGGTATTATGGTATGCTTATCACCGTCGCAATTAATTAGCTTAAAAATATACAGAAACCCCTGAAAATCTGCCTCAAGTTTCTCTCTCTACCCAACTGCCCCGAACTCTCTTCAACCTCGCAGCCCCACTACACTTTACAAATTTCAACCACCTCATAAAGTCAACGCGTTCTCTCTCCCTCTCTCTCTGCCTTTCTCCACCCAGGCTTCTTCTCCACTACAACCTCATCTCACTGCCCCTCGCTCTCCCCTGACTCCCAAATTCCCCGTACCAGGCTTCCAGCGCCTCTTTCTTCAGGAATCCCCCCTCCTCCGCCGCCGCCGCCGGCCGCCGGAGAGCTGCGCTGAGGGGCTCGCGCTTATGGGAAACGGCCTCGGCAAGTTCACCAGCTGCCTCTGCGGGGCAAACCTGGAGGATCACCTGCATCGCCGCCGCGGCCACTACGGCATCTCCACGACGATGCTCGAGAACCACGACGAAGGGCTCGGCCACTCCTTCTGCTACGTCCGCCCCGACCCCTCCCGCCTCTCCTCCTCCAAGGTTCACCACTCCGACGAGCCCGGCGCCGACGTCGCCACCTCCGCCACGGCGCTGCCGCCATCGATGACGACGGGTACGACGACGACGACGACGACCTTCCGGTCCATCTCCGGCGCCTCCGTTAGCGCTAACACCGCCACCGCGCTTTCCACCTCCATCGTCGCCGACCTCTACTCCTCCGCCTCCGGCGGGTTCCTCGACCGCGCAGCCGCCGCCTTCGACTGCTCCACCTCCTTCTCCTCCGTGCCACTGCAGCCCGTCCCCCGGGGGTTCCTCAGCTCGGGGCCGCTCTCCGGCCCGGTCGACAGGGGATTCATGTCCGGCCCTATCGAACGGGGATTCATGTCCGGCCCTCTCGACCGCGGCATCTTCTCCGGCCCGCTTGACAGATCCTCCGCCGCCACCCAGCTCCGGCGGAGCTTCTCCCAGGGAGGAGGGTACCCCTACCGGCCGAGGACCAGGCGGGGCTCTCTGATCCGCGGCCTCCGGCGGGTCATCGCTCGGACGATCGCCCGCGGGCACAACTCCATGGTGGCCCCCGTCAAAGCCTCCACCACCGCCGGTGGTGGCGCCACCGCCGCCAGGGAAGCGGACGCCGGCGAGAACGGCTTCATCAGCAGCGACGCCGCCCCGAGCAGCAATCAGAGCCTGGAGGATGAGGCCTTCGACAACGGCGGCTTGCAGTGGGCGCAGGGGAAGGCTGGGGAGGATCGAGTCCACGTGGTGATCTCCGAAGAGCACGGATGGGTCTTTGTGGGGATCTACGACGGTTTCAATGGCCCCGACGCCCCCGACTTCCTCCTCTCCAACCTCTACTCCGCCGTTCACACCGAGCTGAAGGGGCTTCTGTGGAAGGAGAGCTTCTGCAACGAGCCCGATTCCGCCGGCTCGCCGGAGGTTTCCGATGATCCCCCTGGAGGAGCCGCGAAGCTGCCTCCGCTGCCGTCGAAGAGGTCGAAGAAGAGGTCGAGAGGGGCGGCGAAGAAGTGGGAGGAGACGCAGAGGAGGTGGAAGAACGAGTGGGAGAAGGAGAGGTTGGAGCTGGACCGGAAGCTCAAGGAGCAGCTGGCCCAGTCGAACGCCGGCGGCGCGGCGGTGAATCACTCGGAGGTTCTCAAGGCCCTGTCCTCTGCTCTCAGGAAGACCGAGGAATCCTACCTGGACATCGCCGACAACATGGTGGCGGAGAATCCGGAGCTCGCCCTGATGGGCTCCTGCGTCCTGGTGATGCTGATGAAGGGGGAGGACGTCTACCTGATGAATGTGGGGGACAGCCGCGCCGTCCTCGCCCAGAAGGCGGGGCCCGACGTGTGGGGCTCCGTCGGGAAGGCCACCCAGGACCTGGAGAAGATCAAGGAGGAGCCTCTCGACGATTTCGACGAAGAGGTGGACGGGCCGCCGAGCTTGGTGGCGCTGCAACTCACCCTCGATCACAGCACCAGCGTGGAAGAGGTAGGAAGAACCAGAGCCCATTCCCCCTCTAGGTTTCTTCTCTTTCGGGTCTTCTTTGATCACTGGTTCTCTTGCCATGAACTCACTCTTCGTTTCCGACGAGGATGCAGGAAGTTCGGAGGATCAAGAACGAGCACCTGGACGACGCCGCCGCGGTGATGAACGACCGCGTCAAGGGCTCCCTCAAGGTGACGAGAGCTTTCGGCGCCGGCTTCCTGAAACAGGTAGGCCCCAACTTTCATCTCTCTCTCTCTCTCTCTCTCTCCTGTTCAGTGCTCGTCATTGTCATCGATTCTGGAAACGGTAGGTTCATGATCTGTTCAACAGTTTGGAGAAGCAAGAACCACAACCCGCAGGAATCTCCCGACACGATTAAGAACAATTTCTTGAAGACGGGTTGTGATTAGGTTTAAGACAAATTCATAAACTGTTTTCTTGAATTCCCAAGCCCTCCACCCATCGGCCCAGTTCCGGGATCCACGCGGAAAGAGGTCTAAAGGTTGTCCGACTTTCCGGCGGCCATCGCCGGTGGCTGCCGACAAGGCTTTTGGGTCAAAGCTGCTCTGTTCCGGAAGAACCAGAGGGCCGGCCGTCCCTCTCGTCGGATTCCTCGTTCTCACAGTGCTCGGCCATCAGACCCAAAAACAAAGATTTCCCCCCCACCGCGATCCCCAGTGACATGTCCCGTCATCTCCCACAGGAGAGAAATAAGATGGCGGAGAAGATGGTGTTCTGGTAAACGAGTTCGGTTCATGTCTTGTCGATCTCCGTCTGATCACTTTCTTTTTTTGTTTTTACTTCCATGGCAGCCCAAGTGGAACGAGGCCCTGCTGGAGATGTTCAGGATAGACTACGTCGGCAGCTCCCCCTACATCACCTGCAACCCCTCGGTGTGCCATCACCGGCTGGGCCCGAGAGACCGGTTCCTCATTCTGTCGTCGGACGGGCTCTACCAGTACTTCACCAACGAGGAGGCCGTCGCAGAGGTGGAGCTCTTCATCGCCTCCTTCCCCGAGGGGGACCCCGCCCAGCACCTGGTCGAGGAGGTTCTCTTCCGGGCGGCAAGGAAAGCCGGTAAGTCAACCCCCCCCCCCCCCCCCACGCCTTTGCAGAGAGAGAGAGAGAGAGAAGTCAAGTCCTCCAGGATCATGATCTGACCACCGACTGTTACTTGGCAGGGATGGACTTCCACGAGCTGTTGGAAATCCCGCAGGGCGACCGCCGGAAGTACCACGACGATGTCTCCGTCATCGTGATCTCCTTGGAAGGCAGGATATGGAGATATAGCGTGTAGATGGAGAGAGCGACAAAGAGAGAGAGCGAGAAGTGTACGAAGGGCGCCATGGGGAGGACGGTAGAGGCTCTCGGCGCTTTTGACTGCCGGGCTCAGCCGCTGTACCATACACACACAGAGAGGCTCCGTGGGGATGACTGTAAATTATCCCTGAGCAGCTGAACACAGGAACCCTTGGGCTGGTTCAAACTCTCATTGGGAGGCGGAGAAGGTCATCCTCATTCTGTATGTAATAAATGGATTCCCCCGGGGTCCCATTTTTCAGATTAATAACCGGAGGAGCGACCCCATTGGTCTCCGTCCTTCTCCCTCCCCCGTCTTCTTCCTTCCTCCGCCCGTCGTCTTCGTGAGATCGATCCTCCCGATCGATCGATCCCTCTGTCACAGTCCCAACGTCTCGCCGGTCTTCGGGGCCATGTAAGTCCAGTCGCCAAGGCACCCGCGGGTGTATGCTGCTCCGCCATAACTTCTCCGGCGGCGGCGGCGCCTCCGTGGTCGGCCCGCCACTCCCCTCGTGGGGCAAGTGCTCTCCATCACCCATTCCTTCGCGGGTCAACCGTCCTCTCTCTCTAGTTATTCCTCACAGGGGAACTTGGCGAAGGAAAGAGGGAGCTCGGGAGGAGCAGCAGGAGGGGGGGATAGATGGGACGGAACACGTGTGGTGTGGGAGCTCCCAGTGCCAATGAATGCTCTGGGCGTATTTAGGTCAACCGCCAACGGGCAACCGCAAGCTCCTGCGTGGCCATCATCGCCCGTCATCAATGGCCGCGAGGTGGCGGGTCTTAAGGGGAACAGCCGACGGGGAATTTATTGTCTCTGCCACTGCTGCTCGATTTGACTCGCCGACCCTCACAGCCCCCCAACAAGAAGATCTGGCCGACTGAGCAGGAGGAAGAAGAAGAACCAAACCCACCCCCATCTTAACCAGCTCTCTCTCTCTCTCTCTCTCTCTCTCTCTCTCTCTCCATTACTTCTTACCTGACCTCGTCTGCGTTAGTAAACTGCGAGCAAATGGAGATTTGGGATTCTTAATGACGAAATAAGTCCGCGGGGGAAGTATGAAAATCCGGAATTTAGATGTCGGATCACTATATATGTACATGTCTTTGATGCACACACGTTCTGTCTATTTACAGTTGCCCTGTAAATCTAAGGTATGGATTAACTAAATGGGAAGATGGGCATCTGCCTCCCCACCTCCAAAAGTCAAACATGTTCATTGACGTTCGGGGAGGGGAGGCTTTGTGGGAAAGTTTTCGTCGAATGGGCCGGGAGGCTGGTACCTTGTCCACTCTCATGGATAAGGTGGATGAAGTCAAAGGACTCGTCCGGTCGTATGGATGACTATTTGGGAGGAGAGTCAGCACTCGTCCAGTCGTCTTCCACGTCAACAGAGCGACCGGAGGTGGGGGGGAGATCATTTGAGGCTGAGTGGGAGAAATGGCCCCCTCTCCGCCACGCCGATCCCCGCGGCGAAGGCGACCGCTGTGTTTTCCGGTGAGCGGCGGCGAACGCAGGGGGTGAGATGGAGCTCCTACGCGCCTCTCAGCCTCCACAGCCAGGCGCGCACCAGTTCTCGCTTCGCCCTGACCCCGCAAGGCGGCGCAACGCGTCTCGCCGGCCGAAGGTCCCGCGCTCCAGGCCGCCTAAGGACCCCCGGCCGGCATCGGAGAGGGTTTACGTTGCAGTGGGAAGGTCGACGGAGAAGGGCGCCCGCTTGTTAGCGTGGGCCATCCGTCAGTTCGGGTGCGAAGAGATATGGCTCCTCCATGTTCACCAGCCATCGCCTATGATTTCCACACCCCGTCAGTAATTCGCAGCCTTCCGCACCCATTCACACATTCTTTCGGCTTCTTCTCATCAGATGTATAGGACGATTTCCGTCGTTAATCGACGCTTCCCGCCGGATTCCAGTTCGAAGTATAATTATATATCTGGGAGTCGAATTCTGGTTTCTCTCCCGCGATCTTTGGCTTCAACGTTGGTCTGCGGAAGATCATTTCTTCTGTCGATGCCTAATAGTCTCTGTTATTCACGGTGGGGATCGATCTATGCAGTTGGGAGAATTCCTGCAAATCAAGTTAACGAGGGAGCAGTGTCTGCGTACCGAAGGGAAGAGATGAATGCTACAAGGAAGTTTCTGCATAATTATCTCAGTATATGCAACAAGGCTCAGGTGATTCGGCGTTCCTCTCTCATTTACATGGCTATTTTTATCGCTGGCGCAACAATCGCGGAGATGGAACTTTTGCTTATTCATCTCAATTCTTGTATGAACTATTTTCCTATACATTCTCGTTCCACACTTTGGCGTACGAAGCTCATTGAATGCTGGTATCAGAAATTGGGTACGGCAAGAGTGATTGATTCTTTAGTGTTTACACCTATGCATCCCTGGAAGCTGTTTTCTCTAAGGCTTGGTAATTTTTTTATTTGAAGTATGATTTACAAACTTAGTTTACCCCTGATAACCTTGGGGCCCCTGCCAAGACTGGGTGATCGGCGGTATGTCGGGATAAAGGGCTAAGAAGACCCGGAAATTAAACCTCAAAAAGTTCACCAGCCACTAGTTAACAAGCTGATTTCAAGGGAAAAAAAAGGAATCTATGAGATAAATTTGATTAAGAATACGAGAATCCGTCTGTGATTTTATTTAATTGGTGTTTGTCTTTCGATTAGGCAGGCTCATTAAATTCTCATGATTGTGTTCATTGACTTTTAACTTGGATCTTGGGAAGTGAAGGCCTCACGAGGCAGAATTTAGGTAATTGTTAAATAAAATCGCAGACTCCCAGTGAAGTAGTCAATGATCATTCTTATTCTGGAGCCAAGGCCTTTGATGCCCTTCTGAAAAATCCTTCGTTTCTTATTTTATCATCTGCTATATGAGAGATGGAACATGGTGTGGTACAGGTGCATGCGCGCGTCATCATGATAGAGAGTGATAATGTTCAAAAGGGAATTGCTGACCTTGTTTATCAGAATGGTATCAGGAAACTTGTCATGGGTTCTTCATCAGACAAGTAAGTGGTTCTATGTGAGAATTAATTCTAATTTTTCTTCAATGATGAGCCGATGGCCGTGATAATAATGCAGCTGGATGATTTAGCAGCATTCAGTTGTTTGATTCATTTTTTTTTTTTTGCGATCTTAAATTTTGCAAGCACAAATGTGGGATTCATTCGTAGGATCCTTGGTGCGCTTGGGTTCGATCCAAGCTCACAAAGTAAAGAAAAAAAAAGAGGCGAGGATTCATCTTTTTATCATCAAAGATCAGGAATCTCTGGTTGTATTTGAGAATTTTTCGCGAGATTACTCCCAGGTGATTGTTCAGATTACTGTAGTGGGCATTCGTAGTGCAGGAACTCTAATGTAATCCTCTTTATTAGTTTGGACCACGAAGTTTTATCTACGAGGATTGCATCTAAAGTCTTTCCATCGAAGGATATATAAATCTGCTGTGACTCCTATATTCGAACGAGAATCATATCAATAACTTGTTTCTTCATAATCTCTATGCAGTGATTTATTGATTTTTTTTTTCGTTCACCTAATTTCTTCTGAAAGTTTCTGATATGCCTACCTCAGTTTCCTGGGGTTGATGAGGGGCTGGAAGAAGGGCTCATACGCTGAGAAAAACCTTGCTCCATCTTGTAAAATATGGTTCGTCAGCAAAGGTAATCACGTATGGATGAGGGAGGCTTCTGAGGAACCGAGTTCTGTGACTGAAATTGGATCCATCAAATGGTCGTATTGCTTATCTGGAGATGTACTGGATCGAAAGGAAGACGGCAGCTCTGCAATTTTCGACCCCTGTTTTTCAGATAGTAGTAATCTACCCACGTCCACAGGTTCATTGATTCCCATTGCTCCGGCATTCTTGCTTGGCTCTGCTGATGAAGGAAGCCCCTCAAAGGTAAGAAAACGGCGAGTTTCTTGTCGGTTTGCTTCCCTGACGAATTCTCCGAGATTGATTCTGCTGGCCTGGGAAGAGCAGGCATTGGATTTCCTGCGCAATCAGTTCCTAGAAGCTCTTGAAGAAACTGAGAGATCAAAGAAAGAAGCCCATGTGGATTCGATGAAGCGGTCAAAACTGGAAGCAGAGTTTCCAGATGCCTCCGTCTGGGTAAATTAACTGTCTCTGTTACTTTATTTTGTTAGTACATACAAAGCTGATAGCTTAATGCGGGAGTTATCCCTGGGCTCTCTTAGCCAACTCTTTGGTTTTGCCGGCCAGGAAGAAACGTTGAAATCCGCCTGTGCGTCCGAAGTCAGACGTAGGGACGAACTTGAAGAATCAATAAGAGCCATGAAGAGAGAACAAGAACGGCTCTCGTACGCGAGAGATGAAACCTTGGGAGAGCTACAACATGCCCTGAGAGAACTATCTGTCATGGAGGACCACGCTCGAGAAATCAAACGGCGTCAGGAGGAAGTGGCTAGAGAGATGAGTACCGCCCAGTCATCTGTGGTGAATCTGAAGGTCCACAGGTATCAGATCAGACAGAAGAACGTGGAAGCTGCCCATTGGTGCACTCTCTATGAGCCTTCCATTTGCGATGGGTTCATTGGGGTTGCCCCATTCGATCTGAAAGAGTTCTCTATGCCGGAACTAGAAAGTGGGACCTGTAATTTCTCAGATAGCTTCAGGATAGGTCAAGGGGGCTCCGGTTGTGTCTACAAGGGGGAGTTGCTGGGTAAAACTGTGGTGGTCAAGCAATTGCATCATCATGATTCCCAAGGTCGACTAGAGTTTCACAAGAAGGTGCGTAAATCTTTCACTTCCACCTTTTTTCATCGAAAAAAATGTCATTTTCTGTGCCATTTTGCTTATTTTTTCAAATGAGGTCATTACCCATAGCTGCTGACTTACCTCGTATATTGTTATATTTAGCATGAATAATTCCGTGGAGTTAAACTATAGAGATGTGATTCTATTCATTGGTGGTGATTAATAAAGATTCATTCAATCCCATTCGCATATGCAGGCCCATGCTCTCAGCAAACTCAAGCACCCACATCTTGTGAATCTAATCGGCATGTGCCCGGAAGCCTGGTGTCTCGTCTACGAGTACCTGCCCAATGGGAGCCTCCAAGACCATCTCACGGGGAGAACGAATGCCGCCCTGCAGTGGAAGGTCCGGGCACAGATTGCTGCAGAAATATGCAGCGCTCTCCTTTTCTTGCACTCTTCCAAGCCCGAGAAGATCATCCATGGCGACCTCAGACCCGAAAGGATCTATCTTGATAATGAACTGAGATGCAAGGTCGGGGATTTCAGCATCTGCAGATTTGTCCCGGAGAAAGCCATGCGCCGCATCTCCTTCAGCAGCAGCACCGAATCAAAGGAACGATTTCCTTATTCGGACCCTGAGGACCGAATAACTGGCGAACCAACGGCGAAGTCTGATGTCTACGCCTTGGGGATTATAGTTCTCCAGCTGCTCACTGGGAGGCCCCCGTCGGGGTTGGCCGCTGAGGTGCACCAGGCGGTGCTAGGAGGGACTCTCTCGTCGATCCTTGATCAAACTGCCGGAGATTGGCCACCGATGGTTGCGTCGAGGCTCGCACAATTCGGTCTGTGCTGCAGCAAGACGAAGGCCCGCGATCGGCTGGAGCTGGCACCCGAGGTTCTGAGGGAACTGGAGCAATTACTAGCGCCGGAGGCCAGGCCGGTGCCCTCGTTCTTCTTGTGCCCTATTCGTCAGGTACCACTTCCCGCGCCTTCTGATTTCCTCTCTGCCGCCATATTCGTCGCGGGTCTGTAGGAACTTGGGCTAGATCTGGGTAATGGCGACGATCAGTTGCTAAATTTGGTCCATGGCACGACCACACGCAGGAGATTATGCAGGACCCGGTTGTGGCGGCGGATGGCCACACTTACGAGGACGCTGCCCTGCGCGGATGGCTGCATGGTGGGCGAGAGACGTCTCCGATGACCAACTTGAAGTTGGATAATCTGGAGCTCACTCCCAACCATGCTCTCCGCTTTGCAATCCAGGACTGGCTCTGCAACCCCAGGTGAGCAGGCGTGAGAAACAGTTGCTTGTTCGAGCTAGTACCCCCCCGTCACCTCTCGCGTAGCTGAAGTATACAAAATGCTCTGACTTAGGGGAATCGGTGAAACGTCTGTCCACGTCAGAAGATGTCAAAATGCCTAAGAGTTCTGGGGTGAGAAGATAGCTGACGAGTCTAATTTATGGGAACACCATGAGTGCAATTAAATATATGCATGTTGTCCATAATTGAAATAATATGGCATTATATTGATTTAAATTATGACACTATAAATGATGAAGTAGTAAAATATTCTCTCTCTCTCTCTCTCTCTCTCTCTCTCTCCCCCTCTCTCTCTAGACTGTACAAGGCAAGTTCCCTTTACAAGCCGCTCAGTCCACCGTGATGCCCACTTCATTAATCCATACAACAAGCATTAAGCATGTTCCGTCCTTGTTGTGTGGTCAACTCTCAAAAGTCGAGCTTGTGCTTATGAGCCTAGGTCTCTACGACTCACACTACCTTAGCTACTCTTGATACCATTGCTATTTAATTTTTATATTTAATGATGTGTATAAAAAATTAATTAGCAAATGAAATGGTCAATTACTCCACTAATTGGTCTTCATTTTGTATTATTTACTATTTTCCGCTAACATACTTTAGATTTGATACATTTAACAAAATATAGAATAATAAATCTAAAAGTTAATAATATGGTAGATCATATCAAAACAATCAACGAAAGTGTTTAGAAACGACCATACACTAATTACAAGAATTACAAGAGCTTGACTAATAATAAAAGATGAAAAAAGATTTTTGAAGTCAATTATTTGTTCTTGGTATACTTGCAAAATAAAAAGTTCCTAGTTTGTCTTTATAACAAGTTTACGCTGAAGCAATATGGCTCATTCAATATTCTATTGAAAATTAAAAACGATGACTACACTAATTTATTTTAGAAAATGGGTATATCTTTCTCCTTCAATGTGAAATAATTAATGACAACTTGTTGTACCACTCTTACTATGCTATAAGTTTATTTTATTTTAGATAAATGCATCACTTAATATTATTTTTATGTAAACTTGGTATTCATACTCATAATTGCGATGACTTAGGGTCAACAATGAAATACACCTTCAAGGGATTTTGCTAATTTCAAGGGGAATTTATATCATTGAGAATATCTGCGAATACTAAGCTCTCTTTCTCGCATATACAAAAATAATTTACACCCAATGAAGCCATCTCTAAATATCCATCTCTAAATAGACATCTAAAAGAAGGCGGTAAAAAAAGGAACTTTGACTTGTGGGCCCGTGCTCCCTTATGCCTTCTGCCTTTCCTCCACCCCTTGGGGCTTGGCCCCGCCGCTCTTGCATTGGCCATTCTGCAATGACTCATCTGTCGGTTGCAAGTAGGCTTTTGCTATTGGATATCATCCATTTGGTTTTCCCAATCCAATCTCGTTGATGGTTGACCCCAAATAAGTACAATGACAAGAGCAACAGGAGGTGATGTCGTCATCTTTGGATAATGCTCGTGAAAATAATTCCAGCAAGACTACATAGTAATCTCTAGTGTGCTTGAAGTCTGCATCACTCCTAGGTGGACCACACACCTTCCAAAGTATAATTCCTTCATAATACCAAAGAAAGTGTGATGAAGAGAGAGAGAGAGAGAGAGAGAGAGAGAGAGAGAGAGAGAGAGAGAGAGAGAGAGAGAGAGAGAGAGAGAGAGAGAGAGAGAGAGAGAGAGATGGAAGTTTTGGGAGAGGAAAGGAGGGTTGAAGAGAGACTAGCACACTTGTTCCCACTTCGGTGGTGCCTTCTTCACCGCTTCTTTCGAGTTCTTACAATGGAGGGTGCCGGAGCGCTGCCAGGATGCCCTGATCAATGTCGTAACATCAGCATCCCATACTGTTCAGCATTGTGTCGGATTGCTAGACATCGTGGTTCACGATGATCTGCAGCAGCTCCTATAGTCTGCTGAGGCTGTTCGTGAGCCCTGACAAAACAAGTGATGGGGGATGTGGGGTCACGGCGAAGTTATTTTGCTTTTCTTTTGCAAGTGTTTCAACCCATTCATTTAGGCACCAATTCTTCTTAGATATCCACAATTGAGTGGTCCATCCAGCCGCCCCTTTTGGGAGATCTTCAAGAACGAACTAGGGTGCTATGCTTGCTCTTGCTTGAAAGGAACCACCGGTGATGGCAAGAAGTCAAGAACGAGATGCATTGACTACGAGACATTGCCTCTAGTTCAAATTGCTTTAGGTGAGGTCCTCCCTAGTCAAAGTGAGAGGTAATATGTCCAGCATTCCTACCACAACACTAATCTTTCCATTCAATGGATTTAGGCGTTGCATAAGCTCCTTGTTCTTCATCAAGATGGCTCGTGGACATATCAAGAAGAGAAGAATGAACATAGACAAAATAAGTGTCTTATGTTGTAGTAATGGATGTTCGAATTAATCTCAATATAGACAATTATATATGAATTATATATTATTGAGTTATTATTGAGTTAATTCTACTTAAAATGATTCATCGAAGCTTAAGTATTTGAAATTATGACATTTCTTGTAAGTGTAGACATAAATATAAATATATATATATATAGAGATCAAATCTTATTATAATCTTTTGATGAACTAAATTAGAAAAAGGCACAAAGAGTCACTCTCGAAGCCTCTCATCTTTCTTTGAGTAAGCTATTAGATGACCCTATTTTTGTTACTTTATAGATTCGTGTATAACTTCAATGCATTCTCAAAATGTTTTATCATTCTCTATATTCTCAACACTAGATCCTTAATCTCTAATCGTAAAACCTCTTTTCGTCTTTAGTGCAGACGAGTTTGTGAGAGCCAACAATTATATCAACATACTAGATCTCGAATAAGGAACTGATTGCTATTAAGAAGTCTAAGGTGTTGGATGAGACCTAGGTGGAGTAGTTCATCAATGAGGTGGTCGTCCTCTTGGGCTGCTGCTTGGAGACCCAAGTCTCTCTTCTGATCTATGAATACATCCCCAACGGCACCTCACCCACCACCTCCACGAAGATCACCACATCATCACCCTCTCTTAAGATGCCCATCTAAGAATTACGCCAAAGACTGTTGGCATTTTGGCTTACCTTCATTTTGCAACAACTTGGCCGATTGTTCACGAGGATGTGAAGATGACCATCATTCTCTTGGATATCAACTACAATTCTAAATTGTTGGACATTGGAGTGTGTAGGCTGATCTCATTGGGAGGGGACATGTCAACACCTTGCTGCAGGGGATGAAGGGTTACCTAGACCCGAAGTACTTCTAGATGGAGATACTGATGGAGAAGAGCGACTAGTACATATTTAGGGTGGTCTTAACGGAGCTCTTAATAGGGTAGAAACTGTTGTCTCGCGTGAGGCCTGAGCAGCAAGTAGTTGGGAGTTTCGGTGTTTCATCTTCTATTAAGTCTAATTGGGCTTTATGGGCTCTTTAGCAAGTATGCGAAGCTAACTCCTATTAAGCTCAGGGGGCTACAAGGGACGATCTCTAGAAAGAATCTTGATCTATGTGTGGTCGTGGAAGTAAGAAGTTTCTCTGAACCACATAAATTTGATATCATGCTTCTTCTTGTCATTATCTTCATATCTTATTTTGTGTTTCATTTTGCATTAGATTTTTACTATACAACAAGGGGAGACAAGAATCCTCTAATTCTCAACACTGTTTAAGTCGACCATTTATTTCTCGGAGGTGATGAGGAATGATAGATTTCTTTACACATTAGGTTCTTGCACATTGGAAATGAGATGAGCAAGGCGTAGTTGGAAATGACAGCAAAGGTGAGAGAGATGCTTAACTTAAAAGGAGAGGAATGGGTAACTACGAAGGAAGTTGTGGTTGAGTTGGAGTGCTGCAGAAGGGTTGGCGTAGGGAAGATGAGAGTTTGTTGAACTCGGCTGTATACTACATTGTCACTTTCGGTGGCCCTAATAGGTTTGACGCTCATGACATCAGTTTGATAAATGGCCGGTGCCTCGACCTACGATGTTGGTCATCCGTGTTGGGTTAAGCTGTCATCAATTTAGTGTAGGCTAATGGATAATAAGCTCTTTATATTCTATTCTACTAGCTCAGTGCACATAGTCAATGCTCATACAAGCTAAAAATCACTATCGTTCTGCGGCCGAGGAAGTTACCCACTGGTGTAACTTCCTCGGCCTTTGTGCCTTGAGGAAATCACAACGAGAAAAATTATGTTTGAAAGGCCTTTAGGAAGTCAATGCTTTTTATGTCTTAGGCTGTTGAGTCAACAGTGTCAATTCATATGCGTAGCTAATCCCAAGCTACTTAGTCTAGATCTTTGTGCCCGAGTCACTACTATATAATGACATTGTTAGGTTCAATAAGCAAATTTGATGATTATTAAATATATATATATATTGATTTTAAGAAAATAAAGCAAGGTTTTACAACCAAAGTACAAAACTGGTTGTTAAGATCTACAATTGATCCCTCAAGGCTACTGTGAAAAATATGTTGACCAAAACCTTTCTGTTTGAAATCATTTGAACCATAAATTCAGTGTTGACAGTACAACAAAAAGAAAGAGTAAGAATATTTGTGCCCTTCAAATCTTGTTTTGATAGCTAAACCAAGTGTGCATTGTAAATGTCAATAATTGTGACTAAAGCTCAATTGTGACTAAGAATTAGATGTCGACACTTACTCCCTAAGTGTTGGCCCTTGTGTGCTGAAAATGGTAATTTTCCACTACTAAAAAAACTGTATAAAAATAGGTGAAAAATAGGTCTTTGGCATGAACATTTTAAGAAAAGCTCAAGGTTTTCAAGTTATAAAAGAACCCTCAAATATATGATCTTAAAAGCTCAAATTTTCTATGCCCTGAAAGGTCTTACATTGTGCTCATGCACATTTTGGATGCTTTAGCTTGATCTATTTTATCTCTCATTGAACTGTAAAGGATTATTATTAAACAAGATCTGCTGGTACAAGAGGGTTTAATAAGACCATGAAAAAACCAATGTATAGTTGGTCAGAAATTGACCTACTTTTGTTACACATGAGGAGGCCTAAGAAATATAATAGTTTTTGGGTTAGATTGAGATATTACAAAATTCAATAAATTGTGTTTTCTTGATTTTATTGTGTAAACTTTTGTGTAAAATGAGGTTTTTTAATCATCATTATTAGCATAGTAGGTTGAAGAGAAATAGCCCTCTCCCTCTTCTTCTTATCCAACGATTTTAAACAACATTAAGTAATTAGCTACCTTTTTTGATAAGATACATTGTGATGTATTTGTATTACTAATTGATGTAGACTATCATTTGGCAGTAATTTTTAACATAACCACTTGACAAATGATTCATTTAATGATGAGGTTTATCATAGAGATTCCTTAATTCCTCACTAAACCAAGCTATTGAGATAGTTGTGAAGACATTTACTTATATTATGCGATTGATTACCTTTTATGATTTAAATGGTAAGTATTTTAATATTTTAAAATACTTTAAGAAATATAATTCTAATAAGATATAATTCATATTTTATCATTTAACTTGGAGAAAATTGTAGAAATCATGTGGCTTTTGAGGATACAAGAAAGAGCAGGACTTATTTGTGATTTGGATGAGTTATCGGGACTTGAAACTAAATAATGCCATACTATTTTTATTATATATCTTTGTGAGACATGAAGTTCATAGATTTTTTCTATTTTTAAACGGCCATAATTCTCACAAACCTGATGATGGGGAAGATCCTGCTGAGCGCCGTTTTCAAATGTAGACGGTAAAAGTCAAACGCTGGCATGGGGCCCTGTTGCCTTATCAATGTTAACTCTTGCATCAAACAAGCGTCACGGAGAAGACAATGGGAGACATACGCGCCTGGAAGTCAAATCTATGGCCGTGGCCACAGCAAGAATTTCAAGGAGGGGCCTAGCTGTTGGACTTTGCAAACTGGTTGGAAAGAGGATGCTATCAGTACACGAACTCAACAAACCCAACATGTTCGAGGTCTAGTTCCCTTCATTACTTACGAAGAGGTGATAACTCTTGCTTTGGATTGGAGAAATGGTGAAGGAAGAGGATGTGAGGAGTGGAGAAGAGAGATCATCCACCATGTCCCTGCTTTGGCGCTTCCTTCTGCACCTCTTCCTCGTGGCGGCAGGGGCAACGGCAACGGCGGAGGCGGCCGGCGGAGCGCTACCGGGATGTCCGGACCGGTGCGGGAACATCAGCGTCCCGTACCCGTTCGGCATCGCACCGGACTGCTACAGACCGGGGTTCAGGATGATATGCGACAGCTCCATCAACCCGCCAAAGCTTTTCCTGAGCAATGGAATGGTGGTGTCGGAGATAAGGGACGCCGACCTCGTGGTGGAGGGGCCTATAGCTAAGGCCTGTTACAATTCTTCCCTCAGGAATGTTGTCAAATTTGAAGTGACCTGGACTCCCTATACCTTGTCCAGGCGGAACAAATTCACTGCCCTCGGCTGTACCACCGTTGCAATGAACTTCCAGGGAGATGAAGAGTTCGACGTCAGCAGTGGGTGTATGTCCCTTTGCAACAACGCTTCCACCATCAACAGCGGGACCTGCGGAGGCATCGGATGCTGCCAGGTCTCCATACCTCGCGGCCTCAAGCGGCTGGGTTCTGTAGTCGTTAGGGGAAACGGCTCAGCCGCTTTGAACCTCAGCCCCTGTAGCTATGCGTTCCTAGTGGACCAGGACAGCTTTATCTTCCAAATGACGGATCTGCACAACTTCGCGCGGAAGAGCACGGTTCCGGTGGTGCTCGACTGGGCCCTCGGAAGCCAGCCATGCGATGTGGCGGCGCAGTCGTCGAAGTACGGCTGTGGCACCAACAGCTACTGCTTCAACGCCATCAATGGGAACGGCTACGTCTGTCGGTGCAACAGCGGCTATCAGGGGAACCCCTATCTCCCGAGTGGATGTCAAGGTAGACGGCCACAGAAGGGAGGGTGCTTTGGAAGGGGGGGTGGATGGTAGAATCAGAACCTAACCGGTTACGTGTTCTCCATGGATCCTTTTATTCCATTTCTCTACATTTCCCGCAGATATCGACGAGTGCGCGGATCCCTCCATCAACCCCTGCTCGCATATCTGCACAAACTACCTTGGCGACTACGCCTGCTCCTGTCCGAGCGGCACCACCGGCGACGGCAAGAAGTCAGGGACCGGGTGCATCGACTCCAGGAGGTTGCCTCTGGTTCAGATTGTTCTCGGTTAGCACCTCGCAAATCGACATCGGAGATTACATAGTTTAATTTTCTATTCGTAATCATGATCATTAACTTGATCTTGACCTTGATGCAGGCGTCGGCCTGGGCTCCGGGTTCTTAATCGCGATCGCTTCTTGGGGATACTGGGCACTCAGGAAGAGGAGAATGATTCTACTGAGGGAGAACTTCTTCAGACAAAACGGGGGGCTCATGCTGCAGCAGCGGATCTCTTCCCATGGAAACGCAGCCGAGAGTGCGAAGATCTTCAGCGCTGAGGAGTTGGAGAGGGCCACCGACAACTACAGCGAGAGCCGAATCCTGGGGAAGGGAGGCTACGGCACCGTTTACAAAGGGATCCTCCCGGATAAGAAAGTAGTTGCTATTAAGAAGTCAAAGGTGTTGGACGAGACCCAGGTGGAGCAGTTCATCAACGAGGTAGTCGTCCTCTCCCAGGTCATCCACCGGAACGTCGTCAAGATTCTGGGCTGCTGCTTGGAGACCCAAGTCCCTCTTCTGGTCTACGAATACGTCCCCAACGGCACCCTCACCCACCACCTCCACGGAGAGGGCCACGTCTCCACCCTCTCCTGGGATATCCGTCTGAGAATTGCCGCAGAGACTGCCGGCGCTCTGGCCTACCTCCATTCTGCGACCACCAGGCCGATCGTCCATCGGGATGTGAAGACGGCCAATATTCTCCTGGACAACGAGTACACCGCCAAAGTGTCGGACTTCGGAGCGTCCAGGGTGATCCCTCTAGGGAGGGGCCAGGTCACCACTTTGGTGCAGGGGACGATGGGGTACCTGGACCCGGAGTACTTTCAGAAGGGGCTGCTGACGGAGAAGAGCGACGTGTACAGCTTCGGGGTGGTCCTGGCGGAGCTCCTGACGGGGCAGAAGCCTCTGTCCCAGACGAGGCCCGAGGAAGAGAAGAACCTGGCCATTTATTTCCTGCACGCCGTGAGACGCAAGCAGTTGCTCGACATACTGGAGCCTCGCATCCGCAACGAGGCAAGTCGGGAGCAGTTGGAAGCGGTGGCGAAGGTTATAGAAAGGTGCCTGAGCTTAATGGGAGAGGAGCGGGCGACTATGAGGGAAGTGGCGACGGACCTGGAGCGGCTGCGGGTGCGCTCGTCGCACCCATGGGCGCTGGCGTCTCCGGACAGTTCAGCGGCCTCTTCACATCCGTCGACAGGTAGCCGTGATATTTGGAGCATCTGAATGAATCAGCGGCATTCAGTTGTTCGATTCGTTTTCCTTTTTTTCCATGTTAAATTTTGCAACCTCTAAACTGAGATTCATTTGGGGCATTTTGGTGCTTTTGGGTTTGACCCAAGCTCAGAAAAAAAAACGAAAAAAGAAGGGAGCAGGCTCATCTCTTTTATCATCAGACACCGGGGATCTCTAGTTGTAATTGATAAATTATCTCTAGATGGCTTCCGGGTAATTGGTCAAATCACTGTGATGGGCATTTCTAATACAAGAACTCAGGTTAATCCTCTTTGTTAGTTTGGATCACGAAGCTTCATCCACGAAGATTGCACCTAAAGTTTTTCAAGTAACTTTTTCGAATGAGAATCATATCAATAACTTTTTCTTCATAAACTCTATGCAGTTATTTATTGACCTTTGATTTTCGTTCCTTCCATTTCTTCTGAAAGTTTCTGATGTGCCTACCGCAGTTGCCTGGGGATGATGAGGGGCTGGAAGAAGGGCTCACACGCTGCCAAAAACCTCGCTCCGTCTTGTGGAATATGGTTCGTCAGGAAAGGCCGTCAGGACGACGAAGGCTTCCGAGGAGACGAGCCCTGTGGCTGAAACTGGGTCCGCCAAATGGTCGTCTTCCTTGTCTGGAGATGAAATGGATCGAAAGGAAGATGGCAGCTTTTCCATTTTCGACTCATGGTGTTATTCAGACAACTGTAATCTACCCACGTCTACAAGATCGTTGATTTCCATCGCTCTGGTTTCCTTGTGCGCTTCCTCAGATGAAGGAATCCCCCTCGAAGGTAAGAAAACGTTGATTCCACTAAAGAACGAAGCCCGCGTTGGAATTCTTATGCAATCAGATCAATGAAAGAAGCCCATGTGGATTCGATGAAGCGGTCAAAACTGGAAGCAGAATCTATATTACTTAATGTATGGGCTTTTCTGGGCTTGTCTTAGTCAACTCTTTGGCTTTGCCAGCCAGGTCAAAATGTGGAAAGCTACCTGTGCGTCCGAAGTCAGACGCGTTGACCTCTCGGTGAGGGCACACGATCAAGGGCTGTGATCTAATTGATCAAATTTCTTTTCTTGTAAATTTCAATATTCAGAATAAGAGTTATCAACACAATAGACAATAAATAAACAGCGGTTTTGGCCAAGGACTCTGTCTTTGATTGTACAGCTCCAATCAACTTAAAATTTTCCAAAATCTTCCCCAAGATTCTCGGTCTCTAGATAGCCTAAACCAACACAGATAATTCCACCCTCTTTCCTTAGATATCAAAGCATAAGAACCCTCAATTTTTCTGAAATTAATAATAGTAAAATACAGAGCAGTCTCCGAATTATTTGGTCACCTTCAGAAGCTTTACCTTCTTGTATGAACGAGTACTTTGCAGCGTAGACTTGATCTGAAAATATAACGCTTCTCCTTTTCTTTCTTGCTGAAGGTTAGATCAAAGTAAAGAGTTTTTTTTTATTTAATTTTGATCTTATCTTGCTGGTCAAATTGTGACGTGAAGATGTTGACAATCGGATGATCATCTTTCTCTGTTCGATGCAGACCCAATTGAAGGAGACGGCACGTGGATAAAGTTCAACCTGTTCTTTTCCTCCTGGTTCGTCGGGGTCCCCTTCACGCAATAGAAAAAAACAAAGACAGGAGGAAATAACCGAGTAAAATAAAGATTTCTTGCTTTCGTGATCAATGAGAACTTAGCGACGTAATGGTCTGATCAGAAGGTCTCTCCTTTTCAGGCAAGCTCGAGGAGGTGACATCCAGATCTCATTCGTTTCTTTGTAGGCGCAACCCGAAGATACAGGTCTTGGATGGATGCTCGACGATGACTGAGGACAGATACGGGTTTCTCCTTCTTTGCAGCCATGATCTGAGAACGCCGGGCCGCAAGGATGGCTGGTTCTCCTCTTTTTCTCTTGCCGGAGGGTCAAACGGGGCGTCGCGTCGCGAGGGTGGGTCGTCGAGCTCAGTTTCTCTTCTCCTTTTATCGCAGACTCGATCAGGGGTAGCGCCGTGAGGTTGAATCGATCGGGCTCTGCTCCTCCCTCGTCCTGTCGCTGCGCGTTCACACACACGACGGGAAGAGATATTTCGCGTACTAATCCTCTCCTTTAGATGGGCCATCTGGTGGGCCATCTGGCGCGAACGGGCCACGGCCCTTTTTTTTTAATTTTCTCCTACGAGGTATATAGATCCGTTTACCCGAATTTATGAGATCCAGGCCTAATAAGACATTTACTGTATTTTAATTCCAACCTATATACATATATTAAATATAATCCAGACCCGATCTGGAACCGGGGGGGGGGGAGACTCTGCCTGCCGGAATGGAGACCGGAAGGAGAGGAAGAAGAGAGAGAGAGAGAGAGCTGCAGAGCGAGAGTGTGCTGGGTCTCGTCTGCAGGAGAGGGGAAGCTCTAGAGCGAGCGTGGGGAGTGCGCGGAGGGAGCTGAGATTGCTGCGGTTCGACGGCAGCAAGTGAGGAGTCGGCGGAGAGCTGTGGAGAGTGGAAGCCAGGAAAGGAGAAGAGCGGCCGTGTTGTTCTCTTCTCCTCCCCCTCTGTACGCCCTTCTTGAGGTAATACGACTACATTCGGTGTTCCATTCTCGCAGTAGGTAGGATCTCGGGGAGTTCCGCAGGTGACGTGGAAGCTGCTCGACGTTGACGGAGCAACGGACGAGGCCGGTCTCGGGCGGTTAAACGGAGAACCGGAGTATCCACCCGTGACAATCGGTCAAGGGGGCTCCGGTTGTGTCTACAAGGGGGAGTTGCTGGGCAAACAGTGGTGGTGAAGAAATTGTATACTCATGATGTCCAAGGTCGACTAGAGTTTCATACTTAGATGCTCACATCATTCGCTTCCCCTGATCAGGAAGCTTACCCATGTCTAAATGAGGGCATTACCCCTAGCCGCTGACTATCCCAGATATTATTATATTTAGCACGAATAATCCCGTGGAGCATAACTAGAAAGACGGAATGAGCTTACATCAATGTGATTCTGTTCACTGGTGGTGATTAAGAAAGATTCATTAATCCCGTTGGCATATCCAGGCTCTGCTCTTAGCAAACTCAAACACCGCCATTTTTCTTGAGTTTAGGAAAATAAATGAAGGTTTTACTACCAAAACATGACTTTGATCGTTAAGATCTATTATTGATCCCTCAAAGTTATTGTGCATAATATGTTGACAAAACCTTTCGTTTGACATCATTTGAACAATAAATCCAATCTCGACACTTGCATCAGGTGCTGAATTTTTTTAAAAAAAGAGAGTAAGAATCATTCTGACCTTTGAATTGTACGTTTTTATACCTAGAACAAGTGTGTATTGTAAATGTCAATACTTGAGACCAAAACTAAAGGCAGACTCGCAAGAGTCAAACCCTAAGAATTGGATGCCAACAATTACTCCCCATACGTTGACCCTTATGTGATGACAATGGTAATTTTGCACTGCTCGAAAACGTGTATAAAAAGAGGTGAAAAAGTAGGCCTTACACGAGACATTTTGAAAAAAAAGCTCAAGGTTTTCAAGTTATAAAAGAACCCTCAAATAGAAGTTCCAAAAAACAAATAATTTCTATGCCCTAAAATGTCTTTTATTGTTCAAATGCTCATGTGTCATTTTGAAGGTTTTAACTTGATCTATTTTATCTCTCATTGAACTGTAAAGGATTATTATTAAACAAGATCTGCTGGTACAAGAGGTTTAATAAGACCATGAAAAAACTAATGTATAGTTGGTCAGAAATTGACCTACTTTTGTTACACATGAGGAGGCCTAAGAAATATAATAGTTTTTGGGTTAGATTGAGATATTACAAAATTCAATAAATTGTGTTTTCTTGATTTTATTGTGTAAACTTTTGTGTAAAATGAGGTTTTTTAATCATCATTATTAGCATAGTAGGTTGAAGAGAAATAGCCCTCTCCCTCTTCTTCTTATCCAACGATTTTAAACAACATTAAGTAATTAGCTACCTTTTTTGATAAGATACATTGTGATGTATTTGTATTACTAATTGATGTAGACTATCATTTGGCAGTAATTTTTAACATAACCACTTGACAAATGATTCATTTAATGATGAGATTTATCATAGAGATTCCTTAATTCCTCACTAAACCAAGCTGATTGAGATAGTTGTGAAGACATTTACTTATATTATGCAATTGATTACCTTTTATGATTTAAATGGTAAGTATTTTAATATTTTAAAATACTTTAAGAAATATAATTCTAATAAGATATAATTCATATTTTATCATTTAACTTGGAGAAAATTGTAGAAATCATGTGGCTTTTGAGGATACAAGAAAGAGTAGGACTTATTTGTGATTTGGATGAGTTATCGGGACTTGAAACTAAATAATGCCATACTATTTTTATTATATATCTTTGTGAGACATGAAGTTCATAGATTTTTTCTATTTTTAAACGGCCATAATTCTCACAAACCTGATGATGGGGAAGATCCTGCTGAGCGCCGTTTTCAAATGTAGACGGTAAAAGTCAAACGCTGGCATGGGGCCCTGTTGCCTTATCAATGTTAACTCTTGCATCAAACAAGCGTCACGGAGAAGACAATGGGAGACATACGCGCCTGGAAGTCAAATCTATGGCCGTGGCCACAGCAAGAATTTCAAGGAGGGGCCTAGCTGTTGGACTTTGCAAACTGGTTGGAAAGAGGATGCTATCAGTACACGAACTCAACAAACCCAACATGTTCGAGGTCTAGTTCCCTTCATTACTAACGAAGAGGTGATAACTCTTGCTTTGGATTGGAGAAATGGTGAAGGAAGAGGATGTGAGGAGTGGAGAAGAGAGATCATCCACCATGTCCCTGCTTTGGCGCTTCCTTCTGCACCTCTTCCTCGTGGCGGCAGGGGCAACGGCAACGGCGGAGGCGGCCGGCGGAGCGCTACCGGGATGTCCGGACCGGTGCGGGAACATCAGCGTCCCGTACCCGTTCGGCATCGCACCGGACTGCTACAGACCGGGGTTCAGGATGATATGCAACAGCTCCATCAACCCGCCAAAGCTTTTCCTGAGCAATGGAATGGTGGTGTCGGAGATAAGGGACGCCGACCTCGTGGTGGAGGGGCCTATAGCTAGGAACTGCTACAAGCCTTTCAATCTCGGCCCGGATGTGATCTTAACCATCGTCAACGTTACCGGAACGCCCTACACCTTGTCCTACAGGCGGAACAAGTTCACCGGCCTAGGCTGTGACACTGTCGCCTACAACCTTCAGGGAAGGTACATGTCCGACTTAAGCAGTGGGTGTGTGTCCTTCTGCAACGACCCTTCCACCATCAGTAACGGGACTTGCGAAGGCATCGGATGCTGCCAGACCTCTATACCCAGGGGGCTCCAGCAGCTGGGTACCTTTCTCATGAGTCAGAGGAACCTCACGGTCACTTTCAACTTCAGCCCCTGCAGCTATGCCTTCCTGGTGGATCAGGAGAGCTTTGCCTTCCAATTAACGGATCTGTACAGCTTCCTGCGGAAGAGCACGGTCCCGGTGGTGCTCGACTGGGCCATCGGAAGCCAGCCATGCGATGTGGTCGCGGAGTCGTCGGACTACGCCTGTGGCTCAAACAGCTACTGCTTCAACGCTACCAATGGGGACGGCTACGCCTGCCGGTGCAATAGCGGCTATCAGGGGAACCCCTATCTCTCGAGTGGATGTCAAGGTAGACGACCACGGAAGGGAGGGTGCTTTCCGGGGGGGGAGGTGGAATCAGAACCTAACCGGTTACGTGTTCTCCATGGATCGTTTTATTCCATTTCTCTACATTTCCCGCAGATATCGACGAGTGCGCGGATCCCTCCACCAACCCCTGCTCGCATATCTGCACAAACTACCTTGGCGACTACGCCTGCTCCTGTCCGAGCGGCACCACCGGCGACGGCAAGAAGTCAGGGAACGGGTGCATCGACTCCAGGAGGTTGCCTCTGGTTCAGATTGTTCTCGGTTAGCACCTCGCAAATCGACATCGGAGATTACATAGTTTAATTTTCTATTCGTAATCATGATCATTAACTTGATCTTGACCTTGATGCAGGCGTCGGCCTGGGCTCCGCGTTCTTAATCGCGATCGCTTCTTGGGGATACTGGGCACTCAGGAAGAGGAGAATGATTCTACTGAGGGAGAACTTCTTCAGACAAAACGGGGGGCTCATGCTGCAGCAGCGGATCTCTTCCCATGGAAACGCAGCCGAGAGTGCGAAGATCTTCAGCGCTGAGGAGTTGGAGAGGGCCACCGACAACTACAGCGAGAGCCGAATCCTGGGGAAGGGAGGCTACGGCACCGTTTACAAAGGGATCCTCCCGGATAAGAAAGTAGTTGCTATTAAGAAGTCAAAGGTGTTGGACGAGACCCAGGTGGAGCAGTTCATCAACGAGGTAGTCGTCCTCTCCCAGGTCATCCACCGGAACGTCGTCAAGATTCTGGGCTGCTGCTTGGAGACCCAAGTCCCTCTTCTGGTCTACGAATACGTCCCCAACGGCACCCTCACCCACCACCTCCACGGAGAGGGCCACGTCTCCACCCTCTCCTGGGATATCCGTCTGAGAATTGCCGCAGAGACTGCCGGCGCTCTGGCCTACCTCCATTCTGAGACGATCTCGTCGATCGTCCATCGGGATGTGAAGACGGCCAACATTCTCCTGGACAACGAGTACACCGCCAAAGTGTCGGACTTCGGAGCGTCCAGGGTGATCCCTCTAGGGAGGGGCCAGGTCACCACTTTGGTGCAGGGGACGATGGGGTACCTGGACCCGGAGTACTTTCAGACGGGGCTGCTGACGGAGAAGAGCGACGTGTACAGCTTCGGGGTGGTCCTGGCGGAGCTCCTGACGGGGCAGAAGCCTCTGTCCCAGACGAGGCCCGAGGAAGAGCAGAACCTGGCCATTTATTTCCTGCACGCCGTGAGACGCAAGCAGTTGCTCGACATACTGGAGCCTCGCATCCGCAAGGAGGCAAGTCGGGAGCAGCTGGAGGTGGTGGCGAGGGTGACAGTGTGGTGCCTGAGCTTAAGGGGGGCGGGGAGGCCAACCATGATGGAAGTGGCTGCGGAGTTGGAGCGGCTGCGGGTGTCTCCGTCGCACCCTTGGGCGCCGGCGACTCCGGACAGCTCAGCGCCTACTTCACACGCGTCAGCGAGAGGTGGCATCTCGGACGAGGAGAGCTTACTCAGGGAATATTCTCGCTGACCCATCATGCGAAAGGTACGCCGTTAGAGTGAGTGCGCCCGCGCTCCGCTCCTTCGACTGATTGTTCGCATCGGACGGCCTAGTATACCGCAAAGATTTTCTGAAAAGCATGGTGACATCGTTTCATGGTTTAATGTCCCCCGATGATCGAAGCCAGTCAAGAACATTGTTCATCATTGCGTCGTCATTCTTATGAATTTTCTCCGGCTAATTTGAGTTTAATCTGATATTTTCTGTCTAATACTGTCATTGAAGTTGGATAAATCGATTTTCATAAGCTCGTACAATTCATATGGTTTACTCCGCTATAAGATTGTCGACGCGATAACAGAAGTTCCGGGCAAGACAGACCGCCTTGAACAAGCTAAAGTTGGGGCCCTTGCCAATATTGGGTAACCGGCGGTACTTCGGGATAACGGGAAAGAAGAACCGGAAGTTCAGCCGTCACTAATTAACAAGCTGATTTTAAGTAGAACAATTTAGTAATTTATGAGATATGTTTTGATTTATCAGCACGAAGTCCATTGTTTTTTTATCTTGTATCTCCGGAAATTAAGGCCTCAAGATGCAAGATTTGGGTATTTGTGAAAGAAAATCACGAACTGCGAGTGAAAATGTATGTGATCATTGGGATTTCACGTACAACGCGGCAGCTGATTTTTTATTCTAGAGCAGAGGCCCATGACGCCCTTCTGATAAATCCTTCATTTCATATCTTATCAGCTGCGAAATGAGGAATGGAACGTGGCGGTACAGGTGCAAGCGAGCATCATCATGATAGGACGTGAGAATGTTCTAAAAGGAATTGCAGGCTTGGTTAATCGAATTGTATCCGGAAACTTGTCATGGGTTTTTCAAAAGACAGGCGGCTGGTTCTAAGTGATAATTGCAGCATCTGGATGATTTAGCAGCATTCAGTCGTTCGATTCCTGTTTTTTTTTGTGCGATCTACATTTTTCAAGCGCTAATCTGCGATTCATTCGTGGGATTTTGGTGCTTTCGGGTCTGACCAAGCTTACAAAAATGGAAAAAAATCAGGGAGCAGATTCACCTTTGTTCTCATCAGACACCAGAGACCTCTGGTCGTAATTGAGATTTTTTTCGCGAAATTACTTCCAGGTAATTGCTAAAATCACTGTGCTGGGCATATGTAGTGCAATAACTCTAGTTTAATCCTATTTATTAATTTGGACCACAAAGGTTTGAGCTCGAGTTTAATCCACCATCTCAAGTCTTTTCATCGAAGCAGATATAAATTTCTTGTAGCTCCTAGAGTCAAACGAGAATCATATCAATAACTTGTTTCTTCATAAACTCTATGCAGTTATTTATTGATCTTTATTTTCGTTCCCTTAATTTCTTCTGAAAGTTTCTAATGTCCCTACCGCAGTTGCCTGAGGATGATGAGGGGATAGAAGAAGGGCTCCTACGCCGCGAAAAACCTCGCTCCGTCTTGTGAAATATGGCCCGTCAGCAAAGGTAATCGCGTGTGGACGATGAAGGCTTTTGAGGAACCGAGCTCTGTGACCAAACTGGGTCCACCAAATGGTCGTCTTGCCCAGCTGGAGATGAACTGGATCGAAAGAAAGTTGGCAGCTCTGTCATTTTCGACTCATGTTATTCAGACAGCAGTAATCTACCCACGTCTACAAGATCACTGATTTCCATTGCTCTGGTGAACTAACTAAATCTATATTACTCTATTTGGTTAGTTCATCTAAAGCTTATAACTTAATGTAAGGGTTGTTCCGGGCCTGTCTTAGTCAACTCTTTGGTTTTGCCAGCCACGTCGAAATGTTGAAAGCTACCTGTGCGTCAGAAGTCAAACGTATTAGCATCTCGGTGGGGGCACACTATCAAGGGCGGGATCAATTGATCCAATTTCTTTTCTTGTAAATTTCCAATTGGTAAATATTATTCAGAATAAGAGGTATCAACAGAATTACATCACAGATTCATATTGGTTTTGGCCCTCTGAACTTATATCCACTCTAAATTCGAGGACTCCGTCTTTGAATCCCACTAAATCTTTAGTGTTTACACGCTGACTGCCAGGCGCAGCAACCTGGTAGACTGTACAGCTCCAGTCATCTTCAGATCTTCCATAATATCCCCCTAGATTCCGGGGCTCTAGGTAGCCTAAACCCACAGAGATGATTCCACCCCTCTTTTCATAGATATCAAAACTTAAGAACCCCCGAATTTTCTGAAATTAATAATAATAATAAAAAAGCTCCAAATTATTTGGCCTCCTTCAGAAGCTTTACCCTTCTTGTATGATCCAGTACCTTGCCGCCTAGACTTGAAGCGAAATAGAATTGACCCGAATAAATATGTTGCTGTTTGATGCGTGGTCGATCAGAAGACTTCTTCTTCTCTCCTGGTGAGGGTTAAATAAAAATAAATAATTCTGTTTTGTGAATTTTGATTTTATCTTACTAGTCGAATTGTGAGCTGAAGATGTGAATGATCGGATGATCATATGTCTTTGTTCGATGCAGACCCAATTGAAGGAGATGGTACGTGGGCGAAGTTCAGCCAGTTCTTCTCCTCCTCCTGATTCGTCAGGGTCCGCTTGACTCAGTAGAAAGACAAAGACAGGAGGAGATAATCGAGCCAAATAATGATTTCTTGCTTTTAGATCACGGAGAACTTAGCGTCTTAACGGTCTGTTCAGAAGGCTTCTCCTTTTTCTCTTCCCGGAGGTTCAAACGGGACGTTGCGGCTCGAGGGTGGGTCCTCGAGCTCAGTTTCTCTTCTCCTGTTGCAGGCTCGATCATTTGTCGCGGTGTGAGGATGAATCGATCGAGTTCACATACGAGATGGAGAGATTTTTGGAGAGAGAATGTTTCGGTCAAATTAGGCTTTACAGTGAACCTCGCGTCTTTTTCTTCTCCCTAAATGGGCCGTCTAGTGGGCCAGATGTAGAGTGAACGGGTACAGCCCGTTTTCTTCAACTTTCGGATCCTATGCGCCACAAGGGATAGACCCGTTTAACAAAATTTAAAGATATCCAGGATCCAATATGCCTTCAATTTGAGGCACACTTAATATCCATTACTGTTTTCTTTCAGGTCCAATAACACATTTAATCCAAGATGTATATATATAGATATATATATATATATACACACACACACACACGCTATTGAGACCCAATAATAACTCAATTTCTTCTTTAATAACTCCAAATAATTTTCCACACTAGTCAACACCAAACTTCCTCATCTGATTGTGTCTGCAAGGGGGAGTTGCCCGGCCAAACTGTGGTGGTGAAGAAATTGCATACTTAGATGCCCAAATCGTTTGCTTCCCCTGATCAGGAAGCTAACCCATGTCTAAATGAGGGCATTACCCCTAGCCGCTGACTATCCCAGATATTATTATATTTAGCACGAATAATCCCGTGGAGCATAACTAGAAAGATGGAATGAGCTTACATCAATGTGATTCTGTTCACTGGTGGTGATTAAGAAAGATTCGCTCAGTCCCGTTCGCATATCCAGGCTCTGCTCTCAGTAAACTCAAACACCTCCATCTTGTGAATGTGATCGGCATGTGCCCGGAAGCCTGGTTCCTCGAACGTGTACCTGTCCAACGGGAGCCTCCAAGACTATCTCACGGGGAGAACGAACGCCGCCCTGCAGTGGGAGGTACGGGCACGCATTGCCGCAGAAATAGGCAACGCCCTCCTTTCCTTGCACACTTCCAAGCCCGAGAAGATCATCCATGGCGATCCTATGCCCGAAAGGATCTATCTCAACGATGAACTGAGATGGAAGGTCGGGGATGTGAACATCTGCTGGCTTGTCCCGGAGTAAGCCATGCGCCGCATAATCTGCATAAAGGCAGAAATATTTTGATTAAACCAATTAGGAGTCAGATACATGAATTTATAACAATCTGAATTGAGTGGATCATATCCAGTTAATCGGTTTCACTTATGTCGAAATTGGATCCAATTCACCTCTGAACAGAAGGGACACAATTACGAAAAAATAAAGAGATATATACATAAATGAAAGAAGATCATAGTATATCTGTAATATCTCACTTATGTCGAAATTGGATCCAATTCACCTCTGAACAGAAGGGACACAATTACGAAAAAATAAAGAGATATATACATAAATGAAAGAAGATCATAGTATATCTGTAATATCTCATTCTCCAACCTTCCTCCTCAAGTTGGTAAATGGATGCCATTCAATCCTAACCTGGATGTGAGCTTCTGGAAGGATAGTCCAGCTAGTCTTTTGATCAGAATATTTGCCAATTTTTCATGCTTTGATATATATATATATATATATATTATGTAGATGACATCACAGTACAACTTGATTCTGAAATCTTTTAAATTTTATTTTACCCACAGACTTTGGATATTACTTGCGTCATAACTTGATCTGGCCATTCAGACTCAAGATAATGATGTTGACTCCAAAAAGTTTTCAATAGTTTAAGGTTGACCGTTGATTAATAATCAAGCAAGCAAAATCAGTATCAGTTAAAATATCTACACTCATATTATAATAGTCCTTAAATAATACTCATCAATGAGGTGTTGCCTTCAGATATTGAAGAACCCAATATGTAGTTAAGAGGTGAACTAAGAGGTGGAAGCATGCAATACGCAATGACCTCAAGAAACGCGCCACACGTGGGGCGTTTCCTCTTCCATTGGATGCAAATAGTCTGGCTGTTATGTTCTTCTCCGTTTTACCCGGTCCGCCCACAAATGGAACGCTTCGTCCGAGAGTATCCGTCCGCGAACGGACCGTTTTTCTTTCCTCAGCCGAAGCCTTCTGCTCTCCTGCATTTAATGCGGTGCCTGAAAAGGCAGGCCATAATAGAATGGGTAAACATGAAGGAACTCGGCTGTGAAGTGGGCTCTTTTTATTCTGCTCTACTAACTCAGTGCACATAGTCAAATCCATACAAGCTGAAAATTGATGTCATTGCGGTTGTACAATTTGGCTGAAACTTTTATACTTAGTCTAGTTTGGGGGATTGACGAGAGCTATTTGACCGAAGTATAACATTTATTCCATGGCTGAGGGATTTACACATTACTGCAAATTCTTTTTGGTGCACCCACTGACTTTACAACGAGAGAAATTGTGCTCGAGAGTTCCCACAACTGTACTTAGGCTGTTGACTCAAACATGGTATCCATCTTGCCAACACAATGTAGTCTCTCCTTAGATAGTCAATTCATCTGTGTAGCAAAAATGTCGTCATGACTGACTACAATACAATGACATTGTTATGTTCAACAAGTAAAATTCGATGGTTATTAAACTGAAATTTTATATTAATTAATTTAAATATTTTTCATAATTTTAGGCAAAAAAAATGAAGGTATTACTACCGAAGGACAAGTTTGATTGTTCCTTGACTATTCATCCCTCAAAGCTATTATGCAAAGTATGTTGATAAAACTTTTTCATTTGAAACCATTTGAACCATAAATTCAGTGTTGACACATGCATCAAGTGTTGACTTTGAAAAAAAAAAAAAGAGTAAGAATCATTATGACCTTTGAATTGTAAGTTTTGATACCTAGAACAAGTGTCATTGTGTAAATGTCAATACTTGGGACCAAAATTAAATCCAGACTCACAAGAGTCAAACCTTGAAACTTGGATGCCAACACGTAGGCCTTATAAGTTGACCCTTAAGAGTTTAAAATAGTAATTTTTCATTTCTTGAAATGGCATATAGAAAGAGTGAAAAAGTAGCTATTAGACTTGAGAAACTTTGCAGAAAAATAAGTTATAAAAGAACCTTAAAATTTAAGTTCCAAAAAACTCAAACGTTTTTAAGCCCTGAAAACTTTTACATTGTTCAAGTGCTCATGTCATTTTGGAGTTCTCTAAGTTGATCTCTCATTGAGTTGTACATGCTTATTATTAAGCAAGAACCTGTTGGTGTATGAGTGCATAGTATCGTCGTTTCATCGTTTAATGTCCCCCGGTAATGGAAGTCATTCAAGAACACCGTTCATCCATGCGTCGTGCTTCTAATACAATCTTCTCCGACTTATTTCTGTTTAATTTGATATTTTCGGTCTAAGAAGCTTATTGAAGTTGGCTAGTTCGGTTTGCATAAGTTCCTAGAATTCATATGGTTTACTCATCAAAAAGATTGTCGACGGGATTAAAGAAGCCCGATCCCCAATAAGGGTAGGCTCACCCACTGCTCAGGCTAGCCGCAATATCAAGCATCCCCTTTCTGCTTCCCCGTTCGCGTTGACTTCGTGAAAGAAGACCAGACGTTGGATCCCAACCATTCTGAAAGCGACGTCCTACCTGTCCGCAACTCCCGATTTGTGAAAAGTCCAACACTCTTGCCAGCTGCGGTATAGCGATTTGTCAATTAGAAACTTTAAAATAATATTGTTATAAGAGTTTGGCTGTTTTCTCGGCCAGACATCCATCTTTTTCTCATACACTTTTTAAATATATCTAAAATTCTTCTGATGGTCATTGCCTAAGTGGATATTCTCATTTATCATGGAGATTCTCATTTAGATTTAAGTGGATATGAATCGATCTCTTCTCTTTGTCTTGAGGGTAATCTTGATGGCCCCGTGTCGGTTGACTCCAGCGCGTCTCTTCTTTGAACATTCCACTTTTTAGATGCAATCAAAGTCAACCACGCCTACACGGAAGGCGACTTCTCGTTTCAATTGCTTCCCCGTCTTCGCTTCGTTGTGGGGGTGGACGCCGGAATCACCGGGGTGGGTAGGCGGGGAAGAGAAGGGACCAAAGTTGAAACTTGAAGCGAAGACGTAGAAGCAACTTGGCACATTAGAATGGTCGAAATATATAGTCGAGTGCCCGCGGGCCAAGTTGATTAATATTGCTGAAAACTATGGTCGAAATTACAGGTACATGAGCTTAACCCTCCACAGGGAAGAAGGGCCTCGAAGCTTAAGGGCCACCACAACCTCGATCAAGGTGACAGCGGCTGCAGAAGCAGAAATGCAGCCTCCCAAGTCATTCCATCGACATAAACACCTATAACAACAGGAAATGAGAACAAACAGCTGAGGAGAAACCAACTGGCCGCATCGATCTCTCAGAGTCATAGATTCAGGTTCCTCAGTGTTTATCTGAGCCTTTTTCTCACCCAGCGTTCAGATGAACGGTGGGAGAATCACCCATCTTCGTGGATACCATTATTTCATCGGGGAAATGTTCGAAATGAACTGCCAGGAGAGCATGAAATTTATCACACATAGGAAAGAGAACTTCCAAGGTTGTGTCGTCAAGGAAAGACAAGTATCAAAGAAATTTCAGCAAAAATATGAAGCCTATTTCCTGAAACCAAGGGATCAGAAGAATTCAGAGGCAAACCTGGAGCGTGGATCTCTTTCTGAAGATCGCTCACCAAGACCTGCAGAAGAAAAATAAAGCTGGTTCTGGGTCACTGCTTGAGGGTTAGAACCTGTGTTATGATACCACTCTGTCTAGAGCATTCCTCTTGTGTTGATCCTTATGGGTTCACAATAGTAATTTTTCACTGCTTGAAATGTCATATAAAAACAGGTTAAAAAGTGTCTCTTAGACATGAGACATTTTGAAAAACTGCTCAAAGTTTTCAAGTTATAAAATAACTGTAAAATATAAGTTCCTAAAAACTCAAAGGTTGTAAGGCCTAAAAGCTCTTATATTGTTAAAGTTGTCGTGTCATTTTGGAAAATTTTAAGTTAATGTAATTTATCTCTCATTGATTGTACACACTTACCATTAAACAAGACCCATTGGTTAAGAGGGTTTAGTAAGACATTGGAGAAACCAACCTATAATTGGTTAGAAATTTACATAATTTTCATACACGTAGGGAGGCCAATGAAATGTAATATGTTTTGTGTTGATTGAAACATTGTTAAATTCAGGTGTATTCTGTAGTTTTTATTACATTATGTAAACTTTTATTTATAGACCGATGCTTTAGTTCAAGTAAATTCCTCCTTGACATCCTATAATTTTTTTTGTCTATCTACTGTCTCCAAAATTTATTATAATTTTGGATTTACAAGTCAACCTCATCGTTGTGCTCTACATATCAATACAAATAACATGGATATATGAAACAAGTTATAAGAAACATCGTCTCACATTTGGTGATGGTTAATGGTTTGTTACAAGACAAAAAGTGCAACATCTCGTTGAGATGTCTTTCATTAATGACTATAAATGACTAGTATTTTCAGCCTTTTCACTTTATATGCCTAATAAGAGAGTAACTGTTTTGAACATGCTTCACTTTCACTTTCTATGCTTCACTTTCTTTGACTAGTTTTATGCTTAAAACTTTTAAGTCAATATGAACACAATTTTTTATGTCATGGCATGTATCAATATTCAAAACTTGATGATCTTCTACTTTGTGCATCTATTGAGCCAAAGTATTTCCACTTACGATTAGGTGTTTAAACACTCTAAATACATGTCAAGAACTAAAATTCACTGGTCAAGTTCTAAGTTTTACTTCACATTTTAATGCAAGAAAACAAATTATTTACTACATTATATTTGTTTTTTATCTAAACATAGGAGAAAAATAATCATAAATTCATATCACATGAGGGTTTTTCATAATCATCGTTCAATAGCAGTTTTAATTGTCATCAAGTAATTTGTTACCTTTTGATAAGATATGTTGTCACTCACTTGTACTACTGAGCATTGTAAAACATCACCCACACAATAAAATTTAACATATTATATATCAACTCAATAAAAAGTTCATTAATGACAAGATTGGTCATAGAGATTCCCTAATTGCTTACAAAAACCAAGCTGACTAAGCTGCTTACAATGTTTATTAAGATTATGCAATTGATTACCTTTTATCATTTAAATGGTGGTATTTTATTGTTAAAATAAGTAGATAAACTTTTAAAATAAATACCAAGTAATATTTTATCATTTAACTTAGATTAAATAGTAGAAAATTTGCCGTTTGTGAGGATAGGAAAAAAGAGCAGGACTTATCTATGATTTAGGTGATTTATGGGGAGTTGAAAATAAATAACTCTATGACATTTTTACTATCTTTTTAGTGATACATGAAATTTATAGATTTTTTTCTTTTAAAACCGTTCATTATTCACATAAGTCTGCCCATTTGGAAGATACTAATGAGCGCCCAATCAAATCATGCTTACATTTACAAAGCATCATCAACCGCGTCGAATATAATTTTATTATTAGATCACAGTGTGCCTGTGCGCAAGTGGCCGTTTTCGAATGTGGACGATAAATGTCAAACGTTGGCATGGACCTGCTATCTTATCCCTGTTGACTCTTCCATCCCCCACGCATCATGGACAAAATAATGGGAGATGTACGCGCCTCAAGGTCAGCTATGGCCGTGGTCACACCAAGAATTTTCTATGAGGGGCCTAGCTGTTGGACTTTGCAAAATGAGTGGGGACAGGATGCTATCAATGCAAAAGTCGACAAACCTAACATGATTTCCAAGTCAACGGCACAAGAAGAGATGATGCGCTTGATTTTGGACGGAGAGAAAATAAAGGCAGAGGGTGAGATGAGAGAACATGAGAGAACACCCACCATGTTCCCGCTTTGGAGCTTCCTTCTACACCTCTTCCTCGTTGCAGCAATGGCAATGCAACCGACGGAGGCAGCCACCGTCGGCGGAGCACTACCGGGATGCCCGGACCGATGCGGCAATATCACCGTCCCCTACCCGTTCGGCATCGCATCGGACTGCTACAGACGGGGATTCAGAATGACATGCAACAACTCCCACAGCCCGCCAAAGCTTTTCCTGAGCAATAACATGGCCGTATCGGAGATAAGGGACGCCGACCTCGTGGTGGAGGCACCCATAGCTAGGAACTGTTACAAGCCTTTCAATCTCGGCCCGAATGTGGAGCAGACCTCCGTCGACGTTACCGGGACGCCCTACACCTTGTCCTACAGCCGGAACAAGTTCACCGCCCTCGGCTGTGACACCGTCGCACTCAACTTCCAGGGAAGTAACATATACGATTACAGCAGTGGGTGTGTGTCCTTCTGCAACGACCCTTCCACCATCAACAACGGGACCTGTGAAGGCATCGGGTGCTGCCAGACCTCCATACCTAGGGGGCTCCAGCAGCTGGGTACCGTACTACAGACTCTGAGGAACCACACGGTCACTTTCAACGTCAGCCCCTGTAGCTATGCCTTCCTGGTGGACCAGGACAGCTTTGCCTTCCAATTGACGGATCTGTACAACTTCGCGAGGAAGAGTACGGTCCCGGTGGTGCTCGACTGGGCCATCGGAAGCCAGCCATGCGATGTGGCGGCGCAATCGTCGAACTACGCCTGTGGCTCTAACAGCTACTGCTTCAACGCCCCCAACAGCCACGGCTACGGCTGCCGCTGCAACAACGGCTACCAGGAGAACCCCTATCTCCCGAATGGGTGTCAAGGTAGACGATCAAAGAAGAGAGGGCACTCCGGGGCAGGGAAATGGTGGAATCAAGACCGAGCCGCTTAGCTGTTCTTCGTGGATCATTTGATTCTATTTCTCTACATTTCCCGCAGATATCGACGAGTGCGCGGATCCCTCCACCAACCCGTGCTCGCATATATGCACAAATTACCCAGGTGATTACGCCTGCTCTTGCCCCAGAGGAACCACGGGCAACGGCAAGAAGTCAGGAACCGGGTGCATCCACTCCAGGAAGTTGCCTCTGGTTCAGATTGTTCTCGGTTAGCACCTCACAAGTCGACGTTGGCGACAACATACTTGATTTTCGAACGGTAATCGTGATCCTGAACTTCATCCTGACCATGATGCAGGCATCGGCCTGGGCTCTGCATTCTTAATCGCGATCGCTTCGTGGGGATACTGGGCACTCAAGAAGAGGAGAATGATTCTACTGAGAGAGAACTTCTTCAAACAAAACGGGGGCCTCATGCTGCAGCAGCGGATCTCGTCCCATGGAAGCGCAGCCGAGAGAGCGACGATCTTCAGCGCTAAGGAGTTGGAGAGGGCCACCGACAACTACAGCCAGAGCCGGATCCTGGGAAAGGGAGGCTACGGCACTGTTTACAAAGGGATCCTTCCGGACAAGAAAATGGTTGCCATTAAGAAGTCCAAGGTAGTGGACGAGACCCAAGTGGAGCAGTTCATCAACGAGGTGGTCGTCCTCTCCCAGGTCATCCACCGGAACGTCGTCAAGATTCTGGGCTGCTGCTTGGAGACCCAAGTCCCTCTTCTGGTCTACGAATACGTCCCCAACGGAACCCTCACCCACCACCTTCACGGGGACGATCATGTCTCTACCCTCTCCTGGGAGATCCGCCTGCGGATCGCGGCAGAGACCGCCGGCGCTCTGGCCTATCTCCATTCTGCGACGACCTGGCCCATCGTCCACCGTGATGTGAAGACGGCCAACATTCTCCTCGACGACGACTACACCGCCAAAGTGTCGGACTTCGGGGCGTCCAGGCTGATCCCTCTGGGGAGGGGCCAGGTCACCACTTTGGTGCAGGGGACGATGGGGTACCTGGACCCGGAGTACTTCCAGACGGGACTGCTGACGGAGAAGAGCGACGTCTACAGCTTCGGGGTAGTTCTGGCGGAGCTCCTGACGGGTGAAAAGCCTCTGTCTCAGACGAGGTCCAATGAAGAGCAGAACCTGGCCATTTATTTCCTCCACGCCGTGAGACGCAATCAGCTGTTCAACATACTGGAGCCTCGCATCCGCAAGGAGGCAAGCAGGGAGCAGCTCGAAGCGGTGGCGAGGGTGACAGAGAGGTGCCTGAGCCTAAGGGGAGAGGAGCGGCCGACCATGAAGGAAGTGGCGGCGGACCTGGAGCGGCTGCGGGTGTCTCCTTCGCACCCTTGGGCAGCGGCACCTCCGGATCGTTCAGCGCCCGCTTCACACGCGTCGGCGAGAGGCGGCATCTCGGAGGAGGAGAGCTCACTTAGGGAAGACTATTCGACGGCCTATTATACCGCAAAGATTGTCTGAAAAGCATATATCATCGTTTCATCGTTTAATGTCCCCCGGTGATGGAAGTCATTCAAGAACACCGTTCATCCATGCATTGTGCTTATAATACAATCTTCTCCGACTTATTTCTGTTTAATTTGATATTTTGGGACTAGTAACTTTATTGAAGTTGGATAGTTCGATTTGCATAAGTTCCTAGAATTCATATGGTTTACTCATCCATTAGATTGTCGACGCGATGAAAGAAGCCCGATACCCAATAAGGGTAGGCTCACCCACAGTTGTGCTGGCCGGCTCGCGTTGACTTCGCGAAAGAAGACCGGATGGGGGGATTCCAACTCGTTCGCTGCTCCCGATTGGTGAAAAGTCCACCCTTGCCAGCTGCGCTATAGCAATTCGTCAATTAGAAACTTTAAAATAATATTGTTATAAGAGTTTGACCTTTTGCTCCTCCACAACTGTGTTTCTTCGTCTGATGGTCATTGGCTAAGTTAGTCCCTTGCGCTTTCATTCGATTGTAACTTTTATAATAGGAATTCTCATTTAGATTTAAGTGGATATGAATCGATCTCTTCTCTTTGTCTTGAGGGTAATCTTGATGGCCCCGTGTCGGTTGACTCCAGCGCGTCTCTTCTTTGAACATTCCACTTTTTAGATGCAATCAAAGTCAACCACGCCTACACGGAAGGCGACTTCTCGTTTCAATTGCTTCCCCGTCTTCGCTTCGTTGTGGGGGTGGACGCCGGAATCACCGGGGTGGGTAGGCGGGGAAGAGAAGGGACCAAAGTTGAAACTTGAAGCGAAGACGTAGAAGCAACTTGGCACATTAGAATGGTCGAAATATATAGTCGAGTGCCCGCGGGCCAAGTTGATTAATATTGCTGAAAACTATGGTCGAAATTACAGGTACATGAGCTTAACCCTCCACAGGGAAGAAGGGCCTCGAAGCTTAAGGGCCACCACAACCTCGATCAAGGTGACAGCGGCTGCAGAAGCAGAAATGCAGCCTCCCAAGTCATTCCATCGACATAAACACCTATAACAACAGGAAATGAGAACAAACAGCTGAGGAGAAACCAACTGGCCGCATCGATCTCTCAGAGTCATAGATTCAGGTTCCTCAGTGTTTATCTGAGCCTTTTTCTCACCCAGCGTTCAGATGAACGGTGGGAGAATCACCCATCTTCGTGGATACTTGGGTCTGCCTTCTTTTCCATCAAACAGCTGCACCAAGGAAGATGGGGAGTTGTTGAGAAGTGTCCGATACTGATTATTATACAAATAAACTCGTGATTATCATAAGCAAGTGACAACTAGATTTAAGTCCCATATTTGAGAATTTCATAAATAGATGTGATTAAAAAAAAATCGGTAATCCACTGATTCCAGCTGGTTTTGGAGTAATAAGGATAATGGGGCCTTGTTAAATGCAATGCATTTCGGCAGCTATGAACCGGAGAATCTTATCCGCACGCCATCAAGGGATTAAGGATACAGATATCAATTATTTTCAAGAAAATGAAGAGAAGAGCAACTGACCTTCTTCAAGCGGCGGTGCTTGGCCAAGGCCCAGTTGGTCATAATAAGAGCCGCCACCACCAGAAAAGAGTAACCTGCGACAGTCTGGGTGGCGATATTGAACCCAAGCCACTGATAAATTTCTGTAGTGTAATTGGCACAGGTCACAATGTTGAACAGGAACCCCGAAGGAATCTGATACCCTCCACTGCTGTCGGGGCTCCTTAACCTCCTCAGGAGAATATGGCAGTAGAGGTTTGAAACCTGGCAGAGCAAGCCGAATCCAAAGCCAATCTTAACCTGCAGGTCACACACAGGCGTATACAGAGGATGGTTCACATAATACGCTATGTATGACCCAAATGACCAGTAATAGCAACAATTCCTGAACACATTGGACAAAGGCGACGTTGCATGGCTGAACCGGTGAACAAAGAATGTCTCCATGATCCGCTTGAAGTAGTGGAAGCACCAGTAGTACACGGCATACGTCTGGACCGGGCGGATGCTGCGCTCATCCTCGTACCCAAAGAACTTGTACACAGGGAAGTAGTAGAAGATCGGGTAGATGATCAGAGGTCCCAAGTATTCCCAGAAGAACAGCGTACTGTAGGAAACCTGCGGGCCCAAGTCTTTAAACACCACAGTTAAATCCTCTGCATTTCCTTCAGCATATTCCTTGATACACTTCTTCGGATTGAGGACAGAAGGCCTTTCCCGGGATCCAGTTGCCAGGGGCAATGTAAGACGCTGTCTAGAAGGGTAGTACTTTTTCACTGTAGAATAAAAAGAATTAAAATGGCAGCAATTAGAACCCTACTTTTGTTACAATGACTAAAGCCAAGCTTTCTCATCTTTCTCAGATTGATATTTCACCCATATTTTGGCACACATTCACTGTTAATTATCGGTCACCTCTTCTTTCAAATCCTTTTATATAGAAAAAGGATTGAGCCGAACTTTATTTTAATAAATAACACAGATCCTAAATCAGCACTGAAATATAGTCTTTAAGATAAAAAAATAGTGACTTGACAATCATTACGGAGTTATTTCAAGAGATTTCACAGAGTTATTCAATCTTTAAGATATTTATGACTTGGCACTGGAAAATGACGGTTAAGGCCGATCATAGAGACTTATACATGAATTCTACTTGAATCCAACGGCTAATAGACAATGAGAGGGACTTTGATAACATATATTCCCAGTTTCTGCAGAGTAGCCCGTGTGCAGTGGAATCTACTCTCATTATTTGTGCAGATTTTTATCCTTTCACTAAAAATTCATGATTTTTCAAACCACCAACCCAAAAAACTTTATGTCATATACCAGCCAATCACAGAAATAATATATCACGAAATTGATTAGTAGTCAGAAGAATAAGAATGAACCACATAGTCAACCCCGAACACATGAGTTTACTTCATGGAGTTACTGGATCAAACCACCCTCAAAGGGACAGGCAATGGAGCGTGAAGTAAACCCAAGCACTGGGGAGACTTCAGAACTTCTTGCCACCTCCGCATAACAAGCATCAAATCTACAGTTTAAAAGAGTTTCTCTACAATAGGCAATTGAGCACAGCGTACAGTTAAAAATAATTGCACACCTGTAGTGAATGCAACGTCACATCTGCTTAACTAAAAAAGAAAATTCTGTAATTTCACGATATTAAGTTAACTTTTACGATTTTTGACGGATGAACTCAAATTCAAATTCACTAAATAAAAATGATGCATCAATCAATAGAAATAAAATATACTGAACTTAACTCCCTTCCCCAAAATCGATCTAACCACAATCCAAAGTTTTAGCCGTCTCTAAGACTAGGTGCGACAGAATTACTCAAATTTGACAAAATTATGATTTTTTTGTTTTTCATGATACTCCGACTTTCCTTGTTTCGAATGGTTATGTGAACCTTCAGCTTGCTCAGAAGGACGACTACGTACCAATATCACTAAGTCTTCAACTTGAGAGACGCAGATACCGTAGAAGATATTCAAAGATAGTCATAGGTGGGTTCCAAGGAGATCTTGGTCTTATCCCCCATCTGGATGAAATGTATCACTCCTCACCGGCCATTTTTTACCCATCTTACCATGAGTTTATCCAATTAATAGCATCCAAAACTCAATTATGATCGATATATCAGCCTTGAATCTTACGAACTGTTTCCTCACAACCTTTGGATCATATCTTGTCGAAAACATAGGCAGCGACAATGATGACGGAAATATTTTGTTCATGTTGTTAAGATAATCATTATCTCATTGGGGAAACGTTCGAAATGAACTGCTAGGAGAGCATGGAATTTATCCCACAAAGGAAAGAGAACTTCCAAGGTGGTCATCATGGTAAGGCGAACATAAAAGAAATTTTCAGCAAAAAGAAGACTCCCATTTCCTGAAACCAAGGGATCAGAGGAATGCGGAGGCAAACCTCGAGCGTGGATCTCTTTCTGAAGATCGCTCACCAAGGCCTGCAGAAGAAAAAAAACCGGCTCTGGGTCACTGCTTGTATTATTATACCACTCTCTGTCTGGAGCATTCCACGGCTCTGCTACCCAGACAACGAGAAGAGACACTAGAGAGGGGATGCACACTCTGGGTATCAGAAACCTAAGACTGCCCTCATAGATTAGAGACCTCATGAATCCCCGCCCAAAAACCTACGCTTTAAAGAAAAAAACTAAGAGCGAGAGAAAGGGCCAAAAGAGAAAAATGAGTTGGGCGAGCTGATACCGAGTCATTGATCACGATCCCTCCCTTGACTACTTCCCGGCCACTGCGGGAGACGATGGTCACCTTCATCTTCCCCACGACGGTTGCTCCTCCTCCAATCGGGAATCCTCAGTAAGTCGGCCGGCGCCGTTCCCTCCCTCTTCCAACCAACGGTCGTGCCGCAGAGCGCATCCGACTCGCCCCCCAGTTCCCCGCGAGTCCTACTCCGAGCCCAGGGCGGCGGAGGAGCAGAGGAAGACGAGGGGACGGCAGTAAACGACTGGCAGTGATGTTGATGACGATGGCGATTAGTTAAGAGTTTACAGCACCTCTTTCCTTTCGAATTAAACGGGCCGATAACTACTCAATTTTAGTGGGCCGACTTATTTAAAATATTTTGGGCCTGTTAAAAGAGGAATGCTCGTGAACGACAGGGTCGGCTCAATGGGCTATCATAAATAGCCCATATAGGCGTAGATGGCTCCTCCCAAGTTTCGGCCATTTGAAATAGCGGAGAGCGGGAGTCTCCGGGAGTCGTCTGGGGGAGCCGAGTGCGGTGTCGGCTCGGGATCTCCGGGAACTTTTGGGAGGGATTATCGCATGGCGTTAGCGCCGCCGTCGATCCACCTGGTTGATGACAGAGATCTTGACGACGCAGAGCTATGGGCCGTGATCGACTCTGCTGCTGCTTCTCGGTCGTCTTCCAGAGCCAGGAAGCCGCTTCTCTCCCTCCAGAACGGCTCCCCCAACGTCAGCACTGTTCCCAATTTAGCTGCCGGACGTTCGGGGAAACTCGTCCCCAGAAACCCTAGTTTCCAGCGGGTTAAGGTGGAAGAAGTTCGCGCTCCTCCGGATGGGGAGGTTGTGCAGGAAGAGCAGTGGAACCACCACCGCCCCGCCAAGATGGCGCGCTTCGTCGACCATAGGTCGTACAGAGGTGATCAGATGGTCTATGTCAGGCATCCATCAGAGTCACCGACGGTATCTTCGCCGTCGCCATCCTCAGACAAGGGAAGACTCTCAATCCAAGGTGTTAACCCGATGTTGGAAGCCGCGCGACTGGATTTTTGTCAAGTTGAGGACGCGGAGAATCTGAACCACGGCTTATCTGGGAGGTTCCCTTCTGTGACCTTGTTCAAGCAGTACCAGAATGCTGCCATGTCGGTGAGTGTTTTTGTTTACATACTACTCTTCTTTTTCTTTCTGTTCTCGTCAATTGTTTCTGGCGGTTGTTGGCCCTTTTTCCCCACCTTATTCGTATGGGTAGTTATTTTGCCGGAGAGATCATTACAAACTAATAAATGAAGAACTTTGTTCTCCGCATCAGACGACAGTGTTATCCTAGAAGTTTCACTGAAAGACTAGTGGATTGCAATCCTGACCTCCTGAGTGACGCTATCATCACCTAGCTTCGTGACTTTGCTGAGTGTTGACTTTTGAGGTGCTAGTTGATTTTTCCTTGACAACACTTGGAAGCCGATTCAAAGCATATAGAATAACCGTAGCTTGTAGTGTTAGCAACGAGTTGGAAAGCAGGTCGTGATGGGAGCTGCTATTTTAATCACTTCACGAACCAACTATACTCAAGAAGTTATTTTGAGAAGGCTCATTATTAGACAGACTTAGTGTTTTTTTATCACGTTATCTCTAACATCACAAATCAGTATTTCCACATCTCGATATTTAATCCAATTCAGCAGTAAATGGAGAAATTGTGTGGTGAAAATGGGGAAAATATATTTTTTCGGTGCTTCCTCTGCGAGAGTGAGTGCAGAGTGGAGAAAGTTGACATCTGCTGAATGGGTTAGAATCTTGGTGGTAGAGTGTGTTCTTTGAATTAAAGCCTATAGAAGCTACCAAATAAGAATTGAACTGGGGATATGGCTTGGAAATAGGCCTTTCTTAGCTCCTGATGGCGTGGCATTGCTGATCTGTTGGCTATCCATTCTGGCGCTGTAAATCTACGCCAATCTCTGACGACCTTATACAGGATTTCCCAGGTGTTTACTTCTTAGTAGTTTTTTTTTTTGAAAGAAATCAAAAAATCGATTTCAGTGAAGGAAACTATGCAGAGTTTTGTTATGAAATAGAGACGACTTTATTCTCTTCTCCAGTTCCCCACTTTGCTTCCTATGAATGGGATTTGGCTTTTGTTCAGACCATATCCTCTGCAATATTTCCCCTGGCCAAAGGAAGCATTCCGTTCCTTTTGTACTACTTTCATTTCCAATCTGCTGCGCCTCTCTATAAATGGCTTGCTTATCCCTTGCTCATTTGTTGAAGAGAACAATGCCACGACATTATCTAACGTTTTTTTTCATGCAGTGTGATGAAGTTTCCTGTATCAATGCCATCCAAGGTCCTGAGACTTGAACAAATAACTTATAAATTATAGGTTATGTACAGCACAAGTTACATATTTAATGGAAGAGATACAAAACATGAATCGGAATAGCGGAGGATTCCGTATTGGTCAAAGGTCCATCCATGTGCAACGAAAAGAATGGAATAACGAGGGTTGGGTTACCCGTCATTGGAATGTCTTTATTTTTCTATCAATGTGCATTGCATGTCGCATGAATCCTTGCACGTTTTGTCGCCTTTTCCTTTCGACTGTTTCTTAACCTTAATCATGTTTTTTTGTGGCATTTTAATGAGCAGATACTAGAGAAAGGTGATTACACAGTAATTTCTGGGAATCCCTTCATCAAAAAATCAGGTAATTTTGTCAGTCTAGCGTTCTGTCTTAAAATATTGAGTGGGCATTTCGTGAAAGTGTATAATTGGTATGTGTCAACAGGATGGAGGAAGATAGCTCTTTTCTTCAACATATCTTTCGAGATTAAAGATAAATCAATTGAATTTGATGAAAACAGAAATGTAGTCCGAGCTGAATTTGTGGTCCGTGCATTCATGCGGTACAAGATTTTTATTTCTCGTGTACTGCTCATTAAGCAAACATACTTTTGCAATACTTTCTTATAATCTTTCAGTTATTCTAATTTGTATTGCCCTTCTCATCGCAAGCAGTGGTGGCAGATTCTCTGACGGATGGGGTTCATGCGAACGCCGCGAAAAAAGATTTTCTAAGCCAAACCATGATATACCCAGTACTGCAGAAACCAGAGCGAAGAATAAGGCATGCCAGGTAAGTCTGGCATCTTCGGGCTTGTTCTCTCTGAATCTGCTTTTAGTTATCCTTGAATCAGCAATATATTTATGGCAAATCCCTTTTTCCAGGATGTTCTTGACTTCGTAGTAGGTTTCATCGTTTTTTCTGGCAGAAGCATAGATTCTATTTGTAGTGAAAAAAAAAAAACCTTTTTTTCTACATTTCTCGACATAATATATCAAGCTTCTGCTTGTGTTCATCTTTATATCCGATCTACAAAAGGAAAGCAAATATGTCATTCTAAAGCTCCCAACTTTTACTCTCCGAATGAGCTAAATCCTTTATTTCTGAATCTATCTTGATCCCTTATTATGAGCTCGATCCCCAAACCCTCCCTCTCTCTTGAGCAAAATCATGTTCCACGAACTAAATTTCTCCGCATGTCGGATATTTTGAGTGAATTACTGTGAAACTTAGCTTGAATCCACACCAACTCGCACAACCCAAACAACAGCCCCACAGGAACCTCCCATCCTCAAAGTACGAGCGAATTTTATTGCTCCGGCTGAATGACTGCCTTCATATCTCTCGAGATTTTTCTTCATCAGCATGGAATTTTTCTTCTAACCAGGACTTGGTTGGAATCGGGGAGTACCGGCATGGTGTGAATGGCAGCCCGAGGTAAATATATTCCCCATTCTCAGGTGTTACTCTCTGGAATCTTGCAAAAATCTCGACTTTGCATGAATGAGAAGAAAGAAGGAAAGAAGAAAAAGGTAACAAGCAGTGCAGCGCTGGGCCCTCCCGAGAGTAAAATCTAGGACTTGTACGAGTTTTTACTATTCTAATTCTTGATTTCCGGGCCCGTTTTTAAGGGCCAGGAAGTGTAATATTCCAGACCCATCAATTCAAAGTCACGCTCATCAGACGCAATCCGGCGCCTTTGAAAGCTCTGTACGGCTGAATGATCAATAATAACGGATGGTCAAATGCCCCCTCTTGCATTAGTCAAATGCCATTGGGCACATAGAATAAGGCCAGGACGCTGTAGCCCACGGACCCCCCTCAGAGCCGTACGGGGGACTCTTTTCACATTTACCTGCCGCCTGTTCCTCATTTGATCCTTCCTCGAGGGGTAAATCCGGTAGCTTTCCTGCCGAATGCGGTCACCGGCGACAGGCCAACGGCGGCCCCGCCGGGACGATTCTCCGCGCGTGCGACGACGCCCGCTACGGCCAACGCAGGGCCCGGCGGGCTCGGAAACCGAAAGCAGAGGACTTTTTCAAGGGAATCGTTCTGATTGTGATCTTGGAGATGGCTCGGAAACACGAGAATCCGGCATCACCGACCAGGAGTCAGCTCGAGGATCTACGCTGGGAAAATAATCAGACAAGTTTTATTTAATATTTTGAAGATGTTTTGTCGTCTGGCGGCCCTCTCCCTCTCTCTGCAAGAGAGGTCATGGCGGCAGCAGCCTTCCTCAGAGGCGACCGACCGAGGAGCAGAAGATATCCCTAGCAAAAGGCCAAGACCAAGCAACGTCTTTAGATATTTCCCGTAAAAAAGGTAGAGAGAGAAAGGAAGAAAAAGACCCTCTAGACCGAACTTATTTGATTTCTTTTTTTTTTTTCTTCACCACGATCTCAGCTGCTCCTCCCTCCGGCAATGGATTGATATACAGCCTGGGTGATTGATTGATTTCAAGGCTTGTCGACCAGGTCGCTGCTGTCGGCGATCCTCCCCGAGCTGCCCCGGCCGACCCTGCCGAATGAGCCCATGGCGGAGGTCAGGCCTTTGAAGCTGCTGCTGCCGCCGCTCTCGCAGGGGTTCTTCGACTTCTTGGACCTCCTCAGCTTCCACGGGCCGTCCCTTTCCCTCTCCTCCTCTATCTTGGCTTCGGCCACCACCAGGCGGGAGATGCCGCTGCGGCAGAATGGGCAGACGGGGGCAGCCGCGCAGAGGGTTGCCGGGTTGGGCTTGTTGTGGCAGCACAGCGCCAAGGTGCAGTGAGCGCACATCTGATGACCGCAGTCCCGGACCTCGATGGTGCACGCCTGGTCGAAGCAGATGCAGCATAGCTCGGTGCCGTCGCCCTGCAACAGTCCCCCACACACCATCAGTTTTGTTTCCGCTTCTCAATTCAGCAGAAAAATGGATTTGAATTGTTCGGTTGAGAATACCTGGGATGAATCGTCGTCGTCCTCATCGTCGGAGTGAGATGGTGATGGAAGAGAGAACGACGTCCCCTTGAGTATGTTCTTCTCCCGTTCTTTGTTGGCCCGCATGAGGGCCCTTTCAAGCAGGGTCTTCGCGTCCGAGTTTAGCTCACTGATGAACTTCAGAGGGGAAGGCCAGACTAAGGGCTCTGCGGAGGAGGGATTCAGAAGGGCTGCGCACGCCCCGTGTTTCCTCTTCAGGGCGACAGCATAGGGTATTCTCCTGCAGATACCGAAGGAGAAGATCATGCCTTTGCGCTCTCCAGGTTCGCCGGAATCAATCAGAACAAAATTTAGGATCCATCGGGAGAATTTACCCAGAAGAGTCTCGCTGGAGCCGATCTGCTCCCCAAGCTAGCAACTCCCGAACGCACTCCAATGACCCCCCACGAGCAGCCAGGTGAAGTGGGGTGCTCCCGGGGTAGCTGCAGTAGAGTTCCAACGCTAAGACAGGAACGAATGCAGATGAAAGGCTCCCAGTAGTAGAGACTCCGTGGACTTCCAATGGTGAGATTTTTCAAAGGGGATTTCTTTACCTGTAGCTGCCCGTCGAGGCACAGACGAGAGCCCCGTTGTCTAGCAGGAGATGAACACAGTCCGCCCGCCTCTGCCTCGCAGCGAGGTGTAGAGGAGTCGCCCCGTCCCCATCTCTCACGTTGACGAATCTGGCGAAGCCCCTGAAGAACATACCGGAGGGAATGGATCCCCAAAGTGGCAATCTCGAGCGATGAATAACAATAAATAGTTGAAACTAACAGCGATTTTTTAAAAAAAATACTCACCAAGAATAGGCGACAGGGTTGGAATGCGCGGCAGAGAGGATCTCCCGCAGGCAATCAGAGTGGCCATAGTAAGCCGCGTGATGCAAGCAAGTTCTTCCGTGCAGTGAATCGAATGTCAAAATCTGGTAAGAGCCAAAAGCTAGCCAGATTAGGTTTCTCAGTCGACTATGGTAGCACCGTAATTTCGGGAGGAGGAGAGAAAAAGAAATCTCCCGACATTGGCGCCGGCTTGGAGGAGCTTCTTCACGCAGGATATCTTCCCGTGCATCGCAGCCAGCATCAGGGGAGTCTACTCCGACATTCCCGCGCGGAGAGAAAGAGAGAGACAGGGAGACAGAGAGTGAGTGAAAGAGGATTAACATATTCTATCCGCTAAAATGTCGAAAAACTAGGGGGATAAATCTGAAACCTCCAATAGAATTCCCAAATTCTGATGCACCATTACCTGCTTGTATCTGTTCAAAAGATCCGGATGAACTGATCGATCCAAGATCAGGGAGAGAACCTGTTCATGCAATAGAAATCCATCATCCAATGTCCCCCGTATTCGGGATCCACAAACGGCGATGCCTACAGAAACGACATCGTAACAAAGAAAGAGGGAACAGAACTCCACCTCGATCCGGCCATTAGCGGCGGCGATGTGGAGCGGCGAGAGGCGATCGTAGACGGTGGTCAGATGGAGGAGCTCCGGCTCCGCTTCCAGCAGGCTCTCAACTATCTCGGCGTCCCCCGCCTGCACGGCCCCGAAGAACTCATTCTCCTGGCGGGACCAGGTGCAGCTCAGGCCCTGCCCCATTCTCTCCGTCCAACTCCACCGCCACCAGCAAAGCCCCACACCCCGGCCAAGTGAGAAGGGTCGATGCTGCGGCAGCTGCTCCCTCCGCCGCCGCCGCCGAACTTCCGGCTCACCGACAGCCGCCCCCTCGTCCCTCCGCTGCCTGCGAGGGGAGGTCGAGGGGAAGAGGACGACCACTGCGGCTGGGTAAAGCGGCACTTGAGCCCCTTCTCCACTACCTCGGTTTTTTTTTTTTCTTTTACTAATAAGATTATAGTCAATATAATTAAAAATATATTCAGTCCGTTGTCTATGTAATTTATGGGGGCTAAAACGAATATGCCAAAGTAAATTATAGTTAATGCATATACTACCTTGTTCAACGCTCCACTGGGCCCCGCCGGTGACGACAACACCCCTATGGGGCCCCCTAGCCCGTAGTAACTACTCCAGATATTCTTCCACCTCTTCGGGCAGCTCGGTCAGCTGGTTCGGGCAGCTGTCAGAGCGTTCATGGTCCGATCAGCTGCGCCGAATGGCGCGTATTTTCTTAAAGGTCGCACATCGCGCGCACGAGGCGGCCGTTCTGGTGGGCCCGAGAGCAGTCAACTCAAAGGGCCCCGTTGATTTTCGGACCGTCGTGGATCCCTAGAATGCAGCGGTAGTGGGCTGGACCGGACCAATAAACTCCGCGGTGGCCCGTTCCGGTAGGTCGGGGTAGTTGGTGATTTCTCCCACGTGGCAAGAATTGATGTCGGCGGCGTCGAGGGGAGCGGCGTATAAAAAAAAAACCCATGGGACTAAGAAAATACGGAGGAAATAAAAAGAAAACAATGCACCGTTTTTTTATTACGATATAATATAAATGACTAAATTATTGGAGGACCCTTTTGTTTCTTTACTTTTGCCTTCAGACCCCCTAAATTCGTTGACTTATCCAGCAGTTATGGAAGCAAAAAGGAGTTTCTCATAAAATGGTTGCCCAAAAGGGGTGCGACAGTATTTGTACACCAAGGGTGGTTGGTAAGGGTTAATGGGCCATACTGATCTCATAGAAGGGCCCACTGTAGGGACTCACACCACTAAGCCATCTATATCGATTAACAATTCAACCACCCATTTAAATGGCAGTTAAGTCCTGCATCTCGTGGTCATTCAGCATCTCATCAAGAGCACTAGTGTATTCATTAGGTCGATCACCACATGACACGTAGAATGCGTGAGTTTGATGAAATGCTGATAGCCTAAGATGTCGCACCAAAGTATTGGTTATATTCCGTTAGCTTCATTTTATTATATATTTTTAAGACGATTATATTTCGTTAGCTTCATTTTATTATATATATTTAAAACGATTTATATACGTATTTATAAAATTTGTATAATATTTAAAGATGAAAAAGTGTACATAGGAGTATTTTATTGGGTGAGAAAAATATAAAATTGTGTGTTTTTTTCTACGCAATGTCATTATTTATTTATTTATTTATATCGTATATTGAAGATTTAAAAAAAAAATTGGGGGAGGTCGAGGTCTTCAAATCGGCCGGTTCACATAAACCTGCCAACCCTCATGTTGGACCGGGTATTTTCGTAATAAAGTGTAAGATAAGCGTTTTATCGTCATTTCCTTGGAATCCTGTGGGGCGGGCAATATATTCTCCGTATTTCGAAAGCTAGGGTTTGTCCTCCGCTGCATCACGGCACCGTCGACGCCGGAGCTTGGAGGAATTGAGAGGTAGAATCCGTTGCCATGGATGCCAAATTCGAGCTGTCCTTTTGTTTCTGGATACCATCGAGGGATGGCCATTTCTCTGTGTTTTGGCAGGGTCAAGTTCTCAAAGCCATATCCGTCACCGATGGATTACATCGCTGAAGGGCATGGGTTATTCGAAACATTTATGGTCGTTTAATCGGTTTTTCATGGTTGTTTTCTTTGATCTCGGATGTATGTTGTCTTTAGTGCCCAGCGCATGTTGTTGACCTACGTTTCTCTAATTCCATGTTATTTTCTGTCATTGCGCTGCTTGCTTGACCTTTCGGGCCAATGTCCAGAACACCACCGGTATGGCTCCGAAGCAGCCGAACAGCGGCCTCTTTGTTGGGCTCAACAAGGGGCACGTCGTCACAAAACGCGAGTTGGCTCCTCGCCCGACTGCTCGCAAAGGGGTACGAAGTGTGCTTCTGTTTACAGTGACCAATAATTTGAGGAGATTCCCGCTTTTAGTAACCAAATAGTTTTCCGTAGCTCGTTCTCTTAACAGTTTGTCCTGAGAATCTGTACGGGGCATCTTTCTACGTTGTTCATCTCTTGATGTCTTAGAAAACACACCGCTTGTTTCTTGTTTATGAGATGTGAGAAACGATCCTTGTACTGTTCCAGAAAACGAGCAAGAGGGTGCACTTTGTCCGGAACTTGATTAGAGAAGTTGCTGGGTTTGCTCCCTATGAGAAGAGAATCACCGAACTCCTGAAAGTCGGCAAGGACAAGCGCGCTCTAAAATTGGCGAAAAGAAAGCTGGGTACACACAAGAGAGCAAAGAAGAAGCGTGAAGAAATGGCAGGCGTTTTGAGGAAGATGCGGTAAGTGCCCTGGTTTCTATTTGACGCTTTTATTTACCCCACACAGATTTGTGTCACATGTTTATATTTATTCGTTATCCTGACGCTAGCATACGTCTCTACCTCGAAAGATGTCCCTTATATTCCAGTAAAACTGTTTTTGACGCCAAGTTTTTTTTTTCATCGGGATTATCTAAATGGCCTTACAACCCGCATAAAAATTCACTTCTAGAATGGCACGCATGAATGTCTTAAAATGTGTAATTTGATTTTATTTGTACTGTCGTTTAGATCTGCATATCGTGTTGGAACGTATGACCAGACTTCTTCATGAGAGGTGAACTCTGTTCAGGCGTTAGAGGACCAATACATATTTGCAGAACATCTCGACTGAACTAAAGGATTTCTTAGCGGGAATTCATCTTTTCATTATAGTAATTGCCTCATTATTTTTTTCATTCTACCGAAGTGTTTACTTTATTGCCCTTTAGCCAGGAGTTTGTAATGTACTCTGTTTACATGGAAGCTTGACCGTGCTTTTTGTCAGCAAGTATTTTTTCTATTTTATTTCCAGAAAAGTGCCCGATCCCACCAGAGAGCTCACCTCTTTCCGTCAAAACTTAGAAAACTTACCAATTTAACCATCATTATTCATTATTTTAAACAACTAAGGTTTATTCTCAACATTCTGTCGATCCATGTCATTACGAGACTGGCTTCTAGGAAGCCTATTACGGGGGTGTAGCTTCCCTTTCTTGTACAAATATCAGAAACGTATAAGCTGTGGACTTTTGTTTTTTTTCTGGATTCTGGCCTTAATGTTCGTCCAAAAAATCATCCGTGGTTATTTTAACGACGACCCTTTGACGTTGGATTAGTTTTGCAACCTTCATTTTTCGGTTAACTGAGACAAGCTCGGCGATGTTTACATCCTCAAATTTTGGGTAGTTTGGCTTGATCCAGTTTATTATCTGTGTGGAGTTTTGCTCTGAGAAGATACAGGATTTCCTTTTCCGTTTTTTCTCTGTTTTTATTCTACCATAAAACTTTTTTCTGTCAACCAATCTCTACCATATTCTGATGTTCGTCGATGACAAACTTCTGTCAAATGGGTTTGTCTCAGTTTCATTGTGATGCGCTAAAGACTGCATTATTAATGCCAGGCGATTTCCCGTCTTACAATTCCTCAGTTTGTGACATGATGAATCTTCTTTCTTCATCCTACTGTTTCCATCTTGAGGATTTTTTGTAGTTTGATATGCTTCCAGGAAGGATACTTCTGGAAATGTATACATCTGGCCCTTGTTTGGAAACTTTCATGAGGATATCACTAAGTCGGAGGAATCCTCAACCTCTGTTTATTTTTTGCCACACCACTGAAAACAGCTGCAAGCAACTGCTATAATGCTTTTAAACTAGATGATTTTGTCTGCATTGGTATATAAGAATGAACGGCAAGCTTGACTATTTCAGTGTTGCCAGTATGCTTTTGTGGGTAATTCAAGACTTAGGAGGTATCTGACATAACGGGTTAATTAATCGTCAATTATATGCAACCCTTGCTGAATATGACACCCGATCATGCACATATCACTGGTCAAAGATACAAATGCAAAATTAAATTCTTCACGGTTCCCCTTAGATGAGTGATGACCACACCAGACCACCACTGCTCCTTACCCAGTTATCAAAATAGCTGCCGAATTTCCCTGCGAAAATGTTAAAGTACCATTTCGTTTTGTGGGCAGCTGCTATTATATTGCGTGCTTTAATTACTTTGGTAAAAGATGAAGCACCTAGGTGCGCTCCTTGGCATTTTAACAGTGAGTTTCATAGCCTTTTATAAATAATTCCTGGGAAATCAGTTTGTCGCGCACTGTGCTGGTTCTAGAAGCTCACATTTATGTTACCATGTAAAAGATGAAATATTTCTTATTCTAAAGGTTTCAAGCGTTTTGCTCTCTTCGTTTGTCATATCTACTTTTCATTGGACTTGAATTCTCTTTCATGCTAGTGTATGGTTGTCGCCAACATTATTCGCTTTGATCTATACGCAGGTCCGCTGGTGTTTCTGACAAGAAGAAGTAATGGGTTCTTCGCTCTTCCATCGAGAGGCAATCCGTTTTCCAATTTGTTCTTCTGATTTAGGTCCGGGCTGGTATATCTTTGTGAATGAAAAAAATTATTCTTCTTCCCCCCCTCCCCCTCTCTCTCTCTCTCTCTCGCATGGCTGGGCTAGTCGTCCCTTTGTTACACTGATTGAGACAGTGAAGCCAAACTAATGACCACGGTCATCATGGATCTCATGTCGTCCCACAGGCTATCATTGGTTCTTGCACCACACTCGATCGATCTACTTAAAGATAGATGGCTTTTGACAGAGTAAGCTCATGTCGATGTCGACTTTGCTCTGGGATAGACACAGTTTAGTCAACTGCGGATAAATCCCACCAAGCTTCTATAATCTCTACGGACTCCATGTGATCCGCAACTGGGTTCCCCGTGAGGACCAACTTGGAGGAGTTTACATGTTGATCATACCTATATCGAGCTCTTAGAAGCTCGCGTTCTTCTTGGCGACGAGGCGGAGAGTATTAATTAACAAGGCATCATTTATCCACAACCTCATAGCAAGCCATCATTTAACTGAATGGAGACAAGCGATCTTATCAGACGATTACACCCAAAACAACGGCATCTTGGAGATGCGCACATTTCACAGCCAAAAGGAAAAAAGATTTTTCAAGACGAGAGACTAGAGATGGTAGATAGCAGCCCCAGAGCAGGCTAGGAATTTCACAACAAGAGGGAGGAGAATTTTCAAACTGAGAGAGTAGAGAGGGTAGAGATCAGCCAGAGAGCAGGCTAGCAATTAAACTCGCAGTCAAAGATACTGGATCCCCGACTGCAACGCTGAGGATGATCGGAACTACTAGTTGAAACATCTTCTTCATCTTCTCCATCTTCGCTGGCTTCTTCTTTTCCTTTTCCCCGATGACAATCCCGAGCTCCGGCGTTCTTCTCACTGATTCATTGCCGCCGTCCTCGACGGCGGAGCCCTGAGAGCTACCCTCTTTCTTCATCCAGTTCTTCAGGAGCAGGTCCTTCATGCAGGATATATGAAGGGCGACAGTCTTGCAGGTCGAGACGTAGCGCCAATAAATATCCTGGTTCTTCCAGCCGCACTTCTCGCACTCAGTGGGCATCTTATTCTTGAGCTCCAGTTTCAGCTCCCCGTCAGAGAGGAATTGGGGTAGGTTCGCACAGGAGGGGTGCAGGTCCTTGCCGCAGTCATTGCAGTGGTAGAAGTAACCCTTCGCACCTAGGTTGCAGGCGTCGCATGACTGTTCGCGCGGTTTGCCTTTGTCTTCCAACCCAGATTCCACCCATTTGAAACTACATTTTGGGAACAACTTATGTTGGAGAGAAATTTTAGGGTCGAAGCAATGGGGATGAAGGTGGAAGTTACAGGACTCTGCGCACGTCCAGCAAGAGGAGATTCCTAGTTCCTTGCAGCCATCACACATGAAAAGGGCTTTCCTAGTCTCCAACTTGAGCTTATGCCCTGGGTGTAGTGAATGGGTAGTAATCACTGGCATAGTTTCATGGCTCATTTCCTTCTGCGCTGTTTGCCAGAGAGAGGGAAGGATACTCCACGAGGGGGGGTAGAGGGAGGAAGCGAGGGTGGCTGGGGGAACAGAGCCGAGGGGTCATATATATATACAGTGCATCATCCTCTGCAAGAAATTGTGTGACTTTGCCCGACCGTGTTAGGGAGGATATGTGAAGCACGCGGACGAACGGGACGAAGTCAGCATCAGATTTCAACCCATCCCTAAAATATTTAGTAAACCGTTAAGGTTCTTATAATACTCAATAAATAAACATTACAATTTCCTTCCATCTCTCTCTCTCTTAGAAAAGCATTGGTGACCAAATCTTTGAGAGTTCGCGGGACCCTACTGTGGGTCCGATGCCACTGTGTGTGTGTGCGTGTGAACGAGAGAGAGTGAGAGAGAGAGGAGGGTATATTGTCCGTATGCTACGCCAAAATGACTCGGCCGTAGTCAACACTTGGGATTAGGTGATGAGAGACTCCGGGGTTCGTTCTCTCCCCATCTGTCCCTTTCATCAACAACTCATCAATCTCGGGAATGAGTGTGTCGCCGGAGGTGGTCGGTCCCTTCCAGTGGGAGAAGGCGATGCCCTGCCTAGCGTGACAGGTTATCGAAAAGGAACTCAATAAAATGGAGCAGGTACAAGGAATAGCCTTACTGCCACCGTTTTAGACGGCTGCAGGAGACTGAAGTCAAGAAGACGCGGTCTGGAAGGTTAGTTATTTGATTCATTAAATGATTGGGTGCACCTCCGCTTCTCAGATCTTTGACTTGGAACCGCGTTGAAAAAGAAGCAATGAATGAGGTTTTCTAGATGGCTTTGGACGAAGCTTCTGTGCCCATCAATTTCCCACGATCGTCTTCGTCGAAAGATTGCCATCGCCCTCCATGGAAAACAAAATTAAATGGAAATAAAATAAAATATCTGAAAATGTACATACTTTTCCGACCTCCTCCCCCTGCTTTTAATAATTTAACCAGCGGGGTTGAGCGCAGCGTTGAAGGTTTCCTTCCGATTATCCCCCTCATTTGAAGCCCCCCGCAACCTCCACGCAGTTCTCTCTCTCTCTCTCTCTCTCTCTCTCTCTCTCTCTCTCTCGCTATCTATCTTTTCCCCCTGGTTCAAGGGGTTGGAAGACGCCGGTCGCCCGGGTTTAGAAGAGTACGGCGGAAATGATGATGCAACCAATCGGGGAATCCCAGCCCAGCCCAGTCTATAATTCTGTATGCACCCATTTGAGAGAAAGAAGAGGGAGAAAAGAGGGTGGGAGGAGAGAGAAACCTGCCGCAAGCCAGACCATACAAGCAAAGCTAAAACTTGATGAAATCATCAATTCCACACATTCTCGATGTGGCAAAAATTTCGTTGAACAACAGAAATTATGATGCATCATTTTTGTATCCTTTTCATTTTTTAATGATTTCTAATCTCCAAATTTTGTCTAGATATTTTGTACACTTCATAGTGTTAACAGATTGCACAATTTTTCTTCAGTTGTGGGTATTCATATCATAACATTTGACATTAGAGTTGACTTGGTGTTACGATATGAAATTTAATGTTGTAGATGCCAATGACAGAATTTGTGGTTGGAAAATCTGATGCCAAATTGACTTTGGTTTATGGTAGAAGAGATTGATGGCAATCATTTTACAACTAGGTTATTATACCCATCAAGGTTTTCTAAGAAAAAGAAGAAATTGATTAATATAATTCAGTTATATTTAGATGATGATTTTGATGAATTAGATTTGAAAGTAATTAATATAATTCAGTTATTTTTATATCATGTAATGAGTAATATTACTGAAGTTATATTTATATTGATTTATGAAAGAAATGAAAATATTATACCCATCAAAATCTCTTACAATGAGTTATACCCAAAGAAACAAGTATCTTAAGTTATGTGTGAGAAAGGACATATTTATATCATATGAGTTCATTCAATACGTTGATCTCACAATTTCATTATTTTGAGGCCAAGGTAGAAAAGGAAGATCAAACTATTATACCTTCTTTCATCATTACTCAAATCATATGACTCCTTGGTGGCCACTATCATACATTGTGGAAACAGAATCAAGATGGAATAAGTCAAATCTCCATTACTATAAAATTAGTTTAACACCATATATTCTACATGTGTGGAAAATTTTATGACAACAAATTTTGGTCAAGAAAGAGGATGTGGCAAGAAAAATTGCTTCCAGCATTAGCTGAAAGAGAAAATAGATGTCACTAGGTCATGCAAGGTCTTAAAAAAATATTTTATATAAAAAAATGAGAAATTAAAGTAGGAGGACAACAAACTAAATGTGGAGAATTGTTATATAAGAAGGCAAAAATTCTCTTAAAAAAATGAGACTTGAGAATTATTAGAACTTCACAAGATCAATATGTTAATCAATTATGAGTGAGTGTGCATGAAAAAGGAAACTCTCTCTCTTTTGCTAACTACCTATCCACATATATGTACATGTGTATAGGTTTAATATATATGTATGAATGACCATCTTTATTCAAAGTGACAATCTTGAACTTCAACAAGAACCAAAGTAACAATTTTGATGACCTAAAATGAAAAAAAGTCTCATTGACTTTATATCTAAAATATTATTACGTAGACAAATAAAAAATATATGTAGAAATGCCTTGTGGTAAAAAATAACTATATCCTATCATTACCTTTGAAGGCTATGTGAGAAATAGGCAGAAAATACTATCATATTGTCAAGTTAAGACTAAATCTAGATAGCTTAATGACACACCCAAAATATTGTTCCATCTTTCATACACCAAAGTTTTTGTTGTATTCTTCTAACTTGGTTGTATTTTGTATTTTTTAAAGATGATTTATTTATTTTTATATACTATTTTTAGTTATATAAAAACCACATTTTTACTATTTATAGGATGAAAAAAATGTAGAGGAGAGTGGTTTCTTTTACTAATTTTATTTTGTTCTCTTGTCGCAAACTAAAGAACCTATTTCTTTAACATTTTGTGGAGGTAGTAATTTGGGCTGGCCGATCAAGGTCTTCGAACTAATCTATTTGTATGGATCTACTAACCCTCATGTCCTTTGGGTTGGTTCATGATTGGTCATTTAAGGAATGGCATTTGTGAATGGATCAAAAGACATGATAATGGTTTTAGTTTTATCATCATTTATATCAACATCTAAAATTGTACCATACAAGCATATTTTTCATGAGGGGTGAGCACTATTAGGCATTGGAGAAATATTTACCATACTTTCACAAAAAGATTTATTTTTTATTATGATCTCATGATCGTCATAGATGGGGAGAGAAAGAGAGAGACACAGAGAGAGACAAAGAGGAAGAAAAAACTTCATTTATTTGAAAGGGGTAAATATTGTGTTATATGCATCACGCTCCATATGAATTGTAGTCATCTTATTAGGTTCACTTGGACCAAATCTGGTTACCCCAACAATATAGTGAAAAAAATGGGGTTCAATAACATTCTCCCTCAAGCTGGCGAGTGGTTATTATTTAATCCCAATTTGAATATTAGTTGGAGGGTTGGCCCATTCAGTCCCTTGATAAATATATTTAAAGTTGATCATTTGTTGAGATGTATGGTATATATATGATGTCACTTTTCAACTTTTTCTTAATGAAATGTCAATCTATGTCCCTAAAGATTATGAATTATATTGATGGTTAATTCATTATCACAATAGCTTGATAGCTCTATGCCACCTTATCTTTAGACCTTTAAGAATGATTTTCACCCATAAAATGTAAATTTCACCATGAATTGGAACTCAAAACTCCACACTTAACCTTGCTACAAGTTGTTACTTTTTACTTCATCCAGTAACAAGATTTTCACTAAAAAACGTACAATAGCCCAAGGTAGATCTTTGGTCAACAATGAAACTTATAAAATCTGCATCATATAAACTTTTTTATCCATTATCTCCTCATTTTTAAATAAAATATTTGTTTCAACCCTTTCAAATACTGTAAAACTCTTTCAGCTACAAATAAATGAACTTTTCTTGAGTTATGCATGAATAAACTTCTCACATTGTAGCCCATATTACACCAAGAGTTTGTGCCTCTTGTGTAGTGAATAGTCCATATTACAATTAATTGACTTGGTAATGTGATTTAATCGTTGTATAATAAATCACACATATTTTTAAGTTATAAAACTAGAAAATTCTAAGTTTAAAATTTTTAGAAATAATTTAGACTAAATAAATCAGTTATAATTAAATAAAAGGTTTCAAAAATAGTGAGAAACTTCAAAGTCGATCAAAGGAATGTAAAATAGTACATGATAATATTTCATAATTTTTGTCAAAGAATACAATTTTTTATGATTTTTAGACTAAATGATGAATATAACATATATTTTAAGATTCTCAAAAAAGGTAAAAAAGGGTGTAGACATCAGGATGACGTTAGCACCTCAACGAACATGATTTAGGCAAAAACAAAGTTATGTTTGATGATTCTTTCATAAATGATTTCAAATGATTTAATTGATCAAATTAAGATATGTAAAAGCCAAAATAATCATAATTGAATGAAGAAAGCTTTCGAAATTAGACATCACACAAAATCGTACTAAATTAAGTAAATATTAAGTTTAAAGTAGTAAATGTAGAGTTTCGACTTTGCGGTGGTGATCACTAGAATTCTGTATGTTTTGATAGATTGTCGTATAATGTCTACGGCCTCAAAGGTTTTTTTAGAAATAGATGACGTAGTCAATCTTTAAAAAGTTTTTTGAAGTCTAAAAATCAATGAAATAGGTTAACGAATCATATTCAATAGCTTTCACCTGACATAGCAAAAAAATGATGACTTTTGAATATTCGACGATTGTCACCCAATAGAGATGAGTTGGATGGAGATAAGACATATCTTAAGGAACTTTATCCTTAAGTTTGTATAGTAAGATGAGGGTCTTCATCACATTTGGTACACTCTTAAGAGGTTACAACTCATCTTTTGATGGATCATCATCTTTTCGACGATGACTTATTTGTTGATCAATCAAAGATGATATTCTCAATGGATTTCTAATCTTTTTATCCATAATTATTAAGTAGTTGGTAATGATGTTTTGCAAATCACATCAACATTTTTGCTCATGATAGAGAGATTTTGATAAATTAATCATTGATTGACACTCTACAAAAAGATTGTGATTTAATTAGATAAAAAATATGAGTTTTAACTCTCGTTAAATTTAAACTTTCATTGATCGTCTGACTATGTGAGATAGAGGGAATCAATTACACTTATACCCTTACATAGTAACATCATGGAGGCACTTACTTCTCATAGATAAGAGGCATTATAGGTATCAAAATATATAAAACTTACCTACGAGCACTAAAACATATTTGTTCCCACATTGGCTATTTTTCTATTTTTGAGACATATATATAGTAATACTCATTTTTTTCATCAATATCGTCTTCTCAAGTATGACCACTTATTGCCTCACATTTGGCTGGCCACCAGTGATGTGAAAGGGGAGTGACACAGATATATCTTGTCAGTCATACTTAGCCCATCATGCCCCTTACTTGTGGCTTTACTCAACTATTTTTTTGACCCATTTGCAGACCCAACTAGCTGGTGGGTCCTCTCCCTTTTTATCAATATTTTTATTTTATTTATCTTCATTTTATTTCAAAAGTATGATTATAAAAATTATATAAACTCACATAAAATTATATAATTAAGAAAAAAATTATGTTAACTAAATAAAAACTATTTTCTCAATTTAACATAAATAGAAATCTATTTAACATGAGTTAAGACTTAAAATATATTATTAATAAAATTATTAATCATAATAATGAAGACTTATTCACTATCTCTTTGTTCGACTAGTTTTTAAGAAGTAGATCCTTCATGCATGATATATAAAGGGCAACAATTTTACATGTCGACACATTTCCTCAATAAAATTTTTGTCCCTTTAGCTACACTTCTCACACTCAATGGGCATCTCATTCTTGAACTCCAACATCAAGATCTCGTCATCGATGACTTGGGGTAACTTTGCGCAAGAAAATTGTTCGCACTTAGCCCACATGGGTGTCGTAGAACTATTTGCGTGGACATTGCAGCCTAGATTTCACCCATCTAAAACTACATTTTGGGAACAACGAATGTTAGAGAGATATTTTAGGTTTAAAGCAGTGGGTATAAATGTGGAAGTTACAGGACTCTACACATGTCCAACAGTAAGAGATTCTTGGTTCCATGCAACCATCAAATAAGAAAAGGTACTCCCTATTCTCCAACTTGAGCATGTGCCCTAGGTGTAGTGAATGGACAGTATTAAAAATCACTAACATAGTTTTATGCCTCATTTCTTTATGTGTTGTTTGTCAGAGAGAGGAAAAGATACTCCACAAGAATACAATGCATCATCCTCTACAACAAATGATGTTGGCTTTGCCCAACCGTGTTAAGATGTGTGAAGCACATGGACAAATGGGACAAAGTCACCGTCAAGTTTTCAACACATCCCTAAAATATTTAGTAAACTTTTAAGGTTCTTATAATACTCAATAATAAACATTAGAATTTTCCTCCTCTCTCTCTCTCTCTATCTCTCTTAGAAAAGCTTTGGTGTCCAAATCTTTGAGAGTTTGCATGACCCTATTGTGGGTTTGATGCCTCTATGTGTGTGTGCATCTAAGTGAGTGAGTGAGAGAGAGAGAGAGAGAAAGAGAGAGAGAGAGAGAGAGAGAGAGAGAGAGAGAGAGAGAGAGAGAGAGAGAGAGAGAGAGAGAGAGGAGGGTATATTGTCCATATGCTACACCCAAATGACTCGACTGTAGTCAGCACTTGGGATTAGGTGATGATAGACTCTATGTTTCATTTCTCCCCATCTCTCCCTTCCATAAACAACTCATGAATCTCAAGGAGCATGCTATCAGAGGTGATTGCTACCTTCTAGTGGGAAAAGGTGACGTTTGTAAAAGAAGATACAGATAAGGCATTTATGGGTTCACCCAAGGTTCTTCGCAAATGTTCCAATAGTGAGATCCCCCTTTGTTGAGCTTGGGTTCGTGATTGAAGAGCAAGTAGTGCCTTATCTTGGTGAGACTCATGGTCTCTACTATATTTGTACATATATGAATGACCATAGTAATTCAAAGGTGAAAATCTTAAGGCTCAACAAGAACCAAGATAACAACTTTTAGGAGCTATAATAGAAATTGACTCATTTAGTGGATATTTTAAATAAATTATTATTATATATATGTCAAAAAAATCTTTAAAAAATATTATGGTCACTAACAAGCAAACCCAAATCATTACCCTAAAAGAAAACATGAGACATATATGAAAAATATTGTAACTTTGTTAGGATGAGACTAAATGAATCTCATGACTGAATGATACACCAACTAGTGGACCTATGACACATTTGTTGGAATACAAAGAAAGGTAAGAAAATGGCCGCTGAGGCCCACAACATTGGCTACATTGGATGAAATGTTGACATGCCAAAATATTTATCCATCTTTCATGCACCAAAGGCTTTGTTATATGTTTCAAGTTTCATTGTATTACATGTTTTTTCCAATCTACCTTTTTTTTTTTACTTTTTACATTATCTTATTCTAGGGATACATTGTCCTATATTTTTACAATTTATAGTGCGGAAAAAATGTAGAAGATAGTGGTTTTTCTACATACATACCATTTTTTTTCTTTCTCTCATCTTAGATTGAAGAAACCCTTGTTTTCAACAGTTTGTGGAGGTCATGAGTTGGGACTGACCAGTCAAGGTCTTTAGATTGGTTGGCTCATATCAATCTGCCAATCTCATGAAGACCTGGTTCAGTTCACAAGCTCATGGCCATTGGTTAATGTAATGGTGTTTGTTGTTCAATCAAGAGATACGATGGTAGTTTTGTCATCGTTTAGATCAACATCTTGTATTGGATTGTATGAGCATAACTTTTTACAAGGGGTGAACTATGTTATAGTAGTAGAAAATGATCATCCAATTATTGAAACATTTCAACTAAACTAGAGGTTTTGAATGAGAATTCATTTTTTCATCATAATGATTGCCCCATGTGATGTATTTTTTTATACTAAAGTATTTTATCTTCCCCTAGAACTAGGAATCTCTCATGTGTTATGTTTACTTGGGTGGTTCACCATGCTTTTGTCAAGAAACATTTATTTTTTATTTTTTTTTCTAGTATCATGCTAGAGCACACTAGGGAGTAAGGACTGTTCACATGTTCCCAATAAAAAGTAGTAAACCCATCATTTTTACCATCATTATTTATAATATTAAACAATGAGGGTCTAACCTTGATCACATGTTGATTTATTTCAATCACAATACTAGATTTTAGGAAGCTTCATATGAGGTGTAGCTTCCCTTTTTACAAAAACATTAGAAACATATAGGTAGTGGATATTTTTTTAGTTTGGATGACATTAATTTCATTCATTTTAATCTATATTTATTTAACGAGGACTTACGTGACTTAGTCGTTGTATAGTAAGTCATGTAAATTTAAAATTTATAAAACTAGAAAATATGAATTTTCAGATATTTAAAAATATTTAAGAACAAATATATCAATTATAATTCAATAAAACTTTCAAAAATAATAATAATTTTCTAATTCAAGCACAGAGATGTAATATAATATCAGATAATTATTCAGATTTTTTTTAAAAGAATATTATTTTCTATGAATTATATACTAAGAAATGAAAATAAAATATATTTAAAATTCACAAAAAAGAGAAATAAGGGTGCAGACATCAGGATGATGTCAGTGCCTGGCGAACGCGAATCGGGCAGAAATAGAGTTCCATCTGATGATTCTTACATAAGCAATTACAGACGTTTTAATTGATTAAATTAAGATATGTAAAAGCCGAACGAATCATAATTGAATGAAGTATATCTTGGTAATTTTAAATCACACAAATTATCACTAATTGAAGTGAAAAGTAAGTTGAAAGTAAGAAAATAGAGTTTCGGCGTTGCAGTAGTAATGCTGCGTCGGTGATGCACCAAAATCCTAAGCATTTGAGAGGATCGTCGTGTAATGTCCACAGCCTCGATGGCTCTCTTTGAACAAAGACGATGTGGGTAATTTCTAGACCTCCTTGCAAAGTCTAGAGATCAATGAAATGAGCTGTCAAATTGTTTCCGGCAATTGTCACTTAGCGGAGCGAAAAAATGGCAACTTTGCGACTCTCCAGTGGCTATCACCCAATAGAGATGAGCTAGATGAAGGTGAGGCGTGTGTTAGGGAGCTTCATCCTCAAGTACGCACAGTAAAATGACGCTCTTCATCGCATCCGGTATGGTTTCAAGAGGTGGCGACTTGTCTCTTAGTGAATCGTCCTCTTCTCGATGATGGCTTATTCGTCGATCAATCAGAGATGCTTTACTCAATGGATTCATAATCTTTTTTTGTGAATCGTTCAACAATTTTAGTAACAATACTCTACAAATCACGTTGACAAGATTTTTGTCGATGATCCAACGATTCTGACAGCTTAATCCTTCACCAGCGATCTGCAAAAAAGTCATGATAATTAGATAAAAAAATAGGAGTTTTGGCTCTGGGAGGATTCGAACCCACGTTGATTGGTCGCCTATATGAAAGAGATTGGTATAAGTACTCTAATGCCCTTATCAAATGGCATCATCATGGTATATCTCTATTATAAATAAGGGGTATTATAAGTATTAAAATCATCGAAGCCTTTCTAGGGAAGGTGTGACGCGGGTTTAATCTCATATCGCTTGTGCGCCGAAGTTTTGAGCAAATATATAGTAATATTATATTTGCAAGCAAGTCTCTTTCTCTCGCACGTACGACTACTCTTTGCCCCACAACTAGCTGGCCACTAGTGACAAGGAAGGGGAGTGGTACACACGTGTCCCCATTGGTCCTAGTCACTCGAGCCCCTACTTGTGGCTCCTCCCGAACTGTGCTTCTGACCTGCTTGCAAACCTGGCTGGCCGACGAGTACCATTCATTTTGTTATATTTTTATTTTTATTTCTTTTTCTTCATTTATCTCAAAAGTAAGACTATAAAAATTATATAAATTTATATAAAATCACATAATTAGCCAAAAATTGATGTTAATAACTTGAAAACCACTTTTCACAGTTTAACACAAATATAAGTTTATTTACCATGAGTTAAGGCTAAAACTATATTATTTACTAATTATTAACTCATGATAATGAAGACTTATCAAGGATCTTGACATGTTGGATTATTTTTACAACTTCAATATCTTTGTTAACTCAAAGAAGATCAGCAATGCTAGTTTGTAACCTTAGATTATGGGTAACTTGGCTTGGTCCAATATATTTTGATGTACATAGTTTGACACTGAGAAGGTGCAATATTTACCTTTTATTCTTTTTTTGTGTCTAATTCATGTAATATTTTTTCATTGATCAATCCCTCTAATATTTTGATGTTTGTCAGCACACGATTTGTGTCAAATGGGTTTGTCTCAATTTCATAAAAACAAGGAGATTTCCCTTCTTACACTTTCTCAATTTAGGACATGATGAATCTTCTTTCTTCATCCCACTTTTTCCATTAAGGGATTTTTTTATAATTTGATATACTACTTGGAAACTGGTCCTTATTTGGAAACTTTTATGAGACTATTACCAAGTTGGTTGTGGTGTCTTTTCATTTCTACATGTGTTGGAGAGCAATGCTCAACCTCTCTTTATTTTTGTGCCACAACACTGAAAACTATTGTAATACTTTTAAGAATACGATGATTTAGTCTATATTACAATATAATAACGAACACAAAGCTTGACTATTTTAGTGTTGCCAATATATTTTTTGTACATAATTCAAGATTTAGGGTGCATCTGACACATGGTTAAGCAACTGTCAATTATATGCTACCATTACTAAATATGAATCATGATCATGCACATATCACTGGAAAAAAAAATAAAAGAAAATTCTTCATGGTTCTCCTTAATGAGTGATGATCACCCCGAGTGGCTACTTACCCAACTATCAAAATGGCTAAGGAAATTCTTAGTGAAAAATATTAAAAATACCACTTTTTTTTTGCAGACATTTTTCTAGTAAATTGTGTCCTTTAAGGTTTTTGATTGCTTTATTAGTTTGACAAAAATAAAGGACTCTTGAGAATCCTTATGAGTCATTTTGACAATGAATTCCATTTATCAAAAATACTTTTTATGATAAAGACATCTTGTATTTTTATTTTTTTTATAATATCCTCTTTTGTTGAAGTTTATGTTGAATCCTCTTTCATGCAAGTGAATGGTGTAAGCCAACATTTTTCATTTTGATCTATGCACAACTCCGCTAGTGTTTCTAATAAAAAGTAATGGGCTCTTCAATCATTCATCAAGAGGCAATCAGTTGTTCCAAGAACAACTAGTCAGCTCTCTCTCTCCCTCTCTCGCTTGATCACTCACTAGTTGATTGGCTAAGCTATTCATCATCCGTTTCTTGCAATCTTTATTACAATGATTAAGACATTGAAGATAAATCTAATGACCATTGTTCTCGCACTAATCATAAGATAATTCCATGTTAATGGGTTCTTGAACCATACTCGATTAGCTTACTTGAGGATAGATGGCTCTTAACATAACATGATCATCTTCATCTCAACTTTGCTTTCTATGGACATGGTGCATTCAATGGGAATAAATCCCATGCAATTTCTATTCTCTCGACAAGACTATGTTGGATCTTTGACTAGGGTCCCACATATGGCAAACCAACATTGAGTCTAATGATCTTCTTGACAAGGAGCCAGTGAGTCTAATGATTCATTATTTTATTCATGGCATCGTAATGTGATAACCATCAATTCCTATATAGCTAGACACACAAAAAAAATTGTGTTCTTTAGGCCCACTCATGGCCCATTATAAGTCTGCTCAACTAGCCATTGAGCCGACCATTTAGCTATAAGAAATATAATTCTTCAAATTTTTATGATCTATTTACTTCATTACCTTTCCAATGAATTTTGTATGTGATACATTAATTTAATTATGAAAATTATTTTATTGACAAGAGAGGAAAAAATTATTATATTTATAAAATGTAGAATACATGACTCTTATATATGAGAGAGGAGAGATGAGAAGAGAGAGAAATAATGGGCCATAGTGTGGTAGAAGTCTGATATCACTATCGAACACTCCCCCTCAAGTTGGAGCATATAAGTTGAACATGTTCAACTTGGTACATGTGATGTCGTAAAAGATGACAACCAGACTTTTCGTGAGGACGTCCACAAGCTGATGATATGATATCACATGAGTAGAGATAAGTTCAAACATGACCTTATCTTAAATGGAATGACAGTCGATCTTAATGTACTTTGTACACTCATGAAAGGTGGGATTGTCAATAATGAAGATGACATCTTGATTGTCGCAATACATGGGCATTAGAGAGGAAGAAGCAATGTCAAGATCGTTGAGAAGTGATCAAAGTCATGTCATTTCCCATGCTGCCTCAACCATGACTTGATACTCGAATTTCACACTGGAGTAGGACACCACCCTCTAAATCTGAGACTATCAAGTGACTAGGTTACTGTCAATGTATGTGCAATAACCTGTAGTAGACTTTCGGTCACCCTTGTCACTTGCATATTCGACGTCAGAGTAGGCTGTAATGTGAAAATAATTGTTGCTGATAGATGAGCCCTTTTATTAGGGCTCGTTTGATGTAGATGATGACTCATAGAACTCTCCTCTAATGAACTCGTTGAGACTCCTACATAAACTGACTCAAGACACTAACCATGTATACGATATCAAGGTGAGTGACAATGAAATATATCAGCTTGCTCAACAATTGTCAATACTAGTTAACATCTTCGAGTAGGAGAGATGAAGTGTCTCTAAACTACAGACAAGCTTCTATGAGTGAAGTTTCAAGCTTGCACCTAAGGAGACATGTCTCCTGAAGCATGTAGAGAACATATTTTTGCTAGGTGAGGGCGAGCTTCCCGTCCTAATATACAAACTCAATTACAAAAAAATGTTGTGGAGTCTCCAAGTCATGAATGTTGAGGTGATGCTGCAAGTAAGCTTTAGTAGTAGAGATTTCGACCTTATCACTTTCAGTCACAAGGATGTCGTCACGTAGACTGTAAGGATGATAAAGTCTCCCTCTGTCTTCTTCGTGAGTATGGTGGATCTACAGTGTAAGAGATGAAGTCAAAAGTAGTAAGTAAAATCACTAAACTTGATGAATCAAACACATGGACTCTACTTAAGCCCATAAATGACACATTACAAGAGACCCACCTTCGATGACTCTCTCTAAGTAATATATTAAAAGGTTGCTTCATAAAGACCTACTTCTCGAAATCATCATAGAGAAAGGCATCAAAAATATCTATTGGTGGAGAAACCATGTATGATTGATATCAAGATAAAGAAACATGTAGATAGAGTTGAGGTGGACAATAGGAGATAACGTCTCAGTATAATCAATCACATATGTTTGCATGAAGCCCTGAGCAACAAGGCGAGCATTGTGATGAATGGTAGAGTTATCCGGGTGATACTTGAGGGTAAACACCTACTTGCACATCACAATGTTGGCATCACTCGGGTGCAGAAACAAACGTCAAGTCTCCCTAGTGACTAACACAACCATCTTGGAATCCATGGTTGTCTTCCACATAGGTACATGTGCAGCCTCAACATATGACTGCAGAAGCAACTCAAAGGTCACAAAGAACACAAAGGCACGAAAGGAATGAGAAAGGCAGTCATAAGAGATAAATTGGGAGATGAGATGGTGGGTGTAGCCACGTGTACCTTTGCGGAGGGCAATAAGGAGATCAAGGTCATTTGGTGGAGCAGCGACCAAAGATGTGGAGGGGATCATAAGAGAGAATGAGGAATATTACATATGGAGTAGGAGGAATCACAAGAGACATGGGCTGAAGAGAGGCAAGCGTGGGTAACGATCCCACAGAGAGTAGACAAGAGGGAAGAGAATGGGAGGGTCCATAAGAATTGTCAAGGGAGGGAACCTAGGTGGAGGAGACGTAAGGGCGTGAGGAAGAGGAGGGGTCAAAACTAAGGAAAAGAAATGATACTCCTCATGAAAAGTGATATCGATCGAGGTCACATAGCAATGAGTATCCATGAAGTAGACTCAATAGTCCTTTTACGTACACAAGTAGCTGACAAAGACCCTTTTAATAGCACAAGGGGCGAGTTTAGAAAGAGAAGAAGATAAATCATAGACGAAGATAGTGCATCTAAAGACCCAAAGAGGAAGAGAAAAAAGAGGAGAATCAAATATTAAGTGATGGAGATGAATGCCCCCCCTCCCCCTCAAGAGGAGTAGAGGAAAGCCGATTTTAGAGGTAAGTGGTAGTCAGAAGAGCATCATCCTAAAGATAGTGGGGGACATTCATCTCAAGTAGAAGTGTGCAAGTGATGCCAAGAAGTTGACAATGTTTGCATTTGGCAACACTATTCTAATACAAGGTGTGGTAGTAGGTGGTTTGGTGGAGGATACCATGATCAATACAAAATGTGTGGAGAGAGGCTTGGATAAACTCAAAAGTATTATTAATATAAAGAATCTTGGACGTAGTAATATATTATGTGATAACTTCAATAATGAAATGAGTAACTATGGTGACAACTTTAGAGTGGTCACAGAAGAGGTAGACTTAGCTCACACAGAGTGCAGTCATCGATAAAAATGATATAATGACGATGGCTTGAGATAGAAAAAGTACGAGATGAATCCCATACATCACAATGGAGAAGGTCAAAGAGAGTAGAAGAAGGGATGCTATCATGACTAAGGTAAGAGTATGGTGATATTTGCCCAACTAATAAGATTCATACACAAACTTATAGAGAGAAAATCATGATAAGGTTTTTTGTAATTTAGAGAAATAAGGATGACCTAAATAATGATGTCATAAAAGAGAAGAAGTGGTTGTAGAGGCAACAAAAAGGGCCTGAAGGCTAGATGAAGGTTTGTCAAAAACGAGTTCATAGACACCTTACTCATTTTTATGACCCAAACCAATCCTCCGTTTGATATGCAGATCAAAGTATAGTGAAAGGAAAAGAATGTGATGATACATAGGAAGGCACGTGTAATAACACTGATGAAAATAAGGTTAATAGGAAAACTGATAACATAGAGAATATGGGTGAGGAAAAGGGAAAGAGAAGTCAAGGTGACACAATGACTTTTGACTGGACAAGTCCAGCCATCAGCAATGATGATAGGGGAGTGAGTCGGGGTAAACTGATAGGAGGAAGTGAATAGTGAGAATACCGGTCATGTGGGTGGAGTCCCTCGAATCAATAATCTATGGCATCAAAGAAGAAGCAAGGAGGGCATATGTACCTAGTGTGGAGGAGGTCGGAAGCGAGGCAAGACTAGTAGAGGTGAAAGCATCGATACCACTGGCACAGCCAAAGACATTAGACTCTGCAGACGTTAAGGTCACATGAAAGATAGGAGTTGGAACACGAGATGGAGTGGGGGACACAAGAGTCAGAAAAGTCATTGTCGACTGTGTACAAGCGGGCTTGTCGAACTCCCTCCAACACTTAGTAGTCAAATGATTCTCTTCCCGCAGTAGGGATAAGGAGGAAAAGTATTGCGCCCACGTCCACGAGAAGGACGACCACCGTCAGGGTGGGGAGAGGTATCATCTCAAGTCGGCGGAACAGCCACGGCAAGAGCTGAAGGAGTAAAAGTATCATCTCGGAACTGCAAGTTGAACCATCTCATTTATATTCACTAGCTTCTCTTTGGAACAGCCCTTCTTTTCCCTGATGACAAGCCGCCTTGGCGTTCTCTTCACTGATTCACTACCGCCACCCTGGACAGCAGAGCCCAGGGAGCTATCCTCTTTTCTCAACCAGTTATCTAGAAGCACATCCTTCGTGCAGGATATATGAAGGGAGACAGACTTGCAGGTGGAGACATAGCACCACGAAGACTTCCCGTCGATGTTCTTCTTCCTGCCGCACTTCTCGCACTCGGAGGACATCTCCTTCTTGAGCTCCAGCCTCAGGTTCCCGTCGTTGAGGACTCGGGGTAGCTTCGCACCGGAGGTGTAGGTCCATGCCGCAGTCATAGCAGTGATAGAACAAGGCCTCGGCACTTTCCCCGCAGGCATCGCAGGACTGTTCGCGCTGTTTGCCTTCGCGTCACAGCCCAGATTTCACCAATCGGAAACGACATCTTTTGAACAACGGATGTTGGAGAGACCGAAGAGGCTTGGCGCAGTGGTGATGAAGATGGAAGCTGCAGGACTCTTCGCACCTGTAGCACGAGTAGAACTCCAGTTCCTTGCAGCCATCACACCGGAAAGGGATTTCCCTGAGCTCAAGCTTGAGCTTGTGACTTAGGTGTGACTTGGGTGTGATTCGGATTCTAGTTTATTTCCTTCTGCGCTGTTTGCCAGAGAAAGGAAAGGATACTTCTACACGAGGGGGTAGGAGGGAGGGAGGGAGGGAGGTCACATACAGTATACAGACTCCAAGTTCTTGGAGGAACTTGTGGAGTACACGGGGGCTCGCTTATGACGGTTGGTTCACCGTGTCTCACCCCGAAGCCGGAAAGAAGAAGCTTAAAACGGCATTAGAATTTCCCGCTCTCTCAGACACCGCCGACTGCCTGAACAGGTATCTCGGCCTCGTAGAAGCTTCTAGGTCCAGATCCTTGAGATTTCGCGGCACCCTACTGTGGGTCCGGGGGGGGGGGGGGGGGGGGGGGGGGGGGGGGGGGGGGGGGGGGGGGGGGGGGTGTGTGAGAGAGAGAGAGAGAGAGAGAGAGGTGTATGTTCCAGATTTCACACACGACTGACTCGGACGTATTCAACGCCTTTTACGGCCCTGACTTCTGATCAAGTGATGACACAACCCATGGTTCGTTCTCTCCCTGTCTCTTTCTTTCATAAACAGCTCGGGAAACTCGGTGAGGACCGTGTCGCCGGAGGTGGTTTTTGGGATACGCGGCATTTGCATAAGAAGACACGGCTAAGGGTGCCTGTCAGTTCACACCTACAGACAATGTGACACGAGACTCAAGTTCCTCGCAAATGTTGCATCGGTGAGTGCCCCCCCTTCTTCTCGAGTTTGACTACGTTATTGGAGAGCAAGGAGGGCCTTAACCTGCCGAAAGTCACGGTTTCTGCTGCATTTTGTTCGACACCCTTAGGTGAATTATTCTCACTGTTGACCGGCACTTGGGGTTTTACTGCATGCTTCATCTCTCTCTCTCTCTACCACGTTTTAGTCGGTCCCAGGAGCTTGAGGTCAAGTAGATGCTGACAGAAGGGCTCGTATTTGATTTATTAATGGCTGGGTGTACCTCAGGTCATCTCCAATCTTTGACTATGGAGAATATTGAATGGAGAAGCGACGAATGAAGTTTCTTCGAAACAGGCTGAAACTTACTCTCGAATATTTCTGTCATCAGCCGGACCTGCATTTGATGGCTTTGAAGGAAGATGCTCCATACAGATCGTTTTCCCATGATTGTCTTCTTGGAATGATTGCCCTCGCGTTCCACGGAAAACAAAATTAAATAAAAACAAAATAAAATATATCTACGCGGAAAATATACCGACTTTCCGACCTCCTTCCCTTCTTTTAATAATTTAACCAGCGGGGTTGATCGCCGCATTGAAGGGTTCTCTTCGATTGGGCGCTCTTTTGATGTCCTCGGAACCTCCGCGTATCTCCCTCTCTCACTCTCTTCTGTTTCAACGGGTTAGAAGACGCTGGTCACCGGGTCGGATTAGTACGACGGAAACGATGATGTAACCAATTTGATAATCCCAGCCCGGCCCAGTACCCCTGGTTTAAACTAGCTTTCTGTATGCACCTATTTGAGAGAAAGTAGAGGGAGGAACAGGGTGGGAGCGAGAGAGGGCAGCTGCCTCATGGGTCGATGGACTCTGTTGGATACCTGATTAGGGTCCCGCGGAGGGCGATCCAACATCGAGGAGTTTGTAGACTTCATTTAGAAACCTCATCTCGCACTCTCAGAAGCTCGCCCCTTGATCTTCTTGGCAATGAGCCGGAGAGTCTAATGATTCATCATTTATCCATGGCATCCTAATGTGATAACTGTCGATTCCCAGATAGCTAGTCACAATTTTTTCTGTGTTCTTTAGGCCCACTTATGGCCCATTAAAGGCCCGCTCAACCAGCCGCTGAGCCGACCATTTGGCCGTAACAAATATAATTCTTCGAATTTCTATGATCTGTTTGCTTCATTACCTTTTCAATGAATTTTGTACGTGACACACCAGTTTAATTATGAAAATTGTTTCATTCGATTCCTTTCAATTGACATTTTACACATTCATCATGTTATAAAATTATCATTCAATTATATATAATTAAAACTTTGTCCTCATCAAAATGCTTAAAGTCCTTCAACCTCAATAATAACTACACTTTCTTCCATTTTATCTGAATGGAGATCAAGCTAATCAGATCATCACACCACACTGTTATGCGGACTGCAAATCAGGCACAATTCGTCTTTACATGCGTAAACGCTGACCTTTGTTTACAACCATGCAAATGCAAGAACAACGGCAACTCCATCTTGAAGATGCGTACGTTTCACAACCAAAAAAGGAGAATTTCAAAGACAAGAGGCTAACGAGGGTAGAGCTCAGCGAGAGAGTAGGCTAGCAATCACAGTCGCCGCTAAAGATATTGGATCCCCAAGTACGGCGGCGAGGATGATCGAAACTGCTACTTGAACCACCTTCTTCATCTTCGCTAGCTTCCACCCGGGACGGCCTTTGTTTTCCCTTACGGCAAGCTGGAGCATCGGCGTTCTTTTCACTGATTCACGACCGCCGTCCTTGACGGCGGAACCCCGAGAGCTATCTTCTTTCTTCACACAGTTATCCTGGAGCACATCCTTCATGCAGGATATATGATACGAGAAAGTCTTGCAGGTTGAGACGTAGCCCCACGAAAACTTCCCATCCGCCCTCTTCTTCCAGCCGCACCTTTCGCACTCGGAGGAAATCTCCTTCTTGAGCTCCAACCTCAGGCCCCCGTCGTCGAGGACTCGGGGTAGGTTCGCACAGGAGGGGTGCAGGTCCTTGCCGCAGATATCGCAGTGGTAGACGAAGCCCCTCACACGTGTCCCGCAGGCGTCACAGACCCTGCCGTGCAGCCCGGATTCCACCCATCTGAAACTACAATTTTTGAAGAACGGATGTTTGAGAGACGGGCGAGGGTTGGCGCAGTGGCGATGAAGGTGGAAGTCACACGACTTTTCGCACGTGTAGCACGAGTAGAACCCTGGTTCCTTGCAGCCATCACACAAGAAGGACGCTTCCCTACGCTCTAACTTGAGCTTGTGCCGTGGGTGTAACCTAGTTTGGAGGCTCATTTCCTTCTGTGCTGTTTGCCAGAGAATGGTAGAGGGAGGGTGGAAGGGAGGTCGGGAGTGAGAGAGAGCCGAGGGTCATGTACATAGTATACAGACTCATTGTTATATAGCTTGGTGGTGTGTACAGGGGATTGCTGATATGATGGCAAGTTGACCGTGTCTCACCCCGAAGCCGGTAGGAAAAAGCTTGCAAGGGATATCTGCTTGCGTCCGCGTAGCTCACTCGACGTCCCACCGTTCGAATCCCCAAATAGTTTCTCTCACTTGTAGTCCCTCTCTTTCCCTCTTACTCTCTCTCTCTCTCTCGCTCTGCGCTCACATGGGACCCACTGTAAGGTGCCACGAAATCTGAAGGATATGGACATCAAAGCTTTCACGACACCATGACAACTGTTCCGGCCTTGGCGGCGTCCGAGAGAGAGGGAAATTTCGATGTCTATTTACTTAATATTATAAGAAAATCACAGGTTTATTAAATGTTATTGGGATAGAGTTGAAAATCTGATGATATCTTCGGCGTTGTCAGCGTACGTCACACATACTGCGGCTGTTGGACAAAGTCAAGACAGCCATTTGTGGCAGAGGATGATCCAAGGGAGGAGGGAGGAAGAGATCGAGCGAGCGAGCGAGAGAAAGAGAGAGAGAGAGAGAGAGAGAGAGAGAGAGAGAGAGAGAGAGAGAGAGAGAGAGAGAGAGAGAGGGTGTATGTTCCGTATGCAACACCCAACTGGCTCGGTCTTATTCAGCATATTTATAAACCTGACCGGTGGTCAAAACCCGTGGCTCGTTCTCTCCCTCGCTTTCCCTTTCATGAACAGCTCGGCAGATTCGGAGAGCGTGTCGCCGGAGGTGATTGTCGGGACTCCCCAGTGGGAATATGAAGGGATGGCATGAAAAGACGCGTTTAAGGGAGTATGTGATTTCATACGCGCAGGGCGTTCCACCGGTAGGATCCCCCTTCTTCTCAAGTTTGACTGAAGAGCAAGGAGTGCTTCTCTTGCCGAGACTCACGGTATCTACTGGATTTTGTTCAACGCCCTATCAAGCGTGCCAGGTTATCGAAAAGGAACTCAACCAAGGGAACAGGTGCAAAGAGGAGGTAACGCCGGCTAGGCGTATTACCTCACTGTTGGCCGTGAGCCCTTTACTACCACTATTTTAGACGACCCCAGGAGCTTGAAGTCAAGAAGATGCGGACAGAAAGGTTCTTATTTGACTCAATAAATGACTGGGTTCACTTCCGCTTCTCCAATCTTTAACCTGGGACCACGTTGAAAGAGAAACAATGAATGAGGTTTTTGCGAAGCACGCTTAAACTTGGCCTCCAAGATTTCCGACCGTCAGCCGGACCAGCTGCTGATGGCTTTCGACGAAGCTGCTGCGAACTTACCAATTTCTCATGGTCATCTTCCGGGAAGGATTGCCATCGCTTTCCGTTGAAAACAAAATCAAATAAAATATATTTACGCGGAAATATACCTACCTTTCCGACCTCATTTTCTTCTTTTAATCATTTAACCCGCGGGGTTGATCGCCACATTGAAGGGTTCCCTCCCATTAGCCGCTCATTTGAAGTCCCCGCAACCTCCACCTCGCTCTCTCTCTCTCTCTCTCCACACCAACCCACCTTAGTTCAACTGGCCTTCTATGTGCCCCCATTTGAGAGAGAAGAGGGAGGAGTACGGTTGTAGGGAGAGAGGACAAGTGACGTAGGACATAACTAAGAAAAAAGACGGCATGTTTGAAGGCCCACAATAAGAATAACTAAAGTAGAATAACATCAAGAGACGCTCAAAACTGATGGGCAAGCCATTCTGGATAAGAGTAGGCCCAAAAGGCCCAAAATAAGATTAGGCCCAAAAAAGGCATGAATAACATGTAAGAGTATTAGTTTTCAGTAATTGTCTTATTTTAAAGGCATTTTGAATTTATTTCTAGGGCATGCTAACTGATTTTTACACTATTTAAAGGCCACTATATTGTAACCCTAAAATCATCTTGGTTATTATGGATTCTTGTTCTCTTTGTAAGAGTTTTGAGTGTCTTGTGGATTCAAAGCTCAAAATCTTCCATAACCCTCAACTTTTGCTATGCCGACAATTGCCACATAAGAGATCAACCCAAGATAGAGATTAAATTCGGGATTCCCAATACGAGCAATGGGTGAGTGACTTGCGTGTTGTTGTACAGTCTTGGTGTATCCATGAAACTCACTCCCAACTAAAGCTAATTAACAATTACATAGGCTTTTATCTTTGAATTGTACAAATCTGAAATCTAATGTTTAGACTTGCATATGAGTGAATGTATTAAAATAATCACATTTTGATTATTAACATCTCTCTACTTACACATATTTGAATGATATATTTTTTTCATTATTAATTTTCTCTTGAGCTGAATGATGGAATAAATTTTATATTTAAAATTCGTTCACATTATTTCTTCGCAATAAAAACAAGTATTCATTAGTCTAGACCTAAAGCTATTCCTTGCTACTTTCCTCGAGCAAACTTTGTGAAAAATCAGACGCAGTGGGGGATAGGGTCAATGAGTTTGAGAAGTTGGGAGGGAACTAAACTGGGTTTTCTGGGATTGAACCACAAGTTTATGTCAAAAGAACATACACTGACCTAATTAATGAGATCAAATATTCTAGCTAGAACCCTTGCTTTTGCATTGACTGGCAAACTAGTTGAGTAGTTCCCTTTCTTTGGGAACACCCAAAGAGAGAAAGAGAGAGAGAGAGAGGGCCACTAGAGTCTCATTTGGTTCTCCCACTCTATTCTTGGTTTATGGTAGAAGAGAGTGATGAAAATCTTTGTACTATTACTTCAAGTTATTTATGAAAAGTTTGATGTATAAAAATTGTGTTGAATATTGGGATGAATTATATTTAAAATTAATTAATAAATTTTAATTATTTTTACTTGATGATGTAATATATAATACTAACAAAGTAGATATTGCTATTTATTTATTTTAAATATATAAATACTATATATGCCAATATATCTTACGAATAAGTGATATTTAAAAATTAATTATATCACCTACACATGTGTGATAGAGGAAATATGTTAGAATGTAATAAAGTAGATTTTGTGTTATTGAAGGGTACATCATCTGTTAATTTACTATTTAAGAAGAGAAATTTAAATTTTCTTATTAACTAAGTTGGCTTAGACTATGCAACTGACTTTGACAAAAAAAGTATCTATAACTACATGTATCTTTTCTCTAGGTGAAGGTGTTATAAGTTAGAGGTTGAGTACATTGTTCAAATGTTATTATTATTGAAATACGTGGTAAACAAACTTAATGTTATTCAAAGTACATCTGCATTGTGATAGTCAAAATAATTTTTTTCTTAAAAATATATATAGTTTATTATTTTAGGATAAAACCTTAATATTAGATTTCACCAACAACATAAAACCTTAATGTTATGAAAGTTACTACTATATATAATATTGATGATATGATGACCAAGTTTTTACCACTAACTAAACCTGCTTAATAATCATGATGAGATGTGAATCCCCCAAACTGAGAGGGTAGTCATGTTTAGAAGGAGCTATTTCGTTTGTATTTTTTAGTAACTAGTATGATTGAGTCAAAATCATTGAATGTTTTTATAGACTTGTCAACTCAATTGAGTCATTCCTCATTTTTAAGCAGCAACCAAAAAGACAGAAGAGGAGGCAGTTCCCCCTCTCTCTTCAGAATGAAAATGGTTTATCTTAAGCACAAACCTTTTTAGCATCATGTTGAGGGAAGAGGTCTAGTCGTCTTGTAAGGTTCTATTTTCATTTCTTCTTCCACTCAAAGAAATCTCTTTAGCTCTTTATGTAGGGGAATATCTCGAAACTACATAAATTATAGTGCCTAACTTCTTCATGCTTTTTTCGTTTTGTGTATGATCGTGTAATCTCTATATTTTTCTCTTGCTATTTTAGATACACCATACTTAATTTTTAACACATTTTTTTATTTATCTTCTTTTGTGGGAATTCGTACCTTTAATACTCATTGAACGGTCAATTAAATCTAATCATCTCAGCTCAAGGAGGATTTAATATGATGAAAACTGGTCCTTGACTTTATTTACGCCCGTTGAGGAACCTTATCCGATGTAAGTTTCGTGTATGGCTCTGGAATAGCGAAGGAAAGGTGAAGCAATTAAATATTTAGTAGGAGGGGGGCGAATCTCGTCTTATCTCTTTTGAATTTATCTTTTATATTAATCTTCATTTATTTTATTTTATTGAGTTTAAAAAGTCATAAATATTCTTTTTATTATTCTTTAAAAGTGAAATATAAAATAAGAATAATCAAAATAATGAATTGTAACTAGGCTCGACATTATGACATGGACTGCTTATTGTCCCAATAGGCCGATATTGGACCAAGGCTCAAAGGCTCCACTTGGTGGGCCCACACAATCTAGTGGCTGAGAAAGAGAGCATTGATGGTACGCGTCTGAATCGGAGCCAGTCATCTATGCTACTAATGACTTCTCTATGAGCAATTATTAGGGTATCGCTTTTGATCGGACGGCTGAAAAACACTCATAATCGAGGTATTTCCTCCGGCGTCTCCCACTTGATCGAGTCGTCGGCCGTTGACGTCATCATCTCGCTGGTGAATCGTTCAAAGCAGCCCCTACGTGTCTCAGAGAGAGAGAGAGGGAAAGACGGGGGTTGACGTCGGCAGCTCGGGGTCCACGCCATTCGTCGTGACTAGATTGACCCAAACGGCGGTCCTATGTGCCGGCGCACACACGGGCCGCTCCTTGGTTCGAGTGGAAGGTCAGAACAGTAGGTCCGAGTGGGGCCCGCGGGTACGGGCGTTACTTGCGACTTATTTATCATTAGAGGACCCCTACATTAGAGGAAAATTAGAGAAAGAGCAGAAAAAAGAAACTGGGATTTTTTTTGGAGATGCGGGGGATCGAACCCCGTGCCTCTCGCATGCAAAGCGAGCGCTCTACCATTTGAGCTACATCCCCTAGTTGAGATTTTGAAAATCCCATTTTATCAATATCAGATACGTCATCTTCTATTTCCGAAGACCTCCCTCGCCAACACACCTGACGGCAGGGGGATGGAGGACGAGGTGAAGGGGCTGCTGCGGACGATGAACGAGGTGGTCGAGGAGATTTCTTCCATCGCCGACTACCGGAATGCCTACAAGAAGCAGTTTTGTAATCTCTCCCGGCGGCTCAAGCTGCTGACGCCGATGTTCGAGGAGATCAGGGAGAGCACAAATGCGATCGACGCGGAGACTATGGAGACCCTCCGCCCCCTCGGGGAGGCGCTGCAATCGGCCAGGAATCTTCTCAGATTCGGAAGCGAGGGAAGCAAGATCTGCCTGGTACGATCGGTATAGGCTACGGCCTCCTCTAGTGGAGATAAGACATGCCATTCCTGGAAATTATTTCTAACGATCCATTCATCGGCCCATGCATTACTTCGTTTTGGATGTGGAATGCGCGAAGCACCCTCGTTTCCTGCCCCTCTGATAAGATTCTTAAATGCAAAAATATTTGGTGAAATGTAATTTTTTTTATTTTATTTTATCCGTCCTGTGCTTTGAAATTCAAGGAACTCCAGCATTCGCTCGGCTGTTTATTTCGTGTTCCTCTTGGGACTGAATTCCTTGGGTGTAAAATGCATGAAAACCTCTTTTGCTTCTAGATCACTGGATTCGGCCGGCAAACTAGTGATCCATCGTCTTCGCAGGATTTTTTCCGGCACGATCCGGAGTGTATAATAGGTTTTTGTTCTCCTTCTACGATCTGCCTAACCGCTGATTATACCGCCTTAATAGGACGAATCAGAATTTTGAAGTCGTCGTTCTTCTCTGTGTTTTTGCTGGCTTGCTTCTCTGGTTGGTTATATTCACAGGAATAATATCTGAAAAACGGTTTTCTGCTCGGTCGTATTTTTTTGGGTAATAGTTATGGGGACGTGAAACCAAGGAATGCCTTCTCTGAATCTCATTCTTTCAGGCTATCAAAAATTGCACCACCCACATGCCTGGTTTTTGACTACCTGAATTACGGTTTGAGAGCCTGAACACTGTTCTCTTTCAGAAATCAGACTTTATTTCTCTTCCGTGCATCACAGGAGTTTCTTACGTCATTAAGGATCACCTCCGGAATCGCTTCTTGAGTAGCAGAAACTGTGTGGGAAGAAAGCTTCTATTCATTTCCTGGCTATTCATCATCACGGAATCTCCTGGGTGATGAAGATTTGATGATATGTATCAGCATAGCACTCGGACGAAAGAAATAGTGTAGATGACGATTGTTATTCCATTGTTAATGAAGAATCGCCACTGGCCTTTAAGAAATTAGAATTCCTATTGTGGATGTTGTTGCTACTTCTGGCAATATCATTCCAACCCTCTGCGTAGAATGGTAAACCTTAGTCTAGCAGCAACCTTATCCCCTCATGCTTCATTCAAGAAGAAGATTTGTCTTCATTTCCTTGATATTTTTTTGCCACCTCTTATCATTTCAACGATCAACTTCTCCCATAATAATATCTATACTACCTAGTGTCGTAATGATATCAGCCAATTTCATTTTTTTGACTAGCTGAGGCAAAAAAAAAATATCTCAAGTCCCTGTCAAAACGGAATACGTATCAAGGTTCACATTTGCATCATTATGATACTATCTTGATTATATCTCACTGCTTTAGTCGACAAATAACTAATTAATATACAATAATAAAATTGTAGCGGGTATAGTTTAGTGGTAAAAGTGTGATTCGTCCTATTAAAAACTTAAATAGTTAAAGGGTCTTTTGGTTAATATTCCAATTGGGATCTGGATCCATTATTCATTCAATGGAACCTCTTGTTGGATATTCACCCGATAAAAGTCAGAATATGGTTCTTATGGGTGGTTTAACAAGATATATTCCAATTACAAGAACTACGTTTTTATTAGGTAATTTTCATCTAGTTATTTGGTCATATCATTCGATTAAATGAATTGGAACTTTTTGAATGCCCTTTTTCATTCCAAAAGTATCAGTAATGACACCAATTCCAGGGGTATTTTTGTCCTCCAGATCAACAACTGCCGATAGTATCAATTCAAAGAGAGGGAGGAATTGGGGGGGAGCCAGACAGATTTATTTTCTATAAACGTGAACATCTTGATTAAGATGTAGGTTGAAATGAACTGTTTTGTATCTATGGGAGTAGAGGCATGCTCATCATTCATGGTAATCGTGTACCAAAGGCACCTTTATGCAATTATCACTGTTACGTGGAGGGATTGGAGTCTCTTTTGATATTGTAATGAAGAAGTGTTTTGTCTGGTTGCTCATTTCCTATTTTCGAACATTTTTTCCGTAATGATGCTTTGTTTGCTGCATAGTTTGCACGATTTCTTCGACCAGATAAGGTTTTGAGTGTTTGATGTAAACAAAATTATGTTAAGTTATCATAGAGGACCTCGAGTATTTTGGATATTCACTGTACTGATTTCAGTAGCCTTAAAGAATCCGATCATTATTTTCTTTTTTTTCTTATCTTGGACAATTTGATCTCTTGGAGGTCCTGGAGAGGGATACAATCATGAAAAGATTCCAAGAAGTGACTGGCCAATTAGAGCAAGCTCTGGGGGAGATTCCCTTTGACAAGCTTGGAATATCTGATGAAGTCAGAGAACAGGTATGACCATCTAATGAGGCTTCTATTTTTTTGCTTATTTCAAAGGCATTGATTTACATTGGGAGGTATGGCTCAGTCTTAATTCGTGTCGATGCCAACTCTAAAGTTCATGCAATGATATTGTTTTGAATCTCTATCTTGTTCAGATTGAACTTGTGCATTCCCAGTTTAAAAGAGCTAAAGAGCAAGTTGATTCCCCGGATGGTGATCTCTACAACGACCTTTTATCTGCTTACAACAATGATGCTGAGATTGACACAGATATCCTTAGGAGACTAGCAGAAAAGTTGCAGCTCATGACCATTTCCGACCTCAAGCAGGAATCACTAGCTTTGCATGAGATGGTTGTTGCCAGCAGTGGAGATCCTGGGGAGCGGATCGAGAAAATATCAATGCTATTGAAGAAGATTAAGGATTATGTTCAGACTCAGGATCCAAAGATGGGCACCCCTTTGACTCTCAAAGGCGTTGGTTCTGATGGCAAGCTCAAGGCTCCCATCATACCGGACGATTTTCGTTGCCCGATTTCATTGGAGCTGATGAAGGATCCCGTCATTGTGGCAACGGGACAGGTCCAGACTCTTTCTTCGATTTCTTTCCTCCATATCAGTTACTGATTCCTTTTTTCCTGGCTTTGAGACTGTTCCTGTCTACTAATCTGCAGACTTATGAGCGGACTTTCATAGAGAAATGGCTTGAAGGGGGCCACAACACATGCCCCAAGACACAGCAGCTGCTCTCCAGCACATCCCTCACTCCAAATTTTGTGCTCCGCAGCCTGATAGCTCAGTGGTGCGAGGCCAATGGCATTGATCCGCCCAAGCGCCCGGTCAACTCTCAGCCCAGAGAACCTGCCCGTCCAGAGATCGATGCCCTGCTTCATAAGCTGACATCACACAACCCTGAGGACCAGCGAGCGGCAGCTGGCGAGCTCCGGCTCCTTGCCAAGCGTAATGCCGACAATCGCGTGTGTATTGCTGAGGCTGGCGCCATTCCCCGTCTCGTTAGGTTGCTGCCCTCTGGAGATCCTCGCACCCAAGAGCATGCTGTCACTGCCCTGCTCAATCTGTCCATATGCGAGGAAAACAAGAAGACGATAATCACCTCCACTGGAGCCGTGGCTGGAATAGTTCACGTGCTGAAGAAAGGAAGCATGGAGGCGAGGGAAAATGCAGCAGCAGCGCTTTTCAGTCTCTCTGTGGTGGATGAGAATAAGGTGACCATCGGCATATCAGGGGCGATTCCAGCGCTTGTTGCCCTGCTGGGGGAAGGAAGCCAGAGAGGAAAGAAAGATGCTGCAACAGCGCTCTTTAACCTGTGCATATATCAGGGGAACAAGGGGAAGGCAGTAAGGGCAGGAGTAGTGCCGACGCTGATGGCACTCGTGACCGAGCCAGCTGTGGGCATGGTAGACGAAGCCTTGGCTATAATGGCTATCCTGGGTAGCCACCCAGAGGGCAGGGCGGCTATTGGAGCTGCGGAGGCCATTCCCGTGCTTGTGGAAGTGATTGGGAGTGGCTCTCCGAGAAACAGAGAGAATGCTGCTGCCGTGCTCGTCCATCTCTGCTCAGGAGACCAGCAGCAGCAACACCTGCTCGAGGCACAGGAGCATGGCATAATGGGTCCATTGCAGGAGCTATCAAAAAATGGCACAGAGAGAGGAAAGAGGAAGGCGTTGCAGCTGCTTGATCGGATGAATAAATTTATCGAACAGCAGGAGAAGGTGGCTCAGGCTCTAGCTGAGTCTGTAGCTCACCCTCAGGTCCAGGTCGAGAGCTCGTCTAAGGCTGAGGTCCCATCCAAGGCCGAGGGCCCATCCAAGGCCGAGGGCTCATCTCAGGCCGGGGATCCATTTCTAGCTGGGGGCCAGTGCCTGGTTGAGAGCCCGTTCCAGGACGAAGGCCCATCTCAGCCAGTGGAGTCCAAGCTCCCAGCTCCTTCAAACAATGCTTCCGACTGACAACAGAGACTGTTTCGAGCCCAACATGTTCTTCAAGGTCAGAGAGGTGTCCAATTGGAATCTATGCAGGTGGAAGATCACCTGCATTGCTGATTTGTAAGTCATCCCTCTTTTTTTGTTCCCTTTTATGGGTTGTTGTTCTTGGCCTTGTGTTGTTGGGGACGTCCCACACAGTTTGCAGAGAGATGGGGCTCGGTTCTACCGCAGCCACTGCCCAGCAAGAGGAGGATCAGAGCTGCCGCCGCCGCCGCCGCCACCGCCACCGCCACCGCTGCAGCTGCAGCAAGGCAGATCTCCCTCATTGTAACGTACAAGATCCATGGTCCAGTGTGGCGTCCTCATGTTTTAGCGCAGGAAAACACGACCGTCGCCATCGGTCGAATGCCCAGACTGATAACTCACCTACTCTTCAATGTGATGAGTGATGTCTATGAGCCCTCCAGTCACATAGATGCCTTTGACTCTCTGCCACTGGTGCGCTCATTGGCCACGCTCTTGTCATTCCGTCTTTCGGGCTCTGCGGCCATAGTCTCTTCAATTGACATAGGTTAGTATTTATGGATAAGCATTAGATTCTTCAAACCACGAACGCATTTAGTCGGAGAGAGAGAGAGAGAGAGAGAGAGGTTTCGCTTTCCTTTGGTCAAACCATATGTTCTGGTTGTGGCGAAGATGGGTTGGGGTCTAAATGGAGCACCAAACTCGCCGTCTAGCCCAGAACACCGCAGTCGGAAATAATTGGTCATGAGACAACGACTTGGACTAGGTTCTCCCGTAGCCATGAGACCGTTCGTGTCAACGCCGAACAGTCTAGTCTATAGGTTTGACCAAAGGAAAGCAAAACCTCTCTCTCTCTCTCTCTCCGACTGCATGCGTTCGTTCTTGACTTCGGAGGGCAAGACCCGGGTTTTATCAGACCTCATCAGGTGGGAACGGCGCCCGATAGCTGTCTCGTATCATGATCAATAATGGCTTCATGCGATAGCGAACATCGAACGTAAACTTTATAGAACAAACCATAGCCCAAAAGATTCCATATTATTTTAAAAATCCTGCGTGTGCGCCTCGGGAGAACGGGAGGTCCATCCGTCTGCCAGGAGTGAACCTATCGAAGAGGTGGAGGAGACGTCCCCATCCAAGTTAAGCTAGTTCTCTCCATTTGGAGACTCTCCCCCATGCTTCTCTCCTTTCATGATCGGCTGAACGCACAAATCTAAATTTATCTCATTTGCTTTGTCTGGAACCGATGTCTCATTCATATGTGCGTTAAGAGGGTAAATTCGGTTTACTTTTATGGTCTACTGAGATGGGGGAATCCAGAGATCTGGAAGACCCTGTAAGCTGCCAGCGATGGAGAGAGTAAGCCGACTGTGGGCTCATGTGACGGAACGTGTTTGGGCGAGGAGGGGAGGCATGGGAATCTCTGCCGCTTTCTTTTCCCCTTTTCTGTTTCTGTTTCAGCGAGGGAGAAAGGTGAGGGGGGGGGCGCGGAGGGGGGTAGCCAGCGAAAGGACCCCACCCCCTCCGCTACCCCCGCCCCCCCTCCAGGGCAACAAAAAGATAAAGCTGCCTTACCTTTGCTGCTCCCCATCTGCGAGCCTCTCTCTCTCTCTCTCGCTCGCTCGCTCCTCTTCAACACAGCCGCATGCAACACAACACAACTCCCCACTATAGGAGAGCCATACGACGGAGTAGTGAAAGAAATAACTTAACCGAAGGTAGATCGCAAATCGATTACACGAACCCCCCTCCGCGGGTGTAAATACCTTCGTTCTCTCTTTCGCTTTACTCTTTGCAGATTTTGCCGACTCTGAACAACTTCGTCCCCCTACAGATACCCGTCTCTGCGGACATCGTCCCACCTGCAAAGCTCTTCGAGGTTTTCGTCACCGCTTTTCTTTCCTTCATGGGGTCGCTTTATTCCCGCCATGAGAGGGAAGACTATCTTGGTCCTCGCGAAAGCAGCTGATAACACTGATTCCTTCCGTCGTGGTCGGATAAAAAAATGGGGTACCGAGATAGAGCTTCCATCCTCCATCTCTCTCTCTCTCTCTCTCTCTCTCGCTCTCTCCCCATCTCCCCCGTTTCGGTACGCGTTCCAGTCCCTGCCTCCTCTGGCTCTTCTTGTTCTATTCTGACTGGTTTCTTCAGTATTGCATGGGATTTAGTGAGATCTCTGTAGTTTTATTAGGTTGCTCTCTCCTCTCTTGCGCTTTCTGCGTCCATTCTCCGGATACATTGATAATGTCCAGAATATTAAAATCCCGGTGTCGTGATCGTATCTCAGTGAACTCACTCGTAGGAGGCACAAAATCACATCAAATCCTACAAGATGCCGCAGAAGTGGTTGCCTCCATCTTTGTATTCATGATGTGTTCCTATTTTTTTTCCTACACGCACATGCGTTCATATTATGCACTTCATTTGACGGATGAATCAATAGCTATCGTCCGCGAAGGATTGGAGAAGAGTGCGGAGGATGAATCAGGCAGAGATTGGAGGAATCATCGATCGACATCAGAGCTTCAAACGGAAAGCATTGAACCAACCCTAAATAATGGACTCGATGGATCCCATCTTCTCCCACTTATTTTAAAACGAAAATATCAAGTAAATGAGGAATTTTTTCCAAAACCCAGTTACGATTAACTCGAAAATGATAACTCTGAGTGTGTGTCCCTGCATAATATCTCACGTGGAAAAATCTTCACTCCCCCCAACATTGGAGCATCGCTGCAAGAGCTCCTGGGATCTCCCCCACCTTATCCCCCGCAGAAGAAGGCCGTATTGAAGAGGTAACTGACTCACTCGGGACTCGGGAGATAAACCCGGAATCGGGCTCTCTTAAGATTGGGGTAGATCCGTATGCTCCAGTATGGAACAGCGGAAGGGGGATCTAGTCTACGTGCTGATATTCAAAAGAAGAGGGAAGGCCTGACAATAGATGGAAGAGAGACTCATGTATACTCGTTCAAACCAGTAGTGACAGCCATAACATACTACGTAAAGAGAAGGGGATGACGGAGAGAATCAGTGAAGGGAAAGAAGCCACTAAACGCACCCATAAACCTATCATGACCTAGTCCCACAGAAAGTACAATATAGTTTTCGCATTATAGTCTATCGATCAGAATGCTCAGCGAGGAAGTCATCAGCTGCATGGTATGTAAGCATTATCGAAGATCATTTGCATTGGCTGGTTATCGTAAGTGGAACGGACTCAGGATTATGGGAATGCCTCTGAATATCAAGTTCACTGTCACCAGGAACGCTCTAGCATGATCACCGTAAACCAACACCACTGTTGGCAACAACTGAGCTTTCAGTCAGATGTCAAGCTCCCTGTATTGATGCACACTTCTTCGTAAAATATGCTATAGAACACCTCCACCCCCACCCTCCACCCCCACCCCCCACCCCCCCGGAAGATTAACATGAAAAAAGAAAGAAGCTTCAACCGAAATGAATGAAGCCTAGAATCCTACCTCCGTTTCCCCAGGTTCTTCACCGCTGAAATGGACTCAACATTTCCCCACTGGTGCAGTACTCCTGTCTTCGAAGCCGCGGCAAAAACTGAGCTTCCAAGGTGTGTATATTGTCACTGAAGGATTGATAGATGGCATGTTCCACGGTCAGGGATCATAGAATGTTCCCGGTGGACGCAGAGCTGAAGCCGGAGATATCCGCCCAGACGCTGCTACTGCCGGTGGCGCCACCATCCCCCCAGAACTGATCGTTTTTGGGAATGCCCAGATAGTGTCTGCGAAGAGTGAGCTCTCCTGCTTCCTCATCGCCCTTAACGGGTGCTGGGTGGGCGTTGGGCACCGCGGCCGACGAGTTATCCTGCGTTTGTCCGGCGTAGTATCCCGCTCCATCACCGACCACACCTTGCCCATCGAACGGGAACAGCCCCATCGATAGTGGCGGAGGCGGTGTTTCCAAGCCCCCCATGAAAGGGAACTGGTGGACCTGCTGGAGTCTCCACTGATCCAGAATAGCGGCGCTCGAGCTGACCCCCGTCTGAAAGTTCACTGCATCGACAGGCTGGATCCCACCGAAACTTGATCCCATGTTCGCCAACCCAGTGTAGGCCGGCATGGTGTGCAAAGACGTGAAGAAAGGAAGGGTTGGCTGCGGTGGGAGGTTGGAGGGGATTGCACTGGTGCCGCTGGTGGCTGGGATCGTACTTGGTGTGGAGGCATTCGAATGCCGGTCGGTGGAGGAAGTCGAGGACTTGGAACCGCCGGCCCCCTTGCTGCGCTTGTTGCGGCGGCACCCGCCGCCTACAGGGACGTTCCGCAAGGCTCCCCCGCGCGTCCAGTAGCGTCGGCAGGTCTTGCAGAAGTGACGGGGTTGTGAGAGGGAGTAGTTGTTGAAGTAGCAGAACTTGGTGTTTGTGGACTCGCACCGCGGACACTTGAGCCCCGGTTCCGGCAGCGGAAGCTTTGCCTGCCGGGCCCGGTCGGTCATCGAACCTGCCCTAACGGAGCCCTCTGGACGGGGCGGCGCCGGCGGTGGAAGCCTGTGGCCGCCGCCCCCATCGCTGGCGCCGCCAATTGCCTGATGACGGATCGGTTGCTGTGCACCAAAACAATCAACACCGTCATCCAAAGCTCGAGGAAAAATTTCGGAAAAAGGGAGGTTGGAGACGAGAAATCGGTTGTATATTCAGCAGCAGAAGATAAAAAAAGCGTGAGGATATTTGGCTCTCTTTGTTCTTCCCTTTCCATCACGCTTTCTTCACGAAGAAAACCATTGGCAAAGATGAAGGGAAGCAGCTGAGGAGAAATTCACCTGGTTCCAGTTGGGCGGATCTACATAGACTGGAATAGATGGGAAAACCATGGCCGGCGATCTTCGTCTTTCCCTTTTCGTCTAGAAGATGGCTCCGAGGGTGTTGTCCGGAGAATCACGTCCGCAAGGTGCCGCAGGGAGAAGAAAGGGTCTCTGCGGGCTGAGATGCGAGTTAGAGAGAGAGTAAAGGGGAGGGTGCTGAGAAGCCTGAAATTCTAATCATTTTTGTTCGTCACTCTTTTCTTGTATATTCCCTACTGGGCAGAGCATGGTTCCTTAACCTAGAAGCTTCTTCCAAGGTTAGTGGCTGCTTATGCATGAAAGTGGGCATTAAAAAACTGGAGAAAGTATAGCTCTTGAAGGAGATCCCACGGAAACCCTAACGAGAAGACTATCTAAATACTTTAATACCATTTTTTCATTAATTGGTAAAAATAAATAATTATTTAAAAATCAGACTAGCCAATACCATTTTGCGTTAGACTACTAAATGACTTTAATAAACCATCAGATCTACTGATCAAATACTGGGAATACATCCCATTTATTATGTTTGAACTTTGTTGAAATAATTAAGCACTAATTATGTCCCGCTGAATATAAAAGTGCCCATGCATAAGTTGATGATATTTAATTTTTAATTGAATTAACCCAATACCTGAACTGAACTAAGTGATCATGGTGAAATGTGTGTGTATAAAACTCTCTTTCATAGTTGCCCACATATAAGAAAACAAAAAAATAGACGTTAACATACTGTTGTAATGAACCCGTCACCATTCAAACCCTATAATTGTATTAAAATTATTTTTTTGTGTTAATTTAAATAATTTGCTGAAATTCTACTGCACCTGCTTGAATCCCATGGCTAGTACACGTGAACTTTCTAAACTACGAGGTGTTAGCAACCAAGCCCTTTATTATTATTATTATTATTTAAAATAGCATGAATTACTGGATGTATCCGTTAATGCTTGTCATTTCACACATTAGAGAAGGTGACTCGTGGCCAAAAACAATGCCCAATGAACATGAGAACGTTAATACAATAAATTAAAAGAAAAATACCCTTTTGACGTCATATTTTTTTTTAATCAGAAGATAGAATAATTGAACGAGTTTATAAAATAAATTTTAATTTTATCCTAAATTTGACGTAAATAAAATTCTGTACTTTATATAAAAATGCTGCGAGCTACCTGGTCGACACGATCACTGGACTCGAGTGGAGCATTGAAAATTCGAGTCCGGATGGTTGTGGCCCAGAAGATGCAAGCGGCGCCGTCCTCGTGTGGGCCCAACCAACGATTCTGGATCGCCGCCCTCATTCCTTATTCTATCTAGTTGCGCCGGCAGGTGGACCCCCCAGCCCCACGATCCATCTGAACCCTCTGATCGATGGGCCCCGCCCATCATGACATGTTGTGCTTCTCGGGGGGATGATAGCGTCGTTGAGGTGAGGGCCCAGTAATCGGACGGCCGATATCCCCAATGACACCTCACTGGTGAAGGCGACCGACAGTGGGCCCAACTCCAGAAAAGGCCGTCGCTATGGACCGACACAGCGCCGCTGAACGGCCCAACATAAATTGGGCCTCTTCTTTCTTCCTTTCCCTGAAAAGGAAATCACAGCCCACGGGTGGGGTTAGCGAAGCCCTAGCGAAGCCCCAGAGAAGCCTAATATGGCCCAATGTATATCGGCCCATATGTGTTCCGTTGACCATTATAATTTGGACATGTAAATATAATAGTCAGTTATAGCACGCGTTGTCCGGGACACCCTTGACGACACAAAGATCGGTTACCAAAAATAGGAATGCTCGTTGACTAATCACGGTTGAGACAAATTCATCACAATAATTTTCACAAGATAACAAATAATTACATTATACGTTATTTTTTATTCGGGCTGAAAGCCGAACAAATTAGTTCCTGGGCACATCAACGTGGCACGAGTTTGTCAACGTCCAGGCCATTTAGTCAACCCTCATTATCAGATCACACAAACATATTAAATGCTCATTTTAGACAAAGACGAGGATTTTAATTAAAAATTCCCAAAAAAATGATGTATTTTAAAAAATAGCTTAATCATTTAAATGCACCGATTGGTTGCTCGTTTTGAGACGGATCGCGACCGTCAAAAAATGATCGGGCGGCTGGACTCGTTCTTTCCGAACTTTCCAGAAGCCGACCTTTTTCTCTTCTCTCTCACGCTTCCTATATCATCTCCCTCGTCTGCATCAACTGGAGATCCTCTCTAACCCTAGTGCTCGGTGGTTGCCCTCTTCTCTTCTCTCTGTCTCTCAACGTTCGCTCCTTCACTTTTGATTTGTTCCGAGGGAGATGGCTGGGAAGGGTGAGGGGCCGGCGATCGGCATCGATCTCGGCACCACCTACTCGTGCGTCGGGGTGTGGCAGCATGACAGAGTAGAGATCATCGCCAACGACCAGGGGAACCGGACTACGCCTTCCTATGTCGGCTTCACGGACACCGAGCGTCTCATCGGAGACGCCGCTAAAAATCAGGTGGCCATGAACCCAATCAACACTGTCTTTGGTGAGTACGTTGATGGTTCCCGTGGCTAAGATCTCTTTATTATTCTGTGTGTCGATCATGGATCTAATGTTTCTATTGCACTCAAGCCGCCATTTTCTCAAATCGAGCTAATGGGTTCTTCATTGCTATGGATATGGCGTAGAAGGTTTTAGATCGTCACTATGTCTGATGTTTTACCGTTCAACGTTTTTTGGCTTGATTTATCATGATGCGTCCTTCATACTTCTGATCAGGAGCCGAAAGTTATCGGAAGATTCCAAGGACTCCGAACGAAAATTCGTTCTTCGTAGTTTTCGAGACGTCACCGGCCTTGACTCTCTTTGAGCTGACCCGTTTCCTTATTCTTCGACGACTAAGTTAGTCGTTTTATGTTCATATTCTAAGAGGTCGGTTGCTGCTGGTTGGTCCGAGTAGTTTATGTAGAAGCATTCTATAAAACTCGAGGGAAGGATCACGTATATGGCTTTCTCTTTTTTCTCGAAATAGATTTTCTGCCGTCATATATTGACCAATTAGATCATTGTTCTTAGGGTTCCTTTGAAAATATCATCTATTTTCTTTCGATCCAACGACTGAAACTCGTTTCAATTTGTCTACTGTTTACAGTATTCTACATATATGTTTATTCCACAAGTAGAATGCTCTGAATTTTTTATATCTATCGTTAGGAATATCTGGAGGTCCTTTTAAAAACTTATTATTTCGTAACGCGACGACTTTGTACTGTGTGACGACTTTCATTTATTATCCAAGTATCTCCTATCATGATTTGATTATGTTGAATGTCTCAATATTATTTTTTTCTCACTATTATTACTATCATTGATTATGTGTGAACATTCTCTATTGATATTTTTTGAAAATGAGATAAGGCCAGTTATCAGATGAGAGAGATAAAATTGTTCTCACAAGTGTCGATCGAGTATGCCATCTGAATTACGCCAATTCTCTTTTCTTATTAACTGATCTATGCTATCGACTTCCGTCATTAGGCTAGCATTGTATTATGTATCCCTGCCAATCGAGCTATGCTACCTATTTTTTGGCGTGGGATGTTTTCTTCTACTCATCTTAACTTTTCTTTTGTTATCCAGATGCCAAGCGTTTAATTGGCCGAAGATTTACCGATGCATCTGTTCAGAGCGACATCAAGCTCTGGCCATTTAAGGTGATTTCCGGGCCTGGGGACAAGCCCATGATCGTCGTCCAGTACAAGGGCGAGGAGAAGGAGTTTGCCGCAGAGGAGATCTCGTCCATGGTTCTCATCAAGATGAAGGAGATCGCTGATGCGTACTTGGGCACTACCGTCAAGAACGCCGTGGTCACTGTGCCTGCGTATTTCAACGACTCCCAGCGTCAAGCTACCAAGGATGCTGGCGTCATTGCTGGTCTCAACGTGATGCGGATCATCAACGAGCCCACTGCAGCTGCTATCGCATACGGTCTGGACAAGAAGGCCACCAGTGTAGGGGAGAAGAATGTCCTCATCTTTGACCTGGGTGGTGGCACATTTGACGTCTCCCTCCTCACCATCGAAGAGGGCATCTTCGAGGTCAAGGCGACGGCCGGGGACACCCACTTGGGCGGGGAAGACTTTGACAACAGGATGGTCAACCACTTCGTCCAGGAATTCAAGAGGAAGCACAAGAAGGACATCAGTGGGAACCCCAGGGCCCTCAGGAGACTGCGGACAGCATGCGAGAGGGCGAAGCGAACCCTCTCTTCCACCGCCCAGACCACCATCGAGATCGACTCCCTTTACGAGGGCGTTGACTTCTACACGACCATCACCCGGGCCAGATTCGAAGAGCTGAACATGGATCTGTTCAGGAAGTGCATGGAGCCCGTGGAGAAGTGCCTGAGGGACGCCAAGATGGACAAGAGCACCGTCCACGACGTGGTCCTCGTGGGCGGCTCCACTAGGATCCCTAAGGTCCAGCAGCTCCTCCAAGACTTCTTCAACGGGAAGGAACTCTGCAAGAGCATCAATCCCGACGAGGCCGTCGCGTACGGAGCAGCCGTCCAGGCCGCCATCTTGAGCGGCGAAGGGAACGAGAAGGTGCAAGATCTGCTGCTGCTCGACGTGACCCCTCTGTCCCTCGGCCTGGAGACGGCTGGAGGAGTGATGACCGTCCTGATCCCGAGGAACACCACCATCCCCACCAAGAAGGAGCAGGTCTTCTCCACATACTCCGACAACCAGCCGGGCGTCCTGATCCAGGTCTACGAGGGGGAGAGAACGAGGACGAGGGACAACAACCTCCTGGGCAAGTTCGAGCTCTCCGGCATCCCTCCGGCGCCGAGGGGCGTCCCCCAGATCACCGTTTGCTTCGACATCGACGCCAACGGCATCCTGAACGTCTCCGCCGAGGACAAGACAACCGGGCAGAAGAACAAGATCACCATCACGAACGACAAGGGGCGGCTGAGCAAGGAGGAGATCGAGAAGATGGTCCAGGAGGCGGAGAAGTACAAGTCCGAGGACGAAGAGCACAAGAAGAAAGTGGAGTCGAAGAACGCCCTGGAGAACTACGCGTACAACATGAGGAACACCATCCGGGACGAGAAGATCGCCTCCAAACTCCCCGCCGCCGACAAGAAGAAAATCGAGGACGCCATCGACCAGGCCATCAGCTGGCTGGACGGCAACCAGTTGGCCGAGGCCGACGAATTCGACGACAAGATGAAGGAGCTGGAGAGCATCTGCAACCCGATCATCGCCAAGATGTACCAGGGAGCCGGCGACGGCATGGATGAGGACGGCGAGCCCCCTGCCGCCGGCAGCAGTGGCTCCGGCCCCGGGCCAAAGATTGAGGAGGTCGACTAAAACTCTTCCTTTTCCAATAGAGGACCCTGTCATGCGCATCTATCCTATTCTTCTTTCTCAGTAGCTCCCCGTTGACTTTGTGTTGAACTTCATTTCGATCTCTACTTCAATATTAGAATATCTACCAGTTTGATTCGTGAGGCAGGTGCCCATGATTTTTTCCCCCGGCATACGCTTGAAAAACATGCGAGGGCATCCAATCTTTTCAAACTCTCTACACAGCGAACTCCCGCAGAAGTTACTCACATTGCTGGGCCCTGAACTGTTCGGGATCGAGCAGCTTCACCAGTAACCTCTCCAGCCGGGCCGAGCCCACCGTGGGCCGGAGGATGGGTTGATAGCGAACTCCCCGGCTGCGGCCGCGGCCGCGGCGGCGGACCCCTACGGTGGAGCCGTTCCGGTACCAGCCGCCTGGCGTGAAACGGCCGTCGGCTTGTCTCAGAAGCTGGCGGTCGATCCTGTCCAGGAGGGCGTCGTCTGGGAGGAGCTTGTGGGCGAAGGGCGCCCCGCTTTCCACCATGAGGTCGAAATGGTGCAACCCCAACGGGAGGGGCTGGTGCTGGGGCGGATTTCCCCACGACATGAACCTCAGTCCGTGGTTGACGGTCGTGTTCTGGAACTCCTGGGAATTGCAGATGACGGTGTGGAAGTAGCTCTCCGAAGATGACAAGAAGTTGGTGTAGTACAGCAGAAGGGTTCGCGGGAGATTATCCCAGCCCCAGATGCAGAACTCTAGGAAAGAGCGAGTCAACACCATCCAGGGCGGCCCTGAGACCAAATCACAGAAGACTGATTTATAAGTTACTGGCATATAAGTTTGACCAAAGTTGCAGTGTCTGATTTATTCACGAGGCCATCCATAACTGGGAATTTACCATATTTTCTCGTTTTCTGCCTCATGAATCTGGATAAATCCTAGCGGGATTATGCTAGAGCGAGCTGAATGCAGAGTATTCGGTCAATTAAGATGGACGGGATTTCTTACCCAAGTAACTACCAGAGAGTCAAGTCAACGCATTCATAAAGCATTCTACGTCACAAGATACACGCATGTCTATGGCATTCAGCGAGAGAAAGAGGAATACCTGAGTGCAAAGATGGATATGGCATTCACTTACTGGGCAAATTCTTTTCATTATTCACGAGAAAAACAGGAAAAATACCCAAAAACCTTTGGAAGATCAATCATACGATGAGCATTATATGAACCAAAATCACACAATAAAGCACTTTATTAAATCTTCATCTGCAGTACAAGCCAGGACAGAAGGTGAAATGACAGTTTTGGAGATGAGCAAGGTTCAACAGAGTCTGTGGCATCTACTGGGCCTAAAGGTTTCAGGTTGGTTGGGGACAAGGAGAAGAGAGGGAGTGAAGATATGGGAATGTAATGACATAGAACAACCAGGAAAAGGGGGGGGGGGGTAAAGATCCCTTCTTTCCTAGTTTTCAATACCCTCAGATGCTAATAAGTGGCAAGAGATCCAGTCTCTGACAGTCAGAAAGCCCCAGCTACTAATGTACCCAAAACCCATCTGTTTCCAAGATCAACTGCCTAGGATCAAGATCAAGCCAAAAGACACAAATAGCCGCTTTCTGGATCTGATAACTCATAGTGAAGCCATGAAGAACACACGTCCAGCCTCTCTCTCCATGTGAAAAAACCAAGGATGGCAAAAATGGGCAGGTAATCAGAGTGTTCCACATTGCAGAACATAAGAACATCATGTTGTCACAGTTGGCAGCATGGGGAGGGAAAAAATGATAAATGAAAAGAATCTGAGGAAGAAAGAGAACGAATGGTCCGCCGCTGACTACTGGCATCACTAAACTCAAGAGATAAGTGCCCGAGGATAATATCTTTTTGGGGTTACCCACCACCCCAAGCACAAACCCCACGACAGAGTTTAAAACCAGTTTCAAAACTCTGTGGGCAAGAGCATTCACAAAGATGCAGAGACAACTACTTAAAGATATTGAGAAAGAAGACGTCATTGTATGCTCCATAATGCCTCCTCAAATCCAGAAAAAAAAGAAAACATTTTCAACCAAAGAATTGGAAGAGATGAACTTATGATTGCTTACAGACGTTCTTTGAAACTATTGTTGAAACAGGTCGAAAATGATTTCTGCAACATATTACCATTTATAGACAAACACAATCCCAAGGTTATATAGAATTAAAATTCAAGTACAAATATTCATGCTAACAACATAGGAATACTCTCTTCACTAAATTAGGCATTAAGAAAATTATTAAGTGTTCTCACCTACTGCGAACACGGAGTTCTTATCATGCTGCTTACCAAACACAAAAGAGTCAAAACCGAAAAATATCGAGCTACCCAAATATCTTTATTCTGGATTTCAAACTAATAACATCGGTCAGAAAACCCAAACTTAAAGCAAATGGAACAAGAGAAAAATAGCGTTTTGTACAAGCCTAGGAAGATTCCGCACCACCAACATTTTATATTTACTCCACAAAAACGAAATCTCTTCAAAGCATTTTATCCATCTCTTTGAATAACGGGAAAAATGGTACCTGCTGATTTATTTAATCTCTCATGAGGAACATTTAATGTTGATTTTAGAACCATTGTTCTAATCCCACAGATTGCCTAGAAACAGTATAAATATTTATGATGATTTTGGCATGCAATCAATACTACAAAAGATCAAAAGCTAATCATGAAGCCATACCTACAAACAATTTGAAAGAAGAAGGCACACTTCTTTTCTCTTTAGCCCAAAACACCTCCGTTTTGTTTGAATCATACAAGGCTGGATCGACAATGACGGGCCTCACCCTTTCAAACCTTCATGCATGGAAAAAGAAACAAGAGTCGCCAAATGTTCAGATAATGCAAAGTATAAAAACTACATCCTAAGAGAAAGTAGAAATGCCATGCTCACTCTTTCCACCCAATTTTACTCGTGTGCCCAATGAAATTCAGATCCCTGGGAAGGTAGGAGAAAATATGGATAAGATCTGCAGTAAAGAGAACGTACAGAAGTGAGAAACGTCAGAGAGCCACCAAAGATGTACAGAAATTGCCTAACATGGATAAAAGAAAGAAGTATGAATTATTATTGCCAGACTATGCCTCTGGTTGAGATTATTATCGACACCTTCATGCGGCTATATTCAATTGCAAGGATGTCATGAATTGAACAGAAAATAAAGATTAAAGACTTCTCTTTCATCTACATTTAATAGAAAAAAAGATAACCAGTTAATGAAGATGTATCTTGAAACAATCGAAAAAAAACTGTTTATTACTGCAGATATGTTCGGACGCATTAAGTTCTTCACCAGTTGGAGAGATCCAAAACCTTTGTTTGATCGTACTAATGCCAACAAGTTCCCTAATTTTTGGAAAGCTCCATGACTGAAATCACCGACAAAAATTCTCTGCTATCTAAATGTGTGGATGCGTAGAAGATACATGATGATAAGGATTATGTGTTGACTGACTGAAACTAGAAAAAAAAAGAAGTCTCCACCGACATTTCACAGGATATTCCAAAAAAGAGTATGGCACAGAGAGAAGGGAAAGAAATATTGCCATCTTGAGGCATGAGAGGATAATCTGCGGCATTCAGATTGATGAACCAGTCCCAGTTCTCGGATTTCCTCAGCAGGATTGCGACCGCGTGCAAGGTGAAAGCCACTACCGTCGGCCCCTTCTCGCTGACCGTGTCGGCGGCCATTACTAGGACGTTGTCGTGCGCTCGAAAGACGGGTTCCAACGCCACGTACTGCCACAGATCCGCCCACTCATCCGGCGATGCGGCGATGTGGACGACGTAGAAATTGCTCGGGTGGTACACAGCCTGGAGCAGGCGACGGAGCCTTGCCCCCTCCCCACGGGTGCCGGAGATCAAGTACGCCAGCTTCGGCAGATACCTGGGGAGCTGCCCCGCCGCAGAATAAGACGATTCGCGCGACAAAAGGAGCCTTGATTGGCCGAGGGCGGCAGCGAGAACGAGCGACAGGATGAGGACCGGAGCGATGAGCGAGAAGAGGAGAAGGCATTTCCTCTGCAGGGGAACGCCGGTGACGAGGCGGTGGGATCTTTTCATCGGCGCGCGGCTCAATCACGGCCCCTCCAGCGATCGACTAAAGGGCTAGAGCTCTGACATCAGACGAACAGGGAGGGCGAGCCCGGCAGCTGGAATACACCGGCCCCGTCACCGATGCCGATCTAAATTTCTCCGCATTCAATCAGCTGCGCCCCCCTCTCCGCCCACCACCGAGGAAGGCGGAGCATTGAAGATGGGGACGTACGGTGCCGGAATAGCTCCGCCTGTTCAGGGAAGGCCGGCGGCGAGAAGGCACCCCCGCCATAGTGGGACCCACTTGGATGCTCTGCCTCCGCCCATCTTCTAAGATTTTATAGGCCGTGTAGTCCCCTCCTCCGTGGCCGCCATGTAGCACCCAATATTGTTAATGCCCCGTCAACGTTACTCCCAATGAGCAGGGCAACGCCGACATTGGCCGAGGGAATGGGTCGTAGGGCCCCGTGATCGTCCTGTGGACCCAATCGAGCGGGCGCAGCCTACATTTGCCCTTCAAACCATCCACCACGCGGGCCATAACGCAAACAGATAATTTCCAGCCTGCTGAAGCCAGGGTTCTCGGATGATACCGCGCAAATCTGGAGCTATCGGACGGAAACGGGTGAAATAAGGTCAATAGGGGTGTACAGAGGTGTTCTACTCCATCCATTCTTTCGTGGATAGACGCCATCTTGAATGCCAATTTCGTCAAAATCGCATGATCATTCGTCATACAGTTTGCAGGAAATCTGAACCCAGCGTACGATTCCAGCGGTGAAAGATGCGAGACTGTTCAATGCGAGACCCACATCTGTAAGGGCCGTAAGATTCCAGCGGTGAAAGATGTTGCAAAATCTCCTTCAGAAGAACTTCCAGAAGAAAATGATGGCTACAACTGTGATGGTCCTATCTCGCTCAAGAAATGGTTCAAGGCAGGTTCAAACCCTCGCCCCACGATCAACCTGCGATAATAGAATTAGAAAAATACGGTGAATTTTAAAAAATTAATCTTGTTCAACCCAGTTTAGGGCTGGTAGTGGAACTCGAGAGGAAAGTCTTTATTTCTCCCTCTGAAAACAGATCGGCTTAAGGGATAACTCTGATTGATTTCGTGTTGACATTTAATTTGTCAACACCAAGTGCAGACTCTATGACCGATGGCGGCCATTCTTCAGAAGCAAGGCGAGCGGAGCCGAACCTTACCCAGAGGACTGTTTGGCGAAGAATCAACCGCAGACTCACATCTCCTGCTTCATCACTGCAATCGATAAACAGTAATGGATAACTTGATACATTTGTGCATTCTCATACAATGTACTTATGCGACGAGCATGAACTAACTGAGAGTAGGTTCCTTCAAACGGCAGCTCAAAGTAATCCGCATAATTTCTGGATGAACAGAACCACGAGGCAGACCAATTTAGCGCAGTCATGTCATGGGAACCTCCCTGGTCACAAAGAAAAAAAGAAAAACTTGCTGGGTAAAGGAAACTGATCAACTAGGAAACCGACGAACAGAAGTTAACTCCTAGTTTGATGTGCCATTTTGTTGTTATTTGCTGCGGTAAGAAAGATGTTGAAAGAAGGCAAGCTAAAACTAGAGCGCTACGGGTCTCACTCTTTTAGAATGTAAAAGCTTGTATTGCGATGATAATCCCTAGATTTGCTCAGAATTCTATAAAGGCACCCTTTATACTTTCCCAGAGGTGATGATTAGCGTGGACAGTTCTGGTATTTTGAAACTTTGTGGTTGTTTTTGGGTCTTTCCTTAATCAGTCGGAATAGTCCCATCGATGGAGCTTGATGGAGTACTGTCCTCTGAATTTCTGAGCTCTCGTTCAGTGTAAAAAGCTCGAATTAAATCGAAATATGTCAACAGTATTTTATTTTTCCTTCTCTTTATGAGTCTCTCTCACTCGCTGTCAATGTTACTCAAGGCAACGTGTTTGTGTCATTCAATTTCTTCATGAACAAGTTATGGGATCTGTGAATTATCAGAGATATCTTATCTGTTGAGCATATCATTGACGCTTTCTTACTGAATAGGACAAACGGAATCGGGCACATACCTACTCAAACATGTGCAAACACGCAAGAAATTGTTCTTGAGATCCAAGTTGCGTGGTTTATGGTTTTTCTGTCTTGTAGGCCCGTTGTGTACTTGAGCTAAGTGCTTGACATTCGAAGTAAATGCTATTTCTGGATTTGTGAAGTCTCCTGCAGAAGGATTTTGATAGTTCGGCATACCTTTCTGAAGTTGTGTGCTCGGCTCTGTGGGTTTACATTACGAAATAGTTAGGTGCACACAAGGATTACATCAAGATATAAAAGAGTGACATTATTATTTTTCAAGAACCCGAATCTGATTATGTCAGATGGATGAGTGGGCGACCTCATCTCATGGAGGGGGGTTGGTCTCTTCTGTCTTTTGATTCTCTATAATTCCTATAATTCGAAATTTGATTAGTTCAAGTAGGCTTTACATGATTTCATCCATTCATTCAAAAACATCATTGGCGTAGGTGGTGATTCACACGGACATATAGCTTTTGCCCCGTTCAAAAATAGCTAAATATGTAGAGTGCTTTACGTGATTGTTCAAATGTTGCTTTGGGGTGATCACTATACTGCTCTAAGTTTTGGTGCAGAGCAACTAAATAGGCTGGGATGCCCGAAGGTAGTGGACTTGTCTCAGAGAACAACTAAAGTATAAGCTGTAGACTGCAAAAAAATTGATTTTATCTACCTGAGAGAAATATTTTTCGATCCTATTGTAAAGGTCAAGAGGGCCACACTCGATCATCACCCACAGAATCTCAAAGACGAGTGGAAGAGGCTTTCCCAGATATGAGGCTTGTTGGGGTTAATTCATGGGCTTTGCAAACAGGGCGATGGTTTGAGGCTAAAGATTGTTATTTCTGGAAGCAGATAATGTGTAAAGCTGAAAGCCCTAAAAAATAGTTTAAGCCAGTTGGGTTTGCAGTAGAAACCTGTTCAAAGATTTCAGCACAAATCCAAGTATTTCAACTTTAGAAGAATAGTATCATATATTGATATAGGAGTGACTTTAGAGGGATCAATGAATCTAGAGAATAAATTTGGTGACCCTAAAGCTACAGGATTAATGAATTGGAAAACTATTGCGGCTAAAATTTATTTCAACAGAATTGGCATTACTAGGATGCAATATACAAGAAAAATGGAAGATTGGGCAATATGCATGTGGATAGCTGGTTAATTGGAGCTTTTCGAAGAAGAGAGCCGAGCACAAGAAGGTTGCCTGAAGCGTCATGGTAAAGAGGATTGTCATCAGTATGAATGGATATGAAGCACTAGCCCACGGCGTTTTTCTGCTTGTACTTAATCACATCCTTTGGAAGACATGTATGGATCTGATTTTTGTGTCGGACACTATTGCACTCTCTATACTGAAATTCGTTATTTATGTACATCATTTTATGAACATATAAATATAATGTCTTGTTCAGAAAATGGATCCCCTCCATGTCTTTCAAAACGCATTAGACCGTTTAATTGATGTGGAACTTGATCTTACATACGCTTTTGTTTTCTTTTTGCAGCCGTTGGATCGATTGACATGAAAAAAAGTTTGATCTTTTGACGATGGAGGAGCTATTTATCCTTTACCTAGAATTAAAAGCTTGGCTATTCATCCAAAAAAATTGAATTTATCAGCAGTTTTGTTCGTGGTTTAGTGAAATTAAATGCATCATCATTCCTGTGACTGCGTAATAGTTTTTTTCTTTAAGTAATGTTTAATCTCTCCTCTATAACAGGATATCATTCCTCACCCTTTGTGCGAATGAGATCCCACTCATGTAACCTCAGAATGAGGTGAAACTTCTAGCATTAAATCAAAATTTTCATTTCAAAAAATAAATAAATAAATAAATAAATCTCTCCTCTATAACAGGATATCGCTCGCGGAGACAATTTGACAATTTGAGGTGGACACACCAGGGAGGGGAGAAAACAGCTATTTTCAGTTCTTCAAAGTGCAAGAGGAGCCACAGGTGCGTTGGAAACCCTGTTTCTTGAGATGTAATCCGTTAATTCTAATCATCATCCTGTTTCTAATTAGATGAAGCTAAGGTTGTTTTGAATCTCACTGATACAAATGGAAACCACTGCCATAGAGATTGATATATCCAAATTGTTATCCTCCCTCAAATGGATATTAACTGCTTTTAGAGCGTCATTTCGGAGCATTTTAACTTGGTTATTTGATATTAAGATGTAATTAATTCTCAGGAATACTAAACAAGGACAGAAGTGAACAAATAAGATAGTTTCTTGTTCTTGGTTCATAGTTTCTGGTTTCGAGTAGGAATGCTTTCGATGGTCATAGTTGCTAAATATGTTGATTTTACTAACCATAGTAATGAAATTTTATCCATTTGAATAAATAATCTTGAATTGAGTTTACAGATTTTTCATCTTTGGTAAATATGTTTACTTTTGCATAGTAAAAAAATAAGATAGTTTGACTTCATTTCAGCAATATCAAAACGCCCACTGTAGCCTGTGATGTTACCTTGAATCTGGGTTTCTGAAGTAGAAGCTTCGATATCTAGGTTCTTCAGGGATATTGGCTGACCTTTAAACTTCAGGAGCAGCTGCAAGAACATCTCTTGAATGTGTAGGTAGACATTAGTCGCAACCAAAATGTAAATTTTTTAAGTGATGGAAACAATACAAGAATAAAATAAACAATGGAGATATTCTTCTTTCATATCAATTCATAGAAGAATATTTGGTTATATATAATTAACCTGACCTTAAAAAAAGAAAAACTATCTAAGTTGAATCCAATCATTTATAGGACACTCAAACCAAATTATGAAATCGACCAACAATCTAATACAATTTTTGGTTATATATAATTAACTTGGCCTCAAAAAAGGAAAACTATCTAAGTTGAATCCCATCATTTATAGGATATTCAAAGAAAATTAGGAAATTAATCAAAAATATGATCCTTAATTATATGATTTTTTTCCACACTCCCCCTCAAGCTGGTGAATATATATTCTTCATTCCCATCTTGAATACAACACTCTAAAATACTGAACTACACAATCTCTTAATAAGCACATCCCTAAGTTGGTCACATATAGACACAAAGTTTACCAATAAATCAAGTATCTAACTTCTCCTAGATGAAGTGTCTACCACTCTTGACATTTTCTATTCAATCCTGTTGTATTAGATTGTGAACTATACTAATTTTAAACTTGTTATCATAATATAGTCTCATTAGACCATCCAACTTAATATTTAAGTCTTATGAGATAATATTGAACCAAATTAATTAACATAGACCTTGATTCATTGCTTGGAATCCAATCTGTGAATTATATTTTGCTATCACATTCTATTACTTCTCCATGCCACAAGATTTCCACCAAGAAAGATGCAATATCTAGGGGTTGATCTCATAATAACCATTAACTCGATATAATCATGATCTATCTGTATATGCCTCAAATATCATCAACCCTCCGAACATAATACTTTTTCATGATGTTCCTTTGAGATGTTGCAACACTCAATGAGCTTCTTGCATATGTACCTCCTTTGGACTATGGTTGAATTGATTAATCACACTCATTGGGCATGCTATTTTTGGTCATGTATGTGATAGATAAATGAGTCTTTCTACTAGGTGCTGACGCATTTCTCTATCTACCACAACATCTATAGATCTATTGGAGTATTTATTAGTTTACATGTAGTCTTGTCAATTTCTCTATGAAGATATGTAAAATACTTCTATTCTGAAATGAAAATATACTGCCTAAAGTGGGATATTTTAATCCCAAGAAAATACTTCAGTTTCTCTAAGGTTTTAATCTCAATAGTAACTCAAGTATTACATCTCTTTATGTCCTCAACATAAATAAAGAGTGATGTGGTAAAAAAATATGAGATAAACAAGCGTCTCAGAGAATTAGTGCCCACTAGAGAGCAGACAACTTATGTGTTCCATTCTATTGAACATGGTCTATAGTTGGTCCATGATGCATTGACAAGACCAATATCCTCTAATCATTGTTTCCATACATGATTCCCCGTTGACATCTCTTCAAATTCATTGATATGAGAAGCAAATTAGGAAGATCTTGTGCCACTTCACTAGGTCATCCTAAAGCTCACAAGGCTGCTATCAGAGCTGCCCGGAGCTCTCTTCCCTATTATAAGACCTCCCATACACTCAGTTTAGTTGATATCCGCCTAGCTGTAGCGGCACTTAGTAAAATAATCTTACTAAGTTATGTATTCTGTCGAGAGAGAGAGAGAGAGAGAGAGGGAGGGGGGGGGACAGCACATGTTGTTCTAACGGTCCTGATTAAATTTCACGAAGAACCCGACTAAACCGGGTCGGGTCGGCCAGGGGCGTTGCTCGCGGGATCAAGTGGACCGACGCGATCTCCCTCCGGTCGGTCGATCCGGGTCCGGATCGACCGACTCCACTTACCGTGGTGTGAAATTATAAATGCCAATTAATATAGTCGGACTTATACATTTGGCAAAGTTTGGGTGCGCATCCAACCTCCCCACCCCCGGCACGCGCGAGAGGGGACCACTCACCACTCACCACTCACCACTCACCACTCACCACTCACCACTCACCACTCACCACTCATCACAAGAGAGATTCCCACCCACTCTGAAACAATAGATCAAATACATATTATTTAAAATCCGGCCTCTTGGAATATACACGTCACGTGCTCATCTACGAGAACGGGAGAGCAATTGTTTAATATTTTTTAATTAATATCCATATAAATATGTGTTTGATACAGCGCCGGTTTGAATTCTATCATCATCGCAGTAAGGCTGAAGAACAAGGACGACGCGAAGAACCCCAGATTTCGAGAAATTACTGAGAAACTTAACGGGGAGATGCCATTCTCCCTTCTGAAAATCGAGGAAGATGGCGGAATCCGAGCTCTGGTTCCCCCTCCAAGGAAAATAGAGAGGGGCTCGAGGGAGCAGCTGGTTGAACGACCGGAAAGCAAGGTTACCCACCGCCATGAAAGCAAAGGGAAGAAGGAGCTCCGACGACCGCTCGTCGCTGGAATGCTCTTCGAGGGCTGTTTGGATCGATTTCAAGGAAGCGTAGGAACAGTCTAAATAATGGCGATCATAAACACAGAGCAGTAATTATTTGGGATTCTAATGGAAATCTGGGTTTGCTTTGGTGCGCCCATCAGAGCGAGGGAGGGGAAGAAGGCAGCGGAGTGACCTGCGAGGAGCTCGAGTGGTGATGGTGCTGCTCCTTGCTCTTGCTGACGATGATGGTGACGAAGGATCCATCTTCCTGCGAGCCCACCGAAGGAGGGGCGCGGGCGGAAGAAGGGAGTCCCTGAGTCTTGTTCACCTTCGTGGCTTCCTCCAGCAGAATCTTCCTGTAGAGCTTCTCCTCGGCGTCCTTGAGGAACTTGAACTTGGGCGGCGGGGAGGACCTCATCTTGCTCCAGTTGTCTTCCTTGGACGATTCAAAGAGAGGGTTGAATCCCTGCTGGCTGTAGCAGTCCATCGGCGTCACTGGCGGGGTGAAGAAGGGAGGGGATGAGAGAGGAGTGAGGAAGGGGCTCTCAGGGACGAGGAGCATGTCGCTCAAGCTCCTCCCTCTCGAGCTCTTCCTGCTCTTGTTGTCCCCCCTGGACCTTCCCTCCTCCGACTCCAAGTCCTCCTTGGTCTCCTCCTTGATGGTGAAGAGGAACCTGGGAGGGCCCGCGAGGTTGTGGAGCCTCATGAGCTCTGATTCGGCTCCTTCTTCAACGCCGCGGCCTTTTATCAGCAGCTCTTTGCCGCCGCCGGAATCCAGGGCGGCGTTGCCATTGGCCGCCGCGGCGGAGAACTCTTGCGGGTTCAGAGAGCCGGGCCTCGTTGAGGACCGCTTCCGCAGGCGGAAGAGGTGGAGGAGTTGCTGCCTGGGGGAGCCGTAGCCCAGTTGCAGGTCCCTGTTGGCAATTCTCTTCTTCCACCACAGCAAGTAGTAGACCTCTGCGACCAGGGCGAAGAACAGACACCCGAAAACCAGGCTCAGACCGATCCCTAAGCTGCTCAATGTCCTCATCGTAGACAGCAATTCATCCCCAAGAACCACAAAACGCCCCACAGATCCCACTCCAATTCAAAAGACGTCACCCAGATTAAGGGGAAATTTGGCGGAACCAGCCGGTGGGAAATAAATTCAAGATCCACTCAGTTGAGATGAGATGAGAGCTCAGAGACCCATCATCGACGGCGAATCGGAGAGCCGCGAGGACGAGCGGCACACACGGCGGAACAGCACCAGAGAGCTCACGAGCTCCGCCATGTCGACGGCCCTGGGGCAAGAGCCATGAGTAATGGCGTCCTCAAGCCTCCGCTTTTGCCGGGAAAGCCGCAGGATCCAGCGACCTGCATCATCCCACGACACTCTCCATCTCCTCAGGGAAGTTCCCAGCCGGAGAAGGGGCTCCGCCACTGCGCATCAACCCGATAATGCAGCTCGACCAACCCACCCGGCAAGATCCTCTCTCACTTCCTCCCAGCTCCGGTGAGAGGATGACGTGAGCTTGAAGGGGAGAAGGGGAGAAGGGGAGCTCACATGGGGGGGGACGACGCCAACTCTCGACAAGATATTAAACTAATAGAAATTCTCTCCCTCTGCTCGAGCAGTGTCGCCAAGAACTGATCTTTGAGCGAAGACTACAACCCCGACCCCTCTCCGCCGTCAGATCTCTTCTCTCCGTCCTGTCCGATTCCGGAATCGGTGCGTTTCGACACGCACGCAGGCTGTCCACCCCAATGAGAGACCAGGGGACAACGCGGGGACCACAGAAGACGACAATTCCCACTATCGTACGCCGCGATCGACGGAGAATATCTCCGGCGTTCGTCCGGTAAGAGCTCCTTTCGGCGGCCCATACTCCCGGGGCGAATGTTCCGTCCCCACCGTCAGTATTTTTTAATACGTTGTCCCGCGGGCCGTCGTAAGCGTGAGGAGACATCCTGCGGAAGAGAGACGCGTCAGCGAAAGAAAGATTAACCAGCGGTCGCGGTCTTCACTCGCGAGATAGCTGCAGCTCCACCATATCACCAATTTTTAAAAGTACCAGGAGAAGGTAAATACTTTATATTATATCCTGAAAGTCATCAAATTACTTATCTACCTCGGAGAAACGGACAGGAGAACATCTCAGCGGAGCATTTTAACAATATTCCCCCGTCACCTGGAAAAGCGGTGCGCAGCTTTTTCGAGGCCGTCGATTGTGAATTTTCTGCGAAGAAAATACCGCGCGGCAGCTGCTTCTCCGCTGACAGGTGGACGCGTGTAAAGCGGGCCAGAACAAAATGAGCGGCTCCGATTGCATTATACGAGAATTTCAGGCGACCGGTGGAGAGTCTCCATCGTCGGAGTCGGGTCCATTACACCTGCGGCCCATTTGTGAGCACCCGTGACTGCGTCTTCTTCCTGGGGAGGCGGAGGAGGGGGCTCACGGCGGCCGTCGGCTCTCGTCGCCGCCGTGGGTCAGTCCAACGTGCTGCCCAGTCACTGCCCTCCGTCGTCACTCTCATCGTTGGTCGCCTTCTGAAATCACGGGCAGAATCGGGCTTAACCCCAATGACCGGAAAAATTGGGGTCCCTCCTTCGCCGGGGGCTTCAAGACTTCCGGAAGTTCCGCCATGGTTTCCTGTCCCGGTAAAGCTTCGAGCTTCCGCGGCAGAACAGCCGGCGGGTTAATGGCGCCGTGGAGTGCAGGTGGGGAGCTGGCCCACCGCCACAGACCCCGGCAACGGGGAGATAAGTGACCCGCCGGAGGCCCATGCAAGCCATTTCCGCCGACCATTCCAACCCCCTGGGCAGCGGTCTCAAGCGATTGCCAACTGCCCCGCCACCGACGCACCGGCCACCAGCTCGGGATGTAGCCGTTGCCGCGGCGGGCGCCAGCCTCGTCGGATGCTTGATTGCTTGCTCCGCTGAACACCATCTTCGGTCCCTTCGGTCTAGAAGCCAGAAAAGGAACAGATAAAAAGGGTTATGCATAAAAAAGGAAATACTATGGGGAAACTTGACAATGTCCATTTTGAAGAGGAATTTGGCGTAAATTTCTGTAGTGAGCCGATAATTTTCTCAGCTCTCTAAGAGGCTTGTGTTGGCTTTTTAAGCGGACCGTCATCTCATGGCCCATGGAGGCCCATGAAAGACAGAACGTCGCGTCCAGCTCTGCACGGAGAGACAGAGAGAGAGGCTGCATGGAACCCACGGAACCAGGCAACAGTCGCGTCGACTGATCTCGTCCCTTCTCTGTGGAGAAGAAGGGACCCTCCGATGAGGGATATCTTCCCCTCCAATTCCCAAGGCGTTCACTGCCTGAGCTTCCGGGAAGGGATTAGGTCCGGCAGGCCTACCGCCGCCTACGCCCTGCTGCCTCCGCTGCCACATTCCCGATCTCTCTTTCTTTCTTCCTCCCGCCCTGCCCAGAGAAGCCGGACGGCAGAGACCCTCGTGCCCATTTCCGGCGGAGGAAACCCAGTCGCCGCCCCCCCTTCTCGCCCGTATTCACTGCGCCGCCCACCGCCGCCGGCGAGCTTTAATGGGCGAGGAAGAGGAAACCCAATGCGTTTCGCCGCCGCGTCATGATCGCCGGCCCACCTCGAGCTCCCGCCGGCCGTGTGTTTCCGTTTATCCTGCCGGTGGTGGCAGTCTGGGGAAACGGAACGGTCAGGCGGGCCTCCAGCATGGAAGATCTTCTTGCAGGTGTTCTCCTGATGGTCTTCTTTATTTCTGGTTTTGAATCCACCGAGAAGGCGGTGGCCTCCGCAGATTTCACAGCTACGGCGTCCCTACCGACGGCGTTCGCCGCCGCAGACCCGCAGCTACGGCCGGCGGCCGCCCTCGTCCTCTCGCTGAAGACATTAATGGAGAATAGAGGTACCCACTCAACCATCGGCCGTTTTGGGGAACAGGGGGGTGCATCAAAGCTCTGTGCTCTTCCTAGACGACGGCCAATGGAGACGGGGCGGCGGCGGTGGCGGCGAAGCTTAGAATCTCAATCAGCAGAAGCCCAAATCTATCATTCCCGAGGACTCCGGGTTCAAACTCCGGAGGGGGAGGGGAGGCATTTACGGCATCCACCGCCCTGCCTCTTCGGTCTCCGGCAAAAGCAAAGAGCCGACTCGACGGCGACGGCGGCGCCGCCGCCGCGCTCTGAGACTCCCCGCCACCCTCAACACAGTCAACCACCACTCTTCCACACTCCATTGCCGACGATCTGGTAGACTCTCATTTTCTGCGTATTCATGTAAAAAGTTGTTCTTTAACAAACTATACTGATAATCTCATCGACCGTTATTTTTAAATTTAAGTTAATAGTTATTTAAATTACTGATAATACAGAGGACCCCGGGCCCACCAAATGGCGCCTTCAGCGCGTTCCTCGTCGGCCTTCCCCCCCGGGAGGGGGGGGGGGGTTAGGGGGCCTATAAGAACAGCAGGAGGGAGGAATAGATGGTGACGTCGTTGGGCTAGCAGTGGCCATGGAAGAGAGTGAGGGGAAGGAGAAGGGTCCCTCCGTGGCGGCGGCGCCGCCGCCGCAGGCGTGCTCGCGGTGGAACCCCACGAAAGAGCAGATCAGCCTCCTGGAGGGGCTCTACAGGCAGGGGGTGCGCACTCCGACGGCGGAGCAGATACAGCACATCGCCGGGAAGCTCCAGGAGTTCGGCAGGATCGAGGGGAAGAATGTGTTCTACTGGTTCCAGAACCACAAGGCCCGGCAGCGGCAGAAGCAGAAGCAGGAGAACTTCGGGCACTTGAGCAGGCTCCTCCGGACCAGGGCTGGCCCGCCGCCGCTGCGGCCGGCACCGCCGCATCCGACCCTTCACCATCCCCCGCCGGCGGGGGGTACTCTCCTGTGCAGTAACCCTTTCTACGTGCCACCACTCGCCGGGATGAGGTGTTATCATCCGCCGCTGCCGGCGGTGGTCTTCGCCGGAGCCATGGCGCCCGAAGGGGCGGAGGAGACGAGGTACAGAAACCTAGAACGATACGATCGCCGCCGGCTTCTGGAAACCGCCGCGGCCGACGAGGAGTGCATGTGTGATGCAGAGTCCCGTCAAACTCTCCAGCTTTTCCCTCTCCACCCTGCCGGCGCTTCCAAGGAGGAGCCCGTCGACTCTCCCCCTTCCACGGAGAGCGACGACGGTGGGAGCTGCTGCCGCAGCCCCTCTCCTCTCGATTTCTTTGGTTCCCAGTATGGCTTGACTTCAGAGAGATAGATAGATAGATAGAGAGAGAGAGAGAGAAAGTACTAGAGATAGAGATATAGAGAGAGAGGGGCGTCCTCTTCATGGGTTTGTTGCAGCGTTTTATGAACGAAGGAAGACGCCCTTGCTCACCAAACTGACGCCCAGTGTAGCCGTTAGTGTTTACCCACTAGAAAAAATAGAATAATCAAGCTCTACTACTAATCATAATAATATGCTTGAAAGGTCAACGGAAATTTCACAGATGCCGGCATTAGTTCATGGCCATTTTCAGTGGCATTACCCACGAGCTTTTTCATAATTCGGATTATAGTGTGCTAAGAAGGATAATGTCGTTGGCACATTTGTAAATAAACCATTGAGTAAATAATCTGTCCGCCATATTTTCGTATAATTTTTATGCGGCTCATCTTTTTGACCGGCAATGATGGCGCTATACGTGTACAGATTTATCGGGCTATTCTAGCCAGTTATGTGCAATCTGATCTTCCCCTTTAAGGGAGAGAGAGCCGGGGCGCGGGTAGTGTGGTGGCCGTTGCTTAAAAAAGAAATTCAAAGTCAACGAAGTTAACCGAGGGATGGCAGAGCCATCTCCAGAGCTTCTGACCCAGAGGGTCAAAGTGCAACGGTAAGATCGGCACCGGAGGAACCGGCGGGAGCCGGTGAGCTCATGGTGCTTCGCGGGCGGCGGCTCGACCATGGCGTGTGGTGGTCGTCGTCAGCGGGTGGACCTCTCCCACTCAGCTAGGTGTCTCCATCCCCGACCACTCGTCCAATAATAATAATCATTTCAAAAACTATTTCCGAATAAATAATTAATTTTATACCCACAGTGGGTTTATTTATATATCTTTATAATTAACAAATTATTAAATTGAAAGGAAACCGAGGGTTAAATAAGAAACTGCCCAATAGAGGGGTCGAATTGCAAAATATAATTTATGCGGGCACGAAGAAATGCAGTTTGACGGTCTACTATCCGTGGAACGGAGGGAGGGGATCACACGCAACGTGGTCCCTGGACGTTAGTTAACGGAACGGGAAAGTCGGGTCCCGCAGGGTCTAAAATGACGGCTTATCAAACGGCCGTTATCTATTGGTCGTCCCCTCGGGACCTACCTTCTCCATCGCCTCCTCCCACCTTCGTCTTCCTCGTCTCTCCCCGGGAAGATTAAACGAAGCCGAACTGAGATGAAGGTGGCAGGCGCCATCAGTCCTCAAAAATCCTCCGGCGTATCCTCGGTCCTTTGGAGCTGGGATTTCCTCGTTTCTGATTGAGCGGCTCCCCCTCTCTCTTTCTCTCTCTCTCTCTCTCTCTCTCTCTCTCTCTCTCCTTGTGCTTGTCGATCTTTTGGTCCCTCCGATCTCTCCAGCTGCGGCGTCTCTCCTAGTTTCCTCGCGTCGATACGTCTTTTCCACCGCGTGACACAGGGGATTATCGGCGGATTCCGCTGATTCAGATCGAAAAGGAGGAAGGTCGACGAGCCGCCGGAGATGTCGTCGGCTTTCCCGTCGGATTCCTTCCATTCGCCCTTGATCATATCCGGAGTTCGCTAGGCGTTCCCCTTCGTCTCCCATTTCCTGCTTAGGAACTCGGTCCAGTCCTCGAATCGGTTTCCATCGAGGTGGGAATTTCGGTTTTCCTCTTCCGATCGGGGATTTTCTCGCACTCGTGGTTTTATGGAATGGGTTTGTGACGACTCCGTTTGGGATCCTTCGACTGGATGTGGCGGCGATCGGAGCACCCAGGGTAGCCAGGAGGTACAGAAGAGGAGCAGCAGCAGGTGATTGAGGCCGGAGAGGGTGGGGGGATAGCAGATTAGAAGAGAGAGGTAGAAAGAGAGGCTCAGAGAGGGAGAGAGATTGGGATAGGGATAGGGATAGAGATAGATGGGGGAATCCCTTCTCACGACCCTATCCATGGAAAACCAGCATCCGTCTACCCTGCTCTCCATGGACCCGACCGGCGCCCCCTCGATGGCTTCATCCCACGACGAATCGGACAGAGAGATGATGCTCCAGCAGCGGCAGCAGATGGGAACCCTCTCTCGCCCACCGGACATCAACCTCCCCCTCTCCGCCGAGCGCTCCCCTCCGCCGCCGCCGTGGAACTCCGATCCCTGCGACATCCTCGACGTCGGCCTCGGTCCGCAGCTCTACGAGACCGAGTCTCTTCTCAGCATCCCCAAGGCCGGAGCTCGCAAGTGCGCCAGGCGCGGAGATAGCATCTGGGGAGCCTGGTTCTTCTTCAATTTCTACTTCAAGCCCGTCCTCTCCGAGAAGGCCAAGGGCAAGGTCACCCGTGACGCCGGCGGCGTCTCCGGCTTCGACAAATCCGACCTTCGACTCGATACCTTCCTCGTCCAGCACGACATGGAGAACATGTACATGTGGGTCTTCAAGGAGCGGCCGGAGAACGCCCTGGGGAAGATGCAACTGCGGAGCTACATGAATGGCCACTCTCGCCTCGGGGAGCCCCAGTTCCCCTTCAGCGCCGAGAAGGGCTTCGTCCGATCCCACCGGATGCAGCGGAAGCAGTACAGGGGTCTGTCGAATCCGCAGTGCCTGCACGGGATCGAGGTCGTCCGGCAGCCCAATCTCAGTATGGTTTCAGAAGCGGATCGGAAGAAATGGTTGGACCTCACGGCGAGGGATATCAATTTCTCGATTCCTCCCGAGGCCAGCGACTTCGAGTCGTGGAGGAACCTCCCCAGCACGGAGTTCGAGCTCGAGAGACCTCCTCCTCCTCCCCCACTGAAGAACGCCTCCCATTCTCATCACCAGAGGAGACTTCTCAATGGCTCGGGCCTAAATCTCTCCACCCAGCCGTCGAACCATGTGGGCGCCGAGCAGATGGATCTCTCCCCGGTGTGCAACAAGCGCCGGAAGGACTTCTTCCCCCAGGGGATAGACGAGGACTGCAACCTGCCCGTCAATTCTTATTCCGATCGGGTGGCACAGGACGCGGAGATCCATCCGGCGGAGCCCTCCTGGCTGAACGAATTCAGCGGCGTGATGCGGCACGTCTACGGGCCGGTGACGGCGGCGAAGACCCTCTACGAGGACGAAGAAGGGTACCTGATCATGGTGAGCCTGCCCTTTTCGGATCTGCAGAGGGTGAAGGTCTCCTGGAAGAACACTCCCACCCACGGAGTGGTGAAGATCCTCTGTGTCAGCACTGCTCGGATGCCATATATAAAGAGGCATGATCGGACATTCAAGCTGACGGACCCGTCTCCTGAGCACTGCCCTCCAGGTGAGTTCATCAGGGAAATACCTCTGCCCACCCGCATCCCTGAGGATGCCAAGCTAGAAGCCTATTACGACGAGACTGGTGCCGTGTTGGAGATCACCGTCCCGAAGCACCGCCTGGAGCCGGAAGAACACGAGGTCAGAGTGTGTCTTCGTCCCCCCTTGGAGCTGATGAACTCTTGCTGACACGAACGACGGTGAGAGCTCCTCCTTCCGCGGGCGCGCTCGCCATTGGTTGCCTCTTCCCAGTCGTTGTTTACTGACTCCTGTACGACGAAGAAAAAGGAAAAGAACCCATCGACGAAAGAGCAAAATTCGTTTCACTCGTGCGCCAGCGGCGTCTGTTTCTTCAGGTCGCTCGCTCTTCTTGCTGCCGACTGAAACCTTCTGCCGCGGCACTCGACGGCATCTCACTTGGGCCTCTCTGTGTTGTTCTTCTCCTCTTCTTCCATCACGAGATCAGTCGGCGCAAACTTTTTTGAGTTTTACTGGTCGGGCGACGATGATGATTTTCTCGACAGGCTCTCTCTCTCTCTCTCTCTCTCTCTAGTCGCGCGAACTCTTCTGTAAGCTCCCACGGAGGAGGTGACGGGCTCCTCGCAGCAATCCGTGTACGCCGTGCCCCCCCATCCTTTCCATTCCTTCACGGAGGCGACGGCTGTGTGGGCGCCCCCTGGCCACCTAACTCCCCCGAGAGAGTATCCTTGCGCTCGTGCATCTTATTATCTCTGTGGCTTTTGTTTACGTGCTCTCAGGTTATCAGAGTTATCAGAAGAACAGGAGGAAGAAGACCCTTGTTGGGACCATCCTCTCTCTCTCACACACACATCTCCCAGTTAACTGGTTATTCCTCGCGTGCCCGTCTGCCTGCTGCTGTGGAACCGTGAATAGTGTACATTGGCCTCTCCACTGTAATTGCATCGCGGCAGGGCTGGGATCAACACGTTGCTACTGTGGGTATGGGGAGAGAGAGAGAGGGAGTGGGCAAGGATCTCCGATTACTTCTTCATAGAACAGGAAAGTTTGATGAAAGACTCCGACGGAATACATTTAGAATGACCTACATTAGGAGGTAGGATGAAACTGGGGTGGGGGACTAGTCGACCTCCTCGATCTTAGGGCCGGCGCCGGCGGAGGTGCCTCGAGGAGCGGGGTCGTCCTCGTCCATGGCGCCGGGCATGCCTGCGCCGGAGCCCTGGTACATCTGGGCGATGATCGGGTTGCAGATGCCCTCGAGCTCCTTCATCTTGTCCTCGAATTCGTCGGCCTCGGCCAACTGGTTGCTGTCTAGCCAGGTGATGGCCCCGTTGATGGCGTCCTCGATTTTCTTCTTGTCGGCGGGGGCGAGCTTAGAGGCGATCTTCTCGTCCTGGATGGTGTTCCTCATGTTGTAGGCGTAGTTCTCGAGGGAGTTCTTGGCCTCTATCTTTTTCTTGTGCTCCTCGTCCTCGGACTTGTACTTCTCCGCCTCCTGGACCATCTTCTCGATCTCCTCCTTGCTCAGCCGCCCCTTGTCGTTCGTGATGGTGATCTTGTTCTTCTGCCCGGTTGTCTTGTCCTCGGCGGAGACGTTCAGGATGCCGTTGGCGTCCATGTCGAAGCAGACGGTGATCTGGGGGACGCCCCTCGGCGCCGGGGGAATGCCGGAGAGCTCGAACTTGCCCAGGAGGTTGTTGTCCCTCGTCCTCGTCCTCTCCCCCTCGTAGACCTGGATCAGGACGCCCGGCTGGTTGTCGGAGTATGTGGAGAAGACCTGCTCCTTCTTGGTGGGGATGGTGGTGTTCCTCGGGATCAGAACGGTCATCACTCCTCCGGCCGTCTCCAGGCCGAGGGACAGAGGGCTCACGTCGAGCAGCAGCAGATCCTGCACCTTCTCGTTCCCTTCGCCGCTCAAGATGGCGGCCTGGACGGCTGCTCCGTACGCGACGGCCTCGTCGGGATTGATGCTCTTGCAGAGTTCCTTCCCGTTGAAGAAGTCTTGGAGAAGCTGCTGGACCTTAGGGATCCTAGTGGAACCGCCCACGAGGACCACGTCGTGGACGGTGCTCTTGTCCATCTTGGCGTCCCTCAGGCACTTCTCCACAGGCTCCATGCACTTCCTGAACAGATCCATGTTCAGCTCTTCGAATCTAGCGCGGGTGATTGAGGTGTAGAAATCGATACCCTCGAACAGGGAATCGATCTCGATGGTGGTCTGGGCGGTGGAAGAGAGGGTTCGCTTCGCCCTCTCGCATGCTGTCCGCAGTCTCCTGAGGGCCCTGGGGTTCCCGCTGATGTCCTTCTTGTGCTTCCTCTTGAATTCCTGGACGAAGTGGTTGACCATCCTGTTGTCAAAGTCTTCCCCGCCCAAGTGGGTGTCCCCGGCCGTCGCCTTGACCTCGAAGATGCCCTCTTCGATGGTGAGGAGGGAGACGTCAAATGTGCCACCACCCAGGTCAAAGATGAGGACGTTCTTCTCCCCTGTATTCCCGGCCTTCTTGTCCAACCCATAAGCAATTGCGGCAGCCGTGGGCTCATTGATGATTCTCATAACGTTAAGACCAGCAATCACGCCAGCATCCTTTGTAGCCTGGCGCTGGGAGTCATTGAAGTAAGCAGGTACAGTAACAACCGCGTTCTTGACGGCAGTGCCCAAGTAGGCCTCAGCGACCTCACGCATTTTAATCAGAACCATGGAAGAGATCTCCTCAGCAGCAAATTGCTTTTCCTCACCCTTATAGTGAACAGAAATCATGGGCTTGTCCCCAGGCCCAGCGATGACCTTGAAGGGCCATAGTTTGATATCTCCTTGGACAGAGGAATCAGAGAATCTCCTACCGATCAAACGCTTTGCATCTGGGAAAAAATAGAACCGAATGAGCAGATGAATATTACATAAGAGAAGTAGTGAAGAACAACTGAAGTATATGAACGGTCTACAATTATTATATGGTTAATTTCAACAGAGAACGATGACGCCAATTGGAGTTCCACATCTCACTGCGTCGAATACATGGAACGAGATAAAACCCCTTCCGGGTCCTCCAGATCGACGGGGAGGCAGAACAAAATACGGCGTTCCTAAAAAAAACAGGAGAACTAAAAAGGATCTACGGTAACCAAGCGGCAACCAAGCGAACTTATTGCTACTGACTAGAAATACTTCACAAAGTATTAGTTTAAAAACAATACAGATAGTAGATGTTCAGCTGTGTGAATGTATATTTTCCACAGTTTTCAACTGAGGTTATTAGAATAATCTGAAGGCAACCTTGGTAAATCCACTGTGTAGATTCCGGGTAATACAGCAAGACGGCACCAACCTATCCTCGCTACTGTAATTGATTGCGAGGAGCCAACCTTACCACGGGTGGACCGTGTGTAATCATAAGAATATAAACACTCGTGTTACATCAGAAGAATATATACGCATCCGGTTAATTCTCGCGAAAGCTTCTCACTAGCCGGTAATAAAACAACATAGGGGAGATGGCATACAAGACACCGCCACAGAGGAACCCACAAGAAATTCGAGGAGGGGAATTATGAAAACTGCTTTCAGAGTCGATGGGCACATGCTCGTAACAATGAAAAAAGTTTAACATCTAACCGATACAAGGTTTTGAATTAAGATATACTGAAAGCGAGCACAAGAGTTCATCACTAGACAGAGGATCGAGATGAGAAAAAGAACTTACCGAAAACGGTGTTGATCGGGTTCATAGCCACCTGATTCTTCGCGGCATCGCCTATGAGGCGCTCTGTGTCGGTGAAGCCCACATAGGAGGGGGTCGTCCGGTTCCCCTGGTCATTTGCAATAATCTCAACTCTATCGTGCTGCCACACCCCGACGCACGAGTAGGTCGTGCCGAGATCGATGCCAATCGCAGGGCCCTCACCCTTTCCGGCCATCGGATTCACTCCAAATGCTCACAGAACCTCTACGATGAAGAACGGGAGGAGAAATCTAGAGTGAGAAAGAAGAGGACGAAGCGAGGAATCAAACGCGGCAACAGAGCAGATTGAAGGAAATCAGACTACGCCGATCGGCGCAGTAGAGGGTACTTTATACATTCCCTGTTTTCTGGAAACTTCGAAGCCCGGGTGTCCCTAGACCTTTCTAGATCCCGCTAGACGCGGGAAAGTCTCTTCTACGCAACTCCAGTGCCTTCTCGAACCAGACCAGTGGTTCGAGAAGCTCCGAACCGCCGCGGGAAGTCGGCGGGTTTGAAGTCCGATTCTTCGAGCAGACCCGAGGAAAATTCCATCGCGTGCCTGCGTGTCCATGGCGCTTAATTTCACCCGAGGAGATGAACCCTGGGCCAACCACGTGTCCATGCCTCATTATTTACATCAGTACTTATGATGTCATAATAAAGAGACTCGATATTCTTCACCAAAAATTCCGTTTCCACGCCTAAAAACATATTCGAGTAAAAAAAGTCAATAATAACTGTACGCATATTTTTTTTGTGGAGAATTGAATTATTTTAGAAAAAATCAACTTAATATGATTTTAAGCATAATTACATTATATTTATATGCAAAAAATATATCTATACGGGTTTTTTGCCTTTAAGCCTTAAATATTTAATAATTACAGAAAAATCTCTGTTCAGTTTGATTTATTGTTTTGTCCTCGTAAGCTTTATGCTATTGTAAATCGTCGTACGATAGTCGAGATAATCTTCGAAAAATGTTTACTTTTGCTGCGCATAGCCAATCAAGCCCCTGTGGGGCCCCCACGTGGGGCCAATAAGGATATCGGGCCCCGCCCGGGCCGGGCCTACATGGTGCCCGGTTTTTATCTTCCCGCCACTGTTAGGTAATCCGGCAGGGAGAGAAAAGGAAATTCGAAATACGAGTAAATGGAGAAAAAAAAAAGGGGCAAAAAAATCGAAGAGACGTTCGTCTCCCTCCGTCTTCCCGGCTCTCGGAGAATGTAGACGAAGGGCTCTCTTATCCTCGGGTCCCTCTCTTCCATCGAAGTCTTGCGCGCGCATCTCTCCGCCGCGCGGCGATGACGAGCTTGCTCGTCTCCTCTTCATCGTACTTCCTTGCTCCGTTGATCAACTCTCCGGCGAGTCATGGCCACGGGCGGAGCCTTCCGCTCGGCAGGATCCGGAGGCTGGACACCAGAGTTCGGCTGAGCTTCCAGGAGATCCCCCCCGTGCAGGGGTTCGAGTCCTTTGGGGATATCCAAGGGATCATTGCTAGGGCGGAGGGGATGGTCTATGCGCTCGCGGACGCCGCGGTGGCGGCGGACCCCTCGGCTTCCGGAGTCGCGACGGACGCGGCGGTAAAGAAGAGTGGGGGATGGTTCGGGTTCATATCGGATGCTATGGAGGTGGTCCTCAAGGTATGTTGCCGGTGCCTCTTTGTCTGATTTCGGAGACGTGGAAATTCAGAACTATGCCAGTGTCTGAATGGGAGGAAGTCGGAGCGCCTATCAGATGTTAGACGTATGTGCCAGTTGCTTATACAATCCGTCTTGTTTTTTTATACTGCGATTAATTTCTTCCTGGCCTGTCGATTTTCCCGTAACCTTGCTGTTCATCTCAGAACTAAGCGACATCGCATGCTTTTATTTGATGATCACTCGTATCGTTGTGGTTTCCGACAAAAAACTTTTGGGGGTTTACTTTCTGGTACTTTTTTGTTTACAAAGAAGTTATAGTAACCTCACATAGTTCATATTTAGTAATCTGAGAGTTCCGACGACTGTGCCTGGTTTCAATGGCTTTTTTATTTCCGTCTTTAGTTATTCTAGCTTAGCAAGTGTTAAAGAAAATGCGCAGTCCGACTAACGAAATGTTACGTCTGTGATCCGCATGACAAGAATTAGGGATAGGGAAGAATAATCAACCCACAACAAAGGTACTAATGTAAAGAATTTGATGTGGTTTGGAAGTTTCGCTAGATATAGAGAGGTTTAAAAAGATCCTCTCACTAAGAACACAAGGACCGGATCCTTACTCTTGGCCAACAAGACTCTCACTTAGGACCTATGGAAAAAATCCTCACTCTTTGTCCTCAAGACTCTCACCATGAACCCCCTTGAGATCTCTCATTAGAACCTCTCCAAGAACTTTCAAAATGGGATGCTCCAAGAATTGAAAAGAGAGCTTCTATTTATCCATATCTCCCAATGAGCTGTTCTGCTTCCTAGAATGTGCCCTTGATTTCCGCAGACTTGGGCTGTTTTTGTGAGAAACGCTCTGTCTATCATTTAGGGTTATTTCCATGAGAAACAGTCTGCCCAGATATCGAGCCCTTTCTGTCTGCGAAGAAATGGTCCACGTGTGCAGAAATCAGGGGCATGCTCTAGGAAGAGGAATGGTCCATTGGGGATATGGGATCCTCTAAGGACCCTATTAATAAAGGGCACCTTTCCACATTTAGGGACATCTCGTTTGAGGGTTTTTAGATAGGTTCCAAAGAGAAATTTCATAAAGGTTCTTACTGAGAGTTTTGAGGGCCAAGAGTCAGTATTTATTCCTTGGGTTTTTGGTGAGAGTTTATTTATAAACTTTTCCACATCTAGTGAGTCTTTCATCGTCGTCATCTATAGATATAGGATGCTGACCTCTGTACCACATTAAATTCCTTGTCTAGGTGCCTTTGTTGTGGATTGATTATTCTTACCTATCCTTATTGTTGTGCAGATCATGTGTGCAACATTCTGTTAGTTCAATTGGGCATTTGCTCAAAGAGGATCATGCCAATTTGAACACTAGAAATAATCTCTGAAGAATCTTAACATGTGATCAGTGAAGTTCCAACTAAAACTCGTTTTTTATGACTCATGGTGATTTAATTATTTATTCAGAAACTAAGTTTGATGTCGTTTTTTTTGTACATTGATCCTGCCAAACTCCATTTAACTGTCATAAGATGAAACCATTAAGGTCCGACATGTCCAACTCAGTGTTCTCATATGGAGTGCTAATTATTTGTTGAGAGAACTGAGTTTAATGCTGCTTTTTTTTGTGGACTGATGCTTTCAAACTCCATTGAATTGTCATCAAAGGAAAACGTGAAGCCCTGATATGTCCAACTCATAGTTCTTACATGGAGTACCAATAAAACTCGGATTGATGCTGCTCGATTTTGTGGTTTGATACGGTCAAACGCCATCTAGTTGTTGCATCGAAATGTACCACGTGGTGTGATACTCATGGAGGCTTGTAGCATTCAAATATACGAACAATGAGATCTTTGAATGTGAAGTATCTGCTTTGAAGGCCTCTAAATCAAAATTTTCACGAATTAGTAGTGTACGAATGAGATGGAGATGGATACGAGGGTGGCAGAAAATTTTGGCTGCTGAATAAGGCTTGATATGATATTTTCCGGAGCAATAAACTTTGTTTGTTTACGTTTTTTTCTCTTGAATATACAAATTTATAATGTGAGGTGATAGACGAATATTTCAAACACCCGAGCAAGGATGAGACGTGGTATTCTCTGCTAGACACAAAAGCATATTTTTGAGCTAACCTACTCATTCGGATTAGGTTACTTAGGTACCACATTAATGTCTCTCTTGTTATTGCAGATACTAAAAGACGGACTTTCAGCAGTACACGTCCCTTATGCGTATGGTTTTGCCATTATATTGCTTACCGTTATTGTTAAGGTGCTGACATTACCTCTGACAAAGCAGCAGGTTAGCAAGTAAACAGGTCATTGAACTCTATTTTTGATTTTCAACGTAGGTGTTCTATATTCATAACGGAATGTGTCCTATCGTCGTACACATACTATATGATTGCACTCTCTAGTTGGTACTAATGGTATTAATCATAGCTTTCATGTCGTCAACATTTTATTGTCCTCGACGCTTTCTCATTCTCATCAGAATTGCATTGCCCTGATTACTTCTTTCCATTATAGCATGCGATTACCTTAACATCACTTTTAAAATGTAGTTATATTCGTGCGAATTTCTTTATTCAGTCATATTGCTTCCAACCTCTATTTGTTTCCTTTTTTGCAGGTTGAGTCAACTTTGGCGATGCAAAATCTTCAGCCAAAGATCAAGGCAATCCAACAAAGATATGCTGGCAATCAGGTTTGTTGGTTGGGATTATAATTTTTTAACCTAATCTGCCCGCTGAAGTTTCCGGATGACTCTGCAAAGCTTTACCTCTTAAGATAACTCTCATTTATATCTATACTTGATTTTTTTATAACTATTGACGATAGTACAATAAAATTGCGAGTAGGCTGCTTATTCTTTATAGAAGAAACAAATCATGAAATACTCTCGGTAAATTTCTCTCTTGTTCCATGTTAGCTATGGTAATGTTCCCAACATGGCCTTATTGATAGACTTGATTTATGCGGAATAATTTATTATATAGGATATGTTTTTGTGTCAGTAACTATGTTGGTGATGCCCACAATCCAGTTGGAAAAATGTGACCCAAATATTAAAAGCGAGGTAACAAAGCTTGATGAGCATTTATTCCACCAAAGATGTGCGGCGAAATCCACCTGATAGAGCGAGGTCTAATCAGTGAATAACAGGTGCTGCCTTGTGAGATGGCTATGGATGAGGCATGACTTGTGAGACGGCCAGGGAAAAAAAAGTTATTGGACCGTAGTTGGCAAGTTCATGTCAAAGTTGACTATGACAACACTCGTTCCAAAATTCTTTGTGAAGATGTATAGATGTTACTGCTCAGGTGAGCTTTACAGCAGAAAAAGTGCTATTTTGTTGGCTAGAAAATGTTATCTGATCATCTTTTAAACTCACTGGATGTCCATGTGAATACCGAAAGGTTTCCTTAGTCTTTTTCCTTTGTCTTTATTGAAAGGGCATTCTTAGGCCTCATTCTCTACCAAATGTGCAAACTAACTTTCCCGCTTAAGACCGAGTCAAGAGCACTTGAGTAGGTTAAAAGTGTTTGGTACGTAAGAGAGAATAGTCTAAATCATCTGTCAGAATCTTATTATACTGAACTTTGTGCAAGTGGTCCCTTAACACAGTTGCAGTGGATTAATGTTGTACTGCTTTGTAGATGACCATAAATCTGACAGAGACAAATACAAATCTTCTTCCAGTACAATATTGAAGTTTTCCTCCATCTAAAGTGAATTTCTCATGGTTGCTCATTATCTATGCGATTGGATGTCTGATTTGAAACATAAGACCATATCTCTGAATGTTTTCACTGATGCGATTTGTAGCATTTTAGATGAAGTTATGCTTTATCTTTCAGAAATATTATGATTGCTTACTTTTGAATATTCTTCTATAACGCGCATGCTTATGTTGGTTTTCTCGCACGCTTTGAAGTTTCTACGGTTTTTAGTTATTGTTCAATGTTTATCCGCTACTAATATTGCCATTTCTCGCTAGGAAAGAATACAACTTGAGACATCACGTTTGTATAAACAGGCTGGTGTCAATCCCTTGGCAGGTATACTCATGATCATATACTACATACGTTTTATTTTCAAAATGCCTTCATTCTTTTGTAACACGGATTCTTTTCAGTAGGATACTTACCGTGCAACCAGGACCATAACTTATAGCCAAAAGAAATAAAAGTTTCCTACCTAGAGGGGATGAAGTCTTGGTTTGTAAAATCGGTGCAAAAGTAAAGTTTTGAGTCAACAGGAGGCAGCTGCACGATATACTAGGATTTTATAGTGGTTCAATCTAATCTCAGGCCTACATCACTCTCTAAGCATCCCTTTGGGTATTTGACTATTACTTGTTAGGTTCCTAAATATGTTAACTAGACATCTAACAATGACTCAAGTTTTGCTGAATCACAAACGTTTTTAAATATGGTGCAAAACGAAATAAGAAAACTTACAGAGCCCATAGCTGGATGGGAATGCACTTGAGCGAGTTGAGAGAGAGAGTTTACGAAACTCTGTCAATTATTTAGGATAAGAATACTGTTGTTGTCATCATTCTTTGAGGTTGGCTCTTTGGCTTTGGCATGCTGAGAAGAAGGGATAAATGCCTTCCATTTGTCTTTCTTTTTTTCAATTAGAGAATACAAGTCTGCAGATCATTTTCTTTCTCTCTTTTTGTTTTCTTTCTTCATTTTCATTGAAGATCTACCATGGAGTTCAGTTTAGTTGATCGAACTTAATACTGTACGCTATATCAATTTTCCTTTCTTCCTTTCACTACGTTAGTGATAGCAGATTATAATTTCATCCCAGTATATAATTTCACCACTGGACTGGTCTGCAGATCTGCACACAAACGCAGTTGACAATATTTCCATTCACCCTAATTTTACTGGTCATACGATGCTCATATAATCCATAATAATATCGGTCAATGGTTTCTAGCAACGTCACCGCCTTGGAAATAGTGGTTCTCTTTAGGATAGGGAGAAGAGAATGTTCATTTGTTGTGCATATTTATGCAATTGCTGCAATGATTTAGGGATCAGAAATTTACTTTTCTTTGGAAAAATGGGGGCTGATAGATTCTCTGCGGTAGTTGTTGATTCCTATTGTGTCCATGAGTCGGTATGATCTTTTTGTAATGATATTCATAGAATGGCCAATTGGAGTATGTGGTTTAGTCTGGCTCTAGAAGGTGTTGTTTGGATTGATTAATTTCTGTTGTCAGTACCTTTGCTTTTCTTTGATTTCAATTTTAATCATGTCGCATTTATGATTTTAATTTACCTAGGATAACTCGAGACTACAGAGTCGGGTTCCTCTTTCTCGAGCCATGTTTGGGATTAGTTAAAGTGAAGGATAGGAAATCTGTGAGTTCCTAAGAAGTTACTGCTGTGAAGTCTACCTGTAGTAAGGGGTCTTTTCGCCAGAATCCGTAATTTTTTTCTTGGCTAACATGGCATTGTTTTTATTGCTTCCTCTGGGAACAAACTATTGCATAATTTATGTCGTTCTATCAACATCGTTGTCTCTTGCCTATCTGCCCCCCCTGAATTGCTTCCCCCGAGGTTAAAAGGACTTGCCCTTGCTCTTACGTTTTTCTGTATATTTCTCTTGTTTTATCAACCCATCTTCATGTAACCTCATCCCGTTTGCGTTTTCCTTGGTAGAATAGTTCTATGAACGTATATTTTCTTCCTTGCGAAGAGAAAAATTGAAGCCATGGTAAAAAGCCATGCTACTTCTCTTTTTTCCTTTGTCATCTTCATTTCTTGTGTCAGTGTAACTCAGCTGTAAACTCTGTTCCTTGTTCCTTGTGAATGACGTCATGATCTCTATTGGGCTTTTTTCCAGCTTCCATCCTACACCAGAAGCTTATACTTATTCTCTTTTCATCATTTCGTCTTTTTTCCGGAGTTTTGTACCATAATTTCATGCTTACTGATCTGCTTTTTCTGACATGCTGAAAAGGGTGTTTACCAACATTGGCTACAATACCGGTGTGGATTGGTCTTTATCAAGCTCTTTCAAATGTGGCAAATGAGGTAGTTTTTGTCTATTTTACTATTTGTTTTTTTTAGAAACAGAGAAAAATTCTTAAATTCAATTGTCTAGTCTATTGAATGTGTCCACGGTACAAGTGAAACCACAGACAGCATTGGGTTGTTTCAGTTCTTGATCCATTAATCTGGTTTTAAGCGGCGGTATGTGCAAATGAATGGTCTCATGACAGTTGATGGTTCTGCCTACAATGTCAAGTGACTATTCCGGATCAGAACATCCGACCATGTGCATACATAAGGTGTAGTAATATGATTTTGGAATTTTATCTGCAGGGATTGCTAACAGAAGGCTTCTTCTGGATACCATCTCTCGGTGGCCCAACAACAATTGCTGCTCGTCAAACCGGAGCTGGAATCTCTTGGCTCGTACCATTTGTGGTATCTTGGAGTTCCTCAATTCCATAATTTCTTTCTGATCAACTGCACATAAGTTGTACATTTTTTCCTAAGGTTTTCAGGAAAAAATCGATAAGAATTGCATCTTATTTCTCTCAAAGTAGTATTTAATCCATTCCATCTATTTTTCATATGCATTAAATTTAATTCTGAGAAGCAGAAATGGGTATCTTATCAAATGTTTTGCTATTTATGATCTAGATCTTGATATATCCGTTATTTGAGATCTTTATTTGTTTGGCCAGACCGAGAATCTCCTTTATCTCCTTCGGCTTTAGTTGATCGATGAATTTCGCCCATTATCTCCTTTTTCTGTCTGCGTATTCATGGATTTTATGGTGACTAATGACTTCTCCTCAAACAAACTCGAACATTTCTTCATCATTGGGTTTATTTATCCTGATTCCTCCCTTCCAAAAATGTATCGGGAAAACTCTTTATTTCCCAAGGTTTTAATTTTTATATATACAGCACATCTATTATAGTCTTCTATCGCTGAGGCCGTACTCCATTTCAGGATGGGCATCCTCCGTTGGGCTGGTCTGACACAGCAGCGTACCTGGTGCTGCCCGTCCTCCTCGTCGTCTCCCAGTACTTCTCCATGGAGATTATGAAGCCCCCCCAGGTGGGTACCCAGCTCCGAGGTTTTTCCGCGTACAGGCTGATGAAATTAGACGGCATGACTGTTTTGTTAACAGACAGACGACCCGTCCCAGAAGAATTCGCTCCTCGTCTTGAAATTCCTTCCCCTTATGATCGGCTACTTCTCCCTCTCGGTCCCCTCCGGGCTTTCAATATATTGGTATGTATCTCGTCGTGGTACTATTCCTTTTTTCTTTTATTTTTTTCTTATTTTCTGTGCATAAACTGGGGACCCCCAATCGACCCACTAACTTCCATCTTTTCTTCCATGGATTTGCTCAGGTTCACGAATAATGTCCTCAGCACAGGGCAGCAGGTTTGGCTGAGGAAGCTAGGCGGCGCCAAGCCCGCCGTAGACGAGGGCGCCGGTCAGATCATCAGTGCTGGCCAGGCCAAGCGAACTGGTGAAAGGTTCCTTATTTAACTTAAATGTAATTTAATCATTACAAGATATGGTACGTGCCATATCGTTGATGTTCTTGGGTGCTCCAGGTTCAGGCAACTGAGAGGAGAAGAGAGCAGCAAGAAGGCGGCTGCGATGGCGCCGCCGGCGGAGGCGGCGGCGCCCGCTGCGTCAGACTCCGACGTAGCCCAAAAGGTGCGTCGCCCTTTTCTTGCCCTGGTCAGCCAGCCGGTTGACGCCCCTAGTCTGACGCGGCTGCCGACTCACCATCGTCCATAATTGGCACAGGAGGACGGCGGGGAAGAGGCGGCCAGCGGCGGCGAACAGCCAGGCGAGTCCCCCCGGCCGAGGAGGAGCAAACGATCCAAGAGAAGAAGAGCAGTGCAGTAGATGACCCCCCAGCCAGCTCCGCGGGTAATGTACCGACTCTACCCTTCGTTTTTCTCGCCCCATTATATGAAGCCGATTTTAAATATCGGCTAATCTCCACGAATCATCTGATTTCAGGGGCGGGTTGGTGAGATTAAGTAAATATTATTTGTCATCCTATACCCGACTTCAAAATAATATTTTTGGGTCGGATACGTCCGAAGGCCCGTCGAGGCTTCCGCCGACCGTGGACCGGTCAAACCCATGAATAGATTACGATCCGGAAACGACTCCGTCTTATTGACCAGCTCCGCCGTCTTTGGTCTCATCATTGCAAAACCCTAGAGAGAGAGAGAGAGAGAGAGAGAGAGAGTCTAAAAGAGGGGATCCCATGTGCGCGCAGTCTCGGGGGCGCCTTTTGTTTTCTTCCGAATTCTTTTCAACGCGATTCCATGCTGTGTCGCCCTTTGCCTTATCCAGTCTCCTCGCGCTTTTCCGGTCGTTTCCGCAGGACCGTCTCTTCCATGCTCCCTTCTGATGTCCCCTGTGGCTTTTACTCTCTCTCTACCCCGATGTTTTCGTTGCGGTCAGAAACCTCCTCCTGATCCCTGATCGATAAGAGTGTTCCGCCGGACTAGCCAACCTCTCGTGGGCCTATAAAGGTCCCCCGAGTACTTCCTGTTTCTAACATAGTCGAATAACGAAGAGTTCTCCTCTTCTTTTCCTGTACTGCTCAGCCATGGCCTTCTTCTCCTCTCGCCTGGTCGTCTTCTTCCTCCTGCTGGCGGTGGCCGCCGCGGAGTACCCGCCCATGCTGTTCACCATCGTGAACAACTGCCCCTTCCCCGTCTGGCCCGCCATCCTTCCCAACACCGGCCACGAGGTCCTCGAGGGCGGCGGCTTTGAGCTCGGCCCCCTCACCCACCGTTCCTTCCCCGCACCGACCACACACTGGGCCGGCCGCGTCTGGGGCCGCACCGGCTGCTACCACGGCCGCGGCGGCCGCTTCACCTGCGCCACCGGCGACTGCGGGGGGCGCCTGCAGTGCGCCGGCCTCGGCGGTGCCGTCCCCGCCACCCTCGCCCAGCTCTCGCTCCACCACGCGGGGCACCTCGACAAGACCGCCTACAGCGTCAGCCTCGTCGACGGCTTCAATCTGCCGATGACCGTCACCCCGCACGAGGGCCGCGGTGTGTGCCCCGTCGTCGGTTGCCGCGCAGATCTGTTGCCGTCCTGCCCCCGCGCGCTCCAGCTGAAGTCGCCATCTCAGCACGTCGTCGGCTGCAAGAGTGGCTGCGTCGCCTTCGGCACCGACGAGCTCTGCTGCCGCAACAAGTACAGCACCCCCGGGGCCTGCCGATCCTCCAGCTACTCCCAGTACTTCAAGCAGGCCTGCCCCTCATCCTACACCTACGCTCACGACAGCCCTTCGCTAGTCCACGACTGCGCCGCCCCCAAGGAGCTCAAGATCATCTTCTGCCACTGACCCTCCTGCGAAACCCTAACTAAAGTCGCTCAGCTGTCGTCTCCCTCTGTCCTCCTCCATGCCCCTGTAGTCAGTAGCTTCTCTCGTTCAGTTCTCTTCGTCGTCAATGGTGCAGTGCATCTTGCTTGTAATGGAGATTTGTAGTCAGTCGCCTGCTGCTTTTCAGAATCTGATCTAGCTCCTCCGCCTTCCACCGCCTTTTTTCTTCCATGCTTCCTCCGCCCGTTCCCGTACGCCGGCGGCGGCGTCCTAGTGCCGGCCAGAGAGGCAGTGGGGGCGAGTTGGGTTTGGAAGCCGAGGCGAGGGGATAGAAAGACGGCCTCATGCGGCAGCGTCGGCATGCGTGAGCGGCTCGTCGTTTTCTGGGCAATACGAGGCGTCCAGACTGCGTCTCCGGCGTAGTGCCGACCACCGACGGGGGACCACCATGGTGCCTTTTAGATTCGTATCCTTTCACCTATCAAACCTACTGCCGATCGTCACGTGGAAAACACCCTCCCCGCTGCAGTAGACAGCGAGCTTCAATGTGTGCAGCACGGATCTGCTCTCTCCGGACAACAGTCTGTCCTGTCTGCAGATAGAGAGATAAAGAGTAAACCTCTCTCTCTCCCTCTCTCTCTCCCTCTCTCTCTCTCTCTCGTTCGTGCTATTTATGGGCAAAGCTCCAAGGTCAACATACAGAAGCACACGCTACTAAATATCTCGTATTGGGTAATCCGAAAGGATTATGACTACTAACTAAACTAAGAAGGGCGGCGCAGGGGGGAAGGTGGGATGGATGCCTCGTCAGGCGCAGCGCTGGTGGGGCGGGCTCACGTGGCTGCCGAGGCGGACGACGATGCCGTCAAGGTCCCGCACATAACCGACCTTCTGTCCCCACTCCTTCTCCTCCGGGGCGCTCACCGGCACCGCCCCGTTCTCCACCGCCCGCTGCGGCGGAGCAACAACGGTGTGTGAGAAAAACAAAACAAAAAGAAAAAGACCACCCGTCGGAGACTGATGAGAAGGGGAAGAGATGTAAAGGTGACCTGGTAGGCGGCGTCGACGTCGGTGTAGACGAAACAGAGCTCCAGCGGCGGCCTCTCCCCGGCAGAGGCGGCGGGGTGGACGATGCCAGTGAGGTCGTCCGTCTCGTGCTGGCGCACCGGTGTGAAGGCGATGGTCGTCTGCCCCGCCTCCAGCTCCCCCCACCGGTGGGACTCGTCCAGCCGGCGGATCTCGTACCCGAATGCCTTCGCGTAAAACTCCAGCGACTCCGCCACGTCCGTGACGTACACCACCGTGTACGCGAACGCCGGCCTCATACCCGCCATCCTCCCCCCTCCGCTGTAGAGAGAGAAGAGGAGGCGTGGCCACTGTATAGATAGATATATATATAGAGAGGGAGAGAAGGGCGGAGGAGACACGTGGCTGCCATGCGTGCCATCTAGTTCAAGTAGTCCACATGTCGGCCCGCATTAACCAGATTGCCCTTCGGAACAGAAAGAGATGGGCCCATTGGGCCTAAATGTGCTAAACCAGCCCGCATTACGGCGTTGGTGGCAGGCCTCCTCGAATGGGCTTCTGAGTTTTTACTCTCTTATTGGGCTCCGTGCACTTAGTAATTAATAATAGGCAAGTTGCCAAAAAAAGTAGGAATTATTATTAATTTTATTCGAACGGATGTTTATTAAAGGCGAGGTTCCCGAGGTTTAGCCGAGTTTCCAAATCTGAGTCAACGAATTGATGGTCAACGTGCCTCCCAGGTGGCGGTTACTCGGTGGGGCCTCCAAATGGGCCGGCCACTTCTGGGCCCAGAGTCGGTTTCGTTATCACCAAGGTGATGTCACCGCCTGTCCCCGCGGGTCCGACGCCGCTCACAGCTCGCTTGTGAGTCTCATGAAAGGGGGAGGGGAGAGAGACAGAGGGCGGGGCCCATAGCAAAGGAAACCTAGGAGAGCCGTCCGATTGGTGTACTCTTTTGTGAGACACGGATCGGACGGGAGGAGTACGGACGGGAGGAAAACCTAAATGGGGTCACCTGGGCGGGGCATTTGCTTCATCACATCTTTTTCCCCGCCTTCTTTTTTTTCTCTCACTTTAGGGGAGGAAACCGTGATTCCGAGAACGCTGTCTGCCATTCTCTCTCTCTCCTCCCCCGCGGAGCTCAAACCAGGGCAGCCGATCCCCTCGCCCCGCCGCGCTCTTCCCTGCACTCGCCACCTCTCTTCCTCTCATGAGTCGCCCCTCATCGCCGTCGCCGACGCAGAGACGATGCCGTCCCCAAGCCAGCTCAGGAATGGCGGCGGCGAGGGCCAGCAGGGGCTTCCGCCGCTGGCCCGCGGATCGCCGCCGCTCCCCAACTATCAGAACCAGCGCCACAACCACCACCAACACTTCCATTCCACCGTCTCCGTCCAGAGGCTCCGGCGCGTCAACGCCCTCACCCTGCTGCTCCGGCTCGCGGCCTTCTGCTTCTGCTTCGCCTCAGCCGTCTTCATGTTCGCCGACAACGCCCGCTCCCCGGGGTCCCCTTCCTGGCTCGATTACGACCCCTTCAGGTCCTCTCGTGACGATGAAGCTCTTCCTCTTTCCCTTTCCTCCTGCTCCTAGGATGCTGATGGCCGGGGTTTCTTGGACTGTGCAGGTTTGTGCTCGCGGCTAATGCGATAGTAGCCCTCTACTCCTTCGCCGAGATGGGGGCTTCGATCTGGGAGGTGCTTAAGGGCTCTACTCTGCTGCCGGAGCCCCTCCAGCTCTGGTTCGACTTCGGCCACGACCAGGTACAGGAGCTTTCCCTCGTCTGTTTCCAATTTCCCCAAGAAACCTGACTTCTCAGAGCCGCTCCTCTCTGGCTCCCCATGGCGCCGCCGAGTAGGTCTTCGCGTACCTGTTGCTGTCGGCGGAGGCGGCGGGAACGGGGGAGGCGGTGGGTCTCAGGAAGGGGAAGGACAGCTGCTCCTCGGGCAAGGCCTTCTGCGTGCAGGCGGACATCTCCATCGCCCTCGGTTTCGTCGGCTTCGTCTTCCTCGCCCTGTCGGCGCTTTTCTCCGGCTTCCGCGTCGGCTGCTACCTCCTCACCGGTTCTCGTTTCCCCCTCTGAAGAAGCCAGCGAGCGACACAATCAGGAGTGAGGAAGAAGAAGACGAGATGGAGGGAACTATTGCTGTTTAATTATTATTACTATTACTATATTATTATTATTATTATTACCAAAGATGAAATACGATTAACCGCCCTTTCCCCACTTTATTATTTATTAATTCCCGATATTTTATTCATGGGCCTGATGTTCCTCTTGTCCCACCTCCCCCTTGGAGCCCACTCCTGGAACATTGCGGTGGGCCGTCCACCTGGTTCTTTCAGTTTGGGGCCGTCTAGAAGCCCACAACGCCAATGAAGGGGTTTGCACGGAAGAGGGCCTTTTTTCAAAAGTTTCTCGCTTTTACGTGACATCCAAAAGGACTTCGTACGGTAGCGGTGTAAGGAGTAAGAAAGAAAATAAGTTGGGTTCTTTTTAAATAAATCATCTACTTTTTCGTGACTCCACAACCCCCTAAAATAGTTATTTAAATTGAAGGCGTAAGAAGGTTCGAGATTCTTAACGGGTCTCCTACCCCCCCGCTATCATCGACCGTCCACGTAGTGTGGCTGACCCACTGGGGATTCGCTTCATGGCTCAACGGTGGGAGTCAAACCAGGTGGTTCGAAGTGGTTGGCCAATCAGGTCTGGGCCCGAGCCTGGAGGCCCAAGCCGGCCCGCAGTCAGATCACGTGCTCGAATAGCCCACTGTCGTCTCTCCTCCACCCACCCACCCCCTCTCTCTCTCTGTGTTGGTCTTCATTGTTGAATAGAAAGGCCCTCGTCCTCATTTCCCTCCGACCTTCGTCTACGCCACAGCGGGATATTCAAGGATCTCACGCTCATTCGCCGTGTGTTGGAATATCTCGCTCCGGGGAGTCGTAATTCTGGGCCAGAGGACATGCAGCCGGGGAAAATATGCGGGGGATCTCCGCGCAATTGTCGCCCAGGTGAGTGGATGGAATCTCTGCTGGGATCGCTCCCATATTTGGATTTCTGATGCCTTCCTGCTGGTTCATAATGGTGGAGCGAATTAATTTCATTTGATTTCTTGATTTATGGGGGGAGAACTGTATCCCTTGTGTTCTGATCCTGTTTGTGTATTTTGCGTTGTGGGGGAGATCATGGACGTCCTCGGGGAGGTATGTTACTCGGGAGTGGGTGGAGTGAATTTCTTGAAAACGGATTCCAGTTGCATCAATAGGGACGAAATATAGGATCTAGCTAGGTCACACGGAAATAGGGGATGTATCAGCTCTCAAGGAGAGTTGAATGCATTGGAATTTGATTGAGATAGACTGTCATCGACTGTCAGCATAGGAAGAATCCATTATTGGACTGCTCATGAACAGGAGTAAACAAAAAAAATAAATTGAGATCTTTCTTTTCTTTACATATCGTCAGGATTCTCATGATTCTGGGACAACGCATGTCTGGTTAGACAATGCATTTTTTGAATATATAAATTTTCACCGATTTTTTTGACCGACGATGCTAATCATTTATTTTATTGTCGCTTAGACCCTTTAGCAGGGGAGTCCGATGAACTTGAACCACGTTTTCTGAGTTCTTTTTTCAAAGTCGTTCAATACGATGCATGATAGGTTGTACACAGTCGAGTTCAATAGGCTTTACTGATTTCTGCAGGTTCAAGATTTTTACGTATCTCTTTGAAATTTTCGCTTGAAGCATAATCAGCGGCGTTCGGCAGTTCTCCTCGAGAGTTCTTGTTATGCTGAAAATTCTATCATGGTGGTTACTAGCTACTGGTGTATATAAGTACTCTCCTCCGTTATTGTTCCTTCCAATTCCTCTCGCACATCATTAAAATACCGGAACCGGTTGATCCAAGCTGAGCAATGGGAGACTATTCATGCGTTCCTGGTTCAAGCAAGATTTCAGAGTTGTCAACGAGTCTCGCCAGTAATAAGATGAAAAATTGTTCTTTAGTTGCCTCTTCTTCAAGGCCCATATCAGAAAAGATGGTCAAGCGTATGATACCAATGAAGCATCTAGGCCTGGAGGGGGGACCCACTGGCAGGGTACTTATGTTTTTACTTAAAGTTGCTGCTCTGGAGGTTGTGCGGAGGGTCTCAGAAGTGAAGTGCCCACTGGTCTGGAGGGTCCTTCAGGGATTTCAATTTCTCGGCTATGTACCGCTTAAATGGCTTCAGAGGTGGTCACCGATCAGAAACACGGCTAGACTAATGCAGGTTAGACTGATATGCTCCTTCATTTCTCACGTTGCATGGTTACTTTAATATTCTAAAACAGGTTAAAGAAAGAGAATAAAGTTCTGCATAGTTCTCCTCGCTGTTACCTCTATGCATTGTTGAACACTTGTTAACCACTAGTCCTTTTTTTGTATATGAACACCCGATTACTTGCTAATTGACACCCATAAATTTTATGCATCGACAAATGAGAGGTTAGGAGATCTAGTAAATGGCCAGAAGGAAAAAAATAAAATAGCTCTCACCAAATCTGTATGACGACTTCAAGCAGACTGTGACTCATGTTTGAGTGGGCAGAAGGAGTGAAAAGAAGAGAAGATAATGCGCATATATTTTAGCATAGATCCTAGTTTCATGTATTTATGTAGAAGTACAATTTGGAGAACACGTCTGAAACTTCAAATCAGCCATGTAGCAGTGAGCTGTGTGCATGTGTGCGTATGTGTGTGCGTGCACACGGGCTGTTGCTTGTTTGTAGGGTTTTTGAACGTGACTGTTATTGGAGCTGTAAAGAAAGAAGCTTGCAAAGTAGTCCGAAAATTTTGTGCAAGACTATAGCCAACTTCTTGACATCTCTTGCAGGGTTTTAACTGCTAGTCTTCAGCATCAACATCAGTAGAGGCATGTAGATGGAAAGACCATGTACTCATTCGTCAATACCATAATATATGGTTTTCAGTACGAGACAAGGAATGAAAGTGGAAAATAGACTTTTTTCCAAGCATGAAGAAGCTTTGTTGGCTGGATACGCACACATACACCTAATCTTTTAATTTTATGATACTTTGAGAAAATTAGTCATGCGAGATACTTCACTATTTCTTCACCACCAGATAATTTTCTCAGGAATATGCATGGCGTCTGTTTTTCTTACAAGTGAAAAAGTGTGACATGACTTTATCTTGACTTTATTTCTTATTTGCAGACAATTTCAAGACCGTTATTGTTTCTTTCCATTACAACGTCTATCTCTGATTGTTTTGAGAATTCCAAGGCTAGGCTTGACAACGAGGATGATCAGCAACAACATTCTGAAACACCTGCCGTGGAGTCTGCTCCTAATCTTGGGTTTGTTCCTGGAAGAATTCTATTTAATACGTTTATATCTCTATTGCTTGTATTTTGGCTTGGAATGGAAAACCAGCTACCAGGTGCTTTCAAGTCATTGACAGTCTCTATGACTTAAGGATGGCATAAAAGTACAGATAAATCGTGTCACCATGCCTTCATCTCTACTGAGGCACTTATTCGGGGTTATTCAGGTGTCCTCAATGCATCTATAAGTATTGTATGATTTCAGTGTTCTCATGCAATTGTTTGTGCTGAGTAAATCAGACTAACTAGGATCTACGGACGGATGAACCTCTTATGTTTAGTTAAAGGGATTCGATATTTAATAGATTTTCAAATAGAAATCTGTAAATTAAACATTACTACGAAGCCAATAATTAAGATCTGAAGGATCATCACGGTGTTATTGCTTTTTGGTAGTATAAAAAGCACTAATATCCTAAACGTTCCCACTGGCGTGGTAAATTGGCGTATATATTCTATATATAATAACGTGTTCACTATATTCTTAGCACTATTTAAGAGCAGATTTACTTTTTAAGAGAACAAGAACGCATCCTCTTAAACATCTAATTTATATTTTTGGTTTTTAATCTCTAATTAAGATTTTTTATTCGTCTGTTACCGCTTTATTTAGATTCTCAACAATATCGCAGTTTTTTAACATGTTGATGTTTTTTAAGTCCCTTGTTATTGTGTTTTTTATTGTTCCTTCAGGGAATCTGAGGAAGCTGAGGAAAATATTGTATCTGAGAACTGGCTTGCTCAACTTCACAATGATCTTGAGAAGCAGGGAATTATTTTACCCCAGAGGTAATCACTTGCTTCCTATCCAGATCTTATTTCTAGTCAAATAAATCGGATATCTTGTTCCCAATAGGTCTAGAATGTGTTTTTATATATAGTTATATTGTCCTTGTGGAATCGTGCCTAGTTCCCCTGACGTGTGGGTGGGTGTGTGCTTGATGTTGTGTAAAGCCATAAATCATAAGGAATGAATGGGCCAAGCGACCTTAAAAATAGTACTCTAGTTTTCCATTTTAGGCTTGGTTTCATTGCCTTGTTTATATGGTGCCATCGTTTAATAATCACAAAGCCACTGAGAGAAATCGGTTTTGATATCTTGGTCTGCATCGCTTGAGGATTGCGTTTGATTTAGATAGTAAGCAAATGAGGTGAATGCAGGATTGATGATGACGAACTGGGTAGATTCCACGCCGCAGCAAACGGTGATTTTTCATTCTTAGTGAAGTCGATTCGGAAGACCATACGCTGGAGGGAGACGTACGCTATTCTCTCTCCCCAACAGCTCGAACCATGGTCGCACCTGGTGTTTTGGCATGGATATGATGTGAAGCTACGGCCCTGCCTTGTTATTCGCCTTGGACTAGCTTGTACTAGTTTACCGCCTCCAGAGAGGCCCCGCTTCACTCAGGCAGTTGGTACGTGTTCCACCCTTCTCTCTGAGAAATTTCTATCCTTGACTGATCACGCCCTTCATGGATGGGTTTCTTCTCTGGGTTTTTCCTTGATACTCCGTTTGAAAGAGAGCCCCTGGTTTTTTTTTTTTTTTTGCCTTAATGTGGTATCTAATGTGATTACGCAAAGTCAGGTACTAGTCTTTATTTTTTATTTTATTCTGCCTTTTTAGAAAATGATTATATATTTAGGGTGTTTCATTCTCTTCCATGCTTCTGAAATGTAGAAATTGCATGGTCCTCCTCCCCCCTCGCCTCATTTTTCCCTTCTATTTTTGGAAAATCTTGGAGATATAACCACATTTGGTTGACCGACAACTTTTGACTATATACATACATACACTCGTATATATATATATATATATATATATATATATATGAAACCAAATTGTGCATTATCATATCGGAATTTGACGTAGCAGCCCCCTGCTGGACCTGGCAGTCTCGCAGGTGGAGCACGGGGTCCTGTTTCTGCTCAACAAAGACGACCCGCGGATCACGGTCTTGATGGACTGCGCGGGCCTATCCCCAGTGAGAATTCCGATGAACATGATGAGGTCCTGCTCCGCCGTCATGCAAGATCACTACCCCAATCGCCTGTCGACCCTCTACGTCACCAGACTCCCCCCGGTGGTCCGGGTCCTGGCGCAGACGCTCATCCAAGTAAATAAAAGAATAAAAAAAAGCAATCCCCACCCCCACCTGCTTATAGCTAGCTAGCTGGCTCGAATATGTTTATCTTGTGCATGTCATTCAATCAGCTGCCTGCTTGATGCCCACTTTCCATGGCCGCGGGTCTGTCCAGGTCTTGAGGCCGACGACGCGAGAGAAGCTGCGGGTCCTGGGAGAAGCGAACCAGAAGGCCATTCTCGCCGAGGCCCTCCAGGCGGTGCCGTCGTTCCTCGGCGGCCGGTGCGGGTGCAACAAGTGCGAGACCCTTCGCGCCCCCGGTGGTTGCGGTGGGCGGCGGGGGATGCCCGCCGGCGGCAGGGAGGCGGAGGATGATGATGATGATGAGGAGGAGGAGGAGGAGGAGGAGGAGGAGGTCGGGGGTCTTCCCCTGGTCGCCACCGACGGCGCGACCTTCGAGCAGGTGGCGAGGACGGCGGTGGTGGGCATCCTGATGCTGTGGATCTTCCTGGCGTACCTGGTCGGAATGAACGACACCGGCGGAGGAGAGGGAGGGACCCCCTTGCTGTTCTCCTGACGCCGCCTCGATTTCGGTTTGCTCCGTGGTCCTGGGGGACGATGCGATGTTTCGATTCAGGCGGGCCCCACAAAAGCGACCGGGTTGTGTCGGTGGTGCACTTTTTTTGTCTTCTACTAGGTTTCCTCGTTAGATTTCTCAATAAAGCATTTGTTTCCCGATCTCCAGATGTGATCAAGCAAAAAGGCACTTGACGATATAGGAAGCCTTTGTGGCTGCTGGGATTCGAGCCCAGGTCTCCACGGCCACAACGTGGAATTCTAACCACTAAACTACAGCCACATTTTCTAACAGTAAAAATATAAAAATAATTAATATAAATATTTGAGCCGCACGTTAAAGCACTTGACGAGACGCTGACGGCCGATCAGAGAGGAAGATACCAAGAGAGGAAAACAATTTACGGCTGCGCGGACGGAGCAAGGCCCCAGCGTCTCCAGGGTAGAGGCGAGTGCGTGAGGCTTCTTGATCTTCTTCCTAGTTATTGGCAGAATCACCTAATTCGTCTTCTTCCTCGAGTTTATTTTCCCTGGGGACGCGACAGATCGCGATTCAGATGTGTGTGGGGCCTGTGGTCTGTGCACGTGAGTGTGGGAGGTGGTGGGGCGTCTCCGTTCTGTTCCCTTAGGTCTGCCGTCGTCGTCGTCGTCATCTCACCGACATGTCGCTGTGCTCTCCCGTTGCGTTCGTTCGAAGGGCATCCGCATATTCCTTTCCGTCGGTCCGATTCTGCGGTGCCCCCCTCCCGTTTTTTAACGGATTAATATTTGTCTACATCTGTCAGTCGTCGGCCTCCTGATTGTCGCCGCCTATATGTAGCTCTTGATCTGGGGAGGTTCTTCCTCGCGTTATAACCTGTTTGCTCGTTAGACTTCTCATTTTCCTCTCGACTCCTTCATCAGCTTCTTTTCGGCAATTATTTTATTCCGGTTCTTCCTCGCTGACCCGATCCTTCAGTTCACTTAGATTTCTCGCTAGTGTGTCACTTTCGTTAATCTCACGGCGATGTGCGCAGCAGGACTGTAGGTCTAATCTCTGGTGAGGAAACCTGAGGCAATGGCGAAGGAAATCTCCAACGGGGTGAATCATGGAACGTCGAAGCCACCTCCGACACCTTCACCTCTGCGTAACTCGAAGTTCTCTCCGGAAAGTTTGGAGCTCCCTTCTCTTTTCTCTTCCTCTTTTTGGATGGACCTTCATCTTCTCTGCTTTGTATGCTTTCTAATGCAGCCTCGGCATATTTTTACGACAACTTTACTCTGATCGACGTCAGCGGATCATAACCCTCCTCCGTTGCATGCTGAAATAAGGCACTTGTGAGCCTTAAGAAACATTTTTCTTAGGCCCTAATTTTAGCAAAAAAAAATCTAGTGCAGGATGTTGCCCGGTTGGTGATACTTTCCTTTTGGTTAAAATCGAATTTTCTATAATGATTGGAATCTTTTTTTCGTAACGACAGTCAAACTACTCGATCCAGTATTAGGGATTGCTTGAAAGTTATTTTTTGGTGAATGTCTTTGAGAATGAATGGTTGCTCATTTTCTATAACACAACATGCATTGTGTGATTGATTGCTTTTGGCATTTAGGCAAAACATTCTGTCTCATTCTCAGTTGGATATCCCTCATGTTATGTGGCGAACCGCTTAGGATATGAACCCATTTGGAGCAATATAATTTAATAATTCACAGAAGATTTTCTTCTGTTTTTTCTTTCTCGGATGAATGCCGAGCTGATGAGTCAACTCTGGTTATTGGATCCCTGCGACAGTTTGAGCTTTGGGTGATGACAAACAACCGTTTTTGCATCATGTCCGCAGGCCAATTTGAGAATCTTGGTTACGGGGGGAGCTGGATTCATCGGATCCCATTTGGTGGACAGACTGATGGAAAATGAGAAAAATGAGGTGGATTTCTTCATCAAGCTGTTTCCTTGTTCTATTAGATCTTACCTAAAGGCATTTTTATTGTGAGAAACTGGAAGATAAAGTTACAACCGATCAACGATCTGAAGTTCTTTGGACATTCAAAGTTCTGGTTCTAACAGTGATGTGGATGTTTTCGCCCTCCCCCCTAAATATCCACAGGTGATTGTTGCCGATAATTTTTTCTCTGGTTCAAAGGACAACCTCAAGAAGTGGATTGGGAATCCAAGATTTGAGCTCATTCGGCATGGTATTAATGAAGTACTTAATGTACTTCTTTTTAATCTCGCATCAAATCATCTTCCTTGATTCTCTTGCGATCGAGGGAACTGGTGAAGCCCCTTTCTGTATGCCGTCATTCAAAAAATGTCTTCTAAACAGACTGCACAGATATATTCATGATCCTCTAACATTGAGTCAGTTAAAATTTATTGAATTATCAAGGCCAAGGCATTGACATATGTGCTCAAGTATTTTCCATCCTCTGTTGCAGATGTCACTGAGACTTTGCTTGTAGAGGTTGACCGAATCTATCATCTGGCCTGCCCTGCTTCTCCGATTTTCTACAAATATAATCCTGTGAAGGTGCGCATCTCGTTTTATATTTCTGTGAAATTTAATCACTTTTAACCTTGTCATTTTCATGGTTGACCTTCTATCTTCAACTCATCTGTGTCTTTGGCATTATCTGGACTCCATCAGTATCTATATCCGGAATTCACCTATGCAGCTGGGTCATTTCCAAATAAAAGCATTTTCTATCTTATATAGTGAGAGTATGCCGTGATTTTAGTCAAATGCAAGCACGCCACCCATCGCTTTCAGTCTCCTGGATCATTTCCTTATTTCCATTTTATTTCCTTATTTTCTTGGTCCAATTTCCTTCAGTTTGGACAAAAATCTCAGTTGAATGATGCCCAAAAGTTTGTGAAACCCCTGAAATTTATTACGGGTAGGTGGTTTTTTGCTCTATGACAGCACTGATCGGTCCCTCGTGACTGTCGCCATCCGAAGTTAATGTGGGTGCAATATCGCTCATTCTTTCTTGTTAGATGCGTTAAATGGATCCGCAATCTTTAAATTCGTCCTTGAAGTCGAAGGGTTTATATTCCTCCATCCATTCCTGTCTGCATGGCACTGTTTTAATTCTTTGCTTCATAGCCTCCACTTCTTCTCGTCTACATTTAATTAATTTGATTCGGTGAATGCCCTATGCGACAGACAATAAAGACGAACGTAATCGGCACATTGAACATGCTGGGTCTCGCAAAGAGGGTTGGAGCAAGGTGAGAACCCTAATCTGTTCTGAAATTAGAATTTTTATCCGGAAAAAGGTTTTAACCCGCTGGCATTTTGCTTGCCACAGGATTCTTCTCACGTCAACCTCAGAGGTATATGGCGACCCTCTTGAGCACCCTCAGACAGAGGAGTATTGGGGCAACGTCAATCCCATCGGTATCTCTACTGACTCATTTTTGGTTTCTCATTAAACCTTATTCTGCATGCTCTTGAGACAATGAGCGTGTAGATAAAGATCAGTACCGTGGTTTGTTTTCTATTTTGAATGAAGTTTTAATTAAATAAATGTGAATTAATAAATTTATTGTTTAATCCAAATGAAATCCATTTTGATGTTTTTTATGTATGTAATGTGTATTTCTCTCTGCGGGTGATTTTTTCTGTGTAATGCAGGAGTAAGAAGTTGCTACGACGAGGGGAAGCGTGTGGCAGAGACCTTGATGTTTGATTATCATCGGCAGCATGGAGTTGGTAAAACTCCGGGCCTTACACCGTTCCCCAGCTTCTTATTATATTTCTAATTGTGGGGTTTAATCACTGACCACGTCCAGTTTTTGGAAAGCTCATCCATAATTAATTACACCATATCGCTGCACTGTAGATGCTTAATTCGTGTACAATCTTCTTAAACCACTTCTCAATCCCTCATCAGAAATCCGAATTGCGAGGATTTTCAACACCTACGGGCCACGCATGAACATCGATGATGGCCGCGTGGTCAGCAACTTCATAGCTCAAGCTCTCAGGTGGTAGATCTTGGCAAATCCTTTTGCTTGTTTTCTTCGCGGGCGCCACTAAAAATTGAAAAAGTCTGGGTCTTGCAGAGGCGAGCCCTTGACTGTTCAATCTCCGGGAACGCAGACCCGGAGCTTCTGCTACGTTTCCGACATGGTAGCCTTCATCTGGTTCATTCTGGTGTTTATATGCGGCATTGGGTTCATATTTCATCGTCTGAAATAGGACTCTTTGTCGTCTCAATGACCCAGGTCGACGGCCTCGTCCGACTGATGGAAGGCGATCACACGGGACCGATCAACATCGGCAACCCAGGTGGGCTTCCCCGGACGATCTTGAGTTGACTTCACATCAGATGAATTCTACCTGCAAAAAAAAAAAAACAAAAAAATGCTGCCCATCAGTCGAATATTTCTCACATGCTAACTTGCCCTCTTCTCCAGGTGAGTTCACCATAATGGAGCTCGCGCAGACTGTGAAGGAGGTGAGCTTCTTATTCTTCCTGAACCAGAGAGAGAGATAGAGAGAGAGAGAGAGAGAGAGAGAGAGTCAATGGAATGATGAGTGATGGGCTGTTCTTTTTGTTTGGTCTCCCCTCAGTTGACTAACCCTTCGGTGCCGGTGAACGTGGTGGAGAACACGCCGGATGACCCGCGGCAGAGGAAACCGGACATCAGCAAGGCCAGGGAGCTGCTGGGGTGGGAGCCCAAAGTGGGGCTGCGGCAGGGGCTCCCCCTCATGGAGGAGGACTTCCGGCAGAGGCTCGCCATCCCCAGGGAGAACTGATGCCTCCGCCCCTCTCCCAGATTCTGGGACAAATATCGTCCATTTCTCTTTCTTAAATCGGATAATCAACGGGTGAGTGGTTTCTTCGCTTGCTGTTCGATTCACCACGGTTGAACCTAGCCTTGTTTCCGTCCCGGATCATAACTCTCGGTCACTTTCCGTTATATCCGGTTACTTTTCGTTTGTCAACGCCTCTATTCCTGTCATAGGTCAACCTTCCGTTTAGCTCGGGTAAAAACGGGCGGGTTACCTCGTTTGAACTCGGGTAACCTGGGCTGCCTCCGGTTCTAACCCGGTAGCGTCCTAGATGGGTGGGTGCTGCGTCAACTTGTGTTAGTGGAGACGCTATGAAAACGACGGCAGATGACAAGTCGACGATGGTATTATCGTGATTCTATAAAAGTATGCCGTCGTTTTGGGCATTTAGGATAGCTTGGATCCTGATTGGCGGAGAGGAGAGATTCCCCACTGTGGAAGGAAGACTCGCTTTTCCGCGACGAGGCCGGCGGGGGGATCTCTCCAACTGCCACTCTCCCACGGCGATGGCGGGCCACGGCGGTGATCTGGGCGCCGCTCTCCTCAGCCACCGCGCGCCGACGAGGCCTCGGCGGGGGACGGCGGTGCTCTCGACCGTCTTGATAGGTAAGAATAGCCCCACCCACCCTACCCCTCCGGGGGGACGCTCCTGGTAGGTAGATCGCCGTTGATCTGCTCCAAATCTGAGGATGCTTTCTTCGTCTCTGTACAGCCGCCAGTCTCGCGCTGCTGGTTCTTGTACTGCTCGGGCGCGGCTGGGTGGGGGGCGGCGCGGGGGAGGAAAGGGTGGGGGCTGCCATCGACGCACGGGGGCTCGGTGACGATGACGAGCGTGTGGAGGCGGAGCACGGCGTCGTGGCGGCGGACGACGGGCGGTGCTCGGAGATCGGGGCGGCGGCGCTGAGGGCGGGGGGGCACGCCGTGGACGCGGCGGTGGCGGCGGCGCTGTGCCTCGGCGTGGTCAGCCCGAGGTCCAGCGGGATCGGCGGCGGCGGGTTCATGGTGGTCCGCTCCGCCGCCAGCGGCAAAGCCGAGGCCTTCGACTCCCGGGAGACCGCTCCGCTGGCTTCCTTCCAGGTGCGCCGCCGAGAAACCCATTCGCTCCATCTTTACCCTCGTCATTGCTCCTGATGGTGGCCCCTCCGCCGGCGGAGCCAACTGACAAGACCAGTGCGAAGGTCAACTCCAAGAACCCCATGCTGGGGCCAGAACGGCCTTGATCTCTGTGGAGGAGAGATCAAGTCGCCGCCACATCCCCCCCCCCACCTCATAAAGGTCGAGCCTTTTACGATGCCCAAGGGGAAAAAGAAATCTAGAGTAGAACTGGAACGGTCTGACTCATCCGAGTTTTTCGGAGTCAACCCATCTATCTGACTCTGACAAGCTCGAATGGCACAGAGAGAGAGAGAGACGACTAGATCCTCCTGTCATGTTTTCGGCTGACATTGCCAGCGCCACTTCAGCATCATTGCTCAGCCCGCCGTAATCGCATCCTATTTATTTGCTCTCATTCACGGTCGGAGTTCGTCTCCCTTTCCGGTGGCGCCCGTGCAGACCATGTACGACGGCAACCCCGCGTCCAAGTCCAAGGGAGCGCTTTCCATGGGAGTCCCCGGCGAGCTCGCGGGTCTCCACGCCGCCTGGTCCAGGCACGGCCGCCTCCCCTGGAAGTCCCTCCTGCAACCATCCATCGCCCTCGCCAGGGACGGCTTCCGCATCTCTCCCAACCTCGCCGATAGCATCCAGGAGAAGGAGGCGCTCATCAGGGCTGACCCGGGCCTGCGGAGCGTCTTCGTGCTCGACGGCCAGCTGCTCCGTGCCGGCGATACCGCCCGCAACCCCGCGCTCGCCCGTACGCTAGCTGCCGTGGCCGCCGACGGCCCCCGGGCCCTCTACGGCGGCGCCGTCGGCGAGGCCCTTATCAGGGACGTGCAGGACGCCGGTGGGTTACTCACCATGGACGACCTGAGAAGCTACAATTTCACCGTCACCGACGCCCTCACGGCCGACGCCCTCGGGTACACCATCGTTGGCATGCCGCCCCCCTCCAGCGGCACCGTCGGCCTGTCCATGGTGAGAACGACCACCGATCCCCTCTCCCCCCCCCTCTTTCACTCTGTCTCTGGGATGAGTTGGCTCAGCTGACTCATGGTGACGGGTTTGTGGAGCCGAGCAGATTGCGACGATTTTGGCCGGCTACGGATCGCCGGAGTCGGCGGCGGGCGCGCTGGGGGTCCACCGGCTGGTGGAGTCGTTGAAGCACATGTTCGCCGTGAGGATGAACCTCGGCGATCCGGACTTCGTCAACGTCACCGCCTACGTCTCCGAAATGCTCTCCTCCTCCTTCGCGGAGAAGATCCGGCGGAGGATCCTCGACGACGCCACCTTCGGCCCGGAATATTACCTGCCCAGGTGAGTTACCTCCTCCTCCTCCACGGAAAAGGGTCGCCGGAGTGGTTGGTTGCTCACGGGCGAGGATGGGCGGCGGCGGCGCAGGTGGAGCCAGCTGAGTGACCACGGGACGAGCCACCTCTGCGTAGTAGACTCTGAGAGGAACGCGGTGTCCATGACCAGCACCGTGAACTTTCCCTTCGGGGGCGGCGTGCTCTCGCCGGCCACCGGCATCGTGCTGAACAACGAGATGGACGACTTCTCGACCCCTGGGGACTCAGACCCGGACAAACTTCCTCCTGCACCTTCCAACTTCATCGAGCCCAGGAAGAGGCCCCTCTCCTCCATGACCCCCATCATCGTCCTCAAGGTCCTCAACTCTCTCTCTCTCTCTCTCTCTTCCCAAGTTCAGTCAGATGAGGGTGGGTTTCTTCTGCAGAACGGTCAACTGGCTGGAATTATAGGCGCCAGCGGGGGGTTGAACATTATTTCGGCTGTCACCCAGGTCTTCCTGAACCATTTTGTGCTGGGAATGGAGGCTCTTGATGCCGTCAGACACCCAAGGGTGTACCACAAGGTTGGTACCTGGATTTCTTCAGTGCAGAGAAACCCTCTAACTCAGCAAGTCAGAAGACGACCAGGAAACTAAGCTACCGTTCTCTGTTTCTTGCAGCTGATTCCTAACGTGGTAAAATATGAGAATCTGACGACGACCGGAGGGGAACACATCGGGCTATCGGCGGAGGCGAGAGCTTTCTTGGCAGAGCGGGGGCATGTTCTCAGCCCTGTGGGCGTCGCCACAGTGTGCCAGCTCGTCGTGCAGGACCTTCGGATCCCCGTTGACAGCCGAAAAGAAAAGAACAGGGGGTTGGGAGAAGGAGAGGGCACTCCAGTCTTCCATGGGTTGTTGACCGCAGTGAGCGATCCCAGGAAAGGTGGAAGGCCGGCAGGGCTGTGAAATTATCTGGAATGGAAGGCATGGGCTATTTATAACCACCTATTGAGACGGAAGGGCTCATCTTATTTATAATAAAAAAAAGCTCTACTGCTTTAAAGCTTGCAGTAAGAAAAGAGATAGCTTTCACTCTGTATAAGCTCCCCCTGAATGAATGAACTTGTATGATTCAAAAACCATGGTATCTAATCATATCAAAAAAATATCATGCATAAATATCTCATGCGTGAGAAAATTTCCTGGCGCCTATTGGGGTAGTAGAGAATCTAATGACAGTGACTATCGCCATTAGCAAGAAAACAGCAAGGCTACAAGCTACACCTCACTGAAGACTGAATGGAATCCTCAACCCACATGATGCCCAAATGCCACCATCAGAGGGCTTAAACAAAGTCGATAGGGAGATAGTTCACTCATCCATCAATTATTGGAAATATTTAATGCGGCAAGGAAGTTCAGAACACAGGTTGGAAATCACACATCCATCATTGTTATTGAGCAGAAAGAAAACTGACGCCTTGGCTGTGAGAACAGAAGGCCGTCATGATCTACTTTCCATAAGTTCACCTGCACGAATAGAGTAATGTAATTTAAAAAATAATAATAAACGAACACAAGAAAGTTGCAGTCTCTTGACTCAAATCGTCAAGATAAAAACCACTGGCAAAGGGCAGTTTATCACATTCGCCAGAAGAAAAATTGATTGAAAGGGCATTGCACTCAATGCATACTTTGGGGACAACTTATCAATCAAGGCCCTCAAATCGGTTCAAAGCACCTCAGTGATCATGAAGGCATCAGTTGACACTAACCACTAGCACAGTTGAAGGTACAGTAAAACTGTCCATATAAGTGGTAAAGGCCCAAAATCTGGGTCCAGTTTTACCCCAGGGAGAACAATGATTTACTGAGATTCATTTGTGAGAAACGAAAAACACTTCCTTGCTGAGAAGAAAAACGCTAACAAGTGCACCATCTCCAACGAAATGCAGCACGTGGAACTTCCTCTCTTACAATAACGCAAATAAGGAAACATTTAAATACTAGTTGGGTGATTTCTACTCAAGGAACATCAAGCATCGAAGTTGAAATAAGGTATCCTGAAGCCAACGGAGTTCGATGAAAAAGACAATAGCACAAGCCTCTATAGGTGCTTTTCTGAAGTGCTGAACTTTCTTAATATCTTTCGAAGATGATTTTTATGAATTATAGGTCATGATCGCACTAAAAAGAGTAAGAACATGAAAATAAACCTAAGCCACCCACAGTGGTTATACGGATGGCGCAGTTGTGTGATTCATTTATCTTCCCATTCTGACATCCATCCGCTTGTGAAAGATTTCAGGCATTGCATACGATGCCATATATACAGAACTTCCACCCAGAGTAGAGAACCGTTCAACCTCTCGTTCAAAGGATCCCCCAGCTCTTTCGTGTGAATGGATCACTGCAGTTGTGTATACAAATACATGGTCACAAGAGCGATAGCATACGATTGTTTTCTTGTTTCTCGTAAAAATCCCAAATCCACGCCCGTCATTAGAGATATCCTGAGTCTCCGAACTCTACAACACCACGGCCGCAACTCTAATTTCCTAGTAAGTAAATCCTACTTGTCGCGCCCTACTCCTCCCCATCCCCAAATTCCAAGTCCATCCTGTGGGACTTCCACCACTCCCACCCACAGATAATGTCATTAAAACTAGTTTAAGGCATCCTCTTGTGTAACGCTTGCCCCATGTCAACACAGTCACAGTTCCGTGCCCCGCATTTTTACAGTTCTTGATAGTGAGATATCAAGCGACCACTTACAGATGCACTAGTCCAAAAAAAGAGATGGAATGGTATATAACAAGAGCACAATGTACTCGATCCAACAAGGAATCCAGAAATAGAAAGGGTAAAAAACTTGGAAATGCGTATAGCATGATTAGAAAGAAAATTAGATGTCCAAGTATAACCACGGTATGAGAGATGGGGACACTATGATGCCGAAGTCAACAAACCATACCTGTTGTGCTTCTGCACGAAGGGTGAATTCTTGGCGTCCTCCTCTGATATGTGCCGAAGAGGAGGGATCAAAGGGAAAAAAAAAGAGAAAAGCAGCCGCTTAGTGAAATTTCGCAGAAGAGGATTGAGATTCGGCAGCGACGAAAGAGGGACGGAAAGAGGGATTCGACATACCAGTTAGGCTGAGGGACACCTTGGTGACGATGTAGCCGGTGACGGCGAACCCGACCAGGAACGGCCAGTTTCTGCCCCACTCCCGCTTGAAGAACACGGGCCACGGATCGAACTGTCTCATCTCTCTTCGCCGACGATCCGACCTCCCCCGACCTTCTTCCCTCCCCGGAAGCCGCCCTCGTACAACCGACAGAGGAGACTCCGCTTCGTCTTCCTCTTCTTCTAGGGCTGGGAGTTCCTATCGGGCCAGAGGGGAACATTTGGGCCTAAAGTTGGGCCAAAAATGGGTCAAGTGTCAACGCAGTAGCCCAAATTGAGTTCTCGTTATTTTTCTCGGAGCTCATGGAAAGAACACGAGAGTTTTTCATCGTTCGAGGCTCCTTTTTACATGGCTAATATTTTTAGGGTCTAAACCCAAAAACTCCAGAATACGCACGAATACGGTGGGTACTCGCCCCGCCGCCGCCGGTCGCCATGGCCCGCACGTGCCGCGGCACTCTTTCGGTGTCCAGGCTGGCCATCATCCATGGTGAGTTTGGCGGGAAAAGGACGAGCTGGGGCCCACACGTTGCGCTGGAATCAGCTGCGGGCCCCGCACTCCCAAAGACATCTATTTGGGAATTTAAAAATAAGCAAATGGCCTGGACGCCGCGCCCTCTCAACTGTCGTCACCTTAACGACATCCGGCAGGAGCTCCCTGTCTCGACCGTCTGATGTTACATCAACGGCCCCGTAGATCCCTGATTCCTCATTAAATTAGTCACGGCTCCCCCAGGCCGGCGTCCATTTCAGGGGCGAGTTGGTCGGACCAGACGAACCGGGGTGGGACGGGGAAACAGCGGTGGACCCTCATCAGAGCCGTCAATTGGGGAAATATTTCACCGCCGTTGCTTCGGAGTCGGCAACGTGGAGGGTGACGAGTCAGCAAAACCAGCGACTTCACGTCCACCACGTCGCGGTTTATCCACGTGTTGTATTCAACCTGTATCATCTCGGGCCGGCAGCCTCTGTCTGGTATTTTATGGGGAGGAATGGGCGGAGGAAGAGGCGGATGGAGGGGGAGAAGGATAGGAGCTGCAGTACGAGGAGAGGTTCACCCTCGACGGCGGAGCGCGAGCGGAATCTCCGGCATCGGGGAGACTTCCAGTTCGGTGGAGCGGTGGACGACGGCGACGGCCACTGGAGCTCCGTCGAGATCTGAAAAAGGCGGTGGCGGGGAAGGGAATGGGGAGCGACGACGCCGTAGTTATACAGGTGGGGAAGAGGGCCGGCGAAGCGAGCGTGATCACCGTCAATTGCCCCGACAAGACTGGCCTCGGTTGTGATCTCTGCAGGACGATTCTCGAGTTCGGGCTTCGCATTAGCAGAGCAGGTGAGTCTGGTCCCGTTCTACTTCCCTCTTTTTCTGTTGTCGAAGATGCCGCGGATTACGTGCTCATCTGTGAGGGAATTCAGCATCGCTAATGGTTACATTCTTCGCCGATCTTTACGGCGGGAGTAGGCATTTCGGTGTACGAACTCTACAGTATTTCTGTTCGTCGTTTCTCTGGATCTCTCATAGACTCCCACAATCCCAGGCTACATATGTAGCTCTCTTTTGAAACCCTACCTTATACCCGTTGACTATGCTTTGCTCGGCGTTCGCCGTCGGGATTCTGACTCCTCTGTCTCTTCTCCGCCCGTGATCTCGGAAGATGTATCGACCGATGGAAAGTGGTGCTACGTAGTATACTGGGTCATCCCCTGCCCGGAGCTAGGATCTGTCAATTGGGCCCATCTCAAGGACCGTCTCCTGTCGGCATGCCCCTCATCGTCGATTTCCTTCTACTTTGATTCCGGCGCGCGGACGGCTGCTTCTCAGGTATACCTCTTGAAGGTTCTCTGTATCGACCGGAAGGGACTGCTGAACGGTAAGCATCATCTTGCTTGGTCATCATCGAGTGAGGTCGCTATTGGAGGAGATAATCAATGTGCTGATTGGTTTTCTGGTTTCGTTCCAGATGTTACCCGGATTCTCGGTGAGCTCGAGCTCATCATTCAGAGGGTGAAGGTTTCTACGACCCCAGATGGCCGAGTTGTAGACTTCTTCTTCATCACCGACGGCATGTGAGAATCAGCTTTTGGATTTTAACATTTGCCCGAGTGAAAACGAAATGCGGAAGACTTTTTGGAGGAAAATTTATCTTCTCTCCGTTGACTGTTTTCGGTGCCTGATCCAGGGAGCTGCTGCACACCAAGCAGAGGCAGGAGGAAACCTGTGCGAGACTCAGCGCTGTGCTGGGGGAGTCGTGTGAGACCTGTGAAATTCAATCGGCAGGGCCAGAGTACGAAATCTTCCAGCAGGGCTTCTCCTCTCTCCCCAACGCCGTCGCGGAAGAATTGTTCAGGCCCGATCTGCCGGATAATGAAATCCGCTCGCAGGTCGCCGTTTCGGATCTGACGAAGCTGAAGAAATGCACCGTCTCCATGGACAACTCCCTGAGCCCCGCCCACACGCTGCTGCAGATACACTGCGTCGACCAGAAGGGTCTCCTCTACGACATCTTGAGGACCCTAAAGGACTGCAACATTCAGGTCCTTTCTCCAAATTTTTCTCGCCGGGTCTGTCTGAATTCAAATTCTTTGTGTCGCTCTGATATCTTTATATTTCGCCTGTTCCATTCAGGTAGCCTACGGGAGGTTCCTGTCGGACACGAAGGGGTGCCGAGAGGTGGACCTCTTCGTCCAGCAGAACGACGGGAAGAAGATGGTGGACCCCGAGAAACAGGGCACCCTCTGTTCCCGCTTGAGGATGGAGATGCTTCACCCATTGAGAGTGATCGTCGTCAGCCGCGGCCCGGACACCGAACTCCTCGTGGCGAATCCCGTCGAGCTCTCCGGCACGGGCAGGCCGCGGGTCTTCTACGACGTCACCCTCGCCCTCATGAGCCTCGGCATCTGCATATTCTCGGTGAGAGCCCGTCGATCCCACAGAAAGCGGCTCCCTTTCTTCGTTTTCCTGGACGTCTTTCCTCTTAACAACGGGTTGCCTTGCGGCTTGCGCAGGCGGAGATCGGCAGGCACTCTACGGCGGAGCGGCAGTGGGAGGTCTACCGGTTCCTGCTGGACGAGACGCCCGAGTTTTCTCTCTCGAGCGGCCGGGCGCAGGCCCGCGTGGTGGACAGGGTCAGGAGGAGCTTGATGGGCTGGAACTAGCGCCGCCACCGCCGCCGCCGTTACCCGTCAACAGTGCGATTGTACAGTTCTCTTCCCGCAGTCAATAGCTGTTAGTATTCCTTTCCGGAGCTCGCTGTTAATATCTGCCTCACGCCCTCGAAAGTTCTTCATCGACACGACAGCTCAGGCCTCGGCGATCCGTATCTTCTCTAGATTCGGACACCCGTCGAACCAATCGCCAGCGGGCCCCCTCCTCCCGGCGGGCCGATGTGCACGCCCACCCGCTGCCCCATCTCGTCCCCCGGAACAAGACGAGATAAACGTAACCCTAGAAAACGCCACTGCTTCTGGTACGTACCCACCCACGTCCCCCTCTCTCTATCTCCCCCTCTCTACGGTACTTCCCGTCTTCGAGAATCTACGTGAAAGGGAGACGAATCGCTGGATTCCTCGCGATCTGTTCCCCTTCCTCGGGACCTTTGCTGACGAGGACTAGCGCGGGGAGGTAAATCGGCCGAGAGAAGTTGGCGGGATACTCCGCTGGCACACGTTTGCAACGGGATACAGTCAGCGTCGCCGTCGAGGGGGGCAGCTCCGACCGAGGAGTGGCGGCGGAAGATGGGGCCGGCGTGACAACGAGAGTCGGGGTCCGTGATGTGTGTGTACCTTGGTCTTATCCGATATTCGATTTTTGGCGTCCGACGAGATCCCCCGCCCCCCGAATTCGGTGGCATTCGTTGCGCATGGGGCCCATTTGGTTCCATTTGACCAGCCATTTACTGTTTTGCCTTTGGCTTTATACCCGTCAGCCGCCAACCTCTCTCTCTCTCTCCATCTCTATCTCATCAGGGGGGGGTCTTCGTCATCCTCCGTTTCTCTGAGAGCGGCCTCTCCCTGGATATTTGTGGAGGTGACGAAGGGGCGACCCAGTGAAAGTTCATCTACGAGGGTGCTAATTACCTGATTTCACCCGGTGCGGAGATCAGCATGCATCAAAGTAGGCATCTTTGCATCCCGTGTGAAGAACATGTTTGAATTGGTTGGAAGCATCGCAAGCATGGGCTAACCGCGACCGGTGGTCTGTTCATGTGCAGAGTCTGGATCATGGAGAGCTTAGAAACCACTTGTCAGTATCTTATGGGGCCAAAAATTTCGTGTAGGCCCTGTGCGTTGGGTCGTCTTCCATAATTGGGTTTGTTTCATATGCCACAAATATCCCATTTGTTTGACCAAGTATGATTCAGACGCGGTGGATGATTTATGGTTTGACCAGACTGATGGGTTCGAACTATGGGCTCGTTATAAGACTCGGTTCTTTCTGCCAATTATGGAAAAAAATCCACAACTTCCTCTTTTTCAGAAGTTCAGAAAGCTTTGAATGTTTGTATACGTTGTCGAGAAGTTCAGAAAACTATTTTTCAAAGGTCGCTCCTTTTTCAAAATTGACCTTTTCCTTTCTTTTTAAACCTTTTTATTCTTTATTTTTGCTAATGTTAAATTTTTTAACTCACATCATCAATAACTAGGCATAGTTCTTGTATAAGTTCATATGAATGGTGCAACTGCATCACTGCAAATCTTTGACGATGTTGTTTGTTACCTTGGCACAATATGGAAGACATTCTGTTCATCCATAATATAATGGAAGCCATGGTTATTGGGGCTTGTCCATCTAACCGGCAGATAATAGAGCATAAAATGTTGTCATTTTTCCTTGATTCCTACTTGATTTCATTTACATTATTCTGGAAGTGCTTCTTGCTTCCAACCATCTCAACATCTCATGTTCCACAACGAGTTAATTATTTGGGTTATCCTATGCACCATTAGATGAACATGTAAGTCATCAATCTGGTCTTTTGAAGTCCTCCCCCTACATGGAGACGAGATTTGGGGTAAATAAACAGCCAGTGTTTCAGCTTTCTCGTGATATTTCATCATTAATCCCACAATAAATACAAATTTGACAAATAACCCACACCCTAAATCAATAGGTCTAGAGTCTTCAACCCTCTAATCTACATAGGTTTGTTGAGTTTGACCTTGAATCCACAAGATCGAAAAGAACCTTTAAATCTACAAGAGATTCGTTATCATCCACAAACAAATAGATACAATATTAAAAGATAAGAAATTTAACAATAATTGAATAATACCCATAAGCTTATAACGTGGGGCCTTTAAATAGGCTAAGTTACTACTATTATAACAACCCTAAAAAGATAATTCAATTTAATAGTATTTTAAAACACATTTAATTTAGTTTAAAAAATGAACTAAATGTGTGAAAATAAATTTAAATCGAGAAAATTAGTATCTGACGTGATTATGATGTGTTTTATTCTGGGCCATATCAAATACTGGGGGATCTTGTGCTTGTAGAACTCTACTCCACGATAATAGGACCATGGATGCCTTCTAGTTCATCATCTAGATCATATGTCCTTGCAAGGGTTTGTGCTGATGAAATGAATGGGTGATAGGGCACGTGGAATGCTAACGATACTTGCACTCCTATCCATAAAGCAGTAGAGGGATACTGTAGTTCATCTGTCTTCACTCATCTGATGAACATCATGGAATTTGGTCCCTGTACCGTTGTTTCTATGAGTACGCAAAATTTGAATAGTTTTCTAGAACTGATCAATTTTGTCGTAAATATTTCAGCGTGTTTCAGTTTATACGAAATGGGATTAGATACTCAAGATGTTCATCCGTTCCGTCGAGATGAATCCATTGGGATCGCCTGGTTACCCATCCACCGCCCTTCGAGAAGTCTGTTTCTCACTCTCGTGCTTTATTTTTCTCGTAATTCTCTCTAAAAACCTCGTCATTCCTCCCAATTGCTTGCATTTAGTAGTCACATCGCTTTGATCCCCACTGCGGCCGGATCCAGTCTCACACGGTAATCTCTTCTTTATTATCACACTGCATTTATTAGCAACCACGCCGCGGCGCAGTCCGCCGCCGAGTCGCGCCCGGAGCCTGGCGGGGCACCGCAGCGCCGGCCGCAAGCCTGGGCACATTGCCGCGGGCCCTGCGGACCACGAGGCCTGGAACAGCCGCCCGCGAGCTACAGCGCTGTGCATCCTGAGCATGCCGGAGAGCGGCGACCGCAGTCGTCTGCCTCGAGAGCGCCTGCCCTCGGGCCTTCGAAGCTGAGGCTGGGTCCTGAGCTGGATTATCGTTTTATCTGAATCTTAGGACGACTGGAGTAGCCCAAGAGGCGATTCCAAGCCTTTATAGTCTGGGTATATCTTCCAAGGCGGTCTTTTTGGGGGGGAGCCTTTCCAACAGGAACGGACCCACTTTGAGGACTGCCTGTAATGCCCCCCGCGTTGGGTCAGAGGGAATGGCGGCGCATCCGGAGAGTGGGGCCCGAGGGAGCATGCCAGCTGTCAGTGCGCATCTCTAGACAAAACACTGAATACGAGAAATGGGGGAAAGGCTGGAGCTCCCCCCGGCCCCCCCCCCGCGGCGCTCCTCCTTCTACGTCCGATCCCCAACTCCACGGCTCCTGCATCTTCAGCCTCTGTATCCCTCCTCCTCCTCCAGCCGCTCGCGGGCCGTGATGGGTTTTCCTTGTCTTTCCTCGCGCGGCGGAGCGTGGGGCGGAGAGGGGATTGGGGCAATTGAAATGTAGGGCGCGTTCTGAGTCTGAGAGAGGAGAAAGAGGGGGGGAAGGTGGTGGGAGGGTGAGAGTGAGAGAGAGGAAGAAGGGGGAAGGGGGTTATGTCGAGGGAGGAGCAGTTGCAGGGGTCGAAGAGGGTTTTGGGTGGCAGTCCCTCGCTGGGCAGCCCCGTGAGGTCGAGGCTTTACGGCGCCGTGGGTCCTTCTCCAAGGAAGCAGCTTCAGAGATCTGGGCAATTGGGCAAGAAGCCTCCGGAGCCGTTGCGGCGGGCCGTAGCCGAGTGCCTATCATCTTCGGTTCTGAACGTCCATGGGAGCGCCTCCGCCGTCACCTCAGAGGCCACCAGAACTCTCCGGGTTCGTACTCTTCTTTTCTTTCCTCCTCACTTCCCCGCCCCATAAACCATCTTTCAAGGGATGGAGCTGGTCGTCCAATCGCGCCTCAGGATGACTTCCTGGGCCACTCCTTTGCAAGAGGTCCTTGCCAAGCAGGGGAGCCGCACTTGTCAGCGTTCGCTAGAATGGAAAAGGGCATTTTCTCGCTTTTTCCATCGCTCACCCGGTGAACCTGACATCCCTGGACTTGGTACGCTGCTGCTCGTCATATCGAGGGGATGACGAGCTTCTAAGCGAGTCTCATTGTGAATGGCTAAAATCTTGGATCCTTCGACTGAAAGAGAGCCAATGGGTTCAAGCATCTTCTTTTGCTTTCATCGCCATCTCTGCATAATGGGCTTAGTTGATTCAAAACACGGAGTAAGGAACAAATGCTTCCTGATTTCTGTCAGTCTTATCATATAATTTTCAGCAACAATGCATCTCATCTATGATAGTCATTAGTAATGATCTATGAATCTAGCCTCACTTGCACAATTTATGCACCGTCTCAGTGACCAATATGTGCTGCACTCGAGATTAGATACTGTTATTCCTCACCTAAAAAGGTTCATTCATCAAAGGGCTTGGCTTACAGAAAGTCCATGTGCACTCGAGTCTGCAACCTGACAAAGTCGACTTTGGCCACCGTATTAATTTCATCTGTTTTAAAAGGGACTTAGCCTGGTGGCGGGATTCAAGGAGTACCAGAACGTGTGCTTTGTGTACTCTGCTGTTCCAACTCTTACATTGGTATTGAATTCTGGAGTTTAATCTCCTCCCAGGCTAATATAGACTCATCATTCTGAATATATCGGAATTCCATGTAGATTCCAAATCACTAAGAAAGGCCTGTCATTGTGCGCATTGGATGCTAGTACCGGATTCTGGCCTCCGGATTCTGGGGTGTATGAGGGTCACTTCAGCTGCCTATTCCGTGGATTGGCTGCCTTTTTACTGCCTCATCTTACATAAATATCCTGTTGTTTGTCAGATTCAACGTTATTGTTGACATCCATCACCATATGAGGGTTTATACACGTGCCGGAATTATTTCTGGATTATTTTACTTTTTCACAATTTAGTAGGCTTTATATGTGCATCATACAAGTCAACATGTTTGTTGGGATGCGACTGTCATACACTTTTTCTTCCAGTTATCTCATTAGTGCTGAAGTTGGTTCATCAATGAGTCTGTTGTGAGGATAAATCATTGTTACTCGTATGAAGCGTTGATTTCTGATAAAATTAAGTTGTAGGAAAGAGAATTCCTGAAGGTTCACTTTTTTTATTTTTTACTTTTATCGTTTGGCATTGCACGGGACACATTCTGAACTGCATTCAGCAAGCTTGCATCAATATCTGCATAAAAAATGTGTGAACAACGAAATTATGAACTTCATCATGTTTGTGAAGCCTGGAAAATAACTAAGAATTAGCTCTTTCCGTATTTGCACTGTTCACTTCATCTTTTAGAGGCAGATTTGGAAGTGGTTGTCACAGCAACTGGGTCAAGTTCCTTTAGCAAGGAAATGACCTAAAGTAATATACGTACAATGATTAAGGAGAACAAGAAAATGTTAAACGAGAAATTTGTAGCGGACAATTTCTGACGAAATAGTAGAAACAGATAAATTGTGCTAAGCTTCAATTAAAATATATCACTGCCAACTCTTTTGTTTGATATTTGCTATTTTTAAGGATACTATGTGCTTGTTATTCAAATATGCCGGATTGGCTATTGTTCTGGTGTTCCATCTAGTTCAGGCTATTGTTATTTATTTTGATATGCTCTCTGTTGGAGATTTGCAGTGAACATTACTTAGGTCTTACAAAATTTGTATGTCCTTCTTCATCTTGTGGTTCAGTCTGAGGAAATTTAGTTGGATTCGTGAAAGATCATATGCTGTTCATATTATGTGTTCTGTTTTGAGGTGCTATTGCTTATGCCATGCTTTTCTTTTGGTTTGATATCTGAGGAATGTAATGCACGCACTGTATGCGATTGTCTCATCAAATTATGAGCAAATTATAAGCTTCTCAAAGCAAACATTTGATGTGATGAACTTCTTTTGGCTATAAGCCAATAGTTAAATGTAGAAACAGGGTCCATTACATTTTGCAGCCTCATATCAATGTTTTTGCACTAGTCTATGTCCATCATGCATGACACTTACCTCAATGTTTTTGCAGGACTACATTGCATCCCCATCCACCACTGACCTAGCATACTATGTGCTTTTAGAACATGCAATTGCTGAGAGAGAACGCAGGTAAAGTTAACCAATAACTCTGTTACTTTTCTCAAATGTGCATTATTTTATCATGTCTGAATTGCTTACCTCTATTATTGTCGTTTGAGCGATAGTCTATCCTATATTTAGGGATTATAAATTTTTTTGGTCCAAGGTAGCTAGCTAGGCAATTGTGTTCGTAGATTATTGAAGAAATTCACTTGGAAGACCTGAACCGGTCAAGCTTAAGAAAAATTCTCTCTTTTTTCCATTGGGTCCAGTATTAACGTCTTTTCATGTTACTTTTCTCTACTAGGCATCAAAAACTTTCTTATTTCTGATTCTGAGTGAGATCTCTGCTACCAGTCTTGACCTGCGTGTTGTACCTCATTTTGCTTATCCTCTGCCGTAGAATAATTTTCTTTTTATTAATGATTCCAGAATACATATTTCTGTGAGAGTTTTAACATTACAGACCATGTATTCAGATTCGTATCTAAAAGAGAAGTGACCTATATAGATAAAAGCCAATGCTCATGACGATTGAAATTATTTACAGACTAAGCTGATGTTGTCTCTGGTGTATTAAAATTTGATATGAGCGGATTATTTGCTTTTATTTATGTTGGCCATATCTGTAAATAAAGTCGTTGGAGTGTAAGTAGCTGACATTCTTTCTTGTTGGTGCCAGCCCGACTGTAATATCACGGTGTGTTGGCCTATTAAAACGGTACCTCCTTCGGTACGTTCTAAATTTTGGACCATGCTTACTCAATGCTATAATTGGTATTTTTTCCTGTTTAGTTGCATATCTACCTTCAGTTCTTTGTTTCATTTGTGACAGGTATGTGCCTAAGATAGAAACATTACGACAAATTGATAACTTTTGTTCAAATTCAATTGCGGAGTGTGATTCTTTGTCAAATAGAGGAATGGCATTGGCTAGTTCGTCGACATCTGGAAGTGTATATTCATTGCCAGCAAATAACTTTGTATCTCCTTCTCTTGTGAAATCCTTAAACTATGTCCGTTCCCTGGTGGCTCGACACATTCCCAGATTATCATTCCCACAAGTAACACCCTCTCAGTCCTCAAATGCTGGGAATCAATCGTTGCAGACACTATCTACTCTATTATCTAGGTCGTTTAATTCCAATCTAAGCCCAGAGTCTGTGCATAGTCATGAAATTCCTGAGAGGAAAGAAGTTCTCCGACCATCCACATTGGATCTCTCCAGTCGGGAAAGGATGAAAGCTGGAGGTAATGACCATTATATTTACAGTGATCTTCTCAAATGGCGATGGGCTGGAGCAAGAGAACAGTCATCGTCTATCATGGTGTCAGGGTACCTCAAACGTTTTCTCTTCAATGAATCTCAAGTATCAATGCCTTTTTTTTACCTGCAATGGCGCTTAAGCCTGTTGCTTTTGCTAAAATTCAATAGACTGTGATTGTAATTTGGAATTCGTTTCTCTGTCAGTGAAAGTAATCTGAGACCTCGGGATTCTCAAATTCATGGTTTCCTGGAAGTTGGTGCAGCCGCTCTTCTTGTTGGGGAGTCGGAGACAAAGGCAGAGCCATGGAAATATTCCGATAGAAGAAGCATACCAGATATGGATCAATTGTTTCAGCCATCAAGCGTCATAATGGCTAATGATTTAGCATCATCTCATCACCATTTAAGAGCAATAACTGCCTCTAAACGCATGAGACCAAGCCCCCAACAATTTTGGCATGTTTTCTATTCACCTTCTTTCTATTATTTACTGAATTCCATGTACAGATGTAGGATATGATATTAGTGCTGTAAGTTAGTTATAAAATATTTAATCCATTGGTAACTATTATATGTCTTCTGCCATCATCTTTTTGATGTAGAATTCTTGGTGACACTAACATATTGTTATACTAGGGTAGTGCTGAATCTAGATCATCAAGATCAATGCACAGTTACCAATAGCTTGGTTATTGTTGTGACAAGTTGTAGCTAACTTGCATCATACTGCATTGTTATTTTTACAGGGTAAATGTTCCAGTTAGCACTTTCAGTCCCAGAGCTCGTGCGCTTTTTCAGTACCGATACTACAGGTATAAAAGCAGGAAATTGCGGCATATGTTATGTGGTTTTGGTCTCATGTATCGTTCGATTTTCGGGTATCCTGATTAGGACCTAAACAATAGTCTACACTAAAAATTTCTCAAAAATGCTGCTGTCCTCTGCTACTTGTGTCAGCACGTGTGCAGACAAAACAGAAAAATTCGTTACTCTTTGTAATTGTTGTATTGTTTCCTTCCCTAATAAAGCCTGGAAGGTTACTAGTCAGGAACTGACGCGTGTGCATTCAAAGGTTCTACTTAGTTACTATGTCTCTGAATGGAATGCTGCCGATGACCTTTATTGATTGTGTTAATATAGCTCTAGGTCTGAGACATGGTCTACAGAGCCCCCATGACTATGTTTTTTTGTTGTGTAAGATTTTATTTTATTTTCTGTGGAGAGTTTTGAATCATGAAAACAATTCTAAAAAGACGAAATATGACGGAATCCTATAGAAAGATGTAATACTTCAATAAACCGTAATAATTGAAATGTTGATATTAAGTCCTCAGTATCCCTGACGTTGGACCTGTCATTGCCCTCGTTTCTTATTGGTGGATGGATTTGTAATTTTTTTGTTTATTTGGCCATTCGCTCTTATCCCGGATGTTTTCTCATGTTTCTAATATTAAGGTGCTCTGAACTGACAATAGAAATAAGTTTCTTCGTCCTATTGAAATCAGTTTCGTCATGTTTCTAATATTACTTTTTCTTATATGTTAGCTTCATGAAATATGTTTTGGTAAATTTTGACAGTTGAATTGTAACTTGTGTTATTACTAATAATTTCTTTTTGTGAAATTGTGAATCAGCGAACAGCAACCTTTGCGACTGAATCCAGCTGAAATTTCTGATGTTATAGCTGCCGTTTGCTCGGAGTCCTCATCACCTACTGCCAATCTTATGACACCCACACCCTCATCAAGATTAAATAACCACAGTGGAAGGCCATATACTGATGTTGCTGTCAATGTCCTTATCAAGCTTGTTATGGATATGTATGTATATTTAGGATTTCAATACTTTTTGCCTACAAGAAGTGCACATTTTTTTGCTTTGCTAAGTCATTTGTTATCTTCGTCCTTTTATGCCCTAGCTGTTGGACATTTCTATTTATTTTTCCCCAGAATAACGTGTCATGGTAAATGCATGGCCAGATGCATGCTTTCAGACTGGTAGTATCTGTTCTTGCTTTTTACGGTTGGTGTTTATATCCACGGGCCTTCATAGAAAAACTCTCATGTCCAAATATCCATGTGAAATTATGCCGACAATCCTTGGCATATTAAATGAAGTAAAGGATGGAAGTTCTTAGTTTGGGATTCTATATATGATTGTGTATGGAATGATGCTAATGTATGTGAGAAGTGAGCTGAGTATTGCTTTTATGAGAAATTGAGGTAAAATACACTTTGCATGGATCGCATTAACTTTTTGAAAATAAATTCATAATTCATAATGCTGTGTGGATCTGGTATGCTCGTTAGATGCTTGAGTTCGTATTCAGTTTTTGTCCTTTGGTTGTTTATCTCTTGAGTTAAGTTAATGTTCAAGGAGGATTGCATTGGAACTATGTCGTTTTTAATTTAGGTTTATCTTTTTAGATACATTATACTGGGGTTTGTGTAAATCCACGGTGTGGTTTTCTGTTCTATGTGCAAGCTTGTGTTTAAGCGGCTGAACTATGCCAAGGCTTCTATATCATCCTTCATCTATCTCTGACAATTATCATGGTAATAACATTCTAGGTTCAATTTCTGGGGTTGGAAACTCCTGCATGGTCCGCACATTGGAATAGCACAAAAGTTGGCTTGTACAGAAAGGATCACGTTAAACAGTCACATTTTAGTGGAAAAATTAAATCCTTTGGTTAGATATATTAGCCAAGCTTGCATGGATTCAATTGTTTTGAGTATGTTCTGATAGTCTAACAAGTTAAAAATATTTTCATTTCTCCTATAATTTAAGTCCTTTTTTTTTTTATTGGGTTCCTCCACATTCTTAGTTAGATTTCATTTGCTTTCTTCTTTTCCTTTTCTTCATTCCTCTTCTATCTTTGCAATTTTCTCTTTCAAATATTTATATTGCTTCTTCCAAAATCAGTTCGTCGTTGAAGAATATTTTGAAATAACTAGAATGAGATCCATGATTTGCCAGGGTGTTTTGTAATGAGAAAGTGTGGTGAAAATAGTGTCATTTTTTAACCTTCTTGACAGAGAGCTTCTGTCTCTTAGGCATCACTAGTTACTTCTGTATTAGCAGCTTCACCAAAGCAGTATCTGAGATTATGTTTTTGAGGTGATTAAGGAGATCAAGGCAGTGCCTTCCTGATTTATGCCCTCTTGACAAGGTTGGGCTACAGCTTTTATTAATACATTAAAATAATCTAAAACACGCAATTAATAAACAGCTAATGAGTGACTAAAAAAATTGTGTATACGACATATTGAGGCTGTAAAATAACTAAACATTTAATATGAATAAATACATTATAATTTATTTATTGGCGAAATGACGTTATAAAATATGAATATAGATGAGTTTAGAGTCTCTCATCTAAAGAGATATTGAACGTGCCTCGGGATCTCCCACTATATGACTCTTCTTTTATATTTGTAATTTATGTTTTGTTGGTTTAGATTGGAGACAGTAAAAGAATAAACTTATGTATATCCCTTTTTTCAGGTATGTGATGGATTCTGGGAGTGCTGCTCCTCTAACTCTCACCATGCTAGAGGTTTTTTATCAATTTAATGCTCAGATTTTCTGAAGAAAGCCATTAGTGACTTCGTTCTCATTCTATTGGTCGTTTTCCAGGATATGCTTCTCTCTCGAAGAGTGGTGTCTAGAGTTCGGGCCTTCGATATCATTTTGAACCTTGGCATTCATGCTCATTTGCTGGAACCAGTATTTCCTGAAAATCCTCCCTATCTTGGAGAGAATGAACCTTTAGGATTTCAGTTTGACAAGGAAAAACAATTAACGTTCAGAAAGAGAGATTCAGAATCTGACATGGAGCAATATTCATCAGCAATTAATAACTTTGAATCTTGGCTTTTGGTTATCTTATTCGAGAATCTCTTTCTTCTTGTCCAGGTACTTAAATTTCGTGTTCAACCACCTTGTGAGAATTGGGCCTGTTTGGCCACTAACATCTTTCATGTTCTCCCCTCAACATACTGCATGGAATTATTGGATATCAAAACACTCATGCTGTTGCTGTAGCCATTTTTTGTCCCAAATATTTCTTGTTCAGTTAATGATAATTGTGTAGTGAGAGAGGGGTTTTGAAATATCGAGTTATTGATTAAATTATTTTTTCAGAAGCCTCACATTAGCCAATTATCAGTGAGTTTATTTTTTTATGTCTTTAGCCTGGGGTTAGTTTACGTCACTTGAGAACCTTCTCATTTAGAGAGCTGTTGACATATAGTTTATTTCTTGATGAGACTATGACCCTAAATCTTTCTTGTTCCCGTTCTTCAAATGCGCATGAATCTTTACAACTCTGTTGTGTAACCCATAACCACATGGAATATATCTGGCGAGAAGAATGGGTCAGGTGTTCCTATGCATAAGATTTCGATTGATTTGAGCTGCTGCTACAAAAAATAAGGATCCGAAGTCTAAGATCCCGCAAGGGCTGAGATTTATAGCTTCTGGCGAGATTGAATGGTTTCATGTTGATGGGGTTTTGTCTATTGCGATGTCTCTCAATTTGTAATATCTTCTTTCAAAAGTGTCACGTCTCTTAAGTTATTTGATGAGTTCAAGATAATGGTTGTCAGAGATGCATTATCTTTTTGTTCCTCTGTTCGTATGACAGACTAACTATAGCACAAACTTCGCAGATGGAAGAGAAGGAAGAAATCGTTTGGGCTTCTGCTCTAAGTTGTCTATTTTATTTCGTTTGTGATAGAGGCAAGATACAAAGGAACAGATTAGAAGGTCTTGACATAAGGGTGAGCGAAATCTCTCTTGTGTCACCTCACTCCATATTCCATGTGATGTACATGTTTTCCGTATGCTTGATATTTGAAGTATCCTGCCTGAACTTTTGTACCTGCATGTCAATTTATTAACTTTGTCCATGATTATGCACACAATCATATGTATGGACGCTCTTCAGAAGGAACGGACTAAAATTTAGAAAGTTGATTGCGAAAATGGCCCCAATTATATTGGACTTAAATGCAACCTTTTCCTCCATTTTCGTACTAGTGCATAAGCACATCTCAGTGTTTTTACGTGATTACGTAGAGGACATGCAGAAGGGTTAACTCTTTGGATTAACATATCGGTGACTTGGTTGGGTATCTGCACTCGGGTATCTCAGTGGGTACTGATTATTTCCTAAATCGTGCCATTGCCAAATGAAATAATTTATTTAGATCACAGGCCTTCACATTATTCGAAAATATGTTAGTATGGACATGTATACGTCATGTTGGGGTGTTTCATCTTGTTGCCATCTTTCCAAATACTATTAGTATCTAGAAGACGCCAATCCAATCCTCGACGAAGCAGTTCGTGCAACAATAACCCATAGTGCAGGACGTGGTGCCAATGGTGCATAAATCAGAGTGGCATTTTAACGGCTTAAGTGGTGAGAGGGGCCTCAGTGACTTCGGATCCCTTATTTCAGAATTGATTGCTCAGCCTCTCATGAAGGTGGTAGGCTTTTGCGGGAATGCCATACATACATACGCACGAAAATCACTCACAAAAGCTTCATTTACTGACATGCATTTTAGTGGAGTAGTTGGTCAAGTTTGTCTAAAATATTGCATTTTGAGAGCTACTATTCTTCTCTCTCTTCCTTCTTCTTGAGTATGGCTTAAGTGAGGGAAACTATTTTATGAAAGCTGTAGTTGAAAGGTCTTAGTTTTGTTAAAACCTTGGTAAAGTTTCGCCAGAGAAGGGAGTATCTCGGACTTGCCATCTCTTACTTAAAGCCAGAGAAAGATGAACAAGACGATGAGGGTATACTTTTATGCAATGTGGGCATCTTTTGGTTTGCCTGTATCCACACATATAGGTGGTCTTCAGTGGTGGAAAATTAGGATGTACGTATATCCGCCCTTTGTAAAACGGATACACAAATTTCAAAAATGGATCATAAATGTGACAACGAAAGTTTTTCTGTATCTTGATGTCATTTGGTTGCTTTATATAATCAGTATCACTAAAAATGTTAGAGGAATGAGGTGATCCGATGGCCAATCTTATCAATTTATTGTTCTGTTATTTTTAAAAGATACATTACCTCTTTGTACAGTTTTTAAAGTTTCAGGTACCTTCTTGTTTTCTCTTATCATGTTTATAATTTATGAGCAATTTATGTCAGGTTATCAAAACCCTTCTGGAGATCAGCAGGGTGCATGCCTGGGCGCAGATAGTTCGTTCCAAGCTCATTTGCATGTTTACAAATATGTTTTACCGGCTTTCTGATGTTCCGACATTCCTTGTTGAGCAAGTGGATCTGATTGGAGGAATGGATTTCATCTGTCTTGAGGTCTGTGGTTCCATGCTTATGTTTAACATCTGTAATCTAGCAAAAGAAAACTAATAGTTTTAAATAATGTGCATCTTTCGATTTGGCTGCGAATAAAATATGACTTTAAATCATTTTTTTCATCTCCCTCACATCTACCATTAAAAATATTTATTCCAGAAACTTGACGTTAGCTTAGAGACCAAACCCTGGATTATTGTAAATTGTGCTGAGGTGGTGGTGAGATATGAAGAAAAGACATCCAATCAATATCGTTTATTACAAGCTTTCCTACAATAAACTCATTAAACATAAGAGCTCTGATGTGTGCGTAGATATAGATAAACTCATTATATATGTTTCTATTAAGACCAGGTTGTCAATTCTCTGGGAAGATTTTTCGCAACCTAATAGAACTGCAGAAGGAGTCAGAAACCCCAATTCGTTGTCTGGATGTTACAATAACATTGCTGAATATATGCCTGTAATGGACAGGACTAAGAAAAATAAAACGGGATTGTGAGTTGTACACTGGTGTTTTCAGTGAACATTGTTTATAATTTATGTGTGTTTCTGTTAGCTCATCTCAATTTTCTTTTGCAGTATTCGCATGCAAGCTCAAGGGAAGAAAAGCGGGATCTTTTTTCAGTGCTCTTTGATTATGTTTTGCAACAAATAAATGATAATTATATGTCAACTGGGGCTTCTTACAATTTTGAAGATATGCAGTATCTTGCAACAATGCTTACTCTTGCTGAAGCTCCTGAGGCTTTCTACATAGCTATTAAGCATGGAGTGGAAGGGATTGGAGAGATTTTGAGAAGATCTATTGCCTCTGCATTGTCTAGGTCACCAAACTTTGAGCGTCTAAATATGGTAAGTTCCTCCGAAAGAATATGCTGATTTTTTCAAATTCAATGGAAGCTAATCGAAATTAATATAATAGATTTGGACTCAACGTGAGTCACAGGTGAGGAACACACGTAGTTTAGGAACTCACACATTGAGGAGCTAGCATTTTTTTCCTATCATCAAGCAATATTCTTGCTTGGGCAATTGCTAATCTAATGCTGTCAATACATTTTTAGTGCGAGAAATTGGAAATAGAGAGGTGTTTGACTCATAATTTAACTTTTAATAGTATGAGACAATATAGAAAAGCATTAACCAGGTATACCATTTGCTAACGAAGTCAGTGCGAGAAAAAACCAACACAAAGTTGCTGTTTGGTAATACTAACCTGGAGTATTCTCCATTTTCACACTCAGGCAACCGGTTTGCACAAGCCCGTGTAAGAACAAAAATATGGAAGTCTCAGGCAGTATTTGTTTTTAGCTTCTATATTCGATCTGACACTGTGTTTGCTACTTCTTCAGGTGACTACGTTGCCTCTTGGAAAGTATATTAGCTTATGTTCCTCATGTCATCATGAATTCTTATTTAATCCATACTTATACCCTTTGATCCGCCATTGATCAGACTAAGTGATTAGAGGTCCTTTTACAGATGAAGATGTCATATATCTAAGCACTTGATTAATAACTCATATGTGAGTGATGTGTGTGCCTATATTGACTAGTCGCGTTCATAACGCAAGATAAATCTGTTAACGCCAGAGATTATACAACTTGGCGGTCAACAACGTCTTTCTTTTTTAGGTGATTTGGGTAATCTTTTCCATTGGCAATGTAAATCCCTTTCCAGTACATCGCAGCTCTGATGGGAATATGATATCATTGATCCCTGGATATTTAATTTCAGACACCTTTTCCTTGTTATTCTTTAGTTCTTGATCTAATTGATATTTTCCCTAAGAGCAATACAGATTGCAAAAGGCAACCAGGTTACGATGTGATTCGCTTTTGATTAATGGCTACCCCATTTGTCTTAGTAAAGCCGTCGGCAACAAGTGTAGTATCTTTCAAGTTCGTGAGATGAATAATACTAGACAGTGTACGCTCATTTTAACTCAGCTGAAGGGCTTCCCCTCTGGTGTCTCTACTAGCTCAGTACCATTTTTCGTCCAGCGTTGTCGTCTAATTTTTTACTGCTCCCACTCAATTATGACCTCTTACGGCAACTTCCAATGAGTTACAAAACGATAAGGACGACAGGGATTGGGTAAAGATGATACGGTAAATGGGACTAATGGGTGACTCACATACCTGGAGGTAATGTGCTTGTGCTCTTCAGACAGCCATTGGGAGATTCGCATTTGGTTCCAGAGAAGGGTTAGTTGAGTTCCTTCTTGTTGAATCGGCACATATAAAAAATTTAAAGGCAGAGACTGGTAATTGAGCAATCTCATGAGATGATGATATCTGAGATGGTTAATACGTATCTATCTTTGTTCTTGTACTCTTTCTTGTGCCTCTTTTTCTTAGTAGAATCACGAAAGATTTGTACTTAGAATGTGAATGTGAAGACACATTTGTACTTAGAGAACAAAAGATTGTGTTGATTTCTTATAGTCGTCCTCCGATAAGAGCCTTGAGAAGCCAAAATGTCGTTTTCTTTTGGTCTTTCTCAGTCTTATGAAGTTGACTATTTTTCCTTTCTGCTGCACGATTTTTCTTTGGAGCGTGCGGAAAAGATGACCAAGAAATAATGCCTTTTCTTAAAATATTCATCTTTATTTTTCAACGAGTTCCTTTAAGTCGCCACATTGGAATGCTTGTGTACTTAACCTCATAAATGATTGCTTGGTCGCTCCCCTATATTTCATGTTCATTCCAAGACTGTATATTTACTTAAAATTCCATCACCAATCAACATATTGTTTAAGAACCGTCTTCCCTGATCATCGTGTATTTCAAGACGTCGTCATATGATACATTTTTTATAGTTGACTTTTGTCGGATTGTTTTGACCTTGGATATCATGAATGCTATCATAGATGTTATTTGAGGCCCTCGAGTTGCCAAAGAAATAGGAAGTCAGACTCGAGGCGTTACATAGTGGGCTCAATTGAGGCCTTGATGTTGAGAAGTCAGTCTAAAGTTGTTGACCAATTTGCTGCAGGTTTTCAAGACCTAAAGTAGATACCCATCATATCTTGACACGTGTATGAATAGAGACATTCTCATATCTGACACCCTTTGAGCTAGTAATCAGTGAGTGTAGCCACGTGTAAAGATGCATGTGCTGTTCTGTCTAATTTTTTTAGCTTCTGTCTTTCCCTTTTGATGCAGCTCTTAGCAACATCTCACATTGCCATTTGGCTACTACACTATGTGTACATCTTTTCTGTTTGCCCTTTTCTTTTCCTCGATTTTTGGGTTCCTTTGGCTCGTTCCTCGTAGTGAGAACACAATTCTGTCATCTTGGATCGTGTCATATGAGAAATTGCTCTCTTGTAGTTACTGAGCGAGTACCCTCCCATGCATGCATGGAAGACGCCACAGGGTAGCATCTGTCTTCTCATGTGCATGTAGGGGCAGCAACGGGACGAATCAGCAAGTCAAGATCTTTCTCCTTTAGCCATTAACTGCAAAAGGATGAGGAATCTGGTTTCCAGTGGACCCACAAACGTGGATCTCTCTATTATTTAGTGCATCTTGTCGAACAAGGTTGTTCTACACGTACAACATAAATTGCTCTTTTACTATGTTGGTAGAAGAAGATGAGAAAAAGAGGACGATGTGCTACAGAAAGGGGTTCTGCATTGAAATTTTCTGAGTTTGCATAGCGCTTCAATGTATACATACCTCAATAAAATAGAACAATGAAAACGTCAAACTGATGGGGATGCAGAAAAGTTTAAAATCCTATAAAACTATATCAATAAATATCACGGATGAAGTTCTAGAAGCTTACACTATTGCATCAGCATATTGACAATATTTCATCACATACAAATTATATGATGCGTGACTGCAGTTGTTTTTTGTAATTATGTCTCATATTCTACATGAAAGAAATAAAGCTAATGACTATCTATTCGTATTCTGTTTTTATACATTTTATGCGATCCTGATATTGGCTTCCCTCTGTTTTGCATTCGTAGCTCTTGGAGAAGATCGTTTGGAAACTTGACGGCATTGTCAGTTCATTCACTCATTTAGATCCGGAATTCTCATATCTGATAAGGGCCTCGAAATCTGATAAGTCCTTTATTAGCATCGAACTTGGGAATCCTGAATCCGATGTCAGCATGCAAGCTAAACTGTCTTGGGCTACTTTACATGCTCTACTTCATTCAGAAAGGCCAGCTTATCGTCACAATGGCTACATCTGGCTAGTTGAACTCCTCGTTTCCGAAATTAGTGATGAAGGCAACAAGAGCATTTGGTTGAACGTTAAAAACTTTCAGCAGCAAATAGGAATTTCTGGTAGCCAGGAATCATCTTTCTCATCAGTTCCTTTGTCTATTTGTGTCTTCTACGGATTGCTGAATTCGAAACTCAACGAAATAAGATGGGGCTTCTTGTTTGTCTTGGAAAAGCTCCTTATGCGCTGCAAATTATTGTTAGATGAAAAGGAGCTGCAGCATATGAGCAGTATTGAAACCTCTGATCATGATAATACCAGGATCCGTTTGGAGAAAGCAAATGCTGTCATAGACATAATGAGCTCAGCTTTGGCTTTGGTTTTTCAGAAAAACGAAACTGATCGAACTAATATCCTCAAGGTTCGTTTCTTCTCTGGCATAGATGCGACTCCAAGCATGATCTATGTTAATTGAATGTGTTTTATTGTTTTGACTTGTGAGATGATAAGTGAGATTCATTATAGACATATTAAAGATAAAACAATATGGTTCTAGTCCACCCATTTGCTTTGAACTGGATAACGCGAAATTTCAACATTTCCAGCGCCTTGAAAATTGTTTCGGTGATACCTGGAAAATTAGACCCACAAAATTCAGGAATATGGGCATACCGATTCTTCCCGCAAAATTAGGCTCATTAACGACCCCAGATCACATGCCTTACCATATCTCCATTTTCTGGAACTACCTATAAGTTAAATTGAATTTCATTTCTTTGAGCTGTATAGATATTTTTTAATTTTTTACTTGTACATAATTTTCTGCGATTAGCTACATTTATAATGCGGCTAAGTGAAGTTTCAATTTTTTTCTTTTTCATGTTTTCATGCCTTTTATATTTTCTGATCAACCATTCTTTTACAGATGTGTGATATCCTGTTTTCTCAATTATGTCTGAGGGTTCTTCCCACAGACACAATGCCTTTTGGAAATCTAAGAAGCAAGACAGAAATGAGCGACACTGATGCAGATCTACCGCACGAAAAAATCATTCAGGATGGTGAGCTTTTTGGAGAGATTGACGCCACGAGTGGGCTTGAGCAAGGTCGTCTACTCTGTGACACGTCATCTATTGCAGCATTGCTTCTGCGTGGGTGTGCTGTTGTTCCAATGCAGCTGATAGCTCGAGTACCCACTTCACTGTTCTACTGGCCTTTAATCCAACTTGCCGGTGCAGCAACAGATGACATTGCCCTGGGTCTTGCCGTTGGCAGCAAAGGGAGAGGAAATTTAGAAGGTGCTGCATCAGATATCCGGGCAGCGCTTCTTTTGCTTTTAATTGGGAAATGCTCTGCAGATCCTGCCGCCTTCCTCGAAGTCGGAGGAGAAGAGTTCTTCAGGTATAGTTGATATTTCAGTCGTCTTGATTCTTGGGCTACTATTATTTCCTTTCCCAGAATAGCTGATGCATGCCTTGACAATTACAGGGAGCTTCTTGATGATACAGACTCCAGGGTGGCGTATTATTCCTCTGCGTTTCTTCTGAAGGTACGCCCATTTTAGCATAAATCATGTTTTCATTCACATCTTGTTTTTTTTTTTTTTTTTTTTTTTTTTTGGTTCTCAGACCTGATTTAGATTCTGGGTTTTGCAGAGAATGATGATGAAAGAACCTGATAAATATCAGCGCATGCTTCAGAGTCTTATAGTCAAGGCACAGCAGGTTCGTCACAGATCTCAAACTCCCATGATCATGTGACATCTCTGCTTTAAATTCCCTGTACTTCAGTTGACTTTTTCTCCCCCCCTCACTGATCAGTGCAATAACGAAAAGCTGCTCGAAAATCCCTACCTCCAGCTGTGCGGCATACTTCAGCTTTCAAATGACCTTGGGAATCTGCCATGATTGTGCATCAGTTCTATCGGATTGTCCCTCCAAGGCATGTCAATGAAAGATGTTTGGATGAGAATAAGTCCCATATGTGATCTAGATGGTGCAAATCTCTGATGCATAAGTTTCTAATGGCTGTTCATAGCTCTAATGGCTGTTCTCTTCATCGATCACCATCTCAGTTTATGGATTCGGCAGGCCAAAAAGAGCAGCGCTTGAAGCTCACCCTGTACAGGAAGCTTGTGACTAACTCTATTTTTGTCAGCTGGTTAGAGTATCCTCCTTCCCGGGTCAAGCCAGATTGAGCGAATTTTAGCTGTTCAATCTTGCAGGTAACCATGTTGATATCCTTCTTCATAGATCCTCGATCATCTCCTTCATTATAATCACTGATGGGTTTTTATCTTCTCGGCGAACAGTTTGTAGATTTCCCCCTCCCACAGAGAACAGTTTGTCATGGAATTGAGAGATGAGATTCCAAGAACACGCTGCTTTCCCAGAAGTTTTGTAAGCTTATTTCTGCAACCGAGGTCATGCAGAATTTTTGTGAGGCGTCCTCGGGGCAATAAAGTCCCTTCTTGTGACATTGACTTAGAGTAGCCCGTTGACATTGTGACAAGTAGAGAATCTTGCTGTTAAAGAATGACAATGACTTGATTCCAGGTTGGATGCCTAATTTGATCTGCAATATTTCTTTTATTTCATGTTTATTTTTCCTGCAGTTCATGTGTATCTCTCTCTCTCTCTCTCTCTCTCTCTCTCTCTCTCTCTCTCTCTCTCTCTGTTGGCTTTTCCAAGCCTAGCGATGGAGTGGTCCAGGGCATGCTGGCAGCAATTACCTACTAAAACATTTTTAATCATTTTTTTCTGTATATATTAATATATATTATCTTCCAAATTAGCATCACATTATTCAAGGATTTTATGTTTGGGGCCCCTAAAATCTATTGGGAAGAGAGGATCAAGTAGGATTTTTCTTTTTTTTTTGGGTCAGAAATCGTCTTTATTTACCGTAAAAAGCTGTAGATTTCCTGAAAATTTAGATCTAACAACAGAATCTGCTATCAAATGATGTGCCCATATACATAAAAAGTAATTTCTACGCCATTGAAAAATAAAAAAATCATTTTGGATATGCATGAGCTAGACTAGTAGGGTTTGTTCTTCCACGTTCTCATCTTTTTAGGCCTTCTTTCACACTTGGTTGACATATTGCACTTCATACTTTCATAGAGAGAGAGAGAGAGAAGGCGTGCACGCGTTATTTGTTTGAGAATTGAGAGAGGTCAAGGGATATGTTGGCGTCTGTCGAAGATCATCGTTGGCCATCGCGTGAAATCCCTGTTCGAAGCTGACTTGGCAGCTCTTTTAGCCCCGTGCGCCACGCGCGACTGTGTCTTGCCATTTTCTTGCTTTGCCGCGTGTCATCGTGGTGAAGACGGTCACGATGACGCGCGGAATGCCGGTGAGTGGGAAAACATTTCACCTTCGACTGAAGAATTCTCCCTGTGAGAAACTGTCCGCTTCCCCGTTTGCCCGGGAGATTCGAGTGGGGGCAACCACCTTCCTTTTCATTGCTAATCCTCGTTCCCCATTTCGCCAACGTTTCGCCGGCGGAGGGAGGGACGGTAGCCCACGTTGTTCTTCCCATTTCAATGCTATTCGCCCGCGCGGGTGATTGGGAGGATGCAGAGGGGTTCGGCGTCTCAGAGGTCTGCATATCTCGCCGCTCTCTCTCATGAGATCGAGAAGAAACTCCAACGGGTGAGTCTTACAGTTCGGGAGGGGGGGGCTTAGGATCCTTCCTGATCTCCCTCCAGCCAACCGGCATCTGTATTGCAACAATCGTTGGAAACTCTCTCTCTCTCTTGCTTTGCCCTTCGAAATCAACTAGTTGGCTATCCAGATATGTCATTTTCTCATTTTTGGACAATGGTCTCATCAATATCATCATGGTGTCTGCTGATCGGAACTGGATTATGGACATCGATGAATGACGTTTCGCCAATTTCTCATTTTCTCCTGGACGGAGATCTCTTGTGCCCAATCACATCAGAAAGGCCCCATGGGATACACACTACACACACACACACAGCTTCCTCTCCCATCTCTCTCCAACTCTTTTTTCTTTATCTCATCGATCTTATTTGCTTCTTCCTGTGGGAATATATTGACATTTTTCATGGCAAGATGGAATCCCCCACACGCCTCGGCTAATTGGGTGGTCACCAAGTTAAGAAAAGTCAACGTGGGTAAGCAGAAAAATATACTGATTCGGCTAACTGAGTTCAATTTTGTTGACCTTTGCTCAATACTGTATGCACCCCTCACACGAAAATTATGCTCAAGCTATATATTGAACCAGTGGCTGACTTTTTAAGCGTGGAATATTATGTTACAACCTGCATAACCATGTTGATTATGCGATATCTATACGGTCCATATTTTTAATTAAGCCTTTGTAAGTATGATTGCGGCAGCCTACTCAGGTTTATATCATCCTGTAGAGTTCTTATAGGGATTAGAATTAGCTGAATCCTCATCCGTTGGACAGAATTTTGGTAGATGCCGCTTATCCAAACCTATAATAGAAGTATAACTGTGCTTTGACCCTCAGAGATACAGGGCCGCATCTAACAGCCTGTTCTTCTCGTTCTGTCTCATAACCCTTTTTTCGGTGATTATCAAGGCTTGTGATTCCACCCGTGCAATCACTCGGTCTCAATGAATGGAACTGAGCTGTTGTGGGTGATCTGCCCCTTTCACAGGCTTTGACTTCTCCATCACAGAGATTGGGTGTACTGCAGGAGCTATTTGCAGATGTAGCCTTGGAAATTGATGCCCGTGCAAGAGGTAAAATTCTTTCGCCTTACCTTTCTTGGTCTCCTGATGCATTCATATTTGTGTTTATCATCGATGAACAGATGGACAATGGAGAGAAAATTAAAAAGCATTTAGACCCATTTATTTCCCTGCCTCGTTAAATTCCTTCTGGTAGTTGTTCTTAATCGGAGAATCATAGCTAAAAATGTGGATTTGTGGGCTTGGCACAAGAGTAAAACGTTGACAAGTTTCTCTAGTCAACTCATCAGAAAACATAAAGCTTTGTTTTGAATCATTTTAGAAGGGGGTTTAGCATCTCAGACTGTGTGGTCGCATATCATCTGAACTCAGACTCACCGGTTTCAACGTTCCAATTTTCAGAGATGATTCTCAGCAGCAACGGAGCGGCTTCTGCTGATCAAGATAGTCAAATTGGCCTATGTTTCTATGATGTTCTTGCAGACCATTATGTCAGAGTGCCCACAAACGGGAAGAGGATTCTTGATTTGATCGTTCAGCTCTGGAGCCAGTCGTTTGCCTCTCACATATTTGCTCTTCTTTTTCACAGATGGGTACGCTTCAAACCAGTTGGGGGATTGTATTGTGTTGGGAATAGGGGGAAAAAACCTGTGATTATGAGGATTTTGAGCTGTGTTAATTTTTCTTAAAAAAAAAAAAAAAAAAAAAAGGAAAAAACTGACGGGTCGATTTTTTTTTTTTTATGCAATGTTTCCCCTTTTTTTTTGTTGGGTCCTAGTTTTTTTACTTATTTGGCCTTTTGAAGACTGAGTTAGATAGATTTGATACTTTGCAGTTATTTGAGGTCCCGCTTGATAATTCAGAATCCCTTCTGCGTTTTGCATCAGCTCTTGTTCAGGGCGCCACCAACGTCTTCTGGTATGAAAATGTCTCAAACATTTTGCCATTTTTTCATGCTTTATGTCGAGCTTTTGGGTTCAAAGATTCTATTTTTAATTCATTACTTCAGTATAATTTCTTCATATTTTTCATGCTATATATAGCTCAGCAAGGTTATAAGGATCAGATTATGAACTCCTCAGAGATTTCTTCAAATAGGATCTCAGGTTTAAGAGTATGATAACCTCTAGGGTTCACATTCAATATCATCAAGAATGGGGGGCCAAAGCTCCCGGAAAAAAAAGGAAAAAAAAAAAAACACATTTGTCCAAAAAAAAAAGGTTCCCCCTTTGTGGGAGGAGTTGGATAATTAATTACACTTAAAAAAAAAAACCATAGTTTTTCTTGTAGAATAAAATCTGGGTTCCAATGCATAGTTCTTCTATCTGGTTTCCTTCTCTTATGGTGTGATGATTACCTCGTTCCACACATTGAACCAATAAGGAAGCTCTGCTGCTTGTGATCGGCAGGATCGACATTCAGTCAAACACCAGGCGGTTCTTCTCTCTGTTCCGTGTACGTTTTCCAGCTTCCTCACCCATCGCATACTTTCTTGATTTTCTCTTCAGCTTACCCATGTGGGAAGTGTTCCAGCTCTGATTGATCGTCTCTTTCGTGAATCAAAGCAGTACCTTCTTGAGGACGTCGCTCTTGCTCCTAGCCGTGTAGATAGTATCTCCTCCCAGGTGACGAATGTTTACCCATAAAATGGTTGGGAGAAAAAAAAATATAAATAAAAATAATTCAAAATGATCCTGGGAAAATTGCGTTGACCCATCCAGGCTCGACGGGACCTCTTCCTCCTCCTCTCGAGATTTATATTCTTCTACGATCTTGGTAAGTCTCGCGATTATTATGTTGTTAATATCAATAAAGGCTTCTCCATTCGTAATCTTACGTGTCTTGGTGCAGCTGGGAAGATGGAGAGCTTCTTGGAGCGCTTCCCCGACTTTCCAAACGTCTTTCTAGTTGGGGGCCCGGCAGATATATTTGTCATAGAATTGACCGACCAGGTATCAATCTTATGCTGGAGGGTCAACGCGTATTGCAGTGACTGTAAATGGGTCAACGCCCAGTTGGGGGGTCCGGCAGATGTTTTTGATATGCTTCACCATTTTTTCCACCCCCCTTCTCTCTCAAATTCTCAGCTTCAGAAACTGAAAGTGGAGCCAGTTCTCCTGCACTACCTGTCACATATCAGATCCCTTCAAGGTCAGCGCTTTTCTGCCATAATGGATATATGATTCATCCCACTCTGACCTCCACTATCTTACTAAATTCGGCGTCCTCCAACCGCCATGGCAGGGCTGGAGCTGAGGATGACCACCAGCACCAGACTGAAGGCATGCTTATACAGCTTCACCTCACCTGGCGGCCCGATGTATCCCACAAGAGCAGTTCGCCACGCAGCTTGGGATGCATTGAACTTGCTCTTTCCTGTGAGTGGATTCCAGTTACTTAATCTCTGACCACTTCTGGCTTCCTCTGTCTCATGTGGGCTTCTTGAGATTGATAGAAAAACAGAATTTCCTTCCATAAATAAATACATGAAATGAGACAGTCACAGTATTTTCTTTTTCTGGGTCTCTCCCCCAATTCTGTAGGTTGGAAGATACCCAAGACATGTCATAAGCCTGTTCTTCCGGCTGCTCTATCCATGGTACTGGCCATTCTCCTGCTGGAACTTCGTCATATCGTTGGTCAAGGCTATCTTCTACTCCATACTAAGGCTGGTGCTTTCGAGCTGGGAGAACCTGAGGAGGAGACCCAGAAACCTCTGAGAGCTGTGGAGTGGAGTGTGCGCTTGTGTTGCATCTACTGAGGATCATTTTTTGTTCTAGCTGTGATCCAAATTTCCAAAACTATCAACATTCCTGTTTTCTTGTATATATCGGGAAAGCAATCTATTTTTCATCAAGAGCAAGTAATGAGGATTACGAGCAAGAAGTTGGTAAATCCATGGAAAAATTCCGGATTTGTCTTACTGGATAACTTCACAAGTGGAAAATAAATACAGCTCATAGGAGACATTGTTTCTACAGAGGGAGACCCAATGAAAGTAGATTCAGAGAATCTGTTCATGGGGGCGGCCATCTACGAAGAAAATATATCACAATTTAAGGGGTGAACATCCTAAAATTCACCATCTGAGAGTCTGGCCGCCACCAAGCTTCTTCTCCTGGCTCCTCACCATCTGACGACGTGACCAGCTAGTCTCGTCACATCTCCAGATATATCACTGTTTGGAGGCGTAACTCGAGCAGCAGTGTCAAAGCTCCCGGACTTGCCTTTTTAGAACAAAAGGGGGAAAATATTCCATTTGCACGCTGCTCATCTAATGGTTAACTTCATTTTTTTTTTAAAAATGCAGCATTGTTTTCTAAAAAGATAATATCTGCCGTGAGCAATTTTTCTTTCCTAAAAGAGGGAAAGTGTGAGCACTATAAAGAAACTAGGCACCGACTCTGTGAAGCAGAGCGCAACAACAGAGGAGGGTGTGCAACATAAATGGGCCGTGGTGTCGTTGTGGAGATGACCAGCCACTCGGAGGGAGTGCCAAAAAAGAATAAGATTTACGATGTGATGGACGACCTACATGAAAAAGTGTATGGAGGCATCTACTATTGTTGATTAATTGTCGGGATCACCAGTAGAGAGCGGAGTACCATAGTGTTCCAGACGTCAATTGTTAGCTTCTAGATGCACCTTGAGGACTGTGGCACATTCAGGGAACGTATGAAAAATGATATAGTTACCCACCTGAAAATTCGAGCAAAAAGATGTCTATTAATCCAGGGTATGATAAAAATAATAAATAATAACTGGTGACAAAAGTTATAAAGAGCACATTCAATCAAGGTAGTATATGTGCATTTAAAATGACACCGAAATTGTAAGACAACTAAACTTGTGAACAGGGCATGTAATAAAGAGCAAGATAAGCTACCTTAAACAGAGACTACTTGCTCAGTCTTCATGCATGGGAACCAGGATGCTGCACTCGGATAAAAATTAATTTCAGAACTTCCTACAGACGCCACTGGCTGCAAAGGTTTTGACGCAGTCCTTCCATACTCCATGAGAAAGAAAGCGATGTAAATGTGTTGAATAAGGAAACGGATTCCACAAGCACTTGGCTGTCGCCCGCCTAATACGACCCGAAATCAAAAGGAGTGGCAACAATACAAACCCAAGATCCAGAACCCAGTAGCAATACCCTTAAACGTGAAGTCCTTTCCTCCCTACAGTAGTAGCATGATCGTTGAAATACATTTTTAGCAAACAGAAATACCATGCAAAAGTCCCTGATATTATGACGGTAAGATGGAACTCCAAATATGCTTTCAGTTGGTCTGCATTGCTTCAGTGTGGTATTTGTCCAACTCAGCATCAAGATCTGCGGCAGATACTTGGCCACCTGGGCCCCTTCCTGGCCTGCGACCGCCTCTTCCGCGTCCACGCCCACCACCTCGAGACCATCCAACAGGGCCACTCCTTACAGGTGCACTGTTCCAAGAACATTAGGATGATAAGCAAAGCCAATCATAAAAATTAACAAACCCCTGCTCTTCCTTCCCAAATGAGGAATCATCTACTAAAATGTCAGCACGAGTAATCTCGAAGTATTCCTTTAATGGCGATACTTTTAATAACTAAATATGCAAGTTTAAACCAAAAATAAATCATATGTACACAATTTCTCGGGCATCAAATGACCAAATGAAACATATTATCGACACTTTTGGTTGACATTTCACGATCAAAAGTGGGACTTGCTTGTTTCTTCATTTCCCCTATTATTTCCCAAATATCTCGCCACATTGTTTCGGCTTCTGAGAAATTACAACAGTAAGTTCAAGACCAACTGAAAGCACATAGCATTATCTTCATATATCCTCACTTGTGAAAATAAATTTCTTTCAAAAAAATCCAAGTCAAACTTACCAAGACATTTGGGGAACAAACACACACGTGAAACAAGTTAAACAGTTAGCGAGCTACAAAAAAGTTATGCATATATCTACACCAACTTCAAGAAAAAAATTTAAACTTAATCCTAAAGATCTCAGAAATATTTCCACGTTTGTAATAGGTCGGATTATAGGAATGCTGTATACAGCTGGTTCAAACATACAACCATTATGCCCACACTACTTATTTGATACCCACAGTATGCATTAATTTAAAAAACATAGCAGCAGGAAAAAAACATATTTCTCATGGCCGGAGATGATCAGAAAAACCTCATACGATAGGTGAAAACGAAACCTCTCGTGTCACACAAGAAAAAGAGGGAGGCTGGCTGACATTATACAAAACAGTTATGCTTCCATCATTACTTATTGATTTAATAGTACGAATACAGTTCATAACAACATAAAAATGCACTGGATCATAAAAGAATATTCAGATGTGCCCAGATAAAGAGAAAAAATCAGTATTTGGTAGAAACAAACCTTCTCAGCACACCGTTAGGATTTCCAATCAGACCATTGGAAATTTGTGGCACAGGAATAGCAGGTGTCATAACATTTGTGCCAACGATATCTATCTTCATTGGCTTCCCATCGAGCTGCACATTGTTGTACCTTTTCACGGCAGCTACAGCATCGGCTCTTCTTGAAAAGACTACTTCAGCCGTTCCCTGTAAGTGCTTTTATAATCTAAGCTGGAGGACTAAACCGAGCGAAATGAAATAGCATCCACTGGATGTCGCCAAAGATACCTTTGATCTTCCACTCCTATCATAATGGATTGAGAACCGTTTCAGATCACCGACCTCTGAGAAGAGTTCCTGGAGAGAGTAAAGAATTATAAGCAAATCCCATCATTATGGAGACCCAAATAAAAAATATAAAGTCCATAACGATTAATTTCAAAGGCCCTTACGAATACAACCAAATTCAGATGGAAACAGAAGACCTGGGGGTCAGACCCACAGCTAGTAATAAGCGGAGAACAGCACACGTAAAGATTATTGTAATATTCTCTCCTGTCTGCATTGAGCAGAAGATGTCCACAAACTGAAGATGCGATTTGTACTGTAGCACTCACAGATGGAAAGAGAAACTTGATATTCACCTTGATATCGTCGTTAGATACACCATAGTCCAAGTTAGAAATATAGAGCTTGGTGCCTGTTTCTATAGCTGAAACCCTTGCTGCTCCTGGAAGCGGACGAGTCACCATCGGATCAGAGAACATGTCGTGTTGCCATGTCGAGCCTGGAGCCTGAACTGTCTGTTCAGATGGACATTGAGAATGAAAGCCTGAATGAGTGGCCAACCTCGAGAAGCTGTATCGTAGAAAATATTTAATGCAAAACAAACAGGCAAAACCTGTCGACACATCCCCATAATTGGAAATACGATCTACGCTAACCTTTCCGGTGGAATAAGGACCAGCCCTGCTGCTCGCTCGGTTGGGGATCCGACGATCCGGACCAGGGCCAGACCCCCGGCCGCCGCCCCTGCCTCGTAAATTCCCACCGCCAGGTTTCTTGTTCTTCTTTATGAGATCCTCAAGAGACATGTCCAAAGCGCCCGACATCTTCAACGAGATGTACCCTTGTAACGCGGGGATAGCAAGAACGAGGATCTCGCAGACGTTCTCCCACGCTTCTCCGCGGGAATCAGCGAGTTGAGGAAGGGAAGGGAACGGAAAACTATGTTTCTAGGGTTTAGGGTGAAGAAGACCAATCGTCTCCTCACACTGATGGGTTCTGTATTTAAATAGCAAAACTCTCGTATTTACCAATATACCTTGAACCATCCATTAATTTGTTTAGAACCTACAGAATGCTTCTTTGTCTTTCACTTCCTTAACGGGGGGATATTTGCATCTATCCCCATTCTTCGTCGAGAAGGAAGCCAACGACCGGCTGTGGACTGGTATAATTAAACGCGGGCCGGACAAATGTGCGCGGCGGAGACTCGATCAGTTCCTCAAGCAAGGCGGCTCTTGGTAGAAGACATCCGAGGCGGCAAGATTCCCGCCTTCCCCGAGCTCCGGTGGCTTAGCTGCTCTATTTTCTCTCTTCGCCGCATATTTGAATTCTGGCTGATGGGGGCGGGCGCGGCGCCCGTCTTCCAGTAGGTGTGGACTCGTTCAAGAAATTTGCGTGTCTGGTGTCGAGATTCCGGGGAAGGGTTGTATTCTACCGCGGGATGGTTCAAGACAAGCTTCATTAATCCCCATTCTTCTCGTGTACGAGGTAGAAAGAAGCAGAGTGACATGGCGGAGATCGAGGAGCTCAGGGCGAAGGCCATCGCTTCCATGAACGCCAGCGGAAATTCTAAATCTAAACCGAAGGGAAAGCCCACTGAGTTGGGGAAAGAAGGCGAAGTCCCCTCAGACGAGGTCCCTACTCCCCGTAGCATCTCTATTGGGCGAATTTTGGATGATTCTTAAAGATAGCTTGGCATCCCGAAATTTTCGTTTATTCGGCGATTTCCCTCCATTTGGTCTCGTTCATGTGTTATCATATACACGCAAACTATCTCCTAGAATCTCCTCTTTACACTTCAATCATGTTTTCGTAGGGTCTCCTAGAGTATACCCATGTTGCAGAGAAACAGCAGTGGAAGTATGTCATGAGACAGTTGAAGTTTCACGAGAATAGAAAATATATTGGAGATAGGCGTAAAAAATCCTTGCTCTTATCCAAACATTTGTGTCCCAATTTCTATGCTTGCATAGTGGCATGAAAATGGAAATGCCTTTTGACGTATGTCCTTGGCCTCTTTTTCTCGAGTTTTCTGAACGGTTATAAGTTACGTCAGAGTCGGAATTATTCTATTAAATTTTTCACCATCTCAGGTTTGCGTTCATTATTGAGTTGACCATCCTTATTCCCGTAATCGTAAAGATTTCACCAAAGAGGCATTGAAAAAGTTACATAATTTTGTTAAAGATAAAACTGTGAAGCCCTATCGAAAGGCAAATATCTATATTGTGGGGCCATTGAATCAATCGATTCTTCATTCTTCAGATGTGATACTGCCATCGACTTCTTTGCTGTTTTTCAAGTGAAATCATGGACTGTGGAGATCAACCAAAGTAGTATCCTTGTGAAATGATGAATGTCTAATTGGAGGAACGGTTGAAAGAGTGGAATGTGATTCTTCTGGCTTTTCGACCGGCTATCCACTTCCAATGATAGAAAACTAATAAGCAGCCTACGGCACTTGTTACAACTACTATTGTATTCTAAGAACAATGTATCGACTCGAGTATTATATGGTATTGTAGATCATCTAAGCAGTAGATATTTTATATTTTTCGCTTATATAAACGTATAACACTATTAACAATCTGCGCTCCTTCATTTTTAGTGAAACATGCATTTGCCATATATAAAATATACGTTCTATCTACTTCAAAATAAACATTATTCATGGAGACAGCCTGACGGTTCTGATTGTAAACTATTTGTCAAGCACCCTGCATAATGATGTCAAGCAGCCTACCATTCCATTTCTTTCCCAACCCTGAGTTAGCCCTGTGTTATATTTTTATTCATTGGTAAGTATTTTATTGTTGTTGACCAGGATGTGTTATGTTGCTCTGGTGCTCTCTCAATCATTGATACATCAGTTAAAGCTACTCATCCCAGCTTGAAGGGCAGACAGAGGAAAAGGTTAAGGTCAGGGACAGGCATGTCCTTTTTATCAGGTATAGCCCCCTTCCCTGTTTTAGTGTTTCTTGCATCATCTGTTGAATGTTATTTACATGTGCCGTTTTGTGTTATGCCACTATAATCTGCATATTAAATATTAGACGAGATATTCCACGAAAATGGATGAGTAAAGACTATGATTTTTTTTAGATTTTTTCTTCAAGTCGACTATTTCATTGGAAAAATCGTTGAGAAATGCTGGAGATTTACTGGTTGCATGATTTGGATACAGAGAAGTGCTACTGTGGGTGGAAAATGAGCGAATGGTAGGGGCCGCCTGGCAAGGGAGGGAAATCGTAGAGACTAGTTAGCAATAGAAAAGGATGCCATTGATAGTGATAGTGTTGCTGGCGGGAGAGAGTAGTATTGTTCGGGAGGAATAAAAGAGTCTGTTTCTGGGAAGATAAAAGTGAAGATGAGATGATTTTTTCCCAATAAATGGGGATAAAACATACTACTGTCTGTACTTATCCACATTTTTTCCTAATACTGGAGATGGAGGTGAGTCAAAAGGAAAGGAGTTACTATGTTTAGCTTTCTATCTTCCCAAACATGAACAGGGAATCGACCATCGCTATCCCTATCACACCTTAGTACCAAACGTTCTCCAAGAAAAGTAAAAGAAAGAAAATGGCATCATAATCCGTGAGGTCATCTCCACAATCACACCTTTTGAATGATGATGACACATTCATAACCCATTTTTACTGTAAAACTTGATTTCATGAGCATTAGTCTTTGTTCAGAATCACTTGATCATGAGTTATAAGGTGTTATATTGTTACGAAATGTTCCACAAGGACGGTAAAAGTTGGAGATGTGATGAGCACTATGGACAGTATCATGTGCTCCTTTTTGTGGCGAAATCATATTCAAGGTGCATTCCCCGCCTTCCCAGTCCCCCAACCTAATTATTTCTCATCTTAATGCAAAATTTAGGGTAAGTTGTTCAAGATGGTATTTGTGGTTTTGTGCTGGACTTGGTTCCTGTAAAGTTCTGTTAGTTGTGTAAATGCTGTCTTTAAAGTGCTCAAGTTTCTCTAAGAAATGGTGACATAAATGTGATTAGTGTTCTGTCCTCTCTAAGATTGACCTGCGTTTGTGGATTAACGAGCTCAGTCTATGTTGTTGTTTTGAAATTGGATCCTTTTAGTTTTGGGTGTTTTGACTTGTTTTGAATTTTTTTCAGGAGATCACAATAGAACATCCTTGGCGGACGCTCAACAAGGAACCACACTAGAGAATCACAATAAGAACAGTCAGTTGCGAAACAAGTCTCTCAATCCTACTTTGCATGGGCGATCAAGCTCAAATGATAACCTTATTATAAGCTTTTCTGATGGTGATGACACTGACTCTAACCCTGAAGATTCAATTTCACAAAGAAAGGTTAATGTAAAAGGGAACAAAGAGGAAGTGGATAGATTCAGGAAACCATTACAAGCATCACATCTGCAACCACAAATTTTGCAACGTGGGATTGACTATCGAAGGAAAATAGTGCCTATGAAGACATCTATAGGTCATCCATCGAGTTCATTATTCACCAAAGCCCATGGGCCGTATTCTAGGATTTTGGGTCCATCAGATGGCCCCACAGTTGAAAACCAAACACCAGTTCAGCGGGACGACTTTACCAATAAGATTTTATCTCATAAGGAAATTGGGCATGTATCAGATGTGAATGTTGCAGATGATAAAGTTCGAAGCTTACGTGAGCAAATTGCAGTACGTGAAAATGTCCTAAGGCTTCAAAAGATGTCCTCTCCTGAAATTAAGGACGTAATAGCATTGTCCGATGGGCTTTGTTCTGATAGTAGTCTGAAACTGGAAGCGAAAGGACCTACGATGACCAATCCTTTTGGTAGCTCCATCAATAAAGAGGACAAACGCTTAAAACATGATGAACAATCGTCCACTAAGGTTAGGTCTGATCACTTGTCACCAGCACAACATCCTCTGAGAAAGTCTACTGCCCAAACGGATGGGCAGCCATTAGAAACAAGTTGCCATCTTGGGGTCATGAATATGATTGGATCCCGCCAACTGGCTGATGGGCCTGCTTTGGATGAAAACAATGCAGTTGATGAGCGTTATGGAGGAATTAATGAAAACTTCTGTGTTTCTTCGGGCATTCATCAATCACAAATGGAAGATAAGGAACCTTCGGTAATAACTCATTCTATATTCCCCGTGCTCATGTTACCTAAGGTCACTTTTTGTGGACTGCTGTAGATTATTTGATGTCGGTGGGTTTCTAAAGGTTCTTGATAACATATGACTTTATTTATAATTGTTTACCGTTCTTGGTAGCAGATGGCTTCAAATCTAGCAGGTGGCACACTTTGCAATAACCAAGCATTATCTTCCCAAAAGGAAGTTAGTCTTGATTCATTCAATGTAAAACGTCTAGCTCTTTCAAGTTAATTTCTCTTGGTGGTATTTTCTGGCTGACTGAGCTATAATATTTTTTTCTTTACTTTGAGTTGTTTACTCGTGGATAGAGTGCGTTGTGGTTATCATGTTACCTTATTTTGGTTATTGTTCACTGTTGGCCATTGTCCATCTGGCCAATCTGATTCATACTCATTCCTTTGTAGTTTTGTTAATTTAACTGTTCTGAGTTTTGCTGTATGAAAGGACTTTGATTACTCACTAAGCTACTTATTTTGATATTTATTTTCTGGTTCTGGCCCTGATTTATTTCGGTTATCTCTACTTTGATTTTTTTTTCTAGTTCCCGATTATGGTTGCTTGTTTTGCTTTTAGTGACCCAAGTTTGATTACGGTCTCAGTCTTGACATTTCTGAACTTTGTTTAAGTGGGAGTACAACATGTTCGTTTAATACAAAAAGTGTGTTTCAGACTCAAACTAGTTGGGATAAAAAAACAGGTGCACAGTACAATTGTAGAGAATTTTTTTTTGGTTGTAGACTATTTTGATCCGGATCATCTGGTTTCTGCTGTCCTGCACGAGGGAGATGCTGCATAAGGTAGTGCAGGACTCAAGAGGTATCAGCTTATTTGGGTCTGCTGCTTGTGTATTGCTGCATGTCAAGTGATGGCTCCTTCATTTCCAAAAAAATCTTGGACGTTATAACTTTTGAATATCTGCCACCCGCCCGCAATCATATAGGGGCTATTTTGTGCTCTCTCTATTCATCTTCCTTCGAACTCAAGAAATTCAGGGTAAGGCTTGATTTAGCCTTCGGGTGCTATATGTTTTGTGCACCCTCATTTTCTTGTTTAAATGAATGGTTCAGAAAATTGTTACCATTTCTATTTGGATTATGCATAAATTATGGTATTTATTTCTTTCACATGTTATCTTGATAGCCATGAGCCAATCAGTACTTGTTTCTTTTATGCTACATGTGGTGTATCCAGTTATCTAGGACATCTTCGAGTAAACATTGCATTATTTCTATTAGTTGCCTCCCTGCATGTTATTCCAGTCATCTTCTTTTTAGGATACTGTTGATATCAATGGACTGGAAATTAGTTATTTTACCAAACTGCAGAAAGCTTTATTGGATTAACATCCCTTTCGTTACTTCTAGCACTATAATATATGTTTTTCTGTACTCCACTGCTAAGTCATCTCTGCAGGTTATAAACTTCAATAATCCATACCAGCTAATGTCCCAGGAGCAAAGTAAGACCGATCGAGAAGGTATACTTCATCTGGAGGAGTTGCATGACAAGGAGTTAGAGGAGGCCCAGGAATTCAGGCGTCAATGTGAGCTCAAAGAGATGCATGCATTGAAAACCTATCGCAAAGCACGTGAGGCACTCATTGCAGCCAATAACAGATGCTCCTTCTTATATAAGAAAAGAGAAATGCTTTCTGCAATTGCTTCGAAATGGTCGAGCCTGTAGAGAAAAAAATTCGAAGATCAGTACTAATCTTTTACCCGAAGTTGACCACTTGATGGTTTCTGGACATCAAGATTTTGATCAGGTGGGCTACAAATTTAGCTCCGAATTCATTAATGGTCCTATTTTAATTTCAAATTTAAAGAAAACTGGAGATGACTTAACGTCTGGTCTGGCTGATAAACAAGATCCCAATGTGAGAATCCAGATAACATAAAATTTTCGGACGATGAGAATGTCTTTGTCGACAGTGAAGCATGTTTTCCCATTGCTGATGAATCTCATGGTCTCAAATTGTGCAGGAAACTGATGTGTTAGATGTTGGAGTAAAAACATCTAGGGATAATAGCTTCAAAAGAACATCTCCTGTTCAACATGTGGAGGATTGTGAACTTGAGGCTTACTTGAGAACAAAACTTGTAGCGAAGTTGGGTACGAAATCCTCATTAAAAAGCGCCTCCAAAAGTTACAACACAGATGGGACAGTGGCAAAACCAATTGAAACGGTTGCCGGGGATGAAAAAAGTAGTGCACATCTGCAGATGATAGCTGATGTGCCCAGTCAGCTATTGCAGGAGCGTCAGAAAATTGTGGAAGGTACTGTAAAATCATTTTTATTCTGGTTGTTGAAATTTGAATTTTTTGGGTTCGTTGATTATGCATACTTACATTCTTAAATATTCTAAGACGTTGGTATGAACGTCTAAGCCCTATCTCTTAGACATAATTTATTTTTACTGTGATGTAGGACTCCATGTGCTTAGCTGTTATTTAGAGATGCTAATTTAAATGACAGTTGACCGATTAAATAGTCAACATATTTGAGTAGTTACAGTAGGGTTATACTTGTTGTTAGGGTCACTGGTAGGGTGCCTTATGTTCAAAATAAGATTTCGATCACAGGAAGCACGTAAACTTCTTCTGACTAGAGTGGTTAATTATGATGTGTTAAGGGTGAGCTAAAATATGGAGCATGGAGCTAGGACTATGGGAATTCAGAGTCAAGCATAACCAGAAACAATAGATCTTTGGTAACAAGTTAGATGAGTGATCCATAGTAAGATTGACAACGATTAGACTTTGAACTCGTGGGTGGAGACTTGTAACTGACGATCTTGAAACAAACTGCGCACCAACTACTCTCCTCTTGATGATGTTGGGATCCCACAAAGCTTAAGGGATGTTAGGGATCTAGGACAAAATAACCCTCAAGATGACACTTTGGGGCCCCGATCTCACACTGGAGAAGGATCAGCAAAACCCTCTTGGAGAAACAGCTAAGAGAAAAAAACTCATTCAAAAGACAGTTCCTTAGCATCAATTTGGACCTCCTATTTATATGAGGAATGTGGGTTCTTTGACAGGCATACTTAGATCTGGCCTAAAAATCTCAAAAGCTCTCATAACCAATGGGCTAGAATTTCGGTCTGAATTGCTTTAAAAAATGGGAAAAAACAGTTGGGATACCAAAGGGTCTTAGATGGGCTAAAAAACTCGATGTAATTAAAATATTCAAAGATAGATTTAGACTAGTGGCCTACGAAAACCAGCAAAAAATCCCTATTCCATTATTCACCGAGTCTAATCATGTGCGTCCTTTGAGTGTGGACCTTGACATTGACTCCGATATCCTCATCATACTGCCAAAATTTATACCTACTTTGCTGCACAATCCCAATGGCACTATTTTAACCATTAGTTTTACTCTTGAGCTGTGAGTACTCAACTAGGCTCAAACTGTTAGTAATATGTTAGGGGAACGGTGAGAGAGGGTGAAGTTATTATTGGCATGAGTACATTAATGCAGTATTATTGCAGTTGAGTCTATCTATTTTCGTAACAAATCTACCCAAAAATGGAGAAAAACCTCTCTTGCCTTTTACCAATAGTTCCAACTCTGGCCTTTTTTATTCTTTCATGCATCTCAATAGCTTCAGAATAGTTATGCATTTAAAGGGTGTAGTTTCCACTTTTTATTGTTTTTGTTGTATGTGCATTGTACGTTTGACTTGTTTGTTCAATTTTTTAGGCTCTGAAATTCCTGGGAGATACTGCAATCAGGTTACTGAGCGAATAATTCAATCCGATGTTGATGATCTCTGCCTCAAAGATATCTCCATAAGTATAAATCCTGAAGATGATAGTTCCTATCCAAAAGTTGACCGCAGTCTCAGCCAAGTTGCAGTTTTCTCTGTACCTTCTGTTCTACAGATTGTATGCAATCATTTCAAACTTTTGCCTCCAGAACTAAGTATCTCACACAAAGACCTTACTGATGTCAGAGCTAAGCATAACATGTTGCTATCGTCTTTACCTATTATGGGTTCTCATAATGTTGATTTTTCACTTGATCTCTTCTGGCCACTTTGTATGTTTGAGCTCCGTGGTAAATGTAACGATGATGAGTGCCCATGGCAACATCTCAAGGGTCAGAATCGACAGAAAACAAACCCAGTTGTCTCCGCAAATTTGTCTTCAGGTGCATATCTATTACAAGTCTCAATGCATTTGTTGACCTTGCCATTTATTTGAAGTGGAAACCTTATACTTATCTGAATCCATAAGCTTATATTTCCTTCTATTTCTGCAGCTAATCAGGTTGATTCTTCACAAAGCCTTGGAAAAGTTAATGGTGTTCATGGATTTCCACGTAGACTTCGTTATAATACTTTGCCAATCCCAACATATCACATTGGTACATATCTGATAGAAGCCGACACACTGTTATCCCAATCTGTCCTGGCCTCCTGTACGCAACAATATTGGGACATTGCGTTTTGTGCATCTCTCTCGTTACCTTTATCTGTTCGGAGGGTTCTTCCTTCATATATACCATTTTCATGTGCTGGTGATGTCCATCCTGCCAATGAAGATAATTGGAACAGGCCGTCATTATATTTTTCATGTGAAGCTGACACAACGGTTTGTCTTTGTTCTAATTGCCATCTCCTACAGTATAGCAGTCTAAAATATGTTGTTTACTGCTGGAACGTAGCGATCTTATTTAAGTAGAGTGTTTTAATTTGAAACTTTAATTTTTATTTTTTTTTGCGGTAAATGGCTTGGCATGGTACGTGCCAACCTCAGATAAGTGTGACGAGTAATGTAGAAAGGCAGACACTGGATTTTCTTATTAGTTGTGACAAAGTCATGTGCATTGCCGTTGTTCTGTTAACAAAACTGTATGCCAAATACCTATTTATTGTCTTTCAGGATTGTTAAAAAATCTCATCTGTGTGCAATGATATCCCTTTCCGCCAGTTTGTGTGCATACAGATATTTTGGTTCTCAGAATATCTTGTCACTGGTCTTTTGGCTGCTTGAAAGTGTATTGTTCTCACACTTACATACACACACACACACACACCGGGCCCAACTTGTACAGAGACTCCAGGAAGTCCATACCATGAATACCTGATTTCTCCATTTTCTTCCAAAATATAAGTGCACAGCTTCTGTTTAGCCTTGGATGAAACTTTTCTTCGTAATAGTGCAGTATCATATTTTATAAGTTTTTACGTCATATGTATAATTGTTTGCTGTTACTTGCCAGGTATTATGACAATCAGTTTCTCTAAGTTTGGTCCCATGTTTATCAACTTAGATTTTTTTTTTTTCATATATTGATTATAGCTTATCCATCATACTTTGATCTTTAGAATGTTTTCTTTTTGTAAATATTTTCCCTAGAAAAAATTGAAGCAAGGCTTGAGTGATCCTGAACAGACCCTGGAGATGGCACTTGATCTTCTAAACAAGAAGATGAGTAGCATGCCTCTGAAAAAGAAGGTAGCGATTCTTACCAGTTAATTACTGGACCACTTTTACAATTTTGTTTTTTTTCTTCTGAATCCACATGTGCCAACAGATTTAATGTTAACACCACGTTTTATGTGAATCTTATGGTGAATGCTAATCAACAGAATGCTTTAGAGACTTGTTGACTTTGTTGGATAAGAATAGCAACCAAAAGAAAAAGAGAAAAAAAAGGAATTTGATTTATATGCTCTGTTGGTTTACGCTAGGTTCTTTCTTCAAACCTGTTAATTTATGCTTGCATCCTTTTGTCGTATGTATCATCCAAAGGTTATTTCTAGATTATGTGAGGCTGAGACATTGAGTGGGTCACTGGTACCCTGTTCTCTCTCATGTTAACCTGGCACCAGAGAGGCTTGTCACTGGCATCTAGAACAAAAATTATAAGCGGTTGCTTCAGAGCTCAATCTCAGTGCACATTCAGTCTGTGGTAAGGATGCCACTTTCAATGTGGCGTCCATCACCGTATTTAATCTGTCATCCTTCACCATCGCTACAGATGCATATTTCATTTGCTTTTCCGAATAGATGCGAACCATTTTATTAACGAAGTCTAACATAGTTTTGGACCTTTCTTCCAGGCATTGTCTCTCTTAGCACGTGCTCTTGAGGCGGACCCAAATTCTACTATCCTCTGGATTGTGTATCTCCATATTTACTATAGGAAAGAGAAGTCCGTTGGCAAGGATGACATGTTCTCCTATGCGGTATTTTGGATTTTATTATTTTCAATAATTTTATGGGAGCCTTAAATTTGAGCGTTCACAATCTTCTTCTAGAAATGTCATCCTTTTTCTGTGGATTTTTTTAAACCATTCCAAATTCTTTCTGGTTCGCCTTACTTTTTGTACGTTGTCCAACTGTTCATCTTCTCTGCTTTTTATTCTTCCTTGAATCAAGTTGAAGGTTGCATTACAATTTCTCACTGTTTGTTGCAAAATACCAAAAGAGGAAGTAGGCACATGATTCAAGAAGGTTTTTTTTTCAATTTCGTGTAAATGTATTGCGGTAATAATAATTGGAAATAAATATATGCGTATAAGATGAACTTTATTATTATACCTATGTCGTTCGTTTAATGCGATTTGGGTTGATCTGGGTTTTCGAGGGGCTGGAGAAAAAGGGTAAAGGGAGGAGATCACAGGAGGAAGACTAGTAGGTGATAGACTTGGTAGAGGTAATGAAGAGGAAGAAATTTATCAGCTTATACTCTTCCAATCCCCTCCCAAATCAGTATTACGATGAGTCGGATCAGATTAAATTGGTTGGTGAACCATGTTTCAAGCCTTCTGTGTGGTTTCCTGTTTTAATCCAATATTTAGTTGAATTAGTGAATGTAATAATTAAATTAGGAGCTGTTTAAATTCCTATCTAGGATCTTTTCTCATAATTTCCTAAAGAAATCCTTTGTAGTTTCAATGTAAGAAATACTTGTTGGCTACCTCTAACTTTGAAGGTAATTGCTTAGGTTTAACTGGCATGGTGGCAATACGATTCCATAGATATAACCGATCTGTTGATTAGTCTTTTATATGGAGGTTCAGTGGTATAGCTTGCCATATTTTTATGAGAACATATATGATGTTTCTCTTTAGTGTTGTGCGGAAACAAATGACTTATTCAGATATTCATATTTCGTGGTCATTACTTGGATGGACGTTTGTTTAACTTCGCATTCCTGGATATTATTCCTTACCGTTTCCTTTTTCCATCTTTGGTTCATGATCTACAGCTGTGGACATGGCCTTTGACACCATTTCTTGTTCGAAGCTATTTTCTGTTTTGTTATTGTGACATATCTTTGACAGTGTGCTGTTCTCCATTTCCTGAGAATTAATTGAACTGGTTACCTCTGGATCGTGTGATCAATATGGCTGTATTGATATGCTGTCTCTCGACTTTTTTTTCTCACTTTTCTGTTTCCCCACCATTATGGTAATCTCGAATTAGTGTGATGTTTTGGTGATCCGGGATAAATGGGATGGTTTACTTTCAAACTTGGTCCAATCGCCTTTTATGAATTTATAAACGCTCTTCTAGTCTGTCTTGCAGTTGGACCCCTTACGCAACCCTTTAAAAATGTGGTTTAGAAATATCCCCTTTATGTGGAGTGACTAGAAATTCCTTTATCAGCCTCAGTTGTTGAAGCAGATTTTTCTAAAGCTTTGGCTGTCATTCATCTGGATGATATTGACTCAAATATACTCAAATTAAGAACTCTGGCTTCATGAACTTCGAACAGAAACCGCTTTGATCCACATTGAATTTAGGCTTTGGTTAGTAGAGATTCCCGGCATACTGTTTCACAGAAGTCATCTAGAAAACCTAGCTGAGACATCCCGTTCAATTGCAGGTCAACATGGTGATCTTCAGAGAAGCATCACCTTCATTAGAGATTACTTGAAGAGTTTCCATCATTTCGGAAATAACTAATGTCCTAAAGGCCTTTTTGGATGGCATTTAACTTCTTGCCAGTTTCGAAATATTGGAGTGGAGAGGCAGAGGAAAAGGAAGCATTTCAATTCCCTGGGGTTTCACTCGTCTGCTTCCTGAATGAAGGCGACGAATAATTGGGAACACAGTGAAGGGCTTGTGAGACATCAAGAAAATTTATTTTATATTGGATTCAACACCAGAATGATCTTATGTTTTTTATGAGTCTGACATCTTACTCTTTTGTTACAACTTTTGCACCAATGAAGGCTCTCTCATTACAGAGATAATATGTAACTCCATCTATGGCTGAAGAATGATGCTTTTGGCCATCTAATTAGTTCAAACAATAGAGCACTGGAAAAGTTGACTGAGCTATAGCTCATGTTAAAGAAAGTTCCATTGACTTCACGCCAGAATGAGGATTGAGTTGTGAATTTTTCTAATGGATTCCAGCCGTGCAGCAGGACTACCTCTCTGGTTAGAGCTGTTAAATCCGTAGTGAGTTGGCTGATTGTGTCATTGATTTGCTTACATTTGTTCAACCTGGTATCCCCTTTAATATTTAGTAGGAAACTTGGGCCCAGAGGATCAGTTGCTTCGCAACATGGATTCCATAGAGGAATTTTTGTGCTTTAATAGCAGAAAACTCTTTCTCCTTAATGTCATGATATGTCTGTAAATGCAGAGGGATCAGTGTGATGATGAATAGAGCATCCCTCTGTACTTGTTTATAGGGTTGGAGTGACTGTTTTCACTAGTTCTGCTGTCTAAAATGTAGGGAGAAAGATAGCGAATTTTCATCAGTTGTGGTAATTCTTATTTATTAATTTTAGGCCGCTTGTTTTGCCAATGATATCCTCAATTTTTATCTATGTAGAAGTCCATTTCCCACACCTGAAGGCATTGAAAATGCAGCAAACGTACATAAAAGAAGACTATGTTGCCATAGACGTTGAGTCATGTTATGCTGCTTTTGCATCTAGAAAATCCAGAAAATTCAAAGAATAGAGATGTCTTATCATCTTGCCAACTGGCTTAATGGATTGCAACATGTTGAGTTCGATGGCTGGACTTTTCCCTAGAAGATCTACTCAAAGTCATCTAGAGCAGTGGAGCCTATCACCTACTGTCTTTTGCCTTTTTTTAAATTATGTTTCAAGATAATTTTAAGGTAACTGTTAAATATGTGGTAAATAAGATAAAAATATTCATCTATCCACGTAATATTATAATCGGGAATCATGTAAACATTACTTTAAATAATCAATAATTCCTAGTTTAGCAAGTAAAGTAGTAAGGTAACCCACATGTCTGTTTAAAATCTAAATCTAAATCCCAAACCACACGCCTTCATCTAAGAATGCTTCGGAAACTAAATTTCCATATGTATCAATCTCCTCAGTAGCAGTATTTCTTGTGTTGATTGGCATGAGGTGTAAATGAGCACAATTGGGTGAGCATATTGCTATGGAGTCCCAAAACTGGAAGTAAGATGAATTGCATGAACAGTCTTTGACGCTGCAACTGAGTTACCCTCCTGGTTATGACCAATATGGTGCGGTTTTCTCATCATTTTTGCCAAAGCTTTTGGTAGTTCTACAGCAGCAGCATCTTTGAGCAACTTTTCTTCATTGCCCTACTGGGTAATTGAAAAGGCATTGCTGCTTTGTAAAACCCTATCATTCCTCAGTGATGAGAGTCGTCTGAAAGGCATTCGAGGGCAATCACAAAACTTAGACCATTGAAGAAGAGATTGAAGTGTATGAAAGAACAGAGGGCAGGAGGCAGTGGCAAATGCGAGGCCTTGAGAAGTTTTGTATATGGGCACTAGTGATGCAAGTTCACCTAACATGTCTGGCATTTATGATAATGAGTATTTTTAGGACATTGTGAATTTTCCTAATTGACATTTTTTCCTCTCACGAAAGAGGATCACCAAATGTGGTAATACTGTTTGCGTTTTTTTCAGCTTGGAACTATAAACCATTTCAACTCAATAGCTTGTAGAAACTTCCTCCAGTGTGTATTGCCTTATCTTGTTTTCGGATTCCTACTGTCTAATTCGAATTGAATCTCCAAAGTATTTATTTCACGGGATGCTTTAATCTTCTGAATTTGCATTCCAGGTAAAATTTAATCAAGACTCTTATGAGCTGTGGCACTTTTACATCGGTAGTAGGATGCATTTTGATGATCGGATGATTGCTTATGACAACGCTTTGTCTGCACTTTGCCAACAAGCCCAAGCTCCTGTTAAAGAAGGGAAACATATCAGTGCGTGCATTTTGGACCTGTCTCTGCAGATGATCAATTCCCTTTGTGTTCATGGAGATGTTGACAAGGCCATATCCCGTGTCTCTGAGCTTCTTCATCCAGTAACAGATATGAGATCACATGTACTGCTTTCAGATCTTCTCCCATGCCTGGTTACCTCTCATAGATCCATCCTTTGGATCTGCTGCGTGTATTTAGTAGTTTACAGGAGACTTCCCGAAGCTATCATTCAGCAGTTTGAGCTGGAGAAAGATCTGCCTCTTGTGATTGAATGGCCCGTCGCCCACTTATCAACTGGGGAGAAGCATCGGGCTCTAGAATTGCTGGAAAAGGCTGTAGGCGCCCTAGCTTTGGATAATGATGGCAACTTACTGGAAAAGGAATGGTCCCAGGACGATGTTCAAAGATCAGCGCACTTTCTGGCCATTAACCACATCAAGTGTTTCAGTGCCCTTAGTGGTGGCCTAGACAAGGCTCCTGATCTGTTGGCTAAGTATGTGAGAATGCTTCCGACTTGTGTTGAGCTTCATCTGATCTCTTTTCACCTGCAGAGGACTTTCACCAGTGAAGGGTTTGCCCAAGGCTTTGAAGAAGCTTTGAACAACTGGCCGAGAGAACTTCCTGGAAGTCAACGCCTGTGGAATCAATATGCAGCATACTGTTTGGGGCGTGGCGGGTTCGAGCTCGCAGAGAAGCTCATGGAACGCTGGTTTCATTCCTTCTGCGAAAACCAGGGCACACAATTGCCTTCGTCTTCACTGCTTGGCGCCACCTTCCAGTCCAGCAAGAAGGACGTGATATATGGGCTTCTTAATCTGTGCCACTACAAGCTGCTGCAGAAAAACACGGAAGAAGCCCATCTAGCTATCGCCCAGGCATTGGATTTAGCCACAGAGGAGGAATACAGGCACTGCGTGAGAGAGCATGCTGTTCTATTCGCCTGCTCTCTCCCATCAGCCGACAACCCACAGAGAGCCATACTTGATCTCCTGACTGGCTATCTCTCTGATATCCGCACTTCTTCCTTGCGGGAGCCGCTAACGAGGAAAGCATTCACGGCTCTCAAGAAGCCGAAGCTGAGGCAGCTGGTCGTGAGCTTACTGGGCCCAGTTCCTACGGATCCCTCTCTCCTGAACTCTGTCCTTGAGACGCTCTACGGCCCGTCGCTCTTGCCGGAGACATTCGATGAGCCCAAGGACCTGGTCGACTATGTCGAGTGCCTGATGGAGATCGCGCCGGCCAATCATCAGCTTGCTGTGTGCACCTATGAATTTCTCTGCAGCGGTCGGCACCCTGCGGTCTTCGCCTCCCGCAGTGTGGTGTTCTGGGCGGGCTCTCTCTTGGCCAATTCGATCTTCCAGTGTTTCCCGGCCGCGCCGGAGTCGGCTTGGCTGCGGGCGGCCGGCATCCTCGGTCAACTTCAGATGCAGGGCCTCTCGGAGTCTTTTCATCGCCAGGCTGTCTCAGTGCACCCTTTCTCTTTGAAGCTCTGGCTGTCCTATTTTAGTCAGTCAAAGTCAAGCGGAAATGGAGCTTCTGTCATGGAAGCTGCCAGGAAAAGAGGGTTCGAATTAACATGAGGTTTTTTTAATAAAAAATTATATTCAACTTTTTTTTTTTTTTTTTGCCAGTCTGTAGATTCTGGGAAGCTTTCTGAGGTTTTGGTGATGGCAGATGAAGTAAATAGAGTGTTACTCTGTACGAGTTCTGGTTCTGTCTTGACCTTTTTTTTTTTTTTTTTTTGACTCCCCCTTGTAAATCTACTTTTTTCTTCTCTTTTTGTGAAACTCTTGGAGGGGGGGAGGAGGAGAGTTGTGGGTTTGACTTCTGAATGGCGCGGGTTGTCGGCAATATTGATGATTGATAGGGGGGAAAAAAAATATTTTTTAATAGAACATCTTGTTCCGTTTTCTTTGTGCGTTAATGATTTGTGCTCTGATATCGCGTTGACTTTGAGGATCTCACAAATTGATTCGTCTAGTGCCCTTTGACAGGGTTGACTTCGGATTGGGCGAGCCCAGAGCTCACCTTAACTTAGTTTAGTAATATTCTTAATACTAGTTTTGATTTGGATCTCGAATTAAAATCGGGAATAAGAATAAGATGAATACGTCCACGATCAGAGTTTCTACACAGTTTTTTGGTCGAGAAGAGGAAGAAGTGGGTTTGACTTCTGAATGGTTCGGGTTGTCAGCAATATTGATGATTGATAGGGGAATTTATTTTTTTTTAAGAGAAACATTGTGCTCCGTTTTCTATGTGGTTTCATGGTCTGTGCGAGGCACTCCAGCCCCAATGATGGTCGGCTCTTTGACAAATTGACCCATCTAGTGCCCTTTGACAGGGTTGACCACCTTAACTTAGTTTAGTAATATTCTTAATACTAGCTTTGATTTTGGTCAAAAAATTAAAATCGAAAATAAAAATAAGTTGAATTTGTCCCCCCATCAGAGCTCCCACAGAATTTCTACATGGTTTTTTTTTCTCGAAAAGGATGGATATTTTTTGCCGAGAAGTGGAAAATTATATTCTTGGAGAGTTGTGGCTTTGACTTCTGAATGATGCGGGTTGTCAGCAATATTAATGATTGATGGGACCAAAAATTATATATTTTTCCTTACAAACGTCTCGTTCTGTTTTCTATCTTCTTTATCGGTCTTTGCTCCGATACCGCGTTGACTTTGAGGCGCTCCAGCGCCAATGATTGTCGGCGCTCTCACAAATTGACTCATCCAGAGCCCTTTGACAGGGTTGACCACGGAGTGGGCGAGCCCAGAGCTCAAATTATATTCTTTGGAAGACGACCGTCTCATGATCTCACCGGACTCGGAACTAATCAAGATCCGGAATCAACCCCACGCGAAATATCCAAAAAGATCACATGAAATCAAATCTTCTGTGAGAGCCGCATGACAGAACCAATGGGAAATCAAGATCCGGACCAGCCGTTTATAGTAAGAAGACGAAGAAGTATGCATGATGGGCAGCAAGCCCCTGGGGAACAATCAATCTCAATTAAAACAAGATGAAGAGAGAGAGAGAGAGAGAGAGAGAGAGAGAGAGAGAGAGAGAGAGAGAGAGAAACGCGTATCATAACTCTTACCGGAAGCCACCCTCTGACCATGTTGAAGCAGATCTTCCACTCTGAATGGCGCTGGATCTCTGGTAGTAGCTGTTGTCATCATCGTCGTCGTCATCTTTGTTGTCGTCCCACCCTCCCCAGCCATCCGCAGCCTGCCCTCCTCCGCCCCTCGCGGGGTCTGCCTTCTTGGCCTCCTCCTGGCCCCAATCGTCCCAAGAACCTGTAGAACTGCTGTGATTTCTGGAAGACGAGTGATCCCCGGAGGATTTGTACCCATTGTTATCTGCGCGGAGTCCATTCCTTTCGCTCTCGGGCTGCTGCCAGCTGACCGAGCCTTCCTTCGCGAACTCCTCGACCTTCTGCGTGGCGATGGCCATGACCCCCTTCATGAGTCCCCAGGTCTTCTGGCCGATCTCAGTTGTCTTCGTGGTGACGACGTTCACTGTTTCATTCACCTTCAGATCGTAGCCCCGCTCCATCGCCTGCACAAGAAGCATCAGAATAATATCAGTGCGATGTGATCTTCGCGATAAATGAAACCAAGCATTACCGAAAGTAGCTAACTTTGATAGAATCAGGCATAGTTAGGTGAATCTGAGATTGGATTATCAGATAATAAATTTAATGAGCATAGTGAACTTTGGTATGTGGTCATTCATTCTTTGCAAATCGACTAGAAGATGGGTTGGGCCAGAGGGTTGACTTGCTTCTCCAACTACGAACAGAACATGTTGTTACAAAACCATGCAGATGAGATGTGATATCACTGGGTCGGAAATGTCTACTACGGAAAGCAGAGAGATCTTTATCCATGGCCATGCAGTTCCGGTTATGGTTCCAACAATCGCCATGAGAAGACAAAAGGCAGATCCGAAGGCCATCCGATAGACATTCGGGAAAGATCATCTCACACGCCACAGTCAACTGTAATGTATTCCAAAATGTCAAGAAACATGGTATTATATGTGTTTTGACCCCTCACTGACGAAAAAGTAAATGCCACCAATCATTCAACAAAGTAGACCACGGTCAGACACATGGCATAGAATATAAATGCAAAACTTTCTATGATGATACTGTTTGCTAACAAATTCGATTTTTTTGATTCTCGATCACTATGCATCCGTTACAAGTGAATGAAGAAAACAAATCCTCGAAGAAGAACCTTGCACTTCACATACACTCGAAGAACAAGTAAAGGTCAACTAAATGATGAAGTGTATGAATTCCAAAACGCAAATTATTATCCTTTTACGACATTTTGGACCAGCTGGAGTCAGTCAAGACGCTCTGATAATGCATCTAATTGAAGCAAGACTTGTCGAACACTTGATTCTGGCCCCAGGTCAGATCATCCACCCCAGAATCGAGATTTCATCGGAAAAGAAAAAGGTATTTAGAAGGGAATCAAGTCCAATCTCCTCAAAAATGTTACAGGTAGAACCAGATTCGTGTACCACACATCAGTCTAGTTCGATCACGATCATATACGCCAATCTTTAATCTCAGATAAAATGATGGGTGGTTGTCCAGAATTCATTCAAAGGACCATTTAATATCTAAGTTGGTACTGGTGCAATCCAATCTTGAAGCTATTCCCATTTTGAGTTCCTTCTAACAGCAGAAAATATGCAAATGATATCCCCGACTACCAAATGCAAGCTTGGAACATAAATAGAACATTTCGTCCATTAAATAGAGCCTTATCCTCGATGATTATGTCAACTACTTTAATTTCATGACTAAATAGTCACAATCTACTTACACAACAAAGTGCACGTGGTTCTTGCATTTAAAAGCTCTCTAAGAATGCGTTTAAACAAATACGGTTCGCTGAAAAATGAGACTGAATATTCCAAAGGCTTTTTAGCAATGCTAAAAACTAACAGTTGTTGATATATATGTGAAATGAATACCGAATGCAGAAAAACTGATTGCACGCAGCATTTTCCAGCTCTGTTTACTCCCAAAAACTCATTGATAAAAATAACCACGCATATGACCTTGTACTTCGATTCTGTCGGTATGAACGCAAATATTCACAATTAAAACAAACACAACGGTCAAGAACCATATGATGCTCAGTAAGAGTCTCTGGGATAATCTGATACCGCAACACATGCTTCGGATCTGACGTGCAGAAAGAGAATGAATAACACTTATTTTCCTCACCATATTATGAAGAAACAACCATCTTCATCGTATCATAAAGCACGCATATGCATATAGAAGATGGGCTTTTTCATTGAAAATGGAATATGTGGAATAGCTGATTAGTACCTTGGAAGTTAGATCCTTGGTGCCTGCTTGGACAACAATGGCAGCAGATTGAGCGGCAGAAGCTGCAACAAAGGATAACCGACCCAAACCCTGAAAAAACAGACGATGTCATTCTTCAAACACCCAGATGAGCATGGGTATAAAAAAAAAATACAGAAACATTCCTCGAATCTGCAGAGATGAAAAAGAGGCACTCTAGTAAACTGCCATAGTGCGAAAAAAACCAATTTTGAGGGAGCGCAGACATCACAACCCACTCAAGAGGATTATGCGTAAAACACTTGATTACCCATTAGCTAGATATAGCAAAGAAGATCATCAAATAAGTACCATTATACTTATCAAGGGTGAACCTGGACAGAATTTATGATGAGATTAAAGAGGAAACGTGATGTGAGCAATACATTTTAGCCCGCACCACGTAGCAAATGTGATATTTTCACTCTTCCAAGAGGGACACGTATACCAACTGCATACTGTTCATATCAGGACTAGTTTTGATCGCATAAACACATCGATACCTGAGAAACAACCGACACAGTATCTTTGAGGATGTCACCCTGTGAATTGTTCCGCTGCGATGATGGAGATGGCGATGATCCAAACCCCACATACTTTCCCCCTTTCGAGGGCGGAATGCCCTCTGGCCTAGAATCATTCTCCGCCAGCTTCCTAGCAAAGAAATCATCCTTGTTTGCAGCTGATGCCTCCAGCTGAGCTCTCGTGTATATGTCCTCAGTAGATTTTGACCTCGAAGGCTGCAAACTAGTCCTCCCTCCTCCAACGTCCCCAGACCTGAAATCCCCCACGGATTGATTCCTCCTGATATCTGTGGAGCGAATATCTTCGCCTTCCCAGCTATCCCACCCACCAGTCTTCGCAGAGGTCTGTCCCAGAGGGGGCTTCCTCGCTGCAGATCCCCCTCCCCCTGAAAGCGTCTCCTTAACGACAGGCGGATCCCGCCAGGGGCGACCCTCCGCGAGAGCCTGTATCCGATCGCGGTAGACCCCCGCGGCGCCGGTGTTGTACTTAACGACGATATCGGTCTGTTTGGGCACGCCATACTGAGCAAGGAAGGCGTTGAGCCGCTCGTTTCCCCCGGCCTCCATTTTCTTCAGCTGGATCTCGGACCAAGAATCCATAGTAACGGAGCGGACGAAGCTGATGTGAACGCCGAGACCCCGATGCTTCCCGGAGCACTCGAGGCACATGAAGACGCCATACGAGACGGACGCCCACTGCGGATTCTTCTGGGAGCAATCCACGCAGGTCTTGTTTCCCTGCTGAGACTGGAGCTCCCGGAGGCGCCTCGACGCCGCCGAGGCCGCCGCCATTCCCGATCCGATCAATCTAGATCCCACCGGCGCCGATGAAACGATCAACTCCAAGCAAGCAACCGATCGAGAGGCAGATCTCTTTGCATCCGCAGATCACCTCCAACTCAGATCGAGACGCATTGGCAGAAGATGAAGAACCAGTCAACACCACCCTCCTCCTCCTCTCCCCCACCCCTCACGCTCTCTGGCGGGACGGAGGAGAAGGCTCTTCCTCTGGAATGGCGGGCAACAGTTGTACAGCCGCGGTCTCCGCAGCGATAACGACTCCCCCTCTTTTACCTTCCCAACCAAAAGACGGAACGTTTGACTGAGTATATTACAATGATAACCCCAGTCTTCTCTCTCTCCGTCCTAGGCGGCGGCCTCTGGTCAACAATAGTAGGTCAGACGTAGGTGAGCCCATTTGCACCGGAAGCGAATGTACTGAGTCGACTCGGCAGCACGACGATCCAGAGTGTGGGTTTTCATTGCCCTGGCCCCGGAATAAACCCCAGCAGAAAGCGCGCCGGCGGCGAGGAGGCGGAGGATCGCCGGCGAAAGTGGGAGCCACCGGGATGTTCTCTGGCCCTCGGTGCTAGTGCTTACTTCTCTCTCAGGCACCGATTTTTCGGAGATGAAGAACTTGAAGGTTTCGTTGGAGCTTTCCTCGGAGCTGGAGCTTCAGCTGGAGGGGGAAACTCTGTTGCTGTCTGCTTTCGATGTCCAGAAGCGTCGTTTGTTCTTCGCCTCGTCAGCTAGTTTTATCTACGCAGTCCACCTAGCTTCCTCCCATGTAAGTGGCAGAAGCTTCTTCACTGTAGATAATGGTAACTTCAGATGCGTTTCGGCTGTAGAGAAATACGAAATGCGGTCTTACACTGGACGAAAAACAGATATAATTATAATATACTTCATGATATGAATGTTTTTTCTGTTTCGGCCTTTGAGCGATTTGGATATACGTTCCGGTAATTCCTTAAAATTCAAAATTAAGTAATTCGGATATTCCTTCCAATTCGGAAATGTAGTAATTTCACTTAAATAAAAATATTTAAAGTTTCCCTGAGGGTTACTCCTTGACTCAATAACTCGATTTCATGTTTTTGAGATTTACCAAATACTGGAATCACAGGTTTTCCTCCGCAAACAGAAACAATCATCTAGTCATTTTGAGGAAAACTCCATACTACATTTTTTAGATTTATGAAAAACTCAAAACATGATTTTGGCTGTTGAAAATCTCATAGTTAATGTTCGAAATCAGCATAGAATGTAATTCTGATGCAATTAGAGTCGTTAAGAAGGCGTATGATCATGGTACTAACATGTATGTATTGAGAACCTTGGTTTACGCAGAAAAAAATGAAAGTATTCCGCTCGTGCTTCCAACATTATTTGCTCTTCTGACAACGTAAATGTAGACCATCGAGTCTTCTATTCCATTTACAATGAGAATTCTTGGTTATCTATTTCAACAGTGAGAGAGTTTTCCGTAGTTCTCTTCTATGGTCCATGGAACTCATTTGTGTCTTTCACATAAGGAACCATGGCAACATACTCGATTAATTATAGAAAATACGAACCTATATGTGCTCATAATGACAAACGAACTTGACTCTGAACTCATTATAATTAGTCAGCTCAAAATGGACTGATAAAATGATTTCAATGCAGTAGTCTATGAGTCTGGCGCAAGAAGTTGTTAAAAAATTTTAGGCAGTAAGTTAACCGCAACCACTAGTGAGATGCCTGTGAACATGATTAATTACTGACAACCATGATGTAAACTTACGGTGGAATGAAATTATTTTTGTTGCCTTCAGTTACAAAGAGGATGCTCAAGTTTAATGCTGAACATGGTCAAAGTTCTGCTATAACTGTAACTTTGGCCCCTTTAATTTATCCTCAATTATTTTTTTTATTGAGCATCTTCACATGGCTTTAGGATTCCTAATTGTTGTGTAATGATTTTTTTTTCTTCTGCTTTATCACTGGGAATCCATTCACCTTTCAACACAACCAACTTATAATTTCTCCTGGGATCTGTATCTATTATCCTGGATGATGGTCCGGAAAATATAAACGAAGATGCCAGATTGTGGTTTGTGAGATGTATCAAAGACGATGAATCAAAGTAACACAATGCAGAGCAATCAGTTTAGTCTCGTCTTCGCAAATATGCCAGGCAGCAGTTGTATTATCTACGCTTGCCAGATTACGTATGATGTTTTCGTTTTCCTGCTTTATTTAGGGATTCACTCTGTATTTGTTTGATAAAATAAAATGTTTGTGTTTTCCTTGTGGTATGGAAAGCCATCTCCCTGGTGTATTATCGAGATTTTTAAAAGCTGTCCAATGATACTCTGACAAAAGTGTGTGGGCAAATAGCTAGTTTTTTCTTATGGATATTACGGACTCATGTTATCCAGCTTCCTGGTGTATTACCGAGATTTGTAAAAGTTGTAAAACGATACGCTGACAACAGTGTAAGAAAATAGCTAGTTTTTTTTATGAACCTTACGTGCTTATGTTATTGTTTTTCATTTTTATTTTCTATAAAAAGGAGGAAAGATCTTCAATGGTTGATTCTGTGCTATCCCCACAAGGTGAGCCTGTGGATTTGGAGCATGGTGATTGCATTACTGCTCTCGAATACCAGATGGAGAAGGAGGCATTAATTATCGGAACATCCAGTGGCCATCTGATACTGCATAGTGTGGATTATAATACGACTGAAGTTGTTGGAAAGTTAGAAGGCGGTGTCAAATCCCTTGCATCTAGTCCAGATGGAGCTCTTCTGGCTGTCACTACTGGTTTGGGACAATTACTGGTGATGACTTATGATTGGGAAGTGCTTTATGAAACCGAAATTGATCCTCAACTCACAGATGTACGTTAGCCATGAAATTTACCTTTTGACTCATTAATATTTCTAGGATAGACTATGATCTGTAAACACTTTATATTGGGTTCAAGGAAAGTGATTTTTTTTTTTTCTCTTTTGCAGGATATGAATCGTCAAAATTTACTTGTGGATATGCTGAATGGTTCCTCCAGCTATGAAGTGAACAGTCGCATCACTTGGCGGGGTGATGGAAAGTACTTTGCTACTCTAAGTGGACTCCAGAATACAGCGTGCTCAGGAAAGCTTAAGATTTGGGAACGTGATTCTGGGAACTTGCATGCTACCACTGATTCCAAGGCTTTCATGGGTTTTTCCTTGGATTGGATGCCCAGTGGAGCTAAATTAGCTTGTGCTTATAATAGGAATGATGAGAAGAAGTGCCCTTCGATAGTGTTCTATGAGAAAAATGGATTAGAAAGAAGTTCATTCAGTATCAATGAAAACATGGAAACTCAAGTTGAAACCTTAAGATGGAACTGCAGCTCAGATCTTCTTGCTGCATCTATCACTTGCCGTGAATGTGATGCAATCAAACTTTGGTATTTCAGCAACAACCAATGGTATCTAAAGCAAGAAATAAGATACTCGAAAAATAATGGGGTCAGATTTGCATGGAATCCAACGAAGCCACTTCATTTGATATGTTGGACTCTAGGTGGCAGGGTCACAACCTACAGTTTTGTTTGGACAACAGCTGTGACAGATACCTCAGTAGCACTTGTTGTTGATGATTCAAGCATTCTAGTTTCCCCTCTTGCTTTTTCACTCATGCCTCCTCCTATGTCTTTGTTCAAGTTGAAATTTTCTTGTGCCATTCAGGACATCACTTTTCATCCAAAGAATTCTGAAAGCCAAATAGCTGTTCTCCTATGTGATGGCAGTCTCTCCATTATGAAACTACCATCACCAGATAAATGGGAGCAATTTGAAAGCAAAACATTGACCTCTGGGTCTTCTATCTCAGACCTGATATTGAGTCCATTTTGGCATCTCGCTTGGTTGGATTCACACATCCTTCTTGGTGTTTCCCACTCTGAATATAGAAGTTATAATTACAGATTAGAGGGTTCTTCCAAGATACCTTCTTTTGGTTACTACTTACAAGAGATTGAGCTTGCCTGTTCTAAAGATTGTGAAGGACTTGCATTGTCTGAAAGTTGGCACGTTAGAAACTCAAAGAAGTTACCCGTGGAAAGTCCGGTCATTTCTATTGCCCAGAATCCCACGAAGAATGGCTGTGCATTTGTTCAGTTAGATGGAGGATCCATTTCTGAGTATTCGTCAAGCATGAGCTCCAAGGGCACATCCAGGTTGCCCCATCTTCGTAAGCTTGAGTCTGATAATGGCTTTCCATCATCGTGCCCTTGGATGAAGGCTGTTCTCGTATCTGACAATGGCGTTATGAAATCTTTGCTCTTTGGGCTTGACGAAGGCGGCAGACTTCATGTTGGCAGAAGAATTATCTGTAGCAATTGCACCAGTTTCTCGTTTTACTCAGACTCAGAGAGGCACATGCAGCAAGTGACCACTCATTTGGTTCTCACAACTAGGCAGGATTATCTGTTCGTTTTCAGCATGGATGAGGTTTTGCATGGGAACCCAGAGACACAGATTAAGAACAGCAATCCCGGAAGCATCCGCAGAGGGAAGGAGGAGAATATAGATTGCATTCACGTATGGGAAAGAGGGGCGAAGCTTGTTGGTGTTATCCATGGAGACGAAGCAGCAGTTATTCTCCAGGCTAACCGAGGCAACCTGGAATGCATTTACCCCAGGAAGCTGATCCTCGTGGCAATTACAAATGCTCTGGTCCAGAGACGATTCAGAGACGCGATGTTCATCGTGAGACGGCACAGGATTGACTTCAACATCATCGTTGACTACCTTGGTTGGCAAAATTTTATAAAGTCAGCGGGGGAATTCGTCGGCCAGGTGAATAATCTCACATACATTACTGATTTTGTCTGCGCCGTGAAGAACGAAAATGTGATGGAGACGGTGTACAGGGCTGCCGCCTCCTTGTCTTCCCTAAAAGAGACCTTGCCGTCAGATCCGAAAAACAAGGTCTCCAGTGTTCTGTCCGGGGTCAGGAGAGCCTTGGAGGAATCAGTGGCGGGAAGCCCAGAGAGGGAGCTCTGTATATTGACCACCTTGGCCCGGAGTGAGCCCCCAGCCATGGAGGAAGCACTGGGCAGAGTAAAAACGATACGAGAAATGGAATTACTGGGCACTGATGAAGCTCGGAGGAGAACTTATCCTTCTGCAGAAGAGGCAGTGAAGCATCTGCTTTGGCTATCAGACCCAGAGGCTGTCTATGAGGCGGCGCTAGGGCTTTATGATCTGAACCTCGCCGCCATTGTGGCTGTAAACTCTCAGAAGGATCCGAAGGAGTTCCTCCCTTATCTGGAAGCGCTCGGGCAGCTGCCCCCGAAAATCATGAAACACAGGGTCGACCTCAGACTGGGCAGACATGAGAGTGCTCTCAGGCACATCGCCTCAGCAGGTGAGTACTATGAAGAGGCCTTGAGGCTGCTGCAGAGCAACCCAGAGCTCTTCCCGCTGGGCCTTCAGCTGTTCAACGACCCGGCTAAGAGGGAGCAGGTGTTGGAGGCTTGGGGAGACCACCTTCAAGGAGAAAAATCCTTCGAAAGGGCCGCCATGGTTTATCTGAGCAGCTCCGCCTTTCAGAAAGCTCTCAAGGCCTACCGTGCTTGTGGAGACTGGAAGGGCGTTCTTACAGTGGCCGGGCTCCTGAAGCTAGGACGGGCGGAGGTTCTTCAGCTGGCAAACGAGCTCTGCGAAGAGCTCCAAGCTCTTGGGAAGCCGGCGGCGGCGGCCCAGGTTGCTCTGGAGTACTGTGGAGACATTGGCGGCTGTGTTGGGTACTTGATAATGGCGAGGGAGTGGGAGGAGGCCCTGAGGATCAGCTATCTCCATGAGAGAGGGGACTTGATCTCTGAGGTGACGACTGCAGCCACAGAGTGTTCCACCTCTCTGGTGTCTGATTACAGTGAAGGATCTGAGAAGGTGGGCAAGTACTTGGCCCGCTATCTGGCTGTTCGTCAGAGAAGATTGCTTCTGGCTGCAAGACTCCAGATGGAAGATAAGACGGCGGATGATTATGACGACGATACTCTTTCTGAGGCCAGCAGCACCTTCAGCGGGATGAGTGCTTACACCACAAGGTCAACCTCTCTCTCTCTCTCTCTCTCTCTCTCTCGCTGCCTTATTGATCAATTGGGGATCTTTTTTGAGCAGCACCATGAAAGGGTCGAGCGTTTCGGCCAGCCAGAGTACGGCCAGCAGGCAAAGGGGAGCGAGAAAGCAGAGAAACAGAGGGAAGATCCGCGCCGGCAGGTGTGGTCTCTCTGCATTCAGTTCCTCTATTTTTCTCGTCATCCCTCAACGTCGACTTCCCTTAGCGCTGACCACCCATCTGTCGGCAGCCCCGGGGAGGAGATGGCCCTCGTGGAGCACTTGAAGGCTATAGCGTTGACTTCTTCCGCCCAGCGCGAGGTCAAATCCCTGGTCCTCGCACTCATAATGCTGGGCAAGACCGAGGCTGCCCGGCAGCTGCAACGGGCGGCCGACAACTTCATCCAATCCCAAGCGGCCGCCGTAAAACTGTGCGAAGAAACGATCTCCACCGAGATCGTTGACGAAGCTGCTCACACGCTGGACCGCTACCGGGAGAAGACCGAGGTGGGCCCTTCCTTCTACAGCTCCGTCTTGGCTGTCTGAGAGGAACCGTAGTCAACCTACGGTAGCTGTAATCTTCATCTTCCTCGCCCCCAAAAAAAAAAAGGGGCCTTTTTTGTTCTTGGAGAACTCCTTTTCATTGCAAGAACAGAAAAGAATAGAAAATTTGTGATCGGATTGCCCTCGAACAGGATCGCTTCCGGTTATTAATGGGCGGGAGCAGATCCCGGCGGAGGGCCGCCGGACCACGTTCCCTCCCGGAGACGGCGATCCCCGCGCATTGATGGAATGAGAGAGCCACGGCCGATCGGGCATTGTTGCACCGTCAACGCGGCGGTTGCATTCAATGGTTAAGAGAGAGAGAGAGAGAGAGAGAGAGAGAGAGAGAGTAATAAAAAAAAAAGCAATCAAATTTAATGCAGTCGTCAAATTTATTGCGGTTAACTGGCAGTCCAACTTGGGGTACTTAAGATGGCGGCGACAGCTCCAATTCGTAAAAGTCGGCGTTTTGATTCCGTGATAGAAGAAAACTGTTTAGTTTGTGAATAAATAAATAAATGTTTTTTTATTAGGATTTTTGACGTGAGATTATTCCACTCTGATAACCGCTGAACCTGTCAGCTCAACGTCTCCATCCGCTGTGGCCCTTCCCTTGCTACGACTCCGGGGGTTCACTCAGATCTCCACGTACTCTCTCTCTCACATCCAGTTATCCATACCCTTTTATGGGAAGGGGACGGAGAGGAGCTCAAGCGGGGAAGGAGGAAGTGGCGGCGGTCCACCGCCGTTAAGATGGCGGCCGAAGAAGGGCCCACCTTGTGGCGCCGACGAGCCAGATTCGGTGTTACAGCAGGGGAACATTTCCCTTGCCACGGCGCGCAAGGCAGGTTTTCAGAGGCACCGGCTGGGCCGCTCTTTCTATAAGGAAACTTTGCCCCGCCGCCTCCTGTGAGTCAGTACGAGAGAGAGAGAGAGAGAGAGGGAGAGAGTGTGTCACAGAGGGAGAGGCTTCAATGGCAGATTCTGCGATCACCTCCCCTCTTTCTTCCCAGTCATTTATCGTCTCCCACGTCTCCCATCCTCACCCCACACCGCCATCTACCATCCGCCAACCATAAATCGATCAAACCCGAAGCTGATTCCTCCCTGTCTCTCTCTCTCTCTCTCTCTCGCTAACTAGCTCGTTGCACCTACATCATAACCGCCTTTCGGCCTCTCTTGTTCACCGGGACGCTTTGTGCACCGGCTTAAGAATTCGAGAGAGAGAGAGAGAGGGAGGAGGGAGAGAGAGAGAGAGAGAGAGAGATGGATCCTTTCACGCTGTTCTCGGTGATGACGGGGCGAGCGGGACGGAGCGGCTTCGGCTCGGCCTCCACCGCCGAGCTCGTCACCGAAGGCGTTGACGCCTCCAACCTCATCGCCATCGTCACCGGTCCGCCTTCTCTCTCTTCCTCCTTCCGGCAGCCATTATCGCCGGCGATGACCTTCTCAGAGCTGCTGGTGCAGGCGGCGCTAGCGGCATCGGAGAGGAGACCTGCAGAGTCCTGGCCCTCCGAGGGGTCCGCGTCATCATCGCAGCGAGGAACATCGACGCGGCCAACGCCTCCAGGAGCCGGATAATCGAGTCAAACCCTGCAGCACGCATCGACGTCCTCAAGTTGGACCTCGCCTCTCTCAGGTCCGTGAGATCCTTCGCAGAGAGCTTCCTCGCCATGGATCTCCCCCTCAACTTACTGATGTAAGCAAAGAAGCTCCTCCTCCTCCTCCTCTTCCTTCCTCCTCTTCGCATCATCGTTCGCCATGAGGATAACTGCACCGACTGGCTCGTTCTGAATCGGTGATATCGCCGTGCCTTTTCTTCAGCAACAACGCCGGCGTGATGTTCTGCCCCTACCAGCTCTCCGCGGACGGGATAGAGATGCAGTTCGCCACCAACCATCTTGGTATGAGCATCGACTTACCCCCACCCGGGTTTTTTCTTCTTCGTTTTTAGTAGATTCTTTCACGAATCAGAGCAAATACCGCGAATTTCGTGCATTGACGTTGCATTCACCAGGGCACTTCCTGCTGACCAACCTTCTGCTGGAGAAGATGAAGGCCACAGCGAGAGAGACCGGCATCGAGGGGAGGATCGTAAACCTGTCCTCCATAGCCCACATCACCAGTTACCCAGGGGGGATCCGGTTTGACTCCATCAACGACGAATCCAGGTGACGATGATCCACAGTCAACCCATAATCCCATCTCCTAAACCCAATGAGCCTAAGATCTCGCAGTATTCTTGTAGATATTTTGACAAATTGGCGTATGGGCAATCGAAGCTGGCCAACGTCCTGCATGCCAACGAGCTCGCCAGGCGTCTCCAGGTCCTGATTTTTTCCACCGAAAAAATTAGATTTTTTTTTATCGGAACCCATCATCGACAGCTGCCCAATAAGCTTGTCCTTGACTTTTGACAGGAAGAGGGAGCGAACATCACCGTTAATTCCGTGCACCCTGGGTTGATCATGACGAATCTGATGAGGCATTCTGCCATCTTGATGAGTGAGTCCTTGAGATTTTAATCAGTAGTCCCCGGAACTTCGTTCTAATCCCTCGGAGAAATATCTGGCCGCAGGGTTGCTCCAAGTCGTCACCTATCTGCTCTGGAAGAACGTGCCACAGGTACCCATCTCATCAATGCCCCACCTTGATCTTCCAACTTTAAATAATATAATTTTTTCGAGTAAATATCAGATTTTGATGGAAACCCACTTCCCGTTCTTCGCCGAAGCAATGTTTCGAAAAAAATGCGCATTTATCAAGCATTAATCGCAGGGCGCCGCCACCTCGTGCTATGTGGCACTTCATCCGGCTCTCCGTGGCGTCACGGGGAAGTACTTCCAGGACTGCAACGAGGCGAAGCCGAGCGCCCACGCGAGGGACGTGGGCCTGGCCAAGAAGCTCTGGGACTTCAGCAGCAAGCTCGTCTCCTCCGACCAGTGAGATCTGGCAGGGCATCGAGGCCGGTTAGGGTTCACGGATGGGCGTCTGTCAATAATGTCCGCTGCCCCTGTTTTCTGGGATTTGATCGAGGACGCGGGCTGATTTCCGGTCTCGAGTCGCGTTTCCGTAGATGATTGTGGGAAGAAATCGCCGACCCCGATGGCCAAACCCCCTTTGTCTGAGTCTCTTTTTCTTCATGATTCCTCGCTCGAATCGGATACGAAGAAGAAAGAAATGCGTATGTGCTGTATTGTTCTTCCGTGAATCAAGAGAAGTATCATGGTTTCTAGTTTTCGGCCTCACAAAATTTACAGAGAGAGAGATGCAGATCAGGAGTGAGCTTCCTCCGGTGAGGGAAGAGAGAGAGAGAGAGAGATGCTTGGGTCAGCTGGTTGCCGGATCGTCGTCGTCCCACAAGCCGAGGGCTCTGACTAGGAGCGCGGCGGCGGCCACCACCGCCGCCGCGAAGATCGGCGGCACGAGGAGGTCGAGACCGGAGCGGCCGAACTGCGCCGCCGGCAGGCACAGCACCTCGCCCGGCACGTCCAGCGGGACTCTGATGAGCTCGCCGCCGCCGCAGGGCCGCGAGAACGAGGACGCCGGAGAGACCGCCCACACGAAGGCGACCTCCGGCAGGACGGACGTCGCCGCCACGGTCGCCGTCAGGAGCGTCGTCCACGTGGCGGCGTAAACCAGCAAGGGCCGGCGCTCCGGCAGTGTCTCCCACCACGCGCGTAAGGCCATCGAATTACCCTCAGCCTCAGCTCCGCCGCCGCCGCCGGAGATGGGATATATAGAGGGCAACGGGCGAGGCCGAACAAAACAAACCCTACCATCCGATCCGACCCAACCCAACCCTCTCAGTCAGTCAACCACGAGGTTGAGTGGGTGCCCCTCTGACCGACCGGCTCCTCGTTCGCAGTGCGGGGTGACGACCTAGGTCAAAGGTCGTTAGGCTCTCACACGTGGCCATGGAGAAGCAAAAAGGTCAGCTCTGGGAGGGAGAAACAGATTGTTTTGGTCAACGTCAATATGAGCCAAGCTCGGCCCAACAAGAAAACTGGGCCTGAAGCCCACTTTCTCCGGAATTTGACCCCCAAACTTGATCAGGATCTGAGAGCGAATACACGTTCAACGCGGAGAGCGAGGAAGAGGAAGCTCAGTAGAGAGAGGAAGAGAGAGAAGAGCATCACCAGGGACATGGCCTGGAAGGAGATGTGGGGGCCAAGGAAGAAGACGACCGCCGTGGAGGCGCTCTGCCAGACCTTCAACTGCGCGAACGCCGCCTCCTGTTGTTGTTCGACACGGAGACCGAAACAAGGTCAAATAACAGCCCGCAGGGAAGGGGAGTTGACTCTACAGATCAGTAGATCAACAGTTGAGCATTTTGGTCAACGGGTTTACCATGTTCCGCCGGAAAAGCAGGGCCAGGAGGGCGTTCAGCTGTGTATTGAACACGCCGTCGCCGACGCCCCATACGGCGGCGATGAGCAGCGGGTAGACGTAGCCAAGCTCACCGCTGGATAAGCTGCGATTTCAGCACAATAATTAGTGTATGTGGGTTTTCGGCTAGTTGGGGAGAGAGAGAGAGAGAGAGGGAGAGGGGGAGACAGACAGAAAGAGAGAGGGAGGGAAAGAGAGAGAGACAGAGAGACCGAGAGAGGGAGGGAGGGAGAGAGAGTTGCCCGTGTTTCAGCAGAAGCCAGAGGAGGGCGAGCATCTGAAGAAACGATCCGCTAGAAACTGTGAGGGTTATCGACGGAAGGCCGGATGTGAACCTCCCGGCGACGAACGAGCACTGGAACAACAGCAAACGGCATAAAAATCGAATCTTTGAGCGATAAGAACAACCCATTACGCAGAAATGAAGACATCCAACAGGAAGAGTTCTATAAAAAAAACATGACAGTATGATCAAGCCCATGACAAAATGGTCAACCCTGAAGGCCGCCACAGCCGCCGGCTCTCGGGCTTACCACAGCATCAGAAGCCCCGTAGATCGCCATCGCCCCACCCACGCCCGACACGCCGAAGGCGGGCGCTATGACATGCTTGGTCAGTTCGGACCTGATTAATACGGAGGAAAAATGACTAATTGAGGAATTAATGGGCTGATTTAAATGAAAAAAATAAAATAATAAAGCGTATCCTTTACCATACATATGCCTGTTGCAGCCCCGAATACACGAGAAGAGGGACGAGCAGCAGCATCTTCTTGTCCAGTAACGGGGCTACAACTGATCTCAACATGGACTTCACAGAAGAGTGATCATCTGTTGCAGAAGGTTCAGAGAGAGGCTCTTCTCTGTCGTCCCTCTTGTGCAGGAAGCACAGGAGCACGGTGCCCAACGTCATGCTAGCAAGGAAGACAGAGAACAGCAACGTCGCGCCCGTGAACCCTTCCCCATCCTGCAGCGTTTTCAGGAGCCAAATCGTCATAAGACATTGAAAGAAAGATCGTCATGACTATAATAAAAAGATAATAATATCGAATGAAGATCTCATTCTCCCACCCAGAAGCCATGTAAACGAGCAGCTGACATTCAGATCAGCTGACATTTGGTAGGAAAAGAAAGATGATATTCTAACTTCTGAACCAGCAACACAGCTGGGGGAGATATCCATGGCATTCGTGAAGGAGGCATGGACAAGATATCCATGGCAGCATCTACATCTGAGCTCCCTAACCGATGGGGGGGGGGGGAGGGGGGAGAAGATGACTTCGAAGAGGCGGCTGACCTTTCCACCTCCCAGCAAGGCAAGCGAGACCAGATTTCCTACAACCTGAGAAAGCCAAAACCGTGGTTCAGAGCACAAAATGGATCAGGAACCAAGGATAGATCCGAGTGATGATGCATGGAAATTGGTGTTTATGTGAATGTAGGCGTTATAGGAGACGTGAGAGTGCAGTGAATCGGGTCCAAGGGTAGACAGACAGACAGACAGAGAGAAGTGCTCAGGATTACTCACCTGGGTACTAGCAAACATCCCCCAAAACTCTCCATTAAAGTTGCCTATAACTTTCCCTTCCTGTAAATGGCAATCCTTTGCATGACTGCGTGCAGCAGAGGTGAGATACGTCCCCTGGTTTTCCATTTAAAGCTAAACCTGTTAATATCCCAGATCACTGAAAAACAGACACAAGTTCGAGATATAATCGGGGATATGTTGACTAATAACCTGTCCGACCCAGATTATTGATGCCGCGTAACCAAGATATAGTGATGCTGGAACCATGGTGTACCTGTAGTAAATGGCTAGAACTTAGAAAAAAATTGGGCAAATGAACAGCCAAGAAACACATTTGAGCTTCATATGAGGTGCGATGTTTCTAATAATCCATAAATCCGTCTTGCCAACCAGTAAAGACGATTACAATCAAGAAAAAATATTGTTCACAAAAAATGGTTCCTCCCACCCCGTAAATCCAATCAGCTACACAGTACCCATAAGGGATCTATCGTCCTACCATCTCTTCTATCATTGGGAAAGCTGAAGAAAAAGTAAGGCTTGAACTTCTCATAAACAGAGTATTTTCTCGAGAAACATATATGGACACTTGTTTTCCGAGCTCGGAGATGTTCGCATCTGCTCGATGAGCTAAAAACCTGCAACCAATGATTAGTGCTAGAAATCCAAGAGGCGCTGCAAAGCAGAAGAACCGTGGGTAGATGCCCTGCACTCCCCAAGGTTTGCCCAGAACCAGGTTTCTCATCGTCGTCGTCATCATCATTGTCGTCGAAATAAAAATAAATCACATTCTGCATGGTTCAGGGTACAGGAGTTGTGTAGTTCAAACCAGCAGGGCTTCAGATTCGAGGCGATGAACAGCCAGTAACCAGTAGAGCCCAGAACGAGCGCATTCTTCGATCCCAAGAACTTGACCATAGATGATGCCGTCAACGAAAAGAAAGTGAAGGAAAGGTACAGTATTCCCAATGATGTCGTGCCCAGATCATCCTCCTGTCAAGAGATAGAGATCAGCAAGCCGCTAGTTTCATTGGGAGACGAAGGGGACGACCGGGGCGGAAGCAAGCTCCTGACAGTAGATCAAACGATGGCAAGACGGATGACAGAAGGTATGGAACTAGGCACACAGTTGAGAGAAATAAACCGAATAAACCTCGAATGAATCGAATCAAAAGGGAGTGAATACCAATCAGGAACCACTCACACGGAAGAGGAAGAGTAGCAGGAAACGTACAGTATTTACAGTGCTCTCCAAGTTCTGCGCAGCGCTGTAGGCAGAGAAAACGAACAGGAACCCGAAGCTGAGGATGTGAACATCCCTGGCGTGGTTCTCCCGCCGAGACGCCTGCGGCAGAGATCTATCCTCCGCGGGCGCAGCAGACGCGGTGACGACCAAGGGGGCGACCTCTTCACTCTCCCGAGCTTCCATGGCCAAGCCCCCGGCGCAAATCCTTCACCGGCAGAAGGCAGATGCTCGGGGCAGACCTTCAGAAGAGCCAACGCCCCCAGAAGCTGGAAAATCAACCAGTTGAGAGAAATTGGTCAGAATCTCCAAGAAATTTGCTTCAGCAAAACAAAGAAAACATCGAGACGTAGTAGTCCGTATGAAATTCGCTCATCTCGATACCCTCGCATCACCGAGTTGATCTACACCACGACGGCGAGGAGCGACAGAGGTGTGGACGCGTGAGAAGGAAATAGCCGAGCCGCAGAAGAGCGAAAGCGACCTCAAGCTGTGGGGGAGCCCCATTTGGACCGCCATTAACGTGCTCCGCATGTGCATCTGCCACGAGCGACGATAGATGACGTCACGAATAGCTGCAACAGCACACGCAGGAGAACCGCCGAGGCGAAGGAATAGAGGCGATCCATGACCCATGAGAATCGTTCTATCACGGTTCTTTTTCTTAGATGGGAAGAAGCATGTCCTTTCCGAGACATTATATTACACTGAAATCTCGCGAGGGAGAGGTGGAGACAATCTGGCATGGGGAGGAGGGGAGAGACAAGCTACATAAACCCTAGATATCCCTTCCCAAAGGAATCTCCAGTCACACATGGCCTACATATCGCTCATGAGCTGGTGAACTTGGTGACCGCCTTGGTACCCTCGGAGACGGCATGCTTGGCGAGCTCACCGGGGAGGACGAGGCGGACGGAGGTCTGGATCTCTCGGGAGGTAATGGTGGGCTTCTTGTTGTAGCGGGCGAGACGAGACGCCTCCTGAGCGAGCTTCTCGAAGATGTCGTTGATGAAGCTGTTCATGATGCCCATGGCCTTGCTGGAGATGCCGATGTCGGGGTGGACCTGCTTCAGCACCTTGAAGATGTAGATCTTGTAGGTCTCGGTGCTCTTCTTCGTCTTCTTCTTCTTCTTCTTGTCCCCGACGGCTGCGGCATCCTTGGACGGCAGCTTCTTCTCCGCCTTCGGCTTCTTCTCGGCGGGGGCCTTCTCCGCCACCGCCTTCTTCTCTTCCGTCGCCTTCTCGGGGGCGGGCTTCTTCTCCGCCGGCTTCTTCTCGGCCTTCGGCGCCATCGCGGGAAATCGAGGAGGGAAGGAGAGGCGAAATTTCGCAGAGAGTCGCTGATAGGCCGGCAACGGGGAACTCGCTTCGTTGAAGGGGAGGGCTCGTTCTGACTTTATAGAAAATATTCCTCAAAATCTATTGGTCTGATAAAAAAACCAGGATCGATGACCTGTATCGATCTTGACCGTTGAATGGCGAACGACGAGATTTGATCACGTTTCTTTAATGATCCCGACTCCCATGCAGTTTTTGAAACTCAGAAGGTTTTGCATATCCCTCCATGATAAATCTCACTATTACAAAAATGTCCTAATACAATTTTATTTGTCTAGTGCTTACGTATTCGTTAACTTCTTATACCATGATAAATCTCCCTGGGTGCGCACATATATATATATATGCACATAGATATATATATATATTAACGATTGAATATACTAAATTGAAATTAAAAAAATCATAATATATAAAATTAATGGTTGAACAACGCCTCTAAACGTAAATATTTTAAAAAATATTATAGTAAAGAATGCATTGTTTTTCTCCCAAAGAATCAGACTTTTGACATATTTGGGTAGTACTAGAAACCATCGACATGAACTATAATATTAATAATATCAAAATGATTGCGATATAACATCATAATTAGAATTTCGCCCTATTCAAAGAGATTAAAAAAAAAATTAAGGGAGGGAAACTAATTTACTATTATCAATCGTAGTACTTATTTTTATTTTATTTTTTTGCTCTGCTTAATCGACGCGTGAATAATTATGAAATGGCTGAAAACAATGATATATGTGGAGTCCTAACCCACTCGCTGTGGATGTACAACAGAGGGCCCATTCAAGAGATAAGGAACAGTTGTGGCGGCGGAACGAGTCAGGTCAACGCTTCCAGGGCCTCCCAAGAACAGTGCCCACCTACCTGCCCACATCTCCACGATCAGTCCTCAGCTTCAGCAGAGTTTGACTCATCACTCGCCTTCTCGTCTCCATTGACTTCTGCTGGTTGAACCCCTCTCTGAGAGAGCATCTCCTTCAGCTTTGCCATCTCATAGTTCTTCTCTTCCAGCTTGTCTTGCAGAATAAACACCTGTGACGATTTAAATAATTATTAAATTACTTCCAAGAACGGCAATTTCTGGTCATTTCAATTCGAATGATACCATTTCGTTTGATCTCTCCATGTCGTTTGTCAGCCCATCCATGTGCTTACATAAAGCTGAAAAAGGAGAGAGAGAGAGAGAGAGAGAGAGAGAGAGAGATAGAGAACATGAGAACACATCAAGCTTAACAATTAATAGAATATTAATTAGCTATGATGCTGTGAAAAATCTATATATTTTCTGATGATAGCCCCGAAAAAATATTTCTAAAAATATCTTAATGAGTAGAAATGTGACTGACCTTCAAATTGATCTCTGAGTTCTGCGTTCTGGGATTTCTGCAGGGCGAGCTTCATGGCCAATTCATGAATCTAAAACTCCACAACTCACTTTTAGTTGCATTTTTTTGGAAAATCTTACTATCAGTTAGAAGATAAAAAAATTGTAAAATAACTAATATTAAAACCCCATTAAGAGAAGATTATGATCGACAGATGATTCAAGTAGACCAGATTCGACAAAACAATCCTAAATTAGAAGATAAAAAAATTAGTTCCATTTTTTTTAAAGTTCTTGCTATCAGTTAGTAGAACCGAAATTCATAAAATGATAAATCCTCCCGGTAGAAATTCTATTACATAACTTAATCCTAAATTTCATAGAAATATCTAATATTAAAACCCCGTTAAGAGAATAATATGATCTACACATGATTCAAGTAGACGAGATTCGACAAAGCAATCCACATTTCGTCATTTCTTGTTGAGGATATATGAACTGTAATTACCGAAAGTAGATTGAATGCGATTAAGAGAAATAAACACCAGTTCAGGTAAAGTTCTTGCCTTTCCTTCAGATGCCATTGCCCCGATCTCTTCGTTTTCCTCCTGTAAAGTCCTACACTTCGCCATTAACATTTTCCCGTTCTTGCTTTGTGGGGTGAAATTAATGGCAGCGATGTTATCCTGCAACTCCTTTATTTTCTTTTCCTTCTCCTCGACCATATTCTGCCATGAAGAGCATGCGTTTGAAGCCATAATCGCTGATGAATATGAAATAATTGGTTGCTACCATCTCTTTTAGCTTAAATCTTAACTTTTACCATAAGGTAGAACAGTAATCCAATAAGAGCAAGCAAAAGCACGGGATAAAAGAAAATGCAGATGTTCGTCAGCTTCGGAGAAAATAGATAGAGGGAAAAGGTGATCACAAAAACTTATGAACAGCGTGAAATCTCTTGATTCATGAAAAAGGGAAAAAATATGATAACTATTCGGTTTAGAACAATAAATTTGAGCATATATCTAATATACCCGAATTATCGAATGGTTAACATGATAATTGAGGGAGGGGGAGCGAAATTAGGCTATCCATTAGTGCTAATCAAGGAAGGAAGCTAGCTGAGCACCAGCCATTTGAAATATTCATCGGTAAATTCAACACCTTTCTGAGAAAAACTGGATGATTAGCTGGCAACTCGTCGGCTACTAATAGTAATGACTCATCCGGTGCGTCAGATGGAGGTAAATGCGAGGAAATCTTTCAACAGCAATGAATCAATAGGGAGATTTAGTCGTTCACCTTCAGACGTGTAAATTCTTCGTGAATTGCAGGATCAAGCAGCAATTTTCTGGTCTGCCAAGATTACCCGAAATGTTAGAAAAATAGGGTAAGCAGACTACTAATGCCAGGTATGTTCCTCAAAATCTATGGTTATTAATGTTGCATTGTCATAAATAATAAAATCAAAGATAAATGCACCAACAAAGGAAGTATAAATATTCTTCGGCCTATAATAGTTTCAGCTACCAGTAAAAGGATGCAGGCACAAAAGAAATGAAATCAGTTAAGAGATTACCCAATCTTTACTGACCTCAACCTACTTTCCCATTCATCGTCTATCATTTACTTATAAAATCCCAGAGAAGGAGAATTATATCATGATCATTAGTAGTATGCATAATCTGGTGGAAAACGTTGAATCAAATAAATTTCTTTGAAGCAACTTCTCCCAGGTAGTCAATGTTCTTATTGGCCGTTGATTTATAAGTTTCCATGCGCCACCGTGACAAAACATAATAAAAAACAGCTTAGATTGCTTGATTTCCTCTCCATAACAAAAGCATGCATAAATATCACATCAGAGCAAAGGATCGTTTCATCCAGCCAGATGAAATCCTCCGGGCGGAAAATGTTGGGTAAGCACCACGGGAATGAGCAATATAATTACCTGCATGGATGGCGGTCTCAGCTGAGCCCTCAAATCCCTCACTGCAGACTGGTCATGAGTTAATGGCCGTTAAACTTTTGAATCATGCAGAAGGAACACAAAAGTAAAGAAAACAATGTTCACGAAAACAATTGACTAATATAGTTTGAACAAATTCAACAATGTGGTGGACTATGTCGTGATTTGCAGCAGTGAACACATAGATTGATGGACAACGGTAAAGCATCCAGTGACATTTCCTTTTATATTACTCTGACAATCTCACTGAACATTAGGTTAGATGTGATAGACTTCCAGTCAATATTCTTCTTTAGCCAACAATGAAAGTATGTTCCAGATATATCACATCCTGAACTCTTAAAAAAATTTAAAATGCCTCATTAACTATTTCTCATAAGAACACTATAAACTTGGTGGGATGAAAAGACTGGGTAACATCTGAGAAAATATTAAAAAAAAAAAGCTTTACTTCTTCTAACAATTTCAAGAATCCCCTCATCTATCAAGACAAACTTAAAGGCTATAGATCAACTCAAAAAACTAATTACGGGTTTATGGAATTGCTTTCAAATTTGAGCGCAGCAGGAATACAAGTCTCTAACTTGATGAAAAAATATTTGATGGATTGAAAATTAGTAACCTACTCTTCCTAGGACAGAACATGGCATTTTGCTTTTCCCCCCAAACATTACAAGTACACGGCCAAACAGCTTTATCTGCAACTCTTCAGACAAAATAGTCTCAGGGTTATAGATCTTTCTCCTATTTGTTTACATTTATACCGGGAAACTAAACATGTAAATGAAAACAACTTTCTTGGGCTCACGATAGCCCAGTTTCTCTTTCCAATACAGCAGATTGTCTCTATTTTCTACCCCACAACAACACAAGTAGAATACATGTATCAGAAGCTGAGATGCTCAATGATCAAAGCTTATGCATTGTGTACTGCAACCTATCATTCTCGGATAGAAAGAGAGCCTAACTTCACTTCTTCTGCGATGCCACATACAGTAGCTGTGCAGTGACGTTTACAAGTTAGAAACAAAAACATGGAAAAAAAGAGCATCTAATTGGGGTATGCAATGTGGTAGGTAACCCAAAAGATAAATTTACCTTCAAGTCAGCAATCTCTTGCTCACGTTTTGCAAACGTAACTATGTATGCAGCTTCCCTTTTCTTCGCTTTTTCAAGCTAACAAGAACAACCAGCATCAACCTTAAGTATTAAATATGAAATTTTTAATATTTTTATAAGAACACGTATTTTCTTTAAACAAACCTGTTCCTTCAAAGACTCCTCAGAAGATTTTAACTTCTTGAGGTAGTTAACCACAAGCTCAGGCTCTACAATTCAGTATAAACAATTTATCAGGATTACTAAAAGAAATTCAACAAATAATCCAATCAGTCGTGAACAATGACATGTGAGAAATCTTCGAGTGGTAAACCTAAAGTGCAAGATTTTAAAAGAAATAAAAAACATCTGGAGAAAGGAACCTGGGGATGTCCCAGCAGGTATGACTGGTTCATTCTGAAATGCGGAACACCACTTTTTCACCTCCGATTTCACTGCTTCAAGCTCCGTCTATCTTGGGGAAAGGGGAAAAAATAATGACAGCAATCATTTCACCATCTTAAATAGCAACACGAAAAGCACTATGCACTAAAAGATACCAGATTGGAAATCTAGGAAAACGTGATAGAAAAGTATGGAAACAACTTTGACAGAAGGCGTCTGTTGATTATTAGCAGGCAGTCTAGTCCACATATACTATATAAGTGCTGAAAGAAACGACCAATCGAGAAAAGAGTTAGTGATGAAAATTGAAATTGTCTAGGTTTATACATGACCACAATGGAGCTAATAAGCAAGAAGACAGAGGAAGGAGATTGTCGAGGTTAAAAATTTTAGTTTTTTATTTTTGAAGAAGTTCGGCCTTAAAAATTAGCTATGGAACGTTTTTAGTGATGAGCTGTCTACTTGTTGCAGATTTTATGGAGGGCAAAGGAACTCATAAAATACATCGATGCTAAGACTGGGATTCGGATTAATAACTGGATGGAGAGTGGAGATTGCAATTTGTGATGGCAAAGAGATTAGGCTCTGGACTACCACAGAGAACGGAGGGATCAACAGCACTTATTCTGCCTTCTTTCTTTTTCAATTTTAGTAAATGAGAAAAAGATGAATGTCTCAAAAAGACTAAATGAAAAAAATATTGCATACAATATTTAAACGAGGAGAAGGAATATGAGGCAGAAGATATATGTCAGAGGCTCTGAGTATGATGAAGGCAAACATTACACTAACCAAGGATCAATCTATAAGAAGAGCACGGAAAGAATGGCAAAAACTCCACTAAAAGAGTTAAGTACCTGACATGAAGCAAGGTCATCCTTACAAGTTTGAAGGCTGATGAGAAAGAAAAAAACAAACATCAAATGCCTCATAGCACAGATGAATGAATCACTTCTCTGAGCACCTTGCTCAAGTTGAATTAATTGATTTGAAACAGGCACATATAGTACCTCTCACGAAGCGATAGAATGACCCCTGTGGTTGCACCGGCACTGTCTTCTATCTTCGGTTTTCCCTTAATTGCAAAAACAATAAGAGAAAGAATCGTGTCACCCACATTGTGTACATGACAGATACAATTCAGTTATCATCATAACGAATGATTCCAATTCAAAGTAAAGTGACAAACTAGGAGACATCAGGATGCAGATATTACCAGGTGAACATATGGATAAACGAAGGACAAAGAAAAAAAGAAGGAAAATGATCAGATACTCCACTGGAAAGCAGGGTACTAATATATCTTGCAAATATGCTGGAACATAAGTTTCCAGGACATTACAATGACAACATTATTCTCTTTTCTCCCTCATTTTTTGGTGCACAATAAAGGAAAAATAAGAGTAACATGCGTGTAATACGTGTTTTTGCTGAGGCCGAACAAATCAATAGCTTTCTAGGAGTGTTATCTTCACTGTTATATTGATAAAACTAAAAATTAAAAAAATGGAAACAAAAAGTAGAAGGTAACTCCTACCATCTAAAAATGAAAACCAGTAGCTATAAAATTATGGATTGATAAATAGGATGCAGATATAAATAGCCTTGAGGCAGAGGGATAGCCTGTAAGGAAGTCAATAAGATCTGTAATATTCACAGCAACATCAAAAAAATATTTTTTTAAAAAACTCCAACATATCCTGAAAAAAATGGGAACGGAAAACAGCCTAGAGATACATATTTATATTACAGAAATATAAATTGCATCAAATTCACCTGTACTGTATTCCTGATGTAGCCTTGTTTGTCGAAGATAGTTGGCAAATTCGTTAATACTTAGTCGTGTTAAATCTGTCACTCCACATGCTATACAGCTTCAAAAGCAACTTGTCGGAAAATAATTTAATAAGTTCATTCAGAAAACTAATTTTACACTCCCTAACATGATATGTACTCACTTTGATTTCTGCAGAAAATGATTTTGGCAGCTTAAATGTATAGTTAAAAACAAAAAGACAACTTTGTTCTCAAATGAGAGAAACTAACGTATATAAATTAAGTAAAAAAATTCTTCTATATAAAGCTCTCCCAGAGCATGATAGGTGTTGTCCTTTTATTATGACGCTATTCAGAAGTTTTCAAAAAGGAAAAGTTTTGACATTAATTTACTTCGAAGCAGGCACCAAAGCAAGCCAAATACATATACGTGAAGAAATCGTGTACAGGAAGAACAAGATAACAGCATTATGTCCCGTGTTTTTTCTTCCCCTCCCAACTGCACATTCAAAATCCGATCAAAATTTCTCAATGACAAACATGTACCTTCTTATTGTTGAAAACATCATCCTCTTCTTCGTCGAGGTCTCCGAATCCACGTTTATCCCCTAAAATCATACAGATCATTTTTACTTTAGCGGTTATGTATCTCCTAGTATTGCAAACACAAACAACAGTAACATTTACCCGTTCTTCGAGCACCATTGCTCCCTGGAAAATCGGCGGCGAAATCATCCTCCTACAGTTTAGAAAACAAGGTGAAGTGAGAGAGTACTGTGATAGACAAAAATCACTCCCCCAAGGCCGACGGCGAGATTCTCTGAGGATGAGAGAGAGAGAGAGAGAGCCTTACGAAGTCCAAATTCGAAGACATTATGAGAGACAAACTCCCCCTTTCCGTCGAACCCGTAGTCTGCAGAGAGCTCGAAAGCGGCAACTAGGGACGAAGGGTGTGTGCCCGCCCGGCGCCTACCGTCGAATGGGCGGCGGAGACCTCGAATTCGCCTCAGACCCTTCGGCCAAATGGTCGGAACTAGCAAACTTGGCAAATCCCCCCACTTGAAAGAAAGCTATCCTCCATAACCTCAACAATCTCTTAATATTCCTTTTTTACTCTGCTTTCAGGCTTTCCTGATTTTCCATAATACTCCTACAAAACATAATAATGTTCATATAACCTTTTTAAGGTACAACTGCTAACTATATGGTTACTGATTCAACAGAAGAGGAGGGGGACCTTCCCTTCAGCTCGGCTTCTTCCACGGGGAATGAACCCCATCCGCCCCCCTTCCTCGCTGCAGACCCGCCACCTCTCCTCCATCTCCAGAAAGCTCCGCAATGGCGCTCTCTCGGAGGACCCTCTTCCTTCCCCAACCACCATGGGTGGCGGCGGTGGTCACGAGAGGGACGAAGGTTTCGTCAACATTCTCCGGCGTATACTGGTGTCGAAGCAGAGCTGGAGGGTCTCCCTCAGCAACCCCTTTGTATCCCAACGGCTGAAACCCCGCCACGTCGAAGAACTCCTGTTGCAGACCCTGGACGACCCGAGGTTGGGGCTTAGCTTCTTCAACTTTCTGGGCCTCCACCGAGGTTTCGAGCACTCCACCTTCTCCTTCTGCATCTTGGTTTGCGCGCTAATCCGGCACGGCCTCCACTGGCCCGCTTCGTCCCTAATCCAGTCCCTGATCACCCGCCGGACCGATCCGAATGAGGCCTTCGAGTCCCTCCTGAGGTCTCAGGAGCATTCCGGGCTCCGGCATAATGCGGCATTGGATTTGTTGGTCCAGACGTACGTACATAATCAAAGGATACTGGATGCTCTAGCCGTCGTTAGGTTAACGATCTTCCGCAGGATTCCAGTGGAGGTCAAGACATGTAGCCTTCTGATGAAAGCTTTGATAAAGATCAGGCGCTCCGACTTGGTTCTGGCAATCTTTGAAGGTATCTTAAGCATTGGCATTCGCCCAGATGTGTTTGTGTACACAGCAGTGATCAAAAGTACGTGTGAATTGAAGAACCTTGCGATGGCCAAGGAAGTAATCCGTGTAATGGAGGAGGATGGGGAGAATTCCAGTGTTATACCGTACAACGTTCTGATTCAAGGATTGTGCAAGGGCAAAAGAGCCGTGGAGGCCATCGAAGTTATGAAGTCATTGCAGACTAAAGGTTTGGCTGCTGACTTAGTCACTTACTGTACATTGGTCCTGGGCCTCTGCAGAGTGGATGAGATGGACCTGGCTAAAGGCATGCTTGAAGAAATGACAGGGTTAGGGTTCCTCCCCAGCGAAGCTGCCTGTTCAGCTGTTGTTGAGGGGTTGAGGAGGAAAGGCAGGGTCGAGGAGGCCCTTGAACTGGTTCACCGGTTAGGAAAGCTTGGGATCATACCCAATCTGTTTGCTTTCAATGCGCTGATTAATTATCTGTGTAAGAGTGGGAAACTTGAGGAAGCTGAGGAGCTTCTGGTGAAGATGAGAGTGAAGGGGCTCCTTCCTAATGATGTCACCTACGCCATATTCATCGATTCATTTTGCAGAAGTGGAGAACTGCAGCATGCTGTCCACCTCTTCAACAAAATGAGAGAAGAAGGGATAAATATCAGTGTATACCCGTTCAATTCATTGATAAATGGTTACTGCAAACTAGGGAAATTGCGTGAAGCAGAGTCTCTGTATAGGGAGCTAATTGATGAAGGTTTACTTCCTAATGCTCTGACCTACACTCCAATGATCAGTGGGTATTGCAAGGGTAGAGAGTTTGACGATGCACTGAGGCTCCACCATGAGATGTCCCTGAAGGGGGTCTTGCCAAATACTCATACATTTACTGCACTTATTTCTGGCTTCTGTCGAGCCAACATGATGGTCCAATCCGCTGAACTGTTCAAGGAAATGGTTGACCTGAACGTGATGCCCAACGAAGTGACTTATAACGTCATGATCGATGGTTATTGCAGGGTGGGCGATGTTTCCTGCGCGTTTGACTTATTTTATGAGATGCTGGAGAAGGGTTTTGTACCTGATACTTACACATATAGGCCTCTAATAACTGGTCTGTGTGTGACTGGCAGAGTATCTGAAGCAAAGGAGTTTGTGGATGGACTCCATAGAGACAATCAAAGACTTAACGAGATGTGCCTTGGTGCCCTGGTTCACGGCTACTGCAAGGAAGGCCGGGTACAAGATGCTTATGGCATTTGCAGGGAAATGGTGGAGAGAGGCATGAACATGGATCTTGTCTGCTATAGCTCTCTTATCTACGGAGTTCTGAAGCACGACGACAGGGTTAGGCTGTTTGATCTTCTCAGAGAAATGGCTGATGAGGGAATCGAGCCCGACAATGTAGTATTTACGAGCATCATTGATGCGTACTTCAAGCGAGGAAATATGGCTGAGGCCGTGGCCTTTTGGAACATGATGGTCCATGGAGGTTGGGCCCCGAATATTGTATCTTACACTGTGCTTATAAATGGCTTATGCAAGGCTGGCTTGGACGATAGGGCATTGCTTGTTTGCAAGGAGATGCTGGTAAAGGATTTTTATCCCAATGCATTCACATATGGTTGTTTCCTTGACCACATTGTGAAGACCGGAAGAATAGATGAAGCTCTTCATCTTCACAAGGTGATGATCAGAGGCCTTCTGTCTAACACAGTAACTTACAATATATTAATCGGGGGCCTGTGCAAAGTGGGCAGGATTCAGGAGGCGACTCAGCTGCTGGCGGATATGATAAATAATGAAACAATTCCAGACTGTATCAGTTATTCTATACTTATCTTCAAGCATTGCAAGGAGGGCGATTTACAGAAAGCTCTCTCGATGTGGAATGATATGATAGATAAGGGGCTCCAACCAGACACATTGGCCTACAATTTCTTGATACATGCATGTTGCATTAACGGAGAGCTATCAAAGGCAATCGAATTGCGAGGAGATATGATCAAGCGATTTGTGAAGCCGAATTGGCTCACATATGCTCCCTTTCTTCATGGAGCTTGTTTGATTGATAAATAAATAACAGCTCCAGTTTCATGGTAGATGGCCTCCATGAGAATAAATCTCCCTGGGCCATGTTCTTTTTGGACAACAAGCCAACGCCTGGAGACCATTCCAGTGCGAGGACAAGAAGTCCTCCACAGTGACTGTTAAAAGAGGGTGAGCCCATCCATCTCTTTTCTTTTACTCTTTTGCATGGCCAACCTTCACAGTTATAAAAAAAATGCCGGTCAATTCAATTACTTAACTGGGAATTTGTGTCTGAGAGTTTTCTTCACAATCTATGATTATGTTTTGATTTGCCCATTTTTCTTTTGGGTGTAAATGGTGTGGGTTGTGGTTGCTAGAAACCTCTTATTTATTTTCATCAGGGATGAAGATCTTCCCGCTCATTCTGGTTCTTGGTGCTGTCTCTGCAATGCATGAGCTTAACTTCGAACCGTAACTTGCTGGAAAATGGACTTTCATTGATCTCAGCCACTCTCTGACCGCTGCTCCATTGAAATGGATCAATCATGGGGTTCTCTGAACATCTCAGAAATAGGTTCATTACCGGATGAGAGAACCCAGACCAATGTTTGCCATTTAATCCATCTTCTCGTATATTTGTGTACATGTTTTCTTTACCCTTGACAAAAATATTCGTCGATTTTGAGTTGCCAATTTTATATCTTGAAACCTTGAACACAGGTACAATGCTCATTATCTTGGGGGTGGCGGGAAGCTGCTTGAGTTCCCTTGCGGCTCATACAGATCACAAACTATCCAAGCTAATGAACGTTTTCATTGGAGAAATGGGGGCACTTGAAGATAGCATGCTCTCCCTTTTGATAGAATACCTGCAGGTGAACTGAAGTTGTTCGTATATGAACCAAAATAATACCTGCATCTTAAGATTCTATTATTGTGCGCTAAGTCATGTTTTTCTTGCAGAAATAATCACAACAGGAGGCTGGTCGCGGAATTTGTTTGCTGGGATCTTGTGGCCATCACGCTTGGGGAATGCGGGGATTTGTTTGCTGGGATCTTGTGGCCAGACGCCCCAGCTTCCCGCGACAGAGCAGGAAACAGCGGAGCTTCCATGAAGATGGGAGAAAACTACATCAGATCGGTAAAAATATCGTCTTTACTGAGATTTTTTGAACCAGTCCAGTGATTGCGATTGGTTCCCGGAGCTACTTTGCAGATGGGTGCCTGATGGACGAGGTGAATAAAGATGCTTCTGCAGCCATTATATTCCTCTGCCTCGCTCTTGGGGGAGAGAAGAGTAACACAGACAGAGGGAGAGAGAGAGAGAGTTGGGCTATTCAGCAGCTTCTCTCCTCTCTTCTTGGAGCTGAGCTCGAACCCACACCTGCAGCCTGGCTCTCGGCCCCCTCCGCCGCCCCCGGTGTCCGGTCGCCCTCCTGCTGCAATGCGGGGGACAACTCACCGTGAAGCAGCTGCTGGAGATCCAGTCGACCCTCGTCACCGATCCTCCCACGGCGGTGGACCCAAGTGTCCTCGCCGTGAAGCTCATCGGCGCCTGCGCCGACGGCGGTGACATCCGTCACGCGGCCCTTGTCTTCTCCGTCCTCCACAGCCCCAACCTCTTCGCCTGGAACTCCATCCTCAAAGCCCACGCGCAGCACAACCTCTGGGTCCACACCCTCCGCTACTTCGCCTGCCTCTTCCACGAGCCGGCGGCGCCGCCGCCGGACGAGTACACTTTCACCTCCGTTCTCAAGGCCTGCGCCGGTCTCGCCGCCGCCGCCGACGGCGAGAAGGCCCATTCTCTGGTCCTCAAGATGGGGCTCCATTCCAACCTCTTCGTGCAGAACTCCCTCGTGGACATGTACTTCAAGCTCGGTCGCCCCCTCACTGCGCGCCGCCTGTTCGACGAAATGCCCAATAGAGACGTGGTCTCCTGCAACACCGTCGTCTCCGGATGTTGCCTCTGCGGCGACGTCGACGGCGCGCGGCGGGTCTTCGATTCCATGGGCAACAAGAGCTTGATCTCCTGGTCGGCGATGATCGCCGGCTACGCCCGCGCGGGCTACGTCGGCGCCGCCCGAGAGCTCTTCGACGCCATGCCGGAGCGGAACGTGGCCTCTTGGAACGTGATGATCTCCGCCTACGCGCAGAACGAGAAGTTCATGGAATCGATCGAGCTCTTCCGCCGCATGCAGCAGGCCGCCGGCGGCACGACGCCCAACGAGGTGACCCTCGTCAGCGTCCTCTCCGCCTGCGCCCACCTCGGTGCCTTGGCCCTCGGCCGGTGGATCGGCAGCTTCGTCGAGCGGAAGAAGATGGTGCTAACCCTCTTCCTCGGCAACGCCCTCGCGGACATGTACGCCAAGTGCGGCTGCATAGCCGACGCCAGAGCAGTGTTCGACCGAATGCCGGAGAAGGACGTCGTTTCCTGGACCGTCCTCATCTCCGGGCTGGCCACAAACGGGCACCCCCGCAAGGCCCTGGCGAGCTTCCGGGAGATGCTCCGGCGAGGGGTCCGCCCCAACGACGTCACCGTCATGGGGGTCCTCTCCGCCTGCACCCACGCCGGCCTGGTGGACACCGGCATGAGATTCTTCGAGATGATGACGGCGGAGTTTCAGATCCTCCCCAAGGTGGAGCACTACGGCTGCGTGGTGGACCTCCTCAGCCGCGCCGGCCGGCTCGACGAGGCGGAGGCCCTCGTCGGTGTCATGCGCGTACCGGCGAATGTCGTCGTCTGGGGGGCTCTGCTCGGCGGCTGCAGGATCCACGGCGACGCCGCGCGGGGGGAGCGTGTCGTGCGGCGGATCCTCGAGCTCGACCCGGAGCACGCCGGCGGCTACGTCTACCTCGCGCATGTCTACTCCGCCGCCGGCCGCCCGGAGGACTCCGCCGCCTGCCGGCAGAGCATGCGGCGGCGGCGCGTAGCGAAGACCCCCGGGTGCAGCTGGATCGAGGTGGGCAACGCCGTGCACGAGTTCTTCATGGGAGATACGTCGCACCCGCAGACGGAGAGGATCTACGCCATGATCAGGGAGTTAGCGAGGAAGATGAGGATGGCGGGGTACTGCCCGAACACCAGCGTGGTGACGCAGACCATCGACGAGGAGGAGAAGGAAGACGCGCTGGCCACTCACAGTGAGAAACTGGCCGTCGCCTTCGGGCTCATCAGCACCCCCGAGGGGACGACGATCAGGGTCGTGAAGAACCTGCGGGCCTGCGACGACTGTCATCAGGCCATGAAGATCATCTCGAGGATTGTGGGGAGGGAGATCGTCTTGCGCGACCGGAGCCGCTTCCACCACTTCAGGGACGGCCGGTGCTCCTGCAACGACTACTGGTAGAGCCAACCTACTAGGACAAGATGGTGGTCTAAACGACTGGTTTTCTAGTAAAATCACATTGAGAACCCACCGGATTATAGCAAGTCTAAATGGTGTGGGAATCTAAGCTCATAAATCAATCAATTGCGAGAATTTTTTTAAAGTGACTTATAAAAAATAAAAAAAAAGTTACCCAATTAGAGGGTATTGCCTGAGAAAGAAAACCAAGAAATATGGTATAATTTTCTGCAACATAAGACAGCATAGCTAGAGGATAGCCAGTGCGATCAAGCATTCTATGCTCGGGATGATTACCCAGCTATACAAATACCATTCATTCACATACCCAAAAAAGAAAAATCATCTTATACCCAAAAGCATCAATGTTCAGAAGTCCAGTGGATTGTATTAGAACAGCATCCCACATTGCATCCTATGTGATATCTAGTGAAACCCTCCATCCCACAAAAATTATGGATTTTTCAGCAGAAGAGATCAGACTGTGAGTGTAAAATCTCCAGGGTGGGCTGGCAAGCGTACTTAATTGGCCCTGCTTTTGAAGACATCAAGGCCCATCTCAGTTGGGTCAGTTGCCTGCAATTCTACCTGAATGCCATCCAGTTCCCTCTTGAATCTGTCTTTAGAGCTTGCATACAACATCTTGCTTCTCACCCTTGAGGTATCAGGGGACCTATGAACGAAATAGAAGAATGCAAGACGGTTGTTAGAAGGAAACATAAACTGCGATCTAGAGATACAGAGGATGAAACAATTACCATGCAATGAAAAAGATCTTGCTCTTCTGGCAGTTCTCTTCAGTAACAAAGTCATAGTCATAAATGGCATATCGGCACTCATCTGCAGGAAGACTACCAGCGAAATCGTCGTAGCTAAGAGCGGGCTCCCCAAGCTTCTCCACAGTAACCTGCTTCACCTTCTCATCAATCTTGAAAACAATAAAACGATATGTCCTCTTTGCCTTTAGTTCCAGAAATTTCAACTTGCAATCGTCATTTACAGCCATTCCCGACGCAGCATTGGCCTGTGAGTTTTTTGGGGGAAAAAGAGAATGCAAAGAATCATGCCTTTGATATTATTTATGTAATTAACAAGGGAAAAAGATAAGGTTAAAAAGGGCATGGCATAAATTCTGGGAAATCATATATTTTGGGAGATCATGTCCTGGGAAAACACATACATCATGATTAGAACTTTAGTCCATCCAGTTTTTTTTTTTTTTTCCTAACGAAGCTACAAATGTGAAGCAATCATGAAGAAAGCAGCTTTTCGTTTCACATGATACTTAAGAATAGTGACTACTGCCCAGAGACTAATATATATGCATCTATATGTATATATACATTATTGGTTGAAAGATTATGGTTACACGCATTAATTATTCATATCAACTCAAAACTGCAGCATTAAAGAATCTGTTTTACAATAAGAGGAAGTGACCCAGCCCACGGCTTGGCATGCAGGACATGACCAAATCGATGGCTCACAATAAAGCTAAATTAAGCGACCTCGAGCTCCATATGTAACCAAAACAAGCATAAGAAAAAGAGGAAAAACCCTAGACCACACATTCCTAAATAAGATCAGATAACCGAAGGCAAAAATTACGCACTGAATGGGGGTAAAATCAAACGACAGAACCCACTTTCTAAGAAAAAAATTTAGGATAACCAGAAAATAGAGTAAAGTGTCGTCAAATTGGAAGAAAATAACCACGATCAGGCAGCTCACGGTCCAAAAACATGCAACAGGAGCTTCAGAGCATTCCGAGATCATCACTTGAACGACGGTCATTCCACTAAAATACAAACCCTAGGACGATTTACAAGAGGAGAAAGAGCAAAATATGTTACCATTTTTGGAAGCCCAGACGGATCAGATCAGCAGAACCAAGAGCGGAAGAAGCGGGATCCAAATAGCCAGATTTATCAGCAAAAATCTTGGGCTCCGAAAGCAGAGCCGGGTCTCCGAAATCAGAGACCAGAGGGAACGCACCTGCTACGGAGACGGGAGGAACAAATAGAACACTTTTTGGCGGCGGCTTTTCGGATAAATTATGGTGGTGATCATAGACGACCACCAGACATGACGCAATAAGGCGTCGCCACGTCACCTCCACGGCTTCGGTTCCGTCCAGAGCGGTGTTCCGATTCAGCACCGAAGCATTTACTAAATTGCCACTTCCTTATTATTGACGAATGAGAACCACCGTTTGAGTCCACAGGATAAACGGTTGAGATCCTAATACTCCTCGGAATCGCGGTTCTTCCTGGATCAATGTCCATAGGTATAATTTGTTTATTTTTCTGATTTTATAAATTGATGACTTTTACGGTAACTTATTTTGAAGAGCGCTACTACCCTCCAGGGCTGGTCCAGTCGTTGTCGGCCCTTAGCCCAATAAGCCTATCGGGCTGGCGAGTCAAACGGACTGTAGTCAGAGACCCAGTCCATAATTACCAGCCCAGTTATAACAGCTTCGTGGAGGGACCTACACGTCATCTTCATCCGGGCCCACGCAAACATATAAAACCCTAGCTGGTTCGTCCTCTCTCTCTCTCGTTCTCGCTCCCGTTCTCTCTCTCGCTCTCTCTCTCTCTCTCTCTCTCTCTCTCTCTCTCTCTCTCTCTCTCTCTCTCTCTCTCTCTCTCTCTCTCTCTCTCTCTCTCTCTCTCTCTCTGCGCAAACGAGGGGAACGTTCGGAGCTCTGACATTTGACCGCCGGGGCGCTAGATAACCGAATCGCATCCCCTTCCCCGACGTTTCATTCCGGGTAACCTCGAACCGAAGGGTTTCAAGAACCCTAAAAATGGTTACCAAGTCGCAATGAGAGCAATCGTCCTCGTGCCCCACGTCGTTCCAAGTGTTCTTTCTGCATCTACCCTCCTGAACGGGCCCGGCATTGGCCTGTGACGTACGTTGGATTCTATTTATTGGGATTGTTTCATTGTCCCCAAGGTAGACGACCCCCCGCCTCTTCACGTCCGACGGATCCTTCGTTAGTCTCCCCCCCCCGAACAGGCTCGGCTTTGGCTTGGGCTAAATTTATTTGTTCGGTTTTTCTTTTCCGTCTTACGATTTTTCTCTGAATTGAAGATTTTTGTATCGCTCTGGAGTTGTTTGGAAGAGACTTTTCAGCCTATGTTCTTTTCTTTTTTTTCTTCAAGATATCGGATTGAATCTGCGATCTTCGTCCGGAAGAGGAGATCCTATGGTTGAAGCCGACGTTTTCTTAACGCCGGCAACAGATTCCACCGCGCCTTGTTATGCAAGGAAGCGGATCCACTGCTTGGGCTCTACGGAGTATGAATCAGCAGGCAACTCACCGAGGAAGAATCAGATCGTAGAGGGCGTGCACGGTGAATTGACGAAATACGAATGCCGGGAGTGTAGGTTCCAAGCCACGGATAGTGATGCCGTGTCTGTTATCGGTCATCTATCTTCGGAAGAAGGGAGCGGATCTGAACTGGAGAATCCTATGGAAGACGGTTCCACAGCGCCCAGATTCGTCGCATTGGGTGTCAATGCCGGCGACCAGGAAGATATATGCGAGAAGAAGACCAATTCCGAGGACAATGGGGATGAAAATTCTGATACACCGGAGAGCGAAAAAACAGGCATCAGAAACTATAGTAAGGGTAAGAAGAGACCGAGAGTGTTAAAGACCGCTCATGTTTCCAGCGTGAAGAGCCTGCTTTCAACGGGCCTTTTGGAAGGACTTCCGGTCAAGTATAGCTTCAGTAAGCACAAGGTGAAAGAAGAGCTTTTCCTTTTTCTTGTATGGTAAATCAATAGTTTTCTTTATTTTTTTTGGTTTCTGATGCCTGTCAGGTGGAGATTCCAGGTCTTATCAAAGACCTTGGTTATTTATGTGGCTGCTCTTCATGCAACCATACTAGGGTAAGTACCCCAATTCCCTTAATTCCTTGGCACTACTTACCGGTATCGACAATGACATTCAAAAACTGATCTTGTCATTCGAAATATCCAGCAGCTCATAAGAACTTTTCATTCAATTTACAGGCTTCAGTACAGTTGTATCAAATATTCAACTCTAACTTGTTCCAAACATTTTTTGTGTTGTTTATGCATTTCATCGTCTTCAGGTTTTCATAAAACGATGTGTTTAGCTTAAGATCCCCTTCCTTTCTATGAAAAAATTTGTTAATGACAACTCATCACAGGTTCTTTCTGCCCTTGAGTTTGAAAAGCATTCTGGGGTCACCTCAAAGAACCAAACTAATCACATATTCTTGAACAATGGGAAAAGTCTTTATCGCGTAGTCAAAGAACTGGCAAAATATCACTTAGGTTCTTTGGAGAGTGTCATTGAGAGCATAATTGGCTGCACACCCAATTGGAGATGCTATAAGGCGTGGAAAGGTGACACAGATTGCTTTATCTGTCAAGCTGCACGCATTTGAGATTTTCTTCTCCATTGATGTACGTTGTTTTCCAGAATCATTTCAGGAAGGAAACCATGAATTCCAGGACAGAAACCTAATTGGAAAGGCAAAGAAGCGCTCGGATCATGAGACTTTTACCATCTCTCAGATCGTTTCAAGGTAACTACCCCGGTGTGTAAGCCTCCCCAGAGAACTTATCCCCCTTGTGACGGGTTTGATTGTACGCCACCAATGTTTACCTCCAGTGGTCAATTTTCTGAGTTTTTTCTTCTTTTGTGCATCAAACATCCTGGGTGTAACTCGAAATACTATCATACTGTGTACATTTCTTGAAAGCAATGATATTGTTAGCCAAACTGTATATTTTCATTGTTTATGTTTTCAAGTTCGATTAGTGTAAAGAGTGCAGGTAAATGTTCAGTTGTATGGGCATCGCCCTTAGCTTCTTGAAGTTTTGCGTGAAAAGGGAGCCCGAACACTTTTGAAGTGCTAAAAAAGACAGTTCTTTCATCGTCAGGAAACTATCCTATCCTGAATGAAAGACGCTGTCTTGCCTCTTTATTTTTATACTACGCGTTGACATCTTATTTGGTATCTTGATTGATTTCATTTTTGTTTCTAAGAGAGAAATTTATGATAATTACTTAGAAATTACGACATTTTTTTATAGGAAGATATGTAATAACTCCTACCCACAACTTATCATTTCTTTGTATTTGTCCGTTCATATCCTGGAGCTGTGTGATTAGACCAGTGTAGGTAGGAAATCAAGAGAAGAACAAGATCTTTTGCGAATTTTCTTTCTGAGCGTAAGGACAATGTTTATAATCACTACATCATTCACAAAGGAGGATTTCTGACTTCCTCATGCCAATCACAACCGTGAATAGCTACCCAGTGGGGGTGAATGGTATAATTGTTGCTGCCAACACTGCATCCGTAGACAATTACTGCGAAGCTTCCTCAGACGAGCTTTTGCCCCCTAAGTATACGATTCATTAGTTCCACAAGATATCTACAAAGTGTGAACAAAATATACAATAAGCACCTTTACACTGAGGGGAATCAATGGGTAGAAAGTAATCTCGATTGTACAGTTATTGCTTCCCAACAAGAGAGCAACAGTCCAAAAATAATCTTAGACATCAGAAAAAGTATAAGGGTGTGGGGGGAAAGGTCTGATTTATAAACATGTGATCCTGGATAAAAATTGACAGAGACTCATTTAAAAACCTAAACTGAATGCTAACCATTTAAAAAATAATAAATTGAATTTATCTTTAATCCTCTACCAGGTTTAAATTTGTTCACTGGTAGATCGGTTCTAGAATCTTTTCGTGGGGTTTCATAAATTATCTAAGTTTCTATACTCAGATGTGGTTGACGTATGCCCATCGACCTGATCAAAGAAAATCCAAAACATGTTCATGTGGCTTTATATTCTTTTTACCCAGCAATATATCATTACACGGCATTAATGTTTTTCGAAGAGTTACTGCTGTTCTCTCAAAGAAACTATTGTTTCTATAGGTCATTAAAAAAATTAACAGAATGAATCTTAATAAAGCTATCTATTTCTCTATTTATCAATGTATTATACTATTTCAACTTGAAACAGGTCGGCTCCAGCCTGAGATATCCATCAGTGATCCTCCTTAACAGGATAGAGATAACTCGCATTTAACGTATCCTTTGTTCTGCCCATTGCTGCATGGAATGCTAACTCAGTACAGTACTCTGTAATGTAGAGTTTGTTGCGTTATTACATTCGGTCTGCATGTCTTGATGATTTATTGTATGTGAAGATGACAGAATCTCATAGAATAATTTAGCTCAGAATTAAATTCAGAGATAAAAAAAGACGCCAGTTGTGTTTCAAGATGTCTCAAAAACCGGCTCTTATGGTTTGACACTGTCACTGGCATCAATTCACCTTTTAGTTCATTGACACGAGGCATTTCGTGAGAAAAGGCATTATCCGAACAGTTCGCACAAATCACAGAGTTTTCATTTAGAAGATGGAAGAAAATGTGCGTCAAAGATGTGTGTATCCCTTTCTGTTTACGTAGGTATTGTTTTAAGCTAAGGTAGATTAAATTATTTTAAAATCATTAAATACAGGTTTTTTGACTTCTGGCATAAAACTTTAAGATTCATCTTCGGTCATCAGTTTGACTTCAAAACTCTTCTGCCTGTTTAGCTTATTTGCATTAGTTCCAACTTGCAGGTCAAAATTACCAGAATCACCTGATCTTCTTATGATGCCGGATTCCCTTTCCTGCCCCAACGTCAAACCAAATCGTTCTACTCAGCGTAGTGCTAAGAAAAGGTTCAAAAGGTAACTTTTTATGTAGTAAACGTCTTCCCATCTATTGTTTAATAATGTCTGAGCTTTTCTCGTGCTGAACTAAGTTCCACTACGATTTTGATCAACTTTTTCTTTTCTCTTTCATCTTTTTCAAGGGGCACAGATTTGCACCGCTTGATTTTTCTGGAAAATGGTCTGCCTGATGGAGCTGAACTGGCTTACTGCGTCAGAGGGCAGGTTTGTCTGATTTGAATTGCCACCATTTACAGAATAAACTATGAAGGCTTTTAAAAGGGTACTCTTATCCTTGCAGATAGTACTTAAAGGTCATAAAATGGGGAATGGTATAGCATGTCATTGCTGCAACGGGGAGGTAACCCCATTCATCTCGTGCATATTATGATGGATTGGAAACTGATTGTCCGTTTTTCTTTATTGATCAGATTAGTCCCTCACAGTTTGAAGCTCATGCTGGATGGGCATCAAGACGTCAACCGTAAGTATATTTAACATCATGCTGTATACTTAAATGGATAAATAAATGAGAGACTAATGTAGAAGATACTCGTTGCAATGATGTGCCAATAATTTTGTCATTCCACTGACCGGAAATGGATAGTACATAAATCGCACCTTTCCCATCTACCTGGGAATACAATATTTTCAATAGTTTAGACGTCAAATATATGGCACTGGTATCGGAAAGTAACTATTCATTATGCAAGCTCGACCAACACCTTAGCTTGGGCAAGAATACTGATATTAGCGCAAGATGGTCCTCTTTCAACTGAAACTATCTGCTTTTTTGCAGCTATCACAATATCTTCACTTCCAACAGTGTGTCTCTACATGATTTATCTATTTCTCTTTCAAAAGGTCGCCATTTAACCGCCATCTCCAGTGACAATGATTGTGCAGTTTGTGGAGATGGAGGAGAACTGATCCTCTGCAGTAAATGCCCTAAGGCCTTTCATATAGGTATGTATGTTTCATCTCATATCTCCATTTGTATTGAAATTTCCACTTCCCTATAATAACTTTTTCCCAACAGCATGCGTTGTTGGTTGCTGCTGGGTTTTTTCTTCCATAGATTAATTATTCACTATTTCACATAGTTCATCTGAGCAACTATAGAACTAGTGACTTCGTCTATTTACATATCTTGAGACAAGTATCCTTTTCATAGATCTTTAAAATTAACTGTTATCGATCCCTAACCCTGATAAAAGATAATTGTTCCTTTTTTTCTTTGCTTTTCCATTATGAGGACTTTTATCAGTCGTATTATCATTAGTGCTAATTCCGGTAACTAATCTATATGTCTGATCTGAATATTGAGCTTTCACCTGACGGATCCATATGTTAATGTCATGGATGATGCTGTGCATAGCATACCTCAATACCTTTATCCTTTTTATCGTGGTTGAAGATTAGATAATCTTATGGCCTTGTTATCCTAAGTCAGTGGGAAAATTAATTTGTTAGTCTCAGGCAATCCTTGAAACTATATCCCATTTTTCTATCAAGCCAAAGATCTCAGTGCAGTCATAACAATTTAATGGTGTAAACTATCTGAGAATCTAATCTTAGTAGTATACAACCTAAAACCATGTTTCCTGAACTAAGCACCTTCAATGTGGGTGGAACATACCTGAAGCCGGTTGATAGGGTTGTATGACTCATGAGTTTGGTCTGGGTTATGCGGTAAGTGGAATCGTCTCAGAGATTCCAATAGAGTTCCAAAAGAAATGCGGCTGATGCAAATGGAAAATAACTTTTATTCATAAATATCTATGTTGAAGAAAATATCTTCATCAAAGTAGAAGCTAAAATATCCTAAAATGATGCCATTTTTTTTTATATCGATCTATGTCAAATATTTTCAGTGGGGGGATTCGAATGTTCTTTTATTCTAATTTGGCTGCGATGAAATACCCTATGTTAGACAGTCTCGGTGTATCCAATACATGAAGACACAACCCATGGAGATGTCTGAACACGGTGCAGTGTTGAAGCATAACTCGTAAGCCTGTTTTTTAGTTAACGGAATGTTAGCCACAACTCACTATATCGTCCCCGACATTCATGCTTCAGCTGATTATAGCGTTGCTTTTGGTTCACCTTTTCTCTTCTTTAATGTCGAGGATGCGGTTTCTGTGTTTCTACTGTCGCTGATGTTCAGTGATTACGGCCTGTAAGTGGTAAATGATAACAGGAAAATATCAAGCATCATAAACTCAAGATGGTTCGTGAACATAGTCCCATTGTCGATAATGGCCATCATGATCCAAGGGCAAAACAATAAGAACAGAGGAAAAATAAGTATTATCTGGTACCTCTGAGTGTTTCGCGTTGCCCTTTTTTTAAAACCTTTTTTGATATCTTCCTTTCCATGGACCTAAGACTGGAATTTCCAGAATTAACCGATGACTAACCAAAAAGGATATGATTTCTGTGAAAATTATCGGCTGAGTAAATATTTATTATTTTTAGCATATTTATTAGAGGCAATTATAGCCGTAAGTTCTTTACTGTCTCATCTGCGTACCGTCACTTATGCTTTGTTGTCTTGGGGCAGAAATTTGGTTGGTGTTATTGTATTTACTCAAGGAACATGGACTCTTTTGGCATATAATTTGGTTCGATGTCCTTCCTACTTGCTTTTTGCTGTCCACCTTAACTAAGGATTTTCTAAAGACTTGGTCCGAAGACTTCTGGCACCCACTGAATGCCAGTTGGATCTAGATATTTGGCAAAAGCATAGAGATTGGTGTCGTTGATTCATTGAGTCACTTGAAATTGAAGAACGTGTGATACCATGCATTGACAGCTTTTGATTATTCACTTCTTTTGGGGATCATCCACGAGATGGCCACTTAGTAGGAAAGGTTCGGGGTTGATTGACCAATTTAAAGTATCTTCAAATTGTTGACATGTGGACCAAAGGAACACTGTGCAGATACTTCATATTTCTTGTGTCTCTTCAGTGGCGTTCTCTGTCATTATTCTCTATGATAGTGAAATCTGTTTACATTGGCGTTTTCAGTTTGCTTAGGATTAGACGACACACCACATGGTGAGTGGCATTGTTCTTACTGCAATGATGAAATTATCTCTGGAGTGGCTTCCAGCGATGCAAAACTGGCTGTTCGAGTTGGCAGGGTAATCGAGACGCCCACAACTGAAAGCGGTTGCTGCTACATTTGCAGGTACGTTTAGTTAGTAATTTACAACAATACAACGTTGAGAGACTTTAGGATGAGGCATCATCTGATGTGTTTTGATTTGCACGGCATTCAGAGACGGTCATTTTAGCTGCGTAGATACATTCAATGATGAAACAGTTTTGATCTGCGATCAAGTATGTTATATCTCCTCATTCTTCTCTTTCTACTCTGCCCGTCCCAAAATCCTTTTGTATAAACCATATAACAGCTTATTTTAAATTTATAGTGTGAAAAGGAGTATCATGTTCGCTGCCTGAGAGAAAGTGGCATGTGCGACTTGCGGGTAACTTACTCTACAGAGAATGGCTTCCTAAATTCGTGAATAGTATTGTATCTTTTAACACCATATGGATTTGTTTTACGCGTCAGGCCCTGCCCAAAGACAACTGGTTTTGTCACAGCGATTGCATGACCATTTATGCTACTCTTCAAAGCATTATCTTCAATGGAGCTAAGATCGTTCCAGAAACGCTATCAAATCAGTTGAACGAGAAGCCTCAACAAAACGGTTTAACGATCAACGCCGGATTTGATGTGAGATGGCAACTACTCAGTGGAAAAACAGGATCATCTGAGAACAAATTTCTGCTTTCAAAGGCTTTTGAGATTTTCCGCGTAAGTCCTGTTGAACTCGCCATGATTTTCTCTAGATCACTTCCCAGGAACTCTGAAGGAACGCTACAATAGTATACTTTTGGTTGGTCCAACCATGGTAAACCACTTTAGAATTCTCCATGTTTATGTTTGAGTTGTTAAAATTCTTTAGCTTGCCACTTTTTATACCGTGTTTCCATGTTTTGTGAAATATTTCCATATTTTATACCATCTGTTTCACCAATCCTATAACGTGTCTTTTTTTCTCTTTTAGTAAAAGTAAAAGAAACATTTCATGTCTCTGCCTGCCTCATGTCTGCTATCAGACTGTACATACCCATAATCTCTCGAAGGCCCTGGAATCGAAGGGCATTAATTTTTATCGCTAGAAAGGGGGGCAAACTGGACACAGCTGGAGCTGGTGTATAAACTTCCCAAGGACTGATTATTGTGTGAAGATCCAGGTGATCCCTACTAGGCCCGGGTTTGTTCATTAGCATAGTAGCATTCAAATAGTTGAGGGTTATGGTACGTTAGGTGTGCTGCACGTATTCTGGATGAAGGGGCACAAGAGATGGTGGCTGCTCTGTAATCTTCAGCACCCTCAGATAGAGAAGAGAGACTGTAAAGTAAGAAAGAGTCTTATCAACGGGCATAGAGTTTTCAATTGTTTTAATCTGCAGTATTCACGAAAAACTAAAGTCGCGGGCATTGAGGCATTTGTCATTACTGTCGTTTGGCAGCTTTATATCAGACGTGTGGAGTAAGAGGAGACAAATATTTTTCACGCTTCATTTCTATCCTTCTGGTTTTGTGCGGAAAAATTCGCATGTGCATGTCTGCTTTACAGATTCATTTTATCCCATATTTGCCATTTGGATTCATCTCAACCCCTGCAACTAGATTTATTGTACTCATCTATCCCTGCCTTCACCTGTCCCTCTCAGAATGGCTTTGATCCCATAATTGAACGGTCGGGTCGTGATCTCTTACCCGCAATGGTCCATGGGTAAGCAACAGTTTCTGACATAAAGAGCTCTACTTTGTATTCCTTCAGAGGATATAAAATCTCTGGCTAGATTTATGTGGACCTTCTCTGGGATTTCTGGCAGATTTGTCTAAATTTATATTTTTGACATCATGCAGTAGAAATATGGGTGGCCACGAACTTGGAGGGATGTACTGTGCAATACTGACTATAAAGTGGGTTTGCCTAACTTGTTTCTTCTTCTTCCTCTTCTTCTCAACTAATTTTTTTTTATAAACTGTCATGTGGCAAGTAATCGCCTGATTCAATTTTTTTGGGGGGTCTAGATCGGTGGTTGTATCCGCTGGGATTCTCAGAGTGCTTGGCAAAGAAGCTGCGGAGCTGCCCCTAGCTGCCACGAGCCAAGAAAATCAGGGAAGGGTAGGTCGCTTCTGACTGCTAGCTATCAAGATTCGTGATTATTCTGCTTCACATTTGGCAAAAAAAAAAAAAAAAAAAAATCTAATTAGGCCTTGGATCTTGTGAATAACTTGACGGTTCCTATGCCCATAGCCAGATTTGATTATGAACAGTTTCGTTTTGTACATCTAATAGAGAAGAGTCTATCTTGGATCTGACGAGCTTCCTAAAAGAAATCCACTTGAGGAATCTTTTTCAAGAAAGTCTAGCACTGACTACAACATCTGATTTATTTATTTATTTTTATTTTTTGAAAATGGGATTTTCTCCAAATGTATGCCTGACTGGGTTTTTCCGTTCTTGAACAGAAATATTTTATTATTATTTTTACCCAGTTATATAAAGTTAAACCAGTTTCTCATGATTTTTATTTCTCTCTAATTTACCCACATTGATTGTTTTATTTATCTGGATAATCGTTTAACCATTGCTTCTTAAACTAAACACAGGGTTTCTTCAGATGTCTCCTATCATGCATCGAGCTGCTTTTGCACGACCTAAATGTGAAAACATTGGTACTTCCGGCCACTGAGAATGCCGAATCAATGTGGGTTCAAAAATTTGGTTTCAAAGAAATGACAGCAGACCGGGTAAAATTCCCGATGCATACATTTTGATTTTTTTTCTAAAATAAATCCTGCCTTTTTTTTTCCCTCAGAAGACGAGATTTCTGTGGGTTTTTATTATCCTAGCACTTTTTTTTTTAATTTTCCGATGAATTCCCGTTTGGAAAATCTGAGACCCCCATGGATCTACTTTGGAGCTGACAAAATATCGACTTCTTCTTGGCAGTGTCAGAGGTTTGCAGAAATATATCCCATAATGATGTTCCGGGGAACGAAGATGCTGGAGAAACCTGTGTCGTCAGTCTTCTGATTTGGTGGTGAGCGTTTATATCCACTTGTCTCTCTCTGTGTGTATGAGATAGAGAGAGAGAGAGAGAGAGAGAGAGAGAGAGAGAGAGAGAGAGAGAGTTACATGGTGATTTAAGGAAGTCATATGAAAGATGATGGACCCAAACTCAACTCTGCGTATCAAATGAGTCAGATTAATCTCTATTTCTATCTTGTTATCGATATGTTTTTTAGGTCCCTACTGAGCCTGGAGCTTGGAAAATTGACTTTGGGTTTGACTTCTAGCCTAGTCCAAACCACCATCTGCACACTTCTGAGAGAGAGAGAGAGAACTATACATGGCAATGAGACAGTCATATGACGAGATAATGGTTCCAAGATTTCTATATTTGATCTTGGTGGCACTCATAAACTCAGGAAATGACTCACGTTGATATTTATTTGTTTTTTTATCGTCATTAAGTTAAAGATCGACCCGACTGAACCTGAGGTGAGAAGAGAGAGAGAGAGGGAGAGAGAGAGAGAGAGAGAGACTATCTAAGTGTGAGTGGCCCAAAGGTTATGTATTTCATCTTAATCTAGGTAATGGGTCAAAAAAAAAAAAAAAAAACCCAGCTCTCAATAAAATTCACCCATATCCGCGGCAGGCATCAAAGGAGTAAACTCCCGGCCAGTGATTGAAGGGACGGTCACACCTAACTAGAGTTTGAATCGGATCAGTTAGACCCCCGTATTAAGTTTTCTTCCATTTTTTTTATATTAATGCGAAGTCCCAAGAACAAAAAGTAAGAAATATGAACTCGATTCGTGTTTATTTTATTTTATTTTTTAAACTTGATTTTGATATTAAAAACCCAAGAAAAAGGTACATCTTTTTGCCCAGTTCCTACTCCCCTGGAAATCTCTCCGAGTCCAGGAGATCGAACGCTGCTTGAGTTTGCAGGCCGGACAAGAACAGCAGAGACGGTCATATTTATTCCCATTCATCTGAATGTCGCCTTAGGAAAGACGAAGGGGGGACGGAAGCAAGTACCGGAGAGCTCCGAAGAGCGAGTTGAGTTATGTACAAGCACGAAGGCTAGCCAGCGATCGTGAGACGAAACGGCGCCGCCGCCGCCGCCATCAGGTGGCCTCCGCCACTGAAAACTGCAGCTTCGCCAGCGGCCCCGCCAGCAGGCTGCTCCCGCACTTGGCTTCTTGGCCGCTACCCACGTAGTCCAAGATGCCAGCAACTGAGGAGCCACCGCTGCTACTCTCCTGCACTTTACTCCTGCGGGAAGAATACCCAGGATATCACTTGGTTATATATATATATAGAGAGAGAGAGAGAGGCACGATATGTTTGTCAGAATATTCCAATGATATGGGAAAATACTATACCATACTAATTTATTGATTAAAATTAGAGGTTGAAACTTATGTGATTAATTTCTTTGGCTAACCCCAAAAAATGAGATAAATTTATCATAAATTTAATTCATTAAAGTTAGATAGGATAGATTAAGATGGCCCGTCTAAAGAACTGATTGCTGTATGTGTAGAGAGATAAAGAGAGAGAGAGAGAGAGAGAGAACCTTTCGGGGAGGTTTGCAGGGTGTGGCTGCTTGTCACGGGTGGTGCTGCTGCGAGAGGGCTTCTTCTTGTGCTTGTGCTTATGGTGGTCCTTCTTCTTGGGCTTGTAGCGCTGCTGGGGGTGGTTCCTCAGGGTGTGGGGCATGGAGGTGGTGGGCGGGTCGTAGACGTCCTCGGCCCACTTCACCTGCATCCTTGCTCTCGGCGGGGCGCCCTCCTTCTCGCGGCCCCCTTTCATGGCAGACACGAGCCTGGGAGTGGCCTGCTGGTTGGGGGAAGAAACTATGAGAATGTGGAGTGAAAACCCAATGCTGGCACCAATTAATCAGATATTCCATGGTAAGTCAAACATGGCCAAATCATATGCTAATACAGAATTTTTGGCACCCATAAAGTCAAACACGTTGATCAGGAATCTAACTATGAGAATCTGGAGTGAAAACCCAATGCTGGCACCAATTAATCAGATATTTCATGGTACGTCTAACATGGGCCAAATCATAAGCTAATACAGAATTTTCGGCACCCATAAAGTCAAACACGTTAACCAGTAATTGGGTGCCTACTCACCTTCATTCACATCTATTTCGTTACATGGTGCGGCTATGTCTATTCATGACAACTTCAGAGATAATTCAGAAAGAAGCAAATAGATGAAATTCCTGGTCAAAGAGGAAAGCTTACGGGCAAGGAAGTGGACCGTCCAAGCACAGGGCTTGCAGGCTCCAGAGAACTTTGACTGGGGAATGGCACGGTAGAAAGCACTGCTCCCTCCTCTGCAAGAGACATGAACGTTTTCCCAGAGCATGGAAACGTTGTGGCTTTGCTCAAGCCCTTCTTTAGATTAGTATCCGGCCGGAGAATCCTCTCCATATGATCATTGAAGTGATTCGTGTCATCTTCATGCTGTTCTGATGCTGTGCCATGAAAATCTTCAACATTCAAATCACTAAAAGCGATTCTGAGATCATCAGGCGTCAAGCCATCGTTTTCATCTGAGAATGCTTCTGAATTGTTCAGATCTTGCGCAGGTATCTTGAGTTGGTGAGAGCTACACGCACTCCTCTGCTTTATCGCAGGAGGGAAGCAAGGGCTCTTCATGCATGACCCAAAACCTTCGGAAAATGAGGTATTACCAGTGCAGACATCCATCAAAGTTGTTGTTCAGTAAAACGAACTGGCACCACCTTCAAACCAAAAATATTCAATTGAGATATTTATGTCAGGAAGAGATTGCACTTCATCCGAATTGGCGAATTTTTGAAAAACTAGTGCAGTTCCAGGGAGAATCATTGAAGAAGAAAAAGAACCACATCTTGGAAACCACGTCGAAGCAGAAGTATGAATAGAAAGCACGGTTTTTTATGGCCTAATGTAAGGAATCTGCATAGATTACCACAGATAAGTCGATGGGAATGATGTTCATAGAAGGATTGCGGATTTCCATGAGATTATCCACGCGTATTTGTCATTAGATAAGTACAGATTGAAAAAAAAAAAAACAGCTCACACAGTGGAGATAATCACATATATGCGGTATGGCCAAAAATAACCGACCACAAATGTGGTTAAGAAATTCCATAAGAGAGCAGGAAAAATTTCCACGATAGGTGGTAACTGCATAAACTAAAATTAGTTGCAAGATATCCCGTCTACTTCGAGATGTTAGTAACAATAAATTAGTACAAGAAAATTAGTAACGATATACTTCAAGATGTTGTCATATCAAACACTTTCATTGGTCGGTCTAGACGGATCAAACAATACAAATAAAACGGCCGCTTCCCCTTTCTACTATGCCTTGCTACCCACTCTGCCTCAATAATGAGTCGGTGATAATTACACGTATGCAACTTCACTGAATAGACACAAAAATGGCAATATTAAAGCGATTAAAGTATGGAAAATAAACACGTTCTGCATTTTGGTGCGTAATAAACAAGAATTAAGTCTTCCAGATTTTAGAAGATCAAGTCCAAACTACGCATCACAGTTCCAGATAGAACAGTGAAAAAAACGGTGGATTCTTACTGACCGAAATTGCGTAAACTAGTAGCCAAACAAACCGATTGAAAGAGAAGTAGCATATTAAATCTGATACGTTGCGGTATATTGTAATGTATGGGTTTTGTGGTTAGTTTTCTTTGTTCAAAGGTCAAAATGGACAGATAGGCTATGCAGACATAGATACGAAGCTAAGGAAACCCTGCCGTTTGCAACAGAAAAAATATTGATCGAAATTGGTAAAACTATTTAAACAAGCACAATAATCAGGCATAAGTTAATAGACCAATTTCATAATTGTGTCTATCTCTAATGGCAAGAAGCCTCACCTCCGAGAAATCATGAAAAATATTTATTTTATATGACACAATATCCGTATATTAAATGAAAAAGTCTAAATACATAAATATCATCGCATAAGTTTTTGGATAGTAACACAGGAAAAAACTTTACCTCGACAGCAACGTGTTCCCGCTATCCAACGAAAGCAACCTTAGCGTAAACTCGCCAAAAAGAAAAAAATCGCGCTCTGCGACTTCTTCCGTGGACAGTAATATTGGGAAACTGACTCAGAGATGTAGTGGCTGTGCTCAGATGAATTCGACAACGACTACCCAACGATATCTACTTTCGTTCCGAACCAATCACGCAAGAATAGCGGAAAGGAAGAAAGCGTGGAACATTGAGACGAAGGCTATAAATCCATCCTACGACGACAACCAGACGTAACTAGATATTACCACGACGATTCCATTTTTCAAGCTGTTTCAGACGATGGAAGCTAGACCCGCCATGAAAGGTGGTGATGGAGGAGACACTGGCACGCCTGTGAAGGAGCTTCCCAAGCACCGAAAGCATGATCGGTGCTCACGGAAGTCCCTGGAATAAGAACGAAATAACCCGAATCCGATCCTTTCAACAGATCGACAACCAAAAGATCAAAAAAAAAAAGGAAAAAACAGACAACGGTGGGATCAAGTGTTAGTTCCCAGATCTCTCCGATCCAGAGCCGAATCGCGACCACCACCTCCTCGTGAGGATCAGCCCATCAGATGAAGAAGGAAGGGGAAGACTCTTCCTTGAGATTGAGAGATCTGGAAGTTCCTCCCCCTCCCAAAATGCCTCCCCCGATCGGCAGATACGCAGATAAGACTGATTAGGGGCCCCAAAGGCGGTCCATCTCCTCGCCTTTATACCGACGTAAGCGGACCGTCAATGTGGTGTAGGCCCCGACAGCGGATGATAACCAATGAAAGGCAGACACGTAGCGGAGGACACAGGCTCCTCAAATATCCGTTGGATTTCGGACGCGTCACGCAGACAGTGAAGGCTTCTAAGACCCTTCCGCGTGCTTACGTGGACGAGAGACACGCCTTTTATGATAAATATCAAAAATAATTTATAGCAATTGAATAAATTGTTCTTATTAATCCCCATTTTTTCTCAAAAAATATAATTGAACGAAATAAATCGTGAATAAAATGTGTTCCACGATAATTATCGCACTTTTACACTCAAAAGTCTTAACATTTAGTGAAATTTCCGGCCTAAAATAAAAAAAAGAGTTGGGAATTTAGGAATACATACATTTATATATGTATATTAATTAAATATATATAGAAGATTAATTAATTTCATAAAATGCCCAAATTAGTAAGTTCTATTTACGAGAGTGCAATTTTTTATTCCATAAATTCATATAGCTTTTAAAATATCTAAAAATAACAGTTGACGATGTCAATCCACGAAGTTAACTTGAAAAAAAATAAAATCAAAACGTGGTAAAATAAAAATATTTATTTATTTTTCCCAGCTTGTGATTTTTTCTAAAGGTAGACCACCATACCTTTATAAAACACATATTAATATATAATTATTTTGTACTAAAGGCGCGTATTATACGAATATTATATTAGCATTTATTTTACTAAAGGCGCGGACGTTTTGTTTTGCTCACAAACGGGCTTTTCTGTCGGAAACCGTCGCTATTCTGGAAAAAAGCTATACGTGGCTGATGCTCGATCGCCCACGCACACGTGGTCGCTCCCTAGTACGGTAACCGTCGCTGCAACGAAGGGATCGGTGGGATACCCCGGTGAGTTAACTCGGAGGAGCAGCGGAGGCGGCCAAAGAGGAGAGAGCGGGAGAGATCGGAGGGCATCTCGGTGAGTCAACTCGGAAGAACACCTCCCGATGGAGTGAGTGAGTGAGAATACCGATGACGAGAGAGGAAGAATTATCTCCGAGGAGCAACTCCGATCGGCGACGAAAGGGGATCGGCGACGCGGATGAGTGTGGCTGATTGGAAGAGGCTGCGCAGATCGGCGAGCGAGGGACGATGCCTCCGATCCAGGTACGAATGATCTCCTATCCGTGTTCTTCAGATCCCGAAGGTTGCTTGAAACCTCGTCAATTCTTCTGCAAAATAAACAATCGGCCGCCAGGATCGTCGTCGTTGTTCAATCGCTGCACGACGCTTTCGGTTCATCACGCGTCCCCAGAGGGTAGCGATTCTGAACATGCCAGCGGCCTGATTTCCCACCAAACTAGGAGAAGAGATTTGAATTAGACAACATTCTTCGTCGAATTTATTTTTTTCGTGAAAATTGCGGAAGAGCTTTGCATATTTTCTCCGCAGGGGTCTTAATTGAGAAAAATATCAAATTATAATCCATTACTGAAGATGATGCAACTAGATACAGAGAGAATGGAAACTCGGAGACTTGAATCCACGAGATACAAATCGGACTTTAAATCCACGGGGCGTGATTTTTCGCGATCATTGAATCCACAGAGATGGCGTGGATTGTTCTTCATTCCACGAAGAACATATTAAAAATAACTCCCTTATTATTTGAATCTCCAAGCGCTCAAAACTCTCACAAAAAAAATGTAAATTCATATTAATCAAAGTGTTCGCGGATTTGTGACTTTCGTACGAAGTATTATATATTGTGGAAATAAATTTGAAATTACATAACAATAAGAAAGTTACTAAATTAACAGCTCCTATGAGATATTCATATGTTCTATCTTGGGCCATATTTGGTTTTATATCTTTTAAGATCCATCCTTCAAGCTTCCAAAATGAGTGGCCCACCAAATTCAAGCCACTTGAATCGACGTAGTTTAGTCATTTCCTTTTTTTCGAAATCAATATCTTAATGTCAACGCGCCCTTTGACCATGATCATGTTGAACAAATAATACCGAGCAAAAATCGTACATTTTGATGTGTTTTGGATGGAAAAATCAAGAACGAGTGTATTGTCATTATCGTTCATATAATATAAAATAAATGAGTTATTGTTGGGCTTTTGTATTTGAATGGCGTATTTTTATGCCATTGTTAAATTTCTCAGTTATTATTTTTTATCCATTCTAAATTTATTTATTTTATGCATAATTTTAAGAACACGATACCCAAATAATTAGATCTAATGAGAAATGATGGCTCCATTTCTTCACAGGGCAATATGGATAGAGAGAGAGAGAGAGAGAGAGAGTGGGAGAGTGAGAGAGAGAGAGTAATTACGGTAAAAAATGAATTTTTAGTAGTTTATACGGTATTTTTTATAAATAAAACTGAAAGTACGGTACTATTTACTACTAAAAAAGAAAAGAAATAGAGCCTTTTTTTAGGTAAGGTAAATAATATAGGAGAGAGATTCGGAAAAGGCATCGCCAGAAAACGGTAAGCTTACCGCCAAAAGCCCTGTTTTTCAAACGGAGACGTTTTCCCTCCCTAAAGGTCTCATACTCGCATCCCATTGGCTCGTTTCCCAGGGACGGATCGGACGTGACGAATCTCCTCCGTCGATGTCCCATACAATCTGACGATCATGCATCAACCAACCGTGCCCCTGACGGATCCCCGCCACCCATATAAATTCCGCCCCTCCCTCACATCTAGGTGGTGATTCTCTCTGTTGCTTCTTCAGGTCGGGTAGCAGCAGCGGCAGCATCAAAGGCAGAGGAAGAGATCTCAATGGAGGGAGTTGGGAAGGTGAAGAAGGGCGCCGGAGGGAGGAAGGGAGGCGGGCCAAAGAAGAAGCCGGTCTCCAGGTCCGTCAAGGCGGGGCTCCAGTTTCCGGTAGGGAGGATCGGCCGCTACCTGAGGAAGGGCCGGTACGCGCAGCGCGTCGGCACCAGCGCTCCGGTGTACCTCGCCGCCGTGCTTGAGTATCTCGCCGCCGAGGTGAGTGATGTCCCCGTTCCTCCTGTTCTTTTCTCTGAGAAGCTTTGTTCCGTCGCCTCCTTTGTTATTGTTTTCAGTGAGTTTGATCTTGGATCTAGGTTCTGGAGCTGGCCGGGAATGCCGCGAGAGATAACAAGAAGAACCGGATAATCCCTAGGCACGTCCTCCTCGCGGTAAGAAACGACGAGGAGCTCGGGAAGTTGCTCAATGGCGTCACCATCGCCCACGGTGGCGTGCTCCCCAACATCAACCCGGTGCTGTTGCCCAAGAAGACCGATAAGGCCTCCAGGGAGGCTGCCTCCCCCAGCAAAGCCACAAAATCCCCGAAGAAGGCCTAGAGTTCTGTTCTCCCCGCTTCAACCACGTCTATGTATGTAGCTATCTCATCTCTCTCTCTCTCTCTCTCTCTCTGGTTTTCGCCTAGAGGACTCGCTGTATGTCTCAGTCTGTACGGGGATACCGAACAATGAATTTATAGCGGCGATGCAATTCGTACCAGAAACTTCATCTCTGATCTGAAAAACTCTCTGTGCATTACGATTTTTGGTTTTTGTTTATGACACGTCCCATTCGTGGTGTTATCAAACGATTTTACACTCAGCGTTAGGGGAAGAGTTCGTCAATCGCGCGAACACGGGTTCCATTAGATCTGGCTTAGAACTGCCGTCATCACGCTGAAACCGATCCTACAAGCTCGAGTCATTGACTATTTTCTATCAGCTTTTGATGAATTCACGAAAGAGATTGTTTGCCTGGTGATGATCTCCCACGGGAATGCGAATTCTTCCAAGAGATTGCACTGTTTTTTCCGCACGATTTAAACCGCCGGAGATTAAGATGATCCACTCAGAATGAATTGACCAGCTAAGGTTAATGGGATCCACTTAGAAAGAGATTATACAGAAACTTTCTCTCCAATTTCACTGAAAGACTCTTTCAGAATCATAATGACATTTGTAGCTCATTTTGATCTTGAGTTACATCAGATAGACGTAAAAATTGAATTTCTCAATAGTAACATCGATGAAACGATATATATATATATATATAGTGCAACAAGAAAACTATGTTCGGAGGCCTAAAGAAAATGATATGCAAATTAAAGAAGTTTATATATAAGTTAAAACAAATTTCTCATCAATGATATCACAAATTTCATCAAGTTATTATCTCATCTGGTTTTGAGATGAATATGAGTGATGAATGTGTATATCATAAGTTTAGTGAGGGTAAACATATATTTCTGATTTTATATGTCGATGACATATTATTTACCAACAATAATATAGGTTTACTTTGTGACATCAAAAATATTTTGTTAAGAAATTTTGAGATGAAAGATCTAGATCAAGCATCTTATGTATTGAGCATTGAGATATACTAAGATTGACCTCAAAATATTTTAGGGTTATCTTAAAAGAGTTATATAAAGAAAGTCCTTGCGAGATTTAACATGTAAAGATGTAAACTTTATGATACCCCTGTTGTTAAAGGAGACAAATTTAGTCCCAATCAGTACTCTAAGAATGATTATGAGGTTAAAGAGTTGCAGAACATTCTTTATGCATCAACTATAGGAAGCCTTATGTATGCTCAAGTATGTATACATATGAATATTGCATACATAATTAGAGTACAAGGTAGATATTTAAGTAATCTTGATGTGGATCATTAGAAAACAACTAAATAGGTCATGCGGTATTTACAAAAGATAAAGAACTATATGCTCACATCTAAGAAATCAAATCATTTGGAGATCATTAGGTATTCAAATTTCACTTTCATTAGATGTTTTTAATAACAGACGATCAACTACGGACTATATCTATCTACTCATTGAAGGAACTATATTATGGAAGAGTGCTAAGTAGACACTTATAACTTCTTCTACTATGACAACAGAGTTTATAGTATGCTATGAGATATCAAATCATAGAATTTGGCTGAAGATTTTTTTCACATGGTTGCAAATTATAGATAGAATTGAAAAACCACTAAAGTTATTTTGTGACAATAAATCAACTATTATGTTTTTTAATAATAATAGTAGTTTGACGAAGTCTAAATATATAGACATCAAGTCTTTAATTGTTAAGAAAAGAGTTTAGAGTGGCCAGATGTCTATTGAGTATATAGAGATGAACTCCATGATAGTAGATCTACTTACTAAAGGATTGTCACCAAAAGTCTTTCATTAACATGTTGCTCATATGGGTATAATATCTTATGAGGATATATAATTTCAGTGAGAGTTTGTATTTTGATGTTCATATCATTATATACATATATTTTGACTGTTTCATGTATGAATAAAATTTATAATTATTCTCACTTTGAATGTGGTTGTTTATTTAGAATAAAGAGGACTAAGTTAGAAATATACATGTATGAGTCTCATTTCATGTATGATTTTAATTCATTCTCATTATGTTTTGTCATTCTCCATCTATTTCAATATAAGATCCTTCAGATTAAACATTAACATCCATTTATCTACGTATATTTGAATGATGTATTTTTTCAAAAATGGTGAAGGTACGTGGGGGTGGAATGGGCTTCCACGTCAAACTTTTCTTTTGAAGTAGAACCCTAGTTCCTTGCACCCATGAGCATGCAAGAAGGACAGCATCGTGAAGAGGCGCGCGTTTCACACCCAAAGATCACCTGCGCAAACAGTTCTGCGACGCCTGCGGGGAAGATGCGAAGGGAAGATTCTTCTACCACTCCAAGTCCCGCTGCAAGGACCTTCACCCCTCCTGTGCGAACCTACCCGAATTCCTCGTCTATGGGGAACTGCAAATGGAGCTCAAGAAGGAGATACCCTGTAAATGCAAAAGGTGCGGCTTGCAGAAGAGAGAGAGGGAGGGGACGCTTTCGTGGGGCTACGTCGCCACCAGCAACAAAAAAACCGTCGCCCTTCATATATCCTGCATGAAGGATCAGCGCAGGAAAGACTGGTGGAACGACGTGAAGCCAACGCAGGATCTCGTCGTCAGGGAAAAGAAGAGCCGTTCCGGGGGGAAGCTAGCGATCTGTAATATTGACCGAAAGGAGCTCAAGTATAAGGCTAGTAAAGCTCCTTTCCGGTGTAACGGCTGCAAGGAACTAGGGTTCCACTCCTGTTACTCGTGCAAAGAGCCCTGCACCTTCCGCCTTCATCGCCACTGCGCCGATCCTCAACCGGTTCTCGAGCACGACTTCTTCAAAGAGTGTAAATTCCAACGGGTGCAATCTGGCCGGATACCCGATGAGCAGTACTGCGACGCCTGCCTGAAACTTGCGAAGGGCTTCTTCTACCACTGCTATGACTGCGGCAAAGACCTGCACCCCACCTGCGCGAACCTCCCCCGATTCCTTTCCTACGAGGGCCTGAAACTGGAGCTCAAGAAGAAGATGCCCTTCAATTGCTGCAAGTGCGGCTGGATGAATCGGAAGAGTGGGAAGGGTTCGTGGTGCTACGTCTCCAGCTGTAAGACCGTCGCCGTTCATATATCCTGCATGAAGGATATGCTCCAGGATAACTTTCTGGAGAATAAGAGAATGGCGATGCCCGAGGTTGTCTTCACGGAAAAGAAGGGCCGTTCCGAGGGGAATCTAGCGAAGATTAAGAAGGCGTTTAAGATAGCAGTTCCGCTCGTCCTCGCCGCCCTACTCGGGGATCCAGTGTCTTTCGCAGTGAGTTTAATTTTTAGCCTGCTCTCTACCTGATCTCTACCATCGCAAAAAGTCTCTTCTCGCATTGGCGTGGTTACGAAGAATGTTCAGCGTTTACAGTGGTATAGATGAACAATGCCCGTTGCGCAGTCCCCGTCATCGGAGTGGTGTGATCGTCCGGCTGGGTTCAGGTAAGTTTCCTTTCAGTAAAGCGTAGTTATGAAGCCTGGAGGAACGCAAAGCGGCGAGCTTCTGAGAGTGCGGTATGAGGTTTCAGTGAGAAGCCTGTGAACTCCTCGATGAGATCCAACAGGGTCCATCGAGATTATAGAAACTTTGTAGGATTCATCCCCAGTTGACTAAACTGTATCCCTCAGAGGCGAGTATTGCGTGTGAGAGAGAGGTGGAGATCGCGGAGGACACAGGGATTCAGATGAGCGGCTAATCGGAGGGAACCCTTCAATCCGGCGATCATCCCCGGTGCTTAAAACTATTAAAAACTATTAAAAACTATTAAAAACTATTAAAAACTATTAAAAACTATTAAAAACTATTAAAAACTATTAAAAACTATTAAAAACTATTAAAAACTATTAAAAACTATTAAAAACTATTAAAAAAGAAGGGAAGAAGGCCGGAACAGTGGATTCATTGTCCGGGTAACATTTGTTTATTTTTATATTATTTTTCCTTATTGCCAGGGCATGGAAATCCTTGGGAAATGACTACTGTGGGAAAACGATACCCGCAGCTTCCTAGAACCCTCTCGCTCAAAACTGATGGGCCAACCCTTCTAGAAAACTGAAACATGAATTACAAAGATACCTCCGCCCATATTATAAATATAATTTAATAATTTATTTACTACGATTATTACTGATGGGAGGGTTTGGCGCATATCGACCAACTCCGCGTATTGGAAATGGGTGGTTTCGGCGAAGGTCGCTACGGCTTATCGTCTAAGTTTCCTCCAAACGTGTCGAATGAAATTTTTTTCAAAGCCTGCAACCGAAGAAGAAATAAACAAATTGAAATATCTTGACTTCACTTTATTGACGGGCCATCCATTCTATGCAGAGATGATATGATTCGAAAAGGGCATGAACTATCACATTTGTAGTATTAATATCCATTTATCTACGTATATTTGAATGATGTATTTTTTCAAAAATGGTGAAGGTACGTGGGGGTGGAATGGGCTTCCACGTCAAACTTTTCTTTTGAAGTAGAACCCTAGTTCCTTGCACCCATGAGCATGCAAGAAGGACAGCATCGTGAAAAGGCGCGCGTTTCACACCCAAAGATCACCCGAAGCCGGGATGCCGTGAATAAATCGAGCGAGTGAGAGAGAGAGAGAGAGAGAGAGAGAGAGAGAGAGTCTACCTAGAACACGCTGAGATTATTAGACAAAGGTTGCAAGCATTGTCGTCCTTCAAGACCCCGTTCTTCTTGCATTCTCATGGTGGAAAGGGACGGTCAGCGTTTACAGAGAGAGGTATAGACGAAGAGCGGCCGGTGTGGAGTCCCCATCATCGGAGTGGTGTGATCGTCTGACCGAGTCGGCTAGGTTTTCGGAGGCTGCCGCGAATAAATGATGGATATCGTTGCACTCCACCATCTCCCCGCCAGTTGGAACGAACAGCGGCCAGCTTCGGAGAGCGCGAGATAAGATCTAGGCGACCTC